GCCTAACTCGGCCAATTTCGGTCCGATTTCAACGGGACAGGTGTCGTTCAACTCGGACGATCAGTGCGGTGCGAGATGCGGTGGGTACACATTGTGTACCCACCATGTGTACCCACAGTGTACCCACCATTTCGGGCCGCAGACCCAGGTTGCGACCACTCGTTGGAAAGGTCTCATCAAGACAAGTTCAATGCGACCATAAAAAAATTTTCTTGGACGACCCCCCTTTTTCCAATATATCGATTTCAAAACTGTATACTGGAAAAAGGGGGGTCGTCCAAGAAAATTTTTTTATGGTCGCATTGAACTTGTCTTGATGAGACCTTTCCAACGAGTGGTCGCAACCTGGGTCTGCGGCCCGAAATGGTGGGTACACGGTGGGTACACATGGTGGGTACACAATGTGTACCCACCGCATCTCGCACCGCACTGATCGTCCGAGTTGAACGACACCTGTCCCGTTGAAATCGGACCGAAATTGGCCGAGTTAGGCTGGGTACACGGTGGGTACACGGCGGGTACACAATGTGAACCCACCGCACCGCGCTTCGCACTGACCGTCCGAGTTGAACGAGACCTGTCCCGTCGAAATCGGGCCGAAATTGGCTGAGTTAGGCTGGGTACACAATGTGTACCCATAGCAGCGAAAGGGGCTGCGTCGTTTCTTGATGTACCCATCCGCCTGGCCGGAAACTTGAGGTGTACCCAGCCGCACTGAACGTGCTAGGGACGCGCCGAAGCATCGTTGCCATAGCGAGTTGACGCGGGGGGCGTGGGTGCCCTTCCAGTCCTTGCAGTGCAGGGGAGGCCGGGGTGGCCGGCGAGGCCGGGGAGGCCCCGCGGGGGGTTAGCCCCCTGGCCCGGCCGCCAGTCTCCCGCCTCCGCTCCGCCCCTCCTGGCGTGCCCGACCCACGCCCCTCGCCGTGTCGCCCGCCTGTCAAACATCAGGTAATTGTCGGAGTGACGCCCAAGTGACGGCCGAGTGACGGCCGAGTGACGGCCGAGTGACGGCCGATGGACGGGTTGGCGTGATCGGCTTCGCCCCCCGGCCCCGTAGGCCCCGTAGGCCCCGTAGGCAGCCCCGGCAGCCCCTTGGACGGCAACCCCGGCCAGTTAGTCTCCGTCAATGCAGTGAGGGTGATCGCCGGCTGGGAGAGGCCGTCCCGGGAACGCATTCCAGCACTGCAATCCTGAGCAGCCGCTTTGCCGCGAGTGCGAGTCTCGAGAGCGGTTCATCGCCCCTCGGGCTGGTGTTGTGATACAGTGCAGACGACGCGCGTAGTACGGGCCGGAAAAGCAGAGGATCAATTGTGGTCCAAGTGATTTCGAGTCAAGTTCCGCGGTTCGAGCGCCGTGCAGGCTGAGCCTGAGGCGCCCCGAGTGGTCCGGCTTTCCAGTGGAGTGTCTATCGGCCACCATCATGGCGGTCTGCGTCGTCGTTTGCGTACGTGTTCGACAGTCAGGGCGAACCTCTAGTCTCCTATACTGTTGCAAATTGGAACCGTGTGCCTGGGCCGTGTCTATGCAGGGAATGCCTCTGCGGGTTGCGACCCATAGCGCCCCCACCCCCACTCCTTTTCCGCTGACTTTGACCTGTTCTAGTAGTACTCAGATCGTGTTCACGTAGCATGCCACATGCATTGTTTGCGCACTTGCACTCGCCTCAACAGTTGCATGCTCATGCGAAGTGTGCAGTAAGCCTTACCTCAGCTGCCCTCAGTCCAGTGCCCAAAACCTTTGCCGGCACGTTCTCCAGCGTACCGATGAAACTGAACCAAGCCATGGGTCTCAGGCCCTAGGTAGGGCTCAGGATGATCTTGGCGGCGCTCGGAATAGCCGAGCCTGGCCGAGCCCCACAGTGCCCTACCCGGGTGCCGCATAGCGCCGCACGCCAGCACACTGACTCCGGGCCGACGGTCTGTCTCTCTCCCACGCACGGCACACCCCATCTGAGAGAGAGCGAGAGAGAGAGAGAGAGAGAGAGAGAGAGAGAGAGAGAGAGAGAGAGAGAGAGAGAGAGAGAGAGAGAGAGAGAGAGAGAGAGAGAGAGAGAGAGAGAGCAACCCCCGCGCCGGCAGGCTGCGGAAAGGGTTACGAGGACGACTCCCCAGCGGACTGGTTCCGAGAGTCGTTTTCGTCGCTCTGTCTCTCTCGCACTCATGGGGCGTCCCGTTCAGGTGCGAGAGAGACAGAGCGACGAAAAGGCTCTCGGAATGAGTCGGCAGGCGGCGAGGGCGGCGAGGCCAGGCGGCGCCATGGAGTGATGCCGGCCGTACTTGGCGGCCATGGCGCCTCGGCACGCACGCCGTCGTCGCCGTCACGCGGCACCGCGGCACTGTAGGCTCATCCGAACGGTGCTCTCTGTCTCTCTCGCACTCGTGGGGCGAGTCGCACCAGTCGCACGGGTGCGAGAGAGACAGACGGCGACGAAAACACGGAGCGCTACGCAAAAGTCGTCGCAACGAAACAGCAGCAGTGACCTCACCTCCCCCACCGGCTCCCCATCAAAACGCACGCAAACCGTCTTCGGGGGTAGGGTAGGGTGCGTGATTCTAGAGCCGCAGAGTCCTGCAACTTTCACGCAGACAACTGCCAGGCAAAGACATCTGTCAAAATGGAGTTTTCGAACTTTTCTAAAGATCGCAGGTGAACATTTTTGACAGTGCCGGCAGTATGTATGCAGACAGCGCACAGTGGGCCAGAAGACCGGTGGAGGCGGCCAAAACTCTAGACGCGTTTTGAGCTCCAGAGTCGCTAAATGGGACTCGAACCGAACGTGTGACCCCACCAATGGATTGCTCTCCGAACGAGGAATTCATTGGTGGGGTCACACGTTCGGTTCGAGTCCCATTTAGCGACTCTGGAGCTCAAAACGCGTCTCGAATTTTGGCCGTCTCCACCGGTCTTCTGGCCCACTGTGCAGTGCAGACACCTCACATTCCCTTGCGACCTGACCCCGCTTCTTGCTTCCGAGGAGGCGTAAGGCAGTGTCTTGCGAGACTGTACAGGGTTTCCGGGGCACTGCATAATGTATGCTTGCAGTGGGCTGCGCGGTGCTGCGCTGCAGCGCCCAGCTGTCGACCGGGTTTGTTTACCTTGCCGTGTGTCTGCGCGCTGCGCGTGGCCATGGCCATGCATGGCGTGGCGGGCGCGCCAGGTGGTGCACGGCATAGGGGTTTCGCGACCCGCGGCTCCGAGGCATCCGCGGCCACGCCCAGACACGCCTATGCCACGCCATCCCGGGCACATTGATTTCCCGTGAAGCTCGCTGTCGAACTGACAGGCAGTCCCACACACTCGCGTCGCCTCGCGGGGTGCAGGGTGCAGGGGCTGGGTGGTGTGTTTTTTACGAGGATCGTCTTCCGCAGACAGTGTGCTGCACCTTGCAGCGCCCGACGTACGAGTGGCACCTGTCGATGCGGGGGGTGCCGGAAAAGAAAGGGGGAACACTCCACTGTCTTGTGAAATGCTGTATGGTTCAAAGGTTTCAAGGTTGCCAAAAAAATTCAGTAGAATGCGCACTGCTCGAAGGTTGACACAGATAGCAGTTTACACCGCCACACTGTCACACTGGCACACTGCCGCACGCCACTCCATCATCGAGGGCGAGGGCGACCGCGAAACTGCGACGCAGCCAACACCATCGGCTTCCGAATGCCTCCGAACTTCCGAATGGCCGATGGCGTGATTCCTGGGGGTAGCCAGGCAGGCCAGGCAGGCCACACCAGTGGAAGGGATGTGCGTGAGGGAAGGCCCGACGCCCCTCCACGCCTGTCCCCCCGCATTGTTATCCATGACACGGCGGTGCTTCCACGCCATGAGTCTTTGTCACGCGCCGCCGCGCCGCCGCGCCGCGCAAACCGTGATTTGAAACTTCCATGCGGCACGGCGCCGCTCCGCCGCTCTGCCGTGCGCTTCCCTCACCTGCAGGCCGATGCCGCGCGGCGCTCTGTCTCTCGCTGCAAGTGCGAGCGAGACGGGGCGACGACAGGTCCGCTGGCGTGATTCTAATCTCGGCTTGTTCTCATCTTGCACCGCGCCCCGCCTGGCCCCGCGCGACACTAATGGCTTTGCACTACTTCGCCTCCTCCCCGCTTCGCGCGCTTCGCTGCTCCGCTGCCGGCCGACAGCGCTGTCTCTCTCGCACTCGTGGGGCGTTCCGCAGGGGTGCGAGAGAGACAGAGCGCCGTTCGGAACGAGCCCGCCGCCCTGCACGCGCTCGTCCTCGACGCCGAGCTTGCTTGACGAGCCCCTCGGAACTCGCGGGCTTGACGGCTACCCTGCCGGGGGAGAGCGCCTAGCCCCGCGCACGCCAAACCAGTCCAAAGAGGAAGCGGCGAATTTGTGATAACGGAAATGACGCTTTGTCGCAAGGATTTGAAGGTGGTTCTGGTTTCAGGCGCCGCCCGCTGGAGCGCCATGCCAAGCGCGGCCTGGGCAGGGCCCCCGGCCCCGGGTCCGCCAAGGGCTCGGCCAAGGGCGCTGACTGGAGCGGCCAGGGGGCGGTCAAGGCGAGCCGCTGGGCCCAGAAGGGCCGCGTCGGCGCGGCGGGAGCGGCGGCCAGGAAGGCGGCCGCGGCCGCGGTACGCGCCATGGCGGACAGCCCTTCGCCGACCGGGGCCGGGCCCGGGGCCGGGCCCGAGGCCGCCGCTGAGGCCGGCGCCGGCCAGAAAGACGAGGTCAACATCCAGCAGCAGGCGCAGTCCATCCTCCGGACCAACCGGGACACCGAGTTCCTGCACAGCTTCCTGCGAGTGGACCATGGTACGCACCCAGTGGAGCAGTGGAGCTTCCTCCAGGTCGACAGTCATTGCTTTCGTCAGTCTGTCTCTCTCGCACTCACGCGGCGATGAGAGGCAGAGCGACGAAAGCGACTCCCTGACGGCCTTGCTCTGCCTGCAGGTGACAGTGACTCCGAGGCCGGCGACGCGCCCCGTCTGCCGGGCGGCGGCAGCGCGCCGACGCAGAAGGACGAGCGAGGCGACGGCGATGGAGGCGGGGATGCGGGGCGCCGCGCGGTGGCGGACCGGCACGAGGAGACCAGCTCGCGGCGCCACCACAAAGCCACCTTCAAGGAGGTGAGTGCGGCCCACAGTGTGGCTGCCGCTGCCGCCGCTGCCGCCGCGGGGGCGGCACCCGGAAGGGAACGGCGCAGGGAGGGGCGTCGACGGCCTGGTGCCGCTGGTGCCGCTGGTGCCCGACCACCGCTGGTACGGTGCACAATAGACAGAAGTAATCGCGGGTGAAAGCCTCCGGGACTCCGGGCGGGGCGCCGCGTCGCCGCCAGTCCGCGTCGAGCGCGACGAACGCCGAGGACCGCGAGGTCGCCGACGACGCGGAGGTGACGCACAGTGGGCCAGAAGACCGGTGGAGGCGGCCAAAACTCTAGACGCGTTTTGAGCTCCAGAGTCGCTAAATGGGACTCGAATCGAACGTGTGACCCCACCAATGGATTCCTCGTTCGGAGAGCAATCCATTGGTGGGGCCACACGTTCGGTTCGAGTCCCATTTAACGACTCTGGAGTTCAAAACGCGTCCAGAGCTATGGCCGCCATACCGGTCTTCTGGCCCGCTGTGTGACGGCCCGCTTTGTTGCAGGTGGTCAAGGACCTCGAGATGTACGGCGGCCTCGGCGCGCTGGCGGCCATCCGCAAGGGCGGCGCCAAGAACAGGCGCAACCGCGTGATCCGCGGTGAGGAGGTGTACACTGACAAGGACCGCGCGGCCGCCGTGCAGATGGGCCACCGCGACATCAAGCAGAGCCTGCGCATGAAGCGCCACCAGGAGCGCGTGCACGCCCTGCAGCTGCCCGAGGAGGCCGACGGCAGCACACTGCTGGCCCTGGGCCAGTACGAGCTGCGCCAGGGCAACATCGACATCGCCATCGCCTTCGTCAACAAGGTCCCCGCCACCACGCCAAACCCGCCTTCCTTCCCTTGTTTCTCTCCCCGTCGACCGCCCTACCCCGACCCATTTCCTTACAAATTCCGAAATTAAAAGATGCTGGGCAGAAACACGGCGTATGCGTTCCTTGCTCCCCGCTCCACACACGACAGACAGCGAGTGACTCGACCTCGACGGACTGAAGAACGCCGCTTCTGGTTGCCGCAGGCTCTGCAGCTGTGCCCGGAGGACAAGACGGCCTTGGTGGCGAGAAGCAAGTGCTACCTGCTGCTGGGCCAGCCCCGCCTCGCCCTCCAGGACGCCGAGACCGCCCTGGAGCCGGACCGCAACTTCGTCAGAGGTACAGTCCGCGCTCAAAAAATTTCACTTTACTGTGGCAAAACGCACCAGTGCCTTTAAGTTGTTAGGATGAAACGTTTTTGTTGCCGCAGCCATCTTCCAGAAGGCGGAGGCGCTGTACCACATGGGCGACTTCGAGCACAGCCTGATGTACTACCACCGCGGCCTGCGTCTGCGCCCAGAGCTCGCCGTCTTCCGCCTCGGCGTGCAGAAGGCCCAGGAGGCCATCGAGAACACCATCGGAAGTGGGTCAATGTGCACAGTCTCAAACAGTTTTGCATTGCAACTACAATTTGTTGATTTCGAAAGCTAATCTTTATTTTCTCGTGGTTCGAAAGTTACCAAGCTTCGATTATTTTCCTCCTTCGAGGTCATTTTAGTAATTTTTCCAGGGGAAGTTTTTTAAATTTTGGTAAATTTGCATTTTGATTCCCCTTTAGTTTTTCCATTTCCCTCTACTCTAGATTTTTCTCTCATTTTCCCGCGCATCCTTCGCAAATCGAGTTTGCCGTGTCGCCCAACCTCACTAAGTAACAGTGAGAGGCTCATGCTGGACAGAGCCGTTTGTTGAACGTCCAACCTTAAACCTTAAACCTGCTTCTCTGCTAACCAGCCGTTCCTTTCAGCGGGCATTGAGGAAAGTTGCCACATAATGGAAGAGATGGAGCGATCCAGGTCGGGCCGGGCAGGTACAGGCAGAGATGCCAACACAACGCATGGTTTCAGCACACTGCCGACACGGGCAGTTTTAACAATACCTAATTTTTACTTTACTTCACGATACTCTTACTCTGTATACACTACAAGCCAGTGGCTCCTAAATAATACGACAGGTATAATATATGTGACGTAGGTATGATTCACAGACTGCACGAGCAAATTTCAAACAGAATTTTTCGAATATTCATGAATGTTTCACCACCAGATAATGAATGCGCATGTTAAATGGACAACTTTGATGACTACAAAAACAGAATGCCGAGAGCACGGACGGTTTACAGCAGGAGTTTGTGGATGAGCATGAGCGACTTGACCACCACTCTCTTAAATAGGAAAACTAACAGCATCAAAATGAATGGTTAATGAGACTCGACGCATGCAAAACTCACATTCTTTCTTAAATTTCTTCCACTAAACAGTTCATGCCACCATAATCACAACGTTATTCTTTCTCTCATTCTAGCAACCACCTTCTTTCTCCGCATGCACGTTCCATTTATTCAAGTCAAAGACACTCGAAACAACCGCGATGTTCGGCCAGATCGGTGTCGATAGATTGGAGTTTCGGCGTGGGTTTCGTGTCTGTGTCGTTGCCTGCGGCGTAGGGGCCATCCACACGAGTGGCACAGTGCGGCCCCTGGGTGTGGATGGCCCTCTGGGAGTTGGCGCGGTCCAGCGCGGTCCGCGTCCTCACCGAGGGCCTTGGTGGCGTTGGCAGGGAACAAGGGCTCGATGCGGCCCAAGATGCCGCCGTCGCCGAGCAGCGCGCGCCGCAGCTCGCTGGCCAGTCCGGGGGCGGGGCTGCCGGGGCTGCCCGTCGACGCCGTGGTCTCCCCCGCGCCCAGCCCGGTGCCCGCCGTCCCGGCCCTGGTGACGCAGCCCACGCTCACGGCGCCGGGGTCGGCCCGCAGCACGCGCAGCAGGGCGAGCCGCTCCAGCAGGTCCAGCCAGTCCAACCGCCACCTGAGCCACAGCCCCTCGTCCACCGACGGCGAGGAGCAGTCGGCGCGGAGGCTGCTGGGCGAGCTCTGCGTCGACAAGCTGTACCTGGAGCAGCTGCTCAAGCACCCCGGTAAGCACGACGAGCGGCCGAGCGAAAAAGCGGGAAAGCTGGCGGTATTTGAACCCGGGACCTTTTCCAGACATCCGGTGCGCGCGGAAGGACCGCAGCTCCCAGATCGCCGAGCACGCCGAGGACGGCGTCGAGTTCCTCCGCAACCGGCAGGAGTTCTGGCGGCAGCAGAAGCTGAGCACGGGGCCGGGGGGCGTCTCCGTGAGCAGGAGCACGGCCAGCACGGCGCGCCGCAAGCAGGCCACGCCCACGGGCAACAACACGGCCTCCAGCAACAGCAGCAGCGCCAGGAACAGCGCCAGGAACAGCAGGCCGACGACCGCCACACTGCAGGCCGTCGCCTGAACCTCAACCTCGCCGTCGCGCTCTCGCCGCGGGGAGCGCCTGCGACACCGAGGGTAGGCAGCCCGGTGGGCTCCTCAGCGCCCCCGCTGCCTACCCAGCACGGCGCTACCCCTCGCGATTGCGATTACGATTAACGGCTGGACCACCGCGCTACCCCCTCCCTCGCCGCGCCGCAGCGTGGCACCGGAGACGGACCGAGCCTAGACTCCTAGAATGGAGTACACCTGTTTACCGGTGTACTCCGCGCTTCTAGATGACGTCTAGATTCCCCCTCGGTCCAGTGCCTGCACTCGAATCGGAAGCCAAACCACATAGAGAAACCGAAATGCAGTAACAACCTCGCCGTGTTGCTGGTGCAACGGTTCTCAGCCACGTTTTGGTGACGCTGGTCGCAAATGGTCGCCGGCTGACACCCGGGAGCCCTGTCGTCAGCCGGGAGGTCATTTTATTGGTTGAGAACCGTTTTCGCCAAAGCTTGGATTTGTTTTTCTGCGTGTCACCCACTGGTGTAAATTGTGTCAAATCTTTATAAGCATGAAATAAACTTTTAATATCCAAGGTAGTTTTGCGTGCTGTTTACTTACCACCAGACCTTGGAGTTGCGCCGACGCGACGGTGAGGAGTGAGGATGACAAGTAGAGCGGACACGAACGAACACAAACAGTAAACCTTCCAGCAGCAGCCAACGGGCCAGGCAGGCAGAGCGGCGGGGTCGTTTTCAGCAGCCGAGCCACACACGAGTTTCGCGCCAAAACACTGCCGGTGGCCACTAGGGCGACGCTAGCGCGCTCTAGTGGCGCGGTCCGCCACTCACTGGGAGTCGGCTGCTTTGGCTGTCACTGTCAACAACAGGAGCCGATCCACAACTTTTGCAGTTCTCTTTAATTTGTCAGCCCAAATTTTTGTTGAGGAGAAAATGGCCATACAACTGGATATTAAGTTGAAAAAGCATAACAAAATCTACTCTGAAGGCGTATGTATCCGTAGTGGATTCTGCATCAAAATAACCATTTAACCTCACTCATGGTTCTGTTTATTTTAATATGCTATTATATAAACGTTTGATTGCAGGAAAATGTGAGTGGTGTTCTTGCGATTCTAAGTCAAACAGACTTCAAACACGATGGTATTTCTTTATTGATGGAAGGAACAGTGAATTTACAACTGAGTGCCAAAAATGTCGGAATATTTGAGGCATTTTACAATTCTGTTAAGGTAACTTTGTTATTCTTTCTGACAAGCCTTGCTTCTGAATTGTTTCTTTTCCGTTTGATTCGCATTCATGAATTTTATCCTGATCTTACAGCCGATCCCTTTGGTAACTTCAAGTATAGATTTAGCGATGCCTGGTAAAATTCCAGCAGGGATGACAGATATACCGTTCGAGTTTCCACTGAAGCCACGAAGTGGTCGATCACTGTATGAAACTTATCATGGAGTTTTTGTCAATATTCAATATGTAGTGAAAGCAGATCTGAAGCGATCCTTTCTGAACAAAGACCTCTCAAAATCTCAAGAATTCATAGTGGAATACAAGGTAAGGTATTGCTGTTGTTGACTCTACAGTTTAGTGATATAATTAATATATGCCAATTTTTACCTTTCAGACTGGTATTACAGGTCTGATAACAGCTAAACCAGAACCTATAAACTTTAAAATCAGTCCAGAATCGATCCAGAACATCAAAGATAAAGCAAAGGTCCCTCGCTTCTTGGTGACAGGACACCTTGATTCTGCAACATGCTGCATAGGAAGACCTCTTACAGGAGAGGTAAGTTTTCATAAAATTCATTTCCTCTCGCAGAGTTTTGGCAGCTATTGCTGAACAGTTTTAAGGAAAGCGGATGAGGTGACATGCTATTTGCACCATACTTGTTCCAGCTTGTTGTTGAACGTTGTGAAGTACCAATCAAATCAGTAGAGCTGCAACTTGTTAGAGTTGAAACTTGTGGTTGTGCTGAAGGCTATGCACGAGATGGTAAGGATTCCCATTTTAGCTTGATGACTTATGCTATACTTCAATGTTTTTCATTATTGTAAAAATTCTTTTATTTTACTAGCAACTGAGGTCCAAAATATTCAAATAGGTGAAGGAAACGTTCCTTGTGGGCTTGCTATTCCAATACACATGGTATTTCCCAGACTCTTCACATGTCCTACTTTAATAACAAATAACTTCAAAGTTGGTAAGTGTGAGAATTAGCTATACTACTCCTTTAAATTTTTTAGACAGTTTGTTTGCTATACTGTACTTGTCCTTGTTTCTCTGTTACAGAGTTTGAGGTAAACATTGTCATCGTATTTCAAGATGACCACCTTGTTACTGAAAATTTTCCCATTAGACTTACTAGGTTTTAACCATTCTTCAAGCTAGAAATGTCTGATGTTCTCTTTTGCTCTTTCCTTTTTACCCAAACGTACATTCAAAAATCTAGTCATATACTGAACCCGCAAAAACCTGACTTGGCAAGTTATCATGAGGTGCAACAGATTAGATAATTGTATGAATTTTTATATAGAAAAGAGCAGGGTAAACATGCAATTTGTTTTAGATGATTATGAAGACGTTTTGTACTTTTAATTATTTTCTTTATTCTACTATTATTTACATGTTTTGGTTTAGAATCTATATAGCTGTTTAAATAATCAATAAATATTTTTACTGTTGTTTCTATTTGTTTTATTTCACTGTTGTAAGGCGAAAGATGTTTTTTAAAATAACTGATGCTTCAGTCTATCAATTTCCATAGGTCATTGAATGTTACTCTAGGTATAAAATTAATGTCAGATATAAAATGATGCCTTATTTGCTTCAACTTATTTTTTCTTCAGATCAAAGTTTGGAGAGTTAACATTATTGCTAGCATAAATGGAACTAAGTTCTTCATTGCTACAATACTCTCTCCACATTGCTACTCTCAAACTATTCTACTGTGTTTTCATCCATGCTAAAATGTGAAATGGGATTGACACTCAATTGACAAGAACAACTTTTGAGAATTGAACAAAATCACTGCTTTTCCCTTGTCACACCTATAAACATTACAGGCAAAAGCTACTGGCCTGTTTGCAAATTTGGCGCAGTAAATAAGTAAGACATTTAAAACAAATACTTAAATGAATGTGACATTGTAAAATAAAAACACATGAAGGAAATACTTTTCCATGGGAGAAGTACCTCACTCATTGACAGTCTTAATTGCTTACAAGCTAAGAAATTAAAGGCCTAACAAGGCAGTCAACACCGTGCATCTGCAACTACATCCTCAGCACCATTAGCTATAACTGTTGGGATGTCAGTTGTATTTTCCTCCAGTGCATTTTCCGTCTCCCCAACTTTGGTTTCTTTAATTGATCCATTAGTCTTGACGATGGCTGCTCTTTCTTCATCTTCAGCACACTTCTTCTGGTTCCTGGAAACGGGACATTAAAAAATTAAAAAGGCTCCAACGTGACACAAATTCAAATTAGGGGTCGTGAGACATTACCTCTTTCTCAACATGAAGAGCACATAGAGTACTACTGCATTTCCAACAAACAGCATTGCCATGATGACTGTTGGGACAATGACACCTGCAGGAAGATGATGTCATGTGTATTAACCAGCAGCACAAAATACGATCTCAGACATTTAATTTTCAACCGGTAAAAGTCACTTACGAGACACAGTGTCGTTGTCGCCACCGTCGCTTGCTGCCATTTTGATTTTGGTGTTGTTCCCGTCGGAAAATGTCCAGGAATCGAAGTCTCCCTTCTTCCAGGCAGATGTCAACGAAACGTCTGCAAAAGAAGAGAACAGACTGAACCGTGTGACGTCATTGTCATTCATTCCCCCTTCCCCTCCCCCTCCAAGGTTCAAGGTTGGACTTCCACGGTGCGAATTCTGGCGCGACTCCAGAACTGTGCTCGGCGGAAACGGACAAAAAGAGGACAGGACGACTACTTACTGACGCAGGGGGCGAGGGTGTCGTTCCACGTGTTGCCGTGCTCGCAGAGCAGGGTGCGCGCGCGTCGCTCGGCCGAAACGGACAAAAAGAGGACAGGACGACTACTTACTGACGCAGGGGGCGAGGGTGTCGTTCCACGTGTTGCCGTGCTCGCAGAGCAGGGTGCGCGCGCGTCGCTCGGCCGAAACGGACAAAAAGAGGACAGGACGACTACTTACTGACGCAGGGGGCGAGGGTGTCGTTCCACGTGTTGCCGTGCTCGCAGAGCAGGGTGCGCGCGCGTCGCTCGGCCGAAACGGACAAAAAGAGGACAGGACGACTACTTACTGACGCAGGGGGCGAGGGTGTCGTTCCACGTGTTGCCGTGCTCGCAGAGCAGGGTGCGCGCGCGTCGCTCGGCCGAAACGGACAAAAAGAGGACAGGACGACTACTTACTGACGCAGGGGGCGAGGGTGTCGTTCCACGTGTTGCCGTGCTCGCAGAGCAGGGTGCGCGCGCGTCGCTCGGCCGAAACGGACAAAAAGAGGACAGGACGACTACTTACTGACGCAGGGGGCGAGGGTGTCGTTCCACGTGTTGCCGTGCTCGCAGAGCAGGGTGCGCGCGCGTCGCTCGGCCGAAACGGACAAAAAGAGGACAGGACGACTACTTACTGACGCAGGGGGCGAGGGTGTCGTTCCACGTGTTGCCGTGCTCGCAGAGCAGGGTGCGCGCGCGTCGCTCGGCCGAAACGGACAAAAAGAGGACAGGACGACTACTTACTGACGCAGGGGGCGAGGGTGTCGTTCCACGTGTTGCCGTGCTCGCAGAGCAGGGTGCGCGCGCGTCGCTCGGCCGAAACGGACAAAAAGAGGACAGGACGACTACTTACTGACGCAGGGGGCGAGGGTGTCGTTCCACGTGTTGCCGTGCTCGCAGAGCAGGGTGCGCGCGCGTCGCTCGGCCGAAACGGACAAAAAGAGGACAGGACGACTACTTACTGACGCAGGGGGCGAGGGTGTCGTTCCACGTGTTGCCGTGCTCGCAGAGCAGGGTGCGCGCGCGTCGCTCGGCCGAAACGGACAAAAAGAGGACAGGACGACTACTTACTGACGCAGGGGGCGAGGGTGTCGTTCCACGTGTTGCCGTGCTCGCAGAGCAGGGTGCGCGCGCGTCGCTCGGCCGAAACGGACAAAAAGAGGACAGGACGACTACTTACTGACGCAGGGGGCGAGGGTGTCGTTCCACGTGTTGCCGTGCTCGCAGAGCAGGGTGCGCGCGCGTCGCTCGGCCGAAACGGACAAAAAGAGGACAGGACGACTACTTACTGACGCAGGGGGCGAGGGTGTCGTTCCACGTGTTGCCGTGCTCGCAGAGCAGGGTGCGCGCGCGTCGCTCGGTGTCCTTGAACACGTATCCGACGCTGCACATGTACCACGCGGCGGTGGCGTTGTGGTGCTCCAGGTAGCCGTCGACGGGCGTGGGTAAGGTGGGGCAGCCCACGGCTGGAACACACAAATCGTCTCTATTAGATGCAATGACCGGGAATCTTCGCCGAAACTTTACAGCAGTCGCAGCAGACTGGTTCACTACGCCACTGATCCGACAGCTCCGACAGGTGGAGGAGAAAAAGGCGTCGGAAAGAGAGCGGGCGGAACGCCGTGGAACGCCGCCACACGTGGCGCCGGTATATTTAGCACGTGCAGCCCCCTTCCCCTCCGACAAGCCCCTCCCCCTTCCCCCGCCGTCGGTGGAGTCGCGGCTTCCAAAACCGGCCAGTCCCGTTCGAAAGGCCCAAAATTTTGGCAAGACTGCTCCCCTATGCTGGTCTCCAGCGCCGCTGGACCTCACCGAAGTTGGACTTCGAACGCAGGGAAGGCCTGCCTGGGCCATCACCAAGTCCAGTGCTGCCACATGAAAAATTCCCGCGATATACTAAGCTACCAACTTCAGAACGAGAATATTGATCGACTCCAGATTTCATCCAGTGTGTTCCCTTTGTAGCGAAATTAACTTGGCAATTTGCGCGGAGGGTTGGCAACATTTCTGCTGGGCTCCACAGAGAAGGGCGAGAGCGCCGCGCCGCTTCGCAGCGCCCTTTTCAGCAGAGTGGCGCGTTCCTCCCGCCCATATTGCCACTAATGAGGCTGGCGAGCCACTCGGCGACGACGGCAGCGCCACGGCACACACGCGGCGGCGGCGCGAACCTCGCAGCTCGGCCGCTGAAGCGCCATGAAGTGCCATGAAGCGCCGAAGCACAGTGGGCCAGAAGCCGGTGGAGGCGGCCAAAACTCTAGACGCGTTTTGAGCTCCAGAGTAGCTAAACAGACTTCGAAACGAACGTGTGACCCCATCAATGGATTCCTCGTCCGGAGAGCAATCCATTGGTGGGGTCACACGTTCGGTTCGAGTCCTGCTTTGCGACTCTGGAGCTCAAAACGCGTCCAGAGTTTTGGCCGCCTCCACCGGCTTCTGGCCCACTGTGCGAAGGCGAGGTCGGCCAAGCCGAACGCACGCGCTGCTGAATGCTCTATCTTCGAACCGCTTCAAACAAATCCGCCGCCTGTCCTGTCGGCGCCTGGCGGCCCTGGCGGTGGTGGCGGGCTATCGGGCAGGCATGCCGCGCCGCGTGCCGTTCCTATCGCCAGCCATTAGAATAATAAAGCCAACTAATCGGAGCGGCGTGCTCTTGTTTTCCCCATTCAAAGCCAAATCCAGGGGCCGATGCCGGCCGATACGGAGGGAGCGCCGCTAGATCGCGCATCGGTCAGCGTGTTGTGATGTCAAGCCAATATCTCGACAGCCGGCGGACTGTCTCTCTCACGGAGCGCCCCACAGTGGGCCAGAAGACCGGTGGAGGCGGCCAAAACTCTAGACGCGTTTTGAGCTCCAGAGTCGCTAAACAGGGCTCGAACCGAGCGTGTGACCCCATCAATGGATTCCTCGTTTGAAGAGCAATCCATTGGTGGGGTCACACGTTCGGTTCGAGTCCTGTTTAGCGACTCTGGAGCTCAAAACGCGTCTAGAGTTTTGGCCGCCTCCACCGGTCTTCTGGCCCACTGTACGCCCCGTGAGTGCGAGAGAGACAGAATGACTCGGAATCGGCCTGCGGGGATTAGCGCCGTCAAAGCGCGGCGCGGGCCACCTGCTGACGGCGGTCCTTCGGGAATGGGATCGCCCCGGATTATCCCCGGGGCGGCGGGGGAGCAGGGGCAGGCGGGGGGCAGGCAGGGTCCCGCGGGAACAGCGCGAACAACGCGAACCGCCCTCGCAACATCCCGCTCGCGCATTACCCGCTCGGCTGCTCGCTCTGCGAAGCAAAGTGGAGAGCCCCGAGGGGCCTGCCGCACAGTGGGCCAGAAGCCAGTGGAGGCGGACAAAACTCTAGACGCGTTTTGAGCTCCATAGTCGCTACATGGGACTCGAACCGAACCCCACAGATCTACCCCTCCCTCCCTCCCTGGTCAGACGGCGAGACGGTCAGGCTGCCCCGACCAATAGCAGCCCGCGGCTTGCCTGGGTCACGCTGCGCCCTGCGGCCCTGCGCCCCCTGGGGCAGCACGGGGCAGCACGGGGCAGCACGGGTCACTCCGGGGGGCGTCACCAAGCCGCGTGCAAACAAAAACCAGCCCCGCCGCGCGCGCCGCGCCACCCCTGTCGACTGATTCCGAGGGTCGCCGTCGTCGCTCTGTCTCTCTCGCACCTATACGGGACGCCCCACGAGTGCGAGAGAGACAGAGCGACGACGGCGACCCTCGGAATCAGTCGACTGGAGAGGGTGACCTCGCCGACGCGAAGGTCGCGGCGGTTCGAGGACCCAGCGGTCCGGCGGGGCGGGGCGGCCGGGGTGGCGGAGTAAAGTCACGAAATTTACAGGCCACCCCCCGGGCCGGCGCGGAGGGCCTGGCCGCCCTGGCGTCGACCCTGTCGACAGCCACGTAACGGCCCTACGGCCACTGTGGCGCCGGCGTAGGGCGGGCTGGGGGAGGGCAGGGCCGGCAGGGCCGGGGGGTGGGATAGGGCTAGAAAAGGGCGTCGGGGAGAGAGTTCGGTCTTCGGTCCAGGGAGGGGAGGGAACGACCTGGCGAGGATAAAAGGCAGACGGCCAGAGACTGCCAGATACCCCGCGAGGAAAACGGGCGCTGTCTCTCTCGCGCGCATACGGGGCGCCCTATAAGTGCGAGAGAGAGGAGAGAGAGAGAGGAGAGAGAAAGAGAGAGAGAGAGAGAGAGAGAGAGAGAGAGAGAGAGAGGAGAGAGAAGAGAGAGAGAGAGAGAGAGGGGGGGGGGACACCAAGTGGGCACCGGCGCCCGCATTGCCCACGGAGTGGGCCGACGCCGACCTTCCCACGGCCCCGTCCATGGGCTGTCAATGCTGTCAATGCGCTCAACGAGCCGGCAGACTGATTTCGAAGCGTCAAGTCGCCTCTCTGTCGCACGCACGGGGCGTCCCGGCGTCCCCTGGGGGTGCGAGAGAACGACTCTTTGGAGTACACTGGCCTTTAGGACTCTAGAGTACACAAGTCGGTGGGCAAGCTACGCCCTTGGTCAACCGCCACTTGGATGAATCCTTCGCTAACATGAATCAGACGACCATTCGGACTGCATTGGCGAGCAGTGCAGTGGGAGCCACCAACCGGCGGAAAAGGTGCATCGGTTTGCATAACACGCCACGCGAGTCTCGGGTAGCACGGTAGGTAGCACGCCGGACAGACCAGAGTGTGACTGCACTGGCGCCAATCAGCACCCCCCCCCCCTCTTTCCGGCCGCCGTTCGCACCTCGCGTCCAGGATCACCACGTGCGCGCCAAGAGGGCCCACGCCAAGCCGACGGAGTCCCACCTCTACGGACACGACGACGGTGGGTTCAATGGAAAACGCAAATACGCGAGCACACAGTCGCACACACACGCGGTTCGGGTCCCACGCGAGCGTCTCGCGGCGACGGCGGGGACCTGCTTGGGATACATGAGGCCCCCTCGCCTCGTCGCGAAGGGTATATAAAACGGAAACTGCCAGGCAGGTAGGCAACCGGTGGAATCCATACGCAAGGCTCACGTCGACGCACCGCGACGCATGAGACATACGCACACGAACACACATCGCTCTCACACACACACACCTCGCTGGGCGGGACGGTAATCCTTGGCGGGGCGAGGACGGGAAGGGTTATGTCGTCCACGAGGAGGGACTGCAACTCCTCGAACGCGACGCCCGGCGTGTCCGCAGTCTCCGGCCGAAGCAGCCGACGCGCGACACACTGTGTGCCTTGACTTCGCCTCTCGGAGTGCCGGCAGCAACTAGCGAAGCGAAGAGAAGAAGAGAGCGAGGCGAAGCGCTTGCCGCCGTCGCGTCGCGCACCACGACGCCGCCGCCATGCCGCGGGACGGGAGCCGCGGGGGTAGCGGCAGGGCGGGGAGGGGGGGGGGGAGGGAGTCCGTTGTAGTCGCGGCTGCGCGGGCTGCGCGCGCCGCCACCCCACACACCGTCCCCTCCCCTCCCCGCCTCCTTTCCCCGCTCCCCACTCCCGACGACGTAATAGCTGGACGAATGCGGGGGAGGAGGAGGCAGAGGGAGAGGCAGGGAGGAACACGACAGACACACCGTGAACCGCGAAGACGCCGCGAAGACGCAGACGACTCGAGGGAAACGGACGGACTCGGACCGCAGGGAGCCACGTGGGAGACACGTGGGAGAGAGAGAGAAAGAAAGAGAGACCGCGGGTCGCAAGTGGCAGTCGCTGAAGGACGGGCCCCGCGAGCAAATACGCCACCAAGCTGACGTTCTTCTCTTGACACGGTTTCGTTCACATACGATGCAGTGCCTGCCGAAGAGCGAGCGGTTCGATTCCCTGTCTCTCTCCCACACTTACGCAGAGCGCCGTGAGTGCGACAGAGAACACGAAACTAACGAGAGTGCGCGGCTTATCATTGAAGAGCGCGGCCAGTGGGGCAGCCGGGCACAACAATGTCGAAGGCCGTGCCGTGCCACAACGCCCGCTACATTGTAGCACCACACTTTGGAGCTTTTATCCACTTTTATCTCTCTCGCTTTCGGTGGTGTGAGCTTTCGCCGGCTTTCGCACAGGGCGGTCGGTGATTGCGATTATATGCACTACTATCGCGATTGCGTTAGCGTTTCAGTTCACCGTGCCTGCTGCAAAATTTAAAGATCCCCCAACTTTCGAGCCTGGCCACCCTGCTGAGAGGAGATTAGCAACGTGATTATGTCTGTTTGGACCGGGACGTCGACTCGAGCGGCTAGAGGCAAGCACTCGGTAATCCGCCACACGTTCTGATAACGTCAACGCCCGTCCGTCCGTCCGTCCGGGCTGCAACGCCTGCAACTCTGAGCGAGTCCTCCATTCCGATTTTTTGGCCGCCAACTGCCGGCCCGGCGGCGCGGATACCCCGTGCTGCCGGCTCGTAGCGTCGGCGATACCCCTCGCGCCGGCGCGCCGGCCGCACACGCGACTCCTCGCGCTCGGCGTCTTCGCCCGTTCCGTTTGAACTCTCATCCTAATTTTGACGATTTTGACGTTGAATTCTCGTTGCCCGTCGGCCTGGTGTTGACTGTTCGACGTCTGGGTGCTTGGCGGTCCCCTGATTCCTTTATGGCACGATGCCTTCGTTGTAATCTCGAGGAGCGGGGCCATCTTCTTGATCCGCGGCGATGCGCGCGCGGACTGGCCAAAGGGTACCGAGCATCTTCGACAAGAGCACTGTACCAGCCGATTGAAATCTCCCAGCGAGCGTTGGTTGATCCCAACTCGATTTTCTCCGCGCTATGATATCCGCTCCTCCGATGGCGGTAACCGTAAACCTTACCTTTGTAGTGGATGAGGACGCCGCGGGAGGGGAAGGCGTTCTCGGAGCGCGTCGTCAGGTTCACGTCGAGGGCGCCGTGCTCGGACTCCACCTCCAGGTCGTCGTCCCGGTCTCCGCACTCGTGCACCAGGTCGGCGTTGGCGGCGCCGTCATCCGAGCCCTCTCGCACCGACAGCGCGTCCACGCAGTCCTCGTCGCCGTCCGTGCGCGCTGCGGACACCACAACGTGACAGCCTCTCGCACTCCCACGGCACGCCCCATGAGTGCGAGAGAGACAGAGCGACCAAGGCGCCTGCAGACGGCGAGGCGGGCCGCCCAGCGCACGCCCGCGTCGGAGGGGATGCCTACCCTGCGGGCGTTGAGCCAAGGCGGCAGGTCACCGCCACACCCGCACAGTGGGCCAGAAGACCGGTGGAGGCGGCCACTCTAGACGCGTTTTGAGCTCCAGAGTCGCTAAACAGGACTCAAACTGAACGTGTGACCCCACCAATGGATTGCTCTCCGAACGAGGAATCCATTGGTGGGGTCACACGTTCGATTCGAGTCCCATTTAGCGACTCTGGAGCTCAAAACGCGTCTAAAGTTTTGGCCGCCTCCACCAGTCTTCTGGCCCACTGTGACTCGCAGCAGTAATGGGAGGGCGAATCGTGTTAAAGGTTACGGCACGACACATCGTCAACGCGCCGTCAACATAAAACGCGACGCCTTCTGTCTCTCTCGCACCCATTGGCAGTCCATAAAGCGCGTCACGGACAGAGCCATGAAACGCTGACAAGGCGAGTGACGACACGATCGAGCCTGAGGCCCGCCGCGTCGCGTCGCCGCAGAGAGACCAACCCCTGCGGACGTCACTTCTGCGACTTTCGAAGGCAGAAGTCTTTCACTCTCTGCGGCGCCGCGCCAGAAAGGCCAGCTCCGCAGGGAGCTCCGAGCACTAGCAGCACTTCGGAAGCGAACGAAAGCGTTTCGAGAGAGGAGCCGACCTCGACCGCCAGCCCGAGCGGACACAGAGAGCGCGGACGGAGGCACAGTGGGCCAGAAGACCGGTGGAGGCGGCCAAAACTCTAGACGCGTTTTGAGCTCCAGAGCCCCTAAACGGGTCTCGAAACACACGTGTGACCCCACCAATGGATTCCTCGTTCGGAGAGCAATCCATTGGTGGGGTCACACGTTTGATTCGAGGGCCATTTAGCGACTCTGGAGCTCAAAACGCGTCTAGAGTTTTGGCCGCCTCCACCGGTCTTCTGGCCCACTGTGAGGGGCACTCGACACCGAATAGCAAAGCAAAGGCCAAAGCCAAAGGGCCGAAGGCTGGAAGGCAGTGCTCACCTCGAAGGGACAGGTCCAGCACCCGCAGCAGCAGACGCTGGCCGCGGTTCGCGCGCAGTCGCCACAGGCACGCGCTCTGGCCCACCGTGATGGTGGGGTAGCCCGGGGACTGCAGGAAGCCCTCGCCCTCCTCCGTGGTCGTCACCTCCGCGCTGGAGCTGCAGTAGCGGTGCATGTGGGAGCCTGCAACGAGAGGTTGTTAAAGTATGTGCTAAGTAGCACTCAGTCAGTACACACATAGGTTTTCAGCCGAGCCTGATGTGCTGGCTGATGTTGGCAACCCTTCCGACACTGTTTACAAGGCAGGATTTTTAACACTGTCCCAAAGGCGCGACGGAGGATGCTTGAAGGAGAGATTGAGCGAAGCGAAATGGGAGACGAGTTCCTTTCGGGGACGATGGAGACGACGACGCGGCTCCGTCCTGGGATTGAAAAAGAAGGGGGAGGGGGCAGCATTTTGGAACGCACTTGCGCTGAACGTCGTTTCGTGTCGGGAGAGACAAATATTGGAGGAACGTGCAAAAGGCGCGGGTCGGGGGGTGAAAGGGGAGGGGTGGGGGCTGGAGTGATACACTGATGTGTTGGCTGAAGGGGGCGGAGTGGGGCTGGAGTGATACACTGGCGTGCGGGGCGCGGGGTGCGGGTGGAAGGGGGTAGAAGTGACACACTGCGACGCGTTGGTTCAGCGCAGGGCTCATTCCGAACTGTGTCGCTCTTGTCTCTCTCGCACTCATGGGGCGTTCCGTAGGGATGCGAGACAGGGAGAGAGAGAGAGAGAGAGAGAGAGAGAGAGAGAGAGAGAGAGAGAGAGAGAGAGAGAGAGAGGAGAGAGAGCACTGTTCGGAGTCACCCTCCAGGGGTAAGAGTGAGGGCGTTCAGTGTCCAGGCAGGAGGCCCCAAGCGACTCGGACGGGTCGAGGCTCCAGCGGGGCTGCTGCGTTTCTCCAGCACTTCCAGCTCTTCTCCAGTCGCCTCGGCCGCCACACTCACCACTCACGCACGCGTACTTGATATGCACCAGGCCGGGCCCCCAGTCCGCGCTGGAAGGTAGGTCGGTGTTGAGGATGAAGCTGCAGTAGTTCTGGCCGGAGCACCTGCAGGCACAGAAACCCACCGCAAAGGTCAAAATTTCGAGATTTTCGATTTTCTTGAAGCAGTTAGTTCTGAGCGATTAGCCATCAATCAGTGGGCGAAACATAAAAGTCATTTTAGCAGGCGCAAACACTAAAACGTTTGTGTATTTTCTCTATCTACCTGTCTATCAAACAAATGTCACAGGTTACTGTATTTCGACCCGCCCTGGACGTCGTCCTGGACGTCCTCCAAAACAGTCCGGCCGCCAACCCCCGTGGGGCACGCACTGTAAGGCCTGCCGGGCGCACATGCACGCACAGTGGGCCAGAAGACCGGTGGAGGCGGCCAAAACTCTAGACGCGTTTTGAGCTCCAGAGTCGCTAAACGGGACTCGAACCACATGTGTGACCCCACCAATGGATTCCTCGTTCGGAGAGCAATCCATTGGTGGGGTCACACGTTCGATTCGAGTCCCATGTAGCGACTCTGGAGCACAAAACGCGTCTAGAGTTTTGGCCGCCTCCACCGGTCTTCTGGCCCACTGTGGCACGCCTCGCCCTGGCTCGCCCCGCGCCATGCACGTCCCCGTCGTGGATGTCGTCGATGACGATGCATCGATAGGCTGGATGGGGCGGCCAATACCCCTCCCCCTCCCCGCTGCGGCGTTTCCGGTGCGGCGAACCAGATCCGGCTCGGCCTGTAACTCTGCAGTAGCCGTCCCCGAGGGATCCATGGCGGCGCACCGCATGCGGTGTGGGTGTCGGTACCGTCCGCCCCCCCGGGCGAATCCACGGCCGCAGTCCATTTGATTCCCTCTGTATCGCGACACGCGTCGGGGAGGATACATATTGTGCGGTCGGGGCTGCGGCCGCGCCACGCCGCGCCACGCCACGCCACGCCACGCCAGGCACGGAAGTTAATGGGTCGAGTATGATAAGTTGCCGGGGCCGCGGGGTCAGCGTCGCGTGCCGGCAGTGCCGGCAGTGCCACCAGTGCGCAGCAATACCACGCTCTGTATATCGAAAGGCTATCGATGGCTCCCCCCCCCCCTTCCACTTCCACCCCTCCGCACCGCACCCTCCTGGCCGCCGACCGATTCCGTTTTCCTTCCCAGAAAGCTGGAAATAGACGGGCCGGGTGCCCTTGCAGGCCGTGCAGGCCGTGCAGGCCTTGCACCAAGGTACGTAGGCCCCACTTAATGCAGTCCGGATAACGCACGCAAGGGGGGGGGGCGTCCTCGCTTTCGGGGAAGAATGTGGTGCGCCCCGCGGACAGAAAGACAGACAGAGAGACAGACAGAAAGACAGACAGACAGACTGACTGACTTCGGCCGAAAGGAAGGGAAGGATGCGGTGGCGTGGTTGTGCTGGCACGCTGGCACGGACAGGGGTAGATTGGCGCAATAGTGGCTGTGTAATAGTAGCGGGGTTAGGGCGCCGCCTCGGCCGTCTCGCATGACGTCCAGGTGTCCGTCCAGGGCCGTCAGGGGGAGAGGGGGCGATGAATGGCGATGTCCCCTGTCTGATAGACCGCGCGCGTGTGTGTGTATGTGTGTGTGTGTGTGTGTGTGTGATGTGTCGGGGAAAGGGGCGGTGGCGGCATCGTCCAGGGTGACTCGCGTAATTCGTGAGGAACACGCGTTTCGACGGATAATAATCCCTCCCCGTCCCCCCGATGGCCGTCAATGGCTCATCGCCGAGCCGAGGACGGCACTGCCGAAGAGTAACTGTCGTCCGCCGTCGTCTTGGTGGTGATGGATGGGCCGACGGCCCGCGAAGGCTAAATGGATATTGGCCGAATCCCTGGCCGTCGCCCTGCCGTCGCCTGGCGTTGCGTTTCCCCGTCTCCGAATGCGAGGGCTCGGGAGACTGATTCCGAACGGCGCCTCTCTCTCTCTCTCTCTCTCTCTCTCTCTCTCTCTACTCACTCTCGTGGGGCACTCCGTAGGGGGTGGGAGGGAGACGGAGCGGCGGGGGAACTGTTCGGAATCAGCCTGCTGGAGGGGCCCAGTGACAGGACGCGACAGTTTTTGAAACGCGCGCGCCGCGTCTCTCCTTTTTGGCGTCCCTCAAACTTCTTTCTCCCTCTCTCTAGCCAGCCTCGCGGTGGCAGGGAGCGAGCGCACACAGCCGCGACAACAAGAAAGTTTTCCGTCTCTGACGATTCGAAAATATTCACGGTTGTGACACTTGGCGGATGTTAGAGTCACAGGGGATGTCTTGTCTGTGTTCGTCGGGAAACTCGAGGAAGAAACTGGTAACTGGTTCTGTAAAGTTACGCCCCGTCCCTATCCCCGTGAATACAATTCCCCGGTCCATGCTGTTTCTTCACTGTGTTTCCGTACTTTCTCTCTTCCCCCTATTTGAAAGCCTCATAACGACCCCTTGCCCAGGTTGACAGGGGACTTTAAGGTGCTCAATACACGCACACGCCAGAGAAAGGGGTGGCCCCTCTTGTTGTTGTTGTTTCACGACGATGATGATGACGATGTTGTTGTTGTTGTTGACGTCGTTGCGTCATTCTCCAAGCCTTCTTTAGGCGCCCGGAGTGACTGTTCTCCGTTCTCGGTGCCCGAGTCGGTGCCGCAGGGTGACTCATTGCAGTAGCGCCACACTTGGCGGGTTTCTATCGCCACGGCGTCGTCGCCGGCCCTGCTGGAACGCCGCACGCCGCCAACCTAACCTAACTACAGTCAACCCAACATAACCCAACTATGGTCAACGTGTCCTAAGTACAGTCAACCGAACATCACCTAACTATAGCCAACCTAAGCTAAGCACAGTCGACCTAACATAACCTAACTATGGTCAACCTAACCTAGCTATAGTCAACCTAACATGACCTAACTACAGCCAACCTAACCTAAGCACAGTCAACCTAACATAACCTAACTATAGCCAACCTAAGCTAAGCACAGTCGACCTAACATAACCTAACTATGGTCAACCTAACCTAACTACAGCCAATCTCACCCCAGCCGGCCCCCAAGTCCCTAATTCGGTAATGGGCGCGTGCCGCCGCGTGCCGCGGCATCGGAAAGCGATTGTCGGCGCCCCCATTGCCCATTGTCCGCTCCTGACCTTTCCCACCGCAGCGCTAGTGCGGCTAGCGTGCCAGCCACGCCACTGCGCGATAAATTAATCAGTCATCGCAGCGAGGACGTCATTGATCTGCTGGGCTGACTCGGGGAGCACAGTAAGTACGTAAGTACACCCCGAATTGTCTCAGCCACAACAATGTGCCCGGCACCTCGGGCAGTATTTCATTCCGCAGGGGTTGGTACAGCGTAACTCGAACAGCCAATAATCGTATGGCATGTGGACCCGCACGCTATGACAACTCGGAACACCGAGCGTCTGGTGTTAGTACTGCTATTGCGCCGTGACAAATACACCCCGATCGAAAGTGGCGCCCCACATTCGCGTCGAAAAGTGTACTGGTTCGAACTTGGCTCCTTTCGGTTCGGTGACCTTCAGACTGACACGCAGCCATGATCCGCACGGCATTTGGACAGAAAGCGGACTGTACGTCAGTCAGTCAGTGAGTCAGACAGAAAGGCAGGCAGGCAGCCAGCCGTCTGATTCCGAACACTGCTTCGTCACTGTCTCTCTCGCACCCCTGCGGACCACCCCATGAGTAAGAGAGAGACAGAGCCACGAAAGCAGTGCTCGGAATCAGACGGCAGGCAGTGCAGTGGGACGAAGACAGACGTGTTGGCGAGCGTCTTGGGCCGCGGCGGGTTGCCTCTGGTTGCCCATCGACCCCGGCGTGGGCGTGTGCCTCTGCTAGCTGGGGCCGGCCGGCCGGGCGGCTGGAGCGGGCTGTGCAAGGGTTACCCTACCCCTCGGCCGTTGGGTTAGCCTGGCCTGCATATTGAATGCGGATCACGAGATTGGCTTTGGTACTGTTGGCTCACCGGTGGTTGACGCCGGCCCGGATGGTCCTGGGCCCGTCGCTGGTGTGGTTGGCGCCGCAGGTGCGGTTCGCGCCGAGGAAGATGGAGGCCGCGTCCCTGGCCGAGAAGGACGCCTCCAGGATGGCGATGGTGGCCGCGCTGGAGGCGGCGCCGCCGTTGCCGCTCGCCTCGAGGGGGTCCGCCTCGGACGCGTGCTGCAGCGCGCCCTGCTTCGGCCGGACCAGCGGCGCGGCCGCGGCCACGGCGCCGTCGTTGTGGCGACAGCTGAGGCGGAAGGGCTGGTCAGGGCAGCCCCACTCCTCCATGATCTCTGCGGGCAGAGTGGACGCCAGTGAGGAGGGTCAAGCCAAGTCACGCACAGTGGGCCAGAAGACCGGTGGAGGCGGCCAAAACTGTGGACGCGTTTTGAGCTCCAGAGTCGCTAAACAGGACTCGAAGCGAGCGTGTGACCCCACCAATGGATTCCTCGTTCGGAGAGCAATCCATTGGTGGGGTCACACGTTCGGTTCGAGGCCTATTTAGCGACTCTAGAGCTCAAAATGCGTTTAGGGTTTTGGCCGCCTCCACTGGTCTTCTGGCCCACTGTGTCACGGAGCCGCGCCAAATCCTCGCCCTGAGTTATGGACATGCCCTCACCTATGTCGGCGACGCAGCCCCCCGCCAGCAAGGCCAGCAATATGGGCGTCCAGGGCGCCGCGCGGGCCGCCGGCATGGTGTGGGCGGCGGGGCGGCGTCACGGCGGCGTCAGCAGAGGGGGTGGGTCGCTTAGACGCTCGGAGCGCTCGGAGCGCGCCGCCGGCAGTGAGCTGCACTCGCGTCTGGGCCGCCGAGCCCGGCCAGCCCGCCCCCGGCGAACATGCTTCCTATGCGCGCTTCCTGCGAAACAAGAAGACAAGGAATCAAGAGAGTCAACTTTCGAGTCCCGGTCCTTGGTTCTCGGTGGCGGACGTCGCTGTTAGCAACTCGCCCGGCGACCCGCCCGGAGGAGACGCGACGGGAGGATAGCAGGTCGCCGCTTTAATTACCTTTCCCCATTAGCGGAGGGACGCATTGCCGTAAGAAAACATAAACACTTTGCATTTCCCTCTTAAATATTTACAAATTTCTCCGAAATTAGGTTAAAATAAAACGAAAATGGTGATAAGTAATGACCAATAATTGCTGAGCAATACTAGTAGAATTAAGATTGCCTACAAGTGCGCCTGCTAATGAGAAAAGGTCGGCAACAGGCTGGGGAGCGCTAGAGCGCTAGCATCCGGCTTACGCTGTGTGCACAGGGCTTCTCTTTCTCTCTCCCTCGCCTCTCCCGCCATGAAATCATTTTCCCGCCCTCGCTCCGCCATGGCTCCGCATCCCCTGCATAAATAAGCCAAAGCCTCGCCCCCGCCTCCCCCGACGCACAGTGGGCCAGCAGACCGGCGGAGGCGGCCAAAACTCCAGACGCGTTTTGAGCTCCACAGTCGCTAAACAGGACTCGAACCGAACCTGTGACCCCACCAATGGATTCCTCGTTCGGAGAGCAATCCATGGGTGGGGTCACACGTTCGGTTCGAGTCCCATTTAGCGACTCTGGAGCTCAAAACGCGTCCAGAGTTTTGGCCGCCTCCGCCGGTCTTCTGGCCCACTGTGCGACGGCCCGGACGGCCGGCTCGTCCGGTCGGCTCCCCGCTCGTCGGGAACGTTTTCATCGTCACCGCACCCACTTACCACCACGCAGTGCCACGGCACTGCCACGGCAGGGCCTCCCCGTCGATATCCTACCGAATGCGGCGGTAAAGGTTGAAGGTTCGAAGCGGTTTGGCGCATACGGGCCGCACCGCGCCGCCAAGCACCGCGCCGGCCCGAGGAGTGACGAGACTAACAAACTGGCGGAGACTGTAAAACCCGCCCGTATACCTACCGCGTGCCACCGCGGCGTGTGTGTGTGTGTGTGTGTGTGTGTGCGTGTGTGAGTTTGTGTGTGCGTGTGCGTGCACGCACGGGCGTGCCAACGCAGGCAACAGCCCAGCCAAGGAGGCGCTCACGTCTCCCGCAACTTTTACGAGCGCCGCGCCGTACATACTACAACGTACTCCACAGTCGCTTCTTCGACTGCGGTTCCCTACGGTTCCCCCGGCGGGGGATGGCCCCCATCAGGGCGCGCTTATCCACCTGCTGGTGGAGGCCTCGCGAGGGGCGAAAGAGAGTGAGAGTGAGAGTGAGAGAGAGAGAGAGAGAGAGAGAGAGAGAGAGAGAGAGAGAGGAGAGAGAGAGAGAGAGAGAGAGAGAGAGAGAGAGAGAGAGAGAGAGAGAGAGAGAGTCGTCTGGCAGCGAGACGCGCGCCTAGCCGAGCGGGGGCCGTGCTGGCCGTGCCGGCCGCGCGGAGCCCCGTGTGGGCGGGCCGTACCGTCGCGCTGGGCCGCGTCGCGGGCCTGCCTACCCGGCCGAGGCCGTAAGGGGCAACGGCGCAACCCGGCGGGCTGATGCCAGGCTGATGCCATCCAAACAGTGTGCCCTGTCTCTCTCGCACTGCTCGGCACCAGCCTCCGCACTACTACTGCTTCGCCTGCCGACCCGTGACGCACGGCGGCCGTTTGGGTGACCGCGTGGGAGCGAGGCAGCCAGATCGCCTCCAGGGATCGAGGACTCTACACTGCAGGGACATGGATGCCATTCGGGAGTAATGACGCGAGAGTGACGCGGCGCGCGGCGGGGTGGCCGACCATTGGCCAGCGGCACAGCGGCACAGCGGCCACAGCCAGGGACACATGTTTGCATACAAAAGGATGAGTGTATGACGCCTGATGACGCCACACATCACACACACACACACACACACACACACACACACACACCACACACACACACACACACACGTCGCGTGGCGCGCATTGAATGCCGCCGTTCTTGGCGCGCTGCAGGCCGTGCAGGCCGTGGTGCAGGCCGTGGTGCAGGCTGAGCCGGCCGGCCGCCCAGAGGGCCCAGAGGCGAGAGGAAGCAGAGCCCCACACTCCGCTGCGGCGATACCGCCAGACGGCCAGACGGCGGGTGCCGTGACCTTGCATCGCGAGCTCGACGCCAAAAGAAGAAAAAACATGAATTCATTCGTATAAACGGTCCGAGATGAAGTTTTCGCTCCCGGGGACAGGGGGCGTTTCCTTTTGAGGCTCCGCGTCTGGAAACGTGCTCCGCGTCCTGTAGCTTCCCGCCGACTATCCCTTCTCTCTCGCCACCGTGTACGGGACGCAGAGTGTCCAATCGGGCGGTTGGGAGCAACCGCTCGGTTTGTGCGCAAGAGAGACAGAAGATTCGGAACTAGCCGAGGCAGCCGAGGTGCATTCGGGCCGACTCTCGAACGGCTGCCGAACTCATGAGTGCGTCCGTCCCGCCGTCGTCAAATACGCAACGGTTGACGGGGAACCGCTCGGGCCTTCGGTTCGGTTCGGGTGTAACCGAACCGAAGCGGCCGGCGGGCGGTTCGGGTCTAACCGAAGGCATGGTCGGCGGTCGAACGGTTGCTACCAACCGCCCGATTGGACACTCTGACGGGACGCCCCGTGAGAGTGACGGTCCTTCCTGGCTGGGTGTGACACGCCGCACGGACCGGCCCGACGGACGCGGCAGGGCGCGGCAGGGCGCGGCAGGGCGCGGCCTCTCTTGGAACGCCCTGACGCTGCAGAGCACTGCGAAGTGAGTGCACGCGCTGCAACGTGCAGCACGAGTGCAGCACGCACTCCGTGCACTCCGTGTGGGCGTGAGCGGTTGGCCGCGAGGACGACTCCGCCACACTGTCGCAGCTTTCTGCCTGGACTGGTGGTGGCGACACTGCAAACGGATTCCGAGGGTCGCTTTCGCCGCTCCACAGTGGGCCAGAAGACCGGTGGAGGCGGCCAAAACTCTAGTCGCGTTTTGAGCTCCAGAGTCACTAAAAAGGGCTCGAACCGGACGTGTGACCCCACCAATGGATTGCTCTCCGAACGAGGAATCCATTGGTGGGGTCACACGTTCGGTTCGAGTCCCATTTAGCGACTCGGGAGCTGAGAGTTTTGGCCGCCTCCACCGGTCTTCTGGCCCACTGTGCGCTCTGTCTCTCTCGCTCGTTTTCATGGGGCGAGAGACAGAGCGACGATTCACAATCAGTCCACTGCGGGCCTTCCACCAGTTCGCCGCTCTGCGACAAGGGAATCCCCACCGCGGATGCCGGAAGCGTCCTCAATAATTCCGCGAGGAAACGGACTCCAATCAGCGCCGGGGCGTTCTAAGGAGATCCCCGCAGACTCCCACCCCCCTTTGTGTTGTTTCAATTTCCGGGGCGGGGGTGGGGTGGGGGGAGGGGGGAGCAGCGCCGAGGTGGTGGATTTTACAAGTAAGTATTGCGCCACGGGGGAAATCTAGGGAGGCGCCGGGCGAGGCGAAAACCGCGACGCCTCGCCCCGCCCCGCCCCGCCCATTACAGTAGCAGTGGAAGCACCTGCCGACGGGGCCCGGGGGCGGCTGGGGGCGGCTGGGGGCGGCCGGGGGGCGGCCGGGGGCGGCAGCCGTGCGTTTGGCACCGCGTCATCGCCTGGGGCGACTGTGGCAGCTGGAGAGGCGGGAAGGCAGGCGGCACGATGCGATGCACCTTTTCATCCGTTGCAGTGTGCACCCCTCGAGCGCAGCGACCTTCTTGCGCCCTTGCGCCCTCTCCGCTCTTCTCTCTCTCTCTCTCTCTCTCTCTCTCTCTCTCTCTCTCTCTCTCTCTCTCTCTCTCTCTCTCTCTCTCTCTCTCTCTCTCTTTGCCGAGTCCGAATCATCCCTCTGTGCCGAGCGGGCCGTGTCGTCCGTGGCTCGAATAATTGGCTCCAGCAGACCCATCCGCCACCCCGCCCCGCCCCGCCCGCCCGCCCCGCCCCGCCGCAAAGCAGACCGCCACCGCCGCCGAGCGCGGTCTGCAGACCGCCGCGCCGCCGCCACACTCGCCACCACTTCTCGGTGCAGCCAACACACTGCCAGCACTGCCAGCACACCACAACGCCGCGGCCGCCGCCCCGCCGCACTACATACTCCCATAAACACCAACTTCATATTACAGTGGCGAGGGCGGCGGCTCGCGTGGCGTCGGTCCGACGACGTGTATTGGGCGCGTGGCACGGCACGCCAGGCCACGGCCACGGCACGGCCACGCAACTTGCACGCGAAAATAAAAGCGCACAATGGGGCAGTGCCGGGGCAGGCAGTGGGGGAGGGGGAGGGGGATGCTGGGAATGAATGTCATCGCGTTCCAGCGTCCCGTCCCCCCGCTGCTCCATTTGCGCGATTTGCACCCCCTGCCCTGCTGGTGTGTTTGCCCTCCCCCCTCCCCCCCCCCCCCCCTCCCCCCGCGCCGCGGTACGCGCTCATTGTGACAAATCTAGCCCGAGTCATTTTATCTTAATTTCGGCCGCGAGCGGCGCGCGGGGCCGATTCCGTGCGGACTGTCTCTCTCGCACCCCTGCGCAACGCCCCGTGAGAGAGAGAGAGAGAGAGAGAGAGAGAGAGAGAGAGCAATCAGTCCGCTGACCGAAGAGCGTCGCGTAATGAAGCCGATGGCGCGTGTCGTCTGTCTCTTGGCGCGCCTTTTGTTACAGTGTGGTGGTCCGCGGGGTCGACGGCGACCTGGTCAGTTTAATGTCCGTCCCATTTTAAACTATGGCGGTCCGTTCCCCCGGCGCTGCAGCGCGTTGTCGCGGGCTGCGGCCCGGCCATGCGTTCTCGGGCTCCTCGGTCTCGTCCTGAATCGCTGTCGTGTGTGGTGTGTGTCAGCCGAGCGTAAACTGCCAACCCTTTCAAAAAAATAAAAAAAATTAAAAAATTACAGTTTATCTTAGTATTTTTTATAGAATTTATAATGGAGAGACGTTTCCTTCGTTTCAAAAGAAAAGAGGAAATTTTTTTTGGAAAAGTACCTTTAACAGTCATCTTAAAGTTTTAACAGTCATCTTAACGTTTGTCGGCGCAGTAACGCAATTAAATTAGATGAATGATCCAGCGTGTTCGCATTTTGCATGTTGCACCCCGAACCAACGTGTTTATGTGTCTTTCCCCCAAAGTATCCCATCCCAACCCCCGCTCGCGCCTGAAAACCGTGAGCGTGAGCTGCTAAACGCTTGTGCGCGTTGAGTTCCAGGCTCGGCCTCACCGTGCCGTGGTGGCACCCCTGACGGCCAGCGTGCCGTTGACGGGGCAATCACTGCAGTGTACATAATGCACAGCATTGTACAAACAGCGACAGCAACGGGGTCAATACGGCGACGGAGAGGCGCTGCCGCTCTGGACCCCAAGATTGGCCAACTCAATTCGCCTGGTGCCGCCGCACAGCGCCGCATTCCTCTTAATCCGTTTACTTTAGTCTTTCCTCCCCCTCCTTTTTTCCTTCTCTCTCTCTCTCTCTCTCTCTCTCTCTCTCTCTCTCTCTCTCTCTCTCTCTCTCTCTCTCTCTCTCTCTCTCTCTCTCTCTCTCTCTCTCTCATTCTCCTCTCCACCCGCCAGATGCATTTTCGCGGCGGCCGTGCTGCTGAATTTCCGGTCACGACGACATGTGGCCCGCGGCCCAAAAACCACTCGTTGGCTGATTTTGTTTTGTTTTTGTTTTGTTTTTTTGTCGGGGCTGCGGGGATTTCGCTGCCTCTCGGCGTGGAGAGCCCTGCCGAGCCATTCGGGGGCCATTAGCGCTGCGGTCTCCCGGTCTCTCCCGGCCTCTCTAAAGCAAAGCAGAGCGTCGTGTCGAGCGCCTCTCTGTTCGATTTATCGCGTGTTGTTGTGGTCGTTGTTGTTGTTGTTGTCGTTGCAGTGGCGAGGCGGCCCAGGATTTCGGCGGCTGAGCACTACAATGCGGGGAGCGCACAGTGCCGAGAAAGCTAAAATTCGAGAGCATGAGTCCAAATTGGCTCGAATTTAGTGGACTTTTCCGTTTTGTCGATCTCAGTCTAGTATTTTGTAATAAGTATAAGATTTTAATAAATTGGTATACCGCGTTGTGTGTGAGTGTGTGTGTGCTGCGCTTTCTAACCGTTTCTAACAGAGCAGGGCGGTGGCGGTGGCACGACAAAGACCGTGGTGACAAACGGCCGATGGCCCAGGCAGCCTAGGGCAGCCCAGAGCAGCCCAGAGCGTCCCCCAGCGGCCCCTAGTCCCTAGATCGGCGCCGCCAAGACACTTTTCCGACACAATTTACGATTCAAGGGCCCAGCTGGGGCAGGCCCGGGGCACGCCGGGACGGAGCCCGTCAACTTACAAGCATCGTTTCGCGCGTAAAGTCGATTTTAGAATTGGATTGTGCTCCCCCCCCCTGACTCCACCCCGCTCGTCGCGTGTGCGTGTTGCGGCTGTTGTCGCCTCCGCCGAAAGTTGCTCGGAATTCGGCTCTTTGATCCGAGAGAGGCGGGGCGGCCGAGTCCGAGCGACCCCGCGAGCGCGAGAGGGACGGGGCACAGTGTGCTAGAAGACCGGTGGAGGCGGCCAAAACTCCAGACGCGTTTTAAGCTCCAGAGTCGCTAAGCGGGACTCGAACCGCACGTGTGACCCCACCAATGGATTCCTCGTTCGGAGAGCAATCCATTGGTGGGGTCACACCTTCGGTTTGAGGCCCATTTAGCGACTCTGGAGCTCAAAACGCGTCTAGAGTTTTGGCCGCCTCCACCGGTCTTCTGGCCCACTGTGCGGGGCGACGAAAGCGCCGGTCTCGTCGGCGCCGCCACGCGTGTTTTGGCGCCGTTAGTGTGGAGTTACGCATCAGTGTAGGCCAGGCCTCCGCCACTCCGCCGCCGCTACACCGTCTTGGCCTTCTCGTCAGTCTCATTTCGACCGCTACACTAGTAGTCAGAGCGGCGAAGGGAGGGAAGTCCAATCAATGGCAGTCCGTCATGCCGGCGAGTCGGCGCCCCAATGACTGACTCTGTCTCTCTCGCACTCGTGGGGCGGGCCGTCGGGCGCGTCCGGGTGCGAGAGAGACGGCGCCACGGCAGGTGGAGAACCGCCCCGCCGCCGCGACGAAGAAAATGTCAAAGGACACTTGCCGGCGCCGCCAAGGACGAACAATCCCACGCGCCTACGGTGTGCCTACAGTGCTACACTCGAAGATCGAAGTGCGGTCTCGACTCCAGGTATCGCAGCTGTCACGAGCGCCACGCGGCACACGCGAGCTTCAACCACGTGACCATTGAGCACCATGCCAACCGCGATAACTAAAATTTAGTTGACTTTCTTCGTAATGTCACGCACCGCTTAGATAAAGGACTTCCCTACTGTCAACTTAACTAACATTTCGTTTTCGACGAAACATTTTCATTTTGACAGTGGACTCACAGTGAACGCGTCGCCGCCGCCGATGTCGTCGACGGCGTCCTGGAGGGCGTCCTGGAGGGCGTCCTGGAGGGCGAGGGCGGCACCGCGTGCTGCTCGGCGTGCTGGCTGGCGGCGTGCGGCGAGGACGGCGAGCACGGCGAGGGCGAGGACACTCGGTGTTTCCCGGCGGACCCCTGGCTCTGCACTGAGCGGAGCCATGGCGGGCCGGGCCGGCGCAAGGCTGGCGGTGCTGCGGGCCGCGCCGCCGGGAGGGGCACGAGCTGGCACACTGGCACGCCTGGCACGAGCCACGCGGAGGGGAGGGGGAGGGGGCGGCCCGGGGGTGTCGGCCGGGACAACGTCGGATGCAGCGTGACCTGGAAAAGTGCAACGCGGATCCACCGCACCGACCCTTCATTTATTAACGCAATCGACCGGACTTTTGCGTTGGTGCGGAGGCGGGCGGCAACAGCGAGTCCTGCTCGAAAATAGTCGCCGTGTTTTTGACGATGAGCACTCGATTAGTATTTCGTCTCTCTCTCTCTCTCTCTCTCTCTCTCTCTCTCTCTCTCTCTCTCTCTCTCTCTCTCTCTCTCTATCTCTCTCTCTCCCTCCCTTACTTTCCAGGATTTCGTCATGAAAGGACAGCAATTCTTCACAGTGCTCCCCAGCGCCTCTGAGCTTGAACTTGAAAACGCTCCCGCTCTCCCAGAAAAAGGGTGTTCTTTTCCTGGCCGTCGGAAGGGCCTCGGGCACTGTCGGACCGCGTACCGAGAGAGGGTGAGCAGGGACCCCTACGCCCCCCGCCCCGCCCCGCCCCGCCCCGGCCCGCCACTCCGAGTGCGCGCCAGCACATTAAAGTGTGGTACACCGGCCCGATGCCACTTTGTAGTACCGAGTTCCCGATCCGTTTCGGACGGAAGCTGGGGCTTCCCGGCAAAACAACAAACAGAAGGCCGCGGCGGGGGTGGCAGGCTGTGTTTGCACACGGCCGGCCGGGGCGGCGGAGCGCGTGCGAGGGAGAGAGAGAGAGACAGAGGGAGGGAGGCGTGGTCCTGTTTGGCGGCTGAGCTAATCGCCATGCTGCGTCACTCTGCACGTTAGTATCACGTCCCCATACACTGACAGAAAAAAGTCGGCATCGAACGCGAGAATTTTAGCACGACCGAGTATGTCACTTTTCTGATGTGTTCTCTCCATGCCAAGTTAGGTCCATTTAGCCGTGGCCGGAAATCGAACCCTCGCTGAAACCGACCCTAGCTTCCAAATAAGATAGCCCTTTACTCTTACAGAAAAATTCTCAGGCACCAAATAGTGGGGAAGGAGCCTCTCGTTTTGACTGTCACCTCCCTCGGAAGAATAGTTCTGGCTGAATTTCTGCCTTTTGTTTCGGCATACGTTCGCTACACCGCTCATACGCGCTCATAGGCGCCGAACGGACTCCCGAAACGAACTTGAGGCATTCGTTCAGAAAGCGCCTGTGAATCGTGAGATAGGTGTCCACGCGAGACATCCCAGGTCGACGGGCCTGCCTACCGCTCAGGCGCCAGCCACTCTGGTGTCCAATTTCTCATACTGCCGCACTGGAATAGCAATCCGAATGTGTGTGCATCTGTAAATAGCACGCAGGACAGCTAAACGCAGTAAAACCATTCATTTTTAAGCAAAACATTGACAGTCGGTCTGGATGAGCAGTGGAAAGTAAAGAGACAGATAAAATGAATTAAAATACTTCATTTTCACAGCAGAGCGGCGGATGTCGCGTTTCAGCTTCGAAACGACCGAGGTTCCTCGGCTTGCGTCGGCTTGCGTCAGACACCACGTGACTGCGCTATTCACAGTGTCGTCTGCTTGCGGGGAGGAAGAGAAGAGAAGGGAGAGAGAGGAGTGAGAAGTGAGAAGCGGAGTGGACTAGCGTGGTGCCTGGAACCGTGCGAAAGAACCTTTGAACTCGAGGTTTAACAGTTTTCACCAGCAGGAAGCACAATCACCACAGGTAAAGAGACGGGTCCCGGTGTCCTCGCTCGCGAGGGGTCACCGCGTCCCTGTTGCCGGACGCGTTTTTCTGCTGCCACTGAAGCAGGGTGCTGGGCGTTGCGCTGCGCTGCGCCGGCCCCCATGCTGGTGCAATCCCACAGAATGTTATGGCAGAGGCCCTTCATTTTGTCGGGGCTCCCCGGCAGGCGCTGTCTGCACCTTGCCTCGCGGCAGTGCCCCCTTTTCGAGTGCTGGCCGCCTCCCTTGGCCCTGCCTTGGCAGTGTGCGGGACGCGGCCCCGCTAGCACTGTGCCCGACAATAACCTTGCACTCGACACCCGTCTCGGTGCGCTGCTCCGCTCTGGGTGTCAATGAATGGAACCGTCTGCCCGGTGCTTTCGTGAGCCGTTTCGCCACTTCTGCGTCCCGGGTGGGCATTGCCTGTCGGTCGAGCTCGACGTTCATCCTGCCATGATATTTGAGGGATTTACGTTGACACTCATTTGCAACGCTTCGTTACCATTTCGTGGTTTATGAAAGGAAAAAAGCTCGGAGCAATACAGAATAAAAACAATTTTAATCACTAGAATACTATTTTTCGAACGATTGGATCAAGGTTTGTTTTCTTTTCCGCAGAACATGGCACAGACATTTGTTCGAATGAGCCAGTTGGGTCTGGGCTTGGCCACAGCTGGGGCAATTGTCAATTCAGCATTGTTCAATGGTAACGTATCTCTCTTTTTAAAACCTTGTTTTTTCCAAATAGTTGTTTCAAAAAATTGACTGGTTTGCAAATTTATACATGTTATCTTTTAATTTACATTTTCAGTTGATGGAGGTTTCCGAGCAGTTATCTTTGATAGGTTTAAGGGTGTCAAACAAGAAGTTGTTGGAGAGGGTACGCACTTCTTTGTTCCATGGGTTCAGCGCCCCATTTTATTTGACATCCGTAGTAGAGCTAGGAATGTACCTGTTGTAACTGGCAGCAAAGGTAATTTCTATTTGTGTTTTCATCTTAACTTTGTATTACCATTTACTTTGAGTATGAATTTATCTTATCTTTTCTTTTCCTGTTTTAAGATTTACAGAATGTCAACATTACACTCCGAATCCTGTTCCGACCCGTGCCGAAGGAGCTTCCACGTATCTATACCATTCTGGGAGAAGATTACACTGAGCGTGTTCTTCCATCCATCACCACTGAAGTTTTAAAGGCTGTTGTGGTGAGTTTATTTCTTTATTCCAGATTTTCTTAAAATGGAAGCAAGTTATAACTAATACCACATGTTATAATTTTTACCTACAGGCTCAGTTTGATGCTGGAGAACTTATCACCCAGAGAGAATTAGTCTCACAAAAGGTTACCGATGATCTCATGGAGAGAGCCTCTCAGTTTGGAGTGATCCTGGATGACATCTCAATTGTAAGTTTGCGACTTGTCCACTTCTTCATTGTGATGCCGATGAACGCAATTTTAATGTGAGTCATGCTTTTCAGACACATCTTACCTTCGGCAAAGAGTTCACTCAGGCTGTTGAGTTGAAACAAGTTGCCCAGCAGGAGGCCGAGAGGGCACGATTCCTTGTAGAAAAGGTAAATGGCTGTTTCTGACTTCATTTGGTGTTGGTTGATGTAAACAAGGTGAGCAGTTGACTCAATTTTTTTTTTTCCTTGGGCAGGCTGAACAACAAAAGAGAGCAGCTGTTATTACAGCTGAAGGTGATGCCCAAGCTGCTGTGCTGCTGGCCAAGTCCTTTGGTGATGCAGGTGAAGGTTTAGTTGAGCTTAGAAGAATTGAAGCTGCAGAGGACATTGCATACCAACTATCTAGGTCAAGACAAGTGTCTTACCTTCCTACAGGCCAGAGTGTCTTGCTCAACCTGCCTGCCCAGTAAACACGTTAGAATAGTTTGAGAAATTTCCACTTGGCAAGAATTAGATGGTGACACTAGACTTCTGTTTGATTCACTGTTTGTTGTACACCAGGACCTAATTACTGAGCCTTGAAATAACATTTGATGTGGAATTCACACGTGTGTGTGCTCTGTTAATTCTGTCAGTTCTGACTTGTTACAAAAAAACAGCTGTTTTGAAAATTGTTGTGCCTCTTGCAAACCCTGATTAATATCCAACATGAATCATTTATTATGGGTGGAAGAGTTATTAATGCTGTCATTTACTTGTTCAAGATATGTATATTTGTCTGTTTAGTTGTGTTCTTTCATTCAAACTGAGGCTTTGTTCTGACATTGCCAATTTAAAACTGAAGCCACCCTAGTTTTCTTTTACCACTACCTTCTGTGCTTTTTTGTAAAATTTAGTATCTTGATGCATTTTATGAGTTCTCCTCTCAAGGTGCTGACTGTTTTTCTTTAGTGTCAAATGCCATGCTGTTTTTCATTTTATATTCTCATTTTGTAATGATTTAGTCCAAATTGTTTGTTGACTCTCTCGGTTGACAGCAGTTATATTTGACAATACATGTATGAAAAACAATGTTATCATTGAAATTTATTTCCTTTCCTCTGGTTACACTAAGCCCAAAGGGACAGGGTTCAAATCACACTACTACCACACAAGTACCATAACTTCTTTCAATGTGGCCTCAAGTTTCATTATTCCAAAAAAATAAAACTGCTCTCAAGGATATAACAAGCACTTCTTGGGAGCCACTAAAACCAAGCTGGGAAATGTCAGCCAGCACTAAAATCTTACTTGCCAGAAAATAGTTAAAAGCAACCACCCCAAACAACTTTTCACCTGGACCTGGCCTGCCAAAAATAGAGATACATCTGCCTTCAAATGATTGACTTCAACATTCTCATCTGAAATGACTTACAAAGAGTATTTGATAAAAACAAGAAGAAAATGATAACCAATTTGATGGTATTAGTATTAAGATTGAGTAAAATCTAAAATAAATTATGTGTTTGCACACGGTAACAATTAAATAACTGCAGTTCCCCATAAGAAAATCTCACTCCCCCTCATTTGCTAGAGATTTATCATTGACCGATCCTACTAGATAGAAATTGATGGCAAGAATTTTTGTTAAGTTGTCTAATTCTGTTATCAAAATTTTTAACAAAGAATCCTCTAAAATATTGATCAGAATAAATTTAGAAACCTACTACAGATTCAAAACTAGAAGATAATATCATTGGAAATCTTTGTTTTTCTTTTTGTACACAAAACTACTCTGTCCAGAAATAACTTTAACAATAAATATAATAAATAACAGAGTCATTTCACAGAAATTTCATTCAGACCTTGAAGGATAAAGGATAATGTTGACTTTCAATTAGACAAATTTAATTTGAAAGCAAAAATGATATAAGGAAGTTAGTCTTCTACATTTGTGTGGAGTGACAAGGGCCCTCAAGTGGTCCACGCAAAGCAGTAGCCTATCTTCATTATCGTCTGCGTTCTGATTTCTGAGTCTTGCGTTTTTCTTTCTTCTCAGCTTGTTGCTGTTTTTGTTTCTCCCTGAAGGATAAAAAACGCATAAACTAAAAACTAGTTTCTTTCACTGATTTCAAAAATTTGAGATGACTAAGCTAGAGCAAATTGAAATACTTTGCTCTCTTGATGGGTAAAGCATACCTATCCTCTTTGTCTTTTTCTTTCTTCTTATGACTGTCAAGCCTGGCTTGTTCTCGTCTCTCTTTCTCAGCTTGCTGGATTGATGAAAAATTTGTATTTTTTTCCAAGCCAGCGTCATGATCATCCTCTTCATCTAGGAATTCGGCCTCTTCTTGAACTTGGATCTGATATAAGGAAATGAAACAGTGACAGAATTGGCGGCATCAAAAATAAAAGTTCATAAGTTTCACAAGAGTTACATACTTGACTATATTGAGCAAGAATGGCTTCGCGGACTCGTCTTTCTTCCTCGGTGTATTGTCTTTGCTGAACAGTTTGTAACGTTTGAGATTCTAATAATTTAACAAGTTTATTTTCAACATCGATTTCCTCAGTGCTATCTTTTGTGCGCTGTGAACTTTCAGTTTTCTGCCAATGGTCGAGGATTTCTTTACAGATCTCTGCTATATCGCTTTCCTGTCAAAAGCAAGCAAAGAATTAGTCAACCAAGTACGTAACAAATCGTATAGAGCAAATAAATTACAGGCCACAGAATATTGGTTTTAAATGGAAAACAAAACAGTATGGGCTACTGCAATTGCAATAACAAGCATGCTGCCAAAAGGAGACAAAATGTTCCAGAGAAAAGACCCATGGGGGACCACAAACTGTCTCGGGGTGAGTACTTACAGTGATTTCAGAGATAATATCTTGTAGCGCTTCAGCCTTCTCGTCATTGCTGTCGTCCCCATTCAGAATTCCTTTGATGTACGAGCCAAACACTCCCTCGTCTGTGTTTAGGTCCCTCAGCTTGCCACCCAGCCACACGTCGAACTCGATCTCGCAAGGGTCCGCAGCCATAGCGGCCATCCTGACACCGACTGCACTGGCACCTGGAAACGCCGTCGGTCCTTTCCTTGAGCGTGTTCGCTGTTAGGCGACGTCGGCTTGAGGAAACTGGCAAAATCCAGATGATTTCATGGACAGCAGTGAAGGTGAGCAGAACAGCCAGGCGGCCATGCCCCTGCCCGTCGTGACTCAAGGAGCGCCGAGCCGTATGAGAATTTACGCGCTCGGAGCATTCCGCCTCGAACGCGCTATGCTTGAACCGGGCCGCCTCCGGGATCTCCTCTTCGAAGGTGGCATTTTCCCGCTAAACAAGAGTGTCAACATGTTGCTGTGGTTCAGACGCAAACATTTACGTTTTTTCTTGACTGTGGGGTTCGATTCAAGCGCTGCCAGTCCTTACTTCGTTTAATTTTCCTCCTTGTTGGTTCGTGGAACGCCCTGCCGCGTGGTTTCTGACGTAAGGTCTCGTGCGGTTATCGGCCCAATCGAAAGCAATTTTCAGAGAGCCATTTTTCTGGCCTGGAAATTCAGGATTGCGTCACGACTTATCATTTTGATTCTATCGATGCAAAACAAAAAGGCACGACAAGGGCGGTGCTAACTAGCGCTAAGCAGGCGGATGTCCGGATCGGCGGCGCGGGCGGCGCGGGGCCTGTGTCAGTGCTGTCCGCCTGTGTCTCGGTACGGCTAGAGGCCCAGCCGATCAGAGTCCGCGCGAGCCATGGCGCGAGCCGAGTGGCTGCCGAACATGTGCCGCGGAGCCGAAGCCAGCCGAATGCAGCGAATCCCGAGGTCCCGAGCTGATGAGCGTGTTGGTTGAAATTCCTGTATTGGGACAGCCGCTCCACGCCTCGCCTCGCCTCGCGCCACTCGCGCCGGCCGCGGTCCCGTCGGTCCCGGACTCCCAGTCGCCGCGACGGTCCCGCGCAGACCCGCGAACAGAGCCCGCGGCCAAGTACCCCGCCGTTTAGCACCAGCGACGCCGCGGCCGCTCGCGGGGACCCTAGGCCTGCCGTAGGCATCCGCAGGGGACCGGCGGCATGGCGGACACCAGGAACTGGCGGTACAGCGGCGTCCCGACCGGGGACGCGCATCCGGCAGCTCGTCCTGGAGCAGGTAAGGCTGGCCGCGGTGCTCTCCAGCAGGACGACGACGGCGTCCTCGCGGCGCTGTTGGAGTTGGCGCTGCTGATGTAATGGTGTCTGGTTTTGGCGCTGTGCGCGTTTACACCGTTGCGTCATGAATTATTCAACGTTCTCGCGGTTCGCGACTGCCGAAAGGAATGGCACTGTTTGGCCCGGCGCGCGGGGCGTGCTCGCCGTGCTCGCTCACGACGAACACCAAGAAGCGCGTCCGGCTGCAGGCACCGAGTCTGCGCCGCCGAGGTACCCAAGGTCTCGTGCGATACGCGGTGCCGTTCTGCAGTTCTGTGCCGCCGATATCGTTGGCCTTGGCCCTGAACGGCCGCCACCGTTTTCAGTTTGGCGTGACGGACGGTAACACGCTCGCTTTGTTGGCAGATGACGGCCCGGAGGACGAGCGCGTGCCGCTCCACGTCGGCGATGGCGTCGTCACCATCCTGCCCGCCGCGGCCAAGGCCGACGTCAAGGCGGACCCCCTGGCCTCGCCCCTGGCGCTGGACGTGCTCCCCGTGGAGGCGGCCGCGGTGGCCGGCAAGGTGGCCGGCAAGGTGAAGGGCTTCTCGCAGCGCCGCCAGTACCTGGCGTGCTGCGCGGTGCAGGCCCTCAGCGTCATGGGCGGCGTCTGCATCGCCTACAGCTCCTCCCTCATCGCCGCCCTGATGGCGGACGACAGCGAGCTGCCCGTCAGCACGCAGCAGAGCGCCTGGATAGGTAAGCTCGCTGGCGACACGCGTCACGGCGTCACGCCTTTCTCCACTGATAGTCCCTTTCTTTTCCTTTTGCTTTATCCGCCGCCTTGTTATCATGTCACCATGTCGCGCCGCGGACACTGCGGACTCCGCGCCACCTCCCGCGACGCCGCAACGGCCCGAACCATTTTGCAAACCTCACCGCGACCTAGGCCGGCCGCGTGCCGATATCCTACTACCGCCTGACTCCGGAGGGTCGCCTCGTCGCTCTGTCTCTCTCGCACTCCTGCGGGACGCCCCACGAGTGCGAGAGAGACAGAGCGACGGGCCAATCCTTCGGAATCAGGCGGCCGATACGCTATCGATGACGTGATCCTGGCGATTACGCTCCGGCCGTGACGACGGACGACTCATTAAGGCCTAGCCTAAGCCTTTTCGCCTAGTTGCAATTTTGGAGCCGGCTGTTGGAGTGTTGGACCATTTGGCGCCCACACTGACTGCAGCGCACTGCGCGCGCGGGCCGCCAATTCTTTGTTATCGAACTCGGGTTGGATGACCCAGGCCGGCGGCAGACTCGACTGGCCCGATCATCGGGTTCGTTCCGGTTACGTTGACGCCGCCGCCCTCTGTCTGTTGCAGCCAGCGTGCTGGTGCTGGCCGTGCCCGTGGGGGCCATGGTGTCGCTGGCCCTGGGCAACGTGCTGGGCAGGCTGACCCTGGTGCGCGCCATGGCGCTGCCCTACTGCGCGGGCTGGGCATTCATCGCCACTGCCAACTCGGTGCCGCAGCTCCTCCTCGGCCGCCTGCTGCTAGGGGTGGCGCTCGGTGCGTAGTCCGACCGCGGTGGCGGTGCCGGAGTCCGTCATCCTGGAGGTCGGCGTCGGCAGTGACGGAGCACCGCCTTGGTTGCAGGTCTGAGCCACAGCCCGCTGCTGCTGTACGTGTCCGAGGTCGCCGACAAGAACATCCGCGGCGGCCTGAGCGCCATCGGCACGGCCTTGGCGTCCTTGGGTAAGCCCCCCGTCAGCATGCCGTCGGCGGCCGTCGGCCACGTGCGGTGCTTCGCCTGGTCCGCGCGGCCCGCGGTCGTCGCGCCCCTCATGATCGCTTTAATTGGTCAGCGGAACGCCAACGCCTCAGGCGGGGCGGCCGGCACGCCGTCAGCCTCGGCAGCCTCGGCGTCAGCTGACGCGGCCGCGGCCAATGCGGCAGAACGCAGTACAGTTCCTTAGAGACATGTCCCGGCGGCGCGGTGGCGGCGCGGGGCCGTCTGGTCCGGTCCTCTGGTCTGGCCTGCAGATAAACTGCTTGTTGTGACAGGCGTGCTGCTGTGCTACGTCATGGGGGCCGTGATGCACTGGCGGACGCACGCCTGGGCCAACTGCGCCCTCCCCGTCGTCCCCATCCTGGCCATCCAGCTGGTGTGCACCGAGAGCCCCGTGTGGCTGCGCGCGCGGGGGCGGCTGGAGGCGGCCGCCAAGGCCTCCGCCTTCCTGTACAACGACCCGGACAAGGTAGGTCGCGGCGGTGGTGGCTCAACAAGTAGCGTCCCAGTCACGGCCTCACGGATTCGGAACCCCAACAGGTGGTGTCAGTGCCCAGCAAGCCCAGCAAGCCGGCGACAGAGGGCAAGCCGGACAAGGCTGTCAACCCGTGGAAGATGCTGTTCACCGACCCCATGGCCTACAAGCCCCTCATCATCGTCAACCTCCTCTTCATCATCCAGCAACTCGTCGGCATCTACATCACCATCTACTTCGCCGTGCCGCTCTTCCAGGTATGGTAACTTTTCCCCCGCCAATTCTTTGCTGTTGCCGACGTCGTCCTCACGGTGTTACTCTCCGCAGAAAACGGGTAGCACGATCGACCCCTACCTCACGTCCATCCTGATCGGCGTGGTGCGCGTGGTGGGCTGCACGGCGGTGTCGCTGGTCATGGCGCGCCTGGGCAGGCGGCCCCTCATGATCGTATCGTCGCTGGGACAGGCCGTGTCCATGGCGGCCTCGGGGACCGCGACGTACTTCATCTTGCGAGGCGAGCTAACACCCTCCAACCCTTTGCAACTCCGCTGACACCTCTCCTTTGGCTCCTCTCCGACCCTTTGCCCCTCCGACCCTTTTCCCCTCCGACCCTTTGCCCCTCCGACCCTTTGCCCCTCCGACCCTTTGCCCTCCCGACCCTTTGCCCCTCCGACCCTTTTCCCCTCCGACCCTTTGCCCTCCCGACCCTTTGCCCCTCCGACCCTTTGCCCCTCCGACGTTGACCCCTGTCCGACCCTTCGCAGGCGACGCCGTGTCCTCGTACTGGGTGGTCGGCGGCGTGCTGGGCTACATCGCGTTCGGCTGCCTGGGCTGGCAGGCGGTGCCGTGGTGCATGATGGCGGAGGTGTTCCCGCACGAGGTGCGCAGCCTGGCGCAGCCCCTCAACTCCAGCACCGCGCACATCTACATGTTCCTCATGCTGCAGCTGTACCCCACGCTGCAAGATCTCCTGGGTGAGTGGATTGAGCGCGGCAGCAGTAGCGCCTGCGAGGTGGGCCCGCCCGTTACGCTCGGGAGCGCGGCGGGCCTGCCTACCTAGGAGGGGCGCTGGACCGCCTGCGAGGTGGGCCGCACGCACACGCCGGTGTGCCGCGGGCCTGCCTACTCGCACGGCGCTCTGCCTGCCACTAAGCCTCTCTCTGTCTCTCTCTGCCCCCAGGCGGCGCTGCGGGCATCCAGCTCCTGTTCGCCGTGGCCTCCCTGCTGTCCGCGGTGTTCGTGTGGGTGCTGCTGCCGGAGACGCGCGGCCGCACGCTGGGCGAGATCGAGCAGTACTTCCGCGACAACGACACATTCCTGCAGGAGAAGCGGCGCAAGCGCGCTCTCAAGGCGTAATCTCTACTCATTGTACAGTTAGGTTTAATGAACGTAAGTTAAGGAAGGCGGGCGTCTTTATTGCTACTTGGTGGCGTACTCCTTGCCGATGGCGATCACGTCCACCTCGGGGCGCACCTTGTCGAAGAGGTGCGGGAAGGCGCCCTCGGCGCCGTACTTGGCGCGGACCTCCTCGTACAGCGCCAGGTCGAACATGGCCTCGAACTCGTCGCGCGTCATGAAGATGTCGGCGTACAGGAAGGCGAAGCCGCCCACGCCGCGCGTGAACTTCTCCATGGCGCGCATGGCGTCCACCGGGTCGTAGGGCTCGCGCCGCTTCACCTGGCGAACGCGAACAAGGGACAGGTGATCGGGTTCCGGTCAAAGTTTCGGGTCGGCGTTGACTCGTCGGTGTTTACCTTGCCGGGGACGCCGTAGATGCCCAGGTCGTTGTACATGGCGTAGTCGGTGCCGGGCACGAGGTGCTTCGCCGGCGGCCGGCGCAGCTGCCCGGACTTGGGGCCGCGGTCGTAGACGCGGCACGGGTACACGAGCAGCGGGTACGAGTCGAACAGCTCCTCGCTCGTGTCCACCTGCCGCTCCAGGTCGTTGATGGGCAGCACGATGTCTTGGAACACCTGCGAGAGACAGACCAGAGAGACGCCAAGATGACGGTCGGGGACTTCGGCGTGCTTGCGTTGGCTTCGCCGGGCTTGGCCGGGCTTGGCCGGGCTTCGCCGTCCTGACCTGCTTGGCGAAGGTGAGCGCGCGGATGCCGGGCGTGGTGGTGAACTTGAGGAAGGCGGGCTTGGGCGGCAGCAGCCAGCCGAACAGCAGGCGGAACAGGGGGTGGTTGCCGTTGGGCAGCATGTCCTCCACGACCCAGAAGATGGCGCGGTTGTGGCGCAGCAGGTACTCGCGCATGGGCACCAGCTCCTCGTGGGGCCGGCCCGACCGCATGATGCTCTCCACGTACTTGTACCACCAGGGCTTGTACCTAGGGCCAGGGCACGGCGTCAAGGCTGGCGGTCACGGTGCAAACCGCGGTGAACTTGTCATTCGGCTCACCATGCGGTGATGTGGTTGACCGGCACCCCTGGTTCGCCGTCGCTGAAGTCGCCCAGCATGACGACGGCCTCGTCCTTGCTGAAGATGGTGGCCTCCACGAAGTCGGGCACGGCCACGGCCTCCTTGGGGCCCAGCGCGCCGGAGTACTTGCGCACGGCGTCGCAGTACGCGCGCTGGCCGCGCACGGGGAGGTACCTGCCACAGCCGCGGAGTCCCGAGTTCAACCCCCAACCATTGGTTTCCTGTGCGCGCGGCGGGTTCGGACTCACCTCAGCTTGACGTAGGGCTTGACCTTGACGAGCTTGAGCTCGAGGGCGGTGAGGAAGGCGAGGGAGCCGTGGGACCAGGGCAGCGCCTTGAACAGGTCGGCGTGCTGGTTGTCGCGGGTGGCGCGCACCACGCTGCCGTCCGCCACCACCACCTCGTACGCCTCGATGGTCTCGTGGTACAGGCCCACCTTGTGCGAGTGCGTCGTCATGCCCGTGCCCATGGCCAGCCCGCCCAGCGTGGCGTCGGCGATCTCCAGCGTCACGGCCAGCGTGTAGCCGCGCGGCACCAGGAAGCTGGTGATCTGGCCCACCGTCACCATCGGCTCCACCCTGCAGCAGCACGCCGGCGTCACGAAACAACCGCGAGACCACAGTGGCGCGACCGGCAGGCAGAGTCGGCTCACCTCACGGTCATGTTGGCCTCGTCCAGGCTGAGGATGTCGTACAGCGGCACGGGGATGCGGTGGCACTGGTCCTTCCGGAAGAAGGTGGTGGAGAGGCTCAGCCAGTTGGGCCGCGCCGTGCACAGCAGTTTCTTCTTGGCGGCGGGGTCATTCCCCCAGACGCGCACTGCGCGCTGGATGTCGCGCACCCTGGGGCGGGAGAGGATCCAATTTCATTTGACAGACGGGGGAACACTTTTCAATGTTTCTTACGAGTTGGCCTTGCCTGGCGCTAGGAGGGTGGGCAAAGTGAGTGATCTGTGAAGAATGCGCTTATCGACTGCGATAGCAACGCAGAGTTTCAAAGTACACTTAAAATTCGGGGGCACGGTCGAGAAAGACGGGTTCAGCCTTCAGCGCGGTCGTTGTGTCGTTCCAAAGTAATCCCTTACCTCGCGTCATGGTGCTGCGGGGACGAGTTGCGTGCGCGCAGCCAGGCGCGCGCGCTCAGCAGCAGCGAGAAGACGAAGCTGGCCGGCAGGCAGAACAGCAGCACGACCAGCTCGCGGTTCTCCTCCAGCCAGGCCACGATCCTGGACCGGAGGTCGGGGGACTTGTCCGCCTGCTTGTCAGCCATGTCCGCCGGGGCCAGCAGCAGCGGTGGAGTGGCCGAGGCTGGGGCCCGGCAGCCGACGCCGGCCTCCCCCGCCCCCCTCCCTCTCTCTCTCTTCCCCTCCGCGCGGCCCTCGTCCACTTGGCCGGCCATCTGTAGCGATAAGCAGCCTGCCACCATGGCGACCACGACGGGACTCATGGCCATGGTCAAGGTTTCCTCTTTTCTTCTAATTTTTCAAGAGGGTACTTTGTCCAACGGCGATGGCCGCTCCAGATGCGTTTGCAGGGCACGACCAAACACGGTTCAATTTTTATTTCCTCAAATTTGTTTTTTATCAAATTATTTTTGCCATTTTTTAAATTTTTGGACACGTTTTTGATTATGTTTCAGACTTGAAGAAAGAACATTTGTGTCACCATGATTTTTGGTGTGATGTCTCAATAACTCCTGTAGCCTGATTGAGTGCACCTGGCATCTCACCGCACAGGTAGATAAAGTCAAATCAGTGCTCATTGGACATGAAGATAGAATCAACTATCTCCTTGCCACGTGTGGGTGGGGAATGAAGAGGACACCAGTTTTGTTTTGTATCTCGTTTAAGGTAGCAAAGACACATCCTAATTGGAACATACATTGCAAAATCAAACACTACAAAGAGAATTTTCAAACAGAAAAACAAAACTACTCCAGAACACTGACACAAGTATCACATTTACTTGCACTTTGTTAAATCTTCCAACAACAACAAAAAAAAGGTTGCCTTAATGCAGCACAATCATATAAATAAATATAAGACAAGAAGAAATTTTAAGTCAAGATGAAACTTCTTACTTGAAGCATTCAATATACAGTAACTAGAAAATGTTTCAGCCTTAGAATTTGCCAAAATGAACTCTAGGGTTGCAACATTTTATTATAATAAATCATCTATACCAAGAAATATACAAAGTAGTGTCAAAAACTAGATTAGATATATATTAAATGATAGTGAAGCCCTGCAATGAAACAGTGGACATGTGAGACTTTTGGCAGGAGCTTTACAATGGAAGAACCTAACAATACTTAAAATGTGGAGGATCAATCAATCAAAATATTTGAGACAGTGGCCAATAACATCAATAAAAAACACCAGGTGAGAGCTTTCTATGATGTGTTGATAAAACAAAAAACCTGAGACACTGAATAATTTCATTCATCACAACAAACATTAGTTTCAAACCGGGAAGAGAAAGTTTCAACTCTGATTTAAATTCCAGAGATAAACCAAGATGAATTAAACCATGACAATATTCTTTGTGTGTAGTGCCAAACTACAGTGGGAGACAAAAATGACACACATATTTGGGGAGCGGGGAGGGGGCAAGGTCACAAAAAACACAAGGTGTGTCCTCATAGACAATGCTTCGTAACTACACTGTAACAAATCAAGTCTTGAGAACAATCAATCCAAGCAAGATATCAAAATTCAAATGGGTGTAAGTCAGATAGTCAAAAATACAAACTTAATTATTGGGAAGGTTAGCTTAAAGTACAAAGAAATCCCTTTCCTACCTAAGTTTGTTCATACAAACCAAAACACACAATGATTCCTTTTGCTTACAAAACAATCCCAGTAAAAGTTCCTTAATGACTAAGAAACATCAATTTTAGTGGGGAATTTGACTTGTTATAATTTTGTTTTCTCTAGATTACAAATTTTAAATGGGGGAGCAACTATGTAAAAAATTTATCGGGATTCGGCTTTGTGCTTTGGTGGCTTAAACCCCATACCTTTTACCTTCTTTCCTTTCTTACCAGTCTGAAAAGTCTTCCAGCTCTCCACTCTATTTTGTCGGGATTCCTGTAAAACGCGATACAAGTTGCTTTAGTTTCAGCCTAGTTTGAAGAATGAATGTAAGCTGATAAATAAATAAGAAAATGTTACCTCAAAGTTCTTTTGCCATTCCTTTTCTGTGGATGCCTTTTCTTCTTCCTCTATCTCATTTTCTCTCTTTCTCTTGCGTTCTTCCATATCCCTATTGGCCAGTTCTCTGCGTTTCCTCTCCATGTCAGCAAAGAGCTTCATTGTTCTCACATACACAGCATGTTTGTACTTCTCAGGTTCATCTTCCTCTATTCTGGAATCTTTTCCTTCCTTCTTCAACCGCTTCCTTTTTTCAGCAAGCTGTAAAGTAAGACAAGGTTAGGACCTTGGCCCTTGTGCGAAGCCTGCAGGCAAAATTAAGATAAATTACCATTTGGTCGGTTCTTGCACGGGCTTCTTCTATAACATCCATACACCTTGCTCTGGTGTCGTCACATTCCAGGATTTTCCATGCAGAGTTAATAACTAGACAGATAATGAAAAATATAAACTTCGAATATTCAACAAAGTACTGTCAAGATTCATTTCAAAAACCTACTCTCAAAAGCCTGCTGTGCTCTCTCAACATCATCTTGATTTTTGTCGGGATGCACTAAAATTGACATCTGTAACAGAGATCCATTGAATAAGTCATTGAAAACTTTCATTGTAAACTAACCAAATGTGTTTTCACTCACCCGTCGGTACTTTTTCTTGACTTCTTCTAAAGATGTTTCAGGTTCTACTTGCAATACTTCGAATGGATTCAGATTAAAGTATGTCGATCCAGGACGTAGTAAGCGATCTATTTGTTGTTTGGGAGTCAGTACGGAATCCCTCTTCTCGATTTCCTTCACCTGCACAGCAAAAGAATCACACTCATTCATTAACAAAGGGAAGTTCTCATCAGTTCCAGAAATCTTCATGAATGTTGAAGGAACCGAAAAAAAAAGAACAACTAGAGATAATTAAGAAAAGTAGATGAGAGAAAGTGGCTTTAATAGAGAAAGAAAGAGGGAGCGGTGCTAGGATAACTCTATTTCCTCATCTTCCTTAAAATTAAGCAAAAACTGGGTGTGAATTTTTGGTCCATAGAAAAAGCTGTTTTTAAATGTCAAAACAATGTGTAGGTTATCTGGAGTGGGAGGCTCTGACATTTGAATATTTACTACTATAATAGAGCAGCGGTTGACCAAAGCATCCGACAATGGGCATGCACAGAATCTTACTTCAGTGTAAAAACTATTGAATAATTCTTCTTTTTGGGGTGGGCTCTCAATTTGAGCATTGTAATCGGAATGAGAGGAGGTCGCACCAGACGCCATTTTTTGTTTCGTCCTCGTCCACTCTCCTCCTGAGCTGCGAATACGCACGCGGACGACGGTATTTTTCTGCGAATAGTGCCATTGTTTTGTTCTGGAGCCGTTTAAACCGGCAAACCCCCAACGGCAGTCAAAGTGGTCAGTTCAGAGCATCCAGCGAGTACTTGCGATTATTTGTATTTTCCGCGACCATGGCTGAAGGCCTCTTCTCCGTCTTTCCTGATGGCCAGCTGACAGCGGGACACGGATTGAAAGGTACGTTTCATGATAAAATCTTCTCTGCCAGGTGAAACTGAAGTGTGTCATCCCAACCTCCCACCAGCTTCTTATGTTTAATATTTTTGCTCATTTCTTTCTACAGGGAATGTTCCCCGTTCCAAGAAGAAAGCACTCTGCGATGTAAAGAATACTCTTCAGTCTAAGAGGACAGGGCTGAACGAACCTCTAAGGAAGTTGAACTTGGACCAAGGTGAAGGATCGTGCAAGCAAACTGTCAAAGAGACTCCTTTGAAAGTGACATCAAAGCAGGAGGGAACGTTCAAGATTGCTTGTGATAAAGAGAATGAGATCTTCTGGGACAAGTGCAATGATTGTGATCCATTGGACGATGGTGGGTACCTTGTCAAATGTAAATCTCAGGCTGGGTACTTGGAACGGCTTGCTAATCATACTTTATTTCCATGGCAGAATTATTTAATTTGAGACCAGAATCATCTCGGTTGAAAAACGAGGACATTGAGTACTTGGGTAAGGGATTCTTCTGTCCAGAGCAGAGAATACCTGTCCTTGATGATGACTTGAGTTCTTACAAAGGATGTAAGTTGCACACCATATTATTACAATTGTGTTCATTGAAGTTATTTTGAGAATCAAACATGATTTTGTTTCAATTTCAGTGAGAAGTAACGACTGGTTCGACCACTTGCGTGATTGTGAGGTGGATTTTCCTCCACTTCCTCCTGTGGAAATTGAAGATCCTGTTCTGCTGTTTTCAGATGACGAATAGCTTTGTAAAAGCTTTTTGCGTATGTGTTTTATGTAATTAGATGTAAGCTCTTTAATTTTAATGAAATCCAAAACGTTCTTTGATTTGTTCTTAGATTAGTAAGTCTCCTGCTTTAGATAAAAATAAACTGTAATCAGACCACTTGTTTTTATTTTATTTATTTAAAATTAACATCACATGACACTTTTATCTGCCAAACAAGTCTTCTGCGGCCTCTGTGTCGATATTTCCTGTAACCTGTACCAGACAAACACAATGCAAAAATATCATTGCTACATAATGATTTTTTAAAAATATATTTAGTAGAAAATGGCATTGCACTGACCCTGAACACCTTGGAGGTGCCGTTGTAGGGCACGATGTCGGAGAAGAGCTTCTTGTAGTGGCCGTAGTGGGAGATGCGGTAGTCGCCCTCGGGCGCGTCCATGGGCACGGTCCACTGCACGATGACTCGGGACGAGCCCAGGATGGCGGAAACGCGCTCCCAGATCATCCTGGAGGGACAACGCGGCCGCGACGTCAAGTCAGAAACCAGTTTGGACCGCACAGTGGAGGCACAGAGAGCGCTGCGTGCAGCGTAGTGTAGTTTGCACGCCCACACTCACTTGGTTTCCCAGTTGGCGTCCGTGGCGATGACCCTCCAGCCGCCGTGCTCTCGCCTCTCCACGGTCAGGAAGGTGTCTCCGCGGCGGGGGTCGTTCCGCGGGTGGCCGGACACCTGCAGGCCGACAGTCAGTTTCACTTTGGTCCCCGTCCAAGGTCACGTGGAAGATGACCTTCCTTCGCCCACCCCCAACCGAGGTCATGTGGAAGTCGAGCTGACCCTCCGCGCGACCTTCCCCCACACCGTTTGTTCTGGCACACTCACGAAGGACACGTGCACGATGTCGCCGGGGCCGTACTCCTTCTCGGGCTGCTCCAGCACGTCGCCGAAGTTCTTCTCCCAGACGGGCGTGTCGACGAGCACGGGCGGCAGCAGCGTGATGAGGTCGTTCATGAGCTCGGGGGGCGTGGGGCCGGGGTCCGGCAGCACGCGCTGCAACCGCGACAAGTACGTACTTTCAACTTGGCAGAGACTTGTCTCAAAGGAAGGGGCACTTGCAAATTAGCAGGCGTCTTACTAAGGGCCGAACAGGGGGAGGGAACGTCTCAACCCCTAAACCTCGGCGCCCCCGCCTCACTGACCTTCGCGACGTTCTGCGCCAGGTTGCGGTACATCTTGAGGTGCACGGTGAGCGTGTGCGGGCCGTAGATGGTGGAGGCGCCCTCGTAGCGCTGGACCTGGTACTCCTCGGGCGTGGTGATGTAGTCCGAGTACGTGTTGCACAGCCCCACCACGATGACGTCCTCGGGCCGGTCGGGGCGCACGGGCGCGTCCTGCAGCGCCTCGTGCACGGCCTTGCGCAGCCGGCGCCCCGCCATGGTGGTGAACTCCCCCGGCACGCAGGCCAGCGCCACGTCGCCCAGCATGGCCAGCTGGTGCGAGACGATGGTGGGCTGCCACTCGAAGGGGAAGTTCATCTGGAAGCGACCAGCCGCTTCGTCATTGTCGTTTCCGTCGCCCTGCCTCTCTCTCTCGCACTCATGGCGGGGCGCTTACCTCCCCCGTGGTGAGCAGGATGGGCTTGGCGCCGTGGCAGGCCACCTGGCTGGCGCTGGGCTCCATGATGAAGTTGCGCAGCGTGTTCCACAGCGGGTTGGTGGACCGGGTGCCCTGCTGGAACTTGAAGGCGCCCGCGCCGTCCGTCGTGCCGGCCGCGAAGCTGTAGCCCATGGCGGGCAGGCAGGCCCGCACGTGGCTCGTCTGCGCGCAGGGAAACCACTCGTCAGTTCGTCAGAGAGAGGGGACATGTTTTAATTTGGCTCGCGACAGCCCTTCCCCTCCGGGCGGGGTCCCAAGGCCTTCCAAGAGCGTCCCAGGTGGCGTATTCTAGTTTTCCCGTTTCCCACGGACGCACCTCGCTGGTGCGCGCGTCCACGAAGTCAGCCTCCTGCCCGGGCATCTCGGTGTACTGGTGAACGGAGAAGAGCGGCCCCCGCACCTCACGGGCCCTGGGCGCCGTCCACAGCTCCTGCACGCACGCCACCAAAATTACTTTCAACAAAGACAACAAAGATAGCGGTGGCGGAGGCTCTTGAACCCGCGTGTGTGTCCGCGGGACCCAGCAGACTGATCCTGAGAGTCGCCCTGTCTCTCTCGCACGTGCACGGGACGTGTGTGTGAGCTGTGCGAGAGAGACAGGCACCCACCCAGGCCTTGGCGACGAGCTGCTCCGCGATGAGCCGCGTGGACTCGAACATGTCGGTGCCGGGGCCCTTGGCCACGCACGCCTCGTTGCCCGGGCAGGAGCTGCTGCCCATGTCGCACTCGCGGCCCGAGTACTGGCAGCGCGGCCCGTGCGTGTTGGGCGAGACGTCCCCCAGGTTGCTGGACGCGAACGCCGCCACGAACGGCCCCTGCAGGACAGAGTCGAAAACAAAAAGAAGATTTAATTAATGCGGTCGCCGCGGCGCCGGGAGTCGAACCCGCGTGCCCCGCGTGCCGCGTGAGGTAACGATGCGAGTCACGCCTGGCTGGCCGTGGCGGTCACGGAGTCACAGTCACTGCCAAATGGCGAGGCCGGCCAGGCTGGCGCGCTGCCCAGTGCAGCGAGCAGCGCCACTGTACCACCATTACGCGCCGGAATCCCAAACAAAAACAAAAAAACAATGACACACTGTGTAAAAATGAATGAACGTGCGGACGCACCCTGCCCACGATGGACTCGGGCCCGTTCATCCTCCGCTCGAAGAAGACCGCGGCCGCGCCCACGTTGTCCGAGGAGATGAGGGTGTTGGTGTTGTTCATGGAGGTGGGGTGCACGGCGAACCAGTTGATGACGCCCAGCGGCCGGCCGTCCTCGCGCACCAGGCGCAGCTGGTGCATCTCCTTGTCCGTGTTGTCCTCGTACCTGCGGGGCGGCCAGGGAAGGACATGTAGGGGGCCGCACAGTGGGCCAGAAGACCGGTGGAGGCGGCCAAAACTCCGGACGCGTTTTGGGCTCCAGAGTCGCTAAGCAGGACGCGAACCGAACGTGTGACCCCACCAATGGATTCCTCGTTCGGAGAGCAATCCATTGGTGGGGTCACGCGTTCGGTTCGAGTCCCATTTAGCGACTCTGGAGCTCAAAACGCGTCTAGAGTTTTGGCCGCCTCCACCGGTCTTCTGGCACACTGAGTAGGGTCGCGGGGGAGGCAGAGCGACTGACTCGGACACAGTCGGGATGGTGGGCTACCCACATGCGCCGCTCCTCCTCGGGGTTGTTGTCGTAGGCGGTGGGGCTGCGGTTGACGCTGGTGCCGGTCAGCTTGCCCCGCGACAGGAACACGCGGCCCGGGGCCATGTTGCTGTGCGCACGCTCCACGCTCTGCAACCAGGACGAGCAGTGCGTCAGCGGCATTAGCGTTAGCGCCGCGCGCCGCGCCCAAATCTCGCACCTTTTTCTGAACAGTGCTCTGGCGCTTCGCGCGTCGCTCCACCTCGGGGACCGCTCTTAAACCGCAAGCTCTGGATATCCTGCCTCGGTTGACTGGGCAATGCTTGGGCTTGGCGGTCGAGAAGTTGCCTCAGTGCAGGCTGAAGGTGGCAACCCTATCGACACCGATGGATGCTTACTCATGCGGGAACACTGCTCCCATAGGGTGTCCACGTGGCTTCCGGACGGCCCCGCCCGCACACGTGTCGCACTGCGCGGTAAAAAGAGCGCCGCGCTCCTGTGGACTGATTCCGAGCCGAGAGCCGCTCTGCCTCTCTCGCACCCACTGGGACCGCGCCATGAGTGCGAGAGAGACGGGGCGACGAAAGCGACTCTCGGAATCAGTGTGCTGGCGAAAGTGGCGACGGAGACGGCGGCGGCGGCGCGGTGCCGCGGGTAGCACCGCGGACGGGGGCCGCGGAGGACGCGGGCCAGCCCGGGGCCAGCGAGCCGCCGCCGAAAGTAAGGCCAAAATACCAGAGTGTTTGTTTCTCGTTATTTTTCGCGGAAAAAAAAGGGAGAGAGAAGCCAGAAAAAAGAGTGCCGAGCGCAATTGCGTGATTACACGGCCGGTAGCGCCGCGCCGCGCCGCGCGCCCACACGCGAGTCGGACCATCGCGACGCGGCAGACGCGGCCAGCAGGGCCGCCGGCACGGTGATGCGCCGCCGTCCCGCCGTCGCTCCGTCTCTGTCGCACTCGTGGGGCGCCCCGTGGGGGTGCGAGAGAGACAGGGCGAGGACTGTACGGGGTCAGCCTGCCGGGCGGACAAAGCCGGACAAAGCGCCTCCAGAGCGATGGGCTCATTTCCCACTGCACTTAGGCAACCGCCTCACAGTGGGCCAGAAGACCGGTGGAGGCGGCCAAAACTCTAGACGCGTTTTGAGCTCCAGAGTCGCTAAACAGGGCTAAAACCGAAAGTGTGACCGCACAAATGGATTCCTCGTTCTGAGAGCAATCCATTGGTGGGGTCACACGTTCGGTTCGAGTCTCATTTAGGGACTCTGGAGCTCAAAACGCGTCAAGAGTTTTGTGCACCTCCACCGCCCACTGTGCGCCTGAAGGGTAGGCAACAAGCAATTCTTCGCCCCTGGAAGTAGGCAGAGAGTGCTCGCGCCACTGTGTGGACGTGCGGTGGCGTACCAGCGTGATGCCCTCGGCCAGGCCGTCGAAGGACTCCTTGATGAAGCCCAGGGTGGTGATGTCGAACAGCAGGTGCATGAGGAAGCCGCCGGGCGCCGAGTGCGTGTGCGTCCCCGACAGCATGAGGTTGTTGTCCGTGTACGCCCCGAGGGGCTGGAGCCGCTTCAAGACCTGGGAAGACATTGCCATTTCCAAATATCACTCATTTCGGGGGGATACTTTTTGCGGGGGGGGATTTTTTAATTTTTTTGTCGAGACTTTTTACCTCCTTGCGCAGCCCGGAGCCGATCATGCCGCAGTCCACGCTGACGAAGGCCAGCCGCTGGCCGGACTCGTCCTGGAAGATGAAGGCGCGCGAGAACTGGCGCAGGTGGATGCCGCCGCCCTTCTGGCCGGGGTTGGCGTAGCCCATCTGCAACGCGGTGCAACGCGGTAGTGCAGAGGGACGGCTTTCGGAGCGAGAGATTGCAGGTTCAACTCCCGGTCGGTGTGAATTTTTTTTCTTTTTCTTTCATATTTAAGTAATTTTGTGTGCAAGAAAATGCGAGCAAAAGGGTCGAATGGTGCCTCCATCGTCCTAGCCGAGTGGCAAGTGGTTTCCTTCGCCTCCTCGGGCGCTGTTCGCGCGTTCCGCCAGAGCTCCCGGCGATCGCACCGTGACCGGCATCGGACGCCTCTCCTCTGAATAGGGACGTCGGACCACACGGCCGGCACGAGGACCGGAGAGGTGGCCGGGACTGGAGGCGGCGGACCCTGACGGAGGCCGGCAAATTCGTCGATATATACTTGGGGGAAGTAACCTGCGACGCCAGCGAGAGCGAAGCAGCGAAGCGTCGTCTCTCGGACGTCGCGGTTGGTCGAGTGGCGGGTTCGAATCCCAGCATCCATCTTTTTTGGGCTGGGCGGGGCCTTCCCGGCCTTCTCCCTGTTGCGTACACACTGTACTCGGCCGAGTGCCGCACTGCACTCCACGGCCTTGTCCAGCCTCATTACCTCCGGCGAATAACAGGCTCCAAAAAAGCGTACCAAAAGTACGCAGAGTCGTTTCAGTTCGGCCGTCCGGTCTGGCCATGGCGGTCCACCCTGACCAACATCAAGACGCGTGCGGGTACTTACGAAGTGCACCTCGGCGGGCGGGCCCGTGACGTCAGCGATGCCCACGCCCAGCAGGTAGCCGGCCTGCGCGGTGTGCGCCAGGAGGGCCTGCAGCACCAGCGCCGTCGCCGTCAAGGACATGGCGCCGCCGCATCCGCGCCCCCGGGGCCTCGTCGGCCGGGTCGGCCCTCGGGGGGTCGGCCTGATAGGGGAGCCCGACGCCCTCGCTCGGCCCGCTGGCGACATGGCTATCGGTGCGGCATCTGGAAGGGAGGAGGGAATGCGGGGCGCGCCCCGTCAGCCCCGTCAGCCCCGTCTTTGCGTCGCCCTGTCTCTGTCGCACTCAGGGGGCTCTCTGTAAGGTGCGAGAGAGACAGGCGGTCCGAGGCGAACTCAAGAGATGTCAAAGTAGCAGGTAGTCGTGTCCGAAATACCCGTCTGGCAGAAGCACCACGTGATTTTCATCGATGACTTACCTGATTTAATTGAAATTTCACTAGACAATTTCGATGTTTCTGGGGTAAGTCAAGGAAATCCGGAGGGACTTCCGGTGGCGTTGTTTCGAACGACTCCCCGCGGTTGCTCCTCCGCTCCACGCCCTGCCCTGCCTTCGGCCCTTCGGCCCTTCGGCCCTTCGGCCCCGCCTACCTCGCAGTGGCGGCAGCCGGACTCTCGATGTCGCCGATGTGGACCTCCACGAGCACGGCGAGCACGGCGTGCAGGGAGCTCGCGGCCAGGCGGCGGGTCGCGACGCGCGCCGGCTGTAGACTGGACGAGCGGCGCCCTGGCCCCCCCTGGCACGGCGCGGGGGCGGTGGGGGCATCCCGTCGTGGCGTCGACAGGCCGTCGGCCGGGGCCGGGAGGGGGGCTTCGAGCCGGGCTTGGGGCATGGGCCGCGCACCCAGCAGCACCCAGGACCTGCAGGAGCGGCAGGCCGCGGGCAGGCCCTCACCGCACCTGCCACACAGTGGGCCAGAAGAGCGGTGGAGGCGGCCAAAACTCTAGACTCGTTTTGAGCTGCAAAGTCGCTAAACAGGGCTTGAACCGAACGTGTGACCTCGTCAATGGATTCCTCATTCGGAGAGCAATGCATTGGTGGGGTCACACGTTCGATTCGAGTCCCATTTAGCGACGCTGGAGCTCAAAACGCGTCCAGAGTTTTGGCCGCCTCCACCGCTCTTCTGGCCCACTGTGTGCCATCCTCCTGCCGTTGTGTGGTTCCGAAGGATCGTTTCGTCGCCCCGTCTCTCTCGCACTCGTGGGGCGTGTCTTGAGAGTGCGAGAGAGACAAAGCGGCGCGATCCTTCGGAAACAGGCAGCTGAGTAGGTTTCTCCGCACTTGGGTGCCTTCTGAAGATGGCGTTCAAAAAGGTGAATTCGGAATGAGACATGGTCTTTATTGGTCTTTACTGACACCCCTCGACAGTGCGCTCGACAGTCGCGTTCGACGTGGTGGCCGCGGCCGCTCACGGCCCTTGGGGGTCGGGGACGGGGAAGGCCTTGTCCAGGTCGACGTGCCTCAGGATCTTGGCCCACACCGGCTTCATGATCCTGCTGAAGTGGGCGTCCGTGATGGGCTCCAGCTGGTCGTAGATGACCTTCCACTGGCTGTTCATGAGGGCGTTCGCACCCTTGCCTGCAACACCAAAGGGTTTGGTGACGGCGCCGCTCGTCGAAGGGTTGCAGGGACATGCCGACACACTGCCTACCCAGAAGCCAGTTGCCGTTGAACAGGTTGTCGTACTTGACCTCCAGGGCCTGGGGCTCCAGCGTGGACGAGAACTCGGTGACGTTCCAGAACGAGCGGCCGTCCTCCGAGGCGCGCTCGCCCACCAGGCGGAACGTCTCGTCGACGTTCTCTGCAAACCGAGACGGGCCGTGAGTACGCACAGTGGGCCAGAAGACCAGTGGAGGCGGCCAAAACTCCAGACGCGTTTAGAGCTCCAGAGTCGCTAAACAGGACTCGAACCGAACGTGTGACCCCACTAATGGGTTCCTCGTTCGGAGAGCAATCCATTGGTGGGGTCACACGTTCGGTTCGAGTCCCATTTAGCGACTCTGGAGCTCAAAACGCGTCTAGAGTTTTGGCCGCCTCCACCGGTCTTCTGGCCCACTGTGGTACGCCTGCGCGCAGACAGTGTAGGCAACCCAAGCTACACGGCCGCGCGGCCCGGCAGGCAGGCAACCCAACGCGCACCACAGCGCCGCGGGGGCAGGCCACCCAACCGCCGCCTGGGTCACGCACCGCGGTGATTGGGATGGTGATACGTACTCATCTTGAGCGACACGACCCCCGAGCCCCAGATGGGCAGCCACAGTATCTTGCCGGCGATTTTGTACTTTCCATTGAAGTCCACCTGCGGCCGGTGCATCTCCAGGTTGAGCTCCAGCTTGTCGACGTCGAACCTGGAAGGGAGAACGCGCTCGCCAGTGTGGGCGTTTCCTTTAAAGTTGAAGGCCGGCACCGCGGAGCACTGCGGCTCGGCGACGGCGCCCTCGCCCGCATCCTTTCGGCCGCCAGTGTCTCAGCCCTCTGTCTCTCTCGCACCCTTGCGGGACGCCCCGCGAGTGCGACAGAGACAGATCGCGCCAAAGCTTTGTTCGGACTCAGCCTGCTGACCCAATTGAGAGTTTGCGAAACCGAGGGTTGGCTCCGCTGGACATAGCTCCGCCTTGGTGCTACAAGGTAGTGCTTCCGGTACATACACTGTAAGCACAGGTCTCGCTGTGCCGCACCGGCAGGGTCGAACCCCAGACCGCTCACCTCACCGCCTTGACGACCACGCCGTGCGCGATGTTGGTGATGAGCAGGTTGTTGAACGACATGTTGAGGTTGAGCACGCTGCCGGCGTTCTTGTTGATGGGCATGAGCGGCACTCGCAGCGGGTCGGCCTTGGGGATGTCGTAGGCGGGGTCACCTGCGGCAGGGCGAACTCGAGTTTGAATCGGGCGTGTCCTCGACGGCGACCTGGAGTTGCGGCGTTCGGAAGCTCACCCTCCTGCATGCGGGTGATGAGGCTCAGGAAGGAGTCACCCACGCACTGCTGCAGCTTGTCGTCCCGGGGGCAGTTGATGAGGTTGTCGGGGGTGTCGTCTGTGCCGAGGCGCGAACGAGGGCGAGACGGCGCGGCACGGATCGAAAATCGAATTAGCTGACGCTGTCCTTGTTTATCACTGGGCGGGAGCCCCACCACACTCGCGTACCTGCCGCCACCGCCGCGAGGGCCGCGAGCACGCCGACGGCCACCGCCACCGCGAGCAGGGTCTTGGTCGCCATGTCGAGCGGGTGCTTGTTGTGCTTGTTCGGCCGCTGTCCGCCACCGCCGACTCTTATAACCTCGAGGAGCACCCCGCCGAACCCCGAGCCGGCCTGCAGACTGATTCCGAGAGTCGTTTTCGTCGCTGTCGCTCTCGCACCCTCATGGGACGCCCCATGAGTGCGAGAGAGACAGAGCGACGAAAACGACTCTCGGAATCAGTCTGCCGCGCAGCCAGCCCCGCGAGTATCTTGGCGCTCCGGCCCGCGTCCCCTGAATCGCCTCGCCCGCCTCGCCCCCGCGGTTTCGCGATACGGCATACGGGAGACGCACGTACTCCACGTCCACGCGGGCCGCGGTGCGCGCGTGGCGTGGCTTGAGCGCGTGGCCGCACGGGCTGCCCCGACGGATAACGCACAACGCACACCAGACAATTTCTCCCGCGACGTAAAGCGCCACGCGGCCGTCTCGGAGCCTCGTCGCCCTGTCTCTCTCGCACTCACGCACAGTGGGCCAGAAGACCGGTGGAGGCGGCCAAAACTCTAGACGCGTTTTGAGCTCCAGAGTCGCTACATGGGACTCGAACCGAACGTGTGACCCCACCAATGGATTGCTCTCCTAACGAGGAATCCATTGGTGGGGTCATACGGTCGATTCGAGCATTGTTTAGAGACTCTGGAGCTCAAAACGCGTCTAGAGTTTTGGCCGCCTGCACCGGTCTTCTGGCCCACTGTGTCACGGGGCGCCCAGTGTGGGCGCGAGAGAGACAGAGCGACGGAACGGCGCGCGGTGCGGAATCAGTCTGCTGCGCGTCAGAGGAAAATGCCGTGCGCTACTGGGGCACTCTTTCCTTATGTTGGTCCAGCCGGCGGCGCGTTCGCGTTCACAGCCGTCTGATTCCGAACACTGCTTCGTCGCTCTGTCTCTCTCGCACCCCTACGGACCGCCCCATGAGTGCGAGAGAGACAGAGCGACGAAAGCAGTGTTCGGAATCAGACGGCAGCTCCACGCACCGCGCACCCCAGGCTAGCCAGCCGCATGAAAATAAAAATGCAGATTTAAATGCAATTTGCCTGCCGCTGGCTGCGCGGCTCTGCCAGGCAGGCAGGCAGGCAGGCAGGCGCGGGAAGGGGTCACATTTCCACGCGGCTCTCGGGGGGCTCGCCTCGCCTCTCCTCGCCGGGCTGGCTGCCACACTGGCGGGGGTTGCTCGGGAGCCGCGCCACGACCGGCCGGCTGGCCATGATCCCCGCGAACAAACTCCAAGACACGCACACACACACAGGCACCCTCGTACACACGGACGCACAAATACAGCAACGGACCCTCGCACACTCACTGCAGCTTATAAGACGCTGCATCAAAGTGCAGCACCGCAGTTCTCCTGGGAGCGCCGAGCCAACAGCACCATGAGGACTTTGGTGAGCATCCCCTCGTTTTAGTTGAAATAGTTCGGTATGACCGACGTTAAGAGGCGCTTAGCGCATCGAGAGCGAGCGTAACCGGGAGGCCTGAAGGCGCCCGAAGGTGAAGCGTCTTAGCGTCTTTCACCGGGGCGTTGAAATGGAAGCCTCCTAGGTCAGCGGTCCGGGGGCAGTCAGCCTAGTCGTTAGAAAAGTGGCCGTTGCCAGGATTCGCATGTAGGCGTGGCGGCGACGGCGAAGCACCCCGACGCCGCGAACCAGATCACGCTCGCTGTGCGCTGCGCCGCTGCGCGCCCTGGGGGGCTGTGCGTGGTCGGAACATCCTCGGCCACAGGGCCACGTGCAGTACAGCGCGCGGCCCGAACTGTGGTCTGTTTCTCTGTCGCACTCACGGCGCGGCCCATGGGGGTGCGAGAGAGACAGAGCGACGCGCGGAATGGGCCTCCTGACCTTTCCCGGGCGTCCGCCGCGTCCGCTGCCTCGCTCTAATCGCGCTGCCCTGCCCCGCATGATCCTCAACAAGTCCAGTCGAGTCCAGCGCGACCCGGTGACCCCCGCCTGCCCTGGCCAGGCCCTGGCGAGGCGAGGAACGCAGGCCGACGCGTTACACTAGGGGGACCACGACGCCATTCCCGAAACCAGGAGGCCGGGCCGCCGTAAACACCAGTGCACCACCTTGTTGCCCTTCTCAGGGAGCAAGTCGTAGTTCTTCGTTTGCCGATCCGTCTCTCTCGCTCTCACGGGGAGCTCCCAAGACTGAGAGAGAGACACAGTGTGCCGATGACTTGGATGACTGGCGGTCCGGACGGTCCACAGTGGACCAGAAGACCGGTGGAGGCGGCCAAAACTCTAGACGCGTTTTGAGCTCCAGAGTCGCCAAATAGGACTCGAACCAAACGTGTGACCCCACCAATGGATTCCTCGTCCGAAGAGCAATCCATTGGTGGGGTCACACGTTCGGTTCGAGGCCCATTTAGCGACTCTGGAGCTCAAAACGCGTCCAGAGTTTAGGCCGCCTCCACCGGTCTTCTGGCCCACTGTGCGGTCCCGGTGAAAGGGCGTGTGCTGCGCTAGGTGTGCTGCGCAGTGCTTTGCGGCGCGCGGCGTGTCAAGGCACTCGACTGGACCGTCCGGCCGTCTAGGACTCTCCTCTCTAGCTCCTCTCCTCGTCCGGTCGGAGGAGAGGCCCGGGAGAGGCGCGGCCGGGCGCGGCTCCACCGCGCCGGACTAGGCGGCGACGGCGGGGACAAGGCCGCCCCGCCGCTCGTCCAGTTTCGCCGCTCTGTCTCTGCCGCACTCGCGCGCCGCGCCGCGGCGGAGCGAGAGGGACAGAGCGACGCAACGCTCGCCGGAATGGCTCGGCTGCACCGGCAGTGAACGTCTGCCGGGCCAAGGATCATTGGCGCCATCGACGAAGAGGCGCTGATTGGTGGACCACGCCAGACGCCGGCGGTTTTGGCGCCAAAAAGCAAAAATAAAAGCCGAAACTGGAGGTGCGATATACGAGACATCGGCGTGCATCGACGTCGCGGCGGCAGCCAGACAGGCGGCGGCGGCGTGCTTTCGACACTGTCTCTCTCGCTCCCGTCACGGCGCGCCCCGTGAGTGCGAGAGAGTCAGGTGGCGCTAACCCTGAGTCTGCCTCTGCCGGCCGGCCACGCCTGGCCACGCCACTGCCATGAGGCGATACCGCGGCACCGCGGCACGCATTGTTGCAGTCTTCCCACACGGACACGCGGATGCCGCGGGGAACCTTCACCAAAGCGCGGTGCTGTGCCCCCGGCCGACCCGACCCGGCACGGCCAAGGGGCCCGGCCCGGCGGCTCGCTTTTTCGTTTTTCTGTTTCCTCAAACGGAATTATCAAGCGGCTAATCATCATTTGCATCATTCGCGGCGTGTTCGTGCCGAGGGAAGCCCCTCGCCGGCTCATTCTGAACGGTGCGCTTTCGTCGCTCCGTCTCTCTCGCTCTCACGCGGCGCTCCGCAACGGGTGCGAGAGAGACGGAGAGCTCCGTTCGGGATCGGACTGCCCCGGGTCGATCCTTGGGCTGTCCGGGGTGGGCGTGCTGCGAGGCGTGCGGAGCGCCGAGCCTCCAGACAGCGCCGCGAGCAATTGACATCATCGTCCTGAATTTATGCCTTTCGGTTCGTTGTTCCAGATCGCCGTCCTCTTCTTGGCGGCCCTGTGCCTCGTCGAGGCCTCGTTCGGCGGCTGGTCCGGCGGCGGCGGCTGGTCTGGAGGCGGCGGCGGCTGGTCTGGAGGCGGCGGCGGCTGGTCTGGAGGCGGCGGCGGCTGGTCTGGAGGCGGCGGCGGCTGGTCTGGAGGCGGCGGCGGCTGGTCTGGAGGCGGCGGCGGCTGGTCTGGAGGCGGCGGCGGCTGGTCCGGCGGCGGCGGTGGAGGCTGGAAGTCCAGCGGACGCACCATCAGGGTCATCTCCTCCGGGGGCGGCTGGTCCGGGGGCGGCGGCGGCGGCTGGAAGTCCAGCGGGGGCGGCTGGTCCGGGGGCGGCGGCGGCGGCTGGAAGTCCAGCGGGGGCGGCTGGTCCGGAGGCGGCGGCGGCGGCGGCTGGAAGTCCAGTGGGGGCGGCTGGCGCTCCGGTGGGGGCGGCGGCGGCTGGTCCGGCTCCTCTGGCGGCGGTGGCTGGAAGCCCAGCATCAGGATCATCTCGAGCGGGGGAGGCTGGAGGTCTGGAGGCGGCGGCGGCTGGTCCAGCGGCGGCGGCGGCGGTGGATGGTCCAGCGGCGGCGGCGGCGGCTGGAAGTCTGGAGGCGGCGGCTGGTCTAGCGGCGGGGGTGGCGGCGGTTGGCCGTGGGACTAGCGACGTCCCGCCAACGTCAACGACGCCCTCAAGCTGAAGTGGGGTGACTCCCGGTGACTCCGCGCTCCCTATGCGTCACGCGCGGCGATACTCCGCTCCGATTTCGCCCGACTTATCGTGACATGTGTTCCGTTTGAGTGAAACCACAAGCACTGCACAGCGAAAATTTTTCAAAAGACGTCATTGCCGGTGCAATGGCGACAACAGTGTACCTGAGGATTGTTTTGTAAGCATTTTCTATAATAAATCCTGGAAAGTAACGAGTCGCGTTTGATTTCGGCGAGGCCCACATCCCCACATCCAGCCGAAAACCATAGACGCGCTTCATTTGAATACAAAGCAGCGAAGAGATCTTCTTTTGTTTCCCGGACGTACAAGGGCAATCCCTGCCCGTGCGTCCGGCCGCTCTGCTCGTCCGTCCGTCCGTCCATCTGCGCGTTTACTGCGCCCGGCTGTCTGCCGGTGACACACTCAGTGCAAGGCGTGAGATCGTCCCAGCCATCCGCACCGTCCCGACTTACACAAAACAAGGTCTCTTCTTTTCCCCCTCCCCCTGCACTGGGCAGCCCGGAGTCCCTTGTGTCCGTCGTGTCCCTTGGACGCACTTTCCCGCGCTTTGCTTTTTCTGGACGACGCACCTTCATCGCAACGTCCACATATTACGCCACGCCGCCTCGAGGCATTACATCAATGCGGGTGCTGGCGGGCGCTACCGTTGTGCAGAAGTGTGTTTAGTGTGAGACGCGCGGCGGTCGCGGGTTCGACTCCCGCTGCCGGCGGGTGGATTTTACAGCCGCGGGAAACGCGGTGGGACCGTTCCCGGCGGTCGGGTCGGGCCGGGCGGAGGGGTTGAAGGCCGCCTTGGCGGAGGAGTCCATCGGCACGGCGTTACACATGTGCTGGTCGAGCTCCACGACGGCGTGCTGGGCAGGATGTTGTTCCGCGCGGGGCGAGGCTGGGGGCTCCAGGACTCCAAGGACGGAGAGCGCGTCCTTGGCAATGGCAGAGGATTCCCACCGGGAGTCTGCGGCCGGCCGGCCGGTCCGGAGTGGAGTGGAAGGGACGAGAGGTGTGGAGGCCACCGGAACATGATCGGCAGCAAGACAAGACTAACTAGGGCTCTGGCTAGCCGTGGTTGCGATGCACCGAGGCGACCGGAGGGACCGGAGGCCGCCGCTGACGTGGAGCAAGCTCAGCAGCGACCTGGTTCCGTTTTCGGAGTGGGACCCCATACGCCTGCCTGGCGCAAAACTTCGTCGAGGTGTCCATCCCGGCGGTCCGCGGAAATTTTCACCCGAATCGGTTCTTGCACTCCGCCTTGTCGCCATCCACCCCCTCCGCGTCGCTCCGCGGGCAGCGCGCCGCACGGGAGCCGTCCGCAGCACTGTGGACGCGGGGCGCGGGGCCGGGAGGGGACCGCGGGGAGCGGACTGCCAGGCGGGTCAGAGGTCGCCGTCCAGGCGTCCAGGCCGGACTCATCTGACGGCCACTGAGCCCCATCATCCATCGTGCTGGAACGGCACTGGAGTCGCCGGCGCCGAGTGGCACGGCGTGGCACGGCGTGGCGCGGCGAGCCTCCGCGAAGATGAGAGGGCGCGCGGCGCGCGAAACCGGTTCGCGTGACGGTCACGACGTCACGACACGTCACACCGCGAGACACACTCGGGATGCACTCGTTGTGGCGGCGACAGTGTTGCAGTTTCTGGACATGTCAATCGGCATGCTCTCGTCGCTCTGTCTCTCTCGCACTCTCGGCTCGCGCCGTCGGGGTGCGGGGAGACAGCGACGAAACTACAGGCCAAAGGCTGTTCAACGAGGGCTCGGTGTCGATCAGCCTGCTGCAGTTACAGTGCACAGTCCTTGGACGGGCCGCCAAGTCGCGTTGAGCAATCTCCAAAATGGTTTTCTTTTTAAAAGGCGGCAATGATTATTAGCGTTGGATGCACGCCACCGGCTGGCCCTGCCTCCGGACACTTACACTATAAGTTAGCGTGTGTGAGGTCGTTTTTTAAGCATCCCATCACCGCGCATCATCGGTGTTGTTTTGTCGTTTTGGCGGCAGCCGACCGCCCGGCAGGGTAGGCAACATCGTCCGGTGGGATGCACCGCTGCGCAGCGGGCTGCCTGCCTGCACGGCGCTCTGGTAGGCAACGCGCCACCCACCGGTGCTGTGCTAAGCAGATGTTGCCTACCCTGCCAGGCGGCCGCCGTCACCCAAACCGACGTGCTTTGCTGTTGTTCCTGTTGGTTCTTCCTCCTCCGGCGTCCTCCAGTGACGTGCCGCTCTGGTTTGCGGCACACGATCGGCAGGGCTCGCCTAGCCTCGCCCAGGCCGTGAACTTTACCTTGGCGAAGTAGTGCACCGGCTCGGACCCTCACCACTCATCATCGCGGAGGAGGATGGCGGAGGGGGAGGGGAGGGGAGAGGGGAGGGGGGGGAGGGAGGGACGGGAGACGGGACGAGTACGTGACGCGTGCCCGAGTTCCGCGGCGCCAGGAATCCCTCGGCGATACCGCAATGCACGCAGCAGAGTGATTCAGAGCACCGCTCTGTCTCTCTCGCACTCGCGGGAAGCCCCGCAGGGGTGCGAGAGAGACAGGCCTGCAGCTCCCCGTCTTTGCGGAGGGGAATCGAAGCGCCTGACGCGGTGCCCCCGCTGCCGGTGCGGGGTTCGCGCGCTGCTGCCTGGCCTGCCTGGCTGCCCCCCGGCGGCCCATCACCTTGGAGTTGATGGTCTTCCTGGACAGCCCCACGCAAAGAGGCTGATTCCTCATCATTTCGGTGACGTTCAGAAATGGATTTGTTCCGTTCTGGTAAAACGCCGAAAGGCAATTCTTGTTTTTGGAAAAATTAACCTTGAGCGACGCCGTTAAAATTTTGGAGTCGGACAGAAAGGAAGCCCTGCTGAGGCACGCGAGTGCAACAAAAACCCTCGGCTGGGTGAGGGCACCAGGAACCGAACCCGCGACCTTCACTCCTGCCGCCGGACTCGCTAACCACGCGACCGTCTCAGAGCGAGCGCGGCGCAGTCGGCGCAGTTCGGGGTGCTTGCGCGTCTTTGTTGTGGTGCTGTTGTGACTTAGGGCACTGCCGCCACTCCCCGAGGGAGCGCCCCATGTCCGTCTCCACGCTCGTCAAGGCCGTCAAGGCCGCCCCTGGGCGCGGCGTCGACGCCCCCCTCCCCGCCCTGCCCAAGTCCTGCCCCTCCCCCGGCCGCCCGCCCCGGCCCCCCCACCTGCACACCTATAAAAAGCTGGATCGCCCCGGAGGACATGACTATTCCACTCTCGCACTCGGCCCCCGGCACACGTCCGCCGCACGCAGCAACATGAGGGTCTTGGTGAGTACCTCGCATCGGTGTGCTTCGAGCAGGGGATCGGCAACAACATGAGCCATATTCGTAAATCAAATCAAATCAACAAACAAAAATTTGAAAAATAAAAGCAGAATTGAAGGCTACAGTATATTCAGTGTTTACATTTTGAAGGGATTGCTGACTAGGCTGTCTGAGCATGAAAATTGTGCTGGATTTCTTCTGTTAAATATTTTGACTAGTTACAGGAGGGACCGATTCGCCCCTCGCGCAAAACTGCCTAAAAACTTTCCAAAAAAATCTGCCTTAAAAACTGCCTAAAAACTGTCAGCCAGCCCGCTCCACGTTTTTCGTAGCTTTGACCAGTAGAACTAGTAAGGAGCGGCGCTGGAGGTCGTGCCAAAAGACACCAAGAGGCGCCAAGAGGTTGCCCCACCCACGGGGCGCCTTGCGGAACCCTTGCTCCTAGGTCCAGCTCCAGGCTCGGACTGACCAGGGCAGACAGGCAGAAAAATCTGCCGGGGCCTTCGGGTTTGGGGCCAGTAACGCCACAAAGTTGGTCAAAAAGTGATGGAATCTCCGAAAGTAGCCGTTTTTGCTGAATTTGGGTGGCCACTGTGTCCAATCTAGTCGCCGTAAAAGGCCTCCCTCGACGTCCTAGTATTCTTAAGACCCTACTCTTTCATGCCCTGTATCGGGAAGACGTTGACCACAACGATTTTGGCTTTGACCGCAACGATTTTCCGGCCAAGTTGGTCAAAAATTGGTCGAATCTCGGAAATCTTGCTGATTTTGCTGACTTTGGGTGGCCACTGTGTCCATTCTAGTCGCCGTAAAAGGCTCCTACGTCCTAGTATTTTAAACCTACTCTTTCATGCCCTTATCGAGACGTTGACCCAACGATTTTGGCTTTGACCGCACGATTTTCCGACCAAGTTGGTCAAAGGGTCGACTCGAATTGCTGATTTTGCTGACTTTGGGTGGCCACTGTGTCCAATCTAGTTGCGTAAAAGGCCTCCTCGACGTCCTAGTTCTTAAGACCCTACTCTTTCATGCCCTGTATCAGGAAGACGTTGACCGCACGATTTGGCTTTGACCGCACGGTTTTCCGACCAAGTGGTCAAAAATGGTCGAATCTCGAAATTTGCTGATTGCTGACTTTGGTGGCCACTGTGTCCATCTAGTTGCCGTAAAAGGCTTCCCTCGAAGCTAGTTCTTAAGACCCTACTCTTTCATACCCTGAATCGAAGGCTACTGACCGCAAATAGTTTGGGAGCGGTAGCCTCACAAAGTTGGTCATGAAGGGTAAAAACATAATGATGATCGGGGGCCCTTTGCGGTCTTATCCGCCGGAGCCTTTTGGGGGCCAGTCCGAGCCTGTCCAGCTCGTCATCGCCGAGGTAGTCCGCGCCGTGTATGCAGTGTGGGAAGCATGCCGGGTCGGCGGCGGCCGAGGCCGGGGCATCCCGCCGAGGTCCTCGGTGACCGCGAAGCGCACGAAGTGAACCCATCCCACGGCGCGTCGCGACGCGTCCCCCAAAACGCCCAGACCCTCGTCACCTTCAAGTTCCCCGGCGTGTTGCAGGTCGCGATGGTGCTGTGCGGCGTGGTGGCCGTCCACGCTGGCGGCTGGAGCTCTGGCGGCTCCGGCGGCTACGGCTCCGGCGGCTGGAGCTCCGGCGGCTACGGCGGCGGCTACGGCTCCGGCGGCTGGAGCTCCGGGGGCGGCTGGAAGAGCTCCGGAGGCTGGCCGTCCGGAGGCGGCTACAGCTCCGGCTGGTCCTCCCCGGTCATCAAGTCCTCGGGCTGGAGCAGCCCGTCCTACTCCTCGGGATGGTCGTCTCCCGCCGTCATCAAGTCCTCCGGCTGGTCCTCCGGCGGCGGCTGGCCCTCGTCCTCCTACTCTTCCGGCAGCTCCGGCTGGTCTTCCCCGTCGTACTCGTCGGGCTGGTCCTCCCCGTCCTACTCCTCGGGCTACAAGTCCTCCGGCTGGTCCTCCCCGTCCTACTCCTCGGGCTGGTCCTCACCGTCCTACTCCTCCGGCTGGTCTTCCCCGTCCTACTCCTCGGGCTACAAGTCCTCCGGCTGGTCGTCCCCGTCCTACTCCTCGGGCTGGTCCTCCCCGTCCTACTCCTCCGGGTCCTACTCCTCCGGCGGCTGGCCGTCTGCCTCCTCGGGCTGGTCCTCTCCGTCCTACTCCTCCGGGGGCTCCGGCTGGTCCTCGGGTTGGTAAACCGCCCCCCGACTGCATCGAGCCGAACAGCCATCCTCACCTCATCTCATTATAACAAGTATCGAGTGAAAAAAAAAAGAGTGCAGGTCGTCTTGAAATTCAATTCTTATTTATTTTGCGTGAATTAATTCCATGCGAGTTCATCGCAGTGTCCCTGTGTTCCAAACGGTGGGAAATGAGTTACCATTGTTTACCATGCGTGTCCTTTTGTCATGTGATAGTCTTCAGAGTACCTGTGTATAAATTATGCCTTACTTCGCACCAGAAAAAAAATAAAATCTTGTGTAATATAAACTAAAAATTGTATTTTTTTCTGTTTGGCTGGCACTGGGAGTTCCCTTTCGAGCCGCCTCTGGCAGGGCACTAGGATTTACATGTCTCGCTCCTGGCACCCATTACTCCCGCGCTTCGCTTCAATTAAATGTAACGAGGGTTGACGAACTTTCCCCGCCCGGCCTTCTGTTGTTGTGAGGTTCGCTGGAAAATGGGAAAGGTTCCGGTGAGAAACAAAATGACCTAAAATAGCTTGAGTTTAATAATTTAAATTTATTAAAAATAATAATTTAGGCATAATAACAATACTGGGTCGCCGGTAGAGGTGATGGGAACAATTCACAAAAATAGCTCGCTGATAAGACAAAGGCAAAGGAAACTAGACAAATACATAATGTACAAAAATACAAAAACAATCCCTTACATAAACATACATAAATACACGCTCTCACTTGGGTCCATACTCTGCATTCACCCACCCACCCACACCCGCCCAAACACCCACCGAACCCACCCAGGTCACTCACACACTCGCACTGGCACTCACACACAGACACACACACACACACACACTCGCACAGTCACGTAGATACACTCGAACTCACACTCACTCACACACACGCACTTCCATTCTCGTCTGATTTGCACTCGAGTTTGTTTTTAGCGAGCCATTTTCGCATGGCGACAGTACTCGGGAAATGCCGTTTCCCACTTCCCCGTCACCGTGACCCGCCTTCAGGCTGTCGGGCGGGCAACCCGGTCCGGACCCCCGTCCTAATATCTGACGGGAACGTTCCGACTTCACTGTACAATTCCAAGCCAGTCAGGGGGCTTCAACTCGCCGTCCACTAGGCGCCACATTTTCAATTTTTTTTTTATCGTGGCCGAACGAGAAACCAGGGCGCTTCAACGGAACACCAACATACCCCTTCAGCACTCTCTCTCGCTCCACACTTCTCGTCGTCAGAAATGGAAAAGGTCTCGGCGGTTGAACACATCGTGGTTTCAGGTCGCGGTTCCAAATTCGGGCTGTCTGCGTGGCAGTGGCGCGCTGAGCTCAAAGCACCACACCTGCAATACTTTTTTTGATTTTCCGTTTCACATTGTGCCGGCCGGCGCTGCCCTGACGGCCAGGACCGGGCCGGACCGGCGCGCTTCCGGAATCAGTCGAGTTCCTTCCGGGCGCCCGGAGCAGCCCGGAGCGCGGCCAGTGCAGCGGCCGGCCGAATCCGCACGCCAGACTCCTCCCGTCAGTCTTTTGGTCACACGTCCCGCAGACCCTCCGCCGCCGAAGGAAAAGGGAATAGAGATGCACGCAGAAAGTTGAAAGCACAGTGTGAGGCCGTCAGGGGCCTCTGGGTCTCTAGAGGTTGTTGACGCTGATGATCTGGTTGATCCAGCCGATGAAGGAGGACACCTTGACGTACACGCCGGGCACGTCGACGCGGCCGCAGCCGAAGCCCCAGGACACCAGGCCGGCCAGCTCGTAGAAGCCGTCGTCCTGGCACACCAGCGGGCCGCCGCCGTCGCCCTGCAACACGCACAGCGGCAGGGTCAAGCAGTGTCGACGCACAAACGACTTCAGTGGCGCCTGCGGAGCGCGGGTAGGCAAACCTTCCGACGCCACTGCGACGCAGGCGGGCCCGCTCACGGGCGCTCGGCCGTTCGCCCGCCACGCCAGTGTTGCCCCTTAAGTGGGCGAAAATCCCCATGATGCACTGGAGCCAATCTCAGACTGGCCACTTGGCAATGTCTGAACACCTGCCAAGTGCAAGTTCTAGTGGGCTGGCTGAGGTTGGCAATGCTACCCGACTTTGAACGCCAGTGCACCGTGGTGATTTTTGCCAGCGAGTGGCAACACTGCCTGCGATCGGCGTGGGTCGAAAGACGGCACTCCACCTTTGATTTTCTTTCTTTTTAATTGAAAAAGTTTGTGAGTGCAAGGGCAAAGTAAAAGCGGACAGGCTCACCTGACAGGCATCGTTGCCCGCCTCGCCGCCGGCGCAGAAGCTGCTCGCCGGCAGGATGAAGATCTTCTCCGTGACGGCGTTGATCTTGCGGATGCACTCGGCGTCGCTCACGATGGGGATCTCGGCCTCGCGGACCCGCAGAGGGATCGGACCGGCTGAAAGACAAAAAGGGGATCAGACACGACGGAACGCGGAACGCGAAGCGGGGATTGGAAGTAACGCGAAGCCGGGCGGAGCCGGGCCTCGGAGTCAAGTCTGGACTTACATTCGCCCATGTATCCGTAGCCGGTGACGGTACACCGCTTGCCGGCGGTCTGGCCCACGCCCCGCGCGGGCAGGCACACCAGGCACACGCCGCCGCCCAGCTCGGCCTGGCCGTGCAGCTTGAGGAGGGCCACGTCGTGGTCCAGCGTCTGCGAGTTGTGGTTGTGGTGGATGTAGGTGGTGGCCACGCGCAGCGTCTGCGCGCCCGCCGAACCGTACTTGCGCGTCAGGTCGTGGTCGCCGACGCGCACGTAGATGGAGTCACCCGAGCGCACGATGCTGCGAGGGTTGGGGCAGGTCAGGGCAGGGCGCTCGGACGGAGTGAGGGAGGCGCCTGCAAAGCTTGGCCGTCTGGCGAGCCAAAAGCCAAGCTTCGCAGTTGCCTCTCGTTCAAACAGCACAACCGATCGTCGTACTCACTTGGTGACACAGTGCGCGGCGGTCAGCACCCACTGCGTGCCGATCAGGGCTCCGCCGCACAGATACTGGTTCAGGGAGTTGATGAGGGCGACCTGCCAGCACCACTCGGCGGGCTCGGCGTCGTCGCCGCCCACCACCCTGCCACCGCGGGTGCGCGGTGCCAGGCTGCGTCCCTCGCGGAGCAGCGCGGCGAAGCTCGGGTCCTGCTCCAGCTCGGCCGGCGCCCACTGGGACGGCGTCGACGCCTCGGCCACGACGGGCGGGCGCGGGTGGTCCGTGGCCCTGGCGCGCGCGGTGCCCTTCACGCCGCACACGTACTTGCTGTAGACTGCGGGCCTCGGCGTCGTGGACGTCGTCGGCGGCAGTGCCGGCGTCATCAGCGGCCCGGACACTGGCGGGACGTGCGCGGAGGGGCCCGGCGGCGGCAGTGGCGGCGGCATGGGTGGCCTGCGCGCCGGCGGCCGGTACGGCAGCACGGTGTCGTTCCTGTTGGAGGCGGGCGGGGGCGGCGCCGCGAAGGCCGGGGGGCCGTACTTGGGCGGGCCCAGGCCGGACAGCGTCGGCGTGCCTCCGCCCAGGTGGTTCGTGTCGCCGTCCGCGTCGCCGCCGCCAGCGCTGCCGCCGCCCAGCTTGAGGTCCAGCGTCTCGTGGATGATGGACTTGGGGGCGCAGCACTGCGTGCCCGCCTTGCGGCACTTGAACAGCTCCGTCATCTCAGCGTTGCCTGCGGACATGCAAGCGCGCCGTCATAGAAACTTTGCGGGGCTGATGCTCTTAAGGTGTGCTTAAGGTGGTACTCACGGAAGCAGGTGAAGGACAAGTAGGTGACGATGCATGAGCCGGGGCAGTCGGGCCGGTCGTCCCTGGGCGCGGGCGTGGTGGTCGTGGTGGTCGTCGTCGTGGTGGTGGGCTTGGGGCGCGGCCGGTTGTCGCAGCACACGGAGCCCCTCTGGCAGGTGGACGTGTGAGGCACCAGGACGGACGGCCGCTCGCAGAAGCCGGACATGATGGCCAGCAGGCAGAAGCCGGGGCAGCGCGGCAGCGGCGAGTGTGTCGTGGTGGTGGTGGAGGGCCTCCTGGTGGTGGCCATCGTCGTGGTGGTGGGCGCCGACGTGGGGCTGCCGCCCGAGGGCGAGCCGGGGCGCGTCTGTCCAGGAGGAGGCCCTGCACAGCGAGCAGAACGTCAATTTCCTTTCGTGAAGCCGTGTGTTACTGTATCAGGTGAAAACTAGGATGGTGGTCATCTCTCAACGAGTGAGACAGGAATTTTCAGGAGGTTGTTTTTCTGGGTTTTGGTTTTGAACGTGTTGCTTTCTGACTTTACACAGGTTGCTCTTTGCCTAACTTTCAGGCGGTTTTCTGGGGGCGAAAAACAGTAGTCGCGTCGCGTCGCTGCGCACTTGGGCGACACGGCACGGCGGCACGGCACGCCCGGCGAGCGGGTCCCATGGCGTCACCTCACTCCGCACCTGTACGCCGTGCTAGCCATGCCCTACCGCTTACCGCTTATGCGTCTCATCGCCAGCCTCTTTGGCTGGGCGTGGCGGGCGGGGCGGGCGGGGCAGGCGGGGCTCGGTGGCAGACGGCACGGGGGAGGGGCGGGGCGGGGCGGGGTGTGGCGGGGCCGGGGCGTCGACCTCGCTGACCGCGTTCCCGATCTACCATTGGACTTAACTGGAGGCCGGCTGCGGCCGCGCTGTCCGCGCTACCGGCGTGTCCGCGCCGTCCGCGTGTCGGGGACGAGCCGACCGAGTCCAGTGAATCTACCGCAGGCCGTCGTGGTGGTCAGGCCATGGTCATGGTGGGTGTACTCACGGGGGGCCGCCTCCACGGGGTTGGTGATGCAGCACGAGTCGTCGCCGCCGGGGCAGGTGGCGTCCAGGTCCACCTCGTCGCAGAACAGCGAGAACAGCCCGCTCACGCACTCGCCCTTGCACGGCCGGTGCAGCGGCCGCATGGAGGACGGCGGCGGCTGCTTGGGGCTGTCCGTCGTCCTCGGTGGCGGCGACGCTGCCGCAGTCAACAAGGCACAGAGACAGGTTAGCCGACGGCTCATCGGGCTTCCCCCGGCTTTTCGTTTGCTTTCGCGCGAACCTGTTGCCAAAGGGACGTACCGGTGGAGGTCGGCGGCGCCGGGGTGGTGGTGGTGGACGTGGTGGTCGTGGTGGAGCTGCCGGCCGGCGGACGGGTCCTCGTCGAGTTGCGGTCCATGATGACGAGGCTGGGCGGCGGCGCGTCGTCGCCGAACACGTCCTTGGACACGCAGCACTTGAGCGACGGCTTGCACAGGTCGGCCACGTTGAGCACGGCCTCGCAGTAGTCGGAAATGCGCTCGGCCACGCAGACGCCCGGGCACGTGCGCACTGCAACAGGCGCACTGTTAGAGGGACTTCCCCGGGACGTCCCCGCCACTGCCGCGCCGCACTGCGCCACTGCGGCACTGACCTGCCCCATCCTTGGTGGTGGCCGCGTCAGACGCGGCCGTCGTCTGCTCGGGCCGCTTGGTCGTCTTCACCGCCGCGGTGGTGGTCGACGGGGTGGTGGTCGTCGTCGTGGTGGTCGTGCTCGGTGGCGGCGGCGGCTTCTTGGTCTTGGCCGGCACTGCGACAAAGGACGCGTTATCAAGGCACATTGGTGGCGCGGCAGGTCGCCTGCCATGGGACTCACCAGGAGTGGGCTTCGCGGCGGGCTGAGCCTCGGCCTGAGTCTGGTTGGCGGGGGCCTGGTCCACGCAGCATCTCATGGACGGCGACGGGCAGGCCACGTCCTCCAGGACCTGGTAGCAGATGAGGGTGGCGAGGGTGTGCACGCAGACGCCGGGGCAGTCCTTGCTCTCCGCCGTGTTGGTGATGGTGTCCAGGAGACCTGCGGCACACAGACGAAACGGTGAGTGGTGTCTTAAACACAGAGCGACCAGACGAAAATTAGGAATCGCGCCCAATCCTTTGACTGTCAAAACTGCAGATCTGTCATGCGGTGATGGGCAACCTATATCAGACACAATCGTGGGAAAACATAAGCACCATGCCGATGCGGCGATGCGGCGATGCGGCGATGCGGCCGAGCGCGCGGCAAACTTGAAACATGCGTCTCCGAGTCTTCGTCCCCGCTCTCCCCGCCGCGATGCCACGATGCCGCTTGCTGATTCCACTTCGCATCATTCGGCAGAACAAACAGTGCTGTTGCTGCGGCCGCGGCGTGGCCGTGGCCGTGGCCGTGGGAGGAGCATGCTGACCTACATTTCGCCGGCCGCGCCGTGGCCGCGCCCCGCGCCGCGTTTTGGCGGGAACTCTCATTGGCCGCGCACTGCTCGAGCTGCTGTCTCCGAACCGCAGTTACTTTGACGTCATTTTCGAGAAGGCTGAATGACTTTGACGTGGCAGTGGTGCATCATTCTGAAGTCACTTCCGTATGCGATGTTTTATGTCAGTTAAGTCCAAACTGGCATCAAAGTGACCAAGGCCTCGACATCATTTTGAATTTTCTGCTCTCCTTGTGGGAAAGCGCTGCCGCCGCGAGCCTCGTGCCTCCGCCGCCGAAAACGGAGGGGAGCCGCGCGGCGCCGCGTGCGTGTTCGTGTTCGTGCGTCCGGACGGCCGTCGGGGTTCCTGGATATGTAACGGTGCGTGCGTACCTTCACCGGCTCACGGCACTGGCCATTGGTGGCGTGGGCGCGCGGCCGGGCGGCGCGGCGGCGGTCAGACAGTCATGCGGTGGCGGGGCAAAAAAGCGGATAAAACACGTCCGAGTAGGACGCCTATCTCGCTCTCGCACGGTACGGTGCACTTGATCGAGGCGGGGCGAATAGGCGGTGCGGTACGTCCCGGCGCGGCCGAGCGCTGCGGCAGGATACGCGACACCGCAGACTTGTGACCTACTGCTTCACGTCCTGGCGGGGCGGGGCTGGGGCGGGGCGGGGCGGGGCGGGGCGGGGCGGGGCGGGGCGGGGCGGGGTGGGGCGGGGCGGGGCGGCAGGCATGTAGCGATTCATTCTCATGCAAAAAGGTGGGCATGCGCTGCGAGGCGACGCTGGGCGGCGGCGGTCTTTGCACTTCGTACAGTACTTGCAGTACTTGCAGTACTTGCAGAGAGCCAGGCATCAAGTTCTGGAGGCGGTCGTCTAGCAGGCAATGCAGTCCGTGCGGTGCATCGTTGTGGACTCACTGCTGTCCGCCCGGGGAGCTTGTCCAGCTTGTCCAGCTTGTCGTGCTCGGGGGCCGCCGCGGACGTCCTGCGCCGGGGCGCCGCCGACGGCCACCATGCGCCTCCTCCTCCCGGCCATCAAGGACGGCGCCGGGGTGGTCGGCGCGAACCACGAGGCGATGTCGGTGAACTCGAGGGGCGTCGCCGGTAGCGACTTGTTGAACGTCAAGTACACCATCTTGCCCGGCTCGCAGTGCTTGCCCAGGGACTGCAGGATGCCCTTCACCTCCTGCTTGAGCGCGTCGCAGTGCAGCACCACCTCGCGGGAGACGTCTCGCCTCTGGCGGCGCAGCGCGCGCAGCGGCACCGGCGTGGGCTGGTCCTCCTCGTCCTCGTCGTAGTCCTCGTCCTCGTCGCCCTGCACCAGGACGGCCACGGGCTTGACGGGGTTGCCCGTGGTGGGGTAGTGGATGCGGTAGCCTTGCGGGCAGCCGGTGCCCAGGTAGCGGATGTACGCCGCGGAGCCGTCCGTGGGCGCGCAGTCGAACCACTGGCTCTGCGCTCCGCGACGCCGCCGACTCAGCGCGGGCTCCGCGGACGAGGGCACTTCGGCGGGGAGCTCGTCGCCGGAGCTGTCCTCCTCGGCGGAGTCCCTGGGCGGCACCGCGCCCTCGTGCGAGTCACCGTACAGCTGCCAGCGGCCGAGCCCCAGCCCCGGCAGCACGATGGGGGAGTTGGGGTTGCCCGCGGCCGGCAGCCGGTCCTTGTGGCGGCGCGCGGACCGGCCGTGCACGTCGCGGTCGCGCTGCGGCGTGCAGCGCTTGTCCTTGCAGGGCACTTCCTCCTCGTCCTCCTCGTCGGCGTCGTCGTCGCCCTCGGCCTGCTCGCCGGACTGCTTCGGCGGGACGCCGTCGTCGTCCGCGTCCGGCAGGTCGCGCGGGTAGCGGGGCCGGGTGTGGACGTCGCGGACGTCGAAGTCGTAGTCAGGCTCCTCCTGGCTCACAGACTCGGAGGACTCGATGTGCACGCAGAAGTAGTCGCCGTCGTCGTCCCTGAACCACACGTGACGCATCACGTTGTCCTCCGCGCTGCTCACGCTCGCGCTGCGGCGGCCGACGTCCTCGCTCGCGCCCAGGGACTCCGCTGTGCCAATCGAACACAATCGAACATCGAACAAACGAGCCCCATTGTGGCATGTAAGCGCCCTGGGGTCGGACAGGCCGAGCGCGAGCCCACCCCAGGGACGCTGACGCGCTGACGCCGGATGACAGGTCTTGCCGGGCCTCGCCGGGCCTTGCCGCCACGGGGTCCCATTGGGTGTCCTTCCCCGGCGGGCCGGCCGGGCCCAGACGGCTGACAGGTTCACGCTATCCACATTCCTCCTATCGACACCCCCCTCCCTTTCCCCGCGGTGCTGCGCGGTGCGGCGCGTCCCGTTAGCCATGGAAAAGTGACGTCATAGACCGTTACATTCATGCGTTTACTATGCGCCTTGTTTTGCGGGTCTGCCTAAAAGGGAAGGCGAACGGACGCCCGGCCGCTCGCCGGCAGACGGGCGGACAGACAGACAGACAGACAGACAGACAGACAGACAGACAGACAGACAGACAGACAGACAGACAGACAGGCGACCAGGGCAGACGACTTGGTACACGACACGGCATTCCCTTTCCTCGGAGGCATTGATTCAACAGCAGGCCCGTTGCCCTATTCACACTCCCCTGCCACAAATCGCGACCTCTCCCCCCCCCCCCCCCCCCCCCTCTCTCCCGGCCGCAGCATCTCCCTTTCTATCTCCGCCGTAATATTTTCGCCTGGCCGGGCTCCTCCGCGCGACTCCGCCGCCGTGCCGCCGTCGGCGAGTCGGATCCAACTGGATTAGATTGGCTCGAGGCGTGGGCGCGGGAGCCAGCGGGGGCGAGCGAGAGGGATAGAGGGCGGAAGGTGAGGGCCGGATGGCACCGGACAGACTTAGTAAACATCGGTAAACATGGAGTACAGTGTCCCGGCAGTCCGAGCCTGGAGAAAAACATTTCAATTTTTCCGACCGTTCCATCCCTTGTGAATACCTCGTCAATCAGGAATGTTTTGGTCCGCGGCCCGATTACGCCGCCAGGGCGTTGAGGGGGATGCTTACCCGAGAAGAAGGTGGACGCCAGGGAGTCATCTTGGCCAGAAGCCAGGCCGACTGCGCAAGCCAGGCAAGCCAGCCCGAGGAAGCGGAGCGCTGGGGGCCTCATGGTGGGCCGGGCGCCCCCTGCAACGAATAACAACACGATGTATGACCCAAAGCAGCAACAACAGCAAGGGCACAGGGTCCGCGGACGGCAGCCGGCCGGGGTCACCTTGAGCGCCTTGAGCGCCTTGAGCAGGAGGAGCTCCAGAGGAGGATGCCGATTCAAACTCGGCGCCTCCACCAACTGGCCGGAACAATGTTGACACGGCGGCTGAATGGAGCCAGCTGCCCGCTGTTCCTGCAGGACCTGTTGTAAGCCCCGGTCATTGATACTAGCCCGGGTTGGCGAGGCCGGGTCCGGGGCCGGGCGGTCCGAGGCCGGGCGGCGAGGCAGGCCGAGCCGAGGCAAAGCCAAGGCAAAGCCAAGGCGAAGGCAAGGCCGCCCAAATGCACGCCAAGGCAGTTCAATCCGGCATCCCTACTCCCGGCGTGGGTCGGCCAGGTCCGCTGCTGGAATCCCTGACGCCCCGCCACGCCCCGCCACGCCCCGCCACGCCCTGCCCCCGGCCCGCTGAGGTGTGAGCAGAGCAGGTGGGAGTAGGGGGCGGGGGGAGGGGGACAAGACGCCATGTAACGGGATCGCCGGCAAGGAGGGGCGGGACCAGGGAAGGGGGGCGGAGCGGGGCGGAGACGGCGGCCGGCCGGCGAGTCCACCACACACTCACACACTCGCACGGACGAGGTGACCGCGTGCAGTGTATGTGACAAAAGTCGGAGGGGCGCGGGGCGTTTGTGATGGTAATAGCCGTGGGGCGGTTCTCTAGCGGGAGGAGTCTCCCGGCTCAAATTTGGACGCAGCCGTGTAACATTGCGTCATAGCCTTTCATTCAATCGGAGCGGAGATTCCGGAGCGCTACGTTTGGACTTTCGGACGCAGGAGACTCAAACGCGGGAGTCTCGTAGGCGACTGTGTCATCGGCAACAGAGGGGAGCCAATCCGTCTCCCCTGCTTACACCTGTCCAGCTGAGCGATGCCGAGGGATCTCTGTCTCTCTGTCTCTGTCGCACTCATGGGGCGGCCTGGGGCGGCCCGCCGTTGGGGTACGATGGTGCGAGAGAGACAGAGCGTCGACGCGATGCCTTCGGTGCTCTCCTCATCCACCTCATAGCACCTACTGACTCAGTCCGCGCTCGCCTCGTTCGTTGGTGTTTTTGTTTTTATTTTTTTCCGGCGAGGCCGAGTTACAGTGCGACGTAATAGCCGGCCGCCTGTTGTGTCCGTGTCCCTTCAACCGGTTGGTCACCTTACTGGAATAAAGTAATAAACGAGAGCAATGGGTCTGCTGCTCTCGCTTTCCGCCTTCGCGCCGCTCAAAAGTGTGCGACTGCGACGCAACGACGCAGCACGCGACCTGTAGCCTGCAGTGCAGGCACGGCAGCCACCGGACGCCAGCGCCTGGAGGACCTGGAGGACCTGGACCACCTGGAGGACCTGGAGGACCTGGAGGACCTGGAGGACCTGGAGGGCCTGGAGGACCTGGAGGACCTGGAGGACCTGGAGGACCTGGAGGGCCTGGAGGACCTAGTGGACCTGGAGGACCTGGAGGACCTGGAGGACCTGGAGGACCTGGAGGACCTGGAAGACCTGGAGGACCTGGAGGACCTGGAGGACCCGAAGGACCTGGAGGACCTGGAGGCGCGTCGCGATGTTCAATGCTCACTTGAATTCCCATGGCTGCACCCAGCTGCCTCCACTGAGACTATGGCACTCTGGCTCCATGTACTTCACAGTATTCCCGGAATGGGTTGAGTTTCGAGTCTAACGGACTATAAGCATGAGGTATTCCTTGGGTCCTTGATTTGGGGGCAGACGTGATAAGTACATTCTCTCTCACTCACTCTCTCGCACACACACCAACACACGCGCTTGTCGAACACGTAGGCCAATCAGCGCGGGCAAATAAGCCGATGGATACTTCCTCCATTTTGTAAGATTAAGCACCTGGTTTCGGAATTTGCCTGCGTGAGGGCGATGAACCTGCGAGCCATTCCATTGGCGGCGACACGGCGGGGCGCGGCGGGGCGCGGTGGGGCGTGGCGCGGGGCGGGGCGGGGCGGGGCGGGGCGGGGCGGGGTAGGGCGCTCGTGGGGACACTTTGGACGCCAAGCGCCGCGACGTGCCGCGACACGGCTGGACACGGCGACGGCTTGGATGAAAGGAGCCGCCACTGTGGCACTAGGGAATGCCTTGTCCGGGCGGCCTGCTCGGCGGCCTGCCTGCCAGAGGTTTGCTCTCGGCGTGGGTTGTGCCGCTGTGCGTGCCCCGCGTGCTCCGCGACCTCGTGCGCGGCCACGGCCACGGCCAGGGTGACGGTGTTGGCGCTCGCCGCGTTCACGGCCAGGGCCGCGGGAACACTGCAGCGCGGGCCACGGGGTCGTCGTCGCCACAAAGGGGCAAGCACTTTCACACGTTACACTTCGCAAAGTCGGTCACCCTCCAGTGTCTCCAAGGAAGGGCCTGGCTTGATCGCAGGTCGCGGGTCGTGGGGTCGCAGGGGCCGGCGTGTGGGGTCGGAGGGCGGCTGAGCTAGGTGGCTGAAGGATGTTAGGCCTGGGTTCTGCGAGGGTTCAATCCGGCCGCCGTTTCGGGGTTCGCGGGTTTTGATTGGCGTGGACAGTGGCGTGGACTCACCTGGGCGGGTAACGCCAATGCTTCGAGGCGTCGAGGCGTGGCGCCGCGGAGTGGCGATGCGTCGCGTTGCGTTCTGTTGCGTTGACGCCGGCGTCGCTGTGCTCTGCGACGTGACTCGCGGCTTTGCCGCCGAACGCGCCGAACCGCGGCGGTCAAGGAAGAGGGCCAAGGACTCCAAGGACTCCAAGGACTCCAAGGACTCCGGCCCGGCTGGCCCACGGCTTGCCCTCGTCAAGGCTCGCTTCGAGGACCGTGGTGGCTGTGGCGGCTGTCCCGGCAGGGCGCGGCGGCACGCGGCTCCGCTCGGCTCGGCCCGGCGGGGCTTAACTTACTTGGTAGCGGTGCGTCCGCGCGTCCGCGTCCGTGCACGCGTAAGGCTCGCGAGGAACTGACACTGACGGGGACGGGACGCTACGCTACGCTCGGTGGCCGACGCGCCGGGGACGGTCCCGGACGCTTGGCCGGGATCGGTGGGGCAGCCCAGGCAGCCCTGCCCGGCCGCTCTGCCCCTTGGGGCCGCCGTGCCCGGCCATGCCCGGCCATGCCATGCCGCGGCGTGGCGGGGCGTGGCGGGGTGTAGCCGGGCGTGGCCATCATGGCGTAGCGCAGCGCCGCGCTCCTCTGCCACGTCCCTCTGCGCTGCTCTCTGCTCCACTCCGCGCCGCCACGCCCCACCTGGAGGGCCCCACCAGTGGGCCCCACCACGCCCTGCACCTGCCGCGCGGCCCTGCGTCGCCCTGCCCGGCCTTGTTGGAGTGGCGCAGGGCGGGGCGGGTGGCGGCAGTAGGCAGTGGCACGATGCGCGCGCCCCAGCCACCCCCTGCCCCGAAGGCGCCCGAAGGGCTTTACAGTGGCGGCGTCAGACTCGCGCCTTGCTCGTTCTTTTTCAGCTTTTCCCTTCTCGCCCCCGCGTGGGCCAGATAAGGTGGAGGATGGAGGAACAGACTGTCGCTTGTCGCTGGCCGCGGCCAGGGTGGCAGGGCAGGGCGGTGGCGTTGATGAGCTCGAGGACGTCCCGCCGCCTCGCCTCGCCCGGAACGCACCTCGGCGTCTCAATTCAAAGGCTAGGCTGCCGCGCTCGCCGCGCTGGGCCTCTGGGTCGTCGTCGTCGTCGCCGCCGCCGCCGGGTCGCGCAATTCAGTCCCATTGAACCGCGGCCAGGACCCCGGGGCAGGTCCTGGAGTGGTCCTGGAGTGGTCCTGGCTGCCTGCACCCGGTTATCCTATTGAGCGAATTGGCGACGCGTCCGACCGGCCGCCGCCCGCGTGTGCCCGCGTCAGCCGTGGTGGTGGCCGTGGCGGTGGCCGTGCTATCGTGAGCAGAGTTTACACGGGACTCACGGACTCCTACCATCTTTGGCCCCAAAACGTTCGCTTTGACAGAGTTGAAAAATTCTTCCAGTGCAGCTTTTGAGAAGAGTCCACTCGGAGGACAGGCTACCCAATCGTCGCCGTCGTCTAGAATGGGCCTAGATGCGACCAGCTGGCACAGTGGGCCAGAAGACCGGTGGAGGCGGCCAAAACTCTAGACGCGTTTTGAGCTCCAGAGTTGCTACATGGGACTCGAAGCAAACGTGTGACCCCACCAATGGATTGCTCTCCTAACGAGGAATCCATTGGTGGGGTCATACGGTCGATTCGAGCATTGTTTAGAGACTCTGGAGCTCAAAACGCGTCTAGAGTTTTGGCCGCCTGCACCGGTCTTCTGGCCCACTGTGTGTGACCAGCAGAGTGACACGATGGACACGACGGGGCCAAGGGCGGTTCAGTTTGCTGAATGAGAGCCGGGCTGAGCGCCTTTCAGTTAACCAGGTCAGGTTACTTGTGTGGCAGTCGCGCAGCAGTTAAGGCCAGATTAACAGCTGCCACATGCTGGCGGGAACAGTCTGGTCGCTCCGACAAGACTTCGCTGGGTATTTTGCCTGTCCCGCGGAGCCTCACGCTGCCGCCCGCGCGTCCGAGGGTAGGCAACCCAACAGACGCCGCTTGGGCTGCCGAGCAGGAGGGGTTGCCTACTCGCAGGGGGAGGCCATTGCCCAGGCATCCTGAGTTGTTTTGTGAGAGTGGGGGTGGGGGAATAAGTTCCAGGGCACAAGTAACTGTTGAAAATTTATTTTAACCCACTCACCCGATGACAGTTTGTCACCTACCAACATAATCGCACAGGGCAGCACGAAAAATAAACAATACTTAATTTCGGCTTAACAGGGAATGTGATCTTAGAACTAGGTGCGTTTCAGGGCGTGCAGGGCGGCGAGGTGCTCACGGGTACACGTGCACGGCGTCGTTGAGGGAGATCTCGCCCTGCTTCACGATAGCCATCCTGATCCCCATGACGGGCGCGTGGCTGTCTTCGGGGGGCATCAGCGCCCTCTGCGCGGGGGTCGGGTGGCGGAACCTGTAGCAAACGAGTTCACCGTCGTCAGCAACAAGCCCGCGGTTCGGCAGGGTCGAGGTTCAGGGGGATAGACTTACTTCCTGAGAGTGGCCAGCGGCTCGGTGGCGGGTGACTTAACTCCGGTCTCCGGGTCAACGGTGGTCAGGATGCACCTGTGGAGGGACGAGTTTTAAGCAAGCAATTGACTCCGCGTTGGCGACGAAGAAGTGCGCGAGCCTCACCTGCCGCATGGCATGATCACCTTGAAGACGGCCTGGCCGATGCGCACCCACTGCCAGGCGTCCTCCTCGAAGGCGGCCGGCCCGTCCACCACGAAGTTGGGTCGGAAGTTGAGCGAGCTGACGGGCACCTGGAGCTTCTCGTTGAGCGCGTCGAGGGACGAGCGGACGATCACGTGGTACGCCGTCTCGTCCGCGAAGATGCCCTGCAACACCACACCAGCGTCTTGGAGGCGAGATCGCGGACGCGGGTTGGAGGTTCGAGCCCCGGCGGGTACTTACGTTGATGCCGCGCGCCCTCTTGGTGACTCCGCGGCGGTCCGTGCGCTGCCAGGGGTAGAAGGTGAGGCGCAGGTCCGCGGCGGCGGAGGCCTCGGGGTGCGCGGGGGTCACGGCGACCTTCCGGATGAAGGCCGCGGCCTCGTCGCCGCAGTCCACTGCGGACACGGTGGAGTGCCAGATCCTGCCGCAGCGCCACACCATCCCGTCAACACTCAGCCCGCCGTCGCAGCGCCGGCGCAACAAGTAAACTACTTACGCGACCTTCCGGCCAGAGTGCGCCTTGAGCTCGGTGGTGTCCAGGATCAGGGGCTTGTCCACCAGCGAGCTGCGCAACTCCATGACGCCCTCCTTGCCCGCCACGGGCGAGACGGACACGGTCAGCAGGCCGGGGTGGGAGCGCCCAGTGACGGCGCGGCCAGTGCGATCAATCGCCATGAAAGACCTGGAAAACAGGACAGTCGTTACCCCCAGTCTGGGCGGGCTCGACTCCGTCAACCTGGACGCCTACCTGTCCCGGAGAAGTCCCAGGGCGGGCCCGGCCTCGTCGGCCAGCATCTTGTCGCTGCTGACGGGCTTGCCCGACTTGAGGGGGAACAAGTTGAGGGTGGAGACGGTGCCGACGCGCCGCCAGTCCGACTCCGCGGGGGTCTTGTCCTCGAGCAGCTTGCGCGCCACCGCCACCCCCAGCACCGCGGCGCCCGCGGCAGCCACGGCCGCCACCGCCACGGTGCGGCCTGCCGGCACAACAACACGATCATCAACAACAACACAATCGTCAACAACAAACGCACAACCAAGCCGTCACTCGTTGACGTGTCCAGCGTGGCTTTGACGGGCTCGACTGACATTTATGCAGTGATGCCCGGCTCCTCCCTCGTCGCCACGCGTTTGGAAAGTCTAACGCGACCGGCGTGCGGGGGAAAGGAATTAGTCTTTCCGACTGTACCGCGCAGACTCTAACTCACAGACGGTCCCTCGTTATCTCGTTTAACGCCCTCCCCCTCCTCTTCCACATCGGTGACACGGCGACCCCGTCGAGGAACGCTGACGGCGTGCTGGCTGCGTCCGAGACGGCACCCAAACCCAAACAGACGCCTCCCGCGGCGCCAAGCGCGGTGCGGCCCGCGGCCTGCGCAGCTGATTCGTGTTGCACGTTTTAAAAGAAACGCGCCCGCCTGTTTCACCGCGAAACTCGCATGTACGGCAAGTGAATCGCCTAGGATAACACACACGGCAGCCTTGTCTAATCTCGGCGCTTCGCGAGTCCTCGGTTGACATATCACCACATTCCGCGACATACTACTACGTAATCGGCCTCCTTCGGCCTTGAATGAACGACCCAATAGCACACTGGATTGAGGCGTCAATAATTCTTGATTCACCGTGTTGCTGGCGGTTCGTCGCTGTCATGAAATCAAAACAAACGACGTACTTACCAGACACGTTATCAGAGGAAATCATTTTCAGCTTCTCGGCGCGGTGCTGCGGTCGGAGTACAGTGGACCGTCCTCAACTCTCAACTGAAGAAACCCAGCCCGGCCCGGTCCGCCTGCTTGTGCTGCTGCCTGGCTGCCGCTGCCTGCCGCTGTCTGCTGGCTTGACTGGCCGGCCGAACCGGCGCTCGCAAGGCCGTGAAGGCTGTCGCCGAAAACGACGCCGGGACGGCCGGGACGACGCAGGCTAGCCAGCCAGGCAAGAGATAACTTTGAACGCGTACCCGCGGGGGCTCTACCCGCGAACCGGTCCCCCTGCCTGGCCGGGCGCTCCTGCGGCCCGTGCTAGTGTAGTGGGCCGATCGGGTGACGGCGAGGATGGCGCCGCCACGGCGGCGGAGGTGGTCAACGACAGTGCAGTAGTGGGTCGTAAGCCGACCGTCCTGCGAAAATAAATTGTAGTTTGGGACCGTTTGCGATTACAATAAATGCAGCAGTTTTCAGTCGAGACTTGGGTCATCCGGGTTGGCGGATGCGCCACAGGTGTGTGTGCGGGGTGCGGGGCGGGGCGTCCGCGCTTTCGCCACCGCTGTCGGGGCCCTTGCGGGGCCCTCGCGGGGCCGCGACCGCGGGGCAGTGACTCGGGTCACACGGGGCGCCGGGACGGCGGGGTCATCGGCCACCCCAGCCCCGGTGCAACAAAAGGCACGCCGTCAACCAGGCTGGTGACAGTCCGGGACGCACCTCGCGATGGCAGCCTTGTTGGCGGTACTGCTGCTTGTGTCCGGAGTGCTGGCCGCCGTGTACACGCTGCGCTCCTCCGTGGTCCGCGTCGTCCGCGTCTCACTGGACCTGCTCCGCGCCCGGCGGTTGACGGCGTCCCTGCCGGGCCCCAGCCTCTTCCAGGACGGGCTGATCCCGCGCGGTGGCGGCGGCGCGTACGCGTCCATGACGGCGCTGTGCGGCGCCATGGCCAAGCAGGGCTCTGTGTTCCGCGTGTGCGTCGGCCCCATGACCCTGGTGGTGCTGCTGCAGGTCCGCGACGTGGAGGCCGTGCTGTCGAGCCAGCGCCTCGCGGCCAAGTCCGTGGTGTACTCGGCCCTGGAGCCGCTGCTGGGCCGGGGGCTGGCCACGCTGCACGGCGCGGCGTGGCGGCGACACCGTAAGGCCATCACGCCCAGCCTGCACCTGGACATCCTGCGCGACTTCGTGCCCGCCTTCCACCGGCACGCCGTGGGGCTGGCCGACGCGCTGCTGCGCCACGACGGCTGCGTGCTGGACGTGGTGCCGCTCTGCGGCCACTGTGCCAACTCCGCCATCATGGAGACCGTCATGTCCACGGACGTGCCCGACGGCGACGAGGGGCTGCGCGAGTTCCTTGGCGCCATCCCCAAGGCGCAGAGGGCCTTCATGCTGCGCTCCGGCAAGCCCTGGCTGCTCATCGACAGGGTCTTCGCCTTCCACAAGCGCTTCCCCGAGTACGCGCGCGCCAAGGCGGCACTGGACGGCTTCACCAGCCGCATCATCCGCGCCAAGAAGCAGGCCCTCGCCAACAAGGCCTCGCGAGCGCGCCGCCGCATGGCCTTCCTGGACCACCTGCTGCAGTCGGAGGAGGGCGCCAGCCTGGACGACCTGGAGATCGCCGAGGAGGTCAAGACCCTGGTGTCCATTGGGTCCTCCTCCTCCATGGAGACGCTCAGCCTCATCATCCTGACCCTGGCCATCCGCCAGGACGTGCAGCAGAAGCTGTGGCAGGTGCGCACAGCCTAAAACCCGGTCGGGAAAGCACCGCCTTCCTGCGATTAGGAGCCGTACATAAATTAATTAAATACCGCGAATCCCGTGCATGCCCGAAGCCTTATTCTCATAATGAATTTGCAGTATTTCCATTTGGCCCCCCGCTCTTTCTGAACGGCCCGCCATGTGTTGTGCCGCAGGAGGTGGTGGACGTGCTCGGCGAGGACGTGTCGCGGCCGCTGACCCCGGACGACATGCCGCACCTGCAGTACACCGAGTGCGTGGTGAAGGAGGTGCTGCGCTACTACAGCGTAGTGCCCTTGTTCGGGCGCCGCGTGCGCGAGGACGTGGTGCTGCCGTCGGGGACGCTGGTGCCGCGGGGCTGCCAGCTCATGTTCTGGCTGCCGCACGTGCACCGCAGCGCCGAGCTGTTCGAGCGCCCGGACGACTTCGACCCGGACCGCTTCCTGCCCGAGACGTCGCGCGGCCGCCACCCCTTCGCCTTCGTGCCCTTCAGCGCGGGGCCGCGGAACTGCGTGGGCCAGCGCTACGCCATCATGTTCCTCAAGGCGGCCGTCGCCGCGCTCGCGCCCAGGGTGCGCTTCGAGGTGCCCGACGACGGCCCGCGCTGCACCCAGGACGTGCCGCTCAACCTCAACCTCACCACCAACGTGCGGGGCGGGGTCAAGGTGCGCGTGTGTCGGCGGGGGCCTTCCTTCTGACGATCACTGAGTTGTGCCGGATGGACCCTAGCACCTGCTGGACTTCCCTGGTCTCGTTCGCAGCCGTAGCTTTGGCCGAAAGCTGCCCCGAAAGTGGAAATGGCGCCAAAGGTTTGCAGGGAATCCCTTCCGTTTCCCGCCAAGTTTTCCCCGCAGGGCCCCGTCGGGTGGCGCCCTCTGCGAGGCGGCTGCCGAAGCAGACAGTCGGGCCGCCACCCGAATCTGCCCGAACAGGGCACGAATACCTCACAGGCCTCGCAGGCCGTGGCCGGGTGTGTTTTGACGCCGACCATCCTATGTGCTGTGGTGTCCGAGTGGTTAAGGAGTTGGACTTGAAATCCAATGGGTTCTACCCGCACAGGTTCGAACCCTGTCCGCAGCGGATCATATTTTAGTTGCGGCGTTTAGTTTTAGCGCTGCCGGAGTACATCCGGGCATAATGTATGTTATGTTTGTACTCAAGGTAGAAGTTATTCTGTGATATTAATGTCATTATTGTTACATTCAAATAATGAGTCTGGAATTTATTTTAATTGCACACTCAAAATAAAATTTCATGTGTTTGCTCCGCAAATAAATAAATGTGGAAATGACTTCTTTGCTTTTCTCCTACGTACTGAAAATGATAAAGAACATTATAGTTCGAGTCCAAATCTCAGCTTGTAGAGCTTTATCACAATATTAGAGTGTGTACGTTTGAATTTCGCCCGCCAGGATCTCGGGCTTAGCTTCTTTTACTGCGCATAAGCGTCTTTGACTGCAAATAACCGTTTAATGCTCGCTTCCCCTCCCCCTTCCCCCTCCCCTCTTCTTTTTCGTCTGCTCCCGACACGCAGTTCGCACGCTTTGTCTTCTGCTGTCTCGTCTCGTCTGCTACCCACGCGTGCGGCCAGCTCGTACTCCTCGAGCCAGTTTTAATGTTGTTTAAGGAAGATCTGTATTAGACACTGCTCTGCCGCCATGGACGGGCTTCCGAAACTCCCCGCAGAGTACTTGGAAGTCAACTACGACGTTAGTGAGGCACCGGCAAGTGCGGTAGGTCGCGGTTTCACAGTGTGTCATTGCCCGTCCGATCGGCCGATCGATAATCCCTTCACTTTTCGGCATGCTTCGAGGCACACTAAAAGAAATGAGCATTCTTTACAACGTCATTGACCATTCAAAGTAGAAGCTCAACGCGACGCGGTCGCATTTGTATGTTGGGTCCGTCGTCACTTAGGTTATACTCAACAGGGCCTATGCTGGAAGTCCTTTGTTCAAGTTGTGAAAGTAGTCATGTATTTTAGACCAACAATATTTTTATAAATAACAAACAGTGTCATCTAGAACAGTATCGAAGTCTCTCGCGTTTTTCTTTTAAGGCTTGTGTTGTGTAATCCTTGAATGAGTCACCAAAAAATGATTTTCTGTTCCCTGCATCCCAGCGTACTCCATTACCTGCCATTGGTCAGATTAAAGCCCCTCTTCCATTTGGTGTTTCGGACATTTATTGGGCAGATGTGGTCTCTGCCAACTGTCTCACGTCAGGTGATGATGTTAAAAAGGTTTACGATTTAGTCTTGGATGTGAAGGTAAAACATTCTGCTATTCATTTCTTGGTTCTGCTCTTACAGAGATCAAAAGTCTATACAGTTTTCTTTTTTTTTTTCCAAACAGAACTTTCCTCACACCCTGGTGCCTGGGGATACCATTGGAATTTGTCCTCGAAATAATTCTGAGGAAGTAGAAAAATTACTGGATCGCCTTGGGGTGAAAGATCATTTGGATATAATGTGCCAAATTAGTGTGAGGGCTGATTGTGGTAAGAAAAAGGCCTCTGTTCCCCCTCACATCCCAGAAGTTTCTACTTTGAGGGAAATATTTGAATCTTGCCTAGATCTCCACGCTGTTCCAAAAAAGGTAAGGAATTCACATTCTGCAACCATGCAATCATTGAGTCAATCGTATTCATCCCTCACGTGTTTTCACCAATTGCAGCTTTTCATCCGAGCTTTACTAGAATACACCTCAGATCCCGAAGACCATGAAAGTCTGAGTGAATTATGTAGTCGCAAGGGCGATGGATACACTGAGTGGATTGCATCTGGTCGTAGTTATTTGGAGGCCCTCTTGCAGGACCATCGCTCTTGTCTGCCTCCCATCAATGTTGTTCTCGAGCACATGCCACGCTTGCTGCCTAGACCCTATTCTATTGCATATTTTTCTGGTAAAATTCATTCTTGTTTATCCTATTTATAAATAGTTTCCTCAAAGGAGTTACCTACAATAATAATGATATAAATAATTTCCAGGCGAAGCTGAAACGCATGTACACATAGCGTTTTCGTTAACTGAGTTTATCATTCCGGGCGGAAAGAGGAGAGGAGTGTGCACGGGCTGGCTTGAAACTCTGACAGCACCTTTAAGGCGCACCAGCGATGGTGAAGCTGAAGCTGCTCTATGCAGCCAGGTAGAAGCCCTAAGTTTATCACCTGAGGGAAAACCCTCCATCCAGGTCTGTGTTACATAATAAACAGCTCAAGATCCAAGCCAAAAAACATCGTGTAACATTTTATTTTTTCAATTTGTCTTAGATTCCAATATTTATGCGGGCCAGTAGTTTTTTCCATGCTCCAGCGGATTTAAGTCGTCCTGTGATAATGATTGGACCAGGTGTTGGAGTTGCTCCATTTGTTGGTAAGCCATCTTCGTCTAAAATTTTGTTGGGATATTAAGTAGAAAATCAAAAATAACCAATTGCCAAATGTTTTCTTTTCCAGGATTTTTGCAGCAGAGAGAAAAGCAGCTGAAGGACAAAAATCTTATTAAAGTCAGTCGGTGCTGGTTATTTTATGGCTGTCGGTATCCCCTCAGGGATATGATTTACAGGTAAATTAAGGCAATGTCTGTTGAACTGTTTCTAACTGCATTTTACCCAACTGTGACTGTCTCTTTCTTTTCAGCAATGAGATCAAGAAACATGTATTAAATGGGACTCTGGACAGGTATATGGTGGCACACTCTAGGGACAAGTCTTCACCAAAATATGTGCAGGTATTGAAAGCACTTCTGCCTTTTGAAAAGTGGGTAACTTTTAAAGAAATGATCAAATTTTTTTTTCTAATTTTTTGTCAGGATAATATAAGACTTCACCTTCAAGACGTGTGTCAGATGATCCTGGAAGAAGATGCATACATTTTTGTGTGCGGTGATGCAGCTGGCATGGCGAGGGATGTGTTAAGTGTGATCCGTGATTCTATTGCCAAGTACAAAAGTAAGCACAGTGACAGGAGTTCCATTTAAATATTCCTCTGAACTAAGTGTACTGATATTTCTTTAAAATTTAACTCAGATATACCTAAGACAGAGGCACAAAAAATTTTGATGGAGCTGCAGGCTGCAGGAAGATATAAAGAAGACACGTGGACTGTGCAGGACGATGCCGTTCGGATGTACAGCAAAGCAATGGCTGATGACAAGAAGCGCCAAGAAATGAATAATGCAATTGTTGCTTCTGGTCCTGAACAAACATTTGTTGTTTGTGATGTTGTATGACATCAGCTTTCCAAGGTCTTCTCACTTATCCGAGGGGCACCTCGGAATGAGTAGGCCTTGTCCTGTTCGTCAGGAAGATTTAAAATAGATTCTCAAAAGGGTTGACCTCTTATTGTGAATCTGGATAATGAGAAATGTTCTCTCACTACCTGGTAATCCTTGTGAATCAGGAATTTTACCTGACATTCTGCTTGAATCTTTAGTTACCTGAATTTTAAAGTTTATCATTTATGAACTTTTAAGACTTAACTTAAGACCATAAGAGTGCTAAATGCTCTCTTTAAAAATTAACATTAAAGTGAAGCTAATTTGAGCTTATTGTAACTTTCTATTGTGAAATGAAATGTTTCTAATTGATACCTATCATGTTTACCATTCTAGGTGTTTATGAAGTGTTAATAAAACAGAGGCCAATGAATAGAAAAATAATTTAAGTTGTTTTGTTTCAAAGAATTTACAATCACATCACATTTTGTTTTCTTCTTTCATAAAAGGCCTCACATATCAAAGTATGATATGTCCCATTTTAACTTTCATTTTTATGTTATAGAGAGGATTCTCATAGCTTCTTCTGTTTTTTTTAAATGCTATTGAGTCAAGATCTACCATTTGACATTTGTCTTTCTTACTACATTTTACTCTATTGTGCCTAAATCTCCTTACTTTCAGTGTTTCTGACTTTTGTACTATTAAGTGCTTGTAACATAATTTACGAATCTTTACCATTGGACAGTATTTTTAGATGATTGTAAGTGAAGAAGATTCCTTAACAAGATTTGCGTGCATGTGACATGGTTCATGCTGTCGTGAAAAATAAAGGATCTAATGAAAATGTAGATTTGACTTAAATGACTTTTTTAATTATAAACAACAAACAATGACAATATCAACAAAAATGTACAATAATTTCAACAATAACAATCAGGGAATGGAAAACAGTAATTCTAGGAAATATTCATGGGTTGAGGAGGGGCGGTCATGCCCTCACAAGAAGGAAAGAAACAGGAACTGCAATCTCAAAGAGATCCTGCAAGAACACATTTTCAATAAAATAGTGTTGGATCGTCTACAAACAACAAATTATATACTTTAAAAAGGATACACAAAGAAGGTGAAGAGTGTGTGCCAATGAGAATATTCCTGTCTTCAATTACTTTAAATTAAAAGTGTCACATGATATCACAAAAGAGAAGTTTTTAAATTACCTTCCCCGTATCTTAAACAAGTGCTATATAAAATCACATAAAACAATATTAACATAACAGTATATTGGCTCTACAAAAGATCAGTCTCAGTGAGTAAACAAGGCGAAAGAGGGGGTGGCGGAACTCCGGCACTGGTTCTGGTGGGCGGCGACACGCGGCGACCACCGACCTACACCCCGGAGGCCAGCACCTCGTCGAACACTCGCTCGTTCTCGCTTCGGTCCAGCATGTACTTGGGCAGGGACATCTTGAGCGCGCGGTCGAACACGGGTTTGGTCTCCTCCGTGAACATGCCGTCGTCTGGGCCCTGCCCCAGGCCCTCGGGCTCCACCACCTCCTCTTCGTCGTCCTGGAGATCCTCCTTCTCTTCGTCGTCGTCCTCGGCCTCAGCCTGGGCCTGCTCTGCCGGCTCTGCCGCGCGCTGCTGCCGCGACTTGGCACCGCCCTTGGCGCTTGGGGTGGTGGGGGCGGCCACCGCGCTGGGGGCGTTGTTGGAGGCGGCAGCGCGCGCGGTGGCGGTACGTGGCGGCGCCGCAGTCGTGGTAGCAGTAGCGTCAGTCACCTTGGATGACGCCACAGCCTTGGGTGGCGGTCCGGGCTGCTTAAAGGCCGAGGACTGGTGGTAGGCAAGGTGGCTCTGCTTTGGCTCGGACGCGGCCACGAACATGCACTCCTCGTGTTGCATTCCTTTCTTGTCCACGCACTGGTAGCACGTCATCTTGTCCTTCTCCACCTTGGTGCAGTCGGACCGGTCCTTCTGCTGGAATTCCCCCAGCATCCTCTCCAGGTCCTTCTTGGGCACGACCCCCACCGACCCTGGCGGTCCCGCACTCTCGGGCGGCCCGAGCCAAAGCTCTGCGGACGGCCCGGGCCCCGCCAGCCCCGCCCCCACCGCCGAGGTGGTCTCCGCCGCGAAGGGGTCCTCGTCGTCGTCCTCCAGGCGCGACAGCAGGCTGCTCACCTCCTCGCTGGCGTCCTCCTCCGCCTTCTGCTTGCCCTTCTTGGGCTTTTTACTCTTCTTCTTCTTCTCCTTCTTGTCCTTCTTCTTGCCCTTCTTCTCCTTGATCTGCTCCTGCTCCTTCTCCTTGGCGAGCTCGGGGAACAGGAAGCTGAAGTAGTCCTCGTACTTGGGGCCCTGCAGCTGCTCCAGCGAGCGGTCCAGCTCCTCCTGGATCTTGGCGTGGTCCTCCTCGTGCTCGGCGCTGTCCAGCCCGACCGCGAGTCCGTCCTGCGCGTCGCCCGGGGCCTCCTGCTGCCGCTGGCTGTCCTGCGAGGACGTGTCTTGCGACGTGTCCTGCGACGTGTCTTGGAGGGACGAGTCCTGCGCCTCCTGCTGCTGGCGGTCTTCCTCGCGCCGCCGCCGGCGTCTGCTCTTGCCGCCCCGCGGGTTCCCGTACGACGAGGACCTGCCGAAGGAGTAGGACTGTGTCTCGGGCTCCGTGGCGTACTGGCACTGCTCGTAGTTGCCGCCCGTCTTGGGGTCGGCGCACACCATGCACACGGACCCCTTCTTCTTGACCTTCTTGCAGCTGCCGGGCGTGGCGGCGGCGCTCTGCTGCGCCTCGCCGTCGTCGTCCGCCTCGGCGGCCTGCTTCCCCCGCGGCGCGTCGTCGTCGTCGTCGTCGCCGCCGAAGAACTCCGGGCCGAAGCGGTAGTCGTCGCCTTCCTTCTCCTCGCCGTCACTGTCCCCCTCGAAGAAGGCTTCGTCGGGCTCCTCGCGCGTGCGGCGCACGAAGGACCGCATCACGGGGCCCAGCCCGTCGACGTCGGCCGCCCCGAGAGGCCCGAGAGGGCTGCCCCCCAGCCCCACGCCCAGCCCCAGCCCCGAGCCTGGCGCCGCCGCCGTCTTGCCGTGGCTGGCGGCAGCGCGGTGCGCGGCGCGGACTGCGGCGTGCACGGCGGCGTGGCTCGCCGCCTTGGAGGACTGGGCGGCCTGGGTGGCTTGGGCCTGCGACGCCTGCGTCCGCAGCGGGTCCACTGGTGACGGCACGAAGCCGCTCTGCAGGTTGAACCTGGCGGGCCCCGAGCCCCCCAAGCCCTTGTCCGTCACGGGGTCAGCCGTGTGCTGCGAGGCGTCGCGGAAGGGCCTGCTGTCGTACGCCTCGGCGGAGGAGGCCAGCGGGGTGCGGCTCGGCGTGCGGATGTCCGAGGCCGTGGCGCCGGCGCCGGCGCCCTCCTCTTCGTCGAAGCCGAAGTCGTCCTCGTCTTGGGCCTCGGCGTTCGTGCCGGCGCCGGCGCGCAGCTGCTCGGGCTGCGTGTGGTAGTACGACGAGTACGACGGGTAGCGCGCGTTGCCGGCCTTGAGAGGCCGCGAGTGGCCCGCCGTGTCGCCGTCGTCATCGTCGGCCTCGTCGCGGTCCTCGCCGTCCTCGTCCTGGAGGTCGGACTTGGTGCCGGCGCCGTCCGCGAAGTCAAAGTGGAAGAAGTCGTCGTCGGACTGCTGCTCCGCGCGGCCCGCGTCGCCGCCAGCGCCGCGTTTGGCCTTGGCGAAGTCGCCGAAGTCGTCCTCGGCCGAGGACGCGGCGGCCAGCGCGCCGAACGACCCGAAGGGCAGCCTGGACTGCTTGTTGGCGGACAGCGAGCTGGCACTGCGGAACAAGAGTGAGTTAGCCAAGACATTGGATGCCAAGGACGGCATGGTAGGGCGGTGCGCCGCAAGGCCGCGCGGGGCCGCGGTAAAGACCGTGTCGAAGCTGGTGGAACTAAACCGCTTAGGCAAGCTGGCCACTTCCCAGCGATCGGGTCGATCAATCGATTCCGGCCATGTCACCGGGGCATAACAAGCCAGGGAGCCTCACCCGAAGAAGGGGCTGGCGGCCTGCCGCTGTCCCCCGAAGCCGCTGCTGCCGCCGCCGCCCACGCCGCCGAAGAAGGACTTGAAGTCGACGGGCTCCACGAAGCCCGCGCTGGCGTCTCGTTCGGAGGCGGCTGCGGAGGCCTTGTCCGCCCCCAGGCCGCCCCCAAGGCCGCCCCCGGGGTCGCCGCCGCCTCCGTGCGCGCCGAAGTAGCGCGAGAAATCATAACGCGGCGGCAGCGGGGCGGCGTCCTCCAGGCCGCCGACCTTCTTGGGCTGCCCCAGCGAGGCGGCCAGCAGCAGCACGGCTAGCTGCAGCACTGGCTGAGCAGACAAACAACAACAGGCTTTACTTCCAGGACAACGAGAGCGGGCTGCAGATTGGTCCGATTTGCGGAGCCGCCGGCTTATTAGTCATTTGCAAACTGGGTCTGGGATTGCATTACGTCACGTTCCGCCCGGCTCACTGCAAAAAGGAAGGCCGGAAAGGGGGGGGGGGAGGCAGGCACCGAGACCCACTGCCGCTGCCCTCCGGTGTTTTTGTCCGGTCAAATGGCGCCGCGGGGCAATGACACTCCGGCCCGATTCAACCAATTCGACCGGGGAAGGCTTTGAGTGAAGTGCGGATTACGCGAGCGGACGCACGCGCACGCACACAAACACAAACACACACACACAGACACACACACGCACACAGACCGCCGTCCAGCATGCATAACGTAGCTTTATCGCCGGCTTCCTTATTGTGTCCGGGACGCGAAACGGACCGAACGGGATGAAGGGACTGTCCACTTCCAGGGCCCATTGCAGCGAGCATTACAGCGACAGACCCAGTGCCTTACCGAGCCCAGCCGGTGCAACAGTGCAACCCGGACCACTTACAGTGCGGTACCGCGCGCCGCCTGAGTGCCGCCTCGCAGCTGACGACCGTCCGTCCGGCACCGTCCGGTTGCACGTCGGCTCGCGCCCGCCCTCCCCCATAAAACAAATTGATGATAGTTCGGTTTCACAAGCTAAGTTTTATAAAAGACAAGAAATTTAAAAAATTAGTTTTTAAAATAAAGTTTCTGTGAAAACTTTCTCAAAACAGGAAAACTTGAAAAATGAAGCGAATTAAAAGACTAATCTCAGTAATAAAAATTATTTTTTCAAAAAGTTGTCCTACACCTGATCTGTAATTCGCGCCTCTGTGCCTGTGTGCGTGCGTGCGCGCGTGCCTGTAAGTGTTGCCCTCTGGCGGAAGTTTCTGTAAATTGTCACTGTCAACGGTACGGCTGTTCGCAGTCAGTCCAAATTAGACCACCGCACCGTCCACACCGTGTCTGCCCATTTTCCCACCATTAAGCACACATCAAAGGGAAAGGTAAAATTCAAATTATAGTTTGTTACTTTAAAAAGGGGATGGTTCGCTAAGTGAATCGAGAGGATAAGTTTCACTTAGTGCATTGAAAAGAGAAATTTCACTAATGAGGACACAAATCGAATGAAGAAGTTAAGTTTCCTGAACGACGTTTTCCACGAACAGCACGGCAAACTCAAGAGGAAAGAAAATGACCCTCGGTCGTCAGTCAGTCTGACTCGTCAGCTCACCTGGACGTGTGGCATGGTGGTGTGTCGAGTCTGCTCTGGCCATCCGACTTGGTCGCCACTAACTGAGCCAGTATCCGGCCGCCCGGACCCTTTTATACAGGGTGGGGGCCGCGGCGCGCCTCCGGGCCTCCGCGCCGCGGCTCCAGGCGCCCCTCCAACCCCCTCCAGGCCCTGGAGTGCGTGAAGCAGGATGCGATCTTCGGCAAATACCGGCCGGCAGACGAGCGGCACGCGCCGTAACCCCTGCGGCGTGCAGCCAGTGGCGTGCCGCGCCGCGCAGTGCACCGGCGTGGCGGCATGCATCGTGGTGACTGGATAACACGCTCCGTGATACGCTCGGGGGCCGTCCCGGAGCCTCGTGGCGCCGCGGGGGATTAGCGGGCCAGTGGTGGGGAGCAGTCCGCCGGGCGCCTGCCGAGAGCAGGGTAGGCAACCACGAGGCTTGCACGCACGGGCGCATCCGCGTTGCCTACCCGAGGGTTCGCAGGCGCGCGGGGTAGGCAACCACGAGGCTGGCACGCACGGGTGCACCCGGGTTCGCAGGCGCTACGCCAGGGCGAAGCCGCGTGCGTGCGCAGCGGAACACCACTCGTGGTGGTCTTCCCTACAGTGTCCAGATGGATAGAAGCGTGGAACGCCATTATTTTCCAAATTTCCGGGCGATTATTTTTTTTAGATTTAAAAAAAAACCTATTAAAATCTAAAAAAATCTAAAATTGCCCGGAAATTTTGGAAAATAATGGCGCTCCACGCTTCTACCCATCCGCACACTGTAGGGAAGACCACCAGGCGAGGGGTTCGGCTGCGCCTTCCTCGCTGTCTGTATCGCACGCACGGTCTGAACTGGGCTCCCTCACGGAATGATGGCTTGGTGGGTGGGGGTGCTGGCGCGTGGCTGGCCGCGTCCAGGCTAGTCCAGGTTACTGGTCCTGGCCGCCACGTTTTTTAATCACCTCTGTCACGCACAAACATGCCATGCCCACTTCTTGCCCCGCGGGCTGGGGCGGGGCGTGGCGGGGAAGGGTGCGGTATGGCTGATGTCGTTACAGGGTGGACGTGCTTTTGAGTGGACCAACTCCGGTTTGGTCGGTCGGCGCGCGCCGCAGAACTGGGCGGACTGGACAATGAGACACACGTACGGGCCGGTGACGCTCAGCACGCCCGCGGCCGTCTGCGCCGCCTGCGCCGTCTGGGTGAGTAGAAGTAGGCCTACAGTGTGGGCCCTACACGCTGCGCACTGCCACTGTTTGTCAAGTGGCGCGAAGGGTTTCGGCTGCAAAGAGGACGCTTCGAGATGGGACCAGTGATGCGAGCGGGGTCCCGCTGGTTCCCCCGCGCGGCCCCCGCCTACCCTGCCATATTGGCAGACGCGCCGACCGGGAGGCCTCGCCGCGGAGCCCCCCGCGGAGCCCCCCGCGCACCTCCGAAACAGCCACCGCCGACGCAACAACCCCGTGAAGGGCTGCGGGGGCGCCATGGGCGGCGCGGGGGCCGCGGGGGCCCGGGGGGTCGATAGAGCCCCTCCCTTAACCCGCCCTCGCCGCCCTCTCTGCCCACGCAGGGAACTGTTGATTCCCCGGTTTCGACCAGGCGCGCACCCCGCCCAGGAGGTGGCCCGGCCCGGGGGAGCCCCCCCCCGCGCCCCGCCCCGCCCGGGCCCACACCACCACACCACAAGGGCCGCGTTATATCGTCATCGCGCGGCGTGGCGGGCACGCCCTGGCACGCCCTGGCACGCCCTGGCACGCCCTGGCGAGCCGCAGGTGCGACAAGGCGAGGTCGCGACGCCTCGACGCCCCGCCTGTCTCGGCCACGGCGCGGCTCGGGTCCGAGTCCTGGGGGCTCCACTCCCGTCATCCATAAAAAGAATGACCCGATTAGACGGTTTTGCCCTCAAAATATATCTGAGGAATTTTGTGTAGTCCTCGAATTCTTGTAAACATGAGTCCGTTCAAAAACGAAGTGTCGACTTCGACGCGACCCCCTTTGCTCCGACTGCCGACCTCTGACATGGCGTGGACGTTTCCAGGCCGTGTTCGTACCGGACACCCAGGGCACCGCCATCCCCCAGGGAGTGCTGTACTCGCCGCAGGGACAGGTAAATCAATATTTCGTTCGTTTTGTACTCGAGCCTCTCGTTGGCCCCCGCAGTTGAGAATGTGGTTTCCGTAAACGCAGGACTCGCCGAACGCGTCCCGGGTGCTGCTGGTGGCGGCGGCGAGCGCGCCAGAGCACCAGGAAGCAACGCACGAAGCCGCCGACGAAGCCGCCCACGACGAGGACAAGGCCCAGCAGCAGAAGGCGGACGACGAGGACGCCGTCCACGACCAGGGCGACGCCCACGATGAGGAGGGAGACGCCCACGCGCACGAGGACGGCCGCCTGCAGAAGCACGCGCACGAGAAGGACGACGAGGAGGGGCAGCTTCGAGAGAAGGACGCGCACGAGGACGCCGTCGACGAGGAGGCCGCCACCGAGGACGACGCCGACAAGGAGGGCCTGGAGGACGCTGGCGACGACGCACGTAAGGAGCCTCGCGTCACGGAGGAGCCAGCCGAGGACGGCGGCGATGGAGGTGGCGGCGACGGCGACCTGGGGGCGGCGTTCGGCGTGGGGGCGGGGCTGCAGGCCCCGGAGAGGCTGACCTGGCCCACGGGGTGGTTGTGGGACTCGGGCCCCGCGCGGCTGCAGGAGCCGGGGCAGCACTCCGTGCCCGCCGTCTTCGGCGTGGGCAGGGACTACCGCCACCTGGGGATGCGCGCGGCCTTCGTGCCGCTGCCCCTACCGCGCGCCGCCGCCAGGGCGCGCAGGGCCGCCAGCCCCGCCAGGGTGGCGAGGGACGCCGGGGACGACTTCGACGGTGAGGAGCGGAGCGCCGTGGCCTTGGGGAGCAGCACCGCAATCGAACTCGATTAAAATGACGATTCTCACTGAAACGCCGCGTCCCTTCATTTCGCCTCGCTAACACCCTCCCTCCCTTCCAGACGGCCTCTTCCGCGACTCCGGGTTCGACTCCCTGGAGGAGGCCGGCAACCAGGACTTCCAGGAGGTGGCCAGCAAGGGGCGGCACGGCCACGAGGACCACAAGCACTCCTCGGAGGAGAAGGGAGGCAAGTGGGAAGACGATGCGGACCAAGGTGAGGAAAAGGGAGGCAAGCACCTCGAGGCGGCGGGGCAGAGGGGGGAAGGCCACCTCCACGCCGACAAGCACGACACCTCCGCCGGGAAAAAGGTGTGTTCCTAACCGCGGCCCTCCCAGCCCCGGCGGCCCCAGCCGGGACTCACCCAGCGCGGCCCAGCGCCACAGGAGTCCACCTCCTAACAAAGCAGAGACCACGATCAACGAAACAACGGCCATGACTGCTTCCGTTTCTCTCGCCTTCCAGGGTTTTAGTGACAAGTACAACTTCGACAAAACGAAAAAGCACAGCTCCTTCTATAAGAACGGCCAGAAGAAGGGCTCGTTCAAGGAGTGGGGCCACGACGACTCGTACTTCTTCGACAACGACGCCGGCGACGAGACGGGCAAGTTCGAGAAGGTTCGTGGCCCTCCCTCCCCTAACGCCATTTGTCCAGTCGGCAGAGAGACGGCCAAGTCAAGGGTCTTGTGGTTGGTCTTGCAGAGCGGCTCGCGGGAGAAGCACTCGGGGCACTCGGGCAAGTCGGCGCACCAGCACGCCGACGCGGCCGGCGACGAGTGGGGCGGCAAGAAGGGCTTCCAGAACCACTACAGCGACACGGAGCGCTTCGCGGACAAGGACCGCCACCACAGCAGCGACGGCTACGGCTACGGCAGCCAGGACGGCCACGCCGAGTACTACAAGCACACGCCAGGCTTCTACTCGTGGGGCTGAAGGCTTGAACGGCCCGCGGGACCGAGTGGTGCGAATGGGACGCCTTTGTCGTCATGGTGTTTAAGTTGTTATAGTTGGAACTCGATCTCAAATGTAAACTGGTAGTAGGCTGTGATTCCCCAGGATGACGTGCCCCCCCCCAACCCCCCAAAAACCCCCACCCCTTCCCGGCCATCCGGCCTAAGTAGGCGGTCTCCCGTTTCAGCCGCGCAGGCAGGCCGATGGATCGGGTTGTTGCCCGGTCTCCCAGCATGCGTCTCGATTGCTCAATGCTGACCTACCTCCCACACTGTTTAACAAGGGCTTCGGCGCGGCCACTCCCCCTTTACAGTGGCCGGTGTTGCCCCCCGACACCCAGCCAACCGCGCGCTAAGTACCTGCCGCTGAAATGCACCAGCTTCTGACAGTCCGAACCAGTCCGAACCCAACCCTTACAACATGACCCTATTCCCCCACTCCTCGTTAGAGCGTAACTGCACACTATATCGGCCATATCGCTCGATGGGGGCGGGCTGGGGCCGGCCGAGTCCACTGAGGGTTGGAGAGGGTCGGCTCTCGGCGGGGCGGGGCGGGGCGGGGCGGGGCGGGGCCGGCCGACCGCGACTATAGACTGTCTTTCTGCCGGACTGGCCGGGCCAGGGAATACAGCACCTGTCATTCCTCGCTGCCCGGCAATTGAAGGCAGGCCGGCCGATGATTCCGAACATCGGCGCCCCGTCGCTCTGCCTCTCTCGCACTCGGGGGCCGTCTCGCATGGGTGCGAGAGGGACAGAGCGACAGCGGGGCTGCACGGAATCATCGGCCTATGCTGGCCGGCTTCGCTGGACGGTCAGCTAGACAAACAAGGGGCGGGGGTCCGCCACGCCACGCCACACCACGCCACGCCGCGCCACGCCACGCCACGCCACGCCACGCCGCGCCACGCCGCGCCACGCCACGCCACGCCGCGCCACGCCACGCCACGCCACGCCACGCCACGCCACGCTGCGGTATGGAAGTCAGTCGCCAGCAGGGAAGGGGGAGTGGCGATTCACAGGGAATTGGTTATGAAGAGCGCGATGCGAGACCGCACTGTGAGGGGGCTGCGGGGCGAGGGGCGAGGGGCGAGGGGCGAGGGGCGAGGGGCGAGGGGCGAGGGGCGAGGGGCGAGGGGGGCGAGGGGCGAGGGGCGAGGGGCGAGGGGCGAGGGGCGAGGGGCGAGGGGGTGGCGGAGGGAAGTCCAACCGCCCGGCCGCCCCGTCCCTCGCTGCGGCTGGCTGCCGCGCCCCGTGCAGGCCCCGCGGGGCAGACATGTCAGTGCCGAGCAGGACCCGCGTCCTTCATAAGGGCGAGTGTGCCGCGGATTCCCTCTCCGCGCGAAAATAGAAAATAGGGCCGCGCCGTGCGTACACCGCTACTTCTTTGTGTGTTCAGCATCCGCTTGCGGTGTGGCGAGGTGGACGACGGCGAGCCGCGTCGCGCACGCACTCATTGTTGTGATAGTCATTCGATTGTGAGTAATGATTTCAAACAAATTAAAATACCCTTACTTTTTTTACGAGAAAATGTTTGTTTGTTTATTTACTTTTGCGTTTGAAATGTCACTTTCCCCCCAAAAGACATGCAAAAACACCAAATTGGCGTGGTTTTGGTTTCAATGTTTGGTTGGGTTGTCGAGATTTGCGAGAGAGCCTCCCAATGAGGACTCGTCGCGATGCTTCGGACACACAGCTGCTCGGCCGCCCAGCGCCTCCAGCGGCCGGCCGCTCTTTCAGGTGAGTACCGCCACCGCCAACCGACCAAGAGGTCAATTCCAAACAGTCGCTGTCTCTCTCGCACTCGTGGGGCGTACCGCTGGGGTGCGAGAGAGACAGAGCAGCCGGAATGAGCCTCCAGCCTGCCGGGGTGCTCCTGCTCCTCCAGGCGGCGGCGCCGTTCCTGGCCGGGCGCGGTGGTCCCCGGCCTCCACATGCACCGCGTCGTCCTCGTCTGTGTCGTCCTGCTGGGCTGCGGCTGCACCGCGCAGGACGCGCCCAAGCTGCGTGAGTCTCCACTCGCTCTATCTCCCTCGCACCCATGCGGCGTCCCTCATGGGTGCGAGAAAGACCGAAGCACCGTTTTGGATACTACTTGACCGCCACGCCCCGCGCTCACACTGTTGCAGTCCTGGTGGCGGACAAGGGCCAGGAGGCGCAGGTGGACACGCTGAGCACGGCGCTGGCCGAGGACTGGCGCACGCAGAACGTCCTGGTGGACAGGGAGTCCGACAACGAGGTCGCCGACGGCGCGGACAGCCGTCAGTATTCCCAGCGACGCGAAGCCTGGCGTCCGGGACTGCCTACCCGGGGCCCGGCAGGGCGGCGCGCGAGGCTAGGCTAGGCACACTGGGGCAGTCCTGGACGACGACGGCGAGCTCCGGGCCGCGCTCTGCAAACCGATTCCGAAAGTCGTTCCTGTAGCTCTCCGTCGCACTCATGGGGCGTTCAGAATGGGCGCGAGAGAGACAGAGCGACAAAACGACTCTCGGAATCAGTCTGCTGAGGCAAGGCCGTGCCGTCCGCGGAGGGCGCGACCGATCAGGTGTGAAAGTGGCGGTGCGTTGCAGCCAATGGTTGCAGCGGCGGCAGCCTTGCCTTGCCACTGCCAGCACCGCCAGCCCCGCCAGCCCCGCCGGGCCGGGACGAAAGCGTGTCCATGTCAACACGCCGCCCTGCCCCGCCCTGCCCTGGCGGTCCTGTTGACACCGCGGCCGGGGATAATTAACGGACGCAAAACGCCATGCACCAGGGATCCCTTTTTCTAAAGTGGGACTTCCCCGAGCGAAATGCGAAGTACGAAATGCCCAAGCTCTTTTGCAGTGTGCACCGCGCTGGGGTCCACGGCCCTCGTCCTGGACGTCACCTGGAGCGGCTGGGACAAGTAAGCAGCGTCCGTCTCTCGCACCTGCGGCCTACGGCGGCCTGCGAGAGCGTCGCCCTCGCACGCGCGTCGTCTCTCGCACCCCTGCGGCCCTACGGGGCGGCCAGCGAGTGCGAGAGAGACGGCACTGTAGGCGCTCCCTGTCCGCAGGCTGCGGCGTCCGTCTCTCTCGCACCCCTGCGGCCCTACGGGGCGGCCAGCGAGTGCGAGAGAGACGGCACTGTAGGCGCTCCCTGTCCGCAGGCTGCGGCGTCCGTCTCTCTCGCACCCCTGCGGCCCTACGGGGCGGCCAGCGAGTGCGAGAGAGACGGCACTATTGGCGCTCCCTGTCCGCAGGCTGCGGCGCTTGGCGCGGGCCGCGGGCACGCCGTACCTGCAGGCCGACGTGTCCGTGAGGCACTTCTTGGCGGCGGCCGACGACGTGCTGCGCTACCGCAACGTCACTGACGCGGCCCTCGTCTTCGAGAGCGAGGAGGGTACGCACTGGCAAGTCCGTGTTGTCTCTGTCGCACTCCTTGGGCGTCCCGCGGGGTGGGTCAGAGACAGGGGGACATTTGCCGCGCAGAGGGTAGTGTTGTCCGTTGTCTTCCCCAGAGCTCTCGCAGGGCATCTACTACCTGGTGGGCCGGTCCCCGCTGCGCGTCGTGGTGCTGCCGGGGCTGGACGCCGCCAGCGGGTCCGCGGCGCGCCTCGCCGCCATGCGCCCCACGCCCAGCATGCACGTCCTCATGTCGGCCGGCAGCGACCTGGACGCCCTGACGGCCAAGGCCGCGCGCGCCGGACTCGTGGGCAGGTGTGTGCCAGTGCCGAGGTTGTCGTCGGCCGCGAGAGTGCGAGAGAGACAGAGCGACTACAGTGACGCGGCACAGGTACACGCGCTGGATGCTGGTGGACACGGCGCTGGCGACGGGGCTGCGCGACACCAGCCTGCTCAACAACTCCACCATCCCGGTGACGCTGCTCACGCCGCGCGCCTCGCTGTGCTGCGCGCTGCGCGGCGAGGACACCGACGAGGGCCCCTGCACGTGCCCGCAGCCGCGGCGCCTGCACGAGATGCTGCTCCCCGCCATCGCGGACCTGCTACACGAGCTGGCGGCCGCGGCGCGCGCCAGGGGCGTCGCCCTGGACAAGCAGGAGGCCGTGCCGCAGGCCGCGTGCGACGCGGCGGCCGCGGAGGGGGAGGAGGGGGAGGTGGCGGGCAGCGACGCCCCTAACCCGCTGCTGGAGCTGCTGCAGCAGGTCTGAGACTCTGAGACTCGCCCACTCTGTCTCTCTCGCACTCGTGGGACATCTTCTAGGTGTCCGAGAGAGACAGAGCGAGGAAAGCATCCTCCGGAATCGCAATGTGCTTAACAGTGATCGTCCCCGCAGCTAGTGACGGCGCGCTCCGGCGCGGGCAAGTCCGGCCTGCTGCTGCAGCGGCTGGACCGCGCGTCCGAGGCCGCGCTGCTGCCCAACCTCGTGCTGGACGTGTCCGTGGTGGCGCCGGGCGCCGACCAGGGCGGCCAGGTGGAGGCCGAGGCCGAGGTGGTGGGCGAGTGGTCGCACGCTTCGGGGTACACGCCGCGCGGCGAGATGCCGCCCCTGCGGCGCTACTTCCGCGTCGGCATCGTGCAGGTGACGCGTCTGTCTCTCTCGCACTCGCGAGGGTCGCCTCAAGGGTGCGAGGGAGACATGACGCGTGCGGTGTGCGGTGCGCAGAGCATGCCGTGGGCGTACCGCGAGAACGGCGAGTGGACGGGCTACTGCGTGGACTTCGTGGGCCGCCTGGCCTCCATGATGGAGTTCGACTACGAGCTGGTGCCCAGCGACGACTACGGCGAGCGCGACAAGGCGACGGGCCGCTGGAGCGGCGCGCTGGGGGACTTGGTGGCGGGCAGGACGGACCTGCTGGCCGCGGACCTCACCATGACGGCCCAGCGCGAGGAGGCTATCGACTTCGTGCCGCCCTACTTCGAGCAGTCCGGCATCTCCATCGGTGCGGAGGCCTGCGCGACCCGCGGAGAAACCCCGACACATTTTGACGTTCGTTTTGATATCATTATGACGTCATCCCGCGCGCCCTTTGAGCCGTTTGCTTTGCCGCAGTGATCCGCAAGCCGGTGCGCAAGACGTCGCTCTTCAAGTTCATGACGGTGCTGCGGCTCGAGGTGTGGCTCAGCATCGTGGGCGCCCTGGTCATCACGGCGCTCATGGTGTGGCTGCTGGACCGGTTCTCGCCGTACTCCGCGCGCAACACCAAGTACCCCTACCCCTGCAGGTTCGTCCTGGAGTCCTGGAACTAGCAGTCTGGTAAGGCCTCGCCGACTAATTGCTCGCCGTGCCCGCGCAGGGACTTCACGCTCAAGGAGAGCTTCTGGTTCGCGTTGACGTCGTTCACGCCGCAGGGGGGCGGCGAGGCGCCCAAGGCGCTGTCCGGGCGCACGCTCGTGGCCTCGTACTGGCTGTTCGTCGTGCTCATGCTGGCCACCTTCACCGCCAACTTGGCCGCCTTCCTCACCGTCGAGCGGATGCAGGTGTGCCTGTCGCTGAACGCCTCCCAATTTCCCCAAGCAGCGTAGGGGTTGTGGACGATTACGTTCTTGTTGGCCTCGTGGCGGCGCAGACCCCGGTGCAGAGCTTGGAGCAGCTGGCGAGGCAGTCCCGCATCAACTACACCGTGGTGGAGGGCTCCGAGGCGCACCACTACTTCCAGAACATGAAGCTGGCGGAGGACACCCTCTACAGGTCAGCGCGCCAGTCGCAGTCGCGCCAACTCATGCAGTCGTCCCTTTTTAGAACGTCATTTTGAGTCTGACAGTTGCGACACTGCCCTCAGGGTGTGGAAGGAGATCACGCTGAACGCGAGCAGCGACGAGACCCAGTACCGGGTGTGGGACTACCCCATCAAGGAGCAGTACGGCCACATCCTGCTGGCCATCGAGCGCGCCGGCACCCTGCCCAACGACAGCGTGGGCTTCCAGAAGGTCGGCCCGCCGCCTCGACAGCCTCGTCGCTCTGTCTCTCTCGCACTCATGGGTCGTGCCGCGTGTGTGCGAGAGAGACAGAGCGACGCATTCTTCGTTTCGGAACGGGGCTCGGCGACAGGGCATTCCCTGAGCACAGCCAGTCGCACTGTGACGCTGTTTTCACGTTTCTCGCTCTGTGACGCCTACACTGCGACAGGTGCTGGACAGCGAGGAGGCCGAGTTCGCCTTCATCCACAACGCGGCGCACGTGCGCTACGAAGTGAGCAAGAACTGCAACCTGACGGAGGTGGGGGAGGTGTTCGCGGAGCAGCCGTACGCCCTCGCCATCCAGCAGGGCAGCTACCTGCAGGAGGAGCTCAGTCGCAGGTCGGCCTCTCGCCCAAATTTGACCATAATTTCACCCCCCCCCCCGGCCCTATAAAATTTCGTTTAAGAAATTCTGGCATCGCAGGATCCTGGAGCTGCAGAAGGACCGCTACTTCGAGGCTCTGACGGCCAAGTACTGGAACTACAGCCGGCTGGCCGAATGCTCCGGGGACGGCGACAACGAGGGCATCACGCTGGAGAGCTTGGGTACGCTGTAGCATGGCTTTAGTGGTGTGTGGTGCGCCGTCTGTCTCTCTCGCACTGCTCACGGGGCGACGGCGCGTGTTTCGTGTTTGTCGTTGCAGGCGGCGTGTTCATCGCCACCCTGTGCGGCCTGGCCTTCGCGCTGCTCACGCTCGGCGCCGAGGTGCTCTACTACAAGCGCAAGCAGGGCTCGTCCGTGTCGGACCTGCAGTCCGAGGCCACCAAGAAGGGCCAGGGCCGCTCCGGCCTGGGCTCGGCCATCATGCCGCCCGTCGACACCAACGACAAGACCGTGCTGCTCACCAAGGCGTCGTTCGCGGCCCTGGCCAAGCAGCGCCGCAACGTGGCCATGCCCTCCATCGCGGAGATGGGAGGCCGCCAGGGCCCGCCGGGGACGCTGGGCCCGACCCCCACCCCCGGCGTCGCATACATCTCCGTCTTTCCCCGAGACCTCTACTGAGACGAGGCTCCGTCCGCCCTCGGTGGTTCTCATTCGGATTTAATAAAGGCATTCTCTCAAGCTGGGCAACTCGGATGACATCTTTCCGAGACCCCACATTGCGGTTGGGGGAATCGGTTGGTTGGAACGGACTTCCCTGGCAACGGCATCACGCCGACAATGCCCACCGCGACGGCAGTTCTATACTTCTCGAGTGTAAGTGGGGTGGTAAAGACTTTTAAGAAATCAAACACAAACTGAAAGTTATCAAATTGTTTTATTCGACAAAGTAGATAAGTACATGTTAGCTTTTAAAACTGGTAACATCTAATTTCAGCCGGTGTAATGCACAAAAAAGGTAAATTTGCTCACCTTAAACCTCTCATACAAAATATATATTTTCATTTGGCAAGGCATATACACATTAATAAATATGAACAAATCTGTACATAAATACATAAATTTACCAAGATTCAATCCGAGTGCAAAGCAGCAGAAGTCGCCACTACTCTAATCACAAGATAATGGCAACTCTATGGCACTTCCCAGGAGTGCTTCTACAAGAGCAGCATTAATTAATGAAAATGATGATAGCACATGGGATGAAAGTATGTCTATGGAGCAAGGTGTTGACAGCATCTAAAAGTAAATTGTTTCAACTAACACCAATTCTAAGTTTGAGAATTTATTACTGACAATTACATCAAGGTAGAATAATCTTTCTTCCTCAAATCCCATCAACTTGAGCAGTAACACTAAGTTATCATCACTTAAGACAAGAGGTTTCCACCCTTAACCCTGAACATGTATTTCCTATAAGCAAAAAGTACTGTGAGAAGCTTAAAAATAGGGATGGAAATAAAAATAGAAGGAAAAAGGAATGATTACATCATTACATTTAATCATAGTGGTAGTACGTACAAAGCCAAGTAAAAAAATAAAATAAACTATGTAAATAAAAAGAGATTATTTATGACAAGCTGCTAGTGTCATAGAATAAATCTCATAACGATAAACACACAATAAATATCAGGGTATGAAATTACACCATTTTTAGTTTATGAAATAGAAGGACCTGCCAAAACGTTCATTGGACTAAGTGGTCTTTGAGGCTAGAGTCCCATCTATGAAAAGTGCTGCATTGAGCAAGGTGCAAGATGATGCTATTCTCCTACTTTATTAATAAGCTCATCACAGATAGCCGTAAGAGCCTGATTTTCTTTTACTTTTTGCTCCAAAGTTTCTTCAAGGGACTTAGTCTTAATCTCTAGTTTTTTAATCATAGCCTTCAGCTTTGCGTTTTCTTGTTGATGTTTCTGTCGGATTGCTTCCAGGTCTTGATTGGCCCTAGAAAAAAAAATCAATCAAATTAAATAATTTTCGTTGACAACCAGATGCAATTCCTAAAATCACAGGCATGAATAACTAACCCCCTCCCCCTCCCTCCCCCAAAAAAACTCCTGCATAGAGAACTTACTTTTCTAATTTTGCAACAGCATGTGATTTGAGCAAGTCGTACATGCTTTGCATCTTGTCGTAATTGGCTTGTTTCTGATCTAAAGCAGCATTTAATGTTTCTTCATTTGTTTTGAAGACCTCCACGACTGACTTCAATCGTTCATATTTCCTAGGAAAAAGCAAACAAAGTAACACATGAAAATTGTGCTTGCAACAACGTATCGGTACTATTTAAAAAATCGGAGGAAGCAATACTGATTACTTACGTATGGATGTCAGAAAATGCAATTTCCATATTATTTAAGTGCTCCTGGGCTTGATCTCGTTCTTTGATCAACTCCACCTGTTTCTCATCAGAAGCAGCTTTTTCTTGGCTCTTTTCTGCTACAAGCCTGGATATTGTTTTCTCATACTCCTTCATGATCACACTGAAACATACCCAAAGTTAAAAACCAACAGTTTCCTGAATTACAAAAATGGTTTCATGGTGGAAAGAGGTACAAACTTACTTGAGCTCACCAAGACTCTGAGTCTTCTCTTGAAGCTGCTGCTGCAGCTGCTGTACGAGACCCTTGTCTCCTTGACTGGTTTGCAGCTCCATCTCTTGCAGCCTCTGCTCCAGCTCAGCTATGCGTTCCTGCAACAGCCACTCAATTAATACCTGCACATGTGTCGAAATATCACGACAGAGGCAGTGCTGTGAAAAGCCTTACCTGGTATGCCTTGTCTTGTTCCTCTAACACAGACTGACGCTCTTGAACTTTTTTGATGATGTCTTCCTGTTTGACAGAGGCCCCCCGTAAGCCAATGTTCTCGAGAGTCTCATTAAGCATAACATGAACTGGTGTTTTGGCTGGGTTTGATTTGACTGCTCCTTTTAGAGGGGTTGAAGGCGCTGTAGCCTGCAAGTGTAACAAGGATGTATCAGAAAAAACAATGAAAATTAATGATGACTAGTTGAAATTGTTGCATCAACCTGGGTGAAAGATCTATTAAAGTATGTGTGAAGAACAGCCATAATTATAGGAAGATGTGACACTACACTCTCCACAAAGAAAATTTCATTAAACATTGCATGGGGAGAAAAATTCAGATTTAGAAATTTAGGAAAAGTGAAAAATCATTTGAGGACCAAAATAAAAGAGAAACTTGGCTTTAACAATGAAACCCCTGTTGCTACGAAAACTTCCATGACAACTCTAGCAGCCAAATAGTAAATCACCTGTTTGCTGGAGGATGGACTGAGGGAGACTAGTTTCTCGGATGCACTTAATTGAGACTCTGAAGACTGCAGACCTTCATCTCCTGAAGCTGTCTGACCGGATTGATTGTCAGAACTGAACAAAACCAATGACATTAGGAAACAAGAAACCATTGTCATATACTATACAAAAAGAAAAAATTGGAGATTCTACTGACCTGTTTTCCGGATGCATTATAGAGAACGAATCTGATAGAGAGCCCACCAATGGGTCGAACTTAACGTAGAGACTTTCCTTTCGAAAATCTCGAGTTATATTAGAACCACCACGCTGTGATAGAAAGTCAAATCCTGACGAATCCACAAATGCTGTTCAGACAATCCAAATTAGAATCAATTGTAACATTCACCCTTCTTAAATACATTGCTTGGGACAAGTGAAGACACATACCATCTGCACCACTGGTAAACTGGTCCTCCAGTTCAACCTATAATTAACAAGAAAAACACAAATTATAATTCTTAACTTGAAAAAGCAACCACACAGCATTGAATCATTATTAAATTTAGTCATTAAAATAGAAAAATAAACTAAAGGAGGAAGAACATGCAGCTAGTGCCAAACAGAACATGCAATAATTTGAAAATAATAAGAAAAGTGATCAAGCCACAGATACAGCAAAAGAAAGATTTAAGGCCATTCCTGTCACATTACCTTAACTGGGGGACTTTGAGGTTGTACTTGGATGTTGGCTGCAGAAGATTTAGTATCAGACTCAAGGTCTACTTTTATAACAGTCTGATTGGCTAAATCAGAACCTAATGATTCCATGCTACCCGCCCTTTGAGATTCACTCAAGAGTCTACCAGCTTCATCAGCAAGATCCTTAAATTCTGATTCCCCTAACTCAAGATCTTGTTCTTGTAGTTTGCACTTCTCAATGAGCAAATCTAGACCACTATTACTTTCAGGCTCTAACTCCCCATGAGCATCCAAAATAAGAGCAGGTTCCGATTCCTCTTCTAAAAAGGTAGATTCAGATGATATCAATTGGGCATAAGACTCATTTAGCTTCCTAGGCGATGATGCACTTGAATTTAAATTTGAAAACGATGGGACAGCTTGTTCAGGATCATTTCCAGCAGCTAACTGAGCAGCAAGAATTTCTTCGAAAGTCCGATGAGGGTTGGAAGGAATCGGGGCCTCCTCTGCCGAAAAAGAGGGCACAGCGTTCTCTGGGTCACCCTCAGCAGCTAATTCTGCTTCAAGTATTTCTTCAAAGGTTCGTGCAGGTTTAATGGGGATGGCAATTTCATCAAATTCTGGCCCTGTCTCGGGTGAACATTGAATTACACCGCAGCTGTCAGCTGATTCAGCATTAACAGACTCATCCAGAGACGTAGTCGATTCCGTTTCCACCAATGACGGGCTTGTACTGTTTTCAACTGCAGGAAGTTCAAGAGGTTGGTCAACAAGTACAGTCTTTGGCTCTGGATCTGTAGTCTGACAGTTCAGATTCTGAGCTGCAAGTTCTTCTGCCAGAATTTCTTCAAATGTTCTTTGTTTCTTGGTGGGCAAAGGAGCTTCATCAAAAGTACTTGCAGCAGTAGGAATTATTTTAGGTGGCTCAGGCAAAGAAAAATCTTCAGAATGCACAAGGGGTGTATCCTCAAAAGAATCTCTATGCTCTTGCATGACTTCATCATTCAAAGAAGAATTATTTTCAGAAACATGCTCACCAGAAACCAAAACATTAGTTTCTACTGGTTTAGTAAGCTCTTGGGACGATTCGACAACTTCACTTGAATTATCTAGTTTAAGTGCATTTTCAGCTTCTGGACTCTTTACTGCAGGCTGTGTACAATGACCAGTAAAAGCTGAGGAGGAAACTTCTTCAGGATGCTTTGAAGGGAGAGTCTCTGGCTCATGGGTACTTGGGCTTTCTTTTTCACAACTTGTTTGGGAAAGACTGTCAGAGATTACTTCTACAACTGTCTGATTTAATGTAGAGTGAATTTCTTCACTTTCTGATTGAGATGAATCCTGACTAATGGAAATCGCAGGAAGAGAAACACTTTCATTAATGTGTTCTGCCAAGTTTTGTTGGGGCACTTCTGGGTATAGTGCTGAATTATTGGCAGAGAATGATGGATAAGTATAGCTCTCATCCAACCCTTCCAATAACTTGGCTTCAATTGCAGACAATTCAGAATAATTCAATGATGAGTAGTTCAATGATGAGGAGTTAAAATTTTCACCAAGACCCTCTAACTCCTTTAGCGCTGCAGCAGAAATTTCACTGTCAGTATCAGGCTGTTCCACCTCCACGACAGATAAGTTGCCAGAACTGGAGTCCGAAGCAATGTCCACAGTCTGATTTAAATCTTGTGACTTCTGGCAGTCATTGGGAATACTAGTTTCTTGTAACTTGCAAGAATCTTTTCCTGTGATTTCTTCAATTTCTTTTTCATCAGTCTCAGTCAGTGTAATAGTGGTGTCCAACGACTCCTTAACACCTGGTTCAGTAACAGAGATTGAATCTTGCTCTGATGATGAATTCAAATCCCCAGACACATCTGAAGCCAAAGTGACATGGCCCCTAGGTGATGAGGCATCATCTTTACGTTTGAGAGGTGTTGACAAACTAAGACTACCCAAATGGTCAACAAGAAATGACACACTTAAGGGATCTGCACTTTGTGCAGAATTCTCCAGTTGCACTGTTTCATTGAGGGCAGTGTTTGCACCTTCTTCATATGTCTGATCAAGACGATTTTCCTCAAAGGGACTGGAAACTGCGATGGGACGGTTTAACGAAACCCCTTCAGAAGATTTAAAAACTTCTTCAAACCCACTGACATTTCCCTCAGTTTCCCCTGCACTCTCGTAAGCAGTTGAAGTGTCAGTGTCTGAAACAAAAATTAATGCCTACCCTTTACCAAAGTGATGCAAGCCAGAAGCTCCTATTTTGTGAGTTGGTTAAAACCTCCACCCCACCCCCTATCCATCCAGAGGTAAAGGCCACCACTTCACTTTTAGATAAGAAAAATAATAATAAAAAATTGAAGCAGCCTTGTGGATGAATAATTGAGAGGATTAAGAGCCATGCCAGCAAACAGTGCTGCGGTAAGTGGTGTATATTGCATTCAAGACCATATATACAGAAAAGCAGGTTTAACCTATGCTTTTATTAAAATTTGATTCTAACTAAAACTGAAATCTTAAGGCCACTGCTAAAAAACCTCAGCAACTAAAAATATAATTTTAAAAAAATTTAAAACTTTGAAGATTGACATTAAGGACTACTTTAATGCTAAAATAAAAAGAATTCAGAAAATGCAAAAATAATCCAAATGAAACATAACTAACACTGCTGGACAACAACGAACTGATTTAAAGAAAAAGCACAAGACCTACCTGATTCTGCCCCGTAGTGTCTGCCTGGCGACGCTAGGTGCAGGCTGTCGGGGATCGAAGTGTTGCCTGAGCTCAAGGCGCTCACAAAGCTGTTCTCTGATGCGACTGAAGTCCGGTCGCCCCTCTCTTGCCAGCTGCTGAAACCAGAACTACCTCTTAGATCCCCGACAGAGTCGTCCACCGGCGTGGGTCTCGTACATCACCAAGCCTTCCGTCTCACCTTTGGTTTGGGGACAGCAGGGAGTCGCCGGTCGCCTCGGCCGCAACCTGCCCGCCTAGACCCTGGCCGCCTAGGCCCTGCGCCTGAAAACCAACCGACATTAGTTGTTGACTGTTCAACAGCCGAGCTATGAGCTCCATGACAGGGAGGGACGCGTCGTGCTTGGCACAGCGCCGCTAGACTTGTGCCTCACGCCCTCGGCTGCCCTCGGCCCTCACGCCTTCCGCAGCACCGCCCAAAATAACGCACCGCGAAGGGAAGTCGACGCAAGAGGGGGAAGTGCCGCTAGGGGCACGCGGCACGCCGCTAGGTCACTGTCGGGGTCGCCGCTCGCCGCGCCTGAGCACGCGCCGCCGATACACTAGACAGGAACATCTCACACATGCATCCCCCTTTCCCCCACCCCTTTCCCCTCCTACAGTTGCATCACAGACGCGGGGTAGTGACAGCTGGCTGGGTGACAGGCAGAGTCTGTGGGGAGCTGGAGTAGAGACAGCCTCCAATGCAAACCACACATGATCACAATATTAATGAATAAACAAACTGAAGTACATGAGGTGACACACTATTGACACTGACAATTTATATGGATGACAATAATGAGCTTGGGAACTTTATCAGAGGCACAGGTTAACATTTAACCTTTAAAACCCCAGGCAAAACAATTCTTAACTACAAGTCCTCAAATGTCGACTTAAACTCAACTTCCTCATCGGATAGAAGAAATTAATTCAATATTAACGTTCTGAGACCAAAATGAAAAAAAAAATCACAAAATTCTAGCAAGAAAAATTTTGGAACTTGGTTACAGAACCAAGTTCCACATCATCCCTGCATTCCAGAAGACCTCAAAACCAATAAGGACACATACGTAGAGTCCAAATCTTATAACGCTAACCTTCATTCAACGTTTTAATCAAATTAACTCCTTGCAACCTCGGGGTGGGTGCCTGCTGGCCATCTCACTGCAAGTACGGTCAAAACACACTAACCTAAGTGCAACCTGCCGTCAGACGGGCAACCCCCGCGGCTCTGGGGCAGGACACCGTCACCGACTCGTACGCCCCCGCAGCCCCCAGACGCTCCCGCGGCCGCGAGTGAGCGAGTTTGTCGGGCAGGTGCAGCCCGGGCCCGTGCCCTCAATGAATCAACCTAACCGCACCAGCGACCCACCTGACAGATGTCAGAGGTACAGTCCGCGTCAAGACTCTGCGACACACAGTGCGGCGCCCTCTTGGCCCTCCAGGCCCGCCCAGCGCAGCGGCGTCCCCGCGAGCAGGGAGAGGTCACTCAAGGCGAGGCCCGCGAGCGCCTGCCGAGATGTCATGCAGCGGGGGCGGCCACGACACGAGAAGTACTCATCAAAACAACGAGCCAGCGAGCCAAAGTGGAGCACAACAACACAGTCGCCATGTCACCCGACGCGACACTAGCGCCGCCGAGTCCGCGCGGCAGCCTCGGCAACTAGCGCGATGCGAGCGCGGAGCGGAGCGCGGGGGAGGGAAGCTCAGCGCCACTCAGCGCGCCGCGTCCTGGAAGTCCTGCAGTGCCCGTCCAGGATCCAGGAGCCACACACCCCCGCAAGGGGCGGAACGGCGGCAGGCAAGCGGGGGTGGCGCCAAAGCATAGTGTTGGCTAGCCGCGCGAGCCGCGCAGGGGGCGCCAGTGGTGTCCAGGAGGGAGGGCAGAATCAATAGGGCTGTCAACAAGACAAGCGGCGGCGGCAGCACAGCACGCGCCAAGAGGAACTCCACCGATGCGACGCCCAGCTCGCACAGCACTACACCCAGACCGAGACCGAGGGGGTGGTGCAGCCAGCCTCCGGTCTCTGCCTCCAGCGGCTCCAGGCTCAGTTTTGGCCCGCCTGCAGCCCCGCACACCGCCGCCGCCTCCAGACCTGCCTGCTGTACAGCGCCGACCCGGCCCTGCTCGGCCAGCCGCAGGCTAGCCTGAGCGAGGCCACCCCCAGGGCCCCAGGACCGCAGGGCTCCAGGACCAGCATCTCTCTCTCAGGTCAGTGCCGGACTCCGGCCAGGATGGCGCCGAAGCCGGCCTTGCCGCCCACCGCCCAAGCCGCTTGCCCGGGAAGGGGCAGGGAGCCGGTCAGCAGGTGATGACCGAGCCGGGAGGGAGCTAAGGAGCTGCCTACAGAACTCTAGCCAGCGAGAGAGACACACAGCATCCATGCAGTCTACGCTTACGGAACAGTGATCCAACACCAAAAGTAATACGGAGGAGGTCTTACCCCATTCATGTTGCCTTTCGGGTTGGGACTCAGTGAGGCGTTGGCATCTCTGAGTGCTGGTCGACCAGTGGCAATAGGCGCATCTGATGATGGGTCCTTGACCTGGGGCGATAACATGGCACGAACTCCAGCGAAGAAGCCAAAAGGCGCTGACAGCATTCCTGCTGGAGTGGTCTTCTCATCTTTGGTCGGAGGTGCGTTCTCATCTGAGTTCATCTTTGTTTCCAATACACCTCAACCTGGAACAAATAAACAAATTGTGCTGACAGGGTAGAAACTAAAAATGATCATCACAGAGAGTCATCTCCCAAACAAGACAATCGACAAATAATGGAGAGGCAAATGGCTTGCAGCAAAAATGGAAAATTGCACTAATTCCCTTTGAACATCCTGAACACAGCACCAAAATAGGTAAAGCAATTTAGCAGGGACCAAAGCAACCCCAATGAGGAATAGCAAACAGAACTTAAGACTAGAACAACTTACTTTCATAAAATCCAAACATAATTTTCTATCTTGATTCCTCTTAGGGAACTAATTATTAGCATTAGCATGAAACATGAATTGTATTAATAATGTTAAATAGGCAGAAAGAAAAATTATTTATTTAAAGTACATTACAAGCAAAAAAATAATTAATAAACTGTAAAAAAACAAAAACTTAAGAAAAATAGCAGAATTTTAAAACAGTGATAGTGAGTGCAGTCACAACCTCTCACAAAAATGAGGATAATCCAACTCAGTCATAAGCATTCATAACTGTACCACCCAAGGCATGAATTAGATGTCATTTGCTTCCAGTTCAGCTGTTGAGTTCAGTAGCTCTGTATCTGACATGCCAAACTCTGGAAAAGGTTCCAAAGAATCATCTTGCCCCAAAGACTCTTCTAATTCAGCTGCACAGTTGACAGCACTCCAAGTATCAAACAACTCTTTGTCAGACATAACTGACAAAGATTCAAATAATGTGTCACCTTCATTCTCTAACATAAATACTATTTCAGGAGGAAGGCATTCCTCCTTGGATTGAAACCCTGAACAATCAGGATCATGACATTTTTGATAATAGTAGAATCTAGACAAGTCCACAACATAGTAGACATTATTACTTTTGTGCTGCCTTCCAACATTGACGCAGAATCGGTTTCCAGATATATCATACACTATTCTGTTTAGGGAAGACGAGTATGTGGAACGTCGAATAAGGCCAGGCGACACAAGCCGTTGAACAAACCTATCTACAACTGGGTGGGGAGATCTAACACCTTCTGACACAACAGGGCATTCAGGGAGTTTAGACACACTTTCCACAACATACATTTTCTGTTGAGTTCCAAACTCCAAAATTGTGAAGTCCTGAGGGGTTTCACCAATGTACGTTATAAGAGAATCCAAGAACAATTGTTTCTCAGCAAGACGTTGTCTTCCCAACAACACTGGTTGATATTGGTTTTCCTGACTTAACAGCAACGGAGAATTCTTCTTCCATTTAGTAGATTTGTACACACGAAAGTGTCGGTTCTTGGTGTAGACAGCTTCATCACAAAATGTCTTCATCACTCCATGTTTGTCGGCAACAAATAGGCCTTGAACATCTCCCTCGGGTAATCCCAACTTGACACAAAAATCATGCAATGCTGGCTGAGAATGCATGACCAATCTTAACTTATTGCATATCATCCTTACAAAATTGCCAACATTATAATTGTCCCTGAAATATATTTTAGGTAGTTGATACACAAGGTGTCGACTAAACTTCACATCGGTAGTAGAGTCTAAATCTAGCACATTAGACCTAGCACAAGAAACATCAAACTCTTCCTTCAGAAAATGTGACACAATTTTAATAAATGTGTCAGTCATTCGAACACCACAATGCTCTTTGTTGTGAGCCTTCTCAAACTCCAAATCGAAGTAGAGTTTGCACACGGCACCTTCTGTGATGACTTCGAAAGTGCATCGGTCCTGTGGCAGTTTGTGGTTGTTGTCGTAGAACCAGAAGAAGACAGGGTGTGCCGAGAGGAATCTCCTCGTGCCATCCTTGTCTTGGAACGCGAACGTCATGAGGCCGTCGCCGTGCCGCTGGGAGAAGGCGAGCGCGTCATTCTGCTTGAGGAAAACCCTCCAGAGATTGGTCGGGCCTTCGGACAAGGACCTCAACCAGCGTGGAACCTCCACCTCCGGAGGAAAGGCGCTCCCGACCCCGACCGCCGAACCGTACTTGGAGGAGGACGGCGATGACTTGTAGAAAAGCAGAGGGTCAACAGTTGGAGATTGGGCGGATGACATTACGTGAGGGCTGTCTTGTCTTTGTCCCACAACGATCGCTGTGCTGCGTTGCTGCGTAGGGATCCGCTCGCGCAATGTCGCTACACACACAAGCCGACATCAACAAATTCGTCTCACCTCCGAGATTTGCCTTTCCCGAGTGCTAGAGATTGTCATCCACAGGTTGCCGTCGGAGAACAGTCGCACGCAAACGCAGAGTACTTACCACTAGAGTAAGAATAGCTTTTGGACCTTCACCAACAATTATCGCCAGCCAACCGTCAGGCCGCCAAAACAACGAATGACGAAATTTGAACTTGACTCAAATTAAAACGACGGATAACTAGAAGGCGTTGAACACGGCTGTTGTCAACCTACGCACACCAAAAACCATCGCCACTCTCGCATGACTGTTGACGACTTTGCGTTAGATGAAGGTGGAACAATACATCAGGTACTCGAGTGTTTTCGAAAGCAAACTAGAGGGTCTTTAATTCCTTAGCCGCCCTTGTGAACATTTCGTCTTTCCAGTGGCGGAGGGTGGCACGCTTCAAGCGAGTGAGGGTGAGGGGAGGAGTGGAAGGGGGAGGGGAAGGGGTGTGCAGCCCGTGGCGCGAAGAAGGGGAGCCTTCAAACGCACGCGGGCTTTCATCCGTCCGGAAAAAAAGACATGCAGCCTTCTGTTTCTCAGTTTCTCTGTTGTTCATCTTCGTCCCAGGTGCCGCCATGCTGGACCCGGCGACGGACATCCGCCTGACGGCGACCAAGACCATCAGCTCGTCCGGGCCGTGCTTCATCATCGCGGAGATCGGGCAGAACCACCAGGGCAACTTCGCCATGGCCAAGAAGCTCATACGTATCGCTAAGGTATGCCGGCACTCAAAACTAGAGGAAACTGGAACACACACACAAAAACTGTATTTGAACCCGTGGTGGCAGGATTGCGGCGCGGACTGCGTCAAGTTCCAAAAGAGCTGCCTGCCGTCCAAGTTCAACCGGAAGGCCCTGACGCGGCCCTACACCGGGCCCAACTCGTGGGGGGACACCTACGGCGCGCACAAGAAGTTCCTCGAGTTCTCCGCAGAGCAGTTCAAGCAGCTGCAGGAGTACGCGGAGCAGCAGGTCGGCATCATGTTCTCAGCCTCCGCCATGGACGAGGTATGCTTGTCAATTTATTCATTTTTCACTTTCCCTATCCTTTTACCACCCGGATAAGCCCCTGCAAAGCGATCTCACACATCGCTGTCTTCGCGCTGCCTCTGGGGCATTCCCTAGAGGTGTGAGAGAGACAGAGCAACGGATGCCCGAAAGAATGAATGAACCTCCCCACCCGCAGGACTCGGTCATCATGCTGGACCACATGGGGGTGCCGTTCATCAAGGTGGGCTCGGGCGACAACTGCAACCTGCCGCTGCTGCGGCGCGCCGCCGCCACGGGCCGGCCCTTGTTGGTGTCCACGGGCATGATGAACCTGCGCGACCTGCGCCTGCTGCACGGCCACCTCACCCGGATGAACGCCAAGTTCGCGCTGCTGCACTGCGTGTCCTCGTACCCGGCGCCGCACGAGCAGCTCAACCTGCGCTTCATCGCGGAGCTCAAGCGGCTGTTCCCCGAGACGCACGTGGGCTACTCGGGCCACGAGCTGGGCACGGACGTGTGCATCGCGGCGGTGGCCGTGGGCGCCAGGGTGCTGGAGCGCCACCTCACGCTGGACCGCCGCATGAAGGGCTCGGACCACATCTGCTCGCTGGAGCCCATCGAGCTGGGCCGCCTGGTGCGCGCCGTCAGGGAGGTGGAGCTGGCCCTGGGCCGGCCCGTCAAGGAGGTGCAGCCCTGCGAGGCCGCCTGCTGGCTCAAGCTGGGCAAGTGCCTGGTGGCGGCGCGCGACCTCCCCGAGGGCCACGTCCTGGTGGAGGAGGACCTGTGCGTCAAGGTGGCCGACCCCATGGGCATCCCCAGCAACCGCTTCATGGACGTCATCGGCAAGACCATGCGCAAGGCGCGCCAGTTCGACGAGAGCATCCTGCCCGAGGACCTCGGCATGGTGGCGCCGCACCAGGACCAAGGACCGCCCGAGGACCCCGAGGCCGACGACTAGACCGCCAGACCACTCCCGGCCCAGTCCTTGGGCCTTCGGCCTTCCTCCTTGGGGCGTCCAAGTATTACGTCCCGTCGGCCAGAGAAGATCGTTTTGCCCATTCCCTCCTTCGCTTCCGGCAGGACTTAATAAGTGCTCGCCCCGGCCCCGGCCACACTGCTCGCACTGGGTCACCCAACAGGGAAGCCCCTCGACGTGTATTCTCTCTTTACTCTCTAAGAGTCTTTTCTTAGTTGGTAAAAGATCGGGTACAGTGGACCCCGAGTAGTTTGTTTGTGATATGTCTGTGTAATTAAAGTGTCAGCACTTGTTTCGTTATGAAGTACAGTAATAAGAATATTGCTCATCTGAGCTAGCATGTGGGGTCATTAAGAACGACTGACCTCACAATTTTATCTTGGCTAAATGTGGTCCCCTGATCTTGATTTCTCCTATCCTTTTTGGTTCTAGTATTTTATGACCCCTCTGATTAACTTTTTCTGTATCTGCTTATTTCATTCAAAATAAAATGCTGTGGCATATTGGTATCTAAAAAAATGTACGCTCATTCATAACTGAGTGTTACATGTGAAAAGGCTTTTTTATTTTCTCACATTTGAAAATGTAACACAGAAAACTATGGACATACTAGTAAAATCCGCGCATTTAAAAATCTTGAAAACAATGTTGCTAGAAATGATTTTTTTCATTATTCTACGGTCAAGGCCACAAGGTCTACGCCTGTGAAAAGTTCACCAATTCACAGGAAAAAAAATATTATGTCACTTATGGCATTATCAAAATTTGCTAAGAAGTTTTAGTTATTGCTGAAGCACCCAACAACACCTTTGTCAAGATACAATACAAGGTAAAATTAAACTTGGATAGAAGGGAAAATTTTTGAAACTGCCAAAATATTTTGAATTGATGTTTTAAAGAACAGTAGACTGATGATACATGTCAATGCTAATGGGAATGGGCAGAAAACTCGATAAGCTCATTAGAATAATTCACAAACTATAACTTGTAACAATAGTCCTTCACTATTTTATTAGAAGCAATGGTCTCACTCAACAGCACACCCATAAAAATGACTAGTTATTCAAATCACAATACTGAAAAGACTGTAGCTGCAATTATTCACTACAAAAAACAATACAATCACAGGGAATGCCATTAATCAGCAAAGGTTTATCGGAAGTATAATGTAAGAAGGTCAATGACAAACAAACAAGTCCTAACTAAGTATGATTCATAAAGTTACATTCATAACTGAGAATGGATGTGCATTTTCTATATAATAATCATGGTTTTGACACTAGTTTCAACCAACCCGATAAGCAAACACTTTAAGTATACTTAAGTATCACACTCATTGTACAGTCAAAATTGCATTTGAAAAACAATCCATAAAACATCTCAAACAATGGACCATTAAATTAAAAAACAAAAAAACAAAATTAAAATTAGCCAGTCTACAGGATGTCTGAACCAACAAAGCTATTCACGTAGCAACAAGAAAACAGAAAACTAAAAACGAGTTAACAGTAACTTTAAAATGTCAGGAGCAAACACAGGCGTCGTGGTGTGCACTGCAGCAGGCCCTGTACATCTGCCCCCGAATGCCGGTGCCATGGGGTCCCACGGCACTGACAGGCAAAGTGGGAATGGGCAAAGGCTCAGCACGGTTCCGTGTTTGCGGAATGTCGGGCCGCCATTCTTCCAAGTGGTCCGTCTCCAGTTCCTCTTCGTCTTCCTCCTCCTCCTCCTCCTCTTCCCCCTCCTCCTTGTTGGCCTCCACCCGCTGCTGCATCCTCATTATCTCCACACAAGCAGGGCAGTTGGGAGACGGCGCAGCGGGCGGATCGTGCACTCAAGAAGAGTGATGGTATTTCACATAGGCGATAGCAGCTAATTCTTTACAAAATTCTTCGAGGACTACCACACTTTCAAATAAACAACAAGTCTCACTAAAAAAGAAAAGAAAAAGAAAACAGCATGGTTAATTACATGAAATATTCTCCAGTTACAGATTCAGTGAAATTTCTTTTTTAATCCTCACCTTGGAAACTCTCGGTGGTACGATACATCTCCCAAAAGCTCCTGACGAGTTCTCACAAGCATTTTTTTACTGTTTGGGACAGAGGCTATAGCTGTTTGCATATCTCGTGCAACCATTTGAAGAGTAGAATACAGAGTCGTTGTACCAGGGACCATTGGAAGCAGAGGATTTAGTAAATATTCATGCAAGTTTGGATGTGGAAGCATAGCCAACCGAGACACAAGTGCTGTTAACTGCAAGTTCATTTCATATGGCTAGGGAGAAAAATAAGCATCTGATTAGTTTTTTGAATTAGCAGCAACAGGAAAGCCATGGAGCTAGATTTAACTGCTTGAATACCTGATTAGCCAACCCCCTTAATCTAGTAAAAATCATATTGAAAAATGGGCCTTCATTGAAACTTTTGTTAAGGGGAATATTTTCCTCATCTTGGATAGCTCCCTCTGTTCCCCATCCAAAGGGCGCACAGGTTTGAACATTGGACGCGTACTGCCTCTGGGCCTCTGCAATGTACTGATGATAGCCACTTTCTTGGTAGTCTGTAGCAGACCTTAAGCTGCTTGGCAAAAGCTGTAAAAAGCTAAGAGAGCAAAAAAAAAAAAAAAGAGATACAAAGGATTGATGAATTATTTTATAAAGATAAAAAGTCTTAAGGTCCATCCTCCAGTCAAAACTTACCTGTCAATAATTTTATGGATATTATTAGGAGCAAAAGTTCGGCTGGACACACCACCAGATTCCTGACCTGAGGGTTGATAAATTTGCAATTTCATTACAACACTAATACATATTTGAAGGGCAAGAGTTTAAATCATTGCTGAACATACTCTGATTATTTTTGACAACATCCCGCTCTCGGGCATCTTCTTCATCACTCCAGGATTCCATGTACGATTTATCTTGCAGTGATGAAGCATCATAATATTTTCGACCTTTGAGGTATGTCAAGGCCAAGCAATCTAAGACATGTTCATCACAGTTTTCAAGTAAAAGCTGAAATTATTTTTAGAAAAGTGTTAATACAGATTAAATTTTTATAAGACTAAACAAACAAAAATAAATAAATAAGGATTGTCACCTCAAAAAGTCGCATGGAAATGAGGCCAAGACTGCTATTTGGGTTAAGGCAATTGTTCAACAAAAGTTGTTTCAGAGAATTCTCATCTATTTGAGCAGTATCCTCAGGTACTTCCCCCATCAACCAGATATTCAGTTCTGTCAACACAAAACATCCTGAATTATTATATGTTCTTTTTGGTGTTGTTTTGAGAGTCTCAATTTAGTTATAGAACTTACCTGACAGAAAAACGTTTGATGTGATATGCCGTAGACTCAAACAAATAACATTGGAAATCAATTGCTGCCTTGCAGCATCTCCAGTTCGCAGTTCTGACTCCAATTCTATTTCAAAGAAAAGAGCTCTGACTGCTCCAACCACTGATTCAGAGACCTCCATTGGACTCTCCACAGCCAGCTAGGTGATGAAGTAGATTGAATGAAAGAAGGAGCAAATGAATGAATGAACTCAAGTCAATGCTTGACCTGAAGGTAAGAACAGAAGAGAAACTTGCCTGGTCACAGAAATTCAGCCATGACACAAAAGAGGCTATCAACCTGCTGCCAGGGAATACATGCTGCTCTAGCCAAAGTTGAGAGCTTTTTGGTCTGAAATTAGAAAATAGTTGTGATACTGTTTAGATGTACTAATTTATTTATGTATTTATAAGAGACTTTGGCAGCGTACCCCCAGTTTTGTGGGATATCTTCCAGGTTGTCTGGGTCGATATCAGTTGGGATCTCTTGGAAAGAAGAAATCAACTTCTCAGCCATAGCAAGTCCAAGGTTGGAAGTACGGACAATGCTACTGGCAAATACTTCATCAGCCACTGATACAAGCATTAGCAAGGCTTCACAAACATGAAGCTTTGTGACACTGTCCTGAAACACAAATTATTTTCTTTTTAAAATGTAGGACAACCATTAGTCAATAAAAAATATTTTTTTATTGGTAGACATTGAGAAAGAGAGGATGTTTATACGTACTGCACTGTTTATGTAACCCAACACTGCATCAAGTAGAGGTAGCCTTCCCTCTAATTCTGGTTCTGGGCAATCTTCAAGGAGGAAAGGTTCGGGGGTGCAAGACCCTGATGTGGTTCGACTGAACACATCATCTACCTGGCCAGCTTCTTTTTCACTTTTTTCAGAGCTCTCCTTATCTGTCCTCAGAGGTTTTGTAGAGGCACTCTCTCCACTTTCTTCTGACAACTTTTGATCCACACTTCTAATATCATTTAAATTCAAACAATCGTTTAATTTTTTATTATTAAAACTTTTACTACTATCTAATATGCTACCTCCTTCCTCTGGAACACTGCTGTCTTTTTTAATTTCTGAATGTGAGTCACCACTATCCACCTGTTTTTTATCAGCCACATTTTCACTTTTTGTCATAGAGACAGAGGCAACCTTTCCATTTAGTTCAGCCAAAGAATGATCAACCTTATCATCCTTATCACTTAAATCCTGGCCACTGTCAATAGCAGACTCCTGCTGAGTTGTTACTCCAGTCACTGAATTTGACTCTACTTGGGTTAGGTTGTTGCTGCTTACAGAGCTGCTTGATCCAGACTTTTTAGTAGGTTTTGTCTGAAAGTTGGAGCAATTTTAAGTTGATTGTGATCCCTTTAAGTCTAAAGAAATATAAAAGATTTTTTTACAAACATACCTCTTTGTTAAATATTATTGAGAGGTATGGATGTCTATGGATTATCTGACAAAGAGCCAATAAAAATTCGATTTCTTCTGCTTCTGTTGGAGATGCCTTTGATTGACTGCACAAAATGACAATGCGCTGAAAAGAATGGAAACCAAAATTAAGCAATCCATACAAGAAATTAGAGATGCGAGGGTTCTCAAATCACAACTTTTACTTACTAGAAGTGGGAGATGGATGCTAGCTAGAGTTAAAAGATGAGGGGAAATGGCTCCAACAAGTCTGCGCAAGTAGCCCAGCAAATATCTCCTCATGCCAGGAGGGGAGTCTGCTCGGGCAAGAGACACAAGAAGCTCAAGGAGGCGATGCTGCAATAAGAACTCCAGGCAGGGCCCAGCAGCAGAGCATGGCCCCTCAGAGTTGATGCTTTTCGTCAAGGCATCTTCAGCAATCAAAATCTGAAAGGGAGCAAAAGGTTAAAACAGGATAATGGGGCTGGGGCATTGGCAATTCTGGGTTTAGTCTTACCCTGAGTAACTGTTCTAGATGAGATGGAATGTTCGTCTCTTCAATGGGGCATTTGCTTTGAATAGTGCGTTGAGCATAAAACCGCATAACCATTTTCCAGTGATACTTCAAGTCCTCCAATGGAGGAGGTGGTGGAGCAAGCTGAAAAAGTTGAGTGAATCATAGCCAAAGTCAAATTTGAATGACTTAGTTTGATCCAATGAGAATAACCACTAGAAATTGTAGTGAATTTAAATGTCACAGAATATGGAGAGATTTTAATAGAAAATGTGTCAGGAAGTGACAGCTTGATAAAGATAGTATTATTATTATCAGACGGGGAAAACCTTAAATGCGACACAACCAAAACTCGTCTTTCGACGAAAAACAACCACAAAATCTGACACTTACTGCATCCGCCGCACTTTGGAGGACTGACGATAGTCTGTTGAGCATTTTAGAAGGTCATTGAATGGTTTTCAATCAGTCAAAACTAAGTATGTGGCAAAATATTCTGCATGGAAAGCATATTCTGCTACATATTACGAAATGAAAACAAAGCAGAAATAGCAGACGTAGGTTAGTTGACAGTTAAAGCCAAAGGAAACCACTGCCAACGCCCAAGAAAATAGTATTTCTTTTCAATCGAAACGGCCCATGATCGGTATATGGGATTAGTTCTTTAAATCATATGGCATTGAATTTTTAAGATGATTGTTCAATCTTAAAACGAAACTCTTGGCTTGAAAGTGGCATCAGTTTTGACAACCATGTGTGTTATGTTGGTGCTGTCAACAATCCAGTGCCAACACAGAATGCTAACGTAATCGCCGTTGACTTCGAAAGTTAGGATACGTGATGCAAAATCTAAAAACATGTAGCTTGAAAAATTATATCAAGTCTGTTTCTACGGTAAATTGGCTATAAGTTGATCTAATCACCATCCCTGACGAACTTTAAAATCGACGTACAGTTGCCGCTGTCAGAAAGTGAAAGTGCTTTCCTGCGCTTTCAGGAAGGCGTGAAGCGTTTCGGCAACACGTTTTTCGGCAGTTGCTTGTGACCCGGCCACCGGCGAGTGAGGCGTGCCTTGAATGAATTGGTGTAAAGCAAAGCGTGCGCGGATCAGTCATCGTCGGAGAAAATAGATGAGAACTGTTTGCGTGTGAAGACAACGTGATTTTAACGTGTTGAGTGGTGTTCTGAGTGTCTGGAGACTTCACACTGTGTCGCGGAGTGGTTTCGGTGTGAGCCATGGCGACCAAAACCTCCAAGAGGACCTCGAAAGTGGTCGAAACGTCCATGAGTTCCTCGAGCTCAACCCCCGGGCTGTCTTCTAGACCGGGCAGCCCCCTCAGCCCCACCAGGACGAGTCGCCTGCAGGAGAAGAGCGACCTGCAGAACTTGAACAACCGCCTGGCCACGTATATTGACAAGGTTCGCCAGCTCGAGCATGAAAACACGAAGCTGTACAGGCAGATTCAGACCTCCGAGGAGACGACTACCCGGGAGGTCTCCAACATCAAGGATATGTACGAGAATGAGTTGAACCAGACCCGGGTTGCTCTGGACTCGCTTGCCAAGGAGAAGGCCAAGCTCGAAATTGACACCAAGCGACTGTTTGAGGAGAACGCCGACATCAAAAACAGGTACGTTGCAAGTGGCGCGAGTGCCTGCGGGCGCGGGGCTGGCGCGGGGTACCTCGACAACGCCCACCCCTATCTGTCATGGCTTACCTGCCGGGGCTTGGCCCTTTGTGTTTGCCCACCGTGACTCACCCCGCCCCTTCCGAGCGCGTTCGCACCGCAGCTGGGGCCTATTTATGCCAAATGCGGGCCCTAGTTCAAGGTCATGTGCGCTGCTTTTCGATTTCGAGCGACGCGTCGCGGTGCCTGAACGGCTGAAAGGTTGCCCGCGGCCGCCGGGCCGCTGGCCTTGAGGGTCTGTGGGTGTCAACTCCACGAGCCGACCGGAGCCGCCCTCGCCCTGCAGACTGCAGCTGCGCGATGTGTATCCTGGTTTTGCCGCCGCGGCTCATGTCTGTTCCAGGAGCCGGCTGCCCTGGCTGCCCGAATGAACAGGAAATTGTTGTGACTGGAGCGGTTGCGCAACCGCGCCGGCGGTCGCGTTTTCAAGCGCATCGCGTCGCATGTTTGTTTGGCACTCGTTTTCTGCAGCGTTGCTGTGCGAAGCGCAAGTGCAGTGTAGGGCCGAGCGGAGCTAAGCAAAGCGCGCGGCTCGCGTCCACAATCTGCTCCGCTCGCGGCCCGTGCCCATAAGCTTGCGCGTGTGTGAACGCGTGTGTGGGTGTGTAGGGGGGCATTTCCCCGGCCAGGCGGCCAGACAGACGTCCTCGGCTCCTCCAAGCTCCAAGGGCTTCCACCACGGCTGCGGTGCCGCGGTGCCCATGCCGCCGCGCCGGGGGCCGGGACGCCGGGCCGGAGCCGTGCTTGGAACGGTATGGAGTGGCTCGGTCCGAGGGAGGGGGCCGCGCTGCCGCGGGGACCGTCCGTAAACGAGGCTGGAAATAGACATGACGTCACCCCCTCTTTCTCCACGAGCATGCGGGCCAATGGCGTGGAAGCGAGAGGGAGGGAGGCGTGGCCGTGGCCGTGAGGTAGTGTCGGAGCGAGATGGAGTCACTGGCCCGCCCGGCCGGCCGGCAGTGTAGGGTCCTGGCAGTGTGCAGGGGCGCGGTGGCGCTGGCTTCCTTGGACGCCACTGCAGCTGTGCGGTCGCTAGGCGACGCGGCTAGACGGCCCGACGGAGCGAAGGACAGTCCCTCCCAACGAACGGGGTCGAAGGTTCGCCCCGCCCTGCCCCGCCCCTCAGGTGGGCCCTGCCTGGGCCCTGGTGCGTCGGCCGCGCCTTGAATTCCCCGCGCCCCCCTCGGGGCTCGCCGCCCCGCCTCTCCCCGCCGCCGAGGCCCCCGCCGGCCCTCCCCCTTGTCCGGCGTGGCCCCGTTTTGACGTGCTTTTAATGGGACAAGGATTTGGGATCTTTTTCCGTCGATGACAGTGGCGGTGGCGGATGTCCCAGACCTAGACGCCTGCGGCCCGGCTGGCCTGGCCCCACAGCAGGTTCATTTCGAAGTACTACGAAAGAAGCGGCGCGGTTGGCTCCGCTCCACCGCGGTGCCCAAGGCTGCCCCCGGCTCGAGGCGAGCTGTACATGGATGCCTGTTTGAACAGCTTGGTCCTGGACAAAGTCCTTCGACGCGTCGCACCTGCCGGCTGGTCGGTCGCTTCCAGCGGGGGAATGGGAAATGCGAGGCGGGCCATGGCGGGCTCGGCCGCGTGTTGTGGCCACCGAGTCCCTGGTCCCTTGGTGCAGCCCAGCCTAGAGGCAGCCGGCTTCCTTATCTTCCCCGTTCCTGGCCGGCCCGGCCGGCCTGCCCCTCTCTCCCTAGCAGCCTGCTGCATGTTTATGATTTTCGGAAACGATCTTCCCTGCCGCCGGAAATTCAAGTTTCCTCTCGCCCGGCGGGGGGAGGGACAGCGCCACCGTCTCTTCGGCTCCTCAACGGGACGCTCCATGAGTGCGAGAGAGGCGGAGCGACTGTTTGATACCGCTGGACCCGCCCCGCCCCGCCCCGCCCCGTGGAGGCGCATGCCGCGGTCCGGCCCGGGATCAATCTCGTTGAATTGGGGCACGCGTCGCAATCAGGCGGCCCGCGGCGGTCCCGAGGGGCCTGTCTCTCTCGCACTCCAACGGGATGCACCATGGGTGCGACGAAACGAACCAGCTCCTCTGAATGGCTTGGCCGAGGCCGGGGGCACGTCGCCGACCTGAGTCCGCGAGGACCGCGTTGAGTTGGGCCGCACTGTAGGGACACCTGTTGGGCCCTTCCCTTCCGTCGCCGGACCCTGGACCGCCCCGCCAGAGTGCGCCTCGCCGCGTCGCGCCGGAGGCTGTGGGCGGAGCGTGGAGCAACGGCAACAGGTCAGCGCCACCTCCCACGGCCGGCACGGCATGGCCTTGCTCTGCCTCGCTCGCCCCTGCCCCGGACCGTCCTGGACGGACCGCCCCAGGGAAGTCCAATCTCCTCCTAATGACGGGTGTGGCCTCTGGTCGGGGTGGGTCCGTCTCCGTGCCGTCTCATCGGCCGCGTGGCCGCGTCTATCGTGGCGAGCACGGCGAGGAGAGGGGTCGCGGCCCCGGTGCTCTCGATGACGGCAAAGCGCTGCCGCAAAGCGCGGCCTCAAAGGCAAGCCGCGGCAAGCCGGCCCGGCCCACCCGCGCCACGCTGACGACGCACTCCGCACGTCGCCGTCGTCGCTCTGTCTCTCTCGCACTCGTGGGGCGTCTCGCGAGGGTGCGAGAGAGACGGGGCGACGGGACGCTGTGCGGAATGAGGCTGCTGGCTGACTCACGCGGCGAAGCCTGGCAGCGCCTGGCGTTGATAAGGTGTGCTTGCTTGGTGAATTGCGCGCAAGGGGAAGGGAAGGGGTGGGGGTCGAAGGGGCGGTCCGTCGGCGGGGCTCGTCTTTATGACGGTCTTGTTTCTGCTCCACAGGTTGGAGAAGTCCAAGAAGGACCTGGCCGCGGCGGAGCGCAATGCCAACCTGTACGAGTCCAGATTCAATGATATCACCATCAAATACAACCAGGCTCTCGTGGAGAAAAAGAAAGCCCTGGATGATGTCAAGGTAAATTTAGGCAGAATGCTGTCTACTTGAAAAAAAAAATTTAAGCTTGTTTTGGTTTTAATAAATACCCACACTTTGGTTCTGTGATGTTTCCAGGAAGCAGACAAATTGGCTAAACAACTTGACGAAATGCGGAAAAATTTGGCAGAGGAAACTCTACTTCGCGTTGATATGGAGAACAGATTGCAGAGCCTCAAAGAAGATTTCGAATTCAAGGAAGCTGTAAGTTTCAGTAATAATTTTCTTTTGTTATTTCAAAGTGTTTTCTTCTTTTACTGACCTCTAAACTGGGTTTTCTAGGTTCATGACAAGCAGTTAAAGGAGACCAGGACGAAGAGACAAGTGGAAATCAGTGAAATTGATGGAAGGCTGTCTGAAGAATATGAAACCAAACTTCAGCTTAGTTTGCAGGAGTTACGAGACCAGTATGAAGAGCAAATGCAGGCAAACCGAATTGAAATTGAGTACTTGTATGACACCAAGGTACATTTTTTTGTCATCTGGTGCCTTTTTTCGTTGTTGTCATTATGAAACGCCAACCCTGTACCAGCATTTTCTTTCTTTCAGCTGAAAAATTTGCAAGCCCAGTCTCAAAAGAGTTCTGGTGTTGCCTCTTCACTCATGGATGAATTGAGACAGTCTCGCTCTTTCGCTGATTCCCTTTCATCAAGAATTACAGAGCTTGAATCGTCGGTGGCTGGTTCTACTGTAAGTTTCTAGTTGCTTCGTTTTCATTAAATCAAATTGGCAAAGATCTGTTAATATGAACCACAAATCTATTTTTACAGTCTCGCATTGCTGAGTTAGAAAAGTTGTTGGAAGGAGAGCGCAAGAGGCTGGCTGCAGAGCGCGAGAGGCACAGAGAAGAGCTCAATTCTGTGGAAACAGAGTTGAACGTTCTTCGTGAGGAGATGTCGAGGCATCTTCAAGAGTATCAGGATCTACTTGATATTAAAGTTGCTCTGGACATGGAAATTGCTGCTTATCGCAAACTTCTTGAATCTGAAGAAGAAAGACTGAATATCAGCCAGGCAGCTACGGCGGAATCCAGAGCCAGCTCCGCTGGTACCCCCCGCACGGGCCTGGGGATCGGCGGTGGTAAGAGAAAGCGCACCTTGATGGAGGATTCAAGTGAATCTGTGGACATTGAAACAACTAAGTCTTGCAAAGGAGAGATTGAAGTTCTTGAAGCTGATCCTCAGGGGCGTTTCGTTAAACTTCACAATAAGAGCAACAAGGTAAGATTCGTCCCATTTATCAAGAATGTGAATTTTTCAAGGACATCTTGCCAATGTTCTTATATTGTTAATGGTTTATTTGTAGGAGGTGAGCCTTGGAAGCTGGCAGTTGCTGCGACAAGCCAATGGGCAGGAGACTGTTTTCAAATTCCACCGCACTGTGAAGCTGGAAGCTGGCACAGGATTGACTGTGTGGTCATCAGACCAGGGAGAGACTCATGAGCCACCATTCAATCTCGTCATGAAAAACCAGAAGTGGGCAACTGGAAATGAAATGACAACTCAGCTTCTAAACAACTCAGGAAAAGTATGTCCTTGCCCCTTTTGAAATTCTGCTGCTTTTCTTTTTTCTTATCGTAACTGGAGCCAATTTATTGCTTTTCGCAGGAGGTTGCAACAATGACCAATAAGCTCAGGGTGTCCTCCAAATCTCGTGTGAGGCAATCTGGTTACCTTACTGGAGCGAGTCACAGCCGCAGTCAGGAGGAGTTCTTACTACAACAGGTATGACTCGACACTGCTACAAATTGATACCCTCCACCCGCATCCTTCCAAAATTTTACAATGTGGTCTTTTATGTTTTTAGGGTGACCCGAGTGGTGAAGAGAGGTGCCGTATCATGTAAGATCTTGTAAAGGCTGCAAAAGTGTTGCCTTAGTTTTCTGATTGAGGTGCAATTGGAGTAATCCTTACTTTAATATTGTCTCTGACTTTTCCACCAAGACTGTAGTTAGTCAAGGTGTTCGTTGCCCAGTACTCTTACGCTGTTAATTCAACTCAGTCATAATGTTTCTGTTATGCTTCCAAAACCTTTGGAGATATTCGTTTTTTAAAGTTTATTTTTTAATGCACTTTCAGTTTATGTCAGATTAAGGGTTTTTATTTTGTACTTGTTTTCCATTTAAAATGGTCGGATAGAAATTAAGTTTCTGAAGACTGTACTAATGAATCATGTGAATGTTTTCCTTGTTGCTATTGTGGTTTGCTATTTTTGCACTAGATTCTTCTACAGTTATGTACAATTAGTTAGTCCCTATTTCAATTAGCATAAGTTGACCATTCTTCTTGCTCTTGATTTATTACTGACAAGCCTTCAAGTTTCCTTTCGAAGCTCTTTCTTCTTAAATTTCTAAACCAAATCTCCTATTTATTGTAAGCTATTTAAGAGAAAATGTATTAGAATGCAGCTTTTTTTTTCATATTAAATATTACTTGCCTTAAGAGAGACTAGAATAGGTTGCAAAATAGTTAAAGGTGTTTGTCCTAACAGTTGTCAGATGTATTTCTTTTTACATTAAGTTTTTAATTATGAAAACAACTTTCAATTCATTCATTGTGTATCTACTTTTTCCCTCCCTTCCAACCTACACGATTTTTTCTTCCTCTTTCAAAGGTAGATAAGTGTGCAATGATGGGTTAAGCAGGACAGAAAACTCAACTTCAAAATCCTTCCTGTAGATTTTATTCAGATTCTACCTTTACTTATCTTTCTTCCTGATCATTTCCTGAAATGCAACATAAATGATAGAGTTGGTTCTGAGAATCAAAAGAACAGAATGCATTCAAAAAAGCGCTTACCTGTTTCCATTCATATTTGAGCCTATCTAATACTTCAGGTGTTATTTTTCCTGACTTAACCAAGTCATTTTCTAGAGAACCTATAAAGAACTTTCATTAATTTCTCATCATCTCACCACAGAATTGCTGGGTTAATAGTAACATGCCATACCTTTGTCCTCTGAGGCACTCTCTGAGGTATCCTCACTGTCCCTCAAAAGGGTTCCTCCATCTTGGTCTTTCTTTATAAGTTGGGAAAGACGAGCCAATCCTTCCACAATTAGATTATCTAGTGTAGTTTTCATTGTTCTTACTTCCTCGTCTTCTTGGAACATATCTGAATAGCGTAACCTGGAAAATAAGAAAAAAGAAACAAGGTTGTTGACAAAATGGCAATGTTAACTTGCAATTTGAGACTATTACAATACATACCCTAGCCACAGGTACAAATCAAATACATCGTGTAATGACTCCAGTTTTGACATATCTGCAATATTAGCTGGCACTGGAGGTGGCCACTGTATTTGTGATGCAAGCCACCGTGCATTCATTACTTTGTTTCTACCAAAATGTCTTGCCATCTGAAAAATTAAGAAAAAACACCCTTTAAAACCTATGTTCGAGATGCCCGGATGGACATAAAAAGATGAGTACTTACTCTGAGCAACATGGATACGACTACATTATCTTTGATGTTAACTGGTGAACAACAAAATATATATCTTGCTCTGAGAGGCAGGTGAATAGAGTCCATTTTTTCTGCCAGATACATAAATGTCTCAATGTTGCACATAAAATACAATGAGTCATCCATTTGACAGAGATCTGTGAATATTTCCTTGAAAGCAAAATGGTGAATTAGTAAAAATACTTCATTTAATATATTTCCATTTACTTAAAGAACTTCTCACAACGAAAAACGAAAATAAATATTTACAAGAATAGATTGAAGTGATGACTCTGGCAAATGAAATGAAAACATCTCAATCTGCTCTGCAGTTGGATACAGGCCTGCTTTTTCTGCAGGCATAGGTAATGATGCCAGCATTGCTTTAAGAGGTTTTAAATCTCTTTGAGACAGTGTTGTTACAAAGCCCTGCATGAAAAAAAAGAAAAAAGGTCAATGAACAAGTACCGAAGAAAAAAACATAAACGGAAGCAGAAAATTTGAGCTGATAGTGGGAACCTACTTTCTCATACTCTGTACCAAATCTACCAGCACGACCAGCAATTTGAAGTGCTTGGGAGACCGATATGGACTCTAATGTTCTTTTCCCATCAGAAGTTATGTCCAGCTTCTTGAGAGTAACAAAAATGATTCTTCGTATGTTGCTGAGAGCAAAAACAGACCAGGTGACCTCTTAATGCAGGAAACATTTACATTATCCAAATTAGTGACAGAGAATAACTTACAGATTGAGGCCCATTCCTATAGCATCAGTGGCAACCATTATATTACATGGATCATCAACATTGTTAAATTTGTTGCACTGATCCAGCTTGGCACCTGGTGGAAGAGAACCATAAATAACTGCAACCCTATGACCCATTTCTTCCAAACTTTTTGTAATCTAGGAGGAAAATAAAACAGAGGACTTAAAATTAGTTCAACTAATAAATGAAAGGTTTATCTTTAAAATATTAAGAGTATGCTTTACAATACCTTATACAGATCTCTTTTGTTAAAACAAACTAAACAGTCTCCAGGCTGCACATTTCTTAGAGAGACTAAGGCTGAATCTTCTACTTCAAGAGGAGTGAGCCTACTATAGTCGTGGACCTGGTAAAGGGTATAAAAAGTGTGAGAAAACAAACAGATTTTTTTCTAAATGAGTCCTGATGAAAGTCTTTGACATTACCTCCACTGTTTCGCCAGCTGTTGCTAAAAGATTTTTCACAAGTGGGATGGCAGCAGCCTCGCCACAAAGATGCACCTCTTTGGCAGAAATTCCCAACAAAGCTCTGGACCAAGCCCATCCTCTTTGTGAGTCTTGTAACAGCTGGATTTCATCAATTACAGCAACATCATCTAAAAATTGGCAATTTAAAGTTCCAGCCAAGTTATATTACAAAGTTAAAATTTGCAATGTAATTGTAATCGAAATAAAAACATTTCTGTCTTACAGTTTTCTCCCAGTGGTGCCATCTCCACAGTACATGAGAGACGGTTACTCTTTTCCCCATCTGGCCTAGCAGAGACCCGCGAATCGCCGGTGGCCAAATCGCAGTCAATGCCCTGTTAGCAAAAGAAAGGGCATTAGTGCGGACAAGGATGAAGAGTAAAATTTTGAGCTGATGACAAGTGTTTAGGAAATACCTTTGAATTTGTTTTTTGGAAGACTTCACAAGCAAGCATCTTTAATGGCCCGCAATACACACTTTTTTCAGCTTGCATAAACTTTTCTAGAGCGCTGTAAGTTTTACCACTGTTGGTAGGACCAGCATGGTAAATAATCTTTCTTCCAAGAGCTCGTGCTTGAGGATACCTGATAAAATGAACAATTATTTCAGAATGCTTGACTTTACCCCATAATATCAGAATTCATTATTTCATTTTTTATTAAATGTTCTCATACCATGATGCAGGATCTCGTAGATCACATATTCTAGACAATTCTTCTCTACAATGAAGGTGTGGGTATATTTTCATTGCATAATCCATGAATTGGCGGAATAATTCATCAGGTGGAGCTGCACCCATCATTATGTCATTCAAAACAAATTCGAGTTCAACTGGCAGTTTGTTTTCAGTTTGAGTCAAACAAAATCCTCTAAAAGACACAAATGCGTTCCTTAGTTGCTTCGCTGAAATCAACACATGATTTTGAGTAATATATAATTGCATGCATAAAAATTTCAACATATATGAACTGTTAATTTTATTTGCTTAAATCTTTACCAGTCAATCCTCTTTCTGCAGCCAAATTTCGAACCTGTGGTTTCCGAATGAAATCTGTTAATATATTGCTGATTACCCTTGGAGTTAATGATTGAGATGTCTTGTTTCGAGGCAGACTCTTTTTGATTTCATTGTTATCAGCTGACTGCTCTGGTTTTCCAAAAACGTGTTCAAAAAATTTCTTATTCCTCATCCCTAGAGCTTGACTACTGAAGCACTTCTCTCCATCACTCAAAATTTTTGAAAATGAATGAGGACCAAAGTAAATTGATTGATAGTAAAAAAATCTTGTCAGTCTCTTGGTAGATAGCATAGTTGATCTTCAGGTTTCAAAAAACTTAAAAAAAGGAAAGAAAAGTAAATTTTAACCTAACCACGTTAGTCCCATTGCAGACAGCATGGGGGAATGCTGAATTTTGTATACTATCCACACCATAGGAAACTTACCGATTCAAACATTTGCGTAAGCCGAAAAGTAAGAAGCACTGTCAAAGAGGGAAACCAAGAGGTATTAAATGATTTGGTAGCTTACAGTATGTTTCTTTTCTTGCCGTCGTGTTCAAGTGGCTCAAAATACAAACCAACCATGTATTTTTTCCTGTTGATAAGTTGTCAGTGCTTCCGTCATTCGCTCCGGCTGAAGCTGAAGCTGAAGCCTGTCTTCTGCTATCGTCGATTGCTGCATTTCTAGCAAATGAACAAAAACCGAGGCAGTAGTTTCTCTTGGCAAGCTAACTGGTGCTGATCGACCTCGTTGGTAAGCCTTATTCAATCTATTTTCATTGCCAAAGAGCGTCTAGGGTTTGAGCTGCGGTTATTTGGAGCCTTGCGATAGGCCAGGTTAGGAGCTTTGTTTGTGTTTACCTGTCCCATTAACGCATACCGATCATCTGTCCAGGGTGACCTTTGGTACCTACGTTTCGTTTCTGCCTGCGGCCTGGTCTCTAACGCTCGAGGCTTTTCGTGATTGCGGCTGCCGAGACTTGCCAGACTGGCGATGGTAGTGCGGCCGACGGGTGTTAGGCTCCTCTAAAGGTGCATCCCCCTTCAAGCATGTGTCTCTATACCATAACACTTCTTATCTCATGCAGTGTGTCAGAATGACACAACACCACCCATCTGCTGTAGCAGCTTGCATTTATTTCGTTGAAAGCAAGGGGTGCTTTTGATTGTGCTCTGAGTGATTTGTGTAACAACTCTTTTGCTTTGTCTTTCCAGAAATGCCAGTAGTACGGGGAAAACATGGACCTCTCGTTGGTGCCATTGATGAGGGTACTAGCAGTGCCCGCTTCTTGGTACGTTCTTTGTAAATTAGTTAGCATACTAAGTTTTTTTCACCATTTCTTGTCTTTGGGATTAATCCCTTCGAAGGGAACAAAGCTTGAAATATTCTCTCGCATTCCAGGTATTTTCAGCAGAGACTAAGCAAATAGTTTCAAAACATCAAGTTCCAATAAGTTTGATATATCCTCGAGAAGGATGGGTTGAACAGGATCCTGTTATGATTCTGGATGTGGTGCGTGAATGCATTTCTAAAGCTGTGGATAATCTAAGTGAGGTGGGCTGTTACCCATCTGATATTGCAGCTGTTGGCATTACAAACCAACGTGAAACCGTTGTGGCTTGGGACAGAACAACTGGCAAACCATTCCATAATGCTATTGGTTCGTATAGGGTCTCCAGAAAAAAATTGTCACAGTTTCTTTTATTATTATTATTATTAATTTGTTGATATTTTTTTCCAGTGTGGCAAGATATGCGCACTAGCCATGCTGTTGATGAGTTGATTTCCAAGTTGCCAAATGGTGACAAAAATGGGTTGGCATCTAAAAATGGTTTACCACTGAGTCCCTACTTCAGTGCAACTAAAATTACATGGCTTATTCAAAATGTACCAGAGGTGAAACTTGCCTTGGATGAGGGACGTCTGCTAGTTGGAACCATTGATACTTGGCTCATCTGGGTATGACAAATACACTAATGATCTTCTGTTTTTAATTTGTGCATCTGTAAATTTAAAAAAATTAATGTTTTAGAATCTGTCCGGGGGTGTCAAGAATGGCCTTCACATCACAGACGTATCTAATGCCTCCCGCACAATGCTCATGCATATTGATACATTGAAATGGGACCCATCTCTATGTGAGTAAGTATATTCCCTATCCCACAAATGTCTATTGTTTTACTAAAATCCCTTCATATGGTTACACACTTCTGCTGCTTCATCTGTTTTGTTCACTGGGGTTTTAATTTTATGGATTACAGGTTTTTTGAAGTCCCAATGAAAATTCTCCCAGAGATTCATAGCTCTGCTGAAAAGTATGGTGAGATAGCTGAGGGAAAATTACTGGGAGTGCCCATTTCTGGTGTAGGTATCTGCAATTTGTCAACTCCTATTTTTTTAAACTAAAAATTTCATTCTAATATTTAAAAAGAAATTGTGCTCTTTTATCTTTCTTTAGGTGCTGGGAGATCAACATGCTGCTCTGGTGGGTCAAATGTGTTTCCAGTCAGGACAGGCCAAAAGCACCTACGGCACAGGCTGTTTCTTGTTATACAACACAGGAGAAACAGTAAGTCTCAACCCAACTATTTGTAAATTTATTTTGCTCATTGAACATGAACAGTGATTGTAGCTGTTGATGGCTTTTTCAGAGAGTTGAATCGAAATTCGGTCTGGTGTCTACTGTTGCCTACCAAATGGGACCTCACAAAAAACCTGTATATGCTCTGGAAGGGTCAGTTGCTGTGGCAGGTGCTGCCTTCAACTGGCTGCGTGACAATGTAGATATGTTGTCTGACATCAGCCAGAGTGAGGCACTTGCAGACAGTGTTGGAAACACTGGTGATGTTTATTTTGTCCCTGCTTTCTCTGGCTTGTATGCACCATATTGGATCTCAGATGCCCGGGGGTACGGTCGGTTCTAGTACTGCCATGAAACTTCAAATGTGTTGCTCTTTTGTCCTATATTGTCCGTATTTCAACACTTGCAGAGTAATGTGCGGCATTTCTGAAACTACGTCTCGATCTCACATCATTCGCGCGACGTTGGAAGCAGTCTGTTTCCAGACGAGGGACATTCTGGACGCCATGAACGGGGACTGCGGCGTGCCCCTGTCCCGTTTGCAAGTGGACGGTGGCATGACAGCAAATCACCTGCTGATGCAGCTTCAGGCAGACTTGATTGGAATTCCTGTCGGTGAGTATGCTTCGAAGTCCAATCAAAAGTACTAACCGATATCTTTTGCCTTTGTTGACTCAAGTTCATTCTTCCTCCCCTTCAGTACGACCAAAGATGGCAGAAACAACAGCACTTGGAGCTGCATTAGCTGCTGGCTGTGCCAAAGGAATAGACCTCTTTGATTTGGATGAGGAACAGCGGATGCCATCTGATGTTTTTGAACCAAAAATTAATGAGGAAGGTGAGCCAAGCATTATATACCTGTGCCAATATTTTTTTTAACAAATGAAACTAAAAAGTTTTCATCTAAATTTTTAAAAATGATTTACAGAGCGAAATGAGAGGTACAACAAGTGGAAGATGGCAGTGGAACGCAGTCTGGGGTGGGAAACATAAGACATTATTCAACCTGTTTTCAAATTGTTGGAGAGTTATGATACCAAAAGCTGTAATCTTATCTTATCTTGAAGGCTATGTTCAGAGGTTGTTCTGAGATTACAATTGAACTTTATACTGTTTGGTGCCATCAAGTTTATATGAATTTTAAAATGGAGATTATTGTTTTGTTAAAGTTTTCCATATTTTTTTAATACCTATTCTAAAATAATTTTGAAAAGTTGTGAGTGATTTTTAGTTTTATTTCAGATGTATGACGTTTTATAAGTATTCCATTTCATGAGGATGATCTATTTTGCATTTTTTTTTATAAACTCTATCCTTGTTTTCATGTCTTCATTGTAAGTGTGTGCGGTCGAAATGACAGAGGTGTATTTGCCATGACTTTATGTGGAAATAGATTTTTCCTTTTACTTAAAACCGATTGTGGGTAGCATATCATATCATATCACTTATGGGGGTTTCCTCAGATTGGGTCAGGGTTGGGGTGGGGCTGGGGCATCATCAAAGCAACAACTTCATACGCGCACCGGGGGCGCTCTCTGTTACCTGTCATGTCAGCAACTCAATTAACTGTAACAAAACACATATCATTGGTTAGTGATAATAAATTTATTTTTAAAGCTCGAGTGACGTCGTTCCTGTTGCCCTTCACGACCTCACAGCCACTGAGACAGAGGCGGGGCAGCCTCTATTTAGAGGGAATTATTACGAGCGCCTCGAAGGTCTGTCTCGCTGTCTCTCTCCCACTCGCACATAGGGCGGGCAGGCACCAGGCAGGCAGCAAGCAACGCCTCAATTAGAGCGGGGATCACCGCGTTGCTGCGCCGCCGCGTCGCTGCCATTCCACTTTGGAAAGCTTGGCGGGTGGGAGGGAAGGGAGAGCAGCCCCCCCCCCACCAACTTCCGCCCGGGCTGCTCCCTGCACCGCCTGCACCGCGCCGGTAATATTGTAATATGGGGCGGGGGAGTGTAAAACGGTGAGTGTAAGCCTCGCGTCGCCACGGATTCCGACCTGAGGGGGGAAAGGTCAAAGTCCAAAGTCGAAGTCTCGTCACAATGGCGTCGCGGACTATGACGTCACCCACTGTGCTTGAGGGGGCGAGGCGGGAGTAGCGCCTTGCCGGCCTGATAGGCAACCCACAAGGACGCATCTCCAATCCCCCTATTTCTCTCTCGGTGGGACCAGGCAGCGTGACAAGGTCTGGCGGCCCACCGCGGCGCCCGCGGACGAGCGGGTAGGCCAGCCCGCGCTACAGCCGCGCGCGCCCCGCGGCAGGCGGCCTACCCGAGAGGGGCTCTGCCGGGTAAACGGTACAGCGAGGCAAGGTCTGCAAGAGGCCAAACAGCGTTGATGATGATGATGGTGAGGGGCTGCCGCCCTGCCGCGGCTCTACACTGCACAGGGCAGGCGGGAGGGCTGTGACCCGACGGGCGGCCCTCGTCGCGCACCGCCTCAAAGCGAACTCAAAGCGAAAATCCGTTGCGTCACTTGACGTGCGTTGCCTCGCCGTCTTTGCCACTTCCGTTTTTGCGCGCCAATGGCCAATGCCCAAGGCGGGAAGCGGGAAGCCCTTCGCGCGCACGTCGAGAACGCGACCCTCGTTTGCATAATCGGCCTCGGGAGCACTCCACTCCGCGAGATGTAATCGACTTTAATTCCAAAAGACAGCAAAAATACTAAAAATAAAATTTTCATAAAAAAAATTGCGGCTCGGCATTTTTATCTCCTAAAACATATTCGCGAAACAAAAGCAGTCCGACGCACTCCATCTGCCGCCCACACTGAAACCTGACCCGGCACCCACCTTTGCGTTTGCCTTCGGGGCAGCGTGGAGCGGCGTGGAGCGGCGTGGAGTGACCCCTCCCCCTCCTCCTCCCTTTCCGCAACGCGTTTTGCCTTAGGCCCCTAAGCGCGCACGGCGGCACGGCGGCCACAGCGCGCACCCCCTCCACGGCCGGACTCCTCGAATCTGGCTGGCTGGCCGGCCACCGCCGCAGCCTCTGTCGCCCAGCCCAGCGCCGCCCTGGGGCTGCCTGGGGAAGGCGATGCCGGGCCATGCCATGCCGGGCGCTGGGGGTGCTTACCCCTTCCACCGGCCTGCTCTCGGCGGCTCTCCCCCGGCACCCCGCGAGGTATATAACAAATCCGACGATGGCTCCGCTCTCTGTACGCCGGACCGACTTGGTGCGACCTGTGCCTGCTCCCTGGACCCTGGACCGCGGACCCTGCACCAGCCCGACGACCGCCCCGCCGACCAGCCTGCAACCCCGGCCTCGCCTCTCACCCCGTCAACCAGACGTCCAGCTTTGGTGAGTTTGGCGAAAGCACGCTGCACAGTGGGCCAGAAGACCGGTAGAGCGGCCGAAATTCGAGACGCGCTTTGAGCTCCAGAGTCGCTAATTAGGACTCGAACCGAATGTGTGACCCCATGGATAGCTCTCCGAACGAGGAATGCATTGGTGGGGTCACACGTTCGGTTCGAGGCCTGTTCAGCGACTCTGGAGCTCAAAACGCGTCTCGAATTTTGGCCGCTCCACCGGTCTTCTGGCCTGCGGGTTGGGGCGGCTCCCTCGCTGCCCCCCGCGGTGGGGTCTCTGGACGGCCACGGCGAGCAGACTCACTCCAATCACTGCTTTCGCCGCTCTGTCTCTCTTGCACTCACGGGGCGTGCGGTAGACGCTGTCCTTGTCCGTCTGCATCGAGGTGCAGGAAAATCACATCAAGATGAGTGTGATTGCCATTGCCGATGAAATTGCCACTTCAGCCTTCGAAATTCCGGCGGGTACTTGCGGCGTGAGTGCTTTGCGCCTGGCGAGCCTGGCGCGTCGGGGGAGTGAGTGTGTGCACTGCACTGTGCGTTGGGTGTGGCCGGGGCGCCCCCAGCAGAGCGATCCCCAGGAGTCGTCCCGTCGTTCTGTCTCTCTCGCAACCCCGCACGTCCAAGAACGGAGACGAGCTGCTCGGAATACTATTCCCCCATTCCCGTGACCTGTGACAGTTTGCGTGCGCGTGCCACTGGTTATCACGCGTCGAGAATCGAGTCACTTTCGTTTGAATGTGACGTCAAATTCTTTCGATTTCTTCTTTCGATCCAACAAATCTGACCCGATTTCCTAATGAACGTGACGTCACATTCGTTGTAAAACAGTGCGAGATTCACAGAGTCCCTCCCTTTTTTTCTCTCCCCCTTTCAGCGAAACTGCGCTCCCTCCCCGCCGCCCTTCCCCCGTTTTTTTTTTGCGACGTCATTTTGCAAGCTGCAGTGGACTTGCGCCCCGTGGGAGCGAAGGGCGAGAGGCAAGGAGCGGGAGCCGAGCCAAGTTTTGTCTCTTGCGCCAGCTTGCGCCCCCGCGAGCCCGGCCGGCCGCCGTGCGCCATGCGCCGTCCGCCGCCCGTTTGGCGTTTGAGTCGCCAAGCCAACCCCGGGCCGCGACTCCACTGTCAAAGCGTCACGCAAGACGCACGCCTCGCCGACAGGTATGGGATGGACCGGGATTTCGTCGCTCTGTCTCTCTCGAATTCTCAGGAAACGCCCCGCGAGTGCGAGAGAGACAGAGTCATCGACGCCACGACAATTTTGCTGGCCATTCTCGGATCTTTCTGCGTGAGGCGGCCCCATAGCCGACTCCAAAGAGTCGCCTCCGTCGATTTTACAGATTCCTCGTTTTGTGTTGCAAAGTTTTTCCTCCGCCACGTGGCAGCCGTGCGCGCTTTGCCGCGTTTTCTTTTGATTGGCGCGCTTCATTTCCGCCCAATTTGTTGGGCGCGCTTCGAGCGGACTTCGCGTTCCCGCCAATAATCCAGGCCGCGGAAAGTAATTACCGGAAAATCCCCCCCTCCCCTCCCCTCCCCCTTCCAACTCCTCCTAGACACCCCCTCCCCCTGGCGGGTGACCTCCCCGCCCAACGTGCCGCCTCTTCTGCATACACTTGCAGTTTGTCGGGGATCGGGGAACACGCCCACCTCGTCGTGCTCGTCGTGCGCGGCGTGTGTGCGTTCTTTGAAACCCAAGCGGCCCGCCAGCGCGTAGCGCGTCACGCGACGCACCAAGCGACGCCAAGCTGGCGGTGTTTGCCTGGCCTGGCCTGGGCCGGGCTCGGGTTGCCTGCCTGCGTTGCCGCTTGAAGGAAGAAATGATGATAAAAGAAATGAAAAATCAATGGGAAGATGCGGGGGTTATTTTTTTTGTTTCATTTTATTCGCTCGGGAAGCGGCGGCGGCGTCACCGCGGGGCAGTCCCGCAGGCCTTTGACGCGTTACGGCCTTCCGTCCGGCCCGACGGCCATCTTGTCCGCGACGCGGTGTCAGCACTCGCCACCATTTTATTACAGCGGTTATTTTGATTTTTAAAAAGTGCGTCTATTGGTGTGATTAAACCCATGAGGTGTCAGAAGAAACGCCTCGACTCGATACGAAACAAAATCTCTGAAAAAAAAAGACGGAAACCCGAAAGGAATCTGAACGAAAGCAAGCGCAACTCGGTCCACTTCCGGTAGGGCCCTCCACTTGACATTCCATTCCCTTTCTGTGCCGGCCGGCCTTCTGCGCCGCCTCGCCTCGTCTCGCCGCCCCAGCGCTTAGCAACGCCACGCCCCGCCCTCTGCATTCGGTCCGTCCGCCCGTCCGTCCGCCCGTCCGCCGGTCTGTCCGTCTGTTTGTCAGTTTCCGCCCGACCGTCCCCCTATGGCAATGCTATGGCAATGGGGTAGCCGTGTTCCCCTGGGCCGCACCCCGCGCGCAAGTCTATCAAGAGCGGCGGGGCGGGGCGGGGCGGGGCGGGGCGGGGCGGGGCGGCCAGCCTCGCCGCCTGTCTCCCGTCCTTTGTCGCCCCTTCCCCGCCCCCTCCCCTCCCCAGCGCTCAGTGGCCATGTCTCGGCGCAGAGGAGCGATTCCACTACGCCGTTAAGGCAATCGGACGCAGAGCGGCGCAGAGCGGCGCAGAGCGGTTCCAGGCATTTCGCCAAATGGTTATAATGCGACGGAGGGCCGCGGGGGCCATCATCACGAGCCCCTCCGCCAGCTCCACACCTAGCCGACGGCGAGCCGGAGGCCGACCAGCCCGGCGCCGCGCCACCAGTTGCAGCACCAGTTGCGCAAGCAGGGCGCGCGCTGGAGGTAGGCGAGGCGAGGCGAGGCGCCCGACGTGCAGGCCGGCCCGTCGAGCAGGCGTGCCGTCGGGTTGCCTACCCTGGACTCGGCGGGCGCTTGCCGCTGGCCCCGCTGCACAGTGGGCCAGAAGACCGGGGGAGGCGGCCAAAACTCTAGACGCGTTTTGAGCTCCAGAGTCGCTAAATGGGACTCGAATCGAACGTGTGACCCTACCAATGGGTTCCTCGTTCGGAGAGCAATCCATTGGTGGGGTCATACGTTCGGCTCGAGTCCTGTTTAGCGACTCTGGAGCTCAAAACGCGTCCAGAGTTTTCGCCGCCTCCACCGGTCTGCTGGCCCACTGTGCGCTGGCTGCCGCGCGCGCGACAGAGATGAGACACGCACGCGACGCGCACGCGACGAGCACGACGCGCGACCGCGGCGCACGTGGCGGCGTAGACTAGGAGACAAAGCGCCTCGTGGCGGGGTGCGGGGCGCGGCGGTCCGCATGCCCGGCGAGGTAAAGAAGGCGCCTTTCACGGCCAACAAAGCACGGCCAGCCAGCCCCACCCGAAGGCCCCGAAGGCCCTGAAGGGTCCAAAGGCCGGCGTGTCCGGTCCGAGCGCGGTCCTCGCAGCGCCCCCTCTTTACCCTGATCTTGCTTCACCCTCACTGACCCTCGCCTCGCAAGCCGGCAGGCCGGCAGGCCCACGCTGTGATTTCATTGACCCACATCATGGGTCCTGCACTGCACGAGGCCCACGAGGGCGGCAGCATGGCGGCAGCCTCCCCTCCCCGCCTCCCCGGTAGTTACCGCCCGCAATACCGCCTGCACACTGATTCCGAGAGTCGTTTTCGTCGCTCTGTCTCTCTCGCACGCGTGGGGCGCCCCGTAGAGGTGCGAGAGAGACAGAGTGACTACGGCGGCCCTCGGAATCGGTCTGCTGGCTCGCTTCACGAGGGGTAGGCCTGCGGATGCGAGTGGGCTCAGTGTGGGCCCACATGCCCACAGCGCGCCGGCCACTCCACTGGCAAAGCCATGGCCTAGCCTCGCCCCGGGCGTCCTCGCGTCAGGCCGTCCCGAGTGAGTACCTCCTTTACGACCCACGGGCCACGGGGAGGCTAGGCCTAGCCGCCAGGCGCCCGCGGCGGTCCAGGGCTCGTCCACGGCCCGCGCCGACCCAGCCAGACGCACCTCCAGCAGTGCAGCGGAAAATGGCGGAACAACTGGATTCGACTGTTTGACCCGGCCTGCGAGGGTTGCGAGGGGGAAACGAAATCTCGTGGACCCTGCACCGCCTGGCCAAACCGAAAGGCGGGCCTCCGGGGCGGCCCAGGACCGAGGGCCCGGCCGTGCCAAACCTGATTTGGTGCCGCGTCGCCGGCCAGGAACTAAGCGCCACTTATGCGCATGTCATTTTCATCTCTCGCGAGGGGTGCGCACTGCGTGGGGCGTTTACCTGCTCGCCGTGCTTGTGTGAGTGTGGGTCCCTCGTACAATTCCGTAACCCGATTAAGGCGGTTTGCAGGCCGGGCCACTCGTAGACAAAGCCCCGCTGGACGGACGGGTCTTTAACGTGCTTACGTCGTCGTGCTGCCCCAGCTGCCCTGTCCATATTCCGCGGCGCGCACTCAGAGGGGGTGAACAGTGTGCCAGGAGACCGGTGAAGGGGGACAAAACTCTAGACGCGTTTTGAGCTCCAGAGTCGCTAAGCAGGACTTGAACCGAAAGTGTGACCCCACCAATGGATAGCTCTCCGAACGAGGAATCCATTGGTGGGGTCACACGATCGGCTCGAGACCCATTTGGCAGCTCTGGAGCTCAGAATGCATCTAGAGTTTTGGCCGCTTCCACCGGTCTTCTGGCCCACTGTGGGGTGCTGGGTTCGACTCCCAAACACGTCGACGTCTTCCTCAAACATACCGCATTCTTGAGTTTCGCTTTTGTTTGGCAGCCCCAGAAAATGCAGCTGTACCTGCTGACGTGCTGCAGCGTGCTGCTGGCGTGCTGGGTTGCGGCGGACGACGTCATCATGCCCAACACTGTGAGTGAGACACTCTCGTTTCTCGCGGTGTGCCTTTTAATTGCTTTCCTCTGGGAGGGGACCGGAGGGGACTTGCTCGGCTCTCTCACCGCAGCCATTGTAATCAAGCAGTCAATCACGCTGTCTCACCCAGAAATAAGAAGGGTAGTGCTTTCTCGCCTGCCTTGGTTGACAATCGAGTTCATTTTGCGCTTAAAAATAAATGAATAAAAAAGGATCAAATTAGGATAGCTGAAAAATATCGTTTTAAAAATTTGTTCTGTAGGAATTGGACAACTTTGAACAGGACGATCGCCCGAAACGACCATTCTGCAACGCCTTCACAGGTAAGAACCACGACAAAAACTGTTTCTTTTTTCCTTAAATTAGCGTTTATTCTCAAGCCCTAGCTATATACTCATGTCATCACGGAAGACAATAGAAAAATAAACTATAAATGTAAAAAAAAAGTATTTGTTCTGTGGTCCTCATGGCGTTGTTCTTGGCGGCGCAGGCTGCGGCAAGAAGCGGGCCGTGCCGCTGCAGTACCCGATGCCGCTGGCGCTGCCCATGGCGCGCGCGCTGCGCTCCGACGACTCCATGTCCACCCTGATCGACCTCAACGCCGAGCCCGCCGTGGCCGAGCTCAGCAGGCAGATCCTGAGCGAGGCCAAGCTGTGGGAGACGATGCAGGAGGCGCGCGAGGAGCTGGAGCGGCGGCAGCACAAGGAGGTAACAGTGTAGGCCCGCAGGCTCAGGCGGCCAGGATGTACGTGTCGATGATGCGCTCCATGGTCTGGTTGTAGCGCGACCGGAACAGCTCGTCCGTCTTGTACATGTTGATGATGGTCTCCGTGCGGTCCACGTGGCAGTGGTGGTAGAACTTGTCGGGGTCCTCGAGCAGGGGGTCCATCAAGGAGCTGGGCGCCAGCGAGAAGGGCTGCTCCAGGGCCATGAGCAGCAGCCCGTACTTGTACATCTTGTCGGCCACGGACTCGAACTGGCTCCAGGGCAGCACCTGGGGGAATGTAGGGGCGCGTTAAGGGGCTGCGTGTTCACCAGCAGCGCGAATCCGTCTCTCTCGCACGCACTGAGAGCGTCCCGAGTGCGACAGAGAGGCACCTACCTTCTCGGGCTCGCAGCCGGCCCGCCGCAGCCCCGCGGCGATCGAGTCCCAGTGCAGGCGCTTGAGCTCGGCCCAGTGCTTCTCCTGGAAGGCGCGGTCCGAGCAGAAGAACAGCATGATGGCCAGGTCGTTGGGGGGCGGCGCGTAGCGCGCGAGCTGGTAGTCGACGAGGGCCACCTCGACGGGCCGGCCCGACGCGTCCTTGCGGAACATGAAGTTGTTGGTCCAGGAGTCGCCGTGGCACATCACGTTGCGCACGCCCTCCCACGTCCCCAGCGACTGCAGCACCTCGTGCAGCAGCGGCGGCAGCGCGGCCTGGGGGGAGCAAACGTCAGCCGTGAGCAGCCTCCAGCAGCGGGGGCGCAAAACAATCCAAAATGTAGGTCACTCGTTGCGTGATTGCGCGGTTGCGCAACCTACCTGGATCCTGGCCAGGGTGTCCTTGTCCAAGTCGCGGTACTTGTCGAGGTGCGGCACGATGGCGACGCACACGTTGATGGAGGCGCGGTGCCACGTGGCGTTGGTGTGCTTGGGGTCGTCGGTGAAGAAGGTCTCGTAGCCGATCTCGGGGAACTGCGCCAGCAGCGTGCGCCCGCGCCGCTCCTCCAGCACCAGCGAGGCGGCGTGCAGCTCGCCCAGGGCCTTCACCACCTGCGGCAGGAACGGTTAGCGTGTCTCTCTCTCTCTCTCTCTCTCTCTCCTCTCTCTCTCTCTCTCTCTCTCGCACTCGGGGAATGTCACGGAAGGGGGGAGACGGGGCGAGAACGCGGGGATATCAGTCATGTGCTGTACTATACCGAGTAAGGCCCCCCCGCCCTTGCCACCCCAAAGGGTACGCGGTGCAGACTGACGCGCTGACGCAACGGCTAGAGAAAGGCTATTGTCGCGGAGCGCGCAACGCGGAGCCTGTCGCGTTGTCTCCGTCTCGTCTCGTTCCCGCCAAGGGCCGGCCAAGGGGCCGCTTGGACGTGCACTGTCAGTGCCAGTGTTCGGGACTGCAGGGCGCCTTGTTCCAGCGGGGCATTCGGTGAGGGTTCTCGGGCGTCCAATTTTCCAAGTCACTCAAAATCGGCCACATTGAAGGGGGACTATAAGGGAACTCCCTGGCAGGCCCCGCCGCGGTTACGGGCCCCGAGTAGCCTTCGCCGCTCCCCCGACGGCAGATTAAAAGCGTCACTCAAGTTGAGTCGCGGTCGCCTGGCCGTCGCCCGGCCGTCGCGTCGACGCCCTGTCGCTGGGGGAGGCACCCCTTCCCCCCTAAGGTCGTGTCGTGGATGACCTCCCCCTTCCATCCCGAAGGTCATATGCAAGATGACCTTGCCCGTGCCCCCTTAAGGTCGCATGGAAGATGATCCCTCCCAGGTCATGGAAGATGGCTGCGGATGGCTGCCTGCTCCAGCCTTGGCCGCGCGCTGAGCCAGAGACTCACCAGCCTGATGTGCTCGAGGGGGAGGGGCTCGCGCGCCTCCATGCCCGCGAAGCCGAAGGGCCCCAGGTCGTCCAGCAGCAGGCAGTCGTCCTTGACGAGGTGGCACTGCGGAAACACGAAGGGCTGGCAGTCGGGGCCGGCCGCGCCGCCCAGGGCCGCCGTCATGTCCTTGGCGAACAGCTGGTAGAACAGGGCCTCCTTCTTGAAGGCGCCCGTGTTGACGACCGTGGCGCGGGCCTTGTCGTTCTCGGGCAGCCCCTTGACGAACAGGGACACGTCGCGCGCCTCGGCGGCGGACGCGGGCACGCGCGCGCGCGCCTTCACCTTGAAGTGGTCGCCCAGGAAGCCGAGGCGGCCGTCCTCCATCACGGACACCTGCTTCCAGGACTCGATGGCCACCTCGCAGCCGAACTTGGCGTTGAACGCGGCCTGCACGTCGTCCTGGGTCACCGTCACGGCCATGGCTTTGGCCTGGGCTTTGCCTGGGCTGCTGTTTATTCCTGTCACAAGAGCGTCCACGTCACACGGGCGCGTCCCTTTACAGCCATACAGCGCCATGTAGCGGCGGCCATGGCGGCGGCCTGATACCGATAAGGGAAGTCACGACGCTGGCACGAGGTGTTACCTCTCATTAACTTTGACCAGTTTAGAACGAAAAGGAGAGATAGCACCGCGGCTGCTGCATGATTTGGCATTCCTAATCTAGCTTCTAGTGGAATTTTACCTTTGATAAAAGCAATTTACGAAAATCACGCCATGTTACACTGGTAAAACTCAAGCGTACTTTTACGCCTTTCTTCAAGCGTAGTAGAACTGCGCTCGGCTTCAAGCCCCTCTCCCGCCGATCTAAATGCATGAGGATTTCTTCTCTACGCTTGACTTCAAGCGTGAAGTCTTCAAGCGTAGTTGTGTGCTTGAATGAAGCATACAACTACGCTCCAGTTTTACCAGTGTAGTGCAGCAATATCAGTTTGGTAGTGACACTTAACCAAACGGAAAACTACGAGTGCAAGTAGTGCGTCCCGTTTGAAAACCGCGCGCGTGGCAGGCGGTGGCTGTCGTGTTGGCAGCACTGCCGCCCCTTAATTTTGTTGTTGTTGTTTGTTCCGTCGTCTGCTCCAAAACTGTTCCGGTACAGTGCTGCGCTGGCGATGGCTCGCGCCCTTTGTTAAGGTCGCGAAGCACGTGAAGCTCGCGTCACAAACGCTGCAAACGCATTCCCTCCGGAATCGAACCGGTACACGCTAAAAAGCATCGCACGCCGGCGCCAGCAACGCGTCCCGAAGGTTATGTCAGTGCCGCAGCGGCTCGGAGTAAACAGAACCTGCACACTCGGGGGAATCGCGACGCCTTTGGCGAGTGCGAAAACAAACGATGTAAAGGCCTCACCGCGCTAGTCGAAGGCGATTTCAGCGACTCGCGTTGACGTGGCTGCGGCTAGCGACGAATGTGCGACTAGGTCTAGGTCCCGTCACTAATAAGGCTGGCGCGCCGCTCGCCGTTCCCGTTCGCGTCTTGTTGACAGTTCGCTGGCAGAGTGGGGGTGGGCGGGGGTAGGGGCAGGGGAGAGCGGGCGGGGCGCGGCGGGGCGGGGCGGGGCGCGCTGGAGATTGGGATACGAAGCGACGTGTGTTAGCCGTCGGCCGCTCCCCCGCCCCTCCCCGCCCCCCCTACCACCTCACTTGGGATACGTGTCCCTTTGCGAGTGGCCTCTCTAGTCTCTAGGTCCGGCCTTGGGCCCGGCAGTCCGGCCTTGGGCCCGGCAGCCCGGCAGCCCGGCGGCTTTCCGCTTCTGCGTGAAACATGACGGTTGTTGATCCCACACTCGTGCACTGACCGTGACTTTGCGTATGCAGTCCAATCTAAACACTTATGATACATCTTTCTCTTTCTCTTTCCCGCAGCTGTCACCGCGCCGGGTGGGCGCTCTGCGTTCCTTCAGGAGACGCCGTGCCGCGGCCGCGACCGCGACCGCCCCGGCTTCGGCGTCGGCGTCCGAGGCCGCCGGACAGCGCGGCGACGGCTCGGCCGCGGACTTCCCCCGGGAGGAGTAGACTTGAACTTGCAGGCTAGACGTGCACTGGGCCCAGGCTAGAACTGGTTGACCTCCGAGAGACTCCATCGGCAACTAAAGCAGTCATGGAAATAATAAGTTATATAATGTGTCATAAGGACATTTTTTGTGGGTGGAAGCTCGTCAGAGGTCCTCTGGAAAACGACATCTCGCCGTATCAATTCGAAATTTGTAGCTGTAGCTCGGCAATCCCAATTGAACGTAAGTGGTGCGAATCGTGGTTTGTTCACAAGCTGCGTTTGGGGGAAGTCCAATTTGGCGAGTCGGAGGCAGCCGGCAGGCTAGCAGGAATCTACTTTACTTGAATTACTTATCAATTTGATGTTAAGTCCAGGCTGGATTTCTTTCTGAAAGAATGTGCTTTTCCCCTCATGGGACCCACTTGAGCTCTATTGCTGGATATGAGCCCTATGTGATGCACAATCTTTAATAATGTAGCTTGTAAACATTCCTCTGTTGTGCATTAAATTAAGTGGGACAGAAATTTAAAAAAAAAAGAAATTTGTTTTATTATGATTCTTTAGAGGAACTGTTCAGTGCTCATGTTATCTGTAGCAAATTAGTAGGCAAACTCATTAATAAAAGTAATAATAAAAAGTGGGTATCCAAAAACCCTACGTACCTCCCTATCAACTTACACACCAGCATCAAAACGGTTATTTAGCAACTTTTCGGAGATAAGGGTGCACAATAAATTATACTGGGATAGGGGAGAAAGAACTATAGACAACCTCATTGTGCTTAAACTGTATTGACCATAAAACATCTGCTAACACTATATTTGCAAAGATTGCATATTTACACTTGGTTAACCACAAAACAGTCAATTTTTTAGAGGAGTATAGAAATGCACATGAAGTGGCTTTTTACAACAGGAGACTTCTTCTTGACTAACAAGCCAGCTAGAATTAAAAGGTTTATGCTGATGAGACACTCCTAGACCGGCACAATCAAGTGCCAGACTTAATACTTCATACTTTCAGTCTGGGCAAATACACTTCCTCAAAATAAATAATTAAAGATCACACAAATCTTAATTTTGGCATATCATATTAAGAACAAACAGATAGCTCATACAAAACTATATGTGAGACTAATTTTCTCTGGGAAGCCAACAGTTATTAAGGCTAAGTTCTAAAATTTGAAAGAGACATACTTTATGCACAAAAATGGCCCATAACTATGCCATATCTTCCACAAAGTAAAGTACAAGGCTAAAACAAGTGTTTGTAGTTATACAAGTAAAATTAAACTGAATAACAAAAAAAAAAAAAAAAAAAAGAAGGAAAGTCAAATAGTCTATTTAACCAATTAGTTCACATTTAATCCAATCATGATTGAACAACAAGGTCATAGTGACCCTGCCAAACATTCCCTTTTTGTCTAAAAGGCCCTTTCAAAACAAAAACTGGTGGATTGAACAGAATTAAGCTACACACTTATGGCAGAAATATTCAGATAGAGAACAGGAACTTGCTGCAGAATTTTAAAAAAGTTCTTTTAAAACTCCTAACACACTACCATAAAGTGGTAAGTAGTGCTACACCTCACTACAAAATCCAAAACTTAAGGTAAATAAGAATTCTGTTAAAGCTAGAAATATCAGAAAAGTATGGTTAACTTTTCATCAAAGTCAACAAAATCAAACATAACGTCTTTGTCTACACCACAGATTTACTCCTCATAGAAAATACAAGTTTCACAGACTTTATTGGTAAGATAAATAACTACACCCTACTTCCTCGTGGGCAAAATTATTTATTTTGCAATGTATCAATCCCTAATGTAATTTACCTCACATTAATGATTGATCTCATTTAACACCCTTTAATGTACAAATAATTTATGGCCAAGATCATCAAAATTAAATAGTACTCATCACAAAATGATAGGGAGAGTGAGAAAGAGGATTTAAGCGCAAGGTGGTCCTTGAATAGAGATGCCTATAGAGTTATTAAGAAGGACAGTATCACATTGATGTGTGAAAAAAATAAAATAACAACAAAAAATCTGTGCTTAATCTAAAATAAGCTTGCCTATTGCATTAAAATAGCAGTAGAGGAAACAAAAACAAAACTGTTAAGTCCTGTGAATTTATCACGAGGCTCTCAGGGCTTGAGCAGAAGCATATGATGAACAATTGCATGCTGCCATGTATAAATATGAAAAACCTATGATCAGACCGTTTTGCATTACTTTTCTTACTCACAAATGGGAATCATCCAAAGATCCATCAACACAATTTTAAATCAAAATTGAATGACTCCAGTAAACAACCATTTGAAGCAACAATCATCACTTAATCAGTACAGACATTGTGGAAAGGTTCCTATTTTGTCAACAATTATCATACATTCGTTGGCTTCATTCAATCCACTTTCACCACACTGTAGATTTTTCTCACAAAGAGGAAGCAGGCAAAGAATCCAATTGTACCTAAGACAAATAGGGATAATGTTAGTTAACCATTGTATAAACATTCATTGCTATTGCAGAAACAAATTGGAATTTGGTACAGACCTGTCAGCAAGAAGAACAGGAAAACAATGATGAGAGTGTAACCATAGTACAAGAATGTTGAGGCAACATCCTCAATATTGAGTTTGGTCTCAAAGTAATGGATGCAATAAATAAAGAGATAAAATGCAGTAAAGCCTGAAGTTAGGAAGCTGCGCCACCACCAATGATAATCCTGGAAAAAAAAAATGTGTAAAATTTTCCAAAATTAATTTTTAAAGGAAGGAATAAACATAAACAAGGAGCCCAAAAGGAACAAAGACATACCTCAGCACATAAGTGGAAATAGCAAAGGAGAACTGTTGTTTCCGAGCAGGTAATAACCAGAATAATGAATACAAGGAAGAGGAAACCAAACATGTAGTAGGTTTGACTGGACCTATAAACAGATACATTCTCAAATAATTGACAATCTAGGTTCACAAAGAGCATAAGTGTTCTGGTCATTCTGCTTACCAAATAGAATTTAGAATGAAAAACAGCTGAATAAAAATACAGCCAAAGGGAAGAACACCACCCATGATGATGCCAGGAATTGGGCGTGTGTACAGATTCTGATCAGGAATTTGACGAGGAATTTGGTTTGTTCTCACAGGATGTTCAAGCATCTGTAACGCACAAGCAAAACATAATGCTGTAGGTTTAATGAACTTAAATTGAATAAATAATCTTCCTAATAGTATCGCCACTCACCCTTTTTCTGAATCCAAAGTAGGCTCCAACAAAAGTAAGGGGCACAGAGACTCCAAACCACAGGGCAAGAAGGGCCACAAGAGTCGGGAATGGTACAGCAGCAGAGCTTCCTTTGGCCCAGAGGATTAAGTTCATGACAAAGAAAAGGCCAAACACGATTCTGCAATCAACACCAACAGTCAGGGAAAACTTGCCACCATTTTCAGAAATCTTTAGAACGAGCCTAAGTTTGTTTGCTTACCCTGGGCACAACATGGAGGTCAAGAGGACGTTGGACTTCCATTTCTCTCCTCCAAAGCTTTTGTAAACCCGGGCAGAAACATAACCAGCAGGTGTCCCAAGCCACACAAACAGAACCATGGCACACGTCATCAAAGCACCTCGGTTTGCAGGAGATAAGAAACCCATACAAGCAAACGCTGAAAGAAATTGTATGAAAAACAAACATATAAGATAAAGGTTTCAAGGTGGTTGAAGGGGATATACAGTATTAAAAGAAAACTTGAGACGGGAAATTTCAAAACTGTTAATATGACTCACCAAGAGTGACCAAGACCATACAGAACACTTGAGTTCCCGATCCAAGAAACACTGCAAGCAGCATGCCTTTCCGAGGAGGACGGAAAACGTCACCATGGACCAGCTTCCAGCCAAAGTCTTCTTGAACATCCTCTCCACAGTCCATTTGGTTATACCTTGCAATGTCTTTATGCAATGTACGAAGTAAAATCATTGCCACCATACCAGTTAGGAAGAGAACAATGACAAGAGAATTTAGAATGCTGAACCATTGAATGTTTGTGTGGGGCATTGTTTCAAGGATATAATCCCAGCGTGAAGACCATTTGACAGTGTTGTTTTCCTGTTGTAAAGAAAAAATTGAGTGAAACTGACTAAAAATTATTTTAACAATAATTGAGGGGAAAAAAGGGATAAATCACCTCAAACCTGACGGAATATGAATAAGTTATCTCCAAATCGCTTGTGAGATCGCTGTAAGGAATTTCTAGAGGCGCAGCATCAATTCTGCAATTTGGATTTTTGGGGTCAGAATGCCTGATGCTTCTGGGTGTCACTTTCACCGCTGTAAAAGATAATCAAACATAAAGTACATGCATTAATTAAGTTTTATTCAAAAGGATGATTTTAAAAGGTACTTACAGACAATGCGACCACCATCAGACTTGAAAGAGGATCCCCAGTCTTCATCTTTGCCGCTGTGGTAAGTGATAACCAAATCAACATGGTTGAATAGATAGTAAGTGTTGGCCTTGCTGTAGCTGGGCTGTTAACAGAATTAATGGACAATAAGTGCACTGATATTGAAATGTGGTTGGTCTAACTCATGAGAGACTGCCAAGTAAACTTACATTAATGGTGCACACGCCATCTATGCCTTTCTTGTCTTTGACAAAGCACCCCATGGGGAAACCTTCACTGCAATACTGCCGGTCCACTTCGAGGAGGTAGCACCAAGTGACAGGCATATTGTCTGGAGATGGATTTTCGTAGTTATAGAACAGATAAACGCATGTAATGTACATTTTACTTGTGGGGTGAGTTTGAGAGGATTGGCAGGGTCTGTTATTCATAAGAATTAAGCAATGACTCACCAACAATCCAATGGTGCTGATAGTTCAAGCTGATGCCTCGTTTCAGAAGGAGAAGCTTAGACATCTCATCTCTGTCACTCTTTCGGTATGTTTTTGTGCAAACAGCCGAACAGTTCACAGGCTCAAGAAATTTAATCTATGAAGAAATGAGAAATACAAAAATTGATAACACAGCCTCTTACTGAGAACAATACAGCAATCACAGTGCTCCACTACCTTGTATGGTGAGGGACGGATCCTTTCACCAAAGACAACCTGCCCCAGATTTTCCACTGGTGAATCAGATTCATCCTTGGAAAGACAGAAATCGAAGCTGAAAGACACAGAAAGTCATCAATGAAAAAGGCAAATTCAGAGTGACAGAATTACGTAAGAACATAGGAAGAAAACTTGCAACATTCTATAAATAAAGTATTATAAAGTTTACTACTCACTGGTGGTACTCAAAGGGAATGACAGATTCGTCTGTGTTCAATCGGTTCACATACAAGATGACATCGGACTGCAAACAACCAAAATAATGTTACCTTTACCCAAATAACATAGGTTATGAAAGCCATAGCAACTGAAATCCACAGTGTTGAATGAATTTTAAAGAGCTACAGAGTAGTCTGAGGAAATGAAAGTAAAGGAGAAAAAAAGCAGACACAGACTGATAATAGGTCAACTACACCTCTTCATGTGAAAACAAATCAAACAACAACAGACCCAGGCACCTCACCTTGCATTTCCCCTCCGATTCTGCTCTGCAAAAATTGACAGGTGCAAGACCGGGCAGGTAGAAGGCTTGAGTCGCCTGCAGCAGCGCGCAGAGCGCCGTCAGCAGACTCAGAGCGTGCATCCTTTCAGCAGCACGCTCGCCAAATCTCTGGCAAGCGGTCGCCGACTAGAACTAGAACTAGGCACCGTTCTAGGTGCACTGCACTGTGTGTCGTTGCCGCAGTTGTTGTCAACCGGATCCAGATACCCCGATCAGTAGCTCCTGGAGATAGCAACACACGCAAAGTATGCAATGAGCGGGCGAATGGGTACGCAACTTGACAAGCAGAAACACACTGTTTTTCGGTGCATGAGTACAACCTACACTCGCAAGAATGTAATGCCCATCCAAATCCACGGTTCAACTCCGACTCACTCGACACGTCACTCGCTGAGCATCATGGGGTTGTTCGCAGGCTGACAGCTCCACACCGTCGAAGAGGCTTGACATAAACCACCAAAATTGATTGAAGCTCGATTCAGCAGCTGGACAGGACGGGATAATTGGCTGGTGCTGCTGTATATATCAAATGCGGACGACTTGTACAATGCCGTCGATACAAGTTAATACGACTTTTGTTTACAAGTCGAGCAGACACACCATTATTCGCACGATCGGTTGTCGTCGTGCGTGTTTACATTCAAACATTTGAAAAAGAATGACAGTATTTCTATTAATATTGATCTTCACTAACGTAAATGATTCCACAAACTTTTTAAAAGCATCTCCAATGCATTTACGTTAATACGTTTACTGTATGTTTCGGAAAGTAACTCTGAGGAGGCCAGCCTGTCTTTCTGCTAATAGCAACAACAACAACAAAAATAGCAGACGACAGACGTGGCTGTCACTTTTCTTTCAAGAAATGGGCAACGTGTAAACCTTTCAGGTTTCCTGACAGGAACAGTCTTTCACAACATCAGGTGTAATGAATAGTGTCGTTACCGAAGTTGTGGTCCGACTGGTCCTAAGTTTCATAGCTCTGTGAGTTTATTATTCGGTGCAAGATCATTCAAATCTTAGAATTTACAGAGATTTGTCTGCCTAGTTTCAGTTTTAATCAAGTTGTTTTTATTTGAGTAATATTGCTTTAATTCTATGTCACATTCTGTTTACAGATATTTAGACAAAGTTCGCCCCTTCGCAAGAAAAATCCAGCCAGATGAATTGTGGTTATACAAAAATCCCCGCACCGATAGCTATGTTACAACTACAACCCTTTGGGTAATGACAAAACTCACAAATCCTAACGAAGTTCTCTTTCAAAAAATTTGTGAATAGTTTAAAAACAATCTTAATCTTTTTTTTACCAGATATTTTCTTTGGTCGTGCCTGTTGCTGTAATATTAAGTTGGAGCTTTGTTAAGCGAATGCGCTCTGATGCCCTGCAAGCATTTCTAGCTTGTTCCTTAGGATGTATATTGAACGCTCTTTTGACAAACATTATCAAAGTGGTAGTTGGTATGTACGTTACCTAATTCATGTATAGTGTCTAAATTTTAAATCAATTTCTGTTAATGTCTTTCTGTTTCATTCAGGGAGGCCAAGACCAGATTTCTTCTGGCGTTGTTATCCAAATGGAATAATCACCACTGATCTCTCTTGTACTGGAGATAATGCTATCATTGAAGAAGGAAGAAAAAGCTTTCCAAGTGGACATTCATCCTGTAAGTTCTTTTATTATTTTTTTTCTCCAGTTTCCATTAAGCGTTATCATTCTGCTTAATCTCATTGTTCTTTCTCACTTATGCATTTTTTTTCAGGGGCATTTGCTGGTTTGGGCTTCCTGGCAATGTACACTGCTGGTAAACTTCACACATTTTCTCGCTCAGGGAAGGCCCAAGCTTGGAGGCTTATTGCTCCGCTCACTCCCCTTGTTTCGGCTCTTGTAATAGCCCTCAGCCGCACCTGTGACTATCACCATCACTGGCAGGATGTTCTCTGTGGATCTTTATTGGGATTGTCCTGTGCATACATTAGTTACCATCATTACTACCCAAAGCTCTCCTCTCCTTTATCGGACAAACCATATGTAGATATTGTCACTCAAGATGGCAGCAGCTCTTTAGGCATTAAGGCAGTCTAATTCTAGGGTTGTCAGGTCCATACTGGTTGTTTCAAATCCTAAATGATAAGGTACTTTTTAAATTTATTGACTTGTTAAATTCTAGTGCATTTCAAAAAAAAGATGATGAGTTTGATTGAAGGATTTAGAATGTTTGAAAACCAGTCAACTATGTGGTAAGGCCAGAGTACTTAAGGAATGCTTCAGCTTCCTTCAATAGTGTTGTTCATTCCTTTAAGCAGATCAGATGACATGTACACACTGCACGTATCTTGACTTGTCTTTGTGAGTACGTCATCATTAAGTTTCATTGACATTTATTATTTATGTTCCTATTGCCAAAGTTAAATTCCACTCCGTGATATTTTTTTTTCCATTGGAAGTCATATTTTAATCCGATTAATTGTTGTAGAGCTATGTTTATAGTCATATCAATGTTTCTCATTCTTTAGTTGGCTGTGAAGATTTTCTACAAATGCATTTAAATTAATGAATTTTTTTGTCATGTTTCCTCAGAAAATTCAATTTTTCATTCCATGTGTTTGATGCAGTATGAGGGTTTGAAAGTTATAAATAACACTGTATAGTTTTAAACAGTTTTATTTTAACTAAGATTTTCAGTGTGTCAGATCATTTTTAATACTTGCTAAACAAATGTGATTGATCAATTAAAAACAAATGTGAAAATATGTTCCTACTTTACTTTCTTTGAATATTGTCACTAAAACTGGTTCTTCAACTGGTAAAAAATAAAATATCAAAACATTAAAATGATAGTAGTACATAAATGAGCGCAAAGACTTCACATTACGTCAAATCAAATTGACACAGGTAATATGCACAATGTAGTCCAAGGGAGGCCATACAAATAGTTCCAAAACTAAACAATTTCCTAGAGCATAAATTATATGATAATAAGTAATAGTACAGTCCTAAGTGATTACTGTAAGTACCACTTCTTTTTCTCATTGAAAAAATTTGCTTTAAAAAAAGATGGGAGGAGGCAATAGCATTTAAATACTGAGGCTCGGCAATAAGTACCATTTCAAAGTAATATTTGCACCCATCACAGAAAAGTCATAGGATACTTCATTCTCAGGGACAGCACTTGTATCACAGGAGGTTAAAACAAGAATTCCGTCAAATGGATGATATTTGGCTAGTCAGTTGCTAAAACTAATAGACAATGGCACTTCATCATACATAAGATAGAAAAATTGTTTCAGCAATTTTTTGTTCCTTTCTTCTACTAAGGCACGGAAAGAAGCTAAGGGAATCAGCATAAAAGAGTGGTAGAAGATTAAGACAAGATAGATTTATCCTAAATGCAACATAATCAAAATTGATGCACACATTGTCAAATATAAAATGTAACCTAGTTATTTTGTCTCAGTGTCTTGGTTAATTCGTAATTGCGTTCTGAGCCTAATGCAGGCTTCTCGCTCAAGCATAATTTGCCGTACGAGATTCATTCTGTCCTGCATTGACTGAGCAACTTGTTCACTGAGGTCATTGGTCTCTTTCTTAAATTTCTCACTTTCAGTATTTGCCTCATCTGTAGAAATTTCAGTGACTTCTAGGGGCACTCTTGCATCACTAGAACAAACAAATGTATTAAGATATTGTATTGTATGTGAACTGTAAAAAGCAACAATAATGAGGCTAAAGAAGGCCTTTTACCTATTTGGTTGTTTAGAATTGCTTCCAGACAGCTCAGACTTGATAATTCTTGCTGTTTTAATTTCTCCCTGCAAAGCTTCAATCTCTTCTAGTTCTTGAGTTATTCGGAGAACAAGATAATTTTGCAATTTTAAAAGCTCTGCATGTTCTATCTGAAGAAGTGTGGTACTTTTCTCTTCTGACTCTGAAATTTAGTAAACCAGAATCATTTCAAAATTACAATTCTTTTTCTATCTTCATTACTTTGTATGTCTCATTCATTACCTGGACTAGATCCATTATCAGTTTGTTCTGATGTTGGAGGAGGCGCAAGAACGGTTGTGGCTTCTTGTGACGGCTGTTCATGTGCTGCAGATGTGACTGTGGCAACATGCTCATTGGAGATGACCCCATCTGCTTCATCTTTAGGTGTTGACTTACGTTCTGCTTCTGTGGGGTCTTCTTTTACAGCCACATCAGCAGCATCATTTCCACTTCCATTTCCACTTCCACTTCCACTTTTTCCACAGCTTTCTTCAGATGCCACCTTAAATCCAGAAATTCAAGATACAAACATGGTCTAAAATAATACAACACACCAAAATTATTGAAATACCTGCAGCGCAAAGTCAATTTTATCAACAGATGGACTAACAGAAGCTGCTTTGGCTGTAGAGGTGGACGGGCCAGCAGACTGCTGGTTAGATTTAATAGGTGCCTTGTCTGCTGCTTGGTTAGTGGCATCCTGAGCTTTCTCTAAACTACGAAGTTTGCGCTGAAATCGAAAGGTTTTTAAATATTTTGAGATCTGACTGAAAATTTAGAAAGGAATGTGCTCAACTAACTTTGAGGAGTGTTATGAAACGTTGAACTTCCCACAATTGGTCGGAACGAATTGTGCATCCACTATTCATTTCTGCATGTATCTGGTTCAGTAAGGATTCTTGCTTGACAAGCTCAGCAGCAATAGCTTCTCGGGAACTTGGCAAAGATGTACAACTTGCGCTTAGTGGGGGTACATACCTACACAAAAAAACATAGTCAGACAATCAATCTTGACTTCAATGCATAAACAAATAAATAAATTTAACAAAATAAATAAGTTTAATACCTGACTAATTTAACATTAGCAAAAAGTGCACTGCTATGAATAACTAGAACAGATACAAGCCTAGGGGTTGTTTGAAGAACTGGACCAAGCACAGTTCCCAAAGCAGAAATCCCCATCTTATTTTGGCATTCCTATTAACAGAAGGAGTCAAACATTAAAAAGCTTGCCTCATTACCTAAAAAAAAAAATCATGATTCTTACATTAGCAGCAACATTTTCAAGATGCCTTATGATCCAAGAGATGCAAGTTCGATTACACAAAGGGAGTTGGGCTATTAAAGAAGACAACTCATGTTCCCGAACCGCAAACTCCTTGATAGTGGCTACATCCTCAAATCGAGGAGTGAGATCAGTTGTTAAAAGTGGCTCAGGAAGTTCTCTGGAAAGTAAAACTAAGTTGTGATCAATGCTGGTTTCTATAATTAAAGAACTATATGTATAAAAGCATGCTTTACCGTAGGAATGTTTTGAGCAGGCTGGTGACTGTTGGTATATCATAATCCCCAAGCTTCACCATTTCTCGCTTATTATAGCTCCTACGGAGGTTTTGAACTTTCGACTTTACACCAGCAACTTTATAAATACCATCCACCCCTAAGCCGCACTCTTGAACATGGTCAATGCAATCACGAACTAGAACTGGAATTTCTACTCCATCATGACAGTGGCTCCTCTCCGTAGCAACAGAAATCGGCACTCCAAAGACAGGCATATCCTCTGAAACCATTCATATTCATTACAAGAAAAAGTAAGTTGAAAATAATACAAGTAAATCGGCCTCTAAGAGAACAAATGCGGCAACTCACCCACAGACTCAGTGGAATCATCCCCAGCCTTCAACTTTTTCTTGTCCTTCAATTTAAGTTTAGACTTGGACTCCTTCTTCTTCTCCTTATCACGATCCACATCTTTGTCCTTTTCCTTCTCCTTGTCTTTATCCTTTTCCTTCACGTCTTTCTCTCTTGATTTCTCTCTCTTTTCTTTGATCGTAGGAAATTTAAATGATTTAGACTTTTTTGACTTGCACGGACTCCTAAATTTTGAAAGATAAAATATAGCCAGGAAAGTAAAAAACGGGTCATCCTATGAGTACAACTTCAAACTTAAAACTGTACATACTTAACGTCCACATCCTCCTCCGGAGAGCTCTCTCCTTCAAGAGCGGCGTAGCCCAGGTCCTTCTTCGACTCCTTCTTGTCCTTCCTCTTGCCAATGAGCAGATCCTTCTTGGTGGACCGTTCATGAGCGTCGTCGCTGACTGCAAGGCGGCAGAAAAGTTAAAACGGTGAAATATGAAGCATGGAGTGGGTGCGAGGCTCCCACTTCCATCCATTGACAGAAAACTTCCTAACCTCACTACTTACAGTCACTGTCTTGGCTCCGCTTCCCGGAGCCCGACTCGGACAGGTAGAGGCCAGGGAACTCCCTCTCCACGTCGGGGCTCTCGAAGTCCATGGCGCTGGCGGTGAAATCGGGATCGGGGGAGCTGGAAAGGGGTGCAGGCGCAGCGACAGCGACGGGGAGTACGGCGCCTTCACTCACATCTCACATACGTCCCCGCGCTCAGGCCTAGGGCTTTGACAGCGCGACTCCACCGGGAGTGGGCCGTCGCGGGACTCGAGGAACAGGCCGAAAAGCCGCTCGCAGTGGATGACAACCTTGGAGACCGGCTGGACAGGGAAAATAACTTCATGCAGTGCACTGCGATGCTGCTGTTGCTGTTGCACTGCAGCCACCCTCCCTTCTGCTGCCCCCGCCCCCTTCCCTCGGCCACTCCCCCCTGCGCCGTGCGAATAAGCGCGCGCGCCGTTCGAATGTTTGAATACAGGCGCCGCGCTGAGTGTAGAGTGCAGAGTGTTGACGCGCGATCGCCCGACCGAGGCCGGAAGCAAAGGGCTGAGATAAATGGATGAATCGAGAGCCCCTACACTGCTCGACTTGGTGCAATGGCTCCCAAGTGTGGTGACAAGTCGACAAACTCGTCCTGCTCGGGGCGATGGCACAAAAGAGACCTGTCCTTGGCGACGCGGCGCGAGGCGGGGTGAGGCGGGGCGGACTGCACTTTGACCCCCAGATAGGGGGCACTCTGCCGCTCGGTGCGTGCTCCTGCACGGCACGCCACGCCACGGCGGGCCGCAGCGCGGAGATTTGAGAGACTGTCTTCGTCTTCCGCGATCCCCGTCGCGACTCCCGCCAGTCTGCAGACACCAGGGGAAGCGACGGCAAGGGCAGGCCGCAGAACAGAACAGACCAGGCCAGACCGCCACCACTGGGCACCGCGGCACCGCGCTCCGTCCGAGTCTCCGTCCGCGACCGACCAACCACCACCCGGCACGTCCAGCTCCGTGCAAGAAGTCAGCAAGGTGCGTCGCGTCGACCGCCCCACTCATTCGCCCATTCATTCGGCCAATCATTGACGCGAACTAAAACACCCACCCCCCGGCAGAGCGGGGGTGCCGGTTCGGCTCTCTGTCATTCAGTGAATTCCACCCTGCCCCTGCGCTTTCTGGCCTTGCCGCTAGAGGGGTGTCTGCGGCTGTCGAAGTGTTTAAGGGTGTCTGAGGACGTCTGGTGGCGACTCTGCACCTTGACCACGTATGTAGCATAGCGCAGGGCATATCTCAGCAGACACCCTCAGAAGCTCATTTTACTGGACGCAACCTTCCCGTGCTCACCCTCACCCCGCGCGTCATTCTGTTCCGCGGCAAGCGTCGCTTGTCGTCAATCCCTTTTGCCTGAGTGAAACCGTTTGGCGGTCTTTCGGCCGCGGCGTGCATATCAGCTGTCTGCAGACTGAATCCGAGAGACGTCCTCGTCGCGCTGTCCCTCTCGCTCGCACCCACCGGGGCCGCCCCACGAGTGCGAGAGAGACAACGCGAGTCAGACTGCCGCTGCTTTATGGCGAGGTGCGAGGCGCACCGGGCCGGCCGATAAGACGTATATAACTCGGCGGTAATTGTGCGAGGAGCGAAGACTCGGCTTTTCGAGGGCCGCCGCACGCGCACCGCGCCAAACTCCAAATGTGCACACTTCCTGGCGTAGGAACCGCAGGCCTCGGCCCCAGCGGGTGCGGTCAATTTTGGTCTAGTCGATGTCACAATTTGATATCGCCGCTCTTTGACTCGCCATGGCGGATTCCCGCAGCAGCGGCGCCCCGCACCACCCGCACCCACGCGCGCGCGCGCGCGCGCACACACACACACACACACACAAGTGTGCACACAAGTGTGCACACTAGTGACGTTGGTTGCTGCTTGACCAACAGCAACCAACAGGCGGTCTGTCTGTCCCTTCCCAATAATTCATCGCGTCGTCCCCGTCCCTGCGAACCCCGGAACGCCCCGCCGCCCTGCCGCTTGTTTGTTTTGGTGGTCGCAGTCGCACACCATGCGCTGGCATGCGCTCACGTCCCGGCCGGGCACGGCGTGGCCCGCCCGTGCGCCGCGCTATCTTTCGCCAGGCAAAATTTCCACCGCAACGCCTAACCTTTCGATTGTCCCTAAACAAAGTTATTTTCCCCGGCTGCCCTTCCCACTCTCTCCCCCTCCCCTGCCCGCGCTCGCCGCCGACAGCAAAGGCGCGTCCTCATACGGGCGTCCTTTGGATTGATCTTTCATCTCTCTAATCTGGCCGATGGTGCCGCCGCCGCGGCAACAGGTTTTCCGTTTTTCGCGCTCCCTGTCGCCGGGTGTGGTGCCAGAACTTTTCCGACGACTCGTCGTTCACCGAGCAGTGAGAGGAATGGAAAGGGGGGGGGGGAGGGGAGGGCGCCCCGTCGATAGCGACCCCTCTGCGAAATGCGTGCGCGTGTCGGACTATGGCACTTAAGTCCAACTAGCAGCATGGCATAACACTGATTGCTCGACCCAGTGTCAATATCACTGCCACGGGTTCACAACACCCCTCCCCTCCCCTCTCACGATCCGGTCTTTGTTTTTGATGTTTCTCTTCTGAATTTTGCTCCCCTGGCGCTGCAACGCCCATCGCGTTATCTCCGCGCCTCGGATGATTCCGGACAGCGCTTTCGTCGTTCTGTCTCTCTCGCACTCATGGGGCGTCCCGTGCGAGTGCGAGAGGGACAGAGCTACCCGGCCGGCCCGGTCCCCACGGTCGTCCCTACATTTGACGTTTGCGATGTTGACTCGAGGCCGCTACATTGTGTGTGCCACCTACGCGACACGGACAATCGTCTCAAAGAGAGAAAGAGACGGTATGTTTACTTTCGGCTCGACTTCCGCCTCGGATCCGGCCGCTCGTTTCCACCACAGTGAGAGAGAGTGAGAAGAGCGTTTAATGAGCCTCGAAGTCTTATCTCCTATTCGTAGCCGATCCGGGGCGGCGGCGCCTTCAGAACTGCAGCAACCGGAGAAACAGCGAATAAAAATAAATAACAACAAATCTCTATTTTTGAGGGAAGGCCACATTCCCCACCCCCTTTCCCCAAGCGCGTCGAGTTCTAGTACGTTCACGTAACAACAGTCCGTCCTTCGTGTTTTTTTAATAAACCGCTTCACGGCGGCTGCCCGGCTATCGCTCCCCGCACCACGTCAAATCGAATTAATTACGATTAATCGAAGCGTCAGCGCCATCAAGGGCAACGCGGGGTGATTGAGCCGCTTGCGCGCCGACCGATATTCGTTTCGCTAATTTCGCCCTTTCCTCAGCTCTTATCGTTCGTTCGTTCGCAGGAAGTGAAGTATGCCTCGCCTTTCATTGCATACCTAAGGGCGCACGGCACCACGCGACCAGTGCGAGGAAAGGCGCGGTGCCCATGCGCCCCCTCCCTCCCGGTCAAATGGGGCACCGCCCGAAGGTAGGCAACACGTGTGGCATCTCCACGTGAGCGCTGGCTCTCGTACTCAAGGAGCGTTGCGCAGCAGGGGTGCAAGACAGACAGACAGACAGAGAGAGAGAGAGAGAGAGAGAGAGAGAGAGAGAGAGAGAGAGAGAGAGAGAGAGAGACAGTGCCCGGGATATAACTGATGTAAGCGCGCGCCCTGCGTTCAAACAAACACTCGAGCCTAAGAGATGGCGACTTACGTCACTAAACTATGTGGAAACTTTCACGAGCAGGGTGTCAAGACAGATGCTATTGATAATCAATTATCGATTCGCGTTGATTGCTTTTTTTAAAAACGCGAATCCGAGAGCCACGCATGGGTAGAGCACGCAATGAGTGTTTACGTCTGTACACACACTCACGTCGCTACTTGCACTTGCCTCGTCGTTCATTTTTTCTTCTTTTTCTGTTGTTGTTTCAGAATGTCGCTCTGCCAGCGACTGGCGCAGGGCCTCCGGGCCGTGGAGGCGGGGGCGGGGGCGGTGCGCGGCCGAGGCATGCTCGTGGTGCAGCATAGAAACGCCTCCTCCTCCGGCCTCCGCTTCAGCGGCGTGAGTACCAATCTACCAAAACCCACTCCACTGTGCAAACGTCGAGGTTCCAAACAGCCCCCTCGAGTACGCAGTATAGGGTGAGGCCTTCGGCGTTGCCCCATCGGCACGTCACCAAACTGAACGAGCATTTTGAAACGGCGGGCAACACACGATGCGGTGGGGCAACATAAGTTACGTGGCCGTAGTGTTATCTGAGGTACATGTAAAAGTTTTCACCTCCTAGCCAATCTCCTGTTCCTGAGCGCTCAAGTGCCGCCAGTCTATAATCTGCGGCAGCCCCACCCGAACGGGGTGGCACGACGGCACCCGCCTGTAACTAGGCGGAGCGGCGGCGTTAACCACAGAGTTTTGCCCTTCGCACAGACCACTTCTCAAAGCCCGCACAGACTATTTTCCAACCCCCACAGACACCAGAGGGCCGTAGAGAGGTTCCAGGGCACCCTGTGACTGTTGGCCGTGTTGCACGGTGTTGCAGATGCAGCCGCAGTTCGTGGACCGCAAGCGGCCCGTGCTGACGGACCGGTCGCAGCTCAAGCTGGCGCGCCGCCTGGTGGTCAAGCTGGGCAGCGCCGTCATCACGCGCGAGGACGAGATCGGGCTGGCCCTGGGCCGCCTGGCCTCCATCGTGGAGCAGGTCGCCGAGTGCCACAAGGAGGGCCGCGAGTGCATCATGGTGACGTCGGGCGCCGTGGCCTTCGGCAAGCAGAAGCTCACCCAGGAGCTGCTCATGTCGCTGAGCATGCGCGAGACGCTGTCCACGTCCAAGGGCGAGGACAACCACGGCCACCCGCTGGAGCCGCGCGCCGCCGCCGCCGTGGGGCAGTCGGGGCTCATGTCGCTGTACGAGGCCATGTTCTCGCAGTACGGCGTCAAGATCGCGCAGGTGCTGGTCACCAAGCCCGACTTCTACAACGAGGACACCCGCCAGCACCTCTTCTCCACGCTCAGCGAGCTCATCTCCCTCAACATCGTGCCCATCATCAACACCAACGACGCCGTCAGCCCGCCGCCCCAGGCTGACGACGAGGACGGCGGCAAGGGTGGCAAGAAGGTGACTGTCGCGGGGTTGCTTTCGTGGCGCTGTCGCTTTCACACCCTTGGGTTGCGCTTAACCGCCACTGTTTGTCTCGGCAGGTCATCTCCATCAAGGACAACGACTCGCTGGCCGCCATGCTGGCCGCGGAGGTGCAGGCCGACCTGCTGATCCTGATGAGCGACGTGGACGGCATCTACACGCTGCCGCCCGACCAGGAGGGCGCGCGCTTCCTGTCCACCTTCACGGCCGAGATGGCGCAGTCGGTGCGCTTCGGCGAGAAGTCCCGCGTCGGCACCGGCGGCATGGACTCCAAGGTAGCGCCGCGTAGCCGAGCGGTCAGAGTGACCGATACCGGCACCGAGAGTCGCTGGTTCGAGCACTGCGCCAGGTTTCTCATTATTGGCGCGGTTGCAGGTGCAAGCCGCGACGTGGGCCCTGGACCGCGGCGTCTGCGTGGTCATCTGCAACGGCATGCAGGAGCAGGCCATCAAGACCATCCTGACGGGCCGCAAGCTGGGCACCTTCTTCACCAGCGGCAGCGCGTCTAGCGCCTCCACCGACGTGGTGGCCGAGCAGGGTGAGTTAGCGCTCTTTGGGTTGGGAACAGCTCGTTACCTTGATCACCAGAATGCAGATTCAAGCCGCAATTCAGAGGAATAGCTGACCCGCGATAGCTAGCGGCTTATCTATTTCAAAGGCCGCCGGTCTAGCCGTGGCCTAGCGTGCGCTAGCGTGGCCGTCGGCGCGGCCGTCGCCGAGGCGAAGGCCGGCCCGTCCAAGGTCCCGCGGGACGGGCGGGGACGGGCCTCGGCTGAGTGGACGGCGACGGCGAACGCGTGCAGCGCCAACGCCAACAACGCCAACAACGGGCTAACTTGCGCCCCTTGGTCTTTGCCTTTGCCCCGTGCAGCCCGGGCCGGCTCCCGCGACCTGCAGCGCCTCACCCCCGGCGAGCGCTCCGCCTGCATCCACCGCCTGGCCGAGCTGCTGCTGTCGCGGCAGGACGACATCCTGGCCGCCAACGCGGCCGACGTCCGCGCCGCGTCGCGCGCAGGCCTGGCCCCGGCCATGCTCTCGCGCCTCTCGCTGTCCCCCGCCAAGCTGAGGGGCCTGGCCGCCGGCCTCAAGCAGATCGCCGACTCGTCGCACAAGAACGTGGGCCGCGTGCTGCGCAGGACCAAGCTGGCCGACGGGCTCATGCTCAAGCAGGTCACCGTCCCCATCGGCGTGCTGCTCGTCATCTTCGAGTCCAGGCCCGACTGCCTGCCCCAGGTCAGCGCAGTCACACGTGAAGAGCGCGATCCCGCACACTGCAAAAACACACAATCAACATTGAACATGCACAGGTGGCGGCGCTGGCCATCAGCTCGGCCAACGGACTGCTCCTGAAGGGCGGCAAGGAGGCCGCCAACTCCAACAAGCTGCTGGCCGAGCTCGTGAAGGAGGCCCTGAGCGAGTACGGCGCCGAGAACGCCATCTCCCTGGTGTCGACGCGCGAGGAGATCTCGGACCTGCTGTCCATGGACCAGCACATCGACCTCATCATCCCCCGCGGCTCCAGCGAGCTGGTCAAGAACATCCAGTCGCAGAGCGGCCACATCCCCGTGATGGGCCACGCCGAGGGCGTCTGCCACGTGTACGTCGACAAGGACGCCGACCTCGCCAAGGCCCTGCGGATAGGTGAGGCCTTCACTGTGGCGTGTGAATACTTCGAAACAGAATCGAATCAGGGCACGTTTGATTCCATTCGGAATTCTAAAAGGCCGAAATTAACTCGACTTTGTCCGCAGTCCGCGACTCCAAGTGCGACTACCCCGCGGCGTGTAACGCCATGGAGACGCTGCTGCTGCACGAGGACCTGGTGAACGGGCCCTTCTTCGAGGACGTGTGCAACATGCTGAAGCGGGAGGGCGTGTCCCTCGTGTCCGGGCCCACGCTCAACCAGAGGCTCACCTTCGGCCCGCCGCCGGCCAAGGACCTGCGCACCGAGTACTCGGACCTCAAGTGCGCCGTGGAGACCGTCAAGGGCGTCAAGGAGGCCATCAGCCACATCCACACCTACGGCAGCGGCCACACCGACGTCATCGTCACGGAGAACTGTAAGTCGAGTGTCCTTGGCTTCAGCCTGTGGGGTAGGCACGCCGGACACGCCGGTCAGTGGCGGGCCTGCCTGCCTGCACCGCGCTCCGTCGGCTGCGCTGCCACAGCGCGCGCCAGTGAGAATCGTTAAGTCCTCAATACCAACCGGAAATTGTTTTCGATACAGCGGCCGTCGCCGAGCAGTTCCAGCGCGACGTGGACAGTGCCTGCGTCTTCCACAACGCCAGCTCCCGCTTCGCGGACGGCTACAGGTTCGGCCTGGGTGAGTATCGACGCTACGCGACGACGGCCCTGCACTGTATTCACATTGGCCAGTCACCACTGACTCTCTTTCCTCGTGCCGCAGGCGCCGAGGTGGGCATCAGCACCGGGCGCATCCACGCGCGAGGCCCCGTCGGCGTGGAGGGCCTGCTGACCACCAAGTGGGTGCTGTCCGGTGACGGGCACGCCGCCGCCGACTTCGCGGAGGGCGGCTCCAGGACGTACGTGCACGAGACCCTGCCCGTCGAAGAATGACTGCCCGGCCCGAGCGAGGCCGCCGTCGCCGCCGCCACGGCGGAGAACTGCAGCCCGCGCGCTGCCGACGACCGCCGTCCTCCTGCACGGCGTCCTGGCCTCGTCGCCCGCCTCCTCGCGAGGCTGTTCGGCGGGGAGGTGGCCGCCTCCGCCCGGAAGTGATCCGCGCTGCCGTCGGACAGTGTGACAGTGTGACACGCCCGGTGGGTCACGGAGTCACGGCCGCCCCTGAAAGGACTGAAGGACTAAGGGACTGAAGCGCGAGAACAAAGGGCGACCTTTCGCCGGACGAGGACCGAGGGCAGGCCGACAGGGCGGCAGGGCGGCAGCGGCCCGGGTTCGACTCCCCGCCCCGCCGCTCCCATCGTGCCCCTTTTGTACATATCATCGCCCCCCATCATTTACCTGTGAATAAACCATGTAGGCTAAGGCTGTTTCTCGAGGCGTTCATCTTTCGATTGCGTGAATGAATTTTTAAAATGAAGTACTTAGATTAAATTTTTTATTTACATCGCCGCTTTCTTTCACGCCCACTTACTTCACCAACACCGCCGTACGCAGAGCCCGACGAGCCACTTGCAATTAAATTATTCCCGCCACGCGTCTCGAATCACTTTCACCGAGAGGAAGTCACTTTTGGCGTTGAGGCCACGAAGGCCCCACACTGTAGGGCACGTAGTCACGAGCCGACCCTGCAGACGCAGGCGGTGGGGAAGCGCGCCAGGCGCACCCTGGGGCAGGTGGCGGGCGTCTCGGGGTCCCAGGTGAGCACCGGCATCAGGGTGTGCCGCTGGTCGCAGCTGGTGGGGCGCGCGCCGTTCCGGAAGCCCAGGTTCCTGGCGCACTTGGAGTCGGAGAGGCGCGCGCACGGCCGGCCCGGCGCGCTGCACCGCTCCACGGCCACCTTCTGCACGACGCGGCCGCGCGACTGCAGTGACACCAGCCAGCGCCCCGACGACGCGTCGCGCACGTAGCCCGGCCGCAGCGTGCGCCGCACGGACTGGCACGCGCCCTCGCCCTCGGCCTGGCGGAGAAAAGGCACTGTGTCAGCGGGTTCGAACCCGGAACCTTCTTGTTTGGTTCTGACTGCTTGCTCCCTCACCTCTTTGGTGTCAGCGTCCCGCTCCTCCGGCGGCGGCGCGAACATGTGCTCCAGCAGCTGCGAGCACCTCTGGATGGCCTCGGCGACCTGCTGCCTGTGGGCCGGGGCAAGGGGTGGACTCAGACAGACGGCAAACATTCTCGCGATGAACAGCTGGGCTTTGATCTCGAGGACCAGGCTGAGGTCGGCAGTCCTTTCGGCCGGCAGAGCGCCGTGCGGGTAGGCAACCGGTGCGCTTCAGCACACGGCTGCACGCGGGCGGCCTATCCGCACGGCGCTCGCGCGGGGACGCAGCGCGACGCACCCAAGACCCTCAAGGCTTACATGGGGTAGCGCGGCGGCGAGTCGCAGTAGCCCAGCTCCTCGGCGCCGGGGCAGTCCTGCGCCAGGATGTCCTTGAGGGTGGCCTTCTTGGTGGCCTCGGCGTTGGCGGCGGAGGGCACCGCGGTGCTGATCCAGTTGGACGGGTCGTGCTCGCCCAGCGACACGCTCTGCGACACCTGCAGCAGCACCACAGTGTTGCAGCGGTGGCCTGCGTGACGCGCTCCCCGATGAAGGCCTAGAAGCTCGCATGCACGGAGATGACAACCCGCCATTATGCCGTGCCGCCGAACTTGCCGCGAAAGTCATTCCTCCTCGAGCCGGCGGGGCGGGGGAGTGAGCGAAGTGAGCGCACCGGGCCACGAGTACTCCACTTTCCCAGTCCGACTCAGCCACATATCCCCCCCCTCCCTCTCCTCCTCCAGCCAACTGGTCTCGGTTCACGCATCAAAAAGTGCGCGGCGGGGGAGGGGAGGGGAGGGGAGGGGGAGGCTGTGAAGCGCTGAACGTTTACAACGCCCGAGTAGGCGGAGGCGCGGATGCGCACCTAGCTCGTATGTAGGCAAACCCCATTTCGCGCCGGTGTACGCGTATTTAGGCCGACCAGCGCACTGCAAGGCGCTCTTTGAAAAAAAAAATTGCGGGAAAAAGAAAGGCAATTCAAAAATAACCCAACCGAAGTGCTAAAAGGTTTTCGCCCGAGCAAATATTTTTCGTTGGGAGAATAGAAAAATGTTCTGGGTCAGGAGAAATGCCCTCGGCAGAAAAATGCTGCGTTAGCATTACCGGTTTTTCTTTTCTTCTTTTTTTTGTTTTCCTGCCATGTCCAGTCCAATGCCTAGTCCAGTCCGATGCCGGCCCTCCGGTGGGCCGTCTCCGTTTTGCGTAGTCCCAAAGCGCTTGGCGCAGAAAGCATATCGTGCCAACAGATCTGGGCTAGATAGCCGGGACGCGGTGGTGGGACCGCGCGATAGAAAGAGATAGCGAGAGGGAAAGGATTGGAGGGGACCGCGGAAGGGAGCAGGTGTGGCAGCGTTTTTCATAATTTTCCACGCAATGAGTTTGGCGCCGTAGGGCCCCCCAGCGGAGCGGAGGGGAGGGGAGGGGGGGGGAGGGGAGGGGGGGGGCTGTCTAGCTGGAGCTCTTCGCGCATCCCAGGCCTGCCTAGTCCCAGTGGCCGCGGCCGCGCTAAGGCCGGGCCGGGCCAGCCACGCTTGGCTTCTTGTGCGTGATAGTGTGGCGGCGGGGGGGGGGGGGAGGGGTCGTGTCGCGCTGACTAGAGTCGCTGCACACGGAGAGAAATTGCGCCCGATGCAGCAGGCAGCGCGGCAGCGCCATTGGCTGCGACTCCGCGACTCGCGGCGATACGCCACGCGTCGCTACGCTCCACGCCAAGCACGCCGTAGACAGTGCAGGTGGACAGGCACTCAGGAAACGACGTGGTTTTCACAAAAATAAAAGTGAGCCGCGCACGCCTTTCTAGAGCTGTCCGCCGACGCGGGCCTCGACGCTCGACGGCTGGAGGCTGTGGGTCCCGCCCTGTCTCTGTCGCACTCACGGTCTTTACGGGAGGGAGGGGGACAGCGTTGAAACGACTGCTGGGCTGCTGCTCACTGACCTGCACCGCCCCGGACCCCGAGGGCCGCTGGTCCTGGAAGGAGCTGAAGGTGGTCGTCGGCGCGGTGGCCGCCGAGGCCGCGGACGGGCTGGCGGGCAGCGGGTAGTCGCGGTGGTTGTGGTAGCCCGGCGAGTAGCTGTCGTAGCCGGCTGACGCTGTGGAGGCCGTGGAGGCCGCCATCGGGGACGTGAGCGGCGACAGGGGCGAGGCCGGCTGCGAGGCCGGCTGCGAGGCCATGGGGGACGTCATCGGGGACGTCATGGGGGACGCCAAGGAGGGCAACATGGCGGGGCCGGGGTGGCGTATGCCCGATCCCATGGGTCGGAAGCGCTCCTCTTCTGGGTACGAGGTTGCCTGCGGGGAAGACGCACACCATCATGATGCTATTTAGGGCGATCGGCGAGGCTGCAGTGGCGGATGGAGTGTCTACGGCAAGACCTCACCTGCTGGTACTCGTGGCTCATGACAGGGTCAGGGTAGTGCGGGTAGTCGTACCCGTTGTACCCGTAGCCGTAGCCGTAGGGGTGCGGCGGGTCGTAGGGCGAGCTGTAGCTGTTGTAGGGGTCGTACGAGGACGGCGCCTGCGGCATGGGCCCCATGGGCGGCCCGCCCGGCGTCTGGGGCGGCGTCTGGGGCGGCCTCTGCCTGGTCTTGTTGATGGTGCTGGCGGCGACCACTTTGCCCTTCCCCGTCTTGGCCCTGTTGTTGTTGTTGTTGTTGGCGGTGGCGTTGGCGCCCTTCCGTTTGTACTTGCCTCCGCGCGCCGCCGCGCCGCCCTTGCCGCCCTTGGCCGGCGCGCCCTTGCCGCCCTTGGCGCCCTTCGCACCCTGGGACCCCTGCGAGCCCCTGACCTGGGCCGGCGGCCTCAGGATGGTGAGGTAGTCCATGTCCTCCAGGCTGAGCGTCATGGGCGGCCCGCGGCCCCCCATGGACAGCGGCGCCGCCATGGGCAGCGCCTCGGACTCGGCCGCCAGCGAGTCCTGGGCAACCGCCACACCGTTAGTCACGCGTTAAGGCAATCCGAGCACGCGCTGCACCGGACTGCCACTCACCTGGTGCACTGCGAACGAGGACCTGTGCTGCACCTCCTCGGGGACGGAGTCCTCCAGTCGGTCGTCGTCGGCAGTCCTGCCCTGAGCCTCGTCGGGCTGCTCGGACACCGCGTCCGTACCGGCCTCCGTGGGTCCTACAGTGGGCTGCCCTACAGTGGGCTGCCCGACGGCTGGCCCCGAAAGTGACTCCACCTTGTCGGCGGCGTCCCCTTGCCGCCTGTCCGCGGCGACGGCGGGCTCATCGAGCGGCCCGACGAGTTCGCCGTCCTCGTAGTCATCGTCGACGTCGTCGTCCTCCCGGGGCCCGGGGTCCCACTCCGGCGCCTCGTCCGCCGGCCACGCGTGCCGCCCCGGGTACACGGCGTCGGGGCGCGGCAGGAGGAGGCCGTCGCCCAGCACGGCGGCGTCGTCCATCGCCATGCCGCGCGCGGGGTCCCTGACGGCGTGGCCACGGCACAGCACGGCGGCCGCCACCTGCAGTTGCAACATTCATTCCGGACGGTCAAACGGCCACACAAACACGCGCACAGAGGACGCACACACACACGTACCAGCACAGACAGTATGCTATCCACGGCCATGCCTGCGGTTCTAGGGCGGCGCGCGGTGCTGCGCGTTGCTGCGTGCTCGGCCCCACTTCTCCAGGGCGACTGCTGCTCGCTGCTGCTCCAGAAGGCACGGCAGTGCGGCAGCTCCAGGAGTCCAGGACTGCAGTGTGGCGGCGCAGCGGGGCGGCACGAGCACGCACGCACGGCAAGCACACCGTGAGCCCCGCGCGCCGGAGTCGTGGCGAGTCGTGCGCGACACGCCTAGAGGCACGCAGCCTGTCGTTTGCTTTCTTCCGCGCGGGAGCGTTTAAATAATGGCCTTTTAAGTCCTCCTTCAAACTAGTCTAAAAAAACATTAAATCGGAACCAATTGTGTCACGGGTTTACGGGAGGCCGGCGCCGCCTTGAGTCAGATAAAGACAACACACTCCACTCCAGTGCCCTTTCCGAAGAGCGACCCTGTCTGACATTTGGGCGTCGCGGCGTCGCGGGCCGCCCGGCGCGGGGCGCTGGGGGCGACGGTGGCGAGCGCGCGCTCCACGTACGCGGCCAAATGCCGGCCGAAATCAAACCGGAAATACTGGAAATTTTCATCGTAGTCTTCGCCTAAACTCGTCGATCTCTAATCTAGAAACATCCAGCCTGGATACCTCTAATCTTGCAGGGGTGAGGTAACGAGGCAAGCGCTCCAATCCGCCGCCCTCCCCGCCCGGGGCGTCGCTGCGTCGCCTGTCTCGGCGTCGCCATGTTGAACGTGGAGGGCGGCAATGTGTACGAAGCCATTAGTTTCCCCATCCACCGCCACACAGTGGGCCAGAAGACCGGTGGAGGCGGTCAAAACCCCGGACGCGTTTTGGGCTCCAGAGTCGCTAAATGGGACTCGAACCGAACGTGTGACCCCACCAATGGATTGCTCTCCGAACGAGGAATCCATTGGTGGGGTCACAAGCTCGGTTGGAGGCCTGCTTAGCGACTCTGGAGCTCAAAACGCGTCTCGAGTTTTGGCCGCCTCCACCGGTCTTCTGGCCCACTGTGCGCCACCCCGCCCCGCGTCCCAACAAGGTGGAGTCGTTCACCAGCTCGGTGCACTACACCGTGAAGACGCGCTGATCGACTCGGCTTAAAAACGGCGAGTGTGTGTGAGTACGTGAGAGAGTGTGAGTGTGTGGGAGGAGGGGGCGGGGGCACTGCCGCGCCGCATCAATTTGTCCCGACGGATTGGGTAACGGCTCACGGGGAGCACCTCCACCTCGGGGTAGACGAGGCGGAGGGGGTCCACTTACGGTGATGGGTGACGATGGTGGATAATTAGGGCGAGTTTACCTCGCGGTCATTCCGCCGCCCCGCCTCGCCTCATCGCCGCTCATCGCCGCGCCGGTGCGAAAAAAGGGAATAAATAAAGGAACCGCCGGCACTTTGTGTCTTATTTACGGTAATGGGCTCCCCGTACACCGTGGGCAAACACGCGCCCACTTAGACCCAGTGGGCCACGCCGCGGCCCGCGGCCACGCCCTCGGAACCAATTTGCACTACTTTAGGGGGTTCAGTGTTGCCACACGTAAGTAAGCAAAAGCCTCACGCTGCACCAGTGTCGAAAGGGTAACCAATCTCAGCCTGCTTATTAGGAAATTTCTGTGCTGCGCTATGAAAAAGTCGCCTCGGCGGGCAACCCTTTTGACAGTGGTGCATCGCGGGATATTTTTTTCGTCTCCCTGAGTGGCAACACTGAGGGGGTTGGGGTTTGGGTTTCAGTTTGGGCGGCCGTTGGCGGCGTGCGGCGCGTCGTGTGCGGGTTGGGGTCGTGTGCCGTGTGCCTGTGGGTCGCGGCGAGGGGCTGCCGCACAGTGGGCCAGAAGACCAATGGAGGCGGCCAAAACTCGAGACGCGTTTTGAGTTCCAGAGTCGCTACACAGGACTCGAACCGAGCGTGTGACCCCACCAATGGATTCCTCGTTCGGAGAGCAACCCATTGGTGGGGTCACACGTTCGGTTCGAGGCCCATTTAGCGACTCTGGAGCTCAAAACGCGTCAGGAGTTTTGGCCGCCTGCGGCCCACTGTGCGAGGGGCTGCCGCCGCTGCCGCCGCTGCCGGCGCCCCGGTGGAGCCGGCCGGGCCGGGCCGGGGCCGAGACGCCCGGCGGGGCCGACGGGACGGGACGGGCCAGTCAGGCGCGGCGCTTCGTCCTGGAGGGTGGCTCTGGCTCTGCTCAGGCTGCACTGGGCGGCTTGCGGGTCTCGCTGCTTTTTCTCGCCGGCTTCGGCCGTCGCGTTCGGCGTTCCGCGCTCCTTGCCCGCGAGGCCGTTGCAGGCCGGTGCTCGCACCCCGAGGCCAGACCCTGGCTCGGCCCCTGCCGCGCACTTACGGTGTCGTAGGTCGGGACGACGGACGCCTCGCGAGCTGCTGTGCGCGCGGGACGGCATCTCGTTGAAGAGCCACCGGCAGTAAGCGATTCACTCAACTCATTTTGATGTCCTGTCTCAATTTCTTGCAAAGTTTCCCCCTTGTGGCTCGGACAGTCGGGCGGCCGCCGCCAATCCGTCCCTTTACTGCCTGTCTACAGCGCGTTTACTGCGCGGTCGATGTAAACACAGAGGAACACTGAGGGCGACGAGCGGCGGAGCGGCGCCGGCACCCCGACGCGCCCGGCCCGCTCTTTGAAACGCCAATCCGCCAATCGCGACCATTGAGACGGCCGTCACGCGATCAGCGACAGGTGAGTGTAGTGGCATGTCTCAGCGCCGTCGGGGCTGGAGGGCTGTCTCTCCCACACTCAAGGCCTGTTTCCTAGCGGTGCGAGAGAGACAGCTGATCGGCATCAGTCTGCAGGTCCAGCTCCCCGTCGTTACGGCATTAGTGGAGCCCCCGCAGCCCCCGGGAGGATGGGGAGAAAAGGGGGGCTCCTCGACGGCGCCGTGCACGCCGTGCGTGATGTTTGATGGCGGACATAAAAGAGTTGGCCCACATTTTTCTCCCCGCAAGGGATTGCACAAATAATACATGACGTTTTACTGCCCCGACCCGAACCGACTGGGGCCGCCGGGCCGGGCGGGGCTATTCGAAGGGGAGAGCCTGCGTCTCTCTCTCTCTCACACACGCGCGCACTCTAGAGGGTACGGACCTCGTATACTGTTGTACACTGCAAGGGGGTTAGGACTCGAAAGGGCCGGACGATTTTTACTTTCCTCTGCGATCTTTTGACTTGCATGTACGAGGGGGTATGCACTCGCGTAATAGTCGGTTCACTCTATCTGTAATAGCTTGCGTAATAATACGCGTAATAGTCGCGTAATAGCCGAAATTGTCAACATTTTATCAATTTTGGTGTGTTTTAGGCCGTTTTTAGCTAAATTGCGATTAATTTGTGGCGTAATAGAGCGTAATAGCGTAATAGTCGGTACACAGGTTCAGAGAGCGCATACCCCCTCGTGCATGTACTAAATGTCCTGGGATATTTTATTTTTTGAACAGTGATACTCTTTTGTTTCCGCCTGGCCGAGATCTGCTTCATATTGTATCGCCAGGCGGAAGCAAAGTTTTGACGCGTGGGGCCTGGGCCTCGCGGCGACAAACGCCGTTACGATGCTGTCCCGTCGAGCGTGGCTGCGTCCGGGACTGCCTACCCAGCAGGCGATTGCGATTGCGATTGCGATTGCGATTGATGCCTCGACCACAATTGATCGTCTGGCTTTCAGGCCCGCCCTGCCATGTCGGTGATACACCAGCACGTGGCGAGGCGTCCCTACTGAGAGGAGTGGTTTTCTCGCCCGGATCAAGGAGGCCGCATCCCGCCAAATCCAGCGCGGTGTCCCGAAGGCCCTCCACCTGCAATCATTCTCGGGAGGGTAGCCAAGTCAAAGTCCGCCGGATTTGGATTTTCCGCCCGTTCCTCCTTCCTTGTGCAAACGTTGCCCCCGCGAGGCGGCGAGGCCTCGGCGAGGTGGCAATATGTGGGGATGCCGGTGTGTGGGGGCTGGGGGCTCCCTGCTCGGGGGGCTCGGGGGCTCGGGGGAGCGATGAGAATGATGAGTCAACGCGACGGTGCTGCGGCTAGCTGATCCCCGCCTTACTCCCCCTGGTGCCGCTGAGTCGCTGATCCCCGTCTCGTTCCTGTTCAGCATGAAGCAGGTCGTCACGGCGGAGTCGATCCAGCTGAGCGCCCTGGAGGCCCAGGCCGCCCCCAAGCAGCAGCACCAGCAGGGCGGGAGGGGGTCGAGGAGGACCTCCAGGGCACCATCTGCGCCATCTGCGCGCGGCCGCCACCTACCGGTGCCCCTGCCCTCCATCTCGGGTACGTATGGCGCGGGGCGCGGCCATCCACAAGGCACCTGGTTGCCAAAGTCCGAGGGCACCGGAGGGCTGAGGGAAGGGCTGGAGGCAGAGCTGCGGCTTACCCCGTGCCTCGGCCCCAACCCCTCGGCCCCAGCCTCCCCGGGCCAATAACCCTGTCACCCCTCGGCCGCCGCAGCCGCCAGCACCCAGCCAGCCGCCCTGGCCGAGCTGGCAGCCCCGGTGTGATCTGGCCAAAGTGCAGGTGGCGCGGCGTGGCGCGGCGTCCTACTTTACCGGCTCCATCCCGTCGAGGCGGCGCCCCGCCCCGCCTGAAAATACCCTCAAATGAAAAAGCAGGTACACAGAGGATCTCGTGCTAATACACTGATGGACAAAATTAAAGCACCACTTTTGTTTTCCGAGCCAAATCTGAATGCGCCGGCCGATTTCCGTGAAACTTCGCTCAGTGGTGGTCGAAAGGGTTGTCCACACGTACGCCAAACGGTGGGACCGCGGGTCGCAGGGGGTGGCGTCAAAAGGGCCTAAAGTGCCGCGGGGCAGAAACGGCCGCTGGGTTAAAAAAAATGGATCGCGTATAACACACTTTCGGTGAGGGTATGGGGTCCTGCACCTCAGGATGCGTTGAGAGGGACGTCCTTAAAGCATCCCCGTGAAAAAAATCCACCACCGAAAGATTCATCCCCTTAGAATCCACCCCTAGACGTAAGGACCGTTACTTAGGCCCCAGGGTGTGCCCCCACTGCCGAGGATGGGCTTTCGTGGCGTCAGGTACTCCGTATGGTGTCCCCAAGCACCCTCACGAGAGGGCGAGCGATTTGGAACAACCTCCACCCCTCTACGGGGGTGGGGGTAGTTAGGCCCTTCTGGGTTTTGGTTCAAAGGGGTGGAAAAAACAGCGGCAAATGTTGAGAAATGGTTGATGGGGCACAGTCAACCCCAGACTAACGCCCAAACCTGAGTTGAACATCGCGCACCCAGCAGCACCGTCAAAAACCACCCCCCACCCCCTGTGTGCACTTAGGCCCCACCGACGTGGTCCTGGCGTGCGGCTTTGATGCAGCACGGCAGGGGAGGTCTGCAGGCATCACATCGAGTCCATCCCGCAGCATCGCAGCCCTCGGGAACGCCTCTGGGGCCCCAAAATGATGAGGGGTTGAAAAATCAACCCCCAAGTTCGGAGGGGTGCACAGGGTGAACCCGTGGGCGGAAAATTTTGACTCAGGGTGGCAAAGTGACTCGAGACCTTCCACTCTGTGGCTGCAAAGGCCCACACCTGCAACGCGTACCGTAAGGGTTCAAGTCAGCCCTCGCGCAACACCCAACCTTTCTTTCCGTCTCGGGCAGATCCGACCCGCGCCGTGGAGGTAGGCAACTCATCCGTCAATTTCCAAGTTCATTCCTTTGTTTGTGATGAAAAAGAGAGTCTTTAAGCATTAAATTGTGATCCCAACTTGAATGATGTTAAAAATTTTCATTGCCTAACAAAAACAATGGAATTTGCACGAAATTAGCGAAACTGTGACAGATGGGTTGCCCACCTCCACGGCGCGGGTCGGGTCTGCCCGAGACGGAAAGAAAGGTTGGGTGTTGCGCGAGGGCTGACTTGAACCCTTACGGTACGCGTTGCAGGTGTGGGCCTTTGCAGCCACAGAGTGGAAGGTCTCGAGTCACTTTGCCCCCCTGAGTCAAAATTTTCCGCCCACGGGTTCACCCTGTGCACCCCTCCGAATTTGGGGGTTGATTTTTCAACCCCTCATCATTTTGGGGCCCCAGAGGCGTTCCCGAGGGCTGCGATGCTGCGGGATGGACTCGATGTGATGCCTGCAGACCTCCCCTGCCGTGCTGCATCAAAGCCGCACGCCAGGACCACGTCGGTGGGGCCTAAGTGCACACAGGGGGTGGGGGTTGGTTTTTGACGGTGCTGCTGGGTGCGCGATGTTCAACTCAGGTTTGGGCGTTAGTCTGGGGTTGACTATGCCCCATCAACCATTTCTCAACATTTGCCGCTGTTTTTTCCATCCCTTTGAACCAAAACCCAGAAGGGCCTAACTACCCCCACCCCCGTAGAGGGGTGGAGGTTGTTCCAAATCGCTCGCCCTCTCGTGAGGGTGCTTGGGGACACCATACGGAGTACCTGACGCCACGAAAGTCCATCCTCGGCAGTGGGGGCACACCCTGGGGCCTAAGTAACGGTCCTTACGTCTAGGGGAGGATTCTAAGGGGATGAAGCTTTCGGTGGTGGATTTTTTCACGGGGATGCTTTGAGGACGTCCCTCTGAACGCATCCTGAGGTGCAGGACCCCATACCCTTACCGAAAGTGTGTTATACGCGTTCCATTTTTTTTAACCCAGCGGCCGTTTCTTCCCCGCGGCACTTTAGGCCCTTTTGACGCCACCCCCTGCGACCCGCGGTCCCACCGTTTGGCGTACGTGTGGACAACCCTTTCGACCACCACTGAGCGAAGTTTCACGGAAATCGGCCGGCGCATTCAGATTTGGCTCGGAAAACAAAAAGTGGTGCTTCAATTTTGTCCATCAGTGTATCTGGAGGCGCGGCATTTCGGCGCTGCCGAGCTGCGCGCTGCGCCAGCACAGCGAGTATTGCCGCATCCCTTGGGGGGCTCGCACCCGTCCTCGTCAAACCGTTCATTATTACGGTGTGCTTTGCTGGGGTTGGTGGGCGCAGAGGTCTTGGTTTACTCTACTCCTGGGATTTGTACGTCGGCAAGCAGCAAGAAGAAAGCTGTCTCTCTCTGGGCTGTCCTACTGGTTCAACTCCACCTCCTCGGAGGGAAGGCCGCGATGCCACAATGAATGCGGTTCGACCTTCGCCGTCGTGGGCCTGAATACTGAATTGTGCTGAATTTGCAGGGAGCTTCTCCACCCTGCCGCTCCCCAACACGTGGCGCTGGCTGCCCAACTTCAACAAGTGGCCCCGGCGCGGGGTGAGCCCCGGCGGCACCGCGTGCGGCACCGAGGCCGAGTCGACCGCCAAACTGCCGCCGTCGGCGTCCTCGAACCCCGCCAGGGGCCTGGGCTTCTGCCTCGGCCAGGACGGCGTCGACGGCGTCACAGGTACTGGCCAGAGAGCCGGCCGCCACCCCCTGCTTGGCCTGCTTCCCCGCGCTCCTTCCAAGCTCTTCCAGTTTCGGCGCTTGGAGCATAGTGTTTCCGGTGTTTCCGGTGGCGGCGGCCACGGCCCTCAGTTTCCGCAGCAGGGTGAGTAGCGCGGACACGTCTGCTGTCTGCTGCGCCGAGGGGTAGGCAACCCTTCATGACTTGGCTTGTATCTTGAGTTGATGGTGCAGGGACGGAAAAACACGTAAATTGGGCAAGGGCGGATCCAGAGACGATCGAAAGGGGGAAGGGGGAGCGGGACTCGAACCTGCTGCAGTCTCGGAGGTGGACCACATTCGCCCGAATCCGACCGAAAAATGAAATCTTAGGCAGTGCATCACGTTTTGATCTGAATCGGTGTTTTTCGGACTGCCACTAAGCGGATAAAGGGGTCGAATCGGCATGCAGCTCAACCAGTCGCATGGTTCCGAAGGACGGATCGTTCCCTCGCTCCGTTTCTTCTGCATTCCGCGACGCCGAGCCGCAAGCCATCGCCGCGAGGTTCGTGAGAAACTACGCCTACGCCCCAACATCAACACACCGCGCCTCGTGCTCTCGCGGGAACGTCTCTCTGCACTTCGGCCGCGCCAGCCGCGCGCTGCAGCGTCGCCGCCATGCCGCGCGGGGGTGGCTCTTGCGGCGTTCTCCCTCCCTCCCTCCCTCCCTCGCACCCCGTCCGCGCGCCGCTCTCCGTGGGTGCGACGAGGACGCCGTGGCGCTAGCCGCCGCCACCCCGAGCACGCGCCGGCCTAGCCGGGCCTAGCCGGGCCGCGGCGTTAACTTCGTACGCGTGCGCGCGTGCGCACTGCTGCGCCGCGAGGCGAGGGGCGGGGTGGGCGGGGTGGGCGGGGCGGCCGCGACGGCCGAGGGGTGGCGTGCGGTTGTCAGCGTCAGCTGTCTCTCTCGCTCCGCAGGCTCAGCAGGCGGCGCGGGGGTCGCGGCGACGGCCGTGCTACCCCGCCTCGAACGCCGCCGCCGGGAGGGGAGGGGAGGGGAGACATCCCCGAGTGGGAAGCAGGCGTCTGCTCGCTCAAGGCTGCAGCCTGCCAGCCTGCCTGCACCGCACCGCCACTGGCACTGCCGCGTTCGCCAGGTTACGCGTTACGTTTCGATCGCATACAAACAAACCTGCGTACCGCTGCGGCCTGCTCGGCCCTGGCGCCCCGCCAGTACTACCGTTCTCTAGTGTCTCAGAGCAGCAGCGGCGCGACATGGGCCGCGAGTGAACCGCCAGGAACGCGTTCTAGCGGGGCAACCCGGGCACTCGGCACTCGGTTTGGTCGCGGAGGCACCCGAGGGGCGCACCACGGGAGTGAAGGAGGCTCTGGTTAAAGTCTCGTACGTCAACAGCGACCGTCACGAAGCCGTCGTCTGGAGGAGGCGAGAGTTCACAGGCATGAGCGAACACGATGTGGACGATGTCGCTTTCCTGACAGGTACGTGTGTGCCTTGAGCCTCTACCGGCAGGGTATGGCCGCTGGCCGCCCCCTCGCCCTCGCCCTCGCGGAGCGCCTGGCTCCTGCCGCCTTAAATGATACCCGCGAGTAGTAGGGAGGGGTAGCGGACGGGAGCGCGAGCTGGGGTTCGAGTCCCGGTGGCAGCCTCCCCGTTTTGGATAGTGTTTGTTGGGGATGATTGTTCTGGCAGTGTGAGCGTTCGTAGAGTTCTGTGAGTGATCTTAAGCGTCGCCCATCAACAGCCGATTTATGTGTGATTTGCTAGGGGCCTCAAGGAACAGTTGATTTTTCGATTTCGTGGGTTCAAAGGTTATTCCCCACAAATTTCATTTAGTGATGACAAACTCAAAAATTTGTACTTGGCCTTTTAAGGACATTTTGAATAGCTAATAACCTACTTTTTGTCTGCATATTTGATTCCCAAGAGTCATGGTTGCTTTGCTGACAGCTTGCACTCTTGAAATTATAGATTTTTGCCTTCACTTATGTTCGTATGGAACTTACCCCACTGCCTTAAACACCTCCACGTAATTTTGTTTTATGTAGCTCACCGTTTATATTCACATAGTCTTATTCATGTCTTTCAACATTTTTGTTATCAAATAAACAACATAGTAAAATTAGTAAACATATTTCTGAAAATGAGAGTTAAATGGCTGATTGCGGTAATTTAATGTTAAACTTTCTGGATTCCCGACTACGCAGCAGGCAGATAATAATTAGGAATTAAATTTGTGCCCTTACGTTCGGAAATCAACACTGTGCTATCCAACTGTTTTATTTATATAGTTAGATGTAGATAGGTGTCGGATATGTAGTGGTGATAATTAATGTAGTTTACACCTCTGAAGTACGGTTTTGGTTCCAAATCGGTTCCATATAGAGGTTTTGACTGTATGCATGTTGTGACTGTAGTTTATTTTTTGATTGATACAGCTCAGTTGTGCTTGCCTAGTATGGAGTTGTCATGTAAATAGGCATGGGAAAAATGACAGTTATATAAGAAACATCAGATTTCGAAGAAGTTTTCCCATTTTGCATTCCTACAAGTGGCCTCAGGCTCCAGCTCAGGGCTGGAGATAATCTTCAAGCTATGCACTCTGGTAAATTTTATTTGTAATGTATAGTTGGTGTTGACATTGTAAAATTAAAATTTTAATACAAGCATTTTTAGTTATTGTGTGATAACGCTTTAAGTCTATGATTATAATATGGATTAACATATTCTAACCAAGGTAGAGTATATCAGGTAGTAATTCTTTGATTGCGCACTAAATGGCCAGATAAATTCACATTTGTTCTAAACTGTATCTCGTTGAATGATAAAAAACAATAATCACTGCTATTTCAGAATTGTAACTTGCATGAATGCAATTACGATATTCATTGCAGAAAAATTATGTATTTTGAAAACTGATTAATTTTTTATTGCTTTCAGGGGCAACGTGCTGTGCTGGAGAAAGTCAATCGATCCACAAGCGCAGCCTGTATGAACACAATGGGGTGGCAGTATGCTCTCAGAAGAGAGCCCTCATTATTGCCTGTGCTGTGTTTGCCATACTTTTCATAGTCTCTGTTGTGCTTGCCGCAACAGGACCACAATCTCGTAAGCACAGGAAATTTTTTATTTCATTTGTAATGTAGTTGAACTGAAAAAAAATTAACTAACACAAGCTCTTTCTCAGATTGTCCATGCCTAGGAGTAAAGCCGGCTGATATTGATGATGAAGACAACCAGCTACCACCTAGCCCAAAGATACCCATAGCCACTAATAATGAACTTTTCCCCTGGAACAATCCTCGACTGCCTACATTTATTCGGCCTATGCGTTACAAGATCAACATTCATCCAAATCTCACTACTTTAGATGTTAAAGGTAACTTTTTTACTATTTGTGTGTAAAACTGGGTTTATTTTTGTTTGAGATAGCACATTAGTCATTTTATGGTCTTTGCAGGTCAAGTGACAATTGATTTTCAAGTGGAGAAAGAAACCAACTTTATTGTCTTCCACAGCAAGAACTTAACTTTGACAGAAAAGGTCTGCTTTGCACTTGATGTCTTTTCTTTTCTTCTCCTTTTATTAATTTATTAACATCGTTTTCATTATTTCAGCATTTGATTTCCAATGCACTTCCCACTGCTGTTGATCGTAAGGGGCACAGGTTACCAATTACAAGGTTCCTCGAGTATCCCTCAGGACAACAAGTTTATATGGAGTTAAAAGAAAAATTGCGGAAGAAGGTTAATTATACACTTGTTGTTCGATTTAACTCTCGTCTTGGGCGTGATCTTGAAGGATTTTATCTGAGTAGCTACGTAAACAAACAAGGAGAAACTAAGTAAGTCCCCATAAGCATGCATTTCCTTTTGAAAAACTTTCTTTCTTTAAAGACGGAAAAGTCAGTTCATCATTTCTCTTTTTGTTGTAAAGGTTCTTGGCCACAACCCATTTCGAACCTACATATGCACGGTCAGCATTCCCTTGTTTTGATGAACCGCAGCTCAAAGCTCGTTTTCGAATGTCTATATTCCGAGACCGTTTTCATATTGCTTTATTCAATACCCCTATCGCTAATACAGAAGATGCTGGGTTTTACATGGGAACAGGTTTAGTAAGTACACTTGCCAGTCACCTATGCTGTGTGTGTGACTTTTAGATTGTTTCTATTATGGTGCTTCCTTTTCAGCTCAGAGATGACTTTGAAGAATCTGTAGAAATGAGTACTTATTTAGTAGCATTTGTGGTTTGTGATTACAAAAGCATTATGAACCACACAGCTAAAAATATTACAGTTTCTGTATACGCTCCTAATGAACTCTTACCTCAAGCTAACTTTGCTCTAAGTATTGCCACTCAGATGATGGATCATTATGAGGATTACTTTGGTGTCCCCTATCCTCTGCCAAAACAAGGTATTGTGCTACTTTTTTGGTTTTACAGACTTCGGAATTTTGTGTAGTTTTTTAAAGAAAATTTTTAAATTGAATATATTCTGAGACTTTTTTGTCCTTTAGACCTGATAGCAATCCCTGACTTTGCTGCTGGTGCAATGGAAAACTGGGGTCTCATAACTTATCGAGAAACATCCATCTTATATGACCAGGATGAAACCTCTTCTGCTGCCAAGCAATGGGTTGCTATTGTAGTGGCTCATGAACTTGCTCATCAGGCAAGTGCACAATAAATCCCCTTGAAATATATTTTTTGGAAATTTCTTGCTATTTTGAATCTTATTTTGAGTATACTGGTATGTTTTATTTCCTATGTGCAGTGGTTTGGCAATTTGGTAACAATGAAATGGTGGAACGATTTGTGGCTGAATGAAGGATTTGCAAGCTTTTTGGAGTACTTGGGTGTGGACCATGTGATGCCTGATTGGAGAATGATGGAACAGTTCATTCTTGATAAGACTCAACCAGCTCTCTCTCTGGATGCTTTGGCCACTTCTCATCCAATTTCTGTACAAGTTGGTGACCCAACTGAAATTGAATCCATTTTTGACACTATTTCTTACAACAAGGTATTTTTTTGAATTCTGGGATCAAGATGCATGTGTGGAGTGGTGCTTATTTCTGGTTATTGTTCTTCCTCACAGGGGGCATCTATCTTGTACATGCTTGAAAAGTTTTTACATGAAGAAATAATGCGTAGCGGTCTGAACGATTACCTCAATATGCATATGTATAGTAATGCTGAAACCAAAGACCTTTGGGATGTTTTCAGTAAACATGCAAATCAATCCCTGGAAGTGAAGGTATGTTGCACTTTTTTTTATAAAATAAATCTACCCATGTAAAAAAATAAGAAAACGACTCAAAATGAGTAATAATATATTTTGCTCACAGGTTATCATGGACTCATGGACAAATCAAATGGGATTCCCCTTGATCACTCTGACACGAGAAGGAGATAAAATTATAGCAAATCAAGATAGATTTTTACTGACCGAAATTATGAATCATGATCTTAATATTACTACTAAAGAAACAACATCGTCCAAATGGTATGTGCCCTTGAGCTATTATACCGACAAAGATAAGGAAGCTCAATATGTGTGGATGAATCAAACAAATGGTAAGTAGTGGTATCTTCTATTAATTCGTTTTATCAATTTATTTTTCGGCACTTGATAGTAGGAATCATTCTTTGTTATCTGTCTTTAGTGGAGTTCCATGTACCTGCAAACATTGTTTGGCTGAAGGCCAATGTAAATCAATCAGGTTTTTACCGAGTTACTTACTCAGAAGATATGTGGATGTCTATTATTGCGGCTCTTAAAAAAGATCACTCTGTGTTCAGCCCAGCCGATCGAGCTTCTTTGATAGATGATGTTTTTACGCTGTGCAGGTATGGTTTCTCTTCTAATTTTCTCTCACTATCTTATTTTGCAAAGAATTTGACACATTTTTATTATTTACAGGGCTGGTGTCCTTAATGCTACTGTCCCACTTGAATTGTCGCTGTACTTACTAAAAGAACGTGACTATGTTCCTTGGGCGACGGCCTTGGAACATTTCCAGGGATGGGCACGACGGCTGGCAGAATCTTCCTCCTATCGGCTGTTCCTGGAGTACACCAAGAGGCTTATTACTCCAGTCTCAGAAAATATTGGCTGGGAGGATGGTGGTCCTCATCTCAAGAAGTAAGTGTCTGCTATCATTCTAATGCCTGTAATCCTGTCTGCAGCCATTAAAGTTATTAATTTGTAATCACTCTTCCCAGGCTGATGCGGTCAGATATTTTGGCTTCTGCTATATTAGCTAATGTGGATTCTGCAGTTAATGAAGCTAAGCCAAAGTTTAAGGCATGGATGGAAAATAATGCCAGGATACCTCCAAACCTTCGTGAAGTGGTCTATGCAGCAGGTACTGCAATTAACGCTGCCCTCCTTTAGAAAAATCATGTTGAGCTACTTGCTGATATTTGTTTCATTTTCACCTATGACAGGCATCAAGTATGGTGGTGTAAAGGAGTGGGAGTTCTGTTGGGACAAGTATAACAAGTCAAGGGTACCTAGTGAAAAGAAACTGTTATTGAAGGTTTTGGGTGTAGCCTCAGACCCTTGGTTACTTGGGAGGTGAGTAAATGATATCTCTTTGAAAACCAGATTCTGCAAGGAAAGAAACAAGACGATTGTTTATGTTTTTCTTTGTTATTTTTCGACATCCAGGTATTTGCAAAACACTCTGAATCGAGACTTAATCAAACCTCAAGATATTAAAATTGTCCTTGCTGTTGTTGCTGCTAATCCCGAGGGTCGACTTTTACCCTGGCGACATCTGAGAGCTCATTGGGGGCATTTGCAAAACACATTTGGAAATAATACCTTCACCATGGGAGGGTTGGTTTCTGCTGTAACATCACATTTTGCTTCAGAATATGACCACAAAGAGGTAAAAATATTCTTCTATAAAACTAGCTAAGAGGTAAATCTGCATTTTAGATTTATAAATAATTCCAATCCCTTCCATTGTGTTACAGGTGTCACACTTTTTCCGACGAATGGATATGGGGTCTGGCCAGAGAGCTTTAGAGCAAAGTCTTGAGACTATTATGCTGAACATTCATTGGGTCAAGCACAATGATGAACCTATATATGAATGGCTGAAGAACTACCTCAAAAGATAATACCAAGCTTTACCCATGCCCCCTGCTGGTACGTTCATTTTTAAATAAATGTAATTGAATTATTAAGTTCATTTATATGTATACTTAATTTAATTTTTTTTCTTTCCAGAACCCAAAAAATTTCTACAACCTGAGCTTTTGTTGTCGACTCCTACTGCACCTTCATCTAACACTCCCAGTGTCAGCACCTCTATTACAAGCAGAGCATCAAGCACTCAAGGTAGATGCATGGGTGAAGGTGCTCAGGGCGCTGAGACTGTGTGTGGTAAGAATACTGAACTGAGACTTGATGGTATCGTAGGATCTAAACAATTACAAAGCACAGCACCCACAATTTTTTTAACGACCATCTCTAAGGGACTCGTCTCAACAATTTCTGATGAAAAATTGACTGGACAAGAACGTTTTAGTACTGAGAGGGTTCACACAAATACAAATTTCGATACTCCATTGAAAGAGTCCCCCAAGAAACCACTCCCCACCTCCCAAATAGTATATATTAAGCCATTATTAAAACCACCTTATGTTAAAAACAAGGAACAACAGGCTCCAACATCAAATGGTCCTGTGGCTTCTACCAAATATACTGAGAGGAAGGGAGGAAAAGCCTCCAACACGTCTCAAATTATTTACATTTCACTTGTAACTCAACCCACTAAAGCTTCCAGACCATCAGAAGGGCATTAATGATTGTGTAATGTAAACATGAACCTTTAATATTTTTTATTGTGACTCTCTTCTCTATGTATTCTCCACCAATTAACTCCGAGCACAAATGAAGAACTCAAAGTGCTAATGAGCTCATTCAGTGTTGAGCCAAGGCTCGGGGCAATGGGTAGCTATTACAAAGTTTGCTAGATCCAAACCAAATTAAAAATAGTAGTATGGTAAAGAAATCTTAGTTTCACATAGGTCATTTTCTTTTCATCCCCATAAATTTTCAACCATGTTCTGTAGAGTAGGGTATTTTTGATCTGCTATCACCTATTGCTTCATTGTCCTTAAACCTATTATTCATACTTTCGTCTGTTCTCATTCTGAGCTGTGAGAGTCAAAAAAACAATAATTTAGACCTTTAAATTTTGAATTTTTACCTATCCTGGTCGAACGCCTCATTCCAATTTGTAGTAAACTATGCACTTAAATTTTGTTATTCTGGCCCAATTTAGCAGCTTTAGCGAAGTTCGAGCCATTTGCCATTTGTTTCTGGAGAAGGAATCTTTAATGCTCCTACCAAAGATCTTCCAATGTCATTCCTCACCCTTATGAAGGGGGGCAAGAATTTTTTTCCTGCATTGTTTCTTAAAGTGTTGTGGTCCTACAGGTCTAGTCAGTTATACAGCAATGTAATAGCTGCCATGACTATATCTATCCTCCCTATTGAAGTTTGTCACAAGGGTTGCACAACTATTTTAATTTTTTAACTTCATCTTAGTGTGTCCATTTTAGTAAATTATTATTTTATTTTTTTTGATACGGTATTGTGTTTAAGTGTAGGTAGTCATCTCAACCTTGGGCTATAAACTGAGGTGCCTTGAGGGGGAAAGAAAGTCAAAACAAATCTAGGTGATTCTTTTTCTCAGGTAGTACCATGTGCACTATGGCCAAGGATAGGGTATCAGGATTACAGAGTATCTTTAATGTTTAGCTCTCTGTGGATACTCTGTCATCAATAGACTAATTCCAAGTTTTTGCTTGCCAAAAGAAAACTTTGCAAACTCTTAATTTAATGCTTTGCTCCTGAAGATTTGAAGAAAAAAATCTGCTTGTGAGTACTATTCTGAATTATCGACTAATAAGAAGCACAAACACCACCAAACTAAAAGTCCATTTATTTGCTTCTGGTGAGTGGTTAACAAACCAGAATTAAAATTGAGAAGACCAATGCAATGTTGTGATCCTTGGGAAATTTTATTGGCCTAGTGTAAGGAACTAAGGAGTGAAAGCTCAAGAGCTCTCTGCAGACTTGAAATTAAATTTAATATGCTTTCTAACTTATATCATTATTTCTTAGCTAGGTATTTCTGAAGTGAGAACTTTAGACTTATGCTATTCTTTGGCACATTGCTACTCTAGATACATATTTTTCTTGTGTCCTGGAAAGACTTAGCACTCTAGTCATTATCTTAAGTGCAGCTCGATTAATAGTGTATCTTATCATGACTATGGTCGGCTAGCACAAATCAAACATGACTGAAGAAATATCATATTTTGTCATGTATTATTTTGTCATGTTTTAATATTTTGGCCTCCTGACCTATATAATTTTCTACTTACCAATACACTCTTTATTTTATTCAACCATAAGTCTTGTCTAGTCCATCTCATTGTTTCATCTGTACCTGTAATTTTTCTTATTGATAAGTCTTCGTGTGTGTGTTAATTTTAATGTATAAGAAGGTTAATCCTGCCGAACTTGTATGTTTAGTTTTCTTTTTTGAATCTGTATGTGTGTCATTTTTTAAACTAATTGTGCACTTGTTAACTTTCTTATGAAGTAATGTCATTTCAAGAGAGTTTCGCAGGTACTTGTTATTCATGCCTGCACTTGATGACAGATAAGTAATGTGTACAAAGATTTGTTCTTTTTCTGTTGTTTGTTTTTTCTGACATCGTTTTACTAACTCTTAGATATTTTGGTTCTTCAATCGTGAAAGGTTTTATTATTAGGTTAAATTCTTCCTTGTTATTTACTCGTTATGTTCTACTGTTATGTAGCAGAGCTCAGCAAAGTCGATGGCTATGGAAGATGACTTTGCAGAGCTTTGCTGCATAGATACATGGATGGCCTTATAGCCATGTTAGATATCACCGTTGGATTAGTTTGACTCTGCATCAGTATTAAAGAAAACCCCTTTGTGAACCATCAAACAAGATTCTTACATTTAATTTCTAGAATATACAGGTATTTTCTGCTTAATGAAGCTTATGTATGCTTCAGGAGGTAGATTTTAATCACCTCATGTGGAATCCATCCTTTACATGTGTCAATGTAATAGTGTGCAATGTCCTTTAATTTTTGTGCTGTTTGTGAGCTGTTTCTTTAAGTATAAACTAAAGACATCTCAAAGGGACTCCCTCTTTGGTTTCTACTCCCTTCCTGCTTTTTGTCTTCACGATGAACTTCAGACAGGAGAAAGAAAACAGAACTAAGGATGTAAGAACAAAACCTTTTATTTTAATCTCTTCTTTTGAAGTTTCTTTCATGATAAAACATATACGAAAACAGTATGTTTTTAACATTAGAAAAAAAGCGGCACAACTTGCAACAAATGATGAGATCAAGACATCTATTCCTGAAAACAGAAATCACACAAAGAAAAATATGCAGAGCATCAAAGCAGTCCCACAAATTAAAAGTATAAAAGGTTTGAACAAAGAAAAGGCTGCAGTATTTTCAAACAGTTAAGTTGAATTACTCTTCTTAAAATCTAATACTAAGTAATCTCAATAGGTGCACAGGCACGTTGACATATGAGACATCAAATGACATCACATGGAACTTCTGTGCAGTGAAAATTGCTGGAGAAGGTCTAGCCAATATAAAGAGATGAGTTGCTTGGAGTTGAAGCAAACCGTACTAAGAAAGTGAAATGAATTGAGTGTATTGAGAAAAACGGCATGTCTACTTCAAATTACAAAAATAAAAACAGGAAGAACCAAAGAGGGTAGCACAAAAGATACAAATCAGGGTAAGTGCAATTACAGCGCACTTCTTCATGAAACTCAGAAATCTACAGAAAGGAAGAAAGAAAGAGAGAGAGAAATACACATTTGAGAGATGTGGAACAAGAGAATATAACATACAGATGAAGTATTTGTAAAAATTGTAGTCAGGGACTCACTGCAAATGGCATTTTTCAAGTTACAATAATGCAAGTTTGCAATTAGTGAAAAAAGAAGCAATCTTTCAGCAGAGCATTAAAAAAGGTAGCAAGATCAATGATGGTAGTGCCAAAACAATTCCTGCTTCAACCGAATCCCACTAATGAGAGATGCTGCATTCTTTAAACCTTTCCCAATTGTTCCTATATTATTAAAACCCATACAGTCTTACTCAGAATACCAAAGAAAAGGGGGTAGGGGGATAGGGGGAAAGTCTTCTGATGAACTTCCTACCTAGGAAATAGGAAAGGTAAAAAACATAAATACAACTTTGTACAAAGAAAGCAGCGTCATTCTTTTAAGGATTAAAATTATCTATAAGACTTATCTCTTTTTACATCAATGAGTTAATAGTTTGTCACATTTCTTGAAATGTGACCAAATGAAATAAAAAGTAATGTATCAGGCTTATGCTTATGAAGACAGACATGACATACTACAAATGATCATTGGTATCACTCGCTAATATTTTGCAGATCAGTAGTTTAAATGTACCTACCAAGATGTAGCACTGCTAGAATCTACAGCAAAAATTGGTTTTACACAGGAAAGGCAAACTGTGAAAAAGATGGATTGACAAAGAAATACATGATATGAATTTGAGGCTTGAAATAGCTCAATCCTTTTGATCACATAAATTTATCAATGGAATGTTGTTTCTTAACAAATGAATATTTGAAAGGTGTCGGAGGCAACTGAGTACGTGTCCTGAGGAGAAAGAGGGCACAACAAAACCATATCAAACCACCTCTTTGAGGAAAAAAGTTCAAGGAAACTTGCAGATAAAGTTACAAAAACAAAGTTAAGCTTAACACCTAGTCCAGACAAATAAAGTATCATCATAGGGTCATAAATCTAATTGCCGAGCAGTGACTAGATTCAAAGAAAAACTGAAACATAATTCAATAGTCAATGTTAACATGTTCAATGAGGCAGTTTTTAGTGGGCTACACTAAGCATGTTAACCAAATAAACACAGTTCCAGTTAGCAAGAAACAAGCAGATCATTCCCGTAATGACAAACCACGGGGAGTCACACACAATTATTATTATTATTCTCAAAATAAATGAAAACCCAACGTCCTACATTTTAACAGGCACTCATTCCATCTCAATGCATGCAGAATACGAACACTCAAGGATATTAAGAACTATGTACAATTACACAACTTGAATCCACACTGAAGGACACTTGCCAAAGATGTTTCACATGACATTAAAAAATACTGACAGTACAAATGCACAACTATCACTGCAGAAAGTTGTTGTGCCTAACATTTGAGATTGAAGCTGTTTAAATAGAGCCCTTCTTTTTCCATTTAACTAAGGGCAAAAATTTTGCAACAGCAAAGAACTGCAGGAAAATTTAAGAACATCTTCACAAGAAGAAACATCACAGATACTTTAGAGAAAACATAATCCATGTAATATATACATTTCTTCCATTAACAATCAAATTGCTTTTTTTAATACATATTTACAGAATTTAATTAATTACCACTGTCCGATTGCTAGGAGAAATTTCATTCAGTAATGCAAGGCTTCATCACAACCAAGCACAAAAAAAAAAGAGAAGAGAAACAAAACAGTTCTTGAAACAAAATCATAAGGAACTACAAGATACATGATAAAGAGAATGTAAATGATTTAAAGAAAAAGAAAAAGCTGGAGATCAAATTTTAACAAAATAATTATCACCTAAAATTAAGTTGTGCGCAATAAATAAATTGAATGACCATGACAGAAAGACAGCTAATCCTAGCGTCCAATCAATAGGATACAGAAACATCCAGCAATTATAATGAAACTAATTTGAACATAGATTGGTACAAACATACAATACTACAACCCAGCCAGCATTGGGTAGGAAAATTTGCTATCATGGACAAGCATTAAGGCATAATAATGGTTGCTCCTGTTATATAAATCTGAATAAAATATTTTTATTAAATGAGAAACATAGTCTTGAATGTTAAGATTGAAAAGTACAGTATTCACCTAATCCACAGATACAGTGTCAAATTTGGGTGAAAGCCAGGCGCCAGGTATCAGTCTGTCATAAAGTGTCCAAACCCTAAGGAATTAAACAGTGTCATCAACCCAAGTATCCAGGGTTTGCACCAAGAAAGTACATTTCAAGGTATCATTAACTAAATAACCTATATCAATTCATACTACAACCAACACTTCAGATAACTTGACATACAATAAAATTCCTAAAGCCATTTGTTTAAATAAGGCCAAAGAAAGAAATTCTCCAACCAAATCGTAAATTAGCCCCCCTCCGTAAAAACACAAGTTCGTGTGCACTTTTATCTTGAAAACGAAACAAGATCACATGCAATGCTAACCTTACCAGAAAACGAAGGTGCTTAGGGTACATCAACCAAATCACTTCCATTGCATTTGGAGAACAGGAGTTTAACAGTGCAACATAAGTAATCATGAAACTGCTATGCAGGAACAAACTTCAAATTCTGCAGACAAACAAAAAAATACCAAAAACTCAACTGCATGTCAAAGAACTGCTACAAACAGCAGAAAAATGCAGGATCAGGAAGCTGGCAGTATGTCAGCAATTGAACAAAAGTTTTAAAAAACCACTAAAAAACAGAAATTAATTCCTTTAAGTTAGATTTAACATTGTCTTCTAGGCAGAAGAAAGTTAAGTAGTTATCTTTTGGGCTATTGAAAGTACGCATTCAATATAACAAAGCCAAATAGATGATACGATGGATCTATCTTATTAGACTAGATTTACCAATTAGCCAAGCAAATAAGTGCTGTAGAAATACTCCTGACTAAGTTTCATATGAACACAAATAAAAGGTGGCAAATATACCACCATTCAACTTCCTATAACATAAACTGAACAGGTTGGAGACCTAGTAATGGTTCCGCTCCAAACGATCTGCCAGTCGAATAGGAACACAAATGGAACAGTCAGCTCTGTGGCATGTCTTCCAATGACGATAAATTTGCTTTGATGATGTACAGTGTGGAAAATGACAAGCAATTTCATGCTGACAGGTGCTCATATGTCCCAACACTTCTCTGAATGTAGCACAGTGTGGAAGCTGACACTAAACAGAAAGAAGCATAGAACTAATCAATTATGATTTTTCTTCACAATAACACAGCAGGAAATGTAGGTAAGAAAATACATACAAATTCATGAAGCTGCTTACGACGACACTGGAAAGCATGAAGGATAAGCACCAGATGTTGCTGTATGAAGCGTCTTTTTTCTGCCCTTGGATTTGGGGGACCTAAGGCACCAGGGTTTTGGGCTCCCTGTACAACTACATGTGGTCGTCGAGCGGGAACGAGTGGAAGTGGAACTATCTGTTGAATCAAATAGAAGCCCTGAAATATATGATCTGTTCGTAAGTTTTGCATTAAGTTAATAATGCAGGAAAATAAGTTGAAAATAAACTTACACTGGGTCCAACATTTCCTGGTGGATCAGATGCAGTAGAGGGTCCTGGCTGTGAACGTTTGTATGGGTGTCCTGAAGAGCTAGAGCTTGAACTTGAACTTGTTGAGTTTGACGAGCTTCCACCATTGGAGCTATTTGTTTGAGGGCCATTCTTGAGTACATTTCTTTTAGGGACATAACGATGTGCATAAGTGCCAGGGCCCACGGTCATGTTTACACTGTGGGAAAAAAAATTAAAAAATAACCGTGTTAATGCAAAAAGCAACCATGAACTGGAACAAATAAAAGAAAACTACATGAAAAGTTCTCAGACCCACAAGTTCAAAGCAACCCTTACGGAAAATGCTAACACGAAATGAATAGGACAAACAAATTCATGACAGAGCCCATAGAGAGATTCAAAGGCTATGCAACCTTTTTCGTTCCTCATGGTATTTGAGCTAAAATTGGAGTCTCCAACAAAGGGAAATTGATGATGGACTTTGATGAGAAAAAGCACATGGAAGGCTGAACGGGGTTTTAAGAATGCATGTTTAATCGATGTTCCGGCCTATGGCCTATCCCAAACGGCACTTCACGGATTAAGACGCTCGACGCGGTTTGGATTTTGATCAAACGGAGTTTCCAAACAAACAGACAGAAACATTGCGGCACACCCCATTTAAAGAACGAAGATCATAACATTTATTTCACAAGAGCTTCTATCTACGCTCTACCTCAAAAGGCACTCTACGTCCTTGTCAAAAACGATATTGGCCACTACAATCAACATATGCCAATCAGCTTCAAAGGATCAACGGCACATTAAGATTTCGATGCAGAATTTCTCTGCGCCGAAACTGAAACGGAAAGGTCTCAAATCTCCGACGAATATATCAGAGAACAGTGAATCCGCTTGAACGAAAACAAAAAGTATTTATTCGAACGCATCAGTGCAAATTTGCAATCGACTACCGAGATACGCACACATCCGATCCGAGAAACGGTTTTCCTAACTTTCGCCTGTAGTGGGACTAAACCCTCCAACGGGCCGACTCGAGCGAAGCGTGAGATCACAACTTACCTATTTCTGATCCAAGTGGAGCAGAAATGCACCGTCCCGAACAAGGAAACCACTCTCCACTTTACCTCTGACAGGTGCCAGCCAGACCACCAACCAGTTATGGCGAACAGCAGTACAACAAATGGATACCGGCGCGCCCTCTCCCGCCCGTTACGTAAAACGTTATGAGATCCGACCGACAATGTTGTTGTTGGGCGTCGGGCGGCTGTGTTGTCTTGTTTTTGTTGTTTGTTTGTTTTGAAAGTGCCAGGAGAGCTGGTTAGGTTAGACGTTTCCCGCGAACTTGAAAATAACAAGACTGTCGCGATGATTTTGAGTGACTGGCCATTGAAACAGTTCTTGTGGAAGATACCTGCTGGACTGTACAAGCAAATGTACAGACTTGTTTCATGGGCTTATCTGCGAAGCAAGTCAAGTCACTTCTGCCTCCGAGCTCCTCCCTTCCTTGACTTGATTTATGAACGGGATGAACGGACAGCCAGAATCTAGGGTCATGACTTAAAATTTTTCTTTTGCCATGAGTAAATTTATATAAATAAAGCGGCTTGTGCCTTAATTTCTAAGGGATTCAAGGCGTTTGCGGGATGGGCTCTCTTGTTTTTGTTGGGTTTGGGTTTGTTTATTTTCGTTAGCAACGGCCCTTGGCAACTGTCACAACAAAGTCACTGAGTGTTGTTTTGATACCTTTGCTCTATGCTCTGAGTTTCTGCGTAAAGTGGTGATGAAAATGGATCTAATAGATCTTTTGAGTGTGGAAGCAGAACAACTGACGGAGGATGAGAAAGATGAAACATGTCTGACACTTTCACAGGCTGAATTGGGGAAGTTGACTGATACGCAAGATTTAAAAAATGCTGTAAATCTTTTGCAAGGACTCCTCAAATTCAAAGTTGAACAGGTGTTGCATACGATGCTTCCCTTTGCTCTTGAAGCTGTAGTTATGAATAAAAATATTTTTGTCAAGTCGTCCAAAATTAATTTTTATTACAAATTTGTGCAGGTTGTTAGTCTCACTCTAGAGTTGGATGAATTAGCAGCCAAGCAAGGTGCAGAGGAGGCTCAGTTTATTCAAGAAATTGAAGAGTTACGATCACAACTATCAAAAAGTCCACGAGAACATGTTCAAAATGGTCCATATCTGTTTTTTTATTCTTCTCACTGCAGGTTGAGCAGAATGTTGCAGATGTTTTTCCCTTCTTTTTTGCAGGTGATACTGAAGATGATCTTAGACAGCTTCTGCAGGAATCTGAAATCAATGCCCAGAGGCTGCTTGCTGAAGTACAGGCACAGGAGCAGGAGCAAGTTTCTAACAAAATGGAGATGGAAAAGGTTTTAAAAAATACTAATTTTCCTGAACTGTTTATTTACTTAAGTTACATTCATACTGTGTCCCATTTTCAGTTAGAAAGTCAGCTAGCAGTTTTAGAAAATGACCGTCTCTCACTTAAGAGAGAACTTGCTGCTCTTCAAGAGGAAATACAAAACCGCCATAAGGATGTTGAGTCTGATGCTCAAGAACCCAAAAAACAACACCGACAGTTGGTTGAATCATTAAGACAGAAAAACAAGCATCTGTCTTCACTTTTAAATGATGTGGAGGTAGTACGAATTTTGAGATTGAATTCACTTTTGTGAACTATCTATTCTTGTCATAAATGTTGTTTTGATTTCTGTAACAGGCTTCAGAAAAAGAAAACATTGTTCTTAGGGAAAAACTTACAAATATCAAGATTGAATTGTCAGAAGCAACCAAAAGTATCATGCATACAACTGGAGAAATAGTGACTCTTCAGATAACCAAAGAGGAACAAGCAGGTACATCATAAGCTTTTCATCAATATTCTTGGTGAGGTAGTTTTCCAAAACCCTTCCCTCATTGGTTTTGCTTTTCTCTATCACAGAAAAAGTACGTTACCTAGAACAAATGTGCGAAGCATTGCGTCATCAAGTTACAGAGCTTGTCCAAGAGAAAGAAAAACGTGATTCAGAGCTTGAAACATTTCAAATGGAAATTGATATTCGTGTTGAGGAATGGAAGGTGAGTTGATTAAAATTATCAATGCGATTAAGTTTTTCAGGCTCTTCATTATTTTTAACAATGTCAATTTTGATTACAGAAAATTGTAGCCACAAAAGAAAAAGAGCTAAGTGACTTGCGTGATCAACTTGCTCACCAGAGTGTCAAGGGGCAATATATTATGAAAAGTTGTGAGTCAGACCAAATAGTTCTGTTATCACAGGTAAGTTTGTTGCTCTCGGCTGGTTGTAATTCATTTCCTCTGATCAGTATCATTGTTCTTATTATTTAATTAATTTTTTTAAACAGACCCTTCAGAAAAGAGAATTGCAAATTGATGAACTACAAGCTCAGCTTTCTCAAGCAACAAAGGATCTAAATGAGACAACATCTCTTCTGGAGAATATGCACAGATCCTCAGAATTGTACATCTTCAAATCATCTATGGCACCTGTTTTCATTTATCATTAAGTTTAGCACACAAATCCATGTTTTGCTTCTCTGTTTTTCATAGGTCTCAAGTAGATCCGCATATTCAAGTTGCAGAAGTATCACAAAAGCAGCTTTTAGCAGCTGAAGATAAAATTAAAATGTTAGAGGAAAAGCTGAGAAATGCTGAGGAAGATGCAGATGGAAAATCAGAGGAGGTAATATCTATTTAAGGTTGCAGAATTTGAAAACTCCCCTCATGCACTTTATCTGCCATGAATGAGTCTCATGCACTCTATCGATTCTTACAAATTACTCTGTGTTGTGTTCAGACATAATACAGATACTCCAAGTCCTGTCAGGTTTTGCTGTCAATTCCCACTGCCAAGGGGGTCTGGGGTATCCTGTCAGCCTAGGTCCTGCAAAGTCATGGATATGTTCTGTTGGACTATAACTGGTTGTATGTGCCTGTCTCACAAGAAGACATGTAATGAGACCATTGTGTTTGTTTCCTATTTTTGTAGATTACAAAAATGATAATACAGCTTAGGAGCTATGAAGCAGGGGAATTTGGTCTAACAGAAGCACTTGCTCAAATTAAGGAGCTGTCTCAACAGAGAATGGTACGAGATAAACACATAGAACAGCTTGTTGAAACTGCAAACCAACTTCAAAATACTTATGACAGTTTACAAGAAGAAAACCTCACTCTTAGGTGCGGTAATAATTATTTGAACATTTTTTCAGACATTAGACTCTCTTTATATTGGAAGGCCTTTGTTTTTGTTTTCAGAGAACAGCTGCATATTTCCCCTGAAGATCATGTCAAAACAAGTACCAAAGTTCTGAAAACTAAAGAAGAAAATATCGTGAAGGTCCATCAGCAACAAATAGACCGCCTTGAAGAGGATTTAATAAGTGCAAAAATGGATGTCAGTATCAATTCTGTTAAGTTTAAATAGGACACTCAATTTGAATAAGTTACTGTTGCTAACTGTTGCTTTCTTTTTTAGAGAAGAGCCTTGACTCAACAAGTCCTTGCTCTCTCTAAGCAGCTTCAAGGACTAGAAAATCAGCCTCCTGAGGTCCAAAGAACAAGTAGGTGGAACGTTAATATTTGCGCGCCAAATTCGTTTTGCTCTTTCTGCTTTAGTATGCATAAAATGCAACACTCTATTGCCTACAGGTAATAAACAACAAATCAGGTCTCAGGCAGATGCAAGAGCAGCTGCTAGGAAGATTCGGGCCCTTCAGCAAGAGCAGCATCAATCTAGCATTGAACGCCAATCACTTGTTGAAGAAAATGAGGCTCTGCGCCAGGGTTTGCATGACATTTTGGACAGCGTTCACAATCAAGATGGTAATTTTAATTGAAGGTTTTACAACTACATAGAGGAGGATATTTTGAAAACCTAAATTCCGTTTTTATTAGGTCAGAGCAATGTTCGTTTGGAGTCAAAGGTTTTAGAACATCTATTACATGCTTTAGATAGCAGGCATATAAGTGGTTGGTACCATCCAGCAATGAGAATCCAAGCCAAAGTGAATGCTGTGGAAGGTAATAATGAAGCTTTAAGAGAGCAGCTCCACAGTATGAGGTAAAACAAAATAAAACTACCACCATATTTTCTATACATCAATTATCTCCTAGTTATAATTTTAAAATATTTTAGGGAAGAAGAATCTCGAACTCAAAATGAACTTCATAAAGCCAAGCTTCGTATTGCGGAACTGGAAGAAATCTCAAAAGACCCTCTGAACAAGAAAGAAGTATTTTCCTCTGATACCAAGACCAGTGGTTTCCAACTGCCTGCAGAGCTTTCTTCTCATGGTTTAGATGTTATATCAAAAATGAACAAACATCTTCTTCAAGTTCTTCATGTGTGTTGATACAAAATATTAAAAAAAGATTAGAATTATGATATAGTGTAGTCTGGATTTATTGGCGTTTATTTCTAATTTCAGGAACTGGAGCTGGACAAAACTCAAGTCTCAGAGACTCTTAACGTCCATAAAGAGCTCCAGCTTCAACTAGAAGAACTGGTTTCACAGTTGGCACATGCAGTCCAGCAACATAATGTAGACAAGGAAAATTGGGTTGAGGAAAAGTCTGGCTTTGTAGAACAGCTAGATTTGATGCAAGCTAATCTAGCTGCATCTGATGCAAAAGTATTTCACCTTACTGCACTGTTGGATAAATTTTCCGACCAGGTTGGATTGAGATCAGCCAATTATAGTCCAATGTACCTTGTTTGTCTTTTTTCAGCTTCACAGTAACTTGCGTTTTTCTTTTTGGCTTTTTTTTTAAATGCTTGTTTCAGGATGATGTTAAAAAAGAGATGGTAAAGGACTTTCTTGAATGTGCTGCCCTCAGAGCAGATAAACAGAGATGTGAAAGGATGGCCAAGGCTGCTCAACATTGGGCTGAAAATGCCAAGGCACAAGTGCGAATAATTAAATCAGAATGGAATGCCAGTAAGCAGTGGATTCTGAAGAATTTTGGAGATCTATTGCAGTTCAAGGTTTGTTTAAAATATTCATGAACATTGATGTATGAAGACTTGTCATCTTCTTGATCCTATTTTGTGTGTTTTTGTTTGAACAGAAAAATTCCCTTTCACAACTCTCTGAACTGGAAGCAATGCTGGCAAATAGTGTTCCCCTTTCTAGTTTAAAGGCAGCAAATAAGCATGCAGATGAATCAACAGCCAAATATGAGGACTTATTGAGGAGACATGAGATACTTGTTAGTATTTGACTCTGAAACATTCATAACATAATTGTTTTACTGCAAAAAAAAAGACCTCAATGTTGTGTATACTTCCAGGTAAATAAGACCGACCAAGAGGTCCAGAAACTAGTGTCAGAACTAGAACTTGAAAGAAAAATGAGACATGACTTAGTCAAACAGTTTGAATCACTGAATCAGAAATTCTGGGCTAAAAACTTGCCTAATGATGCATCTGTTCAGGAACTGGTAATTTCTTAAAAAGAGTTTCTCTGTCCATGTATTTTTTGCCTTAATTTAAGACAGTATGCATTGTCATTTTGAATTATGCATTTAGGGTGTTCAACTTTCTGGAGTAGAGGGGGAAGTTCTGAGGGAGAAGCAACTGGCCTACCATGCTGAAAAAATGTGTGACATTGTCAAGGGCAAGTATATGACGAGCACTTTTCATTAAATTCTCATTTCCATCCCCCCTAAAATTCTTCTCTGTTCTATTTTTTTTTTTTTTTTTTGTAGAAGAGGTAAAGCAAGTATCCAAGCGCTGTTGTGCATTGGAGGAGGAAGTGATGACTCTGCTTGATGCCAATCAGAAGCTCAAGCTGGAACTCTCAAAAGAATCCTCTTTAGCTCCAGTTCATCTAAATGAAAAGAGTGATGTGGAAATAGAACTTGCAACCAAAAAGGCTGAAGTGGTGAGAAATATAAAAAAGAAATTATTTTTCTCCTTCTCTTTTCTTTCATTTTATTGCACCTCCTCTTTCACTGTCTTCTAGCTTGAGCTTCAAGCCTCTAGAAAGCATCTGCAAGAACTTGCTAACATTTCTCAAGCACAAGTTCAAATGCTTGATCAGCTGCATCAGAGATCTGAACTTCAACTTGATTCATTGCGTCAAGTTTTGTACAAGCTTCAAGGTGAAACTGATCTAGGCTTCGAAATTGGTGAGTAACATAATGTTAAAACTACCCTAAATTTCATATCCGTTTATCTTGTTCAATGATTGTTCATTACCACCAGCACGACTTGGTGAGGAGTTATGTGCTGCTCAGATAAGTGAATCGGCTGCATGGAACCAAATCTCTAGTCTTGAAAGGCAAAGAAATGAAGCACTATCCTCATGTGAAAAACAAGCGAAAGAAATTGAGGAGCTGGAGAGCAAACTCAGCACAGAAAAGCTGCAATACGTCCAACAGTGCAAGTTAGTTTTTATTTTCCTGCTTATTTTAATAGTTTAAAAGTTCCTATTTTTTTTACTATAGACCCTGTTGTAGGAAAATGCAGGAGAAAATGGTTGCTGCGAATGAGGGCTCAGAGCACAACCTTCCACTCTCCTTCTTCAATCTAGTTGTGAGAGCTTTTGCTCAGCGCTCAGAAGAGTGTAGAACTTTATGGAAAGATTTGCAAGTAGCTAAAGAGGAACTGGTTTCTCTTACACTAGTTGCAGAAGAAAAGAAAGTGTCATGTCAACAAACATTAGAGCTTCAAAATGCTCTTTTGGCCAGCCACTCAGATGTGGATTGTCAACGCAGAATGGAATCATGGGCTAATGCCTTGACAGATTTTAAAATTAAGGTAAATCATTGTTTCAGTGCTTTGGTTTCATTAAATGCAATTATACCTTCAGTACGTCTAAAATAAAATTGCATTTGTATTAAAATGATAGGATTTGAAGAGTTCAAGGCTTTGTGATGTTATGAAAGCTACGCTAAAGCAAACTGAGGAAAGACTTGAGAGTCAAGAAACACTCTTGTCATCCATTGAACAGCAACTTCTCTTTTTGGACATCAGGGTAACTATTTCACAATGTCTATATATTGATAACTATGGTAACTATGATGCCTATTTTCATGCATTGTCTTAAAAAATTTCATTAGAAAGTGCCTGCTTCAACTGATCAAGATTTTGGAAGAGCTCCAAGTCAGGACACTCAGAAAGTTACTCCGATTAACAAAACAGTAGACATGCCATTGGATGTTGAAGCTAATTTAAAGAGTAATCCTATTGAGACTCGTGTTGAATCACCCCCATCTCCTGCTAAGCCACCACCAACAGACGCAATGGTTAGAAAGGAATCGCAGGTAAGCAAGTAAATGAATAATACTTCTAAATCTTATCTTCTTTGCCAGAAAAAAGAAAATTGCTTTTATGTTGTTGTTTCTTTATTCTTACAGGACAATGAAGTCCTATTGAAGGAACAAATAGTATTCTTAAAGGAAGAAATAAAAAATTTAACAGCGCTTTTAAGAGAAACTGAAACTGAATTGGGGTCCTACAGAAAAACATGTAGTGACTTGCAACAGTCTCTGCATAAAGAGAACACTTCACTGCAAACATCAAATCAAGACCCTCCTACGGCAAAATCACCTCCTAAGGACGCTGTTGAAGCTGAGGAAACTGAGAAGAATGATTGTATTGTTCCTATCTATGATAAAGTTGCTCTTCAGGTAAAAATGAATACTATCTTAGTTTTAAAATAAATTCTTAAAAATGACATTTTTACATCTTTGTCCATCAGGCGACTGTTGAAAGCCTTCAAAATATAATTATGCAGAAGGAAAACACAATATCGCGATACCAAAAGTTCCTGGGAGATGTGCGTGAGGAAGATGCAAGAATCATTTCAGCTCTTCAAGAACATCTGCGTGTACAGCAAGCTGAACTCACTGCTCAAGAACAAGCTTATGTCAGGTAAAGAATAATTTAATTCAAGCATCTGCTCAGATATAAAGATTGTTAACATCAATGTTCCTTATCAAATTATTTTTTCTGGTGCTCTAGATTAAAAATTTCCACACGCCATCTTACACTTGAAGCTAATGCCGATATAAATTCAAAAACTTGTTTAGACTCACACCTTGCACGCACCAATGAGCTGGAGGATGATGTAGCTCTGCTCAAAGCAAAAGTCTCATCTCTATTGACAGAAGTGCAAAACAAGCAACAGGATGCTTCCTATTGGAGCTCAGTTGCACAACAGCATTTGTCTACAATAGAAGATCTTAACATCAAGTAGGAATGACCTCATATTATCATCTCTTTTTTATTATTTATCCTGTTAATGCAGTGACTATATTTTTTCTGATCTCACCTTAAGACTGTCAGAGCAGAAAAGCTCTGACAAAAGGTCATCGTTTTGCTTGCCAGTTCATGACACATCTTCAAAGAGCACCAATCTATTGCCACCTAATAAAGTTGAACAAGATAAACAGGAGGTCAGTGTTTATATCTTCTTGATACAATTAGTTTTTGTCTCTAATGTTGCCTTTGCATTTTTGTGACTCTTTTCAGTTCAAGGGATTCAAAAACATTGATAGATTGTCTAAATTCAAATCAAATCAAGTTCAAATGCAAATCAACACCGAGTTGGCCGATTTACGAAATAAAATTCTACAAATGGAGGAGCAAGAGCGGCATTACAAAAATGAAATTCAGCGTCTAAAAGACCAGATTCCTATATACTCTAGAAGGTCTGTTTCATTGTGACAATTAATATCAGGAAGTTTCTAATAATATGAAGTAACAAAGTTTTTCTATATTATCAGAGCACAGCAAATTCTAAGTGGACCTTTGCGGCCTGAGAGAGAAGAAGAACTGTTGAAAAAAATTGGATGTTTGGAGCAGCAGCTGGAACACCAAAAAACGGAACATGAAAAGATTCTGGCTCAGCGAGTTCAGCTTGAAACAAAGAAAATCAAGGTAAATTATTTTAAAAAATTTATTGAAAGAAGAAAAATTTAAAACTTTTCATGTTGTTTTCTTTTTTACACTTTAAGTCAGTAGAAAATGTAGCTCGCTGGGATGAGAGGAAAAAGCATCAACTCCAAATTGACAGACTCAAGAATTCTTTACATGAACATACAGAGGAGAGTGTCCTTCTACATGATAAAGTTGAAAGGCTGCATGGTAGAGTTCATCGATTGGAGCGTGAAAAGCAAGCCTTGGAACATCAGATTAGAAATTTGCATCACGTTCAACAGGACAAAGCTCTTTTGGAGGGGCAACTGAAAAAAATGGAGAGTGTGTATCACATGTTGTTCATCGGTACATTAAGCGAAATTCCCATTCCCTCTTTAATTCGATGCATTTTTTTGTCTCACTTAATAGGTAGCCGCATTTCACAGTGCATGTTAGATGAATTACAAAGAGAACGAGACAAGTTGTGTGCAGAGGTTCAAATATTAAAAGCCAAGGATGCAATGAGAGGTCACAGGTGTAAAGTAAGTTAAACTAATACTGTTTAATTAAATATGTTAGTCTTTTCTGTCATGTAATTTACATAAATAATGTGCAGGATGAATGTCACAGTGACAATGTGCAGAAAGAACGAGCTGAGCTGCTCAAGGCAAACCTAGAACTCGAATGTGAAAATTTAGAAATGAAATTAGAACTAGAGAAACTTCAATCAGAAACGATGTGTCTGAGGCACAAAGTATCACATCTTGAAAGGTAAAATTTTATTTTGAAACGTGATGTTGAGAACTACACACTTTTAGCTCCCCTAATTTACTAAAACCTAAGATGTTTTCTTGTCTCTTCAGATTATTGCTTGATACACATGGGCAGAGAACCCTTGGAACTCTACCAGATGGCACCCAAGATTTGCTTGTCACTGTGAGTATGATGTGTTGTTAAGGACCATTTATGCTTTTTTAACGAATATTCTTTTTGAAATTAAAAATTGTATTATTGGGTAGGAAAACAAAATCCTCCAGCAAAAGGTTCAGCAACTGGTTCAGCAATTGGACAGTACCAATCATCACTTAAGGACATTAGAAAACAACAAAGGTCAGTGCTATTCAAATTTTGAGTCTATTGTTTTGCCAACCTCAAGGGCTGCTCCCTCACTCTAGTGATAACTCATTAGACCATGGGCAGAGCATTGGGCATCTCTTACAATCAATCTTGCTTTGCTTTGTGTACAGATAATGGCAGGATAACTGCTCTACAAACTGAACTGGACCAAAAATGTGAGTTGCTTCGCAAAGTCAAAACCTTGCTTGAACGGGCAGCTATTAAAGAAAGACAGCTATCAGAACAAGTGAGTAGTTGAAATCCTCCGCCCCTTTTCCTCTCTCCAAATCCAATTGAAAAAAAAAAAAACTTTTTCCCCCTTGTGAAATGTTAATCTAGTGTCTGTTCTTCTGACAGGTATATAAACTGGAAGCTAAGATAGCTAAGAAATAGAACCAGCTGAGGCACACGTTAGGCGAGAAAAGAAACAAATATTATCATGGTTTTCATTGTCTTTAATTTGCACTATTTCTTAACAACAAGAAAGTAAAAAAGATCTACTGGAACATTGGTGTATGTTAATTGGTTCGACACTTCTAACAAGACAACTGTTCAGAGATAATAGACAGGCAAAAATGTTTAAATAATTTTTAAATAATCTAATAGAAAAATTTCACGTGCAGTTATATATGGCATTGTCAAGCCCAAAATACATGACAATTTTATACACACTTTCCCTCAGCCGTTTGTGTGGCAAAGTTCATTCAATCACAAGTCCACATAAAATGACATACTGTAAAACACCATGGACTAGTGCATTTTGCTATTCTTTCTCTAGTTTCGCTTTCAGAGCTTCATCCAGATCAATACATGTGCGTGTTTCAATGCATCCGTCCAGAGGCATGGTTTGTAACAGATCCCAATATTCTGTTAGTTGGAACCATTTAGTCAAATTTATAATAAATATTATTCAATTTTCATACTCAAAAGTAGGTGCCAAATTTTCAAACACACGATTTTGGCACAAACAGGAGCCTGCATCACAGAAGCTTGCAATAAACATCGAATACTGACAAGAATGTTTTGATCTACTTTAAGAGAAAAGTGGCTTCTTCCAAAGATACTGCTTATGTATTTCAACAGACACTGTGGAGTGACAAAGTTAATGCTTCCCTGTTTATTGAATGAACTTCAGCTATAAACACTTAAAAGTATTTGCACTTCCAATCATTACACAAGCCACTCAATATTTACAATGGAACACCAATAAAAGTAAAGAATAAGGTTGCCAGAATCACAACTGTAATTTGTGGTCATTCAGTCAAGTCATAAAAAGTTTCTAGCCCACACACCAAGGTAGACCAGTCTCATAACTTAAACCTAAAAATTCTTAGCACTAAGCACAGAAGATATACTTGAAAGAAATTCAGCCTGTCAAATGAACACAGCACTTAAACCTACGGTCAGGTACGTCGGATGAGAACGGTGCCGGTTGTTCAGCTGTGATGTTAAGACAGACAACTTAATTAAGTTTTAAACATAACAAAGCTTGCACATGCAGAGAGAACAAGTAGAATCCGGTTACAATCACGAGGCACCAGGAAGTAGCCCTTCACAAACATGTTCCTTCAAATATTTGCAACAAGAAAAAGGAAAACCATGGCCAGCAGATTTTCTCAGCCTGAATGAGCCTACCATAAAGTACCTCATGGGTAAGCTAGTCAACACATTTAACCAAACTCTACCAATTGTGAAAATGGTTTTGATACACAATCAGGAGCGAGACGGATATTGAGGACTGAACAAAAGATAAAAGATCCAATATTGTTGGCCAGAGAGATGAAGGAAACAACCTGGCCTTGACAATCCAATTAATCTGCACAAGATCTTAGCAACTTAAGGTGAAGGCAAGTGACAAAACTAATGTAAAATGAAACAGAATTTTAAAAGACAAACAGGCATATAGTATGAATGCAAATTGATGGAAAGGGGATAAATTCTTGAGACAATCTTAAGGTCACATAAGCATGGTAATGAAAATTTAGCGCTACGATTGCTGAATCTCCAAAAAAGTAGCAACTACAAATGCTACTTCTTGAGATCCTGAATATGCTTTTGTCCAAATGTCATTTGATGGTTTAAAAAAAAAAAACACAGGTTCACACTGTTTTTCAGAGTCATTCAAAATGTGAAGAGCCGCTTACACTTTTTTATATTTATAGCCAATGAGTTTCACATGGTGCACACAAAACATGCCACTACGAATCGTCTTTAAATCGTGACCGTCATGTTCAGTCTCCAAAATCCTAAAAAATGATATGCCGGGACCAAAACGTACGCACACAAAATATTCCATCAGCCAGTTGTTACTTAAATGCATATCAACATGTGCGCTTCTGAAAATCAATATCACGAGCACCGCATCAAAGAGCAGCACAGAAGCACAGCTTGGAACTCAGTGAACTTGAAGAGATTGTATTCAGTCTGTATTTTTAAAATGCCATTCATTAACAAAACACTAACAAGCCGAATTAAATTCCAAAACCTACAACTATAAAGAACAAAATAACAAAAAAAACTAATAAAGAAATAATACATAGATAAACTATAAAAAGATTGAATATGACATTGTCAATAAATTCTCTAAAATCTTCAATTTTAAAAGTGATAAAATGTTTAACAGAAGCAACATTACACATTATCACAGAATTGCTTCAATATACATTCCACCACAACTCATGATATAAAGTTAAGTGAAACAATTTGTGCCACAAAGTTTTTCACAAGCAATCACTGTCAACAAATAGTTTAAAATACAATAAATTGAACATATTTAACAAGTTATGTAGAAGCCTTTTGAAAGTACAAATACTGCAAAAGTTCAGCTCACAATGATTTACATTCATGTAAGTAGAAACGAAAGTATGCTAGCTGATACATATCTAACAACCAAGTCAAATTTCATATTCATCTCCCCAATTAGAACACTAATTGCAGATATCAATTGCTGTAGTTTCCAAATTACATATTCACAGCCATGTATACAGAGTACTTAAAGTAACAAGAAGCTAAAAAAATGTGAATAGTCTATATGAAAACATTAACAAAAAGCACCATAGCATAAAGAATACTTCTGTTAAGTTATGTGGTGCCAAAGGTAGTATAATTGATACAGGATGCATGCTACCAAAAATATAGCAATTGAAGAATTAGACAACACAGTTCATTACACTCCTTTAACCAGACGTTTTTCCTTAATGACAAAAGTAAATTGCTCTCCACATAAAACAAATTCAATATTTTAAGTAACACACACAGCTCGTGGTAGCATACATAAACATAACTGGTCTAGAACAGTGGACAAAAATGGACGGGTGGTTCAACCAAAATTTGGCCTTCTCAAACACATTTTGTCATAGCGCAGCATTCCAGACTGCATATTAAAGTGAAGGATGAGACATTCTGAAAACTTCAAAAATCAGTAACTGTGCTACAGTGATATCAGACAAGTCAATTTTTGATTGATTTCTTAAACCACCTTAACATCATTAGATGGTCCAAATAGTCCAATGGTATTGCCACCATGATTGACTTAGCATAAATTGCTTCATTTGTACTTGAAATGTAGCAGATATCAGGTGCTTTCCTCAACAAAGCTGTGCCAAGATGATTCATATCACTGTTAACATAAGGTGTTCTTTCTGAACAATAAAACTCTTAAGAAAAACTTTACACATTGATAGAAAACTTATAAAATAAAATATTGTGATAAGACACATCACAAAAGTCCATTTTGTTTTAAGTAAAAGAATTACTTATCTTCAGGCAGAGTTTTCCTGATCCAGTTCAAGTCCTATCTCCAGGACAAGATCTAAATCAGGGTCAAAATCTGCCTGGGCTGAACACTACATGTTGTCATTCTCCAAGCGGAAGTGAGCCTCCGTAGCTGGGTCAGTAACCATGCCCATGTCGGGGTTTGTAAGCATATCAAGAGCTTCAGCATCTAATCTACTCAGACTTTCTCTTAGTGCTTCACTAGGAAAGTCATCTAGATCCAGCGACCCAACATTAATAGCAGAGCCAAGTTCTTTGGCTAGATCATCAGCATCTGAAAATGAAAGTACCACAATAGAACAGAAACTCATTTTCATTCTATCCAAAGAAAACTTTTGAACTCCAACTTGAACACTATATGTTGGGGTGCTTACCAGTCAGAATTATGTCTGGAATACTTGTTGGTGTATTTGGGGTTTGAGGTTGTTGTGTTCTTGAATCGCACATGTTGTTATGGTGACCATGACTTTGATTCTGTGAGTAATGAAGCTGAGCAGGAGAGGTGCTGAAATAGCCTGGATCTGGAGTAAGCTCATGAACTTGCGTCAGCGGATCATCAGACTGCAACATAACAAACAAGTCCATAAGGCAAAAACAAGATAATATACAGAAACAATATCCAGAACTAAAAAAAAAAGATTTAGTTAAGTGACAAAGATAAAAAACATATGTATTGTATAGTGTATGAGAAAAAGAAAGCAGCCATATAAGTTCTTTTTTACTAAGAAAGAAGCAGAGAGAATAATAACAAAACAGTTGATAAGATCAGTTTTAAGTGAAGATAAAAATCTCATCTCTTAACAAAATTAATGGGGAATCTGCTGAAAAATACAAAGCTGCAACATGTTTTGAGGAGGAAAAAAAACTGAAATTCATAGTCAACAACAAAACAATTCAAAGTCTCAACATAAGCCACATGGAAACAACTATCTAGACAACATTAGCATGCAAGCAAGAAAAAAGCTCTGTCTCATTAAAAGGAACAGCAGCTAAGCTCACATTCCAAGCCTACTCCATTCTCCATTCCTCCTAAAAGCAAAAACCAGCCAAATACGCAAGGATAACTATAATCATGCATCATCATCAAAAATAGAAGACACTGCACCTATAGCTAAGTTGATTTTCAAATGCAGAATGAATGAAAAATTTAAATATCACACACTCCCCATGAAAATTTTTGCAGTTTGGATAACTAACAAGTATCTACATTTACAGAAAATAGATATATAAGAAAATGAAAGCTAAATAGTAATAAAAATTAATTAAGACATTCTGAAATATGATGGTCTGTACAAAATCAACAGTAAGCAAAGAAAGGAAAAGATCACCTGAAGTTCAGTATCCCAAGTTGAACTATTCTCCACAAGTGAGTGAACAAGCTGACATAAATCCTGGCAGCGAGAAAATGATATACATTGAACCAAGCATCATCAAAAAACACAGGCAATACATCTGAAAAGTACTTCAACAGTACTTTAGGTGCATGACGCTAACCCACGGCAAAGTTGATGAAAAAGATGTAAGGAAACTGGAGGGGAAGGAGGGATGCCCAGTATGACCTAATACCCCCACCCCTTCTAATTAAAAAAGTTCAAAAGAATGTGGCTCTAACTGGTTTTGAGTGCAGAAGACAAATTTCAACCAGAATCCACCATAAACTACTCTGAATACCATGAAACCTGTATAACAAAAAACATCATTATAATAAAAAATTTGGGAGACCAATAGATGAGAGGAAGTGTCACCAGGGCACACTTCAAATGATGAAACATTAAAATGCAGATGTTAGAACAAGAACCACTTGAAAAGAAAAGAAAAAAAATAACTTGAAAGGAACTTTGGTAGAGTTGAGTTGGTTGCCTATCTACATCGCAACACTTGCTACAAAGAAAGCAGAGAGGACGATCAGAGGATCTGGGGACAGTTGGTGTAACATGGAAAAATCATGTGGATTTTCAGTGTCGCTGATATGCCTCATACACTAACAGCAAATCACACAAGCTGGTATTGGTACAGTCGGTCTTGGCAAGCCTCACAAACCCTCCTTCCCAAGGGGGCAACAAACGACAATCAGTGATGCTTCAACTCTATTGATTTAAATCCATTTCTATACACTTACCAGTCCTTGCTGTGAATCCAAATTGCAAGTTTGGAAAACAAACAAGGAAGGAAACGATTAACAAAAAAAAAAATACAAAAAGAACTGCTTAGCAACACTAGAATAAAGAGTATAAGATGTCTAATACTATCACTCACCATAGAAAACTGCTCAAGTCCTTGCTGTAACGCAGCCTGGGCTTGAGAGTAGAAGCTGTTCTCCGGAATATAGCTTGGAGAACTTCCAACCGATATAGGACTCGGCGGGGCACTATGAGGACTGTTGCAACGGTAATGCTGAAAAGAAAACAGAATTGCAATTAAATTACTTTAAATTGTATTAGAATAATTGTAAGTGGATGGAAAATAGTTTAAGTTCACTTCACCTGAGCTGATAGACTAGGTGAGCTCTGAGGACTAGGTCTTGTGATACATTGTGGATTTCTGTACGAGTTCAATGATGTGATATCATGTGTCTGTGAGAACAAATTCAAAAAGATAAGAAAACATATAGGTCAGAAATTGCAAATCGAGCTTTAAAGTTTTTTTTTACTTACAGAATGCTGGAGGTTGGTATTGTTTATGTTAATTGGTGATGATGCATTCATATGAGATACTAAATGAGAATCGTCTTGGTGCTGATACAGGTACTGTTGCTGCTGCTGTTGATGGTTCTCCTGCCGTTGTGGTTGTAGATCAACTCCATTATCTTGAATCACGCCCTATTTAAAACAAATAACCAATTGCTGATGCATGTCTAATGTCCCCAAGATCCATGTAATGAAAAGGCATTTAAAGGCTAACTCTACTTAATGTAACTGGATTAATATGAACTGTGGGAACACTCTTGCATGCAAAATCTAGCACACTCTTCAAAAACTAACACTAATGTGATACTACTTCTAGCCCTCAGGAATAGGGTCTAATCCTGACCAGAATAGGTAGAGATGAGGAAAATGGGGTACCAAACAAAGACCTCTTATTAGCCAGAAATGATAGTCTTGAGCAAGGCAGGTAAAAAAATAAAAAATGAAAAAAAAAAGGATGCACATACAAAAGCAGCATCACTACCTACCTTACAAGCATGCAGAAACCTAAAGTGCCCTGGCACAGTAAGTGAATTCTGGAACAAATACAAATTTGCATCAAATACACAATCTAACAAAGGCATTCTAAAATCAAAGGGCCACAGGATCACATGGACAATAAACTAAGTCTATCAAACAAAACAAGCCAAATATTACAATGAAGTAGGGAATGGTCTTGGGAAAAGGTTCGTTCTGTTAGTCCTTTCACAATTTTGATACCTCTGTGTGCAATCACACTACATCTATGCTAATCAATACTTTATTTGGCCTTTTGCCCTACTGTGCAAACACACAGATGCACACAAAAGGTACAAACAATCTTAAGAATTTGGAAAAGGACTCTGTCAAAAGAAATCATGTTTTTAATCTGTATTCAATTTGAAAAGTCAATTATCACAAATGTTGCTGCTTAACACAAATGTCTAAAGCAGTTTACTTTCTACTGTGGCCTGTAGAAAAAATACTTCCACAAATGGCACAAGGAAAGGAAGGGCATTCAATGAAAATGCAAGCAAATACATTTCACACGAATGATACACAAAGACAGCCATTCTGTCAACATTATTAACCGAAGATCATCTATGACAGAAATACTCTAGTCGGAAGACATGCACAAATGGACGACACATTTCAGCAAAGTTACTTACAGGACTGTGCGGGCCGTGTGGGCTGAGGGGACTTTGAAGGCTGTGTGGGCTATGTGGGCTGTGTGGGCTGTGTGGGCTGTGGGGACTGTGGTGGCCAGGTTCTGGGCTTGGGCCTCGTGATGTGTGAGGAGAGTACGAAAATCTATCGCCCCCTGGTATCTGCCCAGTCGGAGAGAGCATGGATGTTGAATTATTTCTTGGACTCTGTCAAACAAAACAAGCAAAGATTATTATTGGTTCATTCTAAGAAGAGAACAGTAACTCCTTTACTCTCTACTTTCTAAGGATCGTAGACTTACAGATCCATAAATGGAATTGGAATCATCCTGATCCAAAGGTGTATGTAACGGTGGAGGGAAGTGTAGATTTGTGAGATCTGGCAAAGAGCCGGTGGGGATAGACTGCATCTCCTGCTGAAGCTGATACATGCTGAAAAGGCAAGGGGAGAGAGAGATCTCAGTTGAGCACCAACCAAACTTACGACATTGCAGCAGCACAGCAGTGGCAAGGGCTGATTACTCACTTGTTTGAACTCGCTCTGGGTTGAGACGTTGGCGACGCGGACAAGTGCCGGCGGTTCCGCTGCTCCGCCATGGCCTGGTGGTGGTCCACTGCAAAAAGACAAAGACATGAGCACGAGGCAGGGCGTGCTTTGTCGCTCCATTTCTCTCGCACCCTCACGGAGTGCAAGTGCAACAGAGACAGCACTCACCGCGTCGCGCCGTGGCGGGGCTGAGGGGGCTGAGGAGCGAGTCCTGCATGGGCGTGGTGGAGCTCTGGTGCAGCGCGGAGTCCGAGTGCGTCCTCCTCCAGGTGGTGTCGGCGGGCGGCGACAGGTACGGCCCCATGGTGGAGCCCATGGAGATGGGGGTGCCATAGGGCGACGTGTCGAGGCGTTGCTTGTCCACGGGCCGCGACCGCATGGGCCCCACGCCGGCGCTACGCCCCCGCCCGCCGCCGCCACCGCCGCCGCCGCCCCCTGGAGGGGCCTGGTGCTCGTCGGCGGGGCTGAGCGCCGGACTGAGCGCGGGCGAGGGGCTGGGCACGGGGCTCGGCGCGGGGCTGAGCGCGGGGCTCGGGCCGGCCGGCTGTCCAGGAATCTGCAACAAAAAGGCCGCCGATCAGCGACACCGTCCTCTCCGACCCTCTCCGGCCCTCTCATGCCCCCGCGGGCCGAGTCACCAACGCGAGGCACTGACGGGCGGCCAGCCTGGGGGTCCTGGGGGCCGAGCCGGAACACGAGGGCGTCACAACGCCGCCACCCGCCACGCACCGCGGAGGAGGCGACCCACAGTGGGCCAGAAGACCAGTGGAGGCGGCTAAAACTCTAGACGGGTTTTGAGCTCCAGAGTGGCTAAATAGGCCTCGAACCGAACGTGTGACCCCACCAATGGATTGCTCTCCGGACGAGGAATCCATTGGTGGGGTCACGCGCTCGCTTCGAGTCCTGTTTAGCGACTCTGGAGCTCTGCACGCGTCTAGAGTTTTGGCCGCCTCCACCGGTCTTCTGGCCCACTGTGCGTCCAAAGGCTGCCAAAGGCCTGCTATGAGGCCGATGCGGAGGGCGTTCGAAAAGGGGCCCGACCCGGGCGAAGACCAGGCCGGCCAACCCAGCCGGGCCAGGCCACCGCGCACGCCGCGCACGCAGCCAGGTACTCCGCAACCGGTTGCTCCCATCTGGCCAAGATGCGCGCGGTCAGGAATAAACAGCGAAAAAAAGACACAAAAAAGGAAAGAAAGACCCGGGCAGGGTCCAAACACAAAGAAAATAAAAAAGCACGTAAACACACCCGCAACTTGAGCTTAATCGCAGGGGACCGCCTCATTATATCGAAAAGCCACTACAGAAAGCAAAACTGGACAAGAGGCGAGGGGGAATTTCGTCTCGCGGCGCCAAGGACGACGGCAAGGCGGCGAGGCGACGAACGCAGAAGCGCGCCCAACACACTTTTGGCGCGCTTTTGCTCCGAGCTTTTATTCCGGGCCGACCGATCGTTTTCTGCCAAGCCGTTTCGAAGGATCGTTTCATCGCTCGGTCTCTGTCGCACTCACGGGGCGCCCCGTAGCGGTGCCGGCGGTGCGAGAGAGACAGCGCGCTCGGCTAGCCGCGGTATGCAGATCCGCGAGGAATCCGACAACGGCGGCTAAAGGCGCTGTCGGTGAAAACCGCTCCATCAATGCAACGCGTTGCGTTATTCGCTGGAAAACTCCTCCGGACCGTCCTAGGGCCACGCAGCCACGGGGTCACGCCGAGACTAGACGCCGAGAGTAGACGCCGAGGCGCCAAGGCCGACGGCATGACCGGTATCCCCCGCAGGACAGTAAAATCCAAAATCCGCCTTGGAATTCCCTATGAAACCGGGGGGGGGGGGGGGCAGGCTGCCCGACCCGTCGCTTCCTGCATTGGGGAGGGGATTGTCACCGTGACACCTGTTCCACGTGGTGCCTCAACTCCAGCACGAGTACGCCCTCTCCCCGGCAATTCTCCAACGGCGGGACGTTAACGCGGGCCGGACCGTCGGACCGCGAGGGCACCGTCTCGGCGAGGAGCCATTTCTTTTGACGGAGACAGTACTCGTACCGCCAAGCTGCCAAGCTGGCCAGCACTGGCCAGCTCCAGACCGTGACCGTCACGGGACGCGACGTTTGCAAAGCGAGTCAAAATCGATGTCGTCCTCTCTCTCCTCTGCTCGTCGCTGCGGCCATCCCCTTCGACGCACCCCTACGAGTCCGAGCCCTTCCACTGGATCCCACGGCCCTATTTTCCACAGCTACCCTGGTGGCCCTGAAGGGGAGAAGACTACTGTACCACAGGGACAAGTACACCAAGTTACAGACAAGGCAATGGCAACTCATGATTTCTATTGTAAAAATATGAAACCATGCAGTAATTTCTAAACCTGCTTGAAGTACATGAGTGCATCAACTTGAATATTCTACACAAAGTTCGGTACAAAATACTTCAAATTCACTTGACCAGGCTCATGTAAAAATCAGTAATTAAAAATAAGGAGACACTTTTCCTAGGATAATTACTACATACTGAATCATTGAAAAACTAGAAGAAGCCAAAGTCATGTTTAGTTTTATTTTACATGCACTCAAGCAATAGAAGAAAAAATTGGTGAGGAAATTCATGCCACTAAATGATAAGAGGCCAGATTCAATTTAATATCTGGTCTTTACTAAGTACTGAAAAAAGGGCAGAACAAAAAAGTGAACTTAAGGCTTTTCCAACAGTTTGAGAAATATAAAAACCTGAGCCAATAAGGCATCAGTAGCTTGAGACCAATAGAGACTAGACTACTCTATGTCTTGTCTATTTCACAAGTGCAGTTATTATCATGCAGTACCTACACTCCAACTGCTCTTTGAATATAGACAAAGTCAAAGTCCAAATTACAAAATTATTTTTTTAACTGAACAAATTTAATGTAAGAAGAGAGGAAGAGGAAGGAGACTCTTCAGCTACAATAGCACTGACGTGAAACAAACGCCTACCTTCGAAACCACCACAGGGCTGGCTTGGACACCAGCCTTTGCAAGTATAGGTTGTGAGGCACAACTGGATTGTGTTTCCTCTGTTTGACTAATTCCAACACTCTTCCTTGCATCTGCCTACAACAGAACAGATCCATTTCCCCTTATGACAAGGTACTCATGAGAATGGAACCGTTAAAATGAGTATTCGGATAGAAGACAGTAAACTAACTAATCATAAACAATACAGTGTTTATCAGAAAACTAAGAGTGTTTAAGTAAAATGGGCAGATTGTGAATTCTACAGGCAGTAGATGTTGGAACACAATATTGCAAATTATTTTTTTCAAATAAATTGAACTAAGTGCTCAGCTTAACAAAAATATTTTGGAACGGATCATATGTTTAAATTCTATTTATATTTGTAACTTGTAAATTCACGTGAAGTTCATTCATTGCAAGTATGACATCCAATCATCTGACCAAGTGAGATCTCGATTTTAGTTAAAATCACCAGCCACGCCTTAAAAATACAGAATTTAATAAAACTGTAAATTGCGCGACTTCCCAGTCCCTTTGACGGCAAACATTAATTTTCACACTTGCACTGAGCGCGAGCCATCGATTTCGATTTTGGGGTTAGGTTCCGTGTTTACATTGTTCTGCAGCGCGCTTCGGCCACACGCGCCAGCGACAAAAATGACCTGACGGGGCCCCGTCCGACCGATTCCCTTTTTCCAACAATTCAAAACAAGCAGTGGGCCCCCCAGGGACGCCTAACGCCTCGCATTGCGAAACGCGCTGCTCCGACAAGTCAGCCATTGTAGGATAACGCTAGAGACTACACTAGCAACAACAACCATAGAACGCATCATGACTTGTGTAAATAACAGCTGCACACTGTACAGCGCCATGTCCACCTCGCGCCGCTAGTGAGCTCGCGCCAGCCACAGTCATTGCCATTCCCACGATCCTCGCCCGCTCCATGAACCCCATGAACCCCGAGGGCTGCCCTAAAGCCTGCCCAGCCCGCAGCCCGCGCATGACAGGTTATAAACACACCCCTGCATTCCTGCTTGGGGGCCCTGAGCCCTGGGCCGCGGGCCTCCACGTCGGGGCCTCCACGGGGGCCTCCAAGACGGGCACGGCGGCCACGACGGCTCTACACTCACCTTGACGGCTTTGTGGACGTCGCGCATCACTTGCTCGAACTCGGCCGTGCCCTCGGCCTGCTTCTGGTTGTGCAGGGCGATCTTTTCGGCGAACTTTCTCGGCGACGTCATCCTGGCCGCTGAAGGTTATCGCCGATGACTACTCCAACAACTGGGGCTGCTTGGGCGCGCCTCAGAGCAGGCTAGGCCCCAGCAAAACACAACAACAACACACACACGCACACTCCACTGGCAATGTTTAGCAGCACACACGGCACTCGGCCACCAGCACGGCACAGATCGGCCTGGCGCGGCGCACTGTGGCGAGGCGATCTGACGAAGGCGAAGCGGAGCGAAAGGCCCCTTCCCGTGTATATCCCCGTCTCCGTCTCCTCGGGCCGAGAGCCAGAGCTGCCAGAGCCAGCCGCGGAGCGCGGAGCCGCCAGACGGACCACGGAACGGACTTGGCTTTTCCTGGTTGCTCAGCGACTCGGCTCGGCTCGGCTCAACTCGGCCAGGCAGGCGGGCAGGCTGGCGAGGCGCTGAGCTGGGCAGCGCTGCCCCAAAGTCTCGGCTGGGCCGTGCCTGTGCCCGTGCCTCAGGCAGCCTCAGGCTAGGCGCGGCGCGATGGCGCGGCGTAGCGCAACCCGCAACGTAGCGTCGTACTGGCCACTGGCCACACTTCTCTTTCTCTTCTAGGAGCAGCCTGAGCCTGCTGGCAGCCTGCTGGGCCAGGTGCCTAGCGCACTAGCCTCGCACCTCCCCGCGCGCTCTAGACCCAGGGGCCTAAGTAGCCTCGCGCCGACTCGCGTAGCCTCGCGCCAGTGTAGCGTGGTGCCACGGAGCGGGGCCGCGGGTTGGCCGCGGCGGGTAGCTGCGGGGCCACGGTGCGGCGCTAGGCCACGGCGTCCACGGCGTCCACACACACCACGGCACATCCACTCTAGCGCGGCGTAGCGGCGTAGCGGCGCGAAGCGAGGGGCCGAGGGGCCGAGGGGACGGTGGCGCCGCCCAGCCAGACAGCCAGTCCGCGCTGCCAGCTCGGCCTGGCCTGGCTCTCCCTGGTGGGGGAGGGCCGCGGGGTCGCGGGAATGGCCCCGCGGGATGGGGCCGCGGCAGGGCGCGGGGCGGGGCGGTCGTCGAGGGGCGGGAGGGCTCGGGCTGCGTTTCGGCCGGTTCGGGCCGAGCCGAGTGGAGTGGAGGCCGAGGCAGGCCGAAGCAGCGAGCAGAGCAGCGCCGCGGCGGACGAAAGACGAAAACACGCGCAAAAGTGTCGGCAGGCCGTCGGGCCGCTTGTTGTCGTTCAAGTACCCCCCTCCGGTTACCTGCCGGCGTACCTGCCGAGCAGCTTTGAGCGCCAACTCACACCGACACACGCACACACTCGCACGCGCGGCCAGCAGAGCCAGCACGCACGGGGATGGCCGCGACCAGCCCAGGCCAGCCGCCGCAGCCCAGCCAAGCACAGCGTCCACAGTGTAACCTAGTGTAACCCGGCCGGCGTTGGAACCTGCAACCTGCCAGCACGCTGGCTTCGCTGGCGCGGTCGGCGCGTCGTCGTCGCACCCATTGGCGGCCAGCAAGCCAGCGCGGCCAGCGCGGCCAGCACCAGAGGCAGCGCGCATCTTGATTGGGAGAAAAACAAACCGCAACGTATCCGCGCTCCGCGCCGTCATTGCTGATCGCGCCGGATAGCGAGGCGGTGGTGGCGGTGCCGCGGCAGTGTCGTGGCGGTGCACGCCAGGCCGGCCAGGCCCTCCACGGGTGCAGCCGCGGCCGCGGTCACCGAGGTGCCCAAAGCAGCCGAAAGACAGAAAGACGCAAAGGGCGTCTGCCTCTCTCGCACTCCTCCGGGACGCCCTCGAGTGCGACGGAGACCGGCCTGCTCTGCTGCCGCGGCGGCCGTCTCATTCCGAACACTGCTTTCGTCGCTCTGTCTCTCTCGCACTCATGGGGCGGTCCGTTGGGGTGCGAGAGAGACAGAGTGACGAAGCAGTGTTCGGAATCAGACGGCAGGGGTGGCAGTCGAGTGGAGCGCCCGCGGATTCGACGATAGGCCAGCCCTGCCGCTCCGCGCCACGGCCGTGCGCTGCAGGGCTGCCTATCCTCGAATCCGCGGGCGCTACGCCGGCACCCTGGGCACGCCAGGCACGCCGCGCTGGCCCTGCCGCTCCACAGTGAGCCAGAAGACCAGTGGAGGCGGCCGAAACTCTAGACGCGTTTTGAGCTCCAGAGTCAGTAAATGGGACTCGAATCGAACGTGTGACCCCACCAATGCATTGCTCTCCGAACGAGGAATCCATTGGTGGGGTCACACGTTCGGTTCGAGCCCAATTTAGCGACTCTGGAGCTCAAAACGCGTCTAGAGTTTTGGCCGCCTCCACCGGTCTTCTGGCCCACTGTGCGCTCGCCGCTCGGCTAGGTTCCGGAGCAGTGCCTCGTCGCTCTGTCTCTCTCGCACGCGAGCGGCGTTTCATAGGGGTGCGAGAGAGTTTTTTTAGTTTTTAAAAATGATTTATTGGGGGGTTTTGAAATGTACAATGCGGGCCAAAGGGGGGTGTAAAAAATATGTCACAAAAAGCATGCCGTTTCCATTGTAACTTGAGGTGTAGACAGAGCGCGGACCCAGCAGCGCCGCCCTTGAACCGGCCCGCCAATAAATCGGATTCACGGAAGTGGCCGTTCTCCGTTGTGTTCGTCGCTCGCTCTCCGGGCTTCGGGCGCAATAAATACCTACCGCCCGGGGAAAACAGCCTCGGCACTTTTCGGTATGCGTCACTTTGGCGGGCCTTTCGTGCGGCCGCGGTGATGGCTGTGCCTGCTCGGCCGGTCGGGGGTGGAGTGGACGGACGACCCACAGTGGGCCAGAAGACCGGCGGAGGCGGCCAAAACTCTAGACGCGTTTCGGGCTCCAAAGTAGCCTAACAGGACCCGAATAGAGCATGTGACCCTACCAATAGATTCCTCGTTCGGAGAGCAATCCGTTGGTGGGGTCACACGTTCGGTTCGAGTCCCATTTAGCGACTCTGGAACTCAAAACGCGTCCGGGATTTTGGCCGCCTCCACCGGCCTTCTGACCCACTGTGCGACCCACTGGAGCAAGTGAAGCCCCCCGCCTCATTTTCGTTCCAGCGGACGGCGAACAGTGAACAGCAGGTCGCTAATCGAATCTGACGCCGGTCCGGCACCTTTGCCAGCTTTTGCCTCCGCCCCGCACTCGCCCCGCACTTGATCGAATTATTGCGAACGGGAATTAATTAAGCAGTGGGGCGGCGCGGGGCGGGGGCCTCCACGGAGTGGCCCGGGGTTGGGGGGTGGTGGGGCGGCGCGGGACGGCGAGTTGAGCTGCTACACTGTACAGCGGGCTGATTCCGAATCTGAAGCGCTTCGTCGCTCCGTCTCTCTCGCACTCGTGGGGCGTTCCGTGCCGGTGCGAGAGAGACAGAGCGTGCTGTTGGCGCCGCCGAGGGAATAGCGACGTGCTGAGGGGAAAGGGGATGACACGGCCCGCGGCCATTTCTCTGCATAACCGGCAGAATGAGAAAATAACTTTACGAAATCGGACGGCAGATCGGGGCATGTCTCGGTGGCGAATTACGCAAGGACTTTTATTCGGTAACTTTGGTCGACGCCCACTCCAGGTGAGGGGGATCGTATCTCCTCGGCCTCAACCCCCTACAGGATTATGAATGGAGGAAGCACCGAGCCCGCCTCTCCCTCTCCCTCTCTCTTTGTCTCCTTTTGGGTGCAACAGTGAGGCCGGGGCGCCGGGCGGCTGCTAGGAGACGGAGACGGCCGGGAGGCGCGTGGCGGCGCGGCGTGGCCACCTTCATCACCCCCATCATCATCACCACCACCACCTGCACCACCAACATCACCTGCACCATCATCATCTACCCGACCGCGTGAAACTCCCAGCAGCGATATGCCGAAGACCGGGTGCAACAAGAACCCAGGTGGGGCATTGGCCAGCCAGGCCAGGCAGACACAGACCGCGCACTCTGCCTCTGTCTCTCTCGCACCCGTGCGGTTGTGCGAGAAAGACGAAATGCTCTGCAGGGAAGTCCGCGCTGACTCGGCCGACACACGTGTCCGTCGCTCTGTCCCTCTCGCACTCATGGTGCGTGCCTTCGGTGTGAGAGAGACAGAGCGACGGGATGGCGCTGGTCCGCAGGGAAGTCCGCGCGGTGACTCGCGGCTGGCTCCCTTGCCCCCGCCGCACAGTGGGCCAGAAGACCGGTGGAGGCGGCCAAAACTCCAGACGCGTTTTGAGCTCCAGAGTCGCTAAATGGGACTCGGACCGAACCTGTGACCCCACCAATGGGTTGCTCTCCGAACGAGGAATCCATTGGTGGGGTCACACGTTCGGTTCGAGTCCTGTTCAGCGACTCTGGAGCTCGAAACGCTTCCGAGATTCTGGCCCACTGTGCCCCGGCCTCCCCGCGGCCACCCGGCCGAGCACGTCTCCGTTGCTTGTTGTTCGACTTGATGTGACACAACGTTGCTGCTCCGCCTGCGCCGCCCTTAACGGCCCAAAGCCGCCCTGTAAATAAAGACGTATCGGCCGCCGGTAATTTTAGCGCCGATTCCCGGAACGTGCGCGGACGGCAGAGGGAGGGGAGGGGGACGAGCGAAAACAAATTTAAATCACAATGAAGGCCGCGACGGATGGGGATCGAAGCGGCCTCCCAGAGTACAAGGCAAAAAGCAGCGCAGGCTCATTTCCGAGCCGTGCCATCCGTGCGGGGCGGGGCATGGCGGGGTGCGAGAGAGACAGCGCGACGCGGGCACTGTTTGGAATTAGCCTGCAGGGCGAGTCCCTCTGGGCTTTGCTAGCCGCTGCTGCCGCTGCTAGCCCTGGGCCCCAAGGGGCTCGCATGAGCGCGTTGTGTAAGGGCCCCCTAAAGGGCCCAGGGGCTCGCTCCTCGACCTTCCTCGTTACCGATGACTCGAGCCACTCGTCGACCATTTCGGGCTCATTTTCAGCCCACTTCTAATCCATTTATGACTTATTTTCGGTCCTCTTTTGTCCGTTTTCGGTCCCCAGGGCCCGGGCCCGGGGCGTACCTGCTGCCCAGCACGGTGGGCTTCGACGGCCACGACACCACCAGGGACCGGCAGCCCGCCTACTCCATCGGGCGGCGCGAGGCCAAGGAGGCCAAGTCCCTCGGGCCGGGGCCGGACTGCATGGTGGACAAGTACAACCGCTTCGGCCCCACCACGGCCCCGGCCTACACCATGGCGCCGCACCTCAAGCCCCTCAGTGAGTTCAAGTAGCGCAGTCGGTAGCGAGCTCGAGTCGCGGCTCGGGGTGCGCGGGTTCGAACCCCGGCCTGGCTGTGCCACTTTCCACCGTTCGCCTTGCCAATGGTGTCGCGGTGCTTGCCCCGGCCGGCGCGCCCTGGTGCCTATCTGGCCTCGATCCCCGTGCACAGAAGACCAGTGCAGGCGGCCAAAACTCCAGACGCGTTTTGAGCTCCAGAGTCGCTAAATGGGACTTGAACCGAACGTGTGACCCCACCAATGGATTGCTCTCCGAACGAGGAATCCATTGGTGGGGTCACACGTTCGGTTCGAGGCCTGCTTAGCTACGCTGGAGTTCAAAAAGCGTCTAGAGCTTTGGCCGCCTCCACCGGTCTTCTGGCCCACTGTGCCGTGGCAGCACGCCTCAAGACTCCGCCCTTTGCAGCGAGCTTCCAGACGCCGGGCCCCGGCCAGTACTACCCCGAGAAGTACGCCGAGAAGGCCGCGGCCTTCAGCCTGCTGCAGCGCCTGCCGACGCAGGGCGCCTTCCAGACGCCGCCGCCCAACGCCTACGTGCTGCCCTCTTGCCTCAACGGCACCATCGAGCACCTGTAGGCGGCGAGGGGAAGGACCGAGGTTTTCTCGTGTCGCGTTGGCCATCCCAAAGCAATCCTCTCCTTGTTCGCAGGGGCCAGCGCCTGAGCTACACCTTGAAGGTATACCGGCCCCGCCCCGCCGCCCTGCGGGCCCCTGGCCTTGCCCCTGGGCTGGCCCCCGGGCCGCTGGCGGCCGCTGGTCCACCCCCTGCCGCACTGCCGCGCTGAATGTTGGATTGCCGGGGCTGCATTTTGCACGACGTTGCCGACGTTGCCTCGGGTGTTGCAGGACGACTCGCCCGGGCCGGCGCGCTACCAGGCGCCCGCGCTGGACGTCAGCCGCTGGAGGATGCCGCAGTACTCCATGGCGCACCGCACCCCCATGCCCGGGGACCGGTCGCAGAAGCCCGCGCCCAACGCCTACCTGCCGCAGTACAACACCCACCGCTCGCCCCCGCACGTGCGTCTCGGCAGGGTTGGCCACAGTGGGCTAGAAGACCGGGGGTGGTGGCCAAAACTTTAGACGCGTTTTGAGCTCCAAAGTCGCTAGACAGGACTCGAACTGAGTGTGTGACCCCACCAATGGATTCCTCGTTCGGAGAGCAATCCATTGGTGGGGTCACACGCTCGGTTCGAAGCCCATTTGGCGACTCAGGAGCTCAAAACGCGTCCAGAGTTTTGGCCACCTCCCCAGGTCTTCTGGCCCACTGAGTGGCCCCATCGCTCCGTCTCTCTCCCACCCTCCAATCGCACTGTCCTGTTGCAGTTCTCGTTCGGCGTCAAGCACACCGACTGCGAGTTCACCCCGCTCACCGACGAGGACAAGTACCCGCCCGGCTGCCCGTGACGCCACGCCACCGCGCGTCCCGAAAAAAAAATGTTGGAAACCAGAAAAAAATCGAAAAAGAACGAAAGGAATAAATGAACGAAGAAATTATGACAATAAAGAAAGGACTCGAATTGAGTGAGAATGACACTGAACTGATCTGTTGCACATTCACACGCACGCAACGCAATAAAAATATTTTTATCTTTATCTCATCATGGGGCATCAGGGACATTGTCGCGTCGTGTCACATCCGGCAGGCTAGACTTTTTTCGATCCCACTGTTGAGTGTTGCTTATCGCTAATTTTTTCCCTTTTCTAGGGTCCTCCCGCAACGCATCAAAAATGACTGCAATACTCAGAATGGCCCACGTTACCCCTGCCTTTGCCTTTTCCCTGTGTAGAGCCCTGCAGTACCCCTGTGGAAGCGAGGCTAGGCAACTCAACGCGCGCCCGTCCGTCCGTGTTGCCGACCCCGCAGGAGGCTTTCTTGGACGCACGTCTCCCCGGCACACTGCGAGTGTCTGGAAACCAGCACCAGGCCGATCGGTAGCCTGTAATCATTTGTCACGGCCAACTCCTTTTCCTTTTCCTGTCGCCGACTGGCGGCTTGGGCTTGGGCTGCTGGCGGCATTTCTCCGCGTCAAGTCAAGTCGGTGAGAAGAGGAGCGGGAAGAGGCCGGGGCAGCGATTGGTAGTTGGCGGGCCAATCACGTCGCGAGGAGTCCGCGCGCCGCATCAGCAGCGCCACCTTGCGCCTTTCTCGCCAAACAGGTGACCCGGGGTGGAACCTGGGACGTCGGCTGCTGTTCATTATTGCTGCTTTGTTGGTTATTTTCTAAAGTATTTTAAAGATACTTGCCCGTTTCGTTTACGCTGGCTTCTACCCACATTCGGAACTAGCTTAGGACACCGTGCCCTTCTTTTAATTGTTTTTAATCGAGTGTAGTCTCGCCTTTTTGACGTTTGGTTGACACGGTTGCTGGTGACAGTTGTTGAGGTTAATGTAAATACATCAAAAGACTCTTCGACCTGGTTTTAATGGCTGAAGAAATGCCGACTGTTCGAGTTGAGAGCTCGTGGGACGGCGGCGTCCAGAAGTCTCTGCAAGATGCAGTGGCACTGACTCATTTGTCTTCTCACAAGAGGTTAGTGTGCTGTCACTGTGTTGGTTGGTGTGTTTGCGAAAGAACCCCGGTTTGACAATGCTGCCTTGCAGAAATGAAGATGGTTCCTTGACTGATATGGTCCAGCCTGACACGTGCATTCTACTTACCCGGCCTTGTGAAGAGAATGGCAACCAAGAGACGACTTCCCAGTCCTGTTCCATTTCCCTGCGTCTGGATCCATCTTCTCCGTTTGCCATTGCCAGCCTTGTTATCGTCTGTGAAGTGAGCTCCCTGTCTAAGCCCTTTTGTTTTTTCGTTTCATAGCTTTCTTAATTTTATTTCTTCATCCAATTTTCTTGTTCAAAGGCAAGAATGGTTGAGATTTATGGTGCCCACAATGAATACTTGATGACAGCATCAGCAGAGCTCATTGACGAAGTGGGTGATATGGCTGTTTATTGTGCACAAGTGGACCTGACCCAGCTTACTCAGGAATGTACACTGAAGGTAAGATTGGAGTTCTGTTCAAGCTAAGTTTCAATTTAAATCGACAAATCTTGTCTTAATCTTCTCTATTTCATTTCCAGTTTGCCAGGTTGAAGAAACCATCTGAAATGTGGTTGTATGGTATTAAAGTAATCTGGTCCAGATACAATAGTAGCAGTTTAACAAGCCAGACGGTAGGAGTTAATTTTGATTCAGTTGAACAGAGGCTGAGACAGTCTCAAACGCAACTTTCAGGACGAGCAGAACGCTGTAAGCAGTTTCTAAAGATGTATTCCTCCCTCAACGAAGAAAAGAAGTCTTTGCAGGGCTTTCCTGACCCCATGTCTCTCCTGTCACTCATACCAGCTATGACACGACAGTGTGGTTCTCAAAAAAATTATTTTGCTTTACGTGTAGAAAGCCCAAGTGATGTTCCAAGTACCAGTGCTTTATCTAGTGATAAAGAAGCAAAAGATTCTTCAGGTTCCATTTGTAGTGGATGCTCTGATAAAATTGAAAGTATGTTAGAAAAGAAACTCTCCTCTATGGAGAATAGGATTATGGGAGCTTTAGATGTGAAACTTGCTGCAATGCAAGAGCACCAAGACAGGCAGATCCAGAGTCTTTTCAATCTCTTGGAAAGAACAGTATCAGGTGGTGTCAAATTTAAACCTAAGATCTACAGTGAGACTGCAGATCAACATTTCCCAGACAGAGAGTCAGCAATGGAGCATTCTATTAAGAAGATTCTAGATGAGAAAGTTAACTTACTCAACAAAGAGGCCGTTTTTAGAAGAAATACTTGTGAAGGTAATACAGATAACATCCTAAGGAATGCCTTCATGGCTTTGAAGCTAAATGAAATGTATACAGGAGCCTCTCACAGTGATATGGACAGTACTAGTGCCACAACAGTTGTTCAAAAAGGCTCTTGATGTTTGTATTCTTCGAAATTGAGGAAAATAAGCCTGTCACATGATCTGCCAAAGAAATTTTAGCATATGTAAATCTGAGAGGACCCCAAACATCAGAGGCACAATACTCTGGCTAACTTAAATCTCTCCAGGGACCAATCAGTTTGTGCACTGTTAAACCATTGGATGAACTATGTGATGTGATTTACTTGTTGTTCAAACTGCATAACATATAAATGTCTATTTTATGAAGTTGTTTTGCTGTAATCTAGGTGTCAGATTAAATGTCTATACAATGGTTAATTTTCAATTCCTTAACTGCAAGTTTTAATTCCAAGTCACAATTCTGGAAACGAGCTGTTTTCAGAAATAATAAGATAGAACTAGAAACACACTTAATTTAATAGGTAGGATATTATGTAAATAATTAAATAAAATTGAACGAAATCACACATACGGAAACTCACACATGCACGCACCATTTCATTTTTTCTTCATTCCTCCGATTGAAGCCTCACAGGGCCTAGATAAACCACATCTTGTAGACTGACTTCAATATTCAAAAAATAGTTAGAAGAATAAAAACAGATGACAAGGCACTCTTGCCTTCTACCACGAGATTAACTTTGGCACAATGAGGCTCAATGACATTCATTCAACTTGACCAGAGTAATTAAAATAAAACCAAAACATCAAATGCCCATACCTAATGGGAGGCGATGAATTATGTCAAACATTACAGAAAACAATCACATGTGATGGAATTTTTCAAACAATCAAATTGGGCCTCTTAGGAACACAAATGAGAAGTGATGAAACACAACAAAAAATGGTGGTGGATTCAACAGTTTGTAAGAGCAGTTATGCAGACACACTGTCAACATTGCTCCTGAAAGTTGTCACACTTGTTTTAGTATCACACTCAGAATCAGACTGCGAACATTTCCTGCTTGACTTTCGACCAGACTGTGGGGTTGAAGGGATAGAACGCTCTGATGTTGTATCACTCATGGAGGCTGAACAATCATCAGACATGTTATCCCAGCTGTAAAAAAAAGCATGGCATATTTTTTTAAGAGTGAAAAAAATTCAATAGTAACAGGAACCACAGTAATGGCATTATTTGGATTACTCACCTCTCTGGTAGCTCTGTAGGGGTTTCTTCCCCATCCTTGGGAGGGTCCCAAAAATGTAACTTTTGACGCCAGACTTTTACTAAACCGTCCCATGCTCTCCTGCTATACCTCAAATGTCGGGGAGGAGTTTTTGGATGGCGTTTTTCACGTTTTTCCCTGCCAAAGTAAGAGGAAAATTATTTGAGAGTTTCGAGCAACAGTATGTAGAAGGACTTTCTATGAGACTGACCTGGGAACAAGCTGGATGTATCTTTGATATCCCAGAGTATTCTTTCCATATTCAATTTGTTTCTGGCGTCTAGATAGAGTCTCTTTGTCTTTTTCGTATTGAAGTTTCCCTCGAGGCTTGGGACTATTGGTTTTGTTTGTTGGGCTTGTACTGTGGACAAAAATCAAATGATGAATTCTAGCTAGACATTTAAATACAACTGACACAACACCAGTGAATTTCACTTACGAAACATGTGCGATCTTGTTAGCAGGGCTCTCAGTACTTTTACTGTGCTCTCTAGTTCGCTTTCGGCTTCCATCACCTTTATTTGGACTCCGCAGCGCATCTCTTAAGTCGCCACATTTAGCCAGAGACTTTCGCCAGGGACTCGGCCTATGCACCCCAGAAGTATCTTCGTTTTCATCTTGCTTTAGTGGGGAATCCATATGAATATTGGTCATTATTTCACGTATATCTTTGCACGGGCTTTCCATTGTCTTCTCATCCAAAATGCCAAAGCTCTCTTTTGTTTGGAGCCCATCAGGAAAAAGGGATCTCTTCCTCCCTCTTTTCTCTGGGGATGTAAAACTGCTGCTAGTACTTTCAGAGTCTGTACTTGGAGGTTCCTCTTTGGTAACCGCTACAGAAGGCGAATTGGAAGTCTTTGCACATATTTGAGCAAAAGTGAATTTGCCTGGGGTGACCTTTTCTTCAGAGGCTGATTCCACCAATTTACTCCAGCCAGGCTCAGAACCCAGGAGAGCATCATCCACGGGTTCACTTTTAATATAGACAGTGTCACTTTGAGCATGATCAGATGATACTACAGGATGTGACGAATCTGGACATTCGCTTTTAATAGAATTTAAGTCAATATCCATTTTTGTAGTGTCGTCAAATACATTTTCTTCTTTCACTTCCTCAATTTTAGGTTCATTTTCTAAAAATGTTTCACTTTCTTTTGATTCGTCTATTGGTTCAATTTTTATGGAGGACGGAGTATCAGTTTCATCCTCAAGCAGCTCAACCCAACTTTTCCTTCTCGAATGAGTCTCTTCCATCCTGCAACAGAACAAACATAAAACTTTACATGGCAAAACAAACGTAAAAAGAATAACAACAGAAGTACAGAGACTAAATGCATGTAGCATCAATAAGTGTTGACTATGGCACAAATTTAGTAATCTCAGATTTTCCTAAAACTTGAATAGGGAAAAGAAAAGAAGCTGTGTGGGAATCAAGATACTGAAAGTTGAGACGGAAAATAAATGCCATGTAGAAGAGGGTAAAATCTAGGATAGAACTGTGGAGGAATTCCACTAGCAGTACCAAGCGGCCAAAGTCTTGCCCAGAAAGGCTGAATAGCCACATACATATGAGACTGGTAGGGCTGCTTCTGTAACGGTAACTGCACCAGAAACTCGTTGCAAACAAAGGCAAATGAAAATATTTGCTACGAACCTAACCTTCTTGGTTGTCCTGCGAGGGGTACGTCTGTTCTCGGCGACTCCTGCTTCCAAACTAACGGCTCGCTTCTTCTTTCCGTTACTTGACCGGCGTCATCGAGAAGGGCTGCTAGAGGGAACACGAAAATAACGGTCACTATTTGCGAACTTTCTTCGTCGAATAACAACAGCCGATATCCGAGATGCACAAACCCTTTCAACAACAGAGCGCGGGAAATGGTACCCCCTGAGACTCGTTTTTCAATTGTCGAAATTTAGGTTGAGCGCCTTTTTACAGGCAGTCTGACAACCCAATATGTTTTCAATTTCCTTTTTCTTCATAGACTTTCTTGATCGAAAACGGTCTATGTACAGCGCCTTTTAGAATTGATGCAAAACTTTCACCATTTTTTGATAGGGAAGAACATTTACGCAATTTCAAACCATTAGCAGCGCATGAGATTTTGTTTTCAGTACGATGGTACTTGTACGTTGCCGCTGGGTTTGAAACTGCGCGCACCAATGTCCTCACGGTCCTCACTCCTCGATGAGTGGAGGTGTCTCACAATTGCAGTCAGCTGCACCAATTTCATCCGGTAATGTGCTTACGGGCCTTGGCAAGACGAAATAACAAAAGTGGCAGAATCTGTCTCACAAGATTTATTTATTTCTTCGTACAAAACAATCAGCACTGCCGACATAGGATTGGGGTTGCTCACAAATGACGTCATATCATGGCAGGATTGGCGGAATTACTTGAACGGAGGACAACGGCAATGGAAGAGGGGCTAAAAATAGTTTTCAATAATAGGACGACATTTATAAACAACCCTCGAAACGGGGAAGCCAAACACTAAGAAGATCAGACATGTGCGTTCTTGGTGAGTCCAACAAAGAGACACAATACAGACGTAAGAAAAAACAAAACAGATTTTGCGATCGTGCAAGGAAAAATATGAAAACCGCTTATCGTTATTTGACTGGTCCAAAGAGGGAAGTACGCTTACACGCTAACACCTGGAAGTGCGCCAGCTTGACCGCTCCACTATAAAGGGCGCACACGTGAAGGGTCGTCCACACATTCCGAAACGCTATTTCAGTTCATAGCTCTGTCCTTGTCGCCCCTTATAGACTGCCGATGAGTGCGAGAGGCAGAAGGCGTCACGTGATATGTCGTGTGGACGACCCCTAACTGGGCGCCGAGCGCCCTCACGCTCCGCTGGGCAAAAGGTCAAATGGGGCCGGCCTGAGGTAACTCAGTCCCCACTTTCCAAACCCCTTACTGGGGCTTCGCTGTCCCTCGCATTCCAAGGACTGCAAAGCCCGGAAGATTCATGGAGGACCCCCGAAGGGAAGGCCACGAACATCATTCCAGAAAACATCATCATTACTGCCCCCACGCGCCAAGTAGTCCGGCCGCGAGTTCGGCAGAAAGCCCAAATTGCTGCAGTCATTTGGAGCAACTCGATAGTCTCGATGTACCGATGGACGATGGCCGCGGAAGATATAATCGTCACAGGGTTCTATCCAGCCGGTCGGAAATCGATTTGGCCGGAAGATAGTTTCATTTCGAAATCTGCGAATGTGCCCTCCGAGTGGGTCATCGTTGGAGTGCGGCTGAGTGCGGCTGATTGCGGTGGAGGCCGTTCCAGTGTACAGTGCGGTGCAGTGCACCAAGCACAGACTTGCCCGGACGGAAATAGAAGGCCGCGGCCAATCTGACGCCTGACTGGCGACGCACAATCGCCTCGCGTAGTCTCCCTCTCTCTCTCCAATCTCCTCAGTCCCTGCTGAGTCCGCGGGAAGGCAGACCGCCAATCGCAGTCACTGATGGCCCGAAACTAGCCACTTGGAAACACGCGTGGGGCGAGAGAGAGAGACAGAGAGAGAGGCAGGGTGTGAACCGGCACTCTTGATCGATTCCCGCGTGCATCATCCCGCAGGGGCCGTCCGTGAGCGACCTGCACACTGGCTTCGAAGGGTCGCCCCGCCGTTCTGTCCCTCTCGCACTCACGGGCCGTCCCGCAGGGCCCCGCTGGGCCCCGTGGGGGTGCGAGAGAGACAGAGCGACGCAACGGTGCCTCGGAAGCGCTCGGCCGGACACCGCGGCGGTGGTCGATGGCGGGCGCACGTGGAGAACGCGAACGCGGCCCGGGCAGCGCGGCGGTACGCGGCGGCAGCCGTCGCCGCTACCCCAGGCTACTCCAGGCCGAAGCCCTCCGCGTACTGCACAGCGATGCTGAGCTTGGCGCGCAGCGCGTCCTTGGTGGGGTACTCGGGCAGCATGAGCTGGTTGAAGCAGGTGTGCGCCTGCGGCAGCATCTGCGGCGGCACCAGCGCGCGCGACACCTTGAACGTCATCATGACGGCGCCGCCCACCGGGATGCGGTCGCTGCCCGTCGTGAAGAGCAGGAAGCGCTTGCGCATGTCCTCGGAGAACTCCTCCAGCACGCTCCACATGTTGCTGCAGGCAAAGCCAACTCGCTGCAGCCAACAGTGTCGGCGCGGGCCTGCCGACTGATGGCGAGAGCCGTTTTCGTCGCTCCGTCCCACTCATGGAGGTGCGAGAGAGACAGAGCGACGAAAACGGTTATCGAAATCAGTCCGACGGCCCAGCGAAACCAATACTCGCACTGGTCGGTGTTCGTACATGATGACGGGTGAGTTGGGCAGGTAGCCGTCGTACTCCGTCACTTTCCGCAATTCCTCCAGCACGAACTGCGGGCAGCCGCACACCAGCATCTCGACCTCCTCGGGCCGCAGCATCTGCGCAGAAGTGAGCGTGAACCAGCGTGAGCGTCGTGCGAGGACCGCCCCCCCCCCCTTCCCCCCTCTTTTCCGCCAGGACTCACGATGAGGGCGTTGGACGCGCACACGGAGTGGAAGCCGAGGTAGAAGGAGCGGAACTCGTTGTAGACGGCCGTGTTGAGCATCCAGTCGAGGTACAGGCGCACGTACTCCTTGCGGTTCGTGTTGGTGACGGGGATCTCCTCGCCGCCCTGCTTGAGCGGGAACGTCTTGACGGCGCCGAACTCCTCGATGGAGGCCTGGAAGAGCGGCGCGCGATTAAACGGCCGGAATAGAGAGACTGGGAAAAGGCACGCCGCCTACCTGGAAGGTGAGGCACATGTCCTGCTCCACGTCGCCCTGGTAGGCGAGCAGCTCGCGAAGGCCGCGCGCCACCTCGGGCATGATCTGCGCCAGGTCGTCGAGGCTGGGGTTGCGCACCACGCCGAGGTGCATGTCCCCGTGAGGCACGACGGGCGGCGAGAGCAGCTTCTGGTAGCAGACGGAGGGGAAGCGGAGGTCCAGGATGTTGGAGTTGTACACGGCCAGCCCCATGAGCACGCCGATCAGGTTGTACTGCTGCAGGCTCTCCTCCTCCTCCGCCACCGCCACCCTGTCCACGGCCGCGTCCACGTCGGCCTCGCCGTCGACGGGGGACGGTGGCGCGGTGGTGGACCTGGACGCCGAGTCAGTCACGCTCCAGGTACGCGCCGTGCTGGGGATCCTGGCGGACGCACAGAACAGACTCGTTGAGCCCCGCAGTCGCTACACCACGGTGACACCACGGTGGCAAGCTGAGAGTCCGGGACACGCACCGAAACCAGTAGCAGCGGGAGTGCGGGTGGTACACGAACATGCCCTTATCCGGGTCGAAGATCTCCCGCACCAGGAGCTGGAACCACTCCTTGGTCAACCCGCCCATATCCAGGCCGGGCTCGCCCGCGAACGTCAGTCGCAGTTTCTTCTTTAGTTCTTTCCGCTCCGAGGCTCTCTGGATCTGCAAACACGACGGACGTGAAAGTGATCGACCATCCTGAACGCAACGCCCCCGAGCTTGCGCGGCCCTACCTCCTTGAGAGAGTCCTCGACGAGGTGGCTGCGCCGGACGGTCATGTTGAGGAAGAAGATGTCGACCTGCGACATGTGCTGGCGCGACGTCTTGGTCTCGAGACTCCGGCGCGCGTTGATCATCTGCTGCTGCTCCGAGTCCTGAGGACGACAAGAACCGCACCGTCATCCCTCCGTGCGCCATGGGGAGCCGACGCCGCGGGCCGCGGGCCGCCCGGCGCCAGAGCCTCGTAGCGCCCGCGAACGGCCGGATAGGCCAGCCCGCGCGACAGCCGCGCGCGCCCCGCAGCCGGCGGCCTACCTCGCAGGCGCTCTTGCCAGGTAAAGGACCAGCGTGCCGATACCGATTCCGAGAAGCGCTTCTGTCTCCCTCGCACTCGTGGGGCGTCTCGTAGGGGTGCGAGAGAGACAGAGCGACGACACAGACCTTGGTGAGGATGAGGCGCTTGGCGTTGATGCTGAGGATGAACGGGTACTGGCAGTAGGAGAAGTGGTTGGACGTGGGCGAGGGGTCCTGCCACTTGAAGTAGTCGTTGGCCAGGTCGATGTGGTCCAGCGCCTCGTTGTAGAGCTCGGAGAAGTGCAGCAGCGGCGGGCGGCAGCTGTTGTTGGCGGCGTCTGCGGGCAGGCCGGCCCTCAGGGTTAGGTTGACGTCACCGGCTTCTGGCCCACTGTACGTCCCCCGGCGGCACAGCCGAGGCACAGCCAAAGGCACGACAAGAGGCTTACTGATGAAGGCGAGCATCCTGGCGGCCGTGGGGATCCACCAGCGCATCTTGTTGGGCTCGGGCAGGGTGTGGTTGGGGTCGGCCGTGGGGAACTGGCGCACGGACAGGAACAGCATCACGTTGCGCACCAGGGCGCGGAGCCGCGGCACCTCCAGGCTGGAACCAACAACAGCAATGCAGGACAGCCGCCTTGGGGTACACAGCCACAGTCGTTCTCACGGCGCGGCCTACATTTTGAGCCAGTGCACCAGCATCTGGTGGTCGCTGGCGGGCAGGTGCACCACGCGGCGCAGGAGCTGCGCGTAGATGACGCACGAGGACTGGTCACAGAACAGGGGGTTCTGGACCAGCATGAAGAGCGCCCGCACCTGGTCCTTGCGGCGCAGGCTGCAACCGAGTGTTCGGGAAACATGATTCCGACCCCTCGACTATTTTGAGCGATCGGCTCAAAATAAAGCGAAACTAGGAAAAGCAAATACCCAAGGGCGTACATGATGTTCTCTTGGCAGATGGCGTTGATCATCGACTTGAGCACGGACTTGTGGACGTTGGTGGGCTGCGTGCACACAGACAGTAAGGCAGTCAGACACCGGCCAATCCAATGCATCGTGAATGCCTGCCGCCTCGGCGCCTCGGCCGCGTGGGATCGCCACCAAGCCTGGGCCTCGCCACCTCCCTCCACCTCCCCCCACACTGTGAATCATGAATGGGCTTTGCAGTGTACTCACCACTTCCTTGAGGGCATCGTGGACGGCGTACAGGAAGTCCATCTTGAGGTCCGGGTCCACCAGGCGGGCCCCATCCTGGTTCGGGTTCTCCTGCCAAACGCATTTGAACTTTAAAATCGGCTTGCCTGACAGGCTTTGGCGCCAGGCTTTGACCGCAGGCGTTGACCCACATATTCGGCGCTACACTGTTAGAAACGCGCTGGCTGACCGGATGATCGATTGGCGAAGTCGTTCCCTTTTTCGCAGTCAGGCCGTCCGAACCGTCCCGCCGCGCGGTCGATTCGCGTCCACGTCGCGCTCTGCCGGACTTTGATTGCGGGCCCGGGCCAAGCCGCGGACAAGCGCGGGGGCGGGCGCACCGTCAATCAAGCCGTCTTTGAGGACCTCCCCGCCGAGCACCTCCCCGTCGAGCACTCCCCGTCGAACACCTTCCCGTCGAACACCGCCCAGTCGAGCACCTCCTCGTCGAGCACCTCCCCGCCGAACACCTACCCCAGTGGTTCTCAATCTTAGGGTCACGACCCCAAGGGGTCGCGGCGAGGTAGCTGGGGTCGTGTTTTGGGCCGATTTTAAGCAGCCACTGCGTCTGATCCGAGGCGGGCATTTTTCTCCCTCAACGGGCAATTGGTCTTTGAACCTTCCTTTAGCATGCCTTTGTTACGGAGTGCAATTATCAGTCTTAGTTTGGGAGTAGTATTGTCTCAAAGTTGGCCGAAACGCTCAGAAATGTCTTTGAAAAATCGTGTTTTGGGCCGATTTTAAGCAGCCACTGCGTCTGATCCGAGGCGGGCATTTTCTCCCTCAACGGGCAATTGGTCTTTGAACCTTCCTTTAGCATGCCTTTGTTACGGAGTGCAATTATCAGTCTTAGTTTGGGAGTAGTATTGTCTCAAAGTTGGCCGAAACGCTCAGAAATGTCTTTGAAAAATCGTGTTTTGGGCCGATTTTAAGCAGCCACTGCGTCTGATCCGAGGCGGGCTTTTTGCTCCCTCAACGGGCAATTGGTCTTTGGACCTTCCTTTAGCATGCCTTTGTTACGGAGTGGAATTATCAGTCTTAGTTTGGGAGCAGTATTGTCTCAAAGTTGGCCGAAACGCTCAGAAATGTCTTTGAAAAATCGTGTTTTGGGCCGATTTTAAGCAGCCACTGCGTCTGATCCGAGGCGGGCTTTTTGCTCCCTCAACGGGCAATTGGTCTCTGGACCTCCTTTTAGCATGCCTTGTTACGGAGTGCAATTATCAGTCTTAGTTTGGGAGCAGCATTGTCTCAAAGTTGGCCAAACAGTCACGATTTTTCAAAGACATTTCGACGTTTTGGCCAGACTTTGAGCCAATACTGCTCCCAAACTAAGACTGATAATCGCACTCCGTAACAGAGGCATTCTAAAGGAAGGTCCAAAGCCCAAATTGCCCGTTGAGGAAGCAAAAAGCCCGCCTCGGATCAGACGCAGTTGCTGCTTAAATCGGCCCAAAACACGATTTTTCAAAGACATTTCTGAGCGTTTCGGCCAACTTTGAGCCAATACTGCTCCCAAACTAAGACTGATAATCGCACTCCGTAACAGAGGCATTCTAAAGGAAGGTCCAAAGACCAATTGCCCGTTGAGGAAGCAAAAAGCCCGCCTCGGATCAGACGCAGTTGCTGCTTAATATCGGCCCAAAACACGATTTTTCAAAGACATTTCTGAGCGTTTCGGCCAACTTTGAGCCAATACTGCTCCCAAACTAAGACTGATAATCGCACTCCGTAACAAAGACATGCTAAAGGAAGGTTCAAAGACCAATTGCCCGTTGAGGGAGAAAAAAGCCCGCCTCGAATCAGACGCAGTGGCTGCTTAAAATCGGCCCAAAACACGATTTTTCAAAGACATTTCTGAGCGTTTCGGCCAACTTTGAGCCAATACTGCTCCCAAACTAAGACTGATAATCGCACTCCGTAACAAAGGCATGCTAAAGGAAGGTCCAAAGACCAATTGCCCGTTGAGGGAGAAAAAAGCCCGCCTCGAATCAGACGCAGTGGCTGCTTAAAATCGGCCCAAAACACGATTTTTCAAAGACATTTCCGAGCGTTTCGGCCAACTTTGAGCCAATACTGCCCCCAAACTAAGACTGATAATCGCACTCCGTAACAGAGGCTTGCTAAAGGAAGGTCCAAAGACCAATTGCCCGTTGAGGGAGAAAAAAGCCCGCCTCGAATCAGACGCAGTGGCTGCTTAAAATCGGCCCAAAACACGATTTTTCAAAGACATTTCTGAGCGTTTCGGCCAACTTTGAGCCAATACTGCCCCCAAACTAAGACTGATAATGGCACTCCGTAACAGAGGCTTGCTAAAGGAAGGTCCAAAGACCAATTGCCCGTTGAGGGAGAAAATTGCCCGCCTCAGATCAGACGCAGTGGCATGCTAAAGGAGGGGTCCCGTGGGGTCGCGAAATTTTTCCTGGGGGTCGCGGAAATTTTTGGCTACAAATTTTGGGTCGCGAGCCGAGAAAGGTTGAGAACCGCTGACCTACCCGCCGAGCACCTCCCCGCGATACCACCCAAGCACCCGCTCACCTTAAAGAGCGCGCACAGCTCCACGTACGAGTCGAAGGTCCGCATGTAGAAGCGCTGCACGTCGGCGAAGTCCAGGGTCTGCGTGGCGCGCCGCACGTCCAGCCTGCAGCAACGCGCCAATGCAGCACAGCCCCGCATTCAGTTTCCCAGTGGCGGCCACGCACTTATCTCACGGGGCCATCCCGGAGGAGTAATGGTAATCGAACCACCTCCTCCCCCTCCCAAGCCGCAAATTGCTGACACACGCGCACGCACGTGGTGTCCTCTATCGCCCCCGAATTTTCTCGTAGCGTCCGCCGAGCCGCGGGGCGTTGCGGGGCGCCGCGGGCCTGCCCCCGCGCTTCGATCGCGCTGTTCGATACTCGACGGCGGCACGGCGGCACGGCGCCATGAGAGAGGGCTCGGCGCTTGGCGCCCGGGGCACGCAGCAGCAGCACGCCGCGTGTGGCTGTGCCCGCTGTGCCGCCAGTGTGGGCGCTGGCCGCGCTGCCGGTCGTGGCACCGGTCTTACCGCGGCGCGCACGCCAGACACCTGTTGGGGCGCGGAGTACAATCGATGGCAGCGCAAAGCGCAACGCGCTGGACGTCATCAAGCTCACCGCGCGCAATGCGGCGCAATGGGCCTCATTCGGCCGAGTAACGCAGTGTAGCGCAGTGTAACGGCACACTGTAGCGAGCGATTCACCACAGTCGCTTCGTCGCTCTGTCTCTCTCGCACCCTTACGACAGGCCCCACGAGTGCGACGGAGACAGAGCGACGGCGGAATGACTCTGCTGGTGTGGCGACACGGCGACACTCACAGGAACTCTTCGCGGGTCTTGCTGCGGTACGGGTAGGCGGGCATGGCGGTGCGCGGCCGGTCGGGGCCGCCCTGCATGTACAGGCACTCGGCGCTGATGGCGCCCCGCAGCTGCTCGCTGCCCTGCGAGGTGGCCAGCGTGCTGCACGCGTCCTGCGGCAGGCACAGCGCAACTCAGCGACCGTCTCTCTCGCACCAGTGGGGCGTCCCGCACCGGCGCGAGAGAGACGGAGGCTCACCCCTCCGATGGGCGGCAGCGACGTCTCGGAGCCCGGCCTGCTGATGAGGTCCCCGGGGAACACCTCCGTCCGGCCCAGGAAGTTGTGCCGGCCGATGGAGTTGTTGAGGAAGGTGCAGTCCACGTCCTGCCCGAGGGAGACAAAGACAAAGTCAGTGTCCGGAATGGCCTCGGCAGTCCACGGCGGACCACTGTGGGCCAGAAGACCGGCGGAGGCGGCCAAAACTACGGACGCGTTTTGAGCTCCAGAGTCGCTGAGCAGGACGCGAACCGAACGTGTGACCCCATCAATGGATTCCTCGTCCGAAGAGCAATCCATTGGTGGGGTCACACGTTCGGTTCGAGTCCCATTTAGCGACTCTGGAGCTCAAAACGCGTCGGGAGTTTCGGCCGCCTCCACCGGTCTTCTGGCCCACTGTGAGGTGGAGCCTTACGATGGCGGGCAGCTGCACCACGCCCACGCCGGCGACGACGCCCTGGCAGGGCTGGCCGGGCTGGCCGGGGATGCTGGGGTCGCTGCCGGAGCGCTGCTTCCTCGCGCGCCGGTGGCGCCGCGTCCGCAGCCGCAGCGTGGGCCGCACGGGCCGGTCGGGGCACGGGTCGTCGCACAGGCGCAGGCGGTGGCCGCACAGCGGGCACCTGCAACGCGGTGTTCAGTCCATGTGGGGAGGGAGCAGCAGTCAGTAGTGCAATTTGGTGATTGCGTGTGTTGTAGGAGCTAGGAGTCAAACGGGAGGCGAGCGTATGCCGCGTGTCCGCTTTAGTCGAGGAGACTGAGGCTGAGCCTTGTCCTCCCGCTCCCCTCCAAATGGACGGGAGCGGGTTATCGGCCGTCGCTCGACTACAGCGCCGGCTGGGTGCGGCCCTTCCATTCACACGACCAGCGAGCGTGACAGAGACGAGACATGCCCTCAGCCTCGCTGCATCGGCATTGCCCCACAAGTGCGCAAGGAAGATAGAGCGACGGGAAGCGTCTGCAGGTGCGGACTGACGGTTCGCTGGCTGTACCTGCGCGGATGGCTGTCCCGCACCCGGTGCACGGTGGCCAGGCAGGCCGCGCACTGCACCAGGTTGGGGTCGGCGTGCTCGCCCGGGTCCGAGTCATCGTCGTCGTCGGACACGTGCGCCCGGAGCCGGGACAGCTGCACGGACAGCAGCCTCTGGAACAGCATGGAGGGCCATGGAGGTTGGTTAGACACCAGCATTCTGCCTCTCTCGCACTCATGGGGCGTCCCGAAGGGTGCGCGAGAGACAGAGCGGCAGAAGCGCTGTTCGGAATGGAGCCGTAGCGTCCGCGTCCTGGAGGCGACGACGCCCTGCTCACCTCGTCGATGTCCTCCGGGTCGCGCTCCTCCTCCGGGCTGGCCAGGAAGGTGCTGCGGAAGCGCTGCCACACCCACGCCATGACGGGCCGGCTGCTCATCGCATGCGATGGATGCGATGCAGGGTCCGGCAGGGACTCGGAGGACGGCCGGCGCCACGCCTCGGCGGCCACCGTGGCTGCCACGGCACGGCGCGGCGGCACGGCGCGACCGACCGCCAGCCGGAACTGCTCCGCTATTTTAGAGCACGTCCGCGGATCGGGTCGGATCGAAGCGACGGCCGCGCTGGCCGAAGGGCCGTGGGCGCCGTGCGTGCCCGGCACTTAGGCGGGGCTGGTCGTGACGCCCTTCCACATGCGTCACGGACACGTCACCTCGGCGGCGCGGACGGGGGCGGCGCGGACGGCGGGGGCGGCGCGAACGCCAGCGGGGCGGAGGCAGAGGCGCCGTCGGAGAGGCACCTCCATAACGGGGGAGGCGTATGGCGCTTGTGGTTGCTTCAATAATCAAGGGGCCGCGACCGCGAATTAAGCGATGTCAGGACCGGAGTCGCAGATCGCGGGGGTTGGCCCTGCCCGCCGGAAGTCGACACGATCCAGGGCGGTGCCGGCGGCCTGCCTACGGCCTGCCCGCGAAGTGATCGGGCGGCGTCCCGTCGGCGAGCTGCACGTGCAGGGGGTGCATGGGGGCGTGCGTGACGGACCAGGTCACGGACCAGGCCAGGCGGACGAGGGCGTCGGGCGACTGCGACCCGCGTGCCTCGGAGCCTCAGCGGCCACTGAGAGCCGCCACCACCGCGGGCCGGCCCGCTGCCCCTGCCCGCCCTGCCCGCCGCGGACAGCGTGGACGTGTCCTGCCGCGGCCACCTGGGCCACCCTGCTTCCGAGAGCCGCCTTCGTCGCTCCGTCTCTCTCGCACCCATACGGGACGCCCCGCGAGCGCGAGAGAGACGGAGCGACGAAAACGACTCTCGGAATCAGTCTGCTGGCCGCGTGGAAGCCATTACAGCCGTCCATAGAGCGCGCCCCATCGGCCCCACCGGGCCCCACCCCCAAACTACCGCCAGCACCGCCAGCACCGCTAGGGTCGAATGAAAGCCCAACTCAAAGACGCGAGGGGAAAAGGGGGGGGGGGTGAATTTCGATAGCGCGATGTCCGTCAGCATGACCTCGGAGGCGAGAGGGCACTGCCGCCCTGCCGCCCTGCCGCGGTGCGTGTACAAGTCTGACTCGAACAAGTGCGTTCGTCATCGCTCTAGCCCTTCTTTCTCCCCAAGAGTCAGGATCTTAAAGACCACTGCAGAGAGAGAGAGAGAGAGAGAGAGAGAGAGAGAGAGAGAGAGAGAGAGAGAGAGCGACAAGCTGGTCGGCAATGCCATTACTGTATTCGCTTTGCTTTGCTGTTGGCTGAAAGGGACGGCAAAGAAATGAGCCTCGGACGCCTCGGGCGGGAGGGCGTGCCCTGCGTGCCCTCGAATCGCCCCTCGGTCGACGTCTGGCCACAAGCCGCGCCAACAGCCAACGTGCTTATGACGAATCCCACCGCAAGACTGCGAACGATGAATGAAATGCGTCGTGAATGGAGTACGGAATGGCATGCATGGAGATGGAGTGGAGTCATACGTGACAAGTGGCAGCTGCTCCTGCGCCCCCCCCCCCCCCCCCCCCCCCTCGAATCGCCCCCTCGGTCGACGTCTGGCCACAAGCCGCGCCAACAGCCAACGTGCTTATGACGAATCCCACCGCAAGACTGCGAACGATGAATGAAATGCATCGTGAATGGAGTACGGAATGGCATGCATGGAGATGGAGTGGAGTCGTCATACGTGACAAGTGGCAGCTGCCCCCCCCCCCCCCCCCCCCCCTCGTTTCCCCTCGCCTCCCGCGGACCGCGGGGCCCCGCCCCGCCCCGTCCTGCCCCTGCCCCTACCCCTCCCCTCCCCCTTCCCACTCGAGTCGACTCACATCACAACAACTTCCTTCGAGTCGCCGCTCGCCTCGCCGCCGCGCCGCAGAGGGCCGCCGCTGCCGCAGTTCTATCGATAATTACCCCACCATCCGCCATGCCCCTGGACTTTTGATGCTGCAGCTGAAGCAGGAGCCGAGTGCCACGAAGTACGGTCCGGGCCCTCCCCCTCCTGTGTCCTGCGCTTAAGGGTAGCAGACGACGTGCGAGGTTAGGGGCGGTTCTATCCTTGTTCTAGAGGTGGATGCTTGAATGAATGAATGAGTGTGTCTGTGTGTGTGTGTGTGTTTGTATGCGCGCGCGATTGGAAGTACTGTACGGACTCAATTGAGCCAATTTTTTTCAGGGCATGGTAGAATTGCCTGAACCTTTTGCCTATTGTGTGCTCACGCAGTGCAACTGAATAGTGCCCCCATTGATTTCAAAGACGGGTGCTCTTAAGATCAAGATGAACTTAGTTTGAAAATGCCGTTATTTTAATGTTGTCTGTGACATTTTCTTCCGAGTCGCTTCAAGCTTTATGCAGTTCTTTCATTTTTAACCCTGTTTCAAGGGACAAGACAAAACTCATTTCATTTGTATTTTTAACTTTTCTTTTATTCAGATTCATTATGAAGGCTTCCCTTGTTTTAACTTTGACAATGGTCTTCCTTTTGGGAAGACCATTTCTTGGGAAAGCTGAGGTATATACAGCTCTGGTGGATATGGAAGGACTACTAGAAACAGAAAGAGTTCTGGCACAGACCCTATCAACGCTAATTAAGGCGCAGGAGGAAACACTAAACAAACTCAAGAGGTACTTTCCCTGGATTTTCACCTTAAAAGACATGTTTATTTTTCATTTTGTTCTTCAGTTTCAATTTTGTGGAATATGTGTTCATAGGTTTCAAGCAGACTTGGCTCGAGAACATGAAAAGGCCAGTCAAGATGTTCAGACATATCTGTCGAACCCTATCAATGCATACACTTTAGTCAAACACTTGACAACTGATTGGAAAGGCATAGAAAATCTTCTAGCAGACAACAAAATGAAAGGTTTGGAGCAGTTTTTGTGTCACAGAGAAGAACAAAATAGTAGACTGCAAAACTGAAATACAGGATTTTATACTTTTATTTCAGAGTTCTACAGTAATGTCACTAATTATCACTCGGTACTGAAATTTCCAACGGATGAGGATCTTAATGGAGCAGCTGTTGCTCTGATGCGTTTGCAAGACACTTACAAACTTGACACATCAGCAGTGGCACGAGGGCTTATAAATGGCATTCAGTACAGCACTGCACTGACTGGTAAGTATTGTGGTTACACCAACCATTGTGTTTTTCTGATCTCATGACATTTGTGCATTTTTGCAGCTGGGGATTGCTTTGAGTTGGGCCGCCAGTCCTACAATAACAAAGACTTTTACCATACTGTTCAATGGATGACAGAAGCTCTTCAACGGTTTAATGAGGAAGCCAATAAGACAATCACTAAAGCAGATATTCTTGAATATTTGGCATTCTCCACATACATGGAAGGTTGGAATTTCAATATTTTGTATTCTTTAATTTGACTCTTTATTTGTATTGGTGAATGTGTAGGCTGAATTTATTTATTTCAGGCAATGTACATTCTGCACTTGAGATGACCGATGAACTTCTTACGCTGGTACCGAATCACAGCCGTGCTATTGGCAACAGAGTGTATTACCTTCAGGATATTTCTCAAAAAGACCTCCAAAGAAAAAGAGGAGAGGATGGACAGCTGGATACTAGTCCACATGCCCAAGTATGAACGCTCCAAATTCTGTAATGAGACTCTTTAAATCACATAACTCTTCATTTTTGGTCAGTTTTAATTGTGGGATATATTTGCAGCCTCTTACATTCAGTGAGAAGAAATTGGGCGATGTAGATGAACTACCAGAAAGGGAACTATATGAACGTCTCTGCAGAGGTGAAGTGAAGATGTCTCCTGCTAAAGAGGCAAAACTGAAGTGCCGCTATGTTCACCACAACAATCCTTTTCTTTTCTTGGCACGTCTTAAAGAGGAAGAGGCCTTTTTAAGCCCACGAATCCTTTTGTATCACAATATCCTTGCAGATAGTGAAATTGAAACAATTAAGCGTCTGGCACAACCAAGGGTAAGTAAGAAACGTGACATCAATGATGTGGCCAAAAGATATTCAAACATATTTATTAGAAATAAACATTATTTAACAGTTTCTCTTATGAAAACAGCTTAAGCGAGCCACCGTTCAAAACTACAAGACTGGTGAATTGGAAACAGCATCATACCGCATCAGTAAATCTGCTTGGCTTCGTGAAGAGGAGCATCCCCATATTGCTGCAGTTGTTAAACGTGTTGAGGACTTGAGTGGTCTAACTTGTGACACTGCAGAAGAACTACAAGTAGTCAACTATGGTATTGGTGGCCACTATGAGCCTCATTTCGATTTTGCAAGAGTAAGCATTTCAATTGTTTATTTTTTTGGTTTTGTTTGGGAGATACTTACTAGCATAAATAACAATCAAAAGGACAGACCGATTGGAGGTTTAATTTGTTGTGTGTTCATGCAGCGTGGTGAACAGAATGCCTTTAAATCACTGGGGACAGGCAACAGAATTGCAACAACTTTATTTTATGTGAGTACTGTTTCATTGTAATATATTCAAATTAGAAGCCTTAAACTACCCAAGGCACTGATGAAAAAAACAACAACAAATAACCAAATATTATCATTTTTGTTTCCAGATGAGTGATGTCCCACAAGGAGGTGCTACAGTGTTCCCTCATTTAAGGGCTGCATTGTACCCCACAAAAGGAACTGCAGCCTTCTGGTTCAATCTGCACCGAAATGGAGAGGGTGATTACAGAACACGGCATGCTGCTTGTCCTGTGCTGACAGGATCAAAATGGGGTAAGTTTGTTTGTTCTGTTTATGACATTTTTATGCCACTAATGGAATTGAAGTGATAGAAAATTTTTATTGGCCTCAGTTTCCAACAAGTGGCTCCATGAACGAGGACAAGAGTTCAAACGTAGATGTGGACTGACTGAGCATGAAGACTGAAATCATGTAACAAAGGAAGAACAATGTGGTTCAGGCAGCTAGCTGTCTGTGAGGAAATGTCAGAAAATAATCGTAAAGAGAAAAGCATAATTTTGCCTGTTTTTCTTTTAGCACCTTAAACTAATGATCCCAAGTTTGGAGGAAATATTATAGGCTATTAATCTGTGCCATTTACAAGATATGCTGTCTGTTATTTTATTTTATAATTGAAAAAGAATGATGTGAAACAATGATTTTTTGTGTTAATGTAGAATAAATTTTCTACTTTGTGACATTGTTGCAGCTATTGTTCTCAATAGCTCTCCTTTAGTATGGATGTGTTCAGATAAGAGTGTGTCAAGTGTCTTTTTAAGTTCCTTCATCTTAAGTTCCTCGTTTTTAGCATGCCGCTAATTGGTCAGCAGCAAGCACACCTGATTAGTGCTCTATTCAATTCTAGAATTTAAGAAATTGCCAAAAATTTTGAGTCCTTTTTATGTTAAGTTACCTTTATCAATAAGGATTAATTATATTTGCACTGAATGTTGTACTGTACTCTTGTAATACTATATACTGTACTCCTGACCTCCAGGGAAAAAGCATCAATTGATGTGTTAGATCTGGGTTAGGACTTAAGATCAATCATGTAATCCCATGGTTTTACAAAGATATATTTATTCACAAAAAAGGGGGGGGGAACTTTTGTAACAAACAACAGTATGCATACAATAATTTACAACATAAAGAAATAATAAATTGACGTTTATGACTAACTTTGCCTTTTTGGTACAAGCCTCTAGGTGTTGAGCAGTTGTACTATTGCAAACACCTAATCCCTATCTGAAGAACTAAATGAACAAAGCTTTAAATTAACACATATGACTAAGTTGGTTACACAACCAAAAATAGTCAAAGCGTTAAACTCCATTTGAATGCAGGCGCTAACAGTGAGAATATCTATCAAACAGACCCTTTTTAACTACAACTCATATGTATATAAATATATCTATATATATCATACCACTTCACATAAAAAATTTGAAGCAGATAACACAAGTAAACCTGTAACCATTCTACAGATTTCCATCCTACAGAGTTATGTTTAAGTATGTCAAAGTCTCAGATATTAAGTCCATCTAGAACTAAAAGCAAAATAATTATAGAAAACAAAACAAAAACTCAAGAGAGCTTTTTCTCAAGTTCTCTATGAAGGGAACACTTAATCAGCAACACTCATCCACTTCCTTCCCGCACTGTTATTTATTTTTCAAGCAAAATGGAATACTACTGAATCATGCATGACATCAGAGTTCAGATCACTCACTAACTGGTTTCGCATCCAACACTGGGAGGACAATGGGTATCTTACAAATCTTGAGAGGTGGTGCATCTATATAGTCGGAATAATTGTCCAAAATTATTCAGAGAAATAATACTTTCTGTACAAGGAAACAAAAAAGGACCTTCATACAGGTGGAATGGCAAGAGAAAATGACATCACAGAAATGTAGAACAAGTAGTTACAACAAATATGTCCTCTCCGATTCTTGAAATTTAATGAAGAAGGATGCAAGTCAGGATTCGATTAAGTAATACCTTCTTGAAGTCAAATCAATCATTACCTAGGGCCATCAAATTAAATCTCATGCTAGGGATATTGCATGATAAACGAAACAAAACCAATATCACCCAGATCTTCACTATAAATTTCTGTGTAGAACTAGAAAAAAAAAGAAGAACAACAAAAGAAACATGAAAAATAAATAAGTATGTAACAAAATAATGTACAAGGAAATCTAGAATTAAGTCTCTTATAAAAAATAAATTGATACCATGAGTGCAAAGTTGAGGTTGTAAGCAATCATTTATCACGATAGTGCAACAAAATTGTAACCCTTGATTGTAACATGGCTCTCATTTTGCACTAAACACTTAAAAAGGTGAAGATGACATGTGACAAGAATCTCAGAAAGAATATTAACATAAAGTCCATTAGAGCTTTTTTCCAGGGTACCTAAAGTCTCTTAAATACTAAAGAACATTTTGAGGGTACAGGTAGTACATGTGCTGCGAGAGATAGAGAGATAACACCCAGGGCGCGCCGTGCCTTAATTTTCATTATTCCAGCACCCTTCTTAGCACATTCTCTGCAACCTCATATGTATTCTCATTTTCATACCTTTTGAAATATATCAGCTTGAAAATCAAAGCACACATAAACAAAATTTCACAATGCTCTTTGCTTTCTTTCTGCCCCAGATTCATTTAGACAAGCTTATAAAGCTAGAAATACTGTACAAGCTTCTAACAGAGAATTCCAAATAGGATGTGCCATTTTCCTCAATGCATCAGGTAACAAATTCACTATTCATCACAGTAAAATAGCTCACAGAATGGTCCAGACATCAATATTTTTTAATAAAAGTGCAAGGTTACTATAAATCAGTCAAGTCTTTAAAACTATTTTTTTTTTTAAATATGATGTCTTTCATACTTTCTTTGATAATACCAGCTGCCTAATTAAATCCAATATAAATTCATCTCAAGAAAAAGGGTTACTTCTTCTCTTTAAAGATCCTTTTCTTTCCATATCTACTGTCCGAGATGAGTCATTGCGCAGCACCTCAAATTTATTAATATCTGCAGAAGGCTCAGCAGGATCGTCACTGGAGAAATCTTCAAAGCTCATGTTTTGAAAACCTCCAACTTTCTCAGACTTTTTGCTAGACTTTGTCTTTTTACTTGAAGATGGAGTAGCTATCTTTGTTTTAAGAACATGTTTGACAGGCAGAATATTAGCTTTCCCAGGTGCCCTAGTGCCATCTATTAAATGATACTTTCCATCTTTATCATACCACTCCTTTTTCAATGCAGCTGAAGTTTCAGAATTTGCTTCAGGATGACTTGGTAATACTGAGACGGTTTGATACAGGGAGTTTGAAGAGGTAGCATGCCAGGGTTGCTTCAGCTCTTGAGAATTTTGACTAAGGTTCAACGAGCTGGGACAACTTGATTGAGAAGGCATTTTAACTTCACATGTAAATGGTGTAGATCCAAATAAATCTGCTCTTTCTGGTTTACCCTCCATTTTGCTCATGCTCGGAGCCGTGTACGAGGGAGCAGGAAAGGAGCAATACTGACTATAGAAGGCACTGGCACTTGCTTGCGATGAAGCACCTCGCAGCTCAGAATCTAATGATCTGAGTTCTGGAAGTTTTCGACCACTTAAATCAGGTAAAGGTTGAACAGTGGGGGAGTGCTCTGAGATCGGTTTTTGACTACTTGACAAAGAGACACAGTTTGGTCTACTCCGAGATATGGGTTCCTTGAATGGATTCTCCACTACTGTTGAGCTTCCAAAGGGCAGTGACCCAAAAAGATCCTCTGTCTTTTCAGTTCCTTTTTGCTCCGGTCTGACATGAATAGGAGTGCTTCCTCTCAAAGGGCTGAGAGGATTGCTAACAACATGTTCAACTTGTAATTGTAACTTCTTTGAAGAGTCACGTAAATCAACCAAAGATCCCTCCGTAACAATTAAATCATCCACAGGCTCCTTTAACTTAGATGGCTGGGCTTCTCGAGAAATCATGGAGGGAAATGGAGCAAGAGCAAAGACATCCACAGCTGCTTGGTCATCCCAGCATTTTTTTGATGAAGCATTTGGTGATTCAAGCCTTGGAGATATGTTGCCGCTTGAGTATCCACCTTCTTCGGAATCCAATTCATCATCAGCTAAAAGCGGCTTTTCTCCATATTGATGGCCAACAAATAGAAGATCACTCTCAGCTTCAATGTTTGTGACAGAACTGTGTTTGTTTCTCTCTCTTTTCCTTCGACTCTGAGAAGATGCTGAGCAGTTTTCATCATGAGTAGTAGCACTGTCACACTCAGCATGATAAGCAGATGAACCACAAGTATTAATACTCTCCAACTCGTTAAAGCTGCATCGATGAGACAAACGAGATGAGGTAGTTTTCTTGCCCATGGTCCTCTCATCAGATTCTCCTTCCGATTCATATTCCTCTTTTTCTTCATCATTTAGTTTAACACGTAGATCACTTGCAGACCCAATGGAGTCATCAGAGAGATAGGCATTTGTATTACAGATCTGACGTTCCACCTTGGTAACTCGAGCTTGCAAGTGGGTTGAAGTCTTCTTATGGCTGCTGTTACTTGATAAGGATTGTCGGCGTTCCACCCGCTTTCTTGATTTATCTGCAATGGTAGAAGCAATAATTAACGCAAGAGGACAATGCGACTTAAACATGGGTTTGATAATGTTTGCATCACATGCATACCGTGTCTTTCATGGATCACACCAGAGTGTTCACTTTCATCGGAGGAATTGTCTGCATTATCGTAAGTAAGTTTTTCATACTTTGAACGATCTTCAGCAGGTGCACGAACAAATGGAGGTGAAAGGTGCAAGTTACTGGCAGCATCAGGTTTTTCAGAACAAACTCCATCTATTGTAATTTCCTTCCATTCTTTCCTGCTGGTGCGCGACTCTGCAACATAAAACCATGTTCCCGTGCAAATTTTGTGTTGGCTCAGCAGGCAAATAATTTTTGAAACACAAATGAAAATCATGTGTTGCTCATGTAAGAAAATCCTAATAAAGACAAAGATTTAATACAACACAGTGGTAAAGGCTCCCAATTCTCTTTGAGAATGGGAGATCACCATCATATTCTCCCCATGATATTTTCCAGTATAGCCTGAAATCACACAACAAAATTTAATTGAGTGAAAGGTAACTCCTAGACAGTCAATCATTTAAAAAAATGGATGAAATAGAAGAACAACTAAATAAAAGAGGAATAGAAAATCAAGTTGCCTGCTATCTGATTAAAAACACCTATAAGACATTATTGGCCAATTCTTGACCTCTCCTCTTAATGAAAGTAAATCTATTTACTTAAAGAACCCAGATGCAAGTGAGAAAAATCTAAAGGTTAAACCTTGATCCCTTTTTCCTCTGTTCGCTCTCATTTCCCTAAATCTTTGCCAACCACTTTTAAATTTAAAGACATTTTAAGTATTTCTGAGCAGAACACTATACTAACAATAGTAAAAAAAAAGATAAAGTAAAAGAAACACACACATACACACTCAGACACTTGCAGACAGAAATCAAAATAAAAAACTCAAAGATACTTGCAAAATAAAGTTTTACAAAAAGCAATACTTTTATTAAAACTCAAAAGGTTAAACAAAAGAGATACAAACTGAAAACTAGTGCAAAATGTAACAGCAACATTAATTAAATCTAACATAAAGTAGCAACTAACAGACTGAAGAGAAAAAAGAAACATTAACTCAGGATGAACATCAATCAAACAACACACGAAGTAAATAGTGCAAAAAACTTGATTTAAGTCGAATCTTTTTACCTTTGCGATTGTTTCCTAATACGTAGCAGCTGACTTAATTGACCACTCAATCTGAGTCTCTGCAAATAGAATTTTGATTCTATAGCTCTACCAACGTTTCAGTCTATTCCAGTCTATTAACCTGTGTCCAAATCTTTGACTTGCACTTTCTTTTCATGAGTCACAAACCCCATTGAGCAGCAAAATTTGTCTTTGTTTCATAAATTTTAAGACAGAATGACAGGATTATCATTTCAGAAAAAAATTATCTCTTCCCAATGAAAGCTAAGAAATTTGCAGCAGCCTCTTCATTCCTTGCAATATATTTCAGATGCCAATCTCATCCCTTTCAAAAACTCGTAAAGAGACAAAGTGCTCAGAACTTCTGACATTTCTGTAAAGCAAACTAAGTCCTATGCACACAGAAAGAAACATGCATGGTGGAAAGCTTCATGACAGAAGAGTGAATAAGAAGAAGAAACCAACACATTTAATAGATATTTGGCAATTGGTTCTTTATTACTGCCAACAAACACAGCCTTACACATGATTAACGCAAAGCCACATAACATTGAATACTTTTATTAGTTGAAAACAATCACCACAATGTGAGAGATGAGGGTTGGCTTTCATCACATAATGTATTTGTTAAAATCAACTGAACATCATCTAGGCACAAGGGATGCTAAAGAACATCCCCTTTGAAAATGATGTAACAAGCACATAAGACAGAGAGACAGGGTACAACAATGAGGTCGTTTGACAGTTGTTGGTAAAAAATAGTGCACTCTAGTATCATCATTCAAGAATATTTAAATATTAATAGCATGTGAAGGTATTGTCATAATCATGATAGAAGTTTTAATGAAGACCAACAATCAGAAGAAAATACGTTTGATCACTCTCTGAGCACATGCTTTCATGAGTGCTAAAGCGTTTTTGGTTACTTGTAAGCGTACACCATACAGTTAACATCTACTAGCACAAGTACAAGCAAACATGTCACACACACAAAAACACACACACCCACATTAGAACCTGATCACCAGTAGACTCAAAGTGTCTTTTAAGTATGTTGTGTGAAGTAAGAATAGCCAACCATCAACCAAGAACAATGGAAAGCACTAGAGAAGCAACAGTGGCTGGAAGAATACTGGCTTCAATTTTAGAAGACTTGAAAAGTAACACTGTGCAAGCATGTTCCCAACATCTAAGCATTTGATGTAAAGAAAGTGTATTAGTTCTGACAGCATTAATAATCACAACATACTAGAAGGGAGAGACTAGACAGCACCAAACATTGGATGATAAATAAGATGATATGGAAATTTCCGAGGACTTTCATAATAATGTGACTCAATCTTTTTTTTTTTTTTTAAAGGCCTGTTTATGCTGGGATTTTATGTATAGATGTAAAATGGAGTACATGCAATATTTAGCTTAGGGTTATAGCTGAAATTACACATATTTCAACAAACCAAGCTTTCATAAATTCACAACATACAAGTATTAAGCCCATTTTTTTCACTCTATTTCATTGTGTCTTGGTGTATATGAAAGTTGGCTCATCCAGTTTTGCAGTTAGAGATTATTCCATCTCCAATCAGCCCAAATTGTTAAATTCCAATTGTTTCGGTTTACCCTGTATAGCAAATATTTGGAACTGTCGGCCCACCCCCGGGAGGAAAGAAATCAGTGAAACATGTTCACAGATAGATCACCACAAACCAGAATATGAACTAGGCACCTTGTTTGTTTTAACACTGCAACAGATCAAGCACACTTCTACATGCATGCTCCTAGCACACTAGCAGTTGTAATGGCTCAAAGGAGAGTACTAGATCCAAACAAGAGGAGGTTATCTAAAGCAATTATGTAGAGACAATTGAGCCCACACTTAGATTTATTCAAGGCCATTAGAGACTAAGTTTTAAGGGGAACTGGTAAGATGTGGTGCCCAGATATGATTCATATTAAATACCTTTTTTAACAATAGAAACCACTCAAAAAAGGGGAGAGAGGGGCAGGGGGTGATGGGGTACTGATGGGGGGTACTTTCTCTTCTAGTAAAATAAATAATTTAGTATTATTGTTATAAATCCGTGTCTTCAGTATAATACTCAATATTTCCTTTAATAGTTACTTGGAAAAAAAGACATCACCTAACAACTTTCTCAGTTAACTTAACATTGACAACAGCTTGAATAGGACAAACTTTCCTTTTAACAATAGGCCCCATTACTTTTGTAACAAAAGCATGAGACCATGATAAAACGTCTAATCTTGAACTACATGATTACAAAGAGATGTAAAAGAATAAGCTTTCACATAAAATAAACAGCGAGACACACTCACCCAATCAGCACACAAGGGAAACTATTAGCCCCAGGAACCTCAGGCTAAAATAATTCTACATGAGCACTCTTACTCAAACAGGCAAGAATAGAGAGGCCAAGAGTAAGAAAATACATAACAGGAAGAAACTTTAAAATGGGTATAACCCCATTCCTAGTTAAAGGGGGAAAATTCTTTATAATCTTTTCTAATGTATCATTTTTACAATCTCTTACATTAAACTTGGTTAGCCTTAGCCTATGTTAGCCAAAGATCTTACTGAAATCTACTAACTCATAAGTGGCATAAACTAAAGAAAAATATACTTTGGTACCCAGTCATAGTTTCCTTTACACTAATTTCATTACTGGAAACCCCACAACTTAAAAGTCTGTTCATGTTTGTTGAAGAAGCCTCAATCTTCAGAACCACCACAGATTATGTTAGTTATGAGCTAAGTATTAGAACCATTCTCTTGTGATTAAATAAATATCACAAGCATAAACTGTTCTAGATGAGACCGTAATAGATTCCTAATAAAACATTCTTTTAAAAAAATAACCCAAAGCATCCCATGTTTTAGAAGACAAACACGTTGCGATTAAACGAACGAAAAAACAACTGATTTACAAATGTCCACTTACAGGGATGTTTCAAGGGGCCTATAACTAACTCTTGATAAAATCTTATTCAAAACACCTTCCATAAAAGTATAGTACAAAGACACATAATAAACAGAACTCGCATTAACTTAAAACACAATGTGATTAAATGATAAAGTAACTAAGAGCATTAAACAAATAATAATAAATTCACAGGAACAAATGTTTCACATACTGGTATATATAATAACCATGATTTTAAAAAATTAAGACATAAGAAGAATAAGCTTAATATAATTGTATTGCAAATTTATTGCAATTCAATGGAAATTGGCAAAGGCTCCAGGGTTGGATCGAGATAACCAATTAAATTGGTGGCCTTGTAACAGACTGAAGGCAGCTTCCACTGAAAAGATTCAAGCACTATACATCTGACAACTGGATCACAGATAGCACCTGACAGCACAGCCACAAGAGACTAGATTAGCACAAACTATTTGTTTGTGTACATTGAGCCAAAAGGTGAATACAAGCAGGCAAGTGGCTACTGGTGACACATTAAGAGAGGCTACAGTGGAGTGCCTTGAAACTGGTAACTTTGCTGCGATGAGGTTTCAAGTTGTCTAAGACAAACTAAGGAGAGCAGCTGGCCAATCTGTACAAGGTCACTCTGAACACGAAGACATTTATTCACTAGGAGTAAGTTAGTCTATGGATTTTAGATGCTTTCTTAATTTAAGCTTGCCTTCCAAAATTATAATGAGTAATACTATTTGGTGAGGCGCTACTTGCCAAGAGCCAAAGACCTCAGTGGAAATCACTTACATTTCAAGTCCTACCACCTATGTATGATACCAAGGGTTTGGCAAACATTTAGGGATTTCTTTCTATACGTCACATCTGAGGATATCCTTAGACCCAGAAATAACAGTTGAAACGAACTATGAAAATGTAGCACACAGCAAAATGTGTTCTCCGGTGGGGAAGGGGCAACACAGAATTTGCAGTTCATGATTTTACATAACATAATCTCTGTATTAAATTATGGTTAATCCATCCACACATAAAATGTCAGGGTTGCAAGTGATAATTTAGAGCAAACCATTTATAGTGAAGATATAGATTAAAAAAGAATAAGAAAAACATAAGAGGATTCACCAACACAACAACCAACTTTCTTAACTGTACCTAGTTTAAGCTATGTGATCAGCATAATTTTATTTTTAGTATCACACGTTGATGCCTGGCTTACTACATCAAAAATACTTACAGGGATTAAAGAAAAATAGTTTCTTTAATGTGAATGTAACAGCAGAAATATTAGAAATGTTGCCCCGCAAATACACAGCAATGAAGAAATAGAAAGTAAAGAAAAGAGGGTAAAAAAGAAGAATGGCCACAAAATAAGTTACATAAAACAATAAGGTCCCTTAAAAAGCAAACCAGTGAGACAGAAAAGGATAAGAAAGGCTTCTTTTTGTTTTCTTTTTATAAAAATGAACAACTGAAGATAATTAAGTTCCCTTAGGATTGACCAAGAGCACACACATTCACTCTCTCACACATACAGAAACACACACCCAAACACACACTCAAGTTACCGCAAGCTGAGTGCCTTAGACTGATACTTTTAGAGTGTTGGAGGGCCTCTTTATCATGTGCCCAACAAGTGAGTTCCACTGAATCAAAGCTAAGTGTATAGAGGTTCATTCTTTACCTCCGCTTGATGACTTCTTTGATGAGCTCTTCTCCTTGCAGCTGTTTTGTCTTGAGTCTGAACACAATAGAGAAAAGGGCAGCTTTTCAAAGAGAACATTTAACAAACAACAATTCAACTTTTAATACAGATATGGTGAACTCACTTGGCAAACTAAATGGAGCTGAACTAAAAGGATCCTCTGCACTGTCTGAGTATGTCATCACTAGGCTTTCACGGCTCTTCACATTTGAGATACCTGCAAAACACAACAATCACGTAAGCAAAATTATTTGCAGAACCACAACACTGAAAGAATCTCTAAACTCACTGCTTTGAGATCCCCTGCGAATTTTGTCAAATTCAGCACCAAAGAATTGATCTTCTGATAAATGCTCCGGTTTAGAAGGCTCATGGAATGGATTCCAGTCAGCAATTTCCTCTGATAAGGAATGGCCAACTCTGCTATTTCCTGGTGCATTTGACATCTTTGAAAGTTCGTTCTGCAACACAAAAATGTGACACACACATCAAGAGAGCAGAAGAAGAGTACTTGAATAGAAGACAATGAGTGGACTCTTACATGAGAGGCAGATACACCTGGTGGCTTCTGTTCAGCATTACAATTGATTGTTGCTCCCTGGGAACCAGGAAGTATAAATGTGTCTGCATTTTCAGGCGAGTTAGATTCACCTCGGGACTGAGTATGCTTGTATGGCGCCAAAAATTGACTAGTGTCATCAACAAAAACTCTGAAATGATAAGGTTCCCTCAATTTTGAAGTCCTGTTTACTCTGAAGATATTAAATTTCAAAGGTTCAAACCCACTTGTTAAAGGCCGAAGTATCACTGACATTTCTCCTATGAGATCGAGCATTTCCAGATGAAGGAGATCCAGGAGGACTTGGCATTTCAATACTTTGTGATGCCGAAGCTTCAAGTTTAACTCCTGACGGAGGGGCAAGGCCACCAGGAACTCCTGGAAATGCAGCCGCACCACCATCACCTTCGTGAAACGGGTCAGGGTATCCTACAAGTCACAAGGAACCATGATTAGATTCAGATCGGTAATTCAGGTCAGGTGGCTTTGGATACAAAAACATACCAGAAGGTGGAAAAAGCACTTCTTCTGGTCCTACGAACTCTTTGCTGCTTGATTTAGAAGCAGGCAAAGCACCAACAAGGTTGGGGCAGGGAGTGGATTGAGATGTCGGTGTTGTTGCAGGGATAGAGGCAGTACCAGGGTTCTCAACTGCTGCTGAGTGGCCAGGGGATGTTGGTGGGAAAAATACCTGGGCAGGTAAGGGTAGATGGGGACTAGGTTCTGGTGTTTTCCCAACATGCATCTCTCGATTAGATGACAATGGAGGAGGTGGCAACGGACTTAAAAATGCGGCAGCAGAGTGATCACCAGTGGCGGGAGAAGGAGAGGGAGCAGCGGGGCGTTTGGAAGAGGTTGGCGTAGGTGAAGATCGGATGGGAATTGAGAGAACGCCAGCTTTAGTGGGGCCTCCCTTTGGCCTCTGCCTTGGAGCAACACTTGTCCCTTCCACCACTGGAACAGCAGCTTGTTTTGAAACCTTGACTGGAACCTTTTTAATCTCACTTTCCATCTGGGCCAGAGGCAATTGGTCCAAAGAAGGCACAGGGACTTTCTGAAAATCGGTTGCATCAAAATATAACATATGACTGTCAACATCAAACATAACTCTGATGTAGATTATTCATCTTACATGTAAATTTGGAACTGGACAATCTTTGCCAGCTAAGGTAAAAGCTATTGTGGCTACTTGAAAAATATCTGGTCTCTTATCTTGGTCTGGCTCAAGCATGTACCCTACAAAAGAGTAAGTCAGGAATGAACAAAACTGAAATGTTGCCAAACTGAAGGCAAATGCAAAAAAGAGATACTTACGGATAAGACTATGCATACCCCTAGAATACCTCGAGTTGTCTGGGATAGAGAAATTTCCACTTTGTATGGCAAGTGTGCTTTCACCAAAAGGTAGTGAGAAATAGCATAATTTATACAACAAACAGCCCAAAGCCTACAAATGGAGAAAAATGTGAAAGAAAGAGTTAGACACTCCAGCTTTAGATCCTTTCAATTCAATAAACAGAAGTTTTGAAATGCAAGCATACCCAAATGTCAGCTTTAGTTCCTATAGATTGACCACTATATAAATCTACCATTTCAGGCGCTCTATAGGAAAGTGTTGTGTATTTGTGCAACTCCTCTTGAACAGCTGGCACACCCTGAGTTTCAGGATTTAGCACTTTGGCTGTTGCAGAACCAAAATCACATAAGACATAGTGTCCATGTTCGTTCACCAAGATGTTTTCCACCTGTGTTGACAAACAAAATTTGAAAAATGAAACAATTTAGCCAGCAAAACAACAAAAACACAGCACAAGATATTTACCTTCAAATCTCTGTGAGATATTGGAGTTTGGCAGTGGTGAAGCCTTGAAACAGCTTCTACCATATCACAAAATATCTGAAGAACCTCGGCTTCAGTAAAACCCGATTGTAACCTACGAAAAAAAAAACAAAAAAACACACACACAAAAAAAAAAAACGATAACAATCAACAAATGTATTTCTGTTATGTGGAGATGACTTAATCATGTTGTGCATTACCTTGCATTCATCATCTGCAAGACATCTGCCTTGCAGTGGGACATCAACAGTAAGACTTCATAGACACCATTGCTGGTTGGTGTAATGCTGGCATCAACATATCCTATTATGTTTTTATGACCACTGAGGTTACTCTGAAAGGAGAGGAAAAACAGCATCAAACTATTTCTGCACAGGACATTAACCTAATTAGCAATATATGAGTTAACGACTTACAGCAATTTGAATCTCTCTTTTTGCAACATTGAGATCAAAATCATTGTTGACATACATGCGTTTGAGAGCATATCGCTTGCTATTATTTCCTTTCACAAGGAAAACTACAGCAAAACCACCTGAGAGCACATAGATGGCACATGTGAAAACAACCAGAGAACAAACATGAGCCAAGACAAATAAAAGATAACTACAGTGTTTGAGTCAAACAACTCGATATAGGAGAGTCAAGACATTATCCTGCCACGATTGCTTTCACAAGTAAAGCCTAGATATATTGAAGAAGTCATGAAAGAAAGTCACCAGTCAACAGACCTGGCACCTGAATCTAGGACAAATATAATGTTGCACTCCAGCTGATTTTTACAATAAACGTAAGTACTGCCAATTCACATGAAGAGCACAACTGAGGGTTGGATAAAATAAAATTTGGTATTGAAGGTCATCAATAATAGGAAGACTGCCAAAAATTTGGACCAAAGGCCATGAAGGTTAGACCCACATAAAAAAGGAGGACGATTGACGCGAGCCCAAGCACACAGTGACAGTGGTGTGCAGTGATTACCACTTCAATGAGACTTCGCAAGGTTTGAATGAAAGCAGACTCCGAAGTCAATAGCAACGGGGCTGAAGAAGACTTCCCCCCTTCAAACTGACAACTTCCTCAACCCATGACAGTTATGACACTCACCTTCTGCTATCACTTCTTCTACAGTAACAGTCTGCCTACCGACAGTGAAAACTTTCCCAACATAATTGCTGGGCTCTTTAGAAGTCGTGTCAATTTTGGTTTCAATTCTTGAAAATAGTTTCTTCATTTTGACAGGAGTTGATGACTTTTTAGCGAACTGACAGTAAGGAAAGATGCATCGGAGTAGCGTCGACTTCTCTCAAACCTAAAGCAACGACAGAAAAGTTTAGTCCACATTTCAAGCACATACCAAGAAGAAGGACAACATCTACAAGGGACATACGTTAGTTACAGGTAAGAACAATGCTTCACATTGTTCTTGGGCCATAATAAATCGACACATAAATAGAGGCGTGAGAAATTTCACCAAGGAAAATGGCTGCCTCCCCCTTGTCGCCTTGTCGTGTCAGACAGTAGCTGGGCAGAGAATGAACCAAACGAACCCAGCACTGTACGCACGTTTAACCCCGCTTTCAGGTCCACAAATAACCCAGACAATAGATATATACAATGAAAACAAAACAATATATGGAAAGACGGGGATAGTAAACGGGGAAAAGCTGGGTGGGACGTCGCGGTCTTCCCTCCTGTCTCGTTCCCTTTCGCGCCAGAGACAGCTGTTCACGTTTTCATGTTGGTACAGTGGCACGATAAACGCAGGGAAGCTTATTTCCAGCACGCGATGAGTTGGAACGTAAACAATCAACCCATCCATCCTCCGTCCTCACGCAGCGCCGATGAATCTTCCTGTTTTCTAATTTTTGACAGAAACTACACACATTTGGCATCAGTATTCGCTGGTGAGTGGATGGGGCGGTGACTTGGTTTACTTTGTTGCCCGTGGTGCAACACAAAGTCACTTAATTTGGCAGGATACGCGGAAAAAACGATCAAGTCTTAGGGCTTCCAGTCAAGTCAGAAATAGATTTTGGTCTAAACAAAGCAGGACTCCGAGCTCTGAGGAAACTAAAGTAATGGTGATGCCCACGACTGCTTTGTTCTACGTGAAGATCATTTTGATGTTTCTCTTCTCTGACACGTTAATGTCTTGTTCATGACATGTTCCTGTTTGTGATTTTTCTCCCCCGCCTAGGGTAGTAAGTCCCAGTAAGTTCTTGTGTGTGCCCGCAACTTTGCCCTAATGGAACACCTTGTTCGTGTTTCTTTCCAGGCATTTCATGATGGGCTGCTATCTGCAGTTATGGTTCCTTTGCTTCACTCTGATGTGCGCCCTCACCAGTGCAATCCCAAAACCGGAGGAGAGCGCATTACACTTACAGAAAGTATGTATTACTCTTATCTTACCTAACACGTGAAGCCACCTTGTTTAACTCTATTGATTATTATTTGTTTTATCATCATAATATTCTTGCCCACATGTGGCAACTTTGATTGTCTAGTTTCAAATATCCATCTTTTGCTAGAGTAAGTGCTGAATAGTTTGTTGGAGGGGCTTAGTGCAGTCCATGGTTTTGCAGTCGACCTTGGTCCGTGCTTTTGGCCCTTGTTATGTAGTTAGGGTAGACTGACTGCAAGTGGTGCCTAGCAGCAGCCGGCAGCTGGGCAGTCAAGCAGGAAGGAGTGGGCTGTTGGTGAGGAGGGGGAGAACAAAGGGACGGAGTGGGGGAACTGCCCTTAGTGCCCTTACCAAGCCCTGGAGACATCTTGCACAGGAAGTTGATAAGAAGGATTCTGCTTTATCTTATCTGTACCGTAATTGTCAGGCAAACTGCTATGCTATTAGGTAATTTTTCTTTAATGCCGAAACATTTTACTTTCAGGATTTGAGTAACAAACCACATTACCAGCATGGGGATGAACACAACACACAGTATGATCATGAAGCTTTTCTTGGAGCTGAAGAAGCCAAGACATTTGATCAACTTACGCCAGAGGAGAGCAGGCGAAGACTGGGGTGAGAAAATTGAAACATATTTTGCCCAACATGGTTCCACTCTTGTTGTTTCTTCTTGTTATTGAACTTATTTTTCAGGCTTATTGTTGATAAAATAGACAAGAATACTGATGGTTTTGTTTCTCAAGAAGAACTGAAGGACTGGATCCAATATACACAGAAACGCTACATCTCGGATGATGTAGACCGTCAGTGGAAAGCCCACAACCCTGAAGCCAAAGAAAAAATAACATGGCCAGAGTACAAAAAGATAATGTATGGGTTTATGGAAGGTATGTTGCTCAACTCATTCACCAATTTTATTGGCCTGTTTGATGGAGGAAAGCAGACAGACTTCTTTATGTGAGCACCACTAATTATTTCTGTTTCTAGATATGGATAAATCAGATTTTGAGAAAGATGATGAGGGTTTCTCTTATCAAAACATGGTCCGGAGAGATCAGCGCCGCTGGGGAGTTGCTGATGTTGATGCTGATGGTTCTCTGACTAGGGAGGAATTTGCAGGCTTCTTACATCCTGAAGAAACTGGACACATGAGGGACATTGTAGTCCTTGAGACTCTGGAAGACATTGACAAGGACAAAGATGGACGAGTTTCTCTTGAGGAATACATTGGTGAGTTGAGACCGTCACCAACCTAGCAATACTAAAACTCATCATTCAATTTCAATACATGATTATCTTTCGCTTCAGGTGATATGTACCGCAGTGGTGAGGGAGATGCAGAGCCTGACTGGGTGAGAAATGAACGAGAGCAGTTCAAACAGTACAGAGACAAGGATGGAGATGGTTTTATGGACAAAGAAGAGGTAATAATCTCACTTTCTCTTTAAATGTATTTTGTTTTTTAGCCACAGAAATCATGCTGAGCTTTTCATTTTCCTACAGGTGAAAAACTGGATCATACCTCCTGATTTTGACCATGCAGAAGCAGAATCCCGCCATCTCATTTATGACTCTGATTCTGATGCTGATCAGAAACTTACCAAAGAGGAAATTCTTGCCAATTATGACTTGTTCGTAGGGTCTCAGGCTACAGACTTTGGAGAAGCATTGGCTCGTCATGATGAGTTCTAGTCTTGCTTCTTTCTTGCCTTGGAATATTTGAATCTGTATGTTAGAATAGCTTCTCTGTATCAGGAGCGGAGCACAAATTTAGAACAGATGTAACAATACCAGTTTTATTCCCAGGTGCCTTTCTACTTCTATCAGTACTAAAATGAACAAATCTTGGGCAATGTCATTTTTTTTCAACATTATTGAATGACATGTGCCCTGAAGTATTTTCATGTGATATTGAATGTGTTCCTCAGGTGCCAATTAAGTTTCCTTGATAATCAAAGGAAATTTCCCCTTAATACTTACATAGGGTTTCATTATTGCACCTTTTTCTCATTGACATTTTTCCACAAGAATTAAGTTGTTGTTTTTAGCTATTCAGTATATTTTAGTTTTGGAGACCAAAATCTGTTGCCCCATGAGAAAAGCAATACCAAATATGCATTTATTTCAATTACGTTAGTGCATTTCTATGTGTACCTTCTGTGAATTTAGCATCCTATTTTTGTACTGCAAGCATCAGATTTGGCAGTTATTTTCTTAAAATGCTATTTGCTTTTATGAGTGTTCTCTTCCAATAGACAGGCTGTATGTTAGAGAAGTATCAACTAGAGAATCTTTATTGTAATAATTAACTATCTTCCTACTAAAGTACTGTATGGGTCAGTATTTGCCTCCCTGCTTTCGTTCTTAGGAATCTCACTTCATGAATCTATGTGTCCCTTGTACTGTAATGACATTTGCACACCTAGATAGTCTTGTAACATTTTTACTGTACCACTTAGCATAGCATCTTCTATTTGAAACGATCTGATTGTAATTTTACCAAACTTCATCAGAGTGTTTGGGACTTGAATGTTACTGTTACTGTGCCAATGTGTGCTTATTCATAAGAAGAGAGAGTAGTGTAGATGAATTGTGCTTAATTAGTTGTTGTTTTACTTTTGAAAGATATATATGCTATTCTAAAAGGCTTGGCAGTAGAAATAAACAGTACATGATTTAAAATTGTTTATAATTTTCGAGAGCATGTTCAAGTTTCTGTTCAGTTCAGTGTTTCTCACTTTTGTTAAAAAACAAAACAAAAACAGCAAATTGTTTTCTAACTATTTATTTCCTGTAAGTTTTGAAAAAAAAAAAAGAAACATCTAAAATTTAAAAAGTACTGACATTTTTGGAGTGAAACGGAATGATTTTTTAATTTATTCTTGAGAAACATAAATTTACTCCCTAAGTGTGAAATGTAAGGGTAGAATTTCCTTAATAGAAGTTATCAGAACTTGACTCATATCAGGAGGTGATAATAGAATTTCTATTTGAGTCCCAAACTCTACAATAAACTGGCGGCATGAACCACAAGGTGCAACAAATTCATCATGCAAGCGATCCTTGTCTGCCACCACAGCAATCTTGACAAACTTTCGTTTTCCTTCACTCACGGCCTTGCATACTGCAGTCCTTTCAGCACAGATTGAGCCATGAGCACCATTTTCTACATTGCAGCCGGTAATGATTGACCCATCATCACATAATATCGCTGAGCCGACTTTGAAATTGGAGTAAGGGCAGTATGCCCTCTCGCGGACATCAACACCCCTTTTGATGAGATCTTGAACATCAGCACCTGCAAAACAAAAGAAGCATGTGTAAAATGATAATCTTAAGATTCAGAAAATTTAAACAGCATTCGATTTACTGCAGCCTGAAGAGTGGAGCACATTGTTTAATCAAGGTCAGAGGAGTGTAACATAGACTGGAGGGCGTGTCTGGCATCCATTACAAGGAGACAGATGCCTTTCAGAGCTGTCCGCTGCTCTTGGGGAGTGGGAGAGAGTCGTCCACTTGGAAGGGAAAACACTGCAGCTTCTGTTGCACCGCCGCTGTGAGACCTGACGTGACGTCTGCCTTGCCCTCCGGCACTTGGAGACAAATTAGCCTAGTCAGTTATCTTTATCTTGGCTTTTATCAGCGAGCCAAATGCGGTGCAACATCGGCCGTAGAGCAGCTAATCCCAATTGGCAATAACACCCTTGCCTCTGACAGACAACCGAATCGGCCCAACAGCCCTAGACTACAGTCTACAGTTGATTCTAGGGCGCTAAACCAGGCCGAAGCGGCGTCGCGACGCGCAAGCAGGGCAAGGAGACTATTCTCCTCCTCCCGTGAGTTTAGTAGGCCTCTCTGCCTGTTTCTTATGGGCAGCCCTACTCCTCTCTCGGCGGTTCCACTATATTGTCCATGGCGCAACACCGTGCTTGGCGGCGGCTGGCGGCTTGGCGCGGGGCAGGGGGAAGCTCGGGGAAGCTCCAGCCGCCTCGCCTGCCGCCTGCAGCCTGCAGCCTCACCCTCCCCCTTCCTAGAGGCCCACTCCACGGAGGCAAGGGCCGGCGGCTGCGGTCGATACTCACTCAGCGTCGCAAACTCGACGATCTTCCCTGCGCTTCTCTGGACGTCCGCCATGGTCGTCTGGGAAGTCTGGGACTCTAGGCGGGATGAGGCAGGGTGCTGAACGGTGGTGCTGCTCCTTGGCGCTTGGTCGAGACCCCGTCAACAACTAGGACTAGGCGCGACTGACGCGAGTGGGCGAGTCCGCGGCCGGCTGGCAAGTCTGGCTAGCACTGTCGGCATCGGCTCACATCGGCTATCGCCCGGTTTAGATCCTTGCTGCAGTTGCGGTAGGGGCTTGCGGCGTCGGCCTCGTAGGCCGTGGGGCAACGCGGGCAAGACTGGTGGGGGTGGCTGCGTGAGGCTGGGCTTGAGCCGGTTGTCTGCGCTAGTCTGCGCCAGTGGCGGGGGATGGGGAGGGAGCGCGTCGTCACACACGTCACACGTCACACTGTAGCTAGCCGGACTAAAGGACCGTTTCGTCCCTCCACCCCCCCTCTCTCTCTCTCTCTGCCTCCCTCTCTCTCTTGCATCCCTTTGGAACGTGCCTTACAGGTGACGAAACGTTCGAAACGCTAAGCTTAATTAAACACTCTTAAAACCTTACGAAGTATTTTGAGCATACATATAACAAACTAAAATACTTTGTTATACGAAGAAATAGTTCGTAAATTACGAAGTATTTTCTTTGTAAGCTTACGTATGCTCAAAATACTTAGTTATACAAACTAATTTTCTTTGTAAGGCCCAAAATAGTTTGTAAGGTTTTCTCAGTGAACTTTCGAAAGGCACCGTCTTTATTATTAAGCAAGTTGCGTACGCACTTCTGGAGATTCAATAAATACAACGAAGACGTTCCTTTTCTAGCGACACTTACAGTTCTACGTATGTGAAACGTGGATTCTCGTCCTATACCTTCTTCGCCTCTGCTCATTTGTAATCCCCGCGGGAAGAGCGGGCATCAGATTAGCCAACAGTAATCTGCGCAGTCGAAACAATCAAGAGAAGAGAAAGGCTTGCGGTGAGATGGAACAAGCTACAAAATAGATATTGTTCAGAAATCTTAGTCAAGTTACGAGATTAAACCATTCTTACGTCCAGTTAGTCGACCACGAGTCTGACAAGATAAATGAAACAGTTGGCTAGCTCGTCACAACAGGAAAGAGTCGGCGCTACATTTTGAGTTTGACAACACCTTTCCGAAAGTGTGACATTCAGTAGTTGTAAGTCAAATAGTGACAATGGAGAGTGAAGATTTAGTTGCAACGCAACCTGTCGACACCTCAATTTGTGACAGCTCTTTTTTTTCCACCCAACAAAGTACGGCTCCCCAGTTTTGGGGGAAATTGTATCCTGTGACCAGAAGTCTCAGACCTATTGGTAGGTTATGTTCAGTTTCCATTCATTCCTGTAAACATTTTTAAAAACTAGTAAGACTTTGTCATTATTTTATTCAGATCTCGCAGAGAACGACGTGACCATAGGTATGGGGGGAACTTGTCCGTTCTCGAACGATGTTAAAGGTTCTCTGTCAGAAAATGTATCTTTTCAAATCACACGGAAATCTGAAAAAACAAAAGGTAACTGGCTGAAAACTGTATGTCGACTTCACGACAATAGTACTCCAAAAGGGCTACTACTCAATGGTCGGCCGATACAGGGGTCCATACTTGCCAAACCACTTAAAACTAATGATATAATAAGTTTTCCTCAACGTACAACAGGCCATCGAGAAGGTAAAATTGTACATGTATCAGTTTGATTTAGTTTTCAATGTGCTAAATTTCATAGCGGTGTTTATCAATTTGTGTTTTCAGCCTATGTGTTCATCGACTCCTGTAATCCCATTTGTGATATCAACGTTCCTGCCATTGTATCCAGAGCCTACCAGATATCTTATCGATTAGGAGCTGGGGCATTTGGAGAAGTGTTTCTAGCTTTCGATAAGGTTTGCAATGATCATAAACTCACCTCGCAATCTGTTTTTTGTTTTGTTTTTGTTATTCAAGTTTTATTAATGTGCATGTTTGTTTTATTGTTTTACTCACAGGATTCTTGTCATCCACTAGCCATGAAGACCATCCTTAAAAGTGGTTTAACAAATGATGATGCAAAGAGGCATTCAAAATTAATAAATGAATTAAATGTTCTGAGATCAGTAAACAATGTAAGGTTTTTGGGACATCTTCCGAAAGGAATTGCTTTGTTGCAGAGTTTAAAATCTTTTTGCCTTTGTTTCAGCCTCACTTGATTCAACTAGTAGATGTTAAAGAATATAAAAATGACCATTTTATTTTTCTTGAATTTATGGAGGGGCACGACCTTTCAAAGAGGTTGAATGAGAAACAAGCTCTAGAAGAAAAGACTGCAAAGCTGTATTTTTTTCAAATTTGCAAAGCTGTACAGTATTTACATAGTAAAGGAATCATTCATCGCGATATCAAAGTAAGATCATGCTCAAAAATGATTTTAAATAATTTCAAGTGCTTCAACTTCAAGTTGGTATTCATTATAATCATTGTCTTCCTTCCACCAGCCTGCTAATGTGCTACTTGCATCGTCAGAGACAGACACCATCATCAAATTGACTGACTTTGGGTTGACCAAAATTTTAACACCTAGCACAGTCATGAAAACTATGTGTGGGACGAAAATGTACGCTGCGCCCGAAATCCTGAGTGGTGCTGGCCCATACACAGGGCAAGTTGATGTCTGGAGTATGGGAGTGCTTCTCTACACATGGTAATGTCTACTCATGCAGGCTGGGATGTCTATTATCCTTAATTTCGGAAAATGAAAATATGTATATGATGAGGCATTGTTTTGTTTTAATCTTTTTGTTGTGATTTGCCCTTCACAGCTTGTGTGGATCAGAACCATTTTCCGTCGCCTCCCATTTGATCGAAAAACACATAATGAGAAGCCTATATGTCATGCCCCCCGACACATGGCGTAAAATTTCTGTTTTTGCAAAAAATCTGGTGGACATGATGTTGCTTCTTGAGCCTACAGAGAGAATTAAAGTTAATGAAATTATGAACTATGTGTGGATTAAGGTATGCATACTTGCTTATATTGAATTATTTATAATCTGATGCTGTGGGCTGCGCTAGGCTCTTACTGACTTAATGAGATGTCTTTAATTGCAGGACACCCAAATGCATGCAAGACTGAATAAAATCTATTACCGGTTTGGATTGTGATATTCTCTATTGGAAGTTGTTTTTATTTTTTTAATGTTATTGTTGTGATAAATCTATGTTGTGTCAATTAAAAAGTGATTTATTAAAATCAAACATCCAACTAAAGCCCCTCTTGAGAACTGTCGCAAACCGGAGCTGTACATACGGCAAACAGCCTCAGAACACATACATACCCTGTCCTGTCCTGTCCCACCCTTTGAACTATGGCAGTTTCCGGATCCGAACTACTACACCAGTCAAAAACGCATTCTAAATGTGTGCTTTAGGTTTGTGGAAAGCTCCCAGAAATCAATTTATAACTATTAGATAAAATGTAAAAATTAAGAGGAGTCCAAGAGAAATGCGGGGAAGCTAAAAAGACTTCTAGAATAACGCAATTTGGCGGGTCCGAAAATGCCGCCATTTGGTTTTTGGATGGCGTAGTCGAGCGACTTCTCGTACACAAACAACGGCAGTTGCGGCAGTTGTTCAACCAAAGTGTCGGTGTTTCAAAGTTGAACGAAAATTCTCGACGCAGACTGTTATGAAATTCGCCACAAAACCGCCATTGATATTATTCTGTGATCATGTTCATTAAACAGGTAATCCACCAATGAATTGCTTCCGCTTACCGCGGACAGGTGATTGGAATGACAGAAGTGTTTGTTTTCGTCTCCATTCGTTCCAATAAATGTGAATTTAACTTGCAACCTGGCCCTCAAGTTAATATTTTATTCAGGAAATGACTTAACTCTGATATAAGCTCTTTCATTTTCATGATATTTCCAATACGAGGTGTCATTCCCGTATTTTTCTCACCCTGAAATCCGGCCCTCTAACCTATACACTTCTCTCTGATCTCTTTAATCTCTCTGAGTTCTCAATGTCCAAATCATGCATATTCATTTTATTCATATGAGCAATTTTGTTTGTAGGTCATTATTCAAGGCTTTAAGTCCTACAGAGAGCAAACTGTGGTGGAACCCTTCGATCCCAAACACAATGTAGTTGGTAAGTTTTATCAAAAGAACGTTCGTGTTACAATTTTTTCTCACATCACCAGGTTTTTATTTGCTCCTGTTTTCATAAATCCTGATAATATTGATTTTCATGTCTTAATTCTTGGCAAAGATTTTCACTTTACATTGTTCTTTTATGTTCATTTCAGTTGGAAGAAATGGATCAGGCAAAAGCAACTTCTTCTATGGTTAGTAAAATATTGCAAATCACATAAATGATAAGACTGTTGCCACATGTTTTGATTTTGTTACATTTTCTACTTTTTATTTTTAGCTATACAGTTTGTGCTCAGTGATGAGTTTTCCCACCTCAGGCCAGAGCAGCGCCAAGCTCTTCTACATGAGGGTACTGGACCAAGGGTGATCACTGCATATGTGGAAATAATTTTTGACAACACGGATGGACGGTTGCCAGTATGTCTTTAATTTTCCCCTGTGTAATGCTATTCTAAAAAATCACTCAGGTAATGAGTTAGTCTTTAAAAAATTGTTTCTTTCATCATTTAGATTGATAAAGAAGAAGTTTATCTTAGAAGAGTTATTGGTGCGAAAAAAGATCAATATTTCCTTAACAAAAAGATGGTACCAAGATCCGATGTGATGAACCTCTTGGAGTCTGCCGGTTTTTCACGCTCTAATCCTTATTATATTGTGAAGCAGGGAAAGGTACAATCTGTTCTGGTTACTGGAACTAAAGTTTCAATTTTCTGTTACACTAATTTCAATCTCTTTTATTGCCTGTTAGATCAATCAAATGGCTACAGCTCCTGATTCTCAACGGTTAAAGTTGCTGAGAGAAGTAGCTGGAACTAGGGTCTATGATGAAAGGAAGGAGGAATCCAAAGCTATTTTAAAAGGTATGTCTTGATATAATGCACGTTCTGCTCTTATTAAATCTGACAAATTTCTTAAAATATGCATTTTTTGTAGAAACGGAAGGAAAGATTGATAAGATCAAAGAATTTCTTCACACAATTGAAGAGAGACTGAAGACTCTTGAAGAAGAGAAAGAAGAGTTGAAGGAGTACCAAAAATGGGATAAAATGAGACGGTCCCTGGAGTACTGTATTCATGATCGAGAGTTAAAAGATACCCGGAAAAAACTTGATGAGGTATATATGATTCATGAAGAAATATATATTAAGTAAACTCAATTTCTTTCTTGAATATTCTGTTATGTTTTGTTTAGATGGAGCAAGCCCGAAAAAACTCCGGTGAAGAGCAGAAAAAGTTTACCTCAGATTTGCAGAAGGCACAGGAGGGTGCTAGGGTAGCCAATAGAAAGATGAAGGAAGTGAAAAAGGAAGTACAGGCTGCCAAAGAAGAGCGTGATACTCTTAGTGCAGAGCATCAGTTGCTTCTGAAAGAGCAAGCCAAGCTCAACTTGACTATCTCTGATCTTAAGGAGGAAGTTAGTGGCAACAAGGACTCTCGGGTTGGTGTCAGGATAATTGTTTGACCTGTGTAGATTTATTGCAGTACTCACAAAGATTACTCCTTGTCTGCACAGGAACGAGCCGAGAAAGAATTGGATAAATTAAAGAAGACAATTGAACAGAAAGAGCTTGAACTTGAAAGATTGAAACCACAATATGAAGAAGAAAAGAAAAAAGAAGAGGAATTTACCAGAGAGTAAGCTTTCCTTTTGTCCTTTATTCTTTTCCTAAATAAATCCACGATAACCTTAATGTTTTTTGTTTCTCATTAGCTTGGCACTTAAGGAACAAAAGAGAAAAGAACTGTATGCTAAGCAGGGCAGAGGAAGTCAGTTCACGTCGAAAGAAGAGCGTGACTTATGGATTCAAAAGGAGTTAAAGTGAGTGGTTCAACTTTTTCTTTGTTTCTTATTTTCTCTTTTATGTTTATGAATTAACACAAGGCTTGTATCAAAAATGTCACCATCTCACACAAAGTTTTTCATGTTTCTGCCAGATCCCTGTCCAAGCAGATTAAGGACAAGATGGACCATGAGAAGAAGCTAACAGATGACCTTAAAAAGGATACAGAAAAACATGCGCAACTCATTAAGAAGATTGATGATCAAACAAAGCAAATGGAACAGTTACGATTGAGCATTGATGAGTACAACAAAAAATATTATGAGGATAAGAAGAACAAAGATCAGCATCAAAGTAGAAGAAACGAACTGTGGAAGAAAGAGAACCAAAGTCAGCAAAACCAATCTTCTTTAAAGGAAGATTTAGCCAAAGCTGACCAACAACTGCGCTCTATGGCAGGTAAACCTATTCTGAATGGACGAGACAGTGTTCGGAAAGTTCTCGACACTTTCAAACAAAGAGGAGGCCAATTTGCTGAAGTTGCCGACTCATATTATGGCCCGGTCATCGAAAATTTTGATTGTGAGAAAAGCATTTATACAGCTGTTGAAGTAACTGCTGGAAATCGATTGTTCCATCATATTGTTGATTCAGACAAAGTGGGAACACAGATTCTGAAAGAAATGAACAAACAAAAGCTCCCCGGCGAAGTCACCTTCATGCCATTGAATCGTTTGCATGTTAAAGAGCAAAACTACCCCAAAACTCAGGATGCAATTGCCATGGTTTCAAAACTAAACTATAAACCAGATTATGACAAAGCCCTGAGATATGTCTTTGGTAAGACTTTGATTTGCAGAAATCTTGAAGTTGCTACCAATCTTGCTAAGACTACTGGCCTTGACTGTGTGACTCTTGAAGGAGATCAAGTGTCTTCTAAAGGGTCTCTCACTGGAGGTTACTTCAACACGTCACGGTCTCGTCTTGAGATTCAGAAAACTCGTAGTGAATTGATGGTTCAGATTAGTGACCAAGATAAAGAACTGCAAGCTGTCAGAGAAGATCTCCGAAAAGAAGAGGCTGAGATCAACAAGGTAGTGTCTGATATGCAGCGCACTGAGACCAAAAACAGTAAAGCCAAGGATACATATGATCAAATTAAAGCTGAAATTCGTCTGATGAGGGAAGAAGTTGGAAGTATTGATAGATACAAAACATCTAAAGAACGCTCCCTTGCACAGTGCAAGTCTAACTTGGAGGCTATGCAAACTACCAAAGAGGGCTTGCAATCTGAACTGAACCAGGATCTTATGGCCCAGTTATCAGTTCAAGACCAGCGTCAAGTGGACATGCTCAATGATGAAATTCGCCGTCTCACTCAGCTGAACAAAGAGGCCTTTAGTAAGCGTATGAAGCTTGAGGCTGAGAAAAATAAATTGGATAATCTACTGACAAACAATTTGATCAGGCGAAGGGATGAGCTGGTACAAGCCCTCCAGGAAATTTCAGTTGAGGATAGAAAACGTCATCTTGACCAAAACAGCTCTGATCTGGCATCAATCAACAAAAAGATTGAAGATGTTATGGAGTCTCACAAGGAAATGGAAAAGAAGGTTCAGGCTGCAACCAAAAAGGTAAATTTGCTGCAAATAATTTGATATTCAGGGTATTTTGTCAGATTTCTTCATGCACTTGAATTTTACAGGAAAGAGCTGAAAAAGTTGAACTTGAAAAGTGGAGAATGAAAGAAAAAGAGCTCCAAGAAAAGATGGAGGAGGACGCCAAAGACCTGGAGAAAATGACTTCTCGACATAATACTTTGATGGCTAAGGTTGAGGAGTGTACCAAGAAAATATCAGACCTTGGCAGTTTGCCTCAGCCTGAAATGATAAATAAATATATGAATCTCAGCCAGAAAGCTGTGAGTAAAAATATAAATTAGTCTGCTGTTCAAGTACGGGAGCACTCCTCTAAATCCCTCTCTTTAAGAATGTAAAATTTACCAATCTCTTTAATTATTTTTCAGCTGTTTAAAGAAATGGAGAAAGCTAACACGCATTTAAAGAAGTACAGCCATGTAAACAAAAAGGCTCTTGATCAATTTATGAGCTTTTCTGACCAGAAGGAGAAGTTGGTCAAACGAAAAGAAGAACTGGATCGAGGGTATGAATCAATAAAATTTTTATAATGAACCTATGAAGTTATTATAATAAATACAATGGTGGTTTTCTGTGAAATTTGTTGCAGTGATGAAAAAATTAAGGAGTTGATGAATGTTCTTGAACAACGCAAATTTGAAGCTATTCAGTTTACTTTTAAACAAGTAACCAAGTATTTTAGCGATGTTTTCAAAAAACTTGTACCTGAGGGCGAAGCTAAACTCATCATGAGAACGGCTGATGGTGAAGAGGGAGGAAATCCTCGTGTGGTGAGGGAGTTGAAATGTTTTTTGACTATGGTTTGGTCAATCGAGGACTACTATAACTATTATTGTTACTATTTGTGTTTCAGGAAACTGACTCTGAGCAATTCACAGGAGTTCAAATCAGAGTTTCATTTGTAGGAAAGAACCATGGTGAAATGCGAGAGATGAATCAACTTTCAGGAGGTCAAAAATCACTTGTTGCCCTCGCATTAATTTTTGCTATCCAAAAATGTGACCCAGCCCCATTCTATCTTTTTGATGAAATTGATCAGGTATGGTATCCCGTGCTTTCTAACATCTACAGTGTGTCTGAGTTTGTTGAAATGGCTTCAGTAACCATGTTTTTTTTTTCCAAGGCTCTTGATGCCCAACATCGGAAAGCTGTCGCTGATATGATTCACGCCATGGCTGGACAGGCTCAGTTCATCACAACCACTTTCAGACCTGAACTTCTGGAACATGCCAACAAGTTCTACGGAGTCAAGTTCAGGAACAAGGTACTTACGTTTCATTCTAAATGAAAAGGATAGTGTTCTGTTTTAACTGTTCTATTAATTTTTTTCTAATTAATTTTAGGTTTCTCACGTGGAATGTGTTACTAGAGAAGAGGCCTATGACTTTGTGGAGGATGACCAAACACATGGCTAGATTTTTAGTGAATGTATTTCTTTTCTTTTTTTTTTGTTAATGGTTTTGTACATGTTTCTGAAATAAGCATTTGTAAATATGACAGAAGATGTGACATTTTGTAAATTAAGTTTGTACATGTCTTATATTTCATCCCTATTGACTGTTAAGAACTGTACATATGGGACAAATTTCATTTGTTGGGCCCTGTAAGTGTGTAACCATCATATTAATTTTATGAGTTTTCAAAAAAGTGTATTGTCTGTTTATTATTTTAGATTTTCTTTTACCTTGGGACATCGATTATTTTAGCTTTGTTAAATTTGCTATCTTAGTGTAATTTCCATTCTTGACAAATGCCCTCTTGTAATAAATCAATTTGCAGTGTATGTGTGTGCATAGCATCCATGGACTTGCTTCACAATATCCTATTGGTGAGGTTTATGTATGTAGACAGTATAATCAAAATTAAAGAGATCAAAGTAAAGTCTTTAAGGTTGGCTTTAATTTCAGAACATCATTGTAACACTTGCTAATTATTCCTACACTAGAGACAACTGGCAAGGCAGTAAGTCAAGGCCTGTTCTTTCATCACAATGTTTTCAAGTCCAAAGCATAGGATAGTACTTAGTTTTACAGGTCCAATTATGCCAAAGAGCATTCAGAATGCTAGCAACTGAAAATAATCAGTGTTCGCTTTGACCTTCAGACCAGCAGCCTTTAGAGCTCCAGCTTCCATTAAGCGCAATATACAGAAGGACCTGAGACTTATCAAATACTTCAAATAGATCTAGTACTAAAAACATAGCATACACAACATACTTTGCAGTTAACAACTAACAATAAAACATGATTATATTTCCAGTTTACAAAATGAGCTGTACAGAAAACAAAATCCTCATTGCATGGGACATGAAACACAAAATTATGCTGTCATCACTTGTGAATTTGCACAGCATTCATCACTCGTATTTGGAACAAAACAAAAACTTAGTTCTTGAATGGCACTGTTAAAAATGTTCTCAAGTTGGTTCCCTTGGAGACCTTTCTTCCTCGCAAGTCTTGATGAAAAAGTAAGAGGACAGCATATTCTTTTAGAGCAAACAACACAATATTTAAGCCACATTTTAAGTAAGAAATTTGATGGCACACAAGGTATCATGTTACACAAACCACCATCCAAGAGCTGAATATCAAGGGTGGAGTTGAGATTTCCTATTTTTGAGTTGACAGTAGCAGACGAGGTTCTAAGGGAACTCACAGATATACAAGGTATATACAGATCTTCCATATAAGGAATTAAAAAAATTTAATTTCTTAAATCCATAGAAAAATTAAAAGTAAAATATAATGTACTAAGCAGATACATACCATATTGTAAGACTAAAATATAATCTACTAAGGAATGTAAAAATTGTTTTTCACAATAAAGGAGTTTACAACTATATATGGCGCACTATACTGGGTGGAAAATGTATCAATATCACAGAGTACCAAGGCATCACTACTAGGTTGAAGTGATGCATTAAGTGAAACATCAGATTCAGAACACTTTAAATGTCTTTTAAGAGAAACACTTGACATGAAATCAAGTTTACAATTAAAATGCCACATGTAGGGGCAAAATAGTATACTGGGATAAGTCTCATGCATTTGAACAAAATAGCAGCAGTGTCGCCTCAGGTTGGATCAAGACAAACACATGATCCCTCCCTACCCTGACTTCACACCACACCATGTATCTTCTCAATTTGTTTAGAAGTTCAATTTAACATTTTGTCAGTCTAATCACTTCAAAGACAGAGATAAGTCGGTTGTAATGCATGTAGAGGCAACACTGCTACCCCATTTCACAATTTTCAATGAATACAAGACACAGTAAGACATTTCTGATATGTGAGAATACAGTCATTGGGTGGGAGCATGAGCATCCCCTGTCATGAACTTTGAAAATATATTCGTATAGTTTCATATTTATATAAATCACTATTTGAGCCAAAGCAGGCAGTCTATTCTACAATCACAGACAACAATGATGAATGATACATACTGACTAAACCCATTTTTGTTTTAGAACAATGGCATATTCCTGCTCATTACAAAGTTGATGATTGGGTCCAGCCAGGTTTAAAGTAAATGGGGCACTGACAGTCTCTGTGGGCAATGATTTCTTACGAACCATACCATAACCATTATGAGTGTCATCTGCTCGTCTACATAATTCAATAGGCTCAGTAGAAATATCCTCTACTGATAACAACTTAGTACTTAAGGATCCATGTTCCAATCTCGACATACTTGCAGCAGATTGCAGCTTTCCAAATTGCTGATAACCTGATGGCCGAGTGCTGAGCCTAGATGAAGAGCCAAAGTGCTCAAGCTTATCATAGTTATCAGTAGGGTCAACGCCTGCCCTCAAGTCCCGAGCAGCCCATATTGCTGGGCAACTTTGCTGTTCCGGCAGAGACATAGTTGATGGTGCATTCCCGTCATCACGGGGGGCATCTATGTCTTCATAGTCATCACCATTTTCAGTACCAGCCGTTCTACGTTCTGTATGGAGCATTTCCTCCATACCTAGAGTGCGCCAGGCTTCCTTGCGCACAACAACACTGTCATAGTCATCCGTTGGAGTTGTTGGAAGGGACAAAGAACCTGAAGTAAAACCCTGCAAAAGAAAACAAAAGGTCACATGGAAAAAGTTTAGAAAACACCAAAACACAAAAGAAAACTTCACTTAGCCTTAATGCAATCTAGATCAGTACAAAGCTCACCTGTTCTCTATTGTGAGTTGATTCTAAGCTTTTCCGAGGGGGCTTGGCAGGCTTTGAAGGTTTGGCAGGAGGTACAGGCTTGGCTAAACACAACGGTTTAGTAATTGGTTTAGGGTGCAAAGGTGGAAGCTGCCAAGGCAGCGATGATTGGACGGAGGGCTGAGAACTTGAGGTACAGTTGAATTCTAAATCACAGATGGCAGATGTTGCGCTAGTTGGTGATGGCAATAATGGACTGCGGGAACGAGGGAGCATGTTCCAAGCATTCTAGGGCAAAAAGAAAACAGATTGTTTCAATAAATGTTGTTTTGCCAGCTTGCAGTCCTAAATAAGTGGAAAAACACATACTTCAAAGTCTTTGTTTGAAGATAGGGGTGGTGAAGACAGGGCTGGTAAAAGTTGTCTCATATTATTCATTTTAGAAGACATGCATCTAAAAATCTCCTGTTGGTTTGAATGCTCAAGCTGGAATTCACCCTGAAGACAACGAAAAACAATAAGCATAACTTTGAAATAAATACTGGTGACTTACAAAGTATTTTCAGAGGTAAATACCTCTCCTGAATCACACTTCCGCCCAGCTTCAAACGTAAATTTTCCTGTGCGAGTTCCATAACGTCTTATAAACCGGTAGGGCCATGTAAACAGAAGCTGGTTGGAATTGTGCTCTCTCAGTTGAAGAGCAGTTGGAGTTACAACAAGTGTATATGGACCTGGCTCCAAACCACAGTTTGCTGATGCATCAGAAGGCACTAGTTTTACAGAGAAAACCCCTGCAAGGGAAAGCACAAAGAGACATTCAGCAAATAAGGTTCAAGGTTGCTTTGATTATCTTGTAATTAATGAATCTTCATGTATTTGCTAAATAACTACCATCTCCTGAAGGGCAGTACAAATCGTTGTCCTCTTCAATGGTCTGGCGAGAGAAGTCATCCTTAAATGCAACAGCCTGCATAGCTGATATCCAATCTAACATGTCAGCTTCATTATAAGATGCAAAGTGATGAATGGGACCTTTTGTGTATACCTAAAAATTTAAAAAAAAAAAACATTATTTACTATATGTTTACAGTGACAAGATACAAAAAATTCAGAGGGTAAAAATAACCAAAAAGTACTTACAGAACATACAAATAGATTACTTTTCTGCACATCTTGTGTTATCTTGACACAATTTTCTAGAGTAATGATTTTCATAACAGAGTTCTTCAATTTATCATCTTTGTTCTCAAACACTTCAAGGCGCTCAATGCCATGTTTGCTAGCCTTGAAAAGCTGGCAGTACGTGCGGTTCCATGATTTCTGGAACCATACAATTCAAAATTAGACAAAATGAAGAGGAAAGCAATGGTCGGGAAAGACGCACAACAAATTCACATCACAACACAAAGCAACCTGTTGACTGGGCGAAACCCTAACCTCTCCGCCCAGACGAGGAGATACAGCCAGTACATGCGTCACCAGGATAACTCTCACCACTTCAGACGAAATCCAACTTTTCCCCAAAGCCACCCTATCCTAATTTCCACACTATCTAGCAGTACGCACCTTCAACATTCCTTGTGTTAGGAACAGCAAGTAACCCTCCTTGAAACACTGCTCGGGATTCATCATCGTAGATCGTAGGCCGGTGAATGAACGTCAAAAGAAGCAAGATAGCACGCACGGACAGAGTGAAACATTAAATTTGATAAGACACAAGCCTCCCAAATCAAAGTCATTCAATTTGTAGAGCCACTGTCTTGCCACAATTTCTTTCACATCTTTCTCCATGTATTTCAGTGTTCTTTCAAGGAGTATCCCCACAACATAAGCAACAGCAACAACAAAAACAAAAACAGCCTCCGGACCGGAAATGCCAAAGCAGTGATCGACATCGAGATCACGTTAGCCAATGCCCAATCGTTAACAGGCGGTCTGCCAATTTACGTCAGACATTATAATATGTAGATTTCTCTCTTTTGCCACTAAGTCCCATTATGTTCATTGCACTTGTGATGATTGTAAATGTATGATAGAGATAGGACTTTTTTTTTCTAGTGACGCCTATTAAATTTTTCTTTGCACGTTTGTATCACTTTCCCGGCAACCATGAACCTAACCTCCAAAATTAAACAGTGTTGATCTCTAAGCCGCATTTACGCTTTGAAATTCAACCAACGGTTGATAGGCCAGTCAATTAAATTGAAATCCATGTCATCATGAGTTTTAATTTCAATCAACCAGCAGCTCCTATCGGGGGGGCTCCAGCCGCCAAGTAAGCCTCTGTTCGAAAAGAATGGACACTTGTTACATTATTTTGGTATTTTTAGTTTTACATCATCTACAAGTTTTTTCTTATTTCAAGGCCTGCTGCCCCTGCGTTTGGCGTACCCTCATCCTCCAGTGCAGCACCAACGCTGACTTTCGGAGCGTCTGCACCAGCCCCTGCAGTTGGAGTTGTCGCCCCACAAGCTCAACCGTCTTTATTTGCTCCTCCAGGAGCAGCTGCCAAGCCAGGTCATTTGTTGCTTCTATTAGTGACACTTATACTTTCTGATGGGGCAGATTAGATTTTAATCAACGGTAGAATCTACTGAGTTGTCAGTTGTCCTTTCCTTACTGTTTTCTCTTTTGTTTGAAATAGCCATTCAACCTGCTTCAAGTACGGCACCATCACTGTTCGGGGCTCCTCAGGTACATTGAAATACCCTTAGAGCCTTGAGCTAGAAGTTTCTACAGCAATTACATAAATTGAAACCTAAATTTGTTCTAGGCATCAACTGGTCTGTTTGGGGCAACGTCATCCACTCCATCAACCTCGTCTGGACTGTTTTCAGGACTAACTGCTGCCAAACCCACCACTCAGTTTGGTGCAACCACTGCAATTCCCCAGTTAAATTTTGGTGCCACATCCTCATTTCCGACCTTAGCACCTGCATCCACTGCTGCCACTGGCTTTAGTCTTGGAGGTTGGTACAATATCTGCAAAGTTTGATCCTCAACATAAAATACATTGTATCAATTCCTGTCTTATTTCATTATTTTGTGGTCATACCTAATAATTTACCCATGTGATTTTTCCTTATTCAGGCACAGCTGCTCCAACTTCAGCTCCATCTGTTGGCTTAGGTGGAATAGATACAACTACATCCTCAGGTAAATTAACGAGTTTATCAGGATTATCTGGAACTCAGACGGCCCGTCAGGAAGCGAAATCGCCCAAGGAAACACCCATCCCAGATGATATTGCAAGAGGAGTCGAAACATTCAGACAATATGTGAAAAAGCAGAAGAGCTTTAGCTCTGAAATTGCTAGGTGTTCTTCAAAGCCACTACTTAAGGTTCAAGAAGATACAGATGCCATGAAACAAGTTCTATCAAACAACACTGCTAGTCTGCAAAGATTGAGGTCCATTGCTGACAAACTGAAGGCTGATACTGCTAAGGTAACATGTTTGATTAAAATTTGTGTGGAACAGTCAAATTACCCGTGGTGGAATTTTTTCTTCCACTGTATAACATATTAGCAAGAATCTCTCATACCTTTTCAGGCCTTGCAACACACAGAGATGGCTCAGCGTACACATGACACCCCACCTGGCCTGCAGTATGACAATACTGCTCCCCTTCAGTACTTTGCAGAGCTTGTCGCAGGATTTGAAAGGGACATAAAGTTGTTCAGGCAAGAAATTGAAAACGCTGAACGACATGTTCATGCACGGGTACAATTGACTGGTATATCACCTGCTGGTGAGTGTAGTTTTCAAAACTGTCCTTATATATCAGAATTATTTTTTTTTTGGTGTTGTTATGGATGCATTTTAAAAATTATTTTCTTCCTTCTTTGGACAGAGTTGACACAGGCAATGAGAAGACTCTATGACAGTTTTGTAGCCTTGGCTGGGCGGTTGCACTCAGTCCATTCACAAGTTAAAGCTCAAAAAGAGCAGTACTTATCACTCCGCAAATATATTCTCAATGACGCATCTGATGTGTTTGATGAAGCAGCGCGCACAAGAGTAAATATAGATTCTTCTATTGGTGGGGGAAAGGGGTTTCCTCCATCAAGGACCATGGTAGGACCAACCCCATTTTCAGGTCAGTTTCATCACAAGTTAATAATATTTTACAAAGCATCTCGTCACATGAGTTCCCACCAATCTATTTTCTTCTCATCCTTCATTATTGTTTTCAGCTCTTAATGCACAACATGGCTTTGGACTACTTAGTGCTGGAGCTGCAGCATCATCAAGACAAAACTTCCCTTCTGTTGGTCCACTAGGTAAATAAATGTTTAGAGTTTGATTATTATTGTTTTTTGTTGTTTCTTTTTGGCTTACTGTTATAGTTTCCCATTTTCGATTTTTGTGTGTGAGCCACATCAGGTGAAGGTAGTTTTCAACTATGTGAAAAGGGGACATATCTAGAATGTGGCCTCAGCAGTAGACTTGAGTATGACCTAGTCATTCCTTGATTAATCCATAAAGTTCAGGAAGAGTTAAAATTTAATCTATTTTGAGATAATTGATGCCCACTTGGTCTAACTGTTGCAACTGCCAAAATGACCTCACTCTTTGTGATTGCATGATCTGGTTTGCTGGTTAGTGATGTTTTCAACTTTTAGGCTCAACCATTTTGAAACTGTTTTGTAGTTACAGAATTTTGGTCTTTTGCTTTTATTTCTGAGTATGTAAAATTATCTTTATGCATGATCTGTTAAGTATTTTTCAAGCTTTGCAGACATTTGTTTCTGTTTGTAAAATTGTGTTATGTCTTCTATTCTCACTTCTATTATTTAGAATCACCTCCTTACACTTGATCTTAGCTGACAGGTGATGCTTTTTTCAAATCAAACAATTTATGGAGTCTCATTCTTAAAAGTGTAATGCAACACCTTGTTTTGGGAAAAATAAAGTTTCTGACTGTTAATTTTTGTCTAATCCTGTGTTTTTTTATCTTATTATTATCTTGAGCTGAGTGTGTTTGCTTCTGCTATCCTTCATTCTTCTAAATTTCTATTAACTTTTGCTCTTGTATTTTGATTCTGAAAGCAACCTTTGGCATTGTTTAAGTTTACCATCGCTTGTTTCTGTTGAACATAAATTAACTACTAGCCCTATAGCATGTGACAAAATCGTTTTATGTTATGATAGCATTGACACCTCTACTGATATAGTTTGCACGACTGACTTATGCCTAGTTTTAAGACCTCCGGTGATGGCTGTTGAAGGCTGTAGTTATTGCAAGCATGGCTATAGACCATTGATTTCTTGTTACATGTGAACTTTCATGATTTATTTTCCCATAGAAATTCAAATTTCAAAGAATAATTTGGGTCCATTTTATATGTGCAGGATGGAGCAGCCCAGTCAATACTCCAGGAAGTGCTCCCCTCTCTTTAACTCCCCACACTGACAATTCACAATTTCAGCTCCAGAAACCACCCTCAGGCAATAAACGTGGCAAACGCTGATTTCAGATTGGTAACAACCAAATAGACTTACAGGACAATCCAGAACATTATCAAGGAACAAAATTTGTCACCTCAGCATCATGTTGCTCTGAGCTTTTCAATGGCCCTGTCACTCAATAAATTGTGCAGATTAAGTCTTCAATATGATTAACAGTATTACTGGCAATAGTAATAAAGATGCATTTTATTTTCCTTCTTTTCAATTATTTAATTAATTTAACTCTCAACCGCAGAACACGCCACAAAAGTTCAGAACAGTCTTGTCCTGTTCAGACACCTTAGATCTCCCATGAAACCTTTGCTGAGTGTTTCCTTCCAAGAATAAAAGAGGGAAGAGAATCAATGTGGAAAAAAGCTATTTGGCATTGTAAAAAGAGACTAAAAAAACAAGAAGTATTAACTTTAATGATAACAGAATAAACACAAATGTGAAATTACAAAAATAAATAAGTAAACAAATTCTGCATCCTACCAAAGTGGTATGATTCTAGAGCATAATTAGCCCATTAAATCTACTAACATGATCAGTACAGCTACACTGTTTGAATCTAGAATTACAAATTTCCTCTATGCGGTCATGTACAAAATAAATGGAGGAATGTAACTTGAAATTACTGCACACATCATACAATACACATTGTACAAAATGTGCCTTAACAAACACTCTCATAGAAGAACAGTGGGAGTGTACCTGACTGATCTCATTTGCAAAGCACATTCCAGTCAAAACATGCTTCACGAGTACAGAGTGTACTAAGCACACACTGGATCTAGTGGTGTACTTTGGAAATTGTTAGATTCAGAGTGTGATAAAAAGTGGAGGACATTTACAAAACAGAAGGAACGACAAAGGTTCTACCATTGAATTTGGATTAAATATAAAATTGACAGTGGTCAGAAAATTACAAATGCTTTAACAAGAATAGTATTGATAGAAAATTGGTTACACATAGCTATTGTTATTCTAGTCAAGTTGCCCTTGGAAAATGAGAAACACCTAACCAAATTACTGCAAACTGCACAATACACAAAATATACTTATCAACTGTTCCAGCAGTAAAATCATGCAAACCCTCAACACACTCAAAATTATTTCCTTTTTAATATAAAAGTATACTCTTACAATTGGGTAAAAAAGTAACACCAAGCAAATACATTTGAAATGTGATGTAAAAAAAAACAACATTTTCAAAATGGAGAAATGCAAATTGAAGATGCACATCCTCAATCATTGAATGGAAATATATGAACATAGAAATTGAGACAAAGCACAACTTTGGGAAGGTTGTACATATTTACTGCAATTGCAAGATACATATTTATAAGAAATAGATTCCTAAGGTTTCTTTGGATAAGATAGGGTAGATAGATAAAACCCCCGCTGATAACAAAAACAATTCCATCCTATATACTTAACTCACGACTTGAAATTTATGGTCAGTCAAACACAGAAAAAAAACAATGTCGATATGAATAGCCAGTAAGCCCTCACCATCAAATGATGCACGCAAAAATAAATCCATCATTAAGCTAGCACTAAGAATGTTCATACAACAAGACTGTGTGAATCAAATAATTGATGAAAACAAAACATCCTTTGTTTCTGTAATAAAGCAAGTTGACTAATAAAAAAATATCTTCATATGCAAAAGAGAACATGATCCAAATTTGACAAATTTAAATGAAAAAAAAACATTATTATCCTGAACATTATTACAAAGTTTCTGCTCCAGCACTTAATTTCTATGTTACTCGAGTCATTTTGCTAGCTCCTGCGTATGTTTCTTGAAGTACTCAGGGTAAAAAAGGACAAAATCTTCATAAATTGGGATCACATACAAATCTTTGCATGTGAGTTGTGCGTGGTATCATTGAACTGCTCCAAGCTGAAGGACTGGTATTAAAAGTAAACTAGCGTCCTGTATGTAGGAGCTACTGTTTGAGGCCTGTAATTAGAATGAATAGTATGAAAGTGAAATATAAATATGCTATAATTCAAACAGCACTAGATAAGATAAATTTAATAATAGGCAAACAGAGAAAAAAGAAATAGGGTATACGGTATTTACCTCCAAAAATACATTAGTGATGAGAAGATTGACATCGTTATGGTCGACCTGAGCTGAGTCAACCATATTCGCTGAAGCACTAAGTAGCTCAGAAAATCTGGCTGCAACAGAGCTTACTCGGGAACACAGCACTGATGTCATCCTGCAAAATTAATGGTCAGACTTTGCCTATTCCAAACCACTAGAAAAATTTATTGCAACACAGCAATTACTCACATTACAACACACTGAGATTCAATTTGACTGTTATGTTCTTCTTTTAGTAGAAGCAGCTCGGCTGTCTTGTGAAAATGTTCAGCAACTGCAGCAGTAAAGCGAGCTAATGCTCGTATAGCTTGTTGGTGAATGTCTCTCAATCCATTCTGCGGGTCTGAGTCTTCTGCCATGTCTTCTTCGTCGACCCAATCATCATTTTCAGTTTGTGTATCGTCATCTTGAATACATCTCATTGTTGCTAACCAAGTGTCAGTATCTTCACAAACCTGCGGCACAACTTAAGTAGGAAAGTGCAATTTCTTGCAGTCAAAATGATGTTTAACTAGAATACCATACATACCCTAATAAGTTTGGTGTGGGGCACAGGTACCATGAGGCCTCTCATTGCGGCTGTTAAATCCCTTTCCAGTATTTCAATCGAACCTCGGTCTTCATCCTCATCATCATCCTCATCATCTGGAATATCGCACTGTTCTTTCACCTGTATTAATTTTCGTTGAAACTCGACAAGTGGAGTACCAGATAAAGCAACAAGCTTTGCCTCCAGCTTCATTTGACACGTATTTGAAAGCATTTCAAGAGCTTCCAAATGAACCATGCCTGTAAGATTTTGAAAAATAAGCTAATTTTCCAAATTATTGGGAAATTTTTCACTTATTCTAAAAACTTAAAAGAAAATTACCTCTGTAATCATCAAAAAGTGTTTCAAAGCGAGCTCTTGATGCATGCTTAGCCTCAGCTCTTTCTTTGTCTTCAATTTCAGCCCTACCACGAGCCTCTTTCAAGACCTAAGAAAAATGAGACCTTTAGCAAGTTGCCAGAATTAAAATTTTACATCATCCACCCCATTATTTTTATACCTGTGACAAAGTCGGTTTATCTGGTTCCCTAGAGAAAAGAGCACGCTTCTTCTTGAGTCCTGGGTCGCCTTCCTGTAAAACATCCATTGTCTTCTTCCCAAGAGACTCAAGTGTGTTCAGTCCACTCGTAACAATCATTTCTCCTGTTGACTCCACAAATTTAAGAACATTTCCCATCACATTGAAACCAGATACAGTCTGTCCTGCCGCACAAGTTTCTTCACCTTTAAGGTTCACTGTAATCAATTATTTGCACTTATAATACTGTAATGTATCTACTTAATATTACCTCATAAAGTAGGTTCTTGGTGGAACTCACTTGATTTGTCAGTTTCAACACTAATTCTGGCCATTTCTTGTGGATCTTCAGCACCAAGCCCTGACTCTATGACTGATGATACAGTTGACAAGCCCTGTGTGACATGACTTGAGACAGACGATGCCCCAGACATGATTGTACTCATTCCCCATTGTCCCCATGAACCCCAACCACTTCCATGCTTCTCAGCTGTAGAATCAGTGGCCTAAAAAAGATAGGTGTTGAAAATAAAAATTTATAAGGCATATTTGTTGCTGAGCAAATGCTGTTTTCAAACTAAGATTCCGATACAAACCTGATCAGGTGTGTCCACCACATCCAAAGATGATAGCTTGTCTAGAAGAGGTCTGATGGAGTCGTTGATCTCTTCATGGTCAGCAGAGCCATTATCACTCCACGAAACTTTTGTCTTCTCATGGAATTCTTTTTTATCTAAGGCACCAATTTCACTTGGCAATATACTTGATGGTGTGATTTTTACTCCCAACTTGCCAGAGCCAGATTTTTTTTTCTGACCACCATCAACAAGATTTGGACGGCTAGTGTTTGATACTCCTACATCTTCTGAGTCTTTATGTCTGTGTCTGGACTGGGATTTAGTTTTACTTTTAAGTGGCATTTTCGGCTTAGCTCCAAGAGAATCTGGGTTTGGGGCAGTCGCAGAAGGTGGTGAGGCTGTGCTTGATGGCAGGGAAGCAGTTTCTTGAGAAGCAGGCCGAGGAGGAGAAGCTTCATGTTTTTCAGGACTCGGAGTTCTACACTTCTGATGACTCTGGTCCTGATATTCCAAAGGCTTCATGACCTCTTCATCCGCACTTTCAAAATCTTCACTTTCTGAGTTTGCCATGTCGTTGATTCACCTGGAATTAGTCACACTACATAGATTGAGCTGATACAATAAGTGTGACATTTTTTAGTGATAAAGCCAGTTGCCGGTAAAATTCGAAGTCAACATTGGAGTTAAACAGTGTGTTTTGGACGTTAGCTACGTTCCAAGTTCCAACGAAGCTACACTGTTTCTTTGACGTGTGGAACCAAAACAACGAATCGATCGTGGGGCAAAAATAATCCGGACTGATGAGTTTTTAAAGCTCACCTTGAATTTGATGAGAGAATAAATCGATGCGCTGAGTTATAGGCTTGCTACAAAGTAAACGATGTCGAAGCAACAGTATTGTGACAATATTTGAGCCATCACCGTCGTTTCACGTCTTCCAGCCAGCCCAGCAGAAGCAGCAGAAACATAACACTGGCGTCGTTATTGGCAGATGTGTTGCCGTCGGTGTCGGTGCATGAGAAAGTCAGAAGTCAGAAAAAGTGTCTGCTTGTCCATTGACACCACATTGGCTTGAAACTTCTACGCAATGGATGTCAAGAATAGGAGTGTCCACAAAAAAATAGAATCCAAGCAGAAACGGGCAATACAATATATTTCTGCTGAAACTAATATTGTGTTAGGACAAGAACCTACCAAGGTAACTTCGATCATTGCCATGCTGCAATAGGGTTATTTTGACACTATTTGGTTCAATTTATGTATGTTATGCTTTTGTGTTTCAGCATATTTTGATTTGTAATGCTGGACTAGCTCTTAGGCTTTCACAGGAAGACGTTATTCAAACATTTTCGAAGTATGGTACCATTGAGTCTGTTGTCATGTTGCCCAACAAAACGTATTGCTTTATGTCATTCTTCGACAAATCCGATGCTATTTCAGCTTACAATGCTCTACATGGGAAGTGCTTCTTCCCTCGCACTGAAACCCTCATGGTTTTGGCCTTTGCTGTTCAAGGTAGGGTGCTGTTAGAATAGAAAGTTGTAATAAATAAGGATAAATGTAACTTTTTCTGTAACATCTCCCTCAGTGCCTCAAATTCCTAATGAGTGGGCGGCACTTCCCAGAGAGACTCCCCCTGGAATGATTGTTCTTGAAGATTTTGTGACTCTTGAAGAAGAGGCAGCTCTTGTTCAGTTTTTGAAGTGGAATGACCAAGAAGGCCAATTGAAACAACGCCAAGTGCAACACTTTGGCTATGAATTTCGCTATGGTCTTAATGATGTTGATGATGAAACGCCGCTAGAGAATGGCATTCCACCGATTTGTGACTTTTTACAACCCCGTCTGGCCACACGAGGACATTCCAAATGGAACTTTCATCCTGATCAGTTAACTGTGAACAGGTACCTTCCAGGGCAAGGTGAGTTTTCTTTATTCACTTTGTTGTAATTTCAATTTCACAGTTGTTCTTTTATGTGTCAACTTCCTTTCAGGCATACCTCCTCATGTGGATACACACAGTGTCTTTGAAGATCCTATACTTTCTCTGTCATTACTGTCTGATGTTGTAATGGAATTCCGTGATATTTCTGGGAGGAAGATACCTGTACTGTTACCGCAACGTTCTCTTGCAATAATATCAGGGGAATCCAGGTCAGTAAAATGGTCATTTATTGTTAGAGCAACTAATTTAGTTCCCGCTTATCCTGTCTGACATACATTCCATTACAGGTATGGTTGGACTCATGGCATTGCATCTCGTTCACATGACATTGTTTGTGCGGACAACAATAAAGGACTCACTTTACTACCTCGACAAGAACGTGTTTCATTCACGTTTCGATGTTTGCGCCCCAAGAGGGAGTGCTTTTGTTCCTTCCCTGGGCTTTGTGACAGTCAAAAGCAAAATTTATTTAGCCAGCAATTGGATGCTATTCACTTGGAAAAGCATTTTGTGCGTCATGTACGTTCAGCTCTCCTGATTGCCAACTCTTATTTCATTTTTGCTGATTTTAGAACCTTTCAACAGTTTCATTTTTTCATGTTTTTTTTTTTTAAGGTTTATGAAGAAATTAGTGACCATTTTAGTGAGACAAGACATAAACCATGGCCAAACATTGTTGAGTTCTGTAAAACTTTCAGAACTGGGCAAATTCTTATTGATGTTGGCTGTGGCAATGGAAAATATTTTGGTCAGCAAGCAGAAAATGTTTCCCTCTATCAGGCAAGAAAACTAGCTTACTTTCTCTGTATGACATCACTCCGTTCATGTATAGCCATTCCTTAAAACTTTTTTGTCACAGGTTGGCATTGATGCCAGTGCGCATCTCGCAGATGTCTGCACACAGAGAGGTATAGAAGTCATGAATGGAGATTGTGTAAATCTTCCATTCAGGACAGGGATTGCAGATGGTGTTCTGTGTATTGCAGTTATCCATCATTTGGCATCACATGTAAGTGTTCCTGTGAGCTTGCTGTCATTAGAAACTATTAAGTACACAGCCCTCAAACACAATGGTAATCTTGCAGGAAAGAAGACGGAAAGCAATTCAAGAAATTGCTAGGGTGCTTTGTAAAGGAGGACGAGCACTAATTTATGTTTGGGCCAGAGATCAACAATCTCAAGATAAAATGTCAACATATTTGAAACAAAGCCGTAAAAATCGACATCTGAAGCCAACTTCATCTCAGACTCAGGAGGATTCTCAAAATTGTGCCAACAATCCAGGGAACTTGAGTGAAAGTGACTCAAATGACCACAGAAGTGACCTGCCATTACCTGTCCATATAAACCGCACAAATTTCAAACACAGTGATGTGCTTGTGCCATGGAAGTTAAAAGGTGTACAAAAGTCAAGTGAAAGTAATCAGCAAACATTTTTCAGGTATTATCATGTTTTTGAGGCTGATGAGCTGAAAGAGCTTTGTAGTGAGGTGCCTCAAGTACAGGTATTGGAGACTAAATATGATCAAGGAAACTGGACTGTGTTGTTAAGAAAACTGCCTTAAATTTTAGTTGTTTGACAATGTATTTTGAGCAATATTTTCTAAGTTCCTGAGCGAGCAGAGAGTGATCCCCTTTTCTGATTCCGTACCTTCACGATTCTTCGGTTCTTCAACAAATGCAAAGCATATTTTTAATAAAAGACAAAACGTAAAATTGTGGTCACTACTTTTGCCTCCACCTCGACCCGCCCCGCCTTCACTCGGGCCAGCTGAGCGCTCTGCCCTCTATCTTGAGTCGGAACGGATGCGTCGAGTACTTGTGCGGGTTGGCGAGCAGCTCCTTGACTCTCTGTTGGTACTTCTCCTCCTCCTGGGCGGCCCGCTCCCTCTCCACGCGCGCCTCGTGCGCCTGCCGCTCCTGCAAACAGGGAGTGCGTTTGCACAGCCATCAGCAGCCTGGGCAGCGCGCAGCGTGGCGCACAGTGGGCCAGAAGACCGGTGGAGGCGGCCAAAACTCTAGACGCGTTTTGAGCTCCAGAGTCGCTAAATGGGACTCGAACCGAACGTGTGACCCCACCAATGGATTGCTCTTCAAACGAGGAATCCATTGATGGGGTCACACGCTCGGTTCGAGCCCTGTTGAGCGACTCTGGAGCTCAAAACGCGTCTAGAGTTTTGGCCGCCTCCACCGGTCTTCTGGCCCACTGTGTGGCGCAGCGACGTGGCGAGGCGGAAAACAAAGCCAATCACCTTGAGCAGCTGCTGGTACTTGATCTGCTTGTGCAGGTCGTCGGCGTACTGCCGCCGCTCTTCGGCCTTGCGCTGCCGCAGCTCGCTGGCCAGCTGCATGTTCTGCTCGCGGCACTGCGCCACCCTGCGCGCCTCCGCCGCCACCTCCTGGGCTTCCCTGGCGCGCTGCATCTGCGCCGCCTCCAGCTGCTCGCGGCGCCCCGCCAGCGTGTCCTGCGGGAGTACCAGTTCGCGGGTTCAACCCCCATCCGCGCCCGCAGCCGGCTCTCTCTGTCACACTCAAGGGGCGTCCCGGATGGTTGCGAGTACCTACCTGCAGCATGCGCTTGCGAGCCGCCTCCATCCTGCAGCGCCGCTCGTCCTGCTCCCGGAGGACGGCCTTGGCGTGGTCGTCGCGGATGCGCTGCTCCTCCGCGTCGGCCAGCTCCTGCTGCTTCTTGAGCGCCGCCACGTGCGCCAGGAACATCTTGGTCTCGGCGGCCGCGTCCGCCTGCAGGCCGAAGGACGCGTGAGGCTGACGGCAGGCAGGGCAGGTCACCTAGGGGATGTGCTGCCCCTACCGTACCTTGGAGCGGTCCGCCTTCTCCTCCAGGATCTGCTGCCGCGCGCGCCGCGCCATGGCCTCGTCGGCGACGGCGGCCTTGTCGGCCTCCTCGGCCAGCGCGCGCTCCCGCTGCTTGATCTGCTCGGTGAACAGCTGCTGCAGCTCCTCGCGCTGGCGGCGCCGCCGCGCCAGCCCTGGGGGAGGACACGACGGCCGTCATCAGCCGAGCTCTGTCTCTCCCGCCTGTATGAGTGCGAGGGGGGCAGCGCTAGACAGGGGCGGGGATCTCGTACCGGCCAGGCGCTCCTGGTGCAGCTCCTCCCGCAGCCGGTTGAGTCGCTGCGTCCCCTCAGCCATCTCCTCCTCCTTGAGGCGGTCGCCGCGCTGACGCTGGTACTCCACTTGCTGCTGCAGGGCGTCGCACAGCGCCTTCTTGCGGGCCAGCTCGTCACAGGCCTCCTGCTCCTCGCGCGCCATCTGCCCCGATAAAGAGAGGCGGGTGTTTGAACTTCGAACGCGTTGCACGTTTGGGACTTCCCCCCTACGCGACGCCCGGCCCACCTGCGCCTGGAGGGTCTTGAGCTGCAGCGCGTTCTGCAGGCGCTGCTCCTCGCGGCGCGCCTCGCTCTGCTCGTGCTTGTCCCTCATCTGACCCAGGTTGACCTCCTTGCAGGCCAGCGTGAGCGCGGCGCGCTCGGCCAGACGCAGCGGCTCGATGCGCTCGCGGTCCTGCTTCTCCAGGCACGACGCCACCACCTGCACAGAGGGGGAAGTCCGGTCTCTCTCGCACTCCAAGGGAACGCCCCGTGAGTGCGAGAGAGACAGAGCGACGAAAGCACAGCTAGGGGGTGCTGCACCGTTGCTGCACCTTCTGGCGGTCTTGCTCGGTGCGCTGCTTGAGCACGGCAGCGTGGGTCCGCGCCTCCTGCAGGCGGTCCACCATGGCGCGGGCGGCCTGCTCACTTAGCTCGCCCTCCGTCTGCAGGCCCTCGGCCACGAGCATCTTCCGCAGCCTGCGCGGACAGCGGACACGAAGGTTGACAGTCAGCCTGCACACTGGTTCCGAAAGTCGTTTCTGTCGCTGTGTCTCTCTCGCACTCTTGGAGCGTACCGCTCAGGTGCGAGAGAGAGCGACGGAACCGACTTGGTCTGGGGGATGCTCACGCCTCTCTGCGCCGCAGCAGGTCCAGGTGCACGGACCGCACCGAGGCCTCGGCCAGGGCGCGCGCCTGGCCGTGCATCACCTTGGCGCGCGTCGACTCCTCGAACTCCATGGACAGCGCCAGCCTCTCGCGCTGCCGCCGGTCCGTCGTCTCCACCACCACCTCGTCGCCCGCCGCGTGCTGCTGCGCCTCGTACTGCTGGCGCAGCGTGTCCGCGCCGGGCGGCCGCATCACCTGGAACAGGACGACGAGGAGCTAGAGCAGGCGGAGCAGGCCTCGAGGGCAGCACGGCCTCGCGGCACACCGGCCCAGTCCAGTGCGGTCCTCGTCCCGCCAGCCCCGCCCCGCCCCGCCCCGGACGCAGCAATCGAGGACGCAGCCACGCAGCCGGTGCCAACTGGAAAAGCTTCAGCCCTTTAGGGCCTGCAGGCCGAGCCGAGCCGGCCCTGCACAACAGACTGATCAAGGGCCTCTCGGGTCAGGGCTCCCGCGGCCTTGCTGGCGAGCTCACTCCACTGGAGGAGGTCCAGGATGTCGCCAAGGACTCGTGCGCAGCCAACAGGAAATTTTTTGGGGGGTTTCGTGGAATTTTCGGCTGACGACATTGGCAGCCGCCGAGTGTGTATTTTCTCTGGCTCTGCCCCGCGCTCTTGACGGAAAATGCGTCATTCGAATAGTCGAAGGTCGAGCACTGCTTGCTCGAGCCGGCGTCTCTCGGTCACGACATGGCCGCCGCGCCACGCCGCCCGCCGGTAGAGAGGTAGAGAGGGCCCCCAAATTGCAGCCCGGGCCATTCCACAGGTCTACACTCTGGTCTACACCGGGCCCGCGCGCAACCGCCAACTTGCACCCGACACCCTTCAGGGTGGCCATTGACGCTCGATGGCGGCCGTTTTAGGGTGGAGGGCGGTGCACTAGGTGCACTGCACCACGTGCCGATGGTGTCGGACTCGTCGGACTGCACCGCGACGGTCAGCGGGTCGAGTGCTTCCTTCGGGCGGTGTGGGTGCGCGGCGCGCGGCGACGCTGCGGGGAGAGCATCAAGACCATGTCCGCGCCCCTCGCCGTGGCGTCACTCCTCGTCGCCCTCATGGCCGCCTGCGCCCCGGCAGAGGTGAAACTGGAACCCCGGGGACGGTCGGGACGCCGCCGGACAGAACTGCGTACTAGCCCCACGTGATTTGCACTGCTTGCAGGCCCAGCTGAACGGGGCCGAAGGCGCCGGGGAGCTGTTCAAGGCCCTGAACAACCTCGGCAGGTGCAGGGAGGCCACCGGGACCACGGAGGGTACGCGCCGCTCTCTACCCTCGTCGCGGGGAGGGGCGACAAGTATGTAATGTTGTTGTTGTTGCTGCAGATGAGGTGCGGCGCATGATCGAGACGCACCGGGTGCCGACCTCACGCAACGGCCAGGTGAGTCTTTTGTTGTTGTTGTTGTTACATCGATCGATCGGGCGCCTTAGAGAACATTGATGAGGATGGTGGCGGCGAACGCGTGAGGCGGCGCCTTGTTCAGCAGAGTAGGGAATGGGAAATGCTTTTTACCCGTCCGGGGGGATGGTCACCCCCACCTACAAGCGTGTGCTGAGCTAGTTGCCTACCCCACGAAGTGTCCCGGGGTTAGAGCTCTCCTTGCGATGGAATACTAACACGAATTCTCTCGGCGCAGTGCCTCATCGCGTGCATGGCGGAGACGTACGGAGTGGTGAGTACTGACTAAGGTGTCGCTCTGAGCGCGCCCACCCCACCCCACCCTCGGCGCGGTGTGCTTGATTGACGGATGGCCGCGTTTCAGATGAGGGAGGGCCGGTTCAGCGCGGACGCGGCCATGCAGCTGGCGGACAACATGCTGCAGAAGATCGGCCAGATGAGCGGCAGCCTCCGCGGCGAGATCCAGCACGTCATCAAAACGTGCAGCAGTGCGGGTGAGGCGGTCGACGGCCGGCTTTCTGCCCGAATCATTCTCGTTTTCTTTCACTTCTGGGGCCTTTTTTCGTCTGAAAAGGGAATGACCTTCTTTGGCGACAGGCACGCCGGACATGGACGCCTGCGAGACGGCGGCCAGCGTGGCGAATTGTGGCGTCGAGGAGTCGAGGAAGGTAAGCCGCGCTGTCCCCCTCGCCCCGTGAGTGCGAGAGAGACTGTCCGGTCAGTGACTCCTAGTGCTGCCATTGATCGACATGCCTGTCATCGCCACCACCAACATGCCGCGCTATCCGGCGCTGTCCACAGATGCGCACGATGCGGGGCCACGAGAGGAGTTCGATAAGCCGCTTCGGCTGAGCGCCAAGTGAAGCCGACCGCCCCCACGACAGGGCAACTTACCCTACCCTCGCCCGCCGCCCAGGCAACCCTGCCAGACGCGACGCGGCGACGCACGCGGTGACGCCACCACAGCGCCGTTCCGCGCCGAGATGTGCGCTCCACGTTTGTGATATACGAAATGTGAAATAAAACGTACAACATGTCTCCCACACTGTGTGACACTCACGTGGCCCCAGCTCCCGGCGATGTTGCCCCGCACGTTCCTCGGCCGGATCATCTGCTCGGGCGGCGGCAGCGGCGGCGCCACGGCCTGCCGGCTGTGGAAGCTCATGGCCTGAAACACCAACACGAGGAGGCTGAAGGGGAGGCGGGTGCGGTGGTTGCCTGGCCGCGCGGGGAAGCCCCCCAAGCCCAGCGCCTTTGCGGGGGGGGGGGGCTTTGGCCTCACACACACAATCGCACGCACACGGACGCAAGAGAGACAGACCTCGCTGCTGCTCGCAGAGAAGCAGCCTTTTCTTTTGGGACGCCGATTTGCGTGAGATGCCGGCGGAAACTCACGGTAGGGTCCTTCGGCGCAGAAGGCCGCTCAGAGGGAAGGCTCCACGCGTATCACGACGCGATGCGTAGCCGCCCCATCCGCTTGACGCGCAAACACTGCCGGCGACGGCGCATGCTACGCAGTGCACGCAGTCTGCGTAACGCGTTGCTAGGAGACGCGCATCGACGCGGCCCTGGCCCTGGCCCTGCTCGGTTCACCCCCTTCTTCTCCGTGCACCCGGGTCCTCAGCTCAGAGCAGTCCTGTCCTGGAGGAGCACGCGAGCATGGCGAACATGGAGGCAATCCAGGGATCGATGTCCACGAAACGCGTCGGCAGTGCGCCCGGCGTGCCGTGGGCTCGGCGCCGCAAGCTCACCTTCTTCTCGTACAGTAAGTGGGCGGCTCTAGCCTTGCTTTACTTCGGGCGGGACCGAGGCCTCGACGAGATCGGCACCAAGCGTGAGGAGGGGCTGCCCTCCTCGCGACAAGTTCAGACAGGAGCAGTAGTACTTCGAAGCGCCTGGAAATGGCATTCCCCCTGGACGGCAACCAGCAAACGAGGCACTGCCGTCACCCGAGACGCGATTTCCGTGCGAATTGTCACGGAATAGTCTCTTCTAGTCTTTTGCTTTTTTCTGAAAATATTTTGACCGAGCCGAATGCGTGCCCATGGCCCAATTTAGCTAAAACTCGGGCAAATCGGCGACACGTCTGACCACGTCTGACCGCTTGTCCCTTCCCTCTCCCCCCTCCAGTGCGGCGGCAGCAGCGCCTGCAGCGCTCCGGTCTTTTCAAGCTCAAGCGGAGAAGCCCAAACATCAAAATGGCGGAGTCCAAAATGAGCGCAGAAATATGGAAATCGTGGGATAGGAATGGAAAAACAGAGTTGTAAGTGAATTTTATGCCACAGAATTTTGGACTGCATGGTGCTTTTACCCGACAATTTGAAGCTCCTCGTTTATTAGCTGTACTTATCATGTGCCATGTTTTGTAAACATCTCTTAGGCCTAGTCCCTATGACCCCCACATTTCATCAAGCTAGAGCGTTGTAATTACTGTATTTGTTCATAGATTAGTTACCAGTTTGATCATTTCTCTTTCTTGCGATCAATACCGTTGGTTCCCTCGGTTGTGCCCACCAAATAGGGGTTGGTTATCCTAACCTCCAAGTTCCTCTTGTGCTTTCCCTTTCAAAGTAACACACATCCGGTTTTCCAATAGTAATTCGAATGCTTTGTGTTTGGAAAGTTCCGTGCGGCCCCTTTTTTGTCGCTTGGTGACATTCCTACCTGCCACCCTTTCAAAGAAAATTTAATCTGAGTGAATACCCCATTTTTCCTGCCCCAATGTACTGGATGCCTATCAGAAAGTACTGAATTAATCTCAAGGACCTTCAATTTTTCTCTTTAAGGATCTTAACAAACAAGTTGTCACATATGCCAAGTTTATTTTTAGTAAATAAGTTCTTTGTTTCACAGCTTGTCTAAGTGTGCTGCTGTGCTGGAATCTTCAGATGAAAGTCCTGTATTTGCGACAGGAAAACATACCTCAGGTATTCATTTTTTCAATATTGTTTCCTGAACAATTTGGTTTCAACGTGTACAACAGGTACTCCAGTGTTCCTATTGTCTTTTCAGATCTAACAAGATGGACTTACGAACTGCTTACAGCAGCTCTCAGTGGTCAAGTTCGGAAAGAATCAGCTCTTGCTGGACTAGAAGAACTGTCTGTAAGTACAATGGAAGGTAGTAGTCTTCTATTCCTTGGGTGCTGGCCTTTTGACTCAATATTTTAACTGTGTTCCAGGCTTTACACCCAGATTTGCCATCTTTGATCTTAGATGTATTTTGTATTCTTGATGCCGAAACTTGTAGCTCTGAAGTTTCTGAAGAGCGATTGCGTTTTCACTTCTTATTAAAAGAGTCAGAAAAGGTATAATCTCTTTCACGAAATTTATCTTGGATTCGTCCTTGTTGAATTGTAACACTGGATACTAATTTTCATTGTTTTAGTTTCTGTCCGATAGGCTTCTTAAGGAACGAGGAGAGATTGATACTCTCCAAGAGGTTGGAACTTTGAAAACCAAAGCATTCTACACTAAATTCATCAAAGTGAAAACAAAGCTGTAGTAAGTTCTTTGGTCTCTCTTTCTGTATAGTGCAGTTTATTTTTAACAAGTGTGACCTTATCTATTTGTAATTTTATTTTTTTCAGCTACAAACAGAGAAAATTTAATCTGTTTCGTGAAGAAAATGAAGGCTATGCTAAACTTATTGTAGAACTGAACCAAGGGTTGTCAGGTGACCCAGCTGTTACATTAGAATCAATTAAATCACTTATAGGTAAATGTGCTTTTGTAGCTCTTCATTTGTGTGCTGTTATGTACTTGGCATTATTGAAATTTTCTTTTGGTTTTAAATTTTTACAGGATGCTTCAATTTGGATCCCAATAGAGTATTAGACGTCATGTTAGAATCTTTTGAATGTAACCCCAGGGAGCACAAATATTTTGTTCCTTTAGTCAAGTCCTACATGCCTGATTCAAAGATATTAAGTGATGTTTTGGGATTTAAATTTTCCCTTTACCAAGGACCAGGTGCTGAAAAAACTCCAAAGTCCTTATACATTCTCACTGCTTTGATGCTGCAGTATAAACTCATCACCCTTGAAGATTTACTTGTCTGGGTAAGGTGTCCTTCATTAAATTGTTAGCTATGATAAGAAATGCATTAGAAGGGTGATTAACACCTGATGCTTTCCTCAGCTGGTGCCAGATGATGCTGCTATTTTCAAAGACTGGGAAACAGAAATGCAAGATGCAAGAGAACAGATCCGGAAAATGAATGTAGTTTCCGTCAAAGACAAAGATGACAAGAAAGATGAACCTGTTGAGGAGAAGGAGACCCCAGCTGAAAAGGTAAGTGGTGCAAATGTACCTTTAGTAGTAATGTTACTTACAGGTAAAGGTTCTGTTGTTTTAACTTCTGAATTTTGTTGCAGTATGAAGGCAATCAAAAGTTTGGTCTTTGTGAAGCTCTAATGAACTTGGGCGCTTGGTCAGTTATCAAGGACTTGTGCAAGAAATTCCCAGATCATTACCTCATGGAACAGCCAACAATATCGAGAGCAATGTGCAATTTATTACATGTTATTATTGATCCTCTGTACAAAACGTAGGTGTGGGATACCCTTTTGTGTCCAGTTCAGATGAGTGGTACATGTCTGACTTTACTTGTCCTGTTTCCAGGGAATGTTCTCTGGGCCCAAAAATAAAGGGCAAACCAGTGCCAAAACCTGAAATAATTTTAGCTACTCCACAAGTTTTTACCTTTGAAGAACTAAAAGACAATGTAGTGTCCATGTTTCAACTACTTGGTCCATACATCTATGTTGATCCTGTTCTTTTGGCCAAACTTATCAGAATATGTAAAAGTGCATTATCAAAGGTTTGTATTTCTGAGAGATTATAGTGACGCTATTGTGGTGTTCATTGTCTTTCTCTAAGTTTATGTTTTACATCTTTCAGCTTGATTTGGATGGGAAGAAAACATTACCAACTGATGCTCCAATGTACTATGAAGTAATGACTCTTCTTGATGAGTCAATTCTCCCAGCACTTTCCTTTATGGATGGTAATTGCTGCATTGCGGAGGATATTTGGAATGTATTAAAATTATACCCTTACACGCATAGGTAAGTTGAAAGAACTAGATGAGTAATGTGGGATCAATGACCATGACAATGTCAATTAATTATTGTCCTCTTGCAGGTACTTAATGTATGGTAGGTGGAAGAATGATTCATACCAATACCATGCAAAGCTTATGGTCCGCCGTGCTGATGCTCACAAAAAGATAAAGTCTATCATGAAGAGAGTGAGCAAAGAAAATATCAAGCAGATTGGTAGATTGATTGGTAAAATGACCCACAGCGCTCCAGGTTTCATATTTGATTATGTAGGTTACCTCTGCTTCATTATTTCAACGTTCAGTTTATTCATTTGAAATTTCTACTGTATAAACTTGTTTTTTTTTTCTTCTTCTTTATTCAGATGCTTCTGCAAATCCAATTATATGATAACTTGATTGGACCTGTGGTCGATTCACTGAAGTACCTTACATCATTATCTTATGATGTTCTTGCTTATTGTTTAGTGGAGTGTCTCACCCAAGCAGACAAGGAACGAGACAGAGTCAAACATGATGGAACGTCAATATCAATGTGGCTTCAAAGTTTGTCTTCATTTTGTGGTGCTATTTTCAAAAAGTACAATATTGAGCTGTCTGGCCTTTTGCAATATGTTGCAAACCAGCTGAAATCCCAGAGAAGGTTCCTATTTTCTCTTTTACCAGTCAATGCATGATATGGCTGTAAAGTTTAGTGAACTGTTTTTTAACGATCATCCTCCTTTTCATTTAGCTTGGATTTACTTATTCTCAAGGAGATTGTGCAAAAGATGGCTGGCATTGAGGCTGCTGAAGAGATGACGGCTGAACAGCTTGATGCTATGGCAGGTGGAGAAATGCTGAAAGCTGAGGTGAGTGTGATGCATGACCTGCAGTTTCATTTGTGGTTTCAACACCCACAACTTATTCACTTCTACTTTCAGGCTGCATATTACAGTCAAGTTCGAAATACCAAGAAGTCATCTACTCGCCTAAGAGAAGCACTGGCAGACCAAAACCTTGCTGTCGCTTTGTGTTTGTTGATGGCACAACAGCGTTATAATGTTGTGTACCACGAAACAGAAAATTCCCATCTTAAACTTGTTGGGCGATTGTATGACCAAGCTCAGGATACTTTGGTTCAGTTTGGCACTTTCTTAGGTCTGACCATGTCTGTTGAAGAGTATGTAAACCGCCTACCTCCAATAGACAGTTTGCTTTCAACTTATCATATTCATACGGATGTGGCGTTTTTCTTGGCAAGACCTATGTTTAACCACGCTATCAATGTAAGTTGATTGAAGTTTCCTTCAGTTGATATGTGTATCCAGTATTGTTGGCTAATTTTTTAAACATTTTTTTTTCCTAGAACAAGTATGAAATATTGAGAAAGTCGGATCCAAATGGAAAGAAATTAACTGTAGTTCAGAAACAGCAAAAGTATGTGGAGGCTGCAGCAGCAGTTATGGGGCCTATTGTTGAGTCTGTGAAGCCTCTTCATCCCCTGAAGATCTGGGAAGATGTATCACCACAATTTTTAATAACATTCTGGTCTCTTACTATGTATGATCTTCATGTTCCTGTTGAGGCCTACAATAAGGAAATTGCCAAAATGAAACAGTTAGCTGTTCAGGCTTTGGAGTCTAAGGATATGGTAAGATGAGTTGGGGCCTGTTTGCTGTATGTTGGTGTGCTTTATTATTAATTAATAGATTTGAGTTTCGACTATTTTGCTTCATGATATTTTCTTCTTGTTTTGCAGCCATCAAGTAAAAGCAAGAAGGAACACGAACGTTATATAGCACTTCAGGAAAAGATACAAGATGAAAAGAAAAAGCAGCAAGAACATGTAGACAGAGTTCTTGCCCGCCTTCGTCATGAAAAAGAGGCTTGGTTTCTTTCTCGATCTGCCAAAGCTGCAAAAAATGAGACAATCACCCAGTTCCTTCAGCTCTGTTTGTTCCCACGGTGCATTTTTACCATGCCAGATGCTATGTACTGTGCTAAATTTGTGCATACTATACACAGCCTCAAGACAGCCAACTTCTCAACATTATTGTGCTATGATCGCCTGTTTTGTGATATCACCTACTCTGTGACTTCATGTACAGAAAATGAAGCTAATCGTTATGGACGGTTCTTAAATTCAATGCTAGAAACTGTGATGAGATGGCATTCAGACAAAGCCATCTTTGAGAAAGAATGTGCCAACTACCCAGGCTTTGTTACCAAGTATAGAGTTAGCAACCAATTTTCTGAAGCTTGTAACCTTGTAGGATATGAAAACTATCGCCATGTGTGTCACAAGTGGCATTACAAGATCACTAAGGCCATGGTTGTGTGTCTTGACTCGAAGGATTATGTGCAAATCCGAAATTCACTCATCATATTAAGGAACATTTTGCCTCACTTCCCAGTTTTAATCAAACTTGGCCACATCATTCAAAAGAAGCTGGAAAAAATATGTGAAGAAGAAAAGAGCCAACGACAGGATTTGTTTGCTCTGGCTATGAGCTACATTGGTTTGCTGAAGGCAAAGTCCAGTCAAATGATACCTGAATCTAGCTTCCATCAAGTAGGAGACAAGCAACAACGCATGGATGCTGCTGCTGCATCAGCTTCTAAACCTAGTGGAGGAGGTGGAGGTGGAGGCTCTGGTGGTGGTGGAGTTGGAACACCAGCAGGGTCTGCAGATACCAAGTCAATAAATGGTGATTCAAAAGGTTTGTTAACTTTTCAATGAACGCTTAATACAGCTTATTGTGATTCAGGGCTTCATTTGTTTGTTATGTGTGCTTTAGACAAAACTACCTCTGCTGTGAGAGAGAAACGTCCAATCCTTGCCCCTACTCCTACTAAAGGACCATCCCAGCAAAATGCTTCATCAGATTCTGACTTGACCGCAAGGTATTCTCATTGAGTCACAATTAAGTAGTACTTGCTGTTAGCACTTATTGTTAATGTGTTTTCAATTGTGATCCAGGACTATCAAGGATGAGAAGAAGAAAGAGAGAGATTCACACAGTCACAGCCGTGAACAGCATCGTGAGGTACGTCTTCTGTGGTGTCTTTTTAATTTGTTGTCATTTGCAAGATGCTAACATTTTTCTGTGTTCATCGTAACAGCGGGACCGTGACAGAGAAATAGAGCCCAAAGAAAAGTTGATGAAGAAGGAGAAAGTCAAGGACAGGGAAGAAGAGAAATGGGAAGATGAATGGCGGGAAAAGCGCAAAGATGAGCGGCATAGGGTAAGAGTAGTCTGTTTTTCTGCACCATGTATGTGGCAGTTAAGTTAAAAGTGTCAGTTTTATTAAAGCTTCTCTTATTCTCAGGAGGAACGTTTCATGGATTCTGAGGAGAGGCACATGTATTCTGAACGTGACAGAGATCGTGACCGAGGTCGTGACAGAGAAAGAGAAAGAGAACGAGAAAAAGAAAAAGACAGAGACAACTCTCATTACTCTGTGGCAGACGATAGAGAATTAAGTTCTGTCAGCAATAGTTCAGCGGGCTCAGCTCACCGGCGGAGCCAAGAGCCCATTGATGCTGACAGAGGTATATTTCATTTATCCTATAATTTTGTACTTTTCTTATTATTTTAATATTATACGTTCCTAACTTTTTTCTTTAATTATGTAAATATAGATGTTAAAAGAAGAAAGACAGATGCCAGCTCCTCGTCGAAGGTTAGTATCCAGGTCTGCTGATGTAAGTGTATCTCCTCAGCTGATACATCCCTGTCCCATGGATTCTACATTCTACGATGCCTTCTTAATCGGAGTTACAAGCACCATCACCAAGACCATCACTGTGAAGCTTCCAGTCTATCCGGTTGAAGACTTATGATCATTCCAGCTCATATTCTGGATATGAGACAAACTGGGCTCGTATCTAGTTGTTTCTGTTCTCATCCCTGCTTTACCAAAGATTCGAGACAAAATTGACTTCGCAAGCAGATTTCATTCCTCCGTCTGCTCCAGAGTATTACTTTTCTTAAAAAATAAGTGCTGCATGAGTTGCTGTGGGACATTATGTAGAAGAATGAAGATGTCTAAGTGTTGTGTGATTATTGAAGATGTTAGGCCAAGATTATTTGACTGCTCTTATCTTGAAGATTGTCATGGTGTGCAAAGAAGATATTTTGCCGAATTTCATAAATGAAAGAGAAGAATCAAAAACTTCACAAACTCATTTGTCATATTTCTTTTTTGTAATTCTTTCCTGTGTATCTGTGGTGACCATTGGTGTAGTGTTTCTGGTAAGTGACCAGCCAGATTATGCTTTCTGCTATTTGTCATAACTTCAGAATAGTTTTGTTTGTTAGAGGGGTCACATTGTCATATCAAAAGGATGTTTGAATCCCAACTATGAAACACTTCTATTTCTTTGTATTTAAACTTCTTTATTGCAATCTTGTTTCCAAAATTATTCTTTTTTAAAACTTGTTTATACTTTGTTTTCATATACCTTTGTGAAATGTGCCAATTCAATCATTTTATATCACTCTTTTTGAATACCTGTTGATTGTGGTGTGCGTTATGGTAATATAACTAGTTTTCTGAAATAATGCAATACCTGGCCGGCAAGTTCAAAATATCTTAATTTTATTGTTGAGCCTTCCCTGATTGGTTACTCTCATACCACTTCCTGAGACATTCCTTTTGGAAGAGGAAATTTAATCTTTCGTCACGTAATTGGGAAGCGATTCTTATGTACCTATCGGGAGGTTCCTTTTCTCAAACTGTAAGTCAATTAAAAATATTTTTCGTTTTGTGTTTATTCCTTCATTCAAGAGTGAAGTCTTTTATTCACATCTACTCTTTATAAGAGGTTTTGTTAGTTCTGGTATCAAATTGTCATCTATTGGACCTGCACTTCACTTAAGACAAACCAACACACATTTTGGGAACTTTTGTGCCCTCTCATGTTAACCCACCACTATTATTGCACATGCATTGGATTCAAGGTAACTATTATTGTTTACTAGGAAGTCATCTCTTAGAGTCTTATTTATTCCAGTGAAGTCTTGTCTTATTCCTGATAGGGTAAGTAAATGCTAACATTTTGACAAGCACCTAGAATTTTATGTTAAGTAATGATGATCAAGTTATTGCAATGTGTGTCCTCTAACATACAAATACTTCCTTACCTTGTTTCCAAAGGAAGTGGAAAATTAACCCTATGATGTGCAGAAGGTTGTGAACATTCTTTAGTTCTTTGGCATTTGGTAGAGAGTTTGATCTGGCCTGTGGTCACAGGGTAATGTAGAAAATGTTCATGTTTTTTGAAGTATTGTGTGAGATGTTTGCAATAATATTTCTTTCCAGAGTGACCGGAAAGTGGCAGCTCAATTAGACTATTTGGATGAAGTGACTGGTGCTATAGGAAAAGAAAGAAGAGAGCGTAGTTCCCGCACCAAGAAGGTAGCACCTGATCCTGATGAAAAGGAACTCCGCAAAGAAAGGAAACTTGGAAGAAAGCGGGTATGTTTTCATCATCTTTAATTTTCAAAACTTGCAACAACAGTCTTTACATTTCAACTTTTTTTTAACCTCAGCAGGATAGAGTTATGGAGGAACCAACCATGGAACTAAAAAGGAGAAAAGATGAGTGTAAGTGTTCTTTGGTATTCAGAGTTGATTTTATTTTTCCGAAAGTCTCTCCTAATTTGTTTTATTTCCCATTCTAGCATCTAAATTAGGCCATCAAAATGGGGATCAAGTTGAATCACACAGAGATAAGCACCGATTTTCAAGAGTAAGACAATTTTTGATTGTGGTTTGATTGCAATATTTTGGGAATTAATATTGATTTCTAAAGTGTCTTGTTTCATTCCTTGCTGACAGGAAAAATCCCCATACTCCCGAGAGCGTTCTCATGAGCGCCTCGAACATGTTGAGAGCAGAGAAAAACAGTATCCTTAAATGGCAACTTTTTAAAAATTTATGTTTGCTCTGTGTCCAATTTTATTTTGTGTTTTCTTAACCTTGTAACAGCAGCCGCAGAACTGTGGATTCCAAGAGAAGATGATGATTCTTCTGCTGCTTGCTGGATCTCAGATTGTGGATGGGCAGTTTCTTTTTTAATGTGTATTTTTAAAACCATCGTTGAAGTCCTCTAGTACTGTTCTGGTGGACTGCTTATGAAAAGGTCCAGGAGGTGGACTGGAAGATGTATTTTTTTCCATGATTTCTTTTTTTTTTTTACCAGTGTTGAGTGCTCTGTAGAGCGTGATTACTACAATTTGTGTTAAAATGAATATTCAATGTAGACATTTGTAACTACTGTTTTTGATGCTATTGTTTGTCCTATTTGGACTTGGAAATGACGATGAGACTGTTTCGGAGATTAAATAGCTTTCGAGTTTTACCATTTTCTATGTTATTCACCTTTGGAAAAGAGAACCCACTGGAGATAGAAGTACACAGTATTATATACAATTCTTTAATTCAGAACTATGCCAACAGAGGGGAATGCATTCAAATATCAAATTCCACAATTTCATGCAAGAAAAAGAAACGAGCTCCTTTGGCTCCTCAGTAGATTGGCAATGACCTTAACTTATACTAGCAATAAAGTTAAATTGGTCCATATACTAAGTTTTAAAACTAGTATAAACAAGATTAGTCAGAACTTTTACATAGTATTACAAACTTACAAAATCATATGGGATCTTTCTAATTATATACATGAATCTTAATCTAATTTGTGACAGTACTTTGCTTGAGCACAAACTAGATATTTATGCACTATTTGACATGTTCATACTGACGATATCATTTACAAACACCAACACAATGAGAGGTGTTACAAAAAATACCTTGATGAGGTCAGCAATACAATGAGACGTTGTTGAGTTGATGGACCACCTGAAGTACTGTATTCCAGGAAGTTAAATAAAATACCAACAGAAAATATAAATGAAATGATGAGAAGATGTCTGAATGTAGCTGAAAAAATCTCGTACTATAATACAAATGCACAAGCTGTCAAAAGAGCTAGTACCTGAACTGATTCTATTTTGGGGCTTTTTTATAATCCAGCGCTTAATAATGTGGGGAGCAAGTAAAATTCTCAAGAGGTTTACTGCTATAAGCTGCCCTACATTCATTCATTCATTTTGAATTCAGAAACACTCATGCAAAACTTATCACAACTTTTAAACTGCACTAAAAGAACGACTAGAATATCAAGGATGAATCGTAAGTCTTTGCTCTATTCTTACCTGAGAGTTGAAATAAATTAAGTCAGTATTGAGTCCTCGTGACATGGGAAAAACAACCTTATAATTCTTAAAAGCCAGACTTGGACCATAAAAGGAGTTGTGGTTTTTCTCTAACAAATTTAAAATGTGATTTGGAAATTTTAACATGATATGCAGCAGTACTCTACATTCTACATTAACAAATTTTGAAGGCGGAAAAATAAATAACAAATTAGTACACTGCACAGATTTGGAAATGGTCATACAATTGACAGTAGCATCTTCTATCATTAAGTCATTTTTTTTTTCAACACTCAGACTGCATTTCTCTTCACTTAAAAGAGCCATTGATACTTTTCGCAAGACAAAAAGCCAGGAAAATTGCAGAGAGCTGCACCACACCCAACCCAATCCCAACACCAATGACGACATCCATGTGCTTGTTAATCCAGTCTCCAAGAGCCTTGTAGCAACCCTGAAACAAATTAGAAACAAAACAAAAAAAATCTTAAATTTTGTACTTGAAAAAAAAATCAACTTTTGTTTCTAGTGAGTGCATAGCACGCACCTTGTAGAGGTATGAGTTGGCTTCACTGGGATTGTAAACACATTCTGAGTTGACTGGCTTGAGGTCAAAGACGGGTTGCTGCAGGACGCAGCACGCCTCGGGCACCACTTTCTGCGTGTAGCTCTTCCATTGCTCCGCCTCGGCGAAGTCCCTGAAGTTGTCAACGCCGCAGCACTGCAGCTGGGCCATCAGGTGGTTCCACACGTAGGTCACCGAGTCGTTCTCGTTGGCGGTGTAGTTCTTGACGATGGTGGCTTTCAGCAGGCCCTTGGTTTCGGTAGTGACCTGAAGGAACGGGCAAAATTCACGTGAGAACACTATTGGGAAAGAAGGGCGAAGGACGCGTTCCACAAGGGCTGCTGCACTTGCCTGGTCCTTGTAGGCCGCGCCGATGATGCCCGCGGCCACTTCGAGGATCAGGATCAGGACCAGCAGCACGCCGTACTGCAAGTTGAAAGCAAAAGGTGACAGACAGTCGCAGACCGGCTGGCCGCCGCGCCGGCAGCAGCGGACGAACACAAGACGCGACGCACCGTGGTGAGCAGGCAGCGGCTCTCGCGGACCGCGCCGCAGTAGCCGAGGAAGCTGATGATGAACACGAAGGCGCCGGCCGCGATGAGGATGTAGGCGGACGCCGTCAGGTCGGGGAGCTGCAACAAGGAGAGGGAGGCGGACATTAGTGGCGGAGTGGAGACTGCAACGCACGAGGGGAGGGAACGCCCACGCCCACCCACGCCACGCCGACGCCTAAACGCAGGAGGACGGTTTCATCGCTCTGTCTCTCTCGCACTCACAGAGCGGCTCGCGGGGGTGCGAGAGAGACAGAGCGACGAAAGCATCCTTTCGAATGAGGCGGCCGACGCCGATAGGATCGCGGCGATGTGGCCGATGGCTCGCCGATGGCGGAGCGCGGAGCACCCCACGGGGACCCCGCGGCCCGCGGCCACCATACCATTGTCGGCCTCATTGAGTATCGGTGGGGCCCGGGGCCCGGCCCGCGTGGGGCCCGCGTGGGGCTGGTCGCGCCGCCAAGCCGCGCGCCACGCCAAATCGATGCCGTCAAACTATGGACGCGCGCACGCCGCACTGGAAACCGTCTGAACAGGTGTCCCTCGATAAATGGAAAGGGGGAGGGGGAGGGGGGAGGGGAGATCGGCCGATTATCCCTTGGCCTGTCACTGGCGGTGGCCGCGGCCGCACGGGCAGCGCCTGCACGGCACGGCACGGCAAGGCACTGCGAGGCACGGCAGGGCACGGCGTGGGCGCACTCGACCACGCGGCCGACCTCCGGCGGCGCCACTCCGGGGCTATACGGGCCCACAGTGCACTGCAGACTGATTCCGAGAGTCGTTATCGTTTCTCTGCCTCTCTCGCACTCACGGGGCGCCCACTGCAGGTGCGAGAGAGACAGAGCGACGGGAACGACTAAAATCGGCCCGGCGCTATTTCCGGCGATAGAGCAGATTCTGCATCGCGACCGCAGCGAGCTTCGCTTGGCTTCGCTTCCATCAGTCCAGTGGACTGAACGGATGGCTGCAGCCCGGGCTCGCGTGCCGCCCGGGCGGCGCGCTTCCCAACCACGCATCAGTCTCCCCGTCTCTCTCGCACTCGCGGGGCGCCCCGGATAGGTGCGAGGGAGACGGAGCGACGAAAGCCACTGCCCCGAAACAACTCGTCGATCCCCATCCCGACACCCGCGCCGCGCCACACTCCCCGGGGACGGACGCACACTGCCGTCTGATTCCGAACACTGCTTCGTCGCTCTGTCTCTCTCGCACCCCTACGGACCGCCCCATGAGTGCGAGAGAGACAGAGCGACGAAAGCAGTGCTCGGAATCAGACGGCTGTTTGGTTCCGAAACAGCGCTCCGTCTCTCTCGCACCCCTGCGGAGCGGCCCCGTGGCTGCGAGGGAGAGGAGCGACGGACGCGATGGCGTGGAGACGGCCAAACAAAGGGACGCCGACGGGGTGGTGCCGGTGGGGGAGGCGGTAATCATGGCCGCGATGTGTTAGAGTCCCACGCCCCGCGTGCCCGGCGGGCCCAATCTGTCTCCATTGCCCAGTGTGGTGGTTTACGGCGCGGAGTGCGCGAATCGAACAGTGGAGGCGGGCAAGGAGCGCCCGGGGATGTATACCTCCTCTCTGACTGGTCATACTGCGAGTGGGAGCATGTAGCCGCTTGAGGTTCTTCTCCGCCGGCATAACGTGTCACCCTAGTAAGGACGGCCATGTCTCGTTTTGCAGTGCAGGCGAGCATGTGTCGGGCCCGAAATGGCATACGATCATGTGTGGTCTAGCCCTTAATGGTAATGGTAATGGTGACAGTAGGCAACCGGAGCCCCGTCCACGCTCAGGAGCGTCGCGGGACTGCCTACCGAGCACGGCGCTCTCCCCGCCCGCAACACCCTTCCCTGCAAAAGCGCGCCGAAACCCAAAATCCAAGTGTTTATTTTTTCTTCCTTCTTTTTTTCCGAGGAGGGGGTGGGACCGGAAATGGAGGGGGTGATAGTGCCCAACCTGTGGCGGGCCGGTTCAATAGGTGTGCACTAGCTGCATGCAAGCCGAGCCACCCCGGCCGCCGCCACCGCGAACGACCGCGCGACGAGTACAGTGTAGTGTCCGCGCTGTCCGTCCGCCCATCCGTCTGTTCGTGCACCTGCGCGGAGTGCTGGATGATTGCCAGCCACAGCCGAATTACCGCATTACCGCGCCCTCCCCTATTCCCTTGACACCGCGGCGCGCGCGCGCGGGGGCTGTTTACCTCGCGGCTGTCACAACAGTCACACGCACACACAAACACACACTTACACTGCCCGCACTCGCACACACTTACACGGCTCGCACTCACACACGGCACGATTCATTGCAATATTGAGCGAAGGGGTGAGGTGGCGGTAGGGCCGCGCCGGCAATCCGTGGGTGGGACCGGGGCTGGCCCGGGTGGGGTGGGGGTGCAAAAAGACAAGAGGACCGGCGGCGGCCAATGGGAGAGCGCGTAGCGGGGCAACGACCCAGCATGACGCACCGGGAAAACGAAAAAGCGCACAAAAGGCCAAGGAGGGGAAAGGGGGAGGGGGAGTCCTTATTATTGCAGGTCGCTTCCGGCGGTATGGAAAAGTTATTGTGGCAGGGATGAATCGGCTGGCCGGGAAGGGCCGAGCCGGGCCGGGCCGGGCCAAGCAGGCCTGTTGGGCTGACCGGGCGCAAGGCGCACAGTGGGCCAGAAGACCGGTGGAGGCGGCCAAAACTCTACACGCGTTTTGAGCTCCAGAGTCGCTAAATGGGACTCGAACCGAACGTGTGACCCCACCAATGGATTGCTCTGCGAACGAGGAATCCATTGGTGGGGTCACACGTTCGGTTCGAGCCCTGCTTGGCGACTCTGGAGCTCAAAACGCGTCTAGAGTTTTGGCCGCCTCCACCGGTCTTCTGGCCCACTGTGAGGCGCAAGCAGCCGCCAGGCCTGCCTGCGCCTGCCGGCCTGACAGACGGAAGAATGATGTGGGGAAGTGACCCCGAGGCCTTCGACGCAGTGCCTGCCTCGGGGCACTCATTCGGGCCGATAAAGTAGGCCGGCGGAAAAGGAAAACACCCACACCCAGGGAACAGAAAAGAAAGAGGCACTCGCTGGTATTTGAACCCGGGCGCCGCGCCGGCTCTCGAGTGGCGTTCTGTTTTTTCAGGCTGGCGTCGGAGTGGCGTGGGCTGACGAGGGGGCCGGCCCTCTAGCCCTCCTTGTGCTTGGCGATTCCGTTTGATCGGCACAGCCCTCGACGCCGCGGCCACACCGCGTGGCCAAAGGGCCGCCAGGCCGCCAAGGGCGGACACTGACCGACGGGATGCTCGCGGGGCGGGCGGCTGCGACGCGTCGCGCTGCCGTGACGTCATCGGGGCGCACTTGTGGTATTGCTCACAGGGAACATTGGCGGCGGCGGGCGTGGCGGCGGGCCACCAGGTCGTTGACCCCGTGCCGTCGATGAACCCCGTCTCCGCCACCGCCCGGCGCGCCACCCCGCAGTCCTGTACTTGCACGCGGCAAAAGTTGGCGCCGTCCGCAAACAAGACAACAACGCCGCCCTCGCCGTCCTGGCCGCCCCGCCCTGCCTCGGTACGGCCCCGCCACGCCCCGCCCCGCCTCGGTAAGGCCCCGGCCACTTGTTGCGTGCCGCAGACCCGCCCCTGCCGCGGGGCTCGCCTCGGCTTGCCGCCCTCCGCGTTCCGCGTTCGAACACCAGCCCGTTCTTTTTATCCGGACCGCCATCGCCCCGTCGATGCCGCGGGCCCCGCCGCCTAAGAGCCCCGACAACCCTGACAGCCCGGCGGTTCGGGGCGCGCTGCGAGTGCGACAGAGCGCACAGTGGGCCAGAAGACCGGTGGAGGCGGCCAAAACTCGACGCGTTTTGAGCTCCAGAGTCGCTAAACAGGACTCGAACCGAACGTGTGACCCCATCAATGGATTCCTCGTTCGGAGAGCAATCCATTGGTGGGGCACACGTTCGGTTCGAGTCCCTTTTAGCGACTCTGGAGCACAAAACGCGTCTAGAGTTTTGGCCGCCTTTACCGGTCTTTTGGCCCACTGTGGAGCGCCCCGACCGCCCCGACGAGCCGATACGCGTCGGCCGAGAAAGGGTGGGAAAGGGAAAGGGAGAGAGGACGCCGACACGCGGAAGTGGCGCCAAGTTCGGCGGACCGGTAATGATTTCCGCGTACTCACGACCCGCGTCCGGAAAGCGCGCACCTGTCAACGTCGCCCTGCGTCGCCCTGCGTCAGCCGATCGACAAATGAGCCAAAGTGCGAATGCCTCGCTGGCCGGCCGGGCTGCGTTCGGGTTCGGACGCAGCTCGTTCGTCGCGGCGCCTCGCTCCACGCCCTCACGGCGTGGCGTCCCGTGGGGGTGCGAGGGAGACAAGCACTGCTCGCGGCACCGCTCCGCAGCCGTCTGATTCCGAACAGTGCTTCGTCACTCTGTCTCTCTCGCACCCCTACGGACCGCCCCATGAGTGCAAGAGAGACAGAGCGACGAAAGCAGTGCTCGGAATCAGACGGCACGGGCGGCCGGGGCAGGGACCACCGACACAACAACAAGAACAACAACAAGAAGCACCAACCCTCGGCGGGGCGGCGACAGGCGACGCGCCGCTTAGCGCGCATTAGCGTCGCGTTGTGTGCGTTGCGGTGTGAGGTTGGGCACTGTAGGGCGCTGCGGCAATGCCAGGCAATGCCCGCCGAATACAGTTAGTGTCGCACGCACACCGCACTGCACACCGAGGATCGTTTTCGTCGCTCCGTCTCTCTCGCACCCGCCAGCCGCAGGGGACGCCCGTCGAGTGCGAGAGAGACAGCCGGAATCGGTGTGCCGGCAGGATGGCTGGTTAGCGCGGGCCCGGCAGCCGCCGCGCGTCGCCGCACGCACCGCGCCTCCGCGTGCTTCGCGTGCGTGTGCCAAGCCGGGCCAAACGCACGGCAGCACGACCGACACGTGTTTTGTCCGTCGGATGAGTGACCCACAGCACAGTGGGCCAGAAGACCGGTGGAGGCGGCCAAAACGCCAGACGCGTTTTGAGCTCCAGAGTCGCTAAATGGGAGTCGAACCGAACGTGTGACCCCACCAATGGATTGCTCTTCGAACGAGGTCACACGCTCGGTTCGAGTCCTATTTAGCGACTCTGGGCCCCAAATACGTCTAGAGTTTTGGCCGCCTCCACCGGCCTTCTGGCCCACTGTGCACAGAGAGAGAGAGAGAGAGACTTGGTCGGCTCGCTGGAGGCCGTGCACGATAAGGAGTTCAAAGCGCCCCTTGGAAAGTTGGAAGGGAAGGGCGTTATATTGCCGCCTGCATCGAGGCCCTCTTCCTGTACACTGCGGGCTCATTTCTCCGTCGCTCTGTCTCTGTCGCACTCCCACGGGGCGCCCAACGGGTGCGAGAGAGACAGACAGACGAGCCCGGCACGCTATCAGGGCGCGGCCCCGCGCCACACTCCTCATCTTGGCAAACAAGAGCAGAGTCGTGCAGACGCTAGTAATCCCCGACGGCAGATCGGGGACCCCGGGCACAATCTGTCTCTCTCGCACCCGCACGGAACGTCCCACGAGTGCGACAAAGACAGGCGTTCGGAATCGCTCCGAAGCGGCGTTTTCCTGCCCTGCAAACCCACTGCACTGGCGGGCAGGCTAGGTTAGGCGGCCTACATTCGCGAGCACCTAGCCAAGGTGAAGGCTCGCTGCCAAAAAGAAGGGGGAGGGGCGAGGAGGGGGTGTTGGGAAACAAGTTCCACGACTGTCAAAGCCAGTGTCGTGCTGTGACGGGGACGCCGGGACGCCGGGGCGGACGGCGCCGCGCGGGCAGCAAGTCCAGTCATCCACTTAGCGCGACGCCGGGGCCGGGGCTCTGCCGGCCAGCAGACCCATTCCGGGAGTCGTTCTCGTCGCTCTGTCTCTGTCGCACTCATGGCGCGGCCCGTGCGGGAGCGAGAGAGACCGAGCGACGCAAACGACTCTCGGAATCAGTGTGCAGGGCCGTCTTACCGGGGCCAACGCCGACAGGGGCTCTATTGAGCGGCAAAGACAGAGCGGCCGGGCCGAGGGCCGGGCAGTGCACTGTCGCCCCGTCTCTCTCGCACGCAGGGGGCGTCGCGTGGGCCGTAGGGGTGCGAGCGAGACGGAGCGCATCGGCCTGCAGGCGTCGCTCGACATGCAGCGGGAGGACGCGCCGCCACGCCCCGGCAAGCACTACACCTCGTGTCCGGTGGCGGTCGACTCGAGGTGCTCGAGGCCTAGAGGGGAGGGACACAGTGGGCCAGAAGACCGGTGAAGGCGGCCAAAACCACAGACGCGTTTTGAGCTCCAGAGTCGCTAAAGGGACTCGAACCGAACGTGTGACCCCACCAATGGATTGCTCTCCGAACGAGGAATCCATTGGTGGGGTCACACGTCCGGTTCGAGTCCCGTTTAGCGACTCTGGAGCTCAAAACGCGACTAGAGTTTTGGCCGCCTCCACCGGTCTTCTGGCCCACTGTGAGGGAGGGGGCTTCCTTGACTAGACCCACGGCGGCAAGGAGGGGCACACGGCGAAACCGGGAGACCGGGCGCGCGTTGAAACATGGAGGCAGTTGGCTCGGCGGTGCACTGCATAATGAAGCGCGGAGATCAATGGCAGCGCAGCGCGGCCGGGAAAACAGAAAACTGGAGCGAGAGCCAGAGGGTGCACTGGGAAATAAAGAGTTTACAAGGAAACGCGACGCTTGCAGTCGAAACTCGAAAGGAGCGGACCCCGCGGCGTGACAGCCTGCAGCACGCACAGCGCACTGCCTGGCGAGGGGGGAGGGGCCGTGGTCGATGAGATGGCCACGCTCCAATGCACCTTGTGGTTCCACTCGTTCCACTCGCTCCACTCCGACCAGACGCAACTTGAGGCGAGCCGCTTGCATGCCGGCCGAGCGTTGCCGAGCGTGCAGTCCTGCGTGAGGTGGTCGGCCTGCCGCACAGTGGGCCAGAAGACTGGTTGTGGCGGCCAAAACTCCAGACGCGTGCAGAGCTCCAGAGTCGCTAAATGGGACTCGAACCGAACGTGTGACCCCACCATTGGGTTCCTCGTTCCGAGAGCAATCCATTGGTGGGGTCGCACGGTCGGTTCGAGTCCCATTTATCGACTCTGGAGCTCAAAACGCGTCTAGAGTTTTGGCCGCCGCCACCGGTCTTCTGGCCCACTGTGTGCCCTCGGCCTGGCCTGGCCGGCCTGGTCGCCTCGCCAGGGGGAGGGGAATGGGGAATGCGTGCGGGAAGGGGCGGTGCGGAGGCCACCATGCCTCGCGGCCGAGGCCGAGGGCCGAGCAGGCCAGGGGAGTCGCTACGCCCGCCGGACGGACCGAACCGCCGTGCCGCACGCACTTTGGTTCATTTCTGAGTTTGAAAACGAAAACACACCAAGTCACAATGCGTCTCGGCCCGGCCCGCTGCCCTTTGCCATGCCTTTCTCTCTGGCTGTCCTGGATTCCTGGATTCCCCGAACGGCCGAGCCGAACCCCACGCGGGGCACCGCGCGGGGCTCGCTTGGCAGGCCTAGGCCGCCTCCATTCCGCTCCTTTCCCGAGTCCCTTTCGCTGCCCAAGCCCGCCTGGCCCTGGCCCAGCCCTGGCCCAGCCCGCCCGCAGGCTGTCTCCGAACAGTGCTTTCGTCACTGCGTCCCCCTTGCACAGAGCACAGAGGCAGCGACGAAGGAACTGTTCCGGAGTCAGCCCGCTGCGAGAAGCCGTATCGATGTCGCCGGGAGATGCCAACAGGGAGGCCGGGAGAGGCCGGGAGAGGCCGGGAGGGGCCGGGAGAGGCCGGGAGAGGCCGGGAGAGGCCGGGAGAGACGCTACAGCGTCCAAGGCCGGAAGGGCAGGCCTCGGCCTCGAACTTGCACACCACTGCCACTGCAGTGTACCGCGTTATGCGTTCAATCAAACGCCCCAATTAAAAGTCCCGCGCGTGCCTCCATGCGCTGTACCACGCCATGCCGCCGGTTCGGTTTGGTCGTTGCAGCCAGAGGAATGCCGAAGAACCGACCGCTCTGTCTCTCTCGCGCCGCAACGGAGCGCCCGGCGAGCGCGACAGAGACAAGCGACGACCGACGGACAGCAAACGGCGCGTTCCTCCCCGTCGTCCACAACAAGGCCCCCATCGTGCCGCCGAGCCCCGCGGAGCGCCGTCACGGACTTACGCAATGGCCGGCACGCCGCGGGGCTCGCCGACGCGAGCGCGCGCACTATTTTGATGCTCTGTCGCTATTCAAACAAAAACAACAATGTTAGCGCTTGCTCACCTTGTGCCCCTGCGTGTTCTCGATGGTGTGCATGAGCTTGGCGATGGAGGCGCTGTCGGCGGCGTACCACGCGCCCACGCCCAGGACGACGCCGCCCAGGAGCTGCAACAAAGAGTGGCCACCTCGTCACCTCGCGCCGCCAATAGGGTGTAACGAACGCACCCACGCACCAGCCGTCGAACCACTTACAAAGAGCACGAAGTTGAAGAGGCACAAGACGTACTTGGCCAAACAGGACCCGCAGTCGGTCGACATGGTGGCGGCACTGCAAAAGAAGAGAAGGAAACGAAAATAAAATAAAAGGGCAAAACGAAATGCGCGCGAGGCGGGCGGCCAGGCATCCGGTCGCTGAACGGGCGGACGGCATGCCGGGCATCGCTGCAGACTGAGACCGACTCCGAGAGCCGCATTCGTCGCTCTGTCTCTCTCGCACTCGCGGGGCGTCGCGTCTGGGTGCGAGAGAGACGGAGCGACCGAAACGACTCTCGGAATCAGTCCGCAGCGCATCGCGTTCATCGCGTTGCATCGCGATACGTCCTCGCCGCGTCCTCGCCGGTGGGAACAGCCCCACAAAAGTTCGAACTCGCTCGGAAAAAGGGGGAGGGGGTAATTTCCCGGACGCACCGAGCGAGACGGCGCGTTGGATGCATGTGCACGTGCACCGCGTCGTCGGGCACCGCACAGTGGGCCAGAAGACCGGTGGAGGCGGCCAAAACTCTAGACGCGTTTTGAGCTCCAGAGTCGCTAAACGGGACTCGAACCGGACGTGTGACCCCACCAATGGACTCCTCGTTCTGAGAGCAATCCATTGGTGGGGTCACACGGTCGGTTCGAGTCCCATTTAGCGACTCTGGAGCTCAAAACGCGTCTAGAGTTTTGGCCGCCTCCACCGGTCTTCTGGCCCACTGTGCACCGTGTCGTCGGGCACTCCGGGCACGTGGTCTCTCTGTCTCTCTCGCACCCCCAGCACGCCCCGGGAGTGCGAGCGAGACAGCGCGAGAACTAGCCTAGCGTGGCACCGCGCACGACCGTGTCAGAGTCGTGTGCGACGGCACGGCCGGGTCGTCGTTCATAAAAACCGAATCACCAAATCAATTTCACCCCAACAAAGCCTGTCAATAATGCGGCTGAGCTAATTAGCAGGAGAGGGGCGTGTGGGGAGCAGGGACTTCCCCGCCGGTGCGACGCTCTGTCTCTCTCGCAGCCCCGCGACGGCACGAGTGCGAGAGAGACAGGGCGAAGTGAGCACCGTTCGGAATTCAAGGGCTCAGGACACACACACGGGTCGCTCCCATTGCGGCGGCATGCATGTGGCGAGCGGGGTCGCCGGCGTGGGTGTCAGTGACCCGCGATCCGTTCGCCCGCGTGTCCGCCCGTCTGTCTGTCTGTCTGTCTGTCTGTCTGTCTGTCTGTCTGTCTGTCCGTCCGTCCGCCCGTCCCTTCGCCGGCCAGCCATTAGCGGCCAATGGGTGCAGCAGTGTCATCGCCACCGAGCCGCGCCGAGTGTCGCCACGCCACTGCCAGGACTCTAGCCAGCTAGGCCTGCTAGGTGCGGCGGACACAGAAGAGAGACAACGAGGAGTGCGAGGCGTACGAGGCGTGCCGCTCCGCCGCTTAGACGCCTTGTATGCGCTGCCCGAGATTACAACGAGGCTGGCTGACGTGCTTGGTGATGGTACACGGTCGGGCGGGGCGGGGCGGGGCTCTGATTCGAGATTCGAGGTGCGCCGGCGCGCATCATCGCCCGCCACGCCAGGCGTGCCGCCGGCGGCCTCCTCTTCCTCGTGCACCTGCCGCTCTCGGCCCCTCGGCACCCACCGGCCCATCGGCGCGACCCACGCGCACAGTATTCCTTCTTCCTCTCTCAGTTCGGCCCGAACGGGTTACACAAGCGGCGTGGTTCTGAGGCACCCTGTAGGCACGCTCGCCGACACACACACGCACTCCAGGGGCAAGAAACGGCGCGGGCTGTGATGAGGGCCGTCACGGCCTCGATCGGCGAGCCCAGCACACACAGTGGGCCAGAAGACCGGTGGAGGCGGCCAAAACTCTAGACGCGTTTTGAGCTCCAGAGTCGCTAAATGGGACTCGAACCGACTGTGTGACCCCACCAATGGATTGCTCTCCGAACGAGGAACCCAATGGTGGGGTCACACGTTCGGTTCGAGTCCCATTTAGCGACTCTGGAGCTCTGCACGCGTCTGGAGTTTTGGCCGCCTCCACCGGTCTTCTGGCCCACTGTGGCACAGCCCAGCCCGGCACTCTGGCATTCCGAGCGCCGTAGTGTACGATGTACGACACGGGAGCGTTAATTTCACGGCGTTTTACGACTGGGCCGGTCGGTGTGGACGGTGTACGCGCATTCTCGCGGCGGGGCGGGGCGGGCGGGGCGATCCAGATACAACCTTTGCCTCCGCGCTCAGCTCCGCGGCCTGCAACAGGTGTGCGCCGAAGGCAGCTCAGGGGCAGCCGCCGGGGGCCTGGGGGGCAAGGCGACGTGCCGGCGGAGTGGCGGCGAGGGGCACTTCTCCATTTGGCCGCGGTTTCGCTCCGCGCGGGCCCCTGGCGGGGCTGGCGGGGCTGGCGGGGCTGGCGGGGCGGGACCCCAGCAGGCTGATTCCCAGCAGTGATTCATGGCTGTCTCTCTCACTCACAGACCTTCCCGTGCGGTGGCGAGAGAGACGGAGCGGTGAGTCACTCTTTGGAGGTGGCCGACGGAGGGGGCGACACCTCATCTCGTTCGCCCCATACACGACAGCGTGCAACGACGCGTAGAGCGACACATGACCAACTGCCGCGCCGCCGCGCCATCACGCCGTGCTGTCCTAGTCCGCGGCGCACGGCAAAAAATGGTCGTCACAGTTCGAGCGCCGAGTGCTCACCTCGCACTCTTGATCGTCACAGTTCGAGCGCCGAGTGCTCACCTCGCACTCTTGAGCAAACGTCTAACAGGTCAGGTCGAGGAGGGTCTGGGGTTTGATCCTAGGTCAGCGGTTCCCAACCTTTTGCGGTTCGCGACCCCAAATTTGTAGCCAACACTTTCCGCGACCCCCAGGAAAAATTTCGCGACCCCACGCGACCCTTCCTTTAGCATGCCTTTGTTATGGAGTGCGATTATCTGCCTTAGTTTGGGAGCAGTATTGCCGCAAAGTTGATCAAAACGGTCACAAATGTCTTAAAAAATCGTGTTTTGGGCCGACTTTAAGCATCCACTGCGTCTGATCCGAGGCGGTAAATCGTCCTCCGTCAACGGGCAATTGGTCTTTAGACCTTACCTTAGCATGCCTTTGTTACGGAGTGCGATTATGTGCCTTAGTTTGGGAACAGCTTTGCCGCAAAGTTGATCAAAACGGTCACAAATGTCTGAAAAATCGTGTTTTGATCAACTTTGTGGCAAAACTGCTCCCAAACTAAGGCAGATAATCGCACTCCGTAACAAAGGCATGCAAAAGGAAGGTCCAAAGACCAATTGCCCGTTGAGGGAGGACGATTTACCGCCTCGGATCAGACGCAGTGGATGCTTAAAGTCGGCCCAAAACACGATCTTTTACAGACATTTGTGACCGTTTTGATCAACTTTGCGGCATTTAAGCAGCCAGTGCTCGGCGTGTGGGCCAGCCGGGAAAACACCGCGACCCCAGGCGACCCCAGCCACCTCGCCGCGACCCCTCGAAATTTTTTCGCGACCCCATTGGGGTCGCGACCCCAAGGTTGGGAACCGCTGTCCTAGGTCTCCTGGCCAGCTCTTGCGAAGAGGCTTGTGTTCGCGGACATGCGTGGCTCCGAGGGGGAGCGAGGTGCTGGCCGTGCTGGCTAGGACGGGGACTCGCCTCGCTGCCCCGCTGCCTCGGCCCGTGGGAACGGAACGGCACATAGCCACCTGCACACTCATTCCGAGAGTCGCTTTCGTCGCTCTGTCTCTATCGCACCCGCACCGGACGCCCCTCCAGTACGAGCGAGACACGGCGACGAAGACGACTCTCGGATGAATCCGCTGCGCGCGAGAACCCCGGCGGGAACCGCTCCACAGTGGGCCAGAAACCGGTGGAGGCGGCCAAAATTCTAAACGCGTTTTGAGCTCCAGAGTCACTGAATGGGACATCAACCAGACGTGTGATCCCACCAATGGATTCCTCGTTCGGAGAGCAATCTATTGGTGGGGTCACACGCTCGGTTCGAGTCCCATTTAGCGGCTCTGGAGCTCAAAACGCGTCTAGAGTTTCGGCCGCCTCCACCGGTTTCTGGCCCACTGTGCGCTCAGACCGAGGATGACCCGCGCGCATCACCATCAGCGCCACTCCGCCCCCGCGGACAAAAAACGAACCCCAAAAAACGGTAGCAGCGAGTTCCGGCCAGTTCCGGCTGGTCTCGTGCGCGCCGCGAGCCACTACACTACTACGCGGTGGAGGCGGCCGGACAGGCGGACCAACACGGACGGACGAGGGGCGGACGAATTAGTCGCGGCGTGGCGTGGCGAGGCGTAGCGTGGCGTGACCTGCGGAAGATATTGCTACCGCCTTGGCAGAGGGCCAGCGGGGAGGGGAGGGGCGGGGGGAGTCCGCCCTTTCAGTGGTGCAGCATGCAGCTCACGCGGCTGCGCAGGGAAGGACACGCACACAGTCACACACATGTGTGCAGGAGCAGCCGGCGAGCCCAAGGACCGTCCCTCACACATGATTGGCCTGATTCGCTGCAGCCATCCGTCCGTCTGTCTGTCCGTCTGTCCGCCTGGAAGGAAGGAGGCAGCCGGCTTGCGTTGCGCCGCGCCGAGCGCGCCGAGCCAGCATCGCCATTGTTGTCAGTGAGGCGGTGCACCGCGGCGCCGCCGCGTCGAGAATCAGCCGCAGATCAGCGGCAGCCTCATTCCGAACGGAGCGCCTCTGTCAATCTTCGAACACAGCTTCGTCACTCTGTCTCTCTCGCACCCCTACGGACCGCCCCATGAGTGCGAGAGAGACAGAGCGACGAAAGCAGTGCTCGGAATCAGACGGCTGGGCCGTTCCGTCGGGCGTAGGGGTGCGAGAGAGACAGAGCGACGAGTCGACGGTGACGAATCCCCAAGAACATTTCGCATGCCGCCTAGCGCCTCACCGCCACCACGCCCCCTCTCCGCACCTCACTGGTTAACTTGACGGCCCTGCAGCGCTTTCGTCGGCCTGTCTCTCTCGCACCCTTCCAGCACGCCGCGTGAGAGCGAGAGAGAGACCTGCCACTAGGAATCAGTCTGCTGAAAGCCCTGAAGGCCTTGACGGCGGCGGACGGGACGCGCCTCGCCGTACCTTGCGTAGTCCTTTGTGTTGCAGGCGGTTGCGCGGGGCGCAGTATCCTGGCGGCTAAGCGGCGCTACGCGGACCAGCGAGACGGGCTGCAGGGAAGGCCCGCGCGCTCACGCGGCGGGAAGCGAATCTCCGCCAGATGCAGAGCGCCGACACACACACACGTGGACGCTGTCACGCTGTCACCCACACACGCGTCACAGCCACATTCGGTTCGACGAGCCGCGTTACGAGAGTCTCTCCGGTGCGCGCGTGCGGCGTGAGGCCCGGGGACACACGGCGCGAGGCGACCGCGGCAACCGGCAGGACTCGACTGAAGCAAGCCAGCCTGAGCCTGAGCAAGCGCGAAGCCGCGAAGCGGGCGGGCGGGGGAGGGGAGAAGCGGGGACTGCCATGGACAGGCGCGCCGCGCCGCGCGGCGAGCAGGGAACAGGCTAGGCGCCGGAGAGTCCCGACGAGCCGAGCCGGTGGCCCGAGGCCCGAGGGAGCGCAGCCGGGCCGTGTGTTCGGTAGTTCGGTGTTGGGACTGGGTATTGGTACTGGGTAGGCTGGGGCCGTGTTGGGGGCAGCGGGGCCGGTTTTGGTTTTCCCCTCCAGCCTGACAGCCACTGCGGCTTGGTGGCTTTGGCTTGGTGCTCCCGGTCCGGCCCACATCGCTATGCCCTTCTCTCCCTTCTCCTGCGGCGACGTTGTGCCCGCGCCCCTCGCTCCCCCCTTCCCTGCACGTCCTTGCAGCGACAGGGGCTCCCCGCCTGCAACCTACACTGCAGCGCGGCAGCGTTCGACAAACCACCTGCCGCGTGCTGCACCAGCCGCACCTGTCTCACGTCGACCCTCTGCGGGTAATTGGTTCACGGAGAAAGGTGGAGGAAGAAAGACCAGCTCGACTGAAATGTATTTTTATTGGTACATGACGCATTTACCACAGCATAGTTTAACATGAAATGGAAGAAGAAAATAAATATTTTATAGTTTTGATATGTACATTTAATTGGAATATGCAAAAATCTTCTTTCAGGCAGGCTGATCACTTTCCGCTCGATCATCGTCACTTTCTTCCGTACTGACTTGTTCAAATCCACGTCGACTATGTGAGGCCAACAACTGCCCCAAATTGAATCCGTCATTTGGGATTGAAGGGTACGCTGTGCGCAAAAGACCAATCATTTGAAGCTCAAGATCTTCATTACACAGGCCCACTTAAGAAACATACAAAAAATCTTGCAAAAAATTAACAACAGTTTCAAGCTTAAAAATTATTCTACAAGAAAATGTCATTTCCCATTTATCACCACACACAAAAATACAAATAATATGATTTAAATCTAGTCATGCAGGCACAATTCATTACACATACTGTAGAATGTAAAAATTGGATTGAGCACCAGCAGTTACAGTACAATGAACTAATTATTGCTGCAGCATATACAAAGAGGCAGTTTTGTGCGGATAAAATCAAAATCATGCAAACTGCATACAAATCAGAGACAACGCCTTTATTTCATTCATAGGAAGAAAAAGAATAGAACATGACATTTATATGTATAACTAGGAGCACACCAGTATTTATTTTTTTTTTTAAGAGAAAATACATCAATGATGTCATGAGTTGTTTGTAAAACCCCAAGTAGAAATGCATTTCATCACAGCCAACGGAACAATAAAAGCCATAATATAAGCTACTTACCCTTAATAATTCAGACTTATCACAGAAAATACCTCTTGGTTTTATAATGGACGGAAAACGAAGAAAGTTCAACAACTGGCTTTTCCCAGACAAAACAAAAAGCAAGTAAAATAAACCATTAAGTCAAGCATAGTGGAAGGAATGTCTCCATATTTTATGGTACAAATTACACATCAATCTAAAACATCAAGTAAATAAAAAAATCTATAAAATACAAAACAGATCTAAAAATTCAGTCTAGGTAATCTAAATTGAAGTACACATTTTCTTAAAATGTTCACATTGTCAAAGCAAGCAACGCCACAACATTTACAGCCAACAGACCACTACAGCAAAACAACAAAATAAAAATGATACACAATAAGCAATTTCTCTTCATGAGGTAAGTTCTACTTTTAGTCTCAACGTTCAGTCATCATCATCGTGCATTAAGCTGCTCCTCTCATAGATAGGTTCTGTTAAGTCAAACTCTAAAACTGGCGGCCTACCTCTTCGTCTTGTGCGCATGTACCATACAATTCCACTTCCTGTCACACAAAATAGAATGACCATCAGTGAAGTAACTGCTACTAGAGGAGTAGTCATAGCTTTGGCAAATGAAGAATTGGCCATGAGGTTAAGTCCCACTGGTAGTACAGAGGATGAATTTGTGGCTTCAATAGCTGTAGAAGGAAAACAAAATTAGGACTTTTAAAAAACATAAATTTTTTATATTGGTGACAGAATGAATACTTGCATTTAGCAGTGGGTTGTGATGAGATTGCTAAGGTTGATGGCTGGTTAGGACCAGGAGAAGCAGATTGATTGGTACTTATTGTTGAAATTGTCTTCTCTGAGTTTTCAGAACCTGCAACAAAAATTAGACACAGTTATTAAAAATTGTACACGTGTATACCAACTGACCAATTCAAGAAGAGGAAGGAAAGATACCTTTGTGGACAAATTTCAGGACCCGGTGAGGGTCTAACTGAACAACATACACACTTTCACCATCAGGAGACACAGCAATGTCATGGGGGTTTGACAGCTGGGAATCTCCAGCTTGAAATGTAGAAACAAGGCTCAAGTCATTTGCATTGACAACAAAGCCCTGCACGGCCTTTCCCGCGCTGTCAAATTCAGGACCATTTACCAAGTAGAATAGTCCACCTTTAGATAAAAGACATATTTAAGTACACCATTTACATGTGAAAATAGGCAGTACGACTAATAAATATTGTGAAAGGAACGGTGAAAAACTACCTTTAGTTGGAGTATAATCAAGACTGAAAAGCCGAGATCCAAATAAATCATGTGATATTTCATAAACAAATGTTCCATTGTGAGAATAGAAACATAGTGCTCGTCCATTTTCACGATCTGCAGCACAAACCAAATTGCGATCCTCGGCAAGAGTCAAAGCATGAGGAATGTTGAATTGGTATGGCCCAGGTTTATGTCCTTGGGTACCTAGGAATGAAAAAATTGAAAATTTTAATACAACCTTCCTCCTTTCAGTTAGGAATAAGTTCAAATAATGACAATCATCATCTTACCTGAAAATGAACTTCTACCTAAAGTCATCAACCTAACACCTTCCTTATTGAATTTAATGATACGTGAATTACAGTACCCATCAGACACAAAGAAATCACCGTTCCTTAAAACAGCTACTGCGCTAGGTTTGCAGAAATGGGTATCATCTTTCCCATTGACAAAACGCTCTCCTTTCACAATCAATGGTTCTGTTACTTTCTCATTTAAAACAGCCAGTGAAGGGAATTTAAATATTTGATGAAGGGCGACGTCCGTTACCCATAGATTGTCTTCATGGTCAATTGTTAACCCGTGAGGCATATAAAATCTGTAAGATAATAAGATATATTAATAGAAGCAATATAAAACTCGAATGATGGCACATTAGAAATATTTGTAACCATTCTCACTTACAGTCCCTTTCCCCAACTTTTAAGAACCTTTCCTGACTGTGGGTCCAGTACAACAACTGTATCTTCATTCACTGGACCGTCTTCTTTTCTTTGATAGTTATCGTAACCATCAAAGGTTCCTCCACCCCACACATGACTTCCGCGGTGGAAAACAACAACCTGTCCATGGCCATCAACTGTAACTGCAGCCACTTGTCCAAATTTGACACTGGGATCTGGCCATGATGATGAGAATGTCAAATCTAAAAATACAAAAGTACAATTAGGTCCATTCAAAGAATTGTTTCCAGTTAATCGAAAACTTGAACACATACCAACGTCAGCGGCATTCAAGGAGCCTACAGCTGGACGTCGACGCAATGGTGCAGTGTTTGAGGCTGGTGAACCCCCTGCACCAGGAAAAGGGTCAGCCTTGGTATCCCACATAGAGGCTGACGAGACCCTTCCCACAGCAAGGAAAACAAAAAACGCCCACATCGTACTGAAAGATCAAAAAGAAAAACAGATCCATTTGAGAACGACATAATTTGATGCAAACGTGTCTCGCAATCCTCCGTGCCTCCACCTCCTTACGAAGTCAAATAACTCACAAACTTGAGTGTAACTACGGGCGAAATGCAGCTTCTTGGCCAGGAAATTCATCTACATGGTAGCATAACCCAACAGCAGCAGCAGCAGCTTGGTGCACTTTGTTGCTTTACGCGGAGGCCCCCATCAAGGCAGCAGCAAGCCAGGGTCGGAATTTCGTCAAAGCAGCAAGCGGCGATTCAGGAAAACGAATCTTCAGATACAAACAGCGACGCAGACAGTTTTTGTCGCTTATTTTTCAGCTGTCTTGTTGACAGGTGGGTGTTTAGGCTGCTGCGCTGCGGTCTGCGGTGTTGACTCGGTTGGCAGAGCCTATTCGCAGAGCACTAGCACTATTCGCAGGACGATGCACTGCGGACAGCGACATGCAGCATGGCTATGTTTAGCCTCATGACGGCATGGGACCCGGCTCGACACGCGGTGGTCTTGTTTTCTGTTTGCCTGGTTGACCTCGACCTTGATCTCTATTTCTTTGACAACTTTGTGGGCCTCGGCGGTTCGGATATCAGTCCGAACCACACCACGAAGGGAGACGTGCATCGCCGCTTGGTCCATTCAACCTCGTCCTCGTCTCACAAAGAAATTAGCATCCTCCGGCGAAGCGAACCCACGAGCCACGTGTTTGCGTAGTGAACCGCTACACCATTTCCAGAGGTAGTGTCTGATTCTCATTCATTTTCAAAGTTTTGCAACCGTCCGTTCGCCACTTGCTGTAGCGCGTTCTCGCTCTCGCGCCGCCTGGACCTCCCTCCCTTCCCCCCCCCCCCCCCCCCCCCCGCCCTACCCCTCGCCCCTGTCGCCAGTGCCCCTGTTTATTTTGGAAATGGTGTGCTCCCCGCTGCAGGCTGCAGGTCAGGGAAGGCATGTCGTCTGCTAACGGCCAGGGAATCGCCCACGGCGTCGAGGTGATGCGCGCCGCCAAGGCTGCCGTGCGGACGGCCATCGAGTCCAGGCTGGCCGGCATGACGACGGAGAACAAGGCGGAGCAGTCGCAGCAAGTGCTCCGGAAGGTGAGGACAAGGAGTGGCCAGGCCGCAAACAGAAACAGGGACGTTGCCCACGGAGCGCCTGCGCGCTGCAGGGATACTGTCCCGTTACGCCTGCGCGCCGCCGCGTTGCCTGCCTCCACGGCGCTCACCTCGCGCCGCGCGCCGACACTGAGGAGCGACTCCGAGGGGCGGTTTGTCGCTGTCTCCCTCGCACCCTTATGGAGCGCCCCGTGAGTGCGACAGAGACAGACAGCGATTCCTCTGGCGCGCGCGAACATGTTGGCTTTGCTCTGCCGCAGCTCCTGCAGCACCCCAGCTACGTCCGCAGCACGTCCGTGGCCGTGTTCCTGAGCACGGCGGCCGAGGTGGACACGCGGCCCGTGCTGGCGGCGCTCTTCTCGTCCGGCAAGGCGTGCTTCGTGCCGCGCTACGCGTACGGCAAGGCGGCCAAGGAGCGCACCGCCAAGGGGCTGCCCGGCATGGAGATGGTGCTGCTCAGGGACATGCAGGACTTCGAGGCGCTGCCCACCACGCCCTGGGGCATCCCGCAGCCCGCCATGGACGAGCCCCGCCACCAGCCCGGCCAAGGAGGTTTGCCATTGTCCTGTACTTCCAGCGTATCCCTCCTCAGCCGCCCCTCGCCGTCCTTTATTTCGTCCAGGAAGTCGGTCCCTCTCGACGGCGAGCACCCTCCACGCCGTCGCGGCTTAGCGACGCCCCCCATCCCCTTACCGGCGCGCCAACCCACCGCCCCACCTCCCCACTCGACCCATCTTCACGAGTCAAGTAGTGCAGTTGGTACAGTCTGACGCAAAAACGCCGGCGGTGACGCCTGACCGAACACGGCTTGCCCTTGCCCGCAGGTCTGCCGCCGCTGGACCTCGTCCTCATGCCCGGGGTGGGCTTCACGACGAGGGGGGACCGCCTCGGCCACGGCATGGGCTTCTACGACAAGTTCCTGGCCGCGCTGCCGGCGCCCAAGCCCGCCACCATCGCCCTGGCCTTCCGCGAGCAGGTCGTGGACGAGCTGCCCACCACGGACCGCGACTACACCGTCGACGCCGTGCTCACGGCCGACTAGCGGGCCCGGGTTAAATTAAATAAATTTTTTGTGCTTTTCTGTTAGTGAGTGTGTCTGAGTCGTGATTTTCCCCCACCCCCATTTTGAAGGCCCGCCGTTCAAGGATAATGGAACATGGATTTAAAAAAACTGCAATGAGCACAGAGGAAGTCGCACGTGTACATATATTTCCAAATCAAACAGGATATCTTTTTTCATACACTCACAAAAATACATATACATGTCTCAAAGAAAAACCGTTCTGGACATTCTCACAAAAATTTCTGTGTTTTCGATATTTTTGATATTTCCTCCTCGGCACGATGACGGCAGTGGTCGTGACTGCAGTGAAGGCGATGCCGGGGCGATGCTTGCTGAGTCGTATCTGTGTGGCACTCACACGCCCAGGGAGGCTTCCAAGAAGCCTTGGCGTGTGAAAGTGCCAATAAGATTCGCCCCAAAGTCTTCTCTTAAACTTGCTTGCTGCTTTTTGCGTCTCTTTTTTTTTGTGGTGGCAGCTGGCGCTGAAATGAGACTGACCGCGCGACACCGCGTCGCACGAGGACGCTAAAATGAGGGCTGCCGGAAAAAAGGAAACCGCCTGAAGAAGATAATTACTTTTTGTCAGAGTAGACTGTTCGCCCTCATTTTGACGTCGTCGTGGCCTGATCGTGACCGGCACTGGCGAGCTGGCGTGAAACGGACGTGGCGTCGTCGCGGACACGTCGCGGACGTGCAGGCCGGGCCGCACCGCCCCGCGGCAGGCGGGGAGCCGGCGGCGGACATTGGGGAACACCGCTCCCCGAACCTCCCGCAGGGCAGGGCAGAGCCGCGCGGCGTCCAGCGGCGAGCGTCGTCGTCGTCCTGGTCGTCCTCGGCGAGCTGCAAGGGCTGCAAGTTCTACGGGACTGGGCGGGGCGGGACCATGCCACACTGCACTACGGTCACTACGGTCTAGAGGCGGAAGCAAGCAAGGCGTGCGGGACGGCGGCCTGCTTGGCCTGCTCGACGGCCTACTCGGTGTTACTCACGGCGGCGAGTGGCGTGGAATGGCGCGGCAGCGGCCAGCGCGGCCAGCGCGCACGTGTGACTAAGGTCGGCCTGCCCACAGTTACCACCGTGAACCCGCTTTTGTGGCAAACGTCGGACAAAATCGGATCGACAGGGTAATTGTGGTTGGCGTCTCTTGCGGACTAAAGGGGCTAGCGGGGCCGGCGGTTTGGCCGGCAGTTTGGCCCGGCCCGGCTCCCGACGACTGACTGCTGCAGCAGTGCTGGCTGTTGAAGAGGCTATGAACGACAGCTAGCCATCTAACACAGAACAACTACGGACACAGCTACGGTTTGATTTGGAATTTCGGAAAGAGGAGACTCAACACAGAGCCCTACGCTAGGAACATGTATAGCCGTCTGCATGCATTTGTCTGCAAACAACGCCATGCCATCTATGATCCTGTCAATCAGGTCCAACGTGTGCTGGACGGGGCTTCATTCGCACCGCGCGGTGACCAGGCTGATGCTGATGAACCCGCAATAAGTGCTAGAAGTTAGCACCGTTTTGAATGAGAATGTGGGTCCGGAGGGGGAAGTACCGTGCCGGGCACTCGCCAGCACTCCCCAGCTAGGCGCTGCGCGGTGCTGCGGCAATGACTGCGCTTACAGAGGGTGTCGCGGCTGCAACCCTTTAGCGTGCAGGGCCCCGCAGAGATGGCGCCAGCGTCGCCGCGCGCCCTCGGGGCTGGTCGCCGCAATCCGCCGCCAGAGGGCGCAGGTGGCGCCATGGAACACAGGGCCGGGCTGCGGGCTGGGCCGGGCCCACAGGGCTCTAGCCGCTCTAGCCCAGCTGACCTTGGGGTAGGCTTATCCAGTGGCGCAGTACGCCACGCCGCGCCACGCCGCGCCACGCCGCGCCACGCCGCGCCACGCCGCGCTTTCGGCAGGGATCGAAGACCATCAGTCGATCCACGTCAATCCCACCCTTGCGTGGCGCGGCACGGCGCGGCACGGCGCGGCACGCGGATCGCGGGGACGGCGGCGGCATGCACGGCGCGGCGGCGAACGCGGAGCAGGCCGGCGAGAGCGGCACGGCGGCGATAAGCGGTTGCCAGGCCCCCGGCAGCCCCAAGCAAGCCCCAGGCAAGCACGGTGGCGAGGCCGCGCGAGAGGTTAGGCGCGCGGATACGGCGTGCTGGCGTGCTGGCGCGACGGGCCCGGGCTGGCGGCCACGCCGAGCAAAGCTGCTCGTCGGCGGGGGCCTCTGTGCGTGCTGCGTGCTCGCGGTGCTGGTACTCACTCCCTGGCCCTAGAGGCCATCCGGCTGGACGGACGACGGCGAGGTGGCGGCGTGGACGGCGCGGCCTGTACGTCCTTGCGCCGCGCCGTCCGAGTCACTGCTGCGCGCTGCCGCGGCCAGAGTACGGAGTACGGGTCACCCCCTCGCACCACCCCGTACACCCGGCCCACCCCCGTGGAGGGCGCGTGCAGCGACGCTGGCGCCCTCGGTGGCGACCCGGCGAACGAGGCGGCGGGCCAGGGGGGTGCGCGTCGCGGGGTGCGCCTTGGGGGTCGCGCCTCCCTACCCCCGCTCGCTGCGCCTAGGCTGCGCCGGGCACGCCGGGCGGGCTAAAGGGGCTCTAGGTGGCCGTGCATGGGAGTGCCGGAGTGCCAGACGGGCTCGATAGCGGAGGCGGGCGTCCGGGGCGGCGGCCCGGTTGGGGCACCCCCACACGGCGTGCCGGCGGGGCGGTGCCCTGTTTGGCGGTTTCGCACGCGGCCTTCCCCGGCCGCCCTGCGCCTTTAGCCCTGCCGCGTAAACTGGCGACAGAAGGGCTCCGCGAATCCACGAACCACTGGTTCGGGTTCGGGTCGGGGGTCGCCGTCCTTGTCCTGCGGGCTCGGCGGTCGGCGCTCGCCCATACCTCTCGGCTGACTCAATCGCGCACCGCACGTGGAAGGAACTACCCCTTACGAGCAGAGAGGCAGGGGGACGCAGGCGATGTTCCAAGTCGCTCTGCGGGGTCGCTTTATCACGCCGCGGGTTCCGACTCGGGGTGTCTGGGACGTGGAGGCCGTGCCTGCCGTGCCGGAGGGCTCGCCATTAGTGGGGCCTCGTTCACCCCCGTCCCTTCGGCCCCCTTGGAGTCGCGTGAAGGGCCTGGAAGGGCCTGGAAGGGCCCTCGAGCCCCGGCCGCGCCTTTTCCCTCGCGCTATGCATCCCCCCCCCCCAGCCCTCCGCGGAGTCATTCCCCACCGCCGCCGCGCCGCGCTACACTGCCGGCACACACGTGACACCCGTGAGCGCGGCCGCCACACCTGCGATTCCGATTAATTAGATCGAGACGCGATCAATAGACGCGGCGGCCGCGGGAGGCGACGGCACTGCGGCGCGCGGCGGCGTGGCGAGGCGTGGCGTCCCACACACTACGAGGGGTGTCCCCCTTCCCACCCCGCCCCGCGCGCCACGGTCTGCTGAATAACCCAAGGCGTCCATCACTCCGCTGCTCGGAGTCGAACCCCCAACCCCCAACCCCCTACACCCAACACCAACCCCGATCCCCGCGGCTGGCCGACGGCTGGCCGCGAGCGTGGCTCTACACGCCCCACCTCGTCTGTGTCTGACCGACCAGCACCGACCAGACCGATTCCGAAAGCCCGTTTCGTCGCTCTGTTTGTCTCACACTCATCGGACGTCCCGCATAGGTGCAAGAGAGACAGAGCGACGAAAATGACTCTCGGAATCAGTCGGTCGGCCCTACCCGGCGGCGCCGCGGGCAGGGTGTTGGGGATGCGACTCGCATTAGACCAAGTGTCTCCACTGCATGGGGCTTCCCCGAGGGTGCCCGCGGGGCCAAGGGCCGTCCACTGCTGTCCCTCCATCCAGGCTCACAGCGCTCACTTGGCTCCTGGCCCCACGTCAATAAGAAGAGAAACACCGCTTTTGCTTGGAAAAATAAAATTGCTTTGGACGAACCGCCGAGCGCCGCCAAATCCTCTTTCCCTTCCTCTGAACTCCGTGTCGCCCTTTTCCCTTCGACCGGGGCGCGGTGCCGGACTCATGTTTTCCACTTTTAAAAGTAATTGCTGGTAATGGCGGGTAAAGGACTTTTCGCGCCTTCGCGTGCACAGAAGCCTCAGAGCACTACAGTAATTCTCTATATTGCTTCGCGATAGAGTAGTACAGTAGCGCCACTGCCGGGCCACTGCGCGTGGCGGGCGAGTATCCCGACCATCGCAGGGGCTCGGCCGGCGGGGCGGCGGACTGGAGTGAATGCTTTCGGAATAATAGAGGGCGCGTAAGCCTCATCCATTATTCCAACTGAAAAAAAAAGAGAGAGAAAAAACAGGGCAATGCTTCAAAATACTTTTTATTTTTATTTTTTTTTTGAATGAAAATTCGCACATACACTTATGTGAGGTAGAAAAATAAATAGTTCATAAAAATTAATTAACAGTCTTTCAAGAAATTATTGATCTGAAACTGTGTACATTTCTCCAGCCTTTTAAGTAGTGTGATTTCATTGAGCACTTTAAATCTTCTTGGGAGTCGCAACCAAAACATTTTTGTGGTTGAAGAAACAGAATTGAGACATAAAGCACTTTGAGGGGGAGTTATACATTATTTGCTAAAAATGACATAACAGTTTTCACAGCCTCAGTTCTAATCTTGGCTGCGGCCTTTGACGAGTCACGCTTTCTTTTTACATGGTGACAACATTTTTACTGTATTATCACATATGTGTCCAAAGGAGAAAAAAAAATAGGAGGAAAGAAGAAGCTGGGACTTAAAAGAGATTAGAAAATTTCACCTAATATGCAAACGTGTAAAAATACAGTAAACGTGTTGCCTTTACTATTGCATGCTTGCCCAGCCGTATTGAGTTTGAATTAACCAAGAGCATCGGAAAATATTCACAGATTAATAAATTAAATCTACCATCTTACTACGCTGTATATACAATGATTGATACATTACATATTTACAAACTGGAATTATCACAAGAAGGTTAAACTAAGAAATACATTGGGTCTTGACAGTCTCTTAAAATACTGATATTAACCCTTAAGAATTGAAAAAAAGTGGTCTAAACTAAAATGAAAAAGTTAAGTCTTTGATTAGCCATCTTTGGTTCAAGCTCAGTGCCTAGTCATAGTGAAAAATTTAAGTGGCACTGATAAACAAGAAGTAAAAACTAGGAGTCCACCATCCTAATTTTTAACAACAATGAATGAAGTTTGACACAAACTTTAAAATATCAAGCCAGATGTAGGTTTTGATTACAGTTTGCCTTATGAAATTATTTTTAAAGTCCACACATACCTATCCAAACTCTTAATAGAACTAATAGAGCGGTTGATTGGGCAAGGGTAAAACTCACGACTAGTCCTGATGACCCTCCACTAAACAAGTGCTGTTGGTCAAGATCTTCTCGGAACTCATGGCACTGTGACAATCGTTGCTCAGAATCCTCTAGGAATGCAGTAATGTTCTCCAATTTAAAAACATCTGCAGGCTGGAAAAGAAAATTTTCTAATTAATAGAAGCTTTCAGGAATTCCAATTCTCTGTATTTTAAATCAATTTACACTCACCACGGCCAATTGATCATCTTGAAGCCTACAGAAAGCCATGTGACTTCCACTTAGAACTTCTTCCAAGTTTGCTGTGAAATCAGGCTCAGTCCAAGGCAGTGCCAACAGATGTTCTGTGAAAGTCCGGTTCCTAAACTGAGCAGGTTCTCGAATAACTAGATCAGCGAAGAGGCCGCCAGGGCCTGCTCCTGCACCCTCAGGATCACCTTCTCCCTCAATTGTGAAGTCCTTGGCAGCTTTGAGTGCGAGAATGGCTCTCTGGTTTGCTTCATCGTCCCATTCATCCCCCACTGGAGCATCAAAGACGCTGGGTGTTGGCGTAGTAGTTGTTTTAAACGATTTGACAAGCTGACGTAGCTTTTCTTCATCACTAGCTCTGAAGGTTAAAATAGTTTGAGAATTAGATATGCCTGTTTTGATTTATAAGCCAAATAGAAGAAAACATATCACATAAAAAATATACTTGCCCATTGTCGGGGGAACCTGTTTTGAGGAACAGCCTCTCAACAGCAGGCATGTCAACACCATAAAACTGTTGAACGTCTAGAGTTGAGAAAAAGTACTCCACAGGAGTCATTGAATGGCAAGCAGCAAGGGGAGTTCTGGGGTAGTGAAGTGCAAAGGAAAGGCACATTTCTTGTTTGGTCGAGTAACCACCATAAGTGGGATAAGTTCTGTTGATTGTCTTGTACACACATTCTGTGACTAGCTCATCTCCTGGCAAAACCGTGACTTCCCTGGGTAGACGTCGGGATTGTTGGTAATTGAAGTCATAATGTTTATCCTGTAACAATTAATTTTGTTTGACTCATAAGAAAAGGGTTCACAGCATTTAATTTTCAATTTTTTTGTAGAAGCCTGATGACTTACCTGTGCTATCCTAGGAAGTTCTTGTCCATTCCTCAGATGTCTCAGTTCCATCTGGCTTCCTGCCATGTGTGAGTGGAGAACAACTGAGATAACTTTGATTCCCTCACTCGGCAGCAACTGGAAAAATAAAGTACAAACCAATGACAAAATATCTCCACCTGTGATTTTTTTCTTTACCTCAGAAAATAGGACTTACCTTCTTTGAACACGCTGACGGGCAGTAACCAAATGTTCTGTAAGCTGGTTGCTGTGGAGGGATCATGTGCAAAGGAGATACTGCAATCCCAGTAGATAATATTCCAGCATCATTTGGACGCAAGTTTGGGGTGTAGTATATTTTAAGGCCAGAGTTATCACGTACTGTAATATGAAAAACAAAGATAAAAAATAAGCTTATGGTACCAAAAAAAATTAATCTAAGATTGAAGGGACAAACTTAAAAGAAACCTACGTCTTTTGAGAGAAGGGTTGTCATAGTGAACTTCTAACATGAAGTATGTAGATCTATGACCTTCTCCAAGAGGTATTCCAACATGTTCTGGAAATATCTCACCTAAAACAGAAAAAAAAAACATTTTTTTTTAAATTCACATTACAACCAGTTTAAATAAAAGGAAGTTGATAGAAAACTATTTTGGCACATTTACCTTGAGACCCAACAGCCCAAGCGACAATAGGAGTGAGACATGAATCCCATTCTGGGGGCATTGCGGGCGAATAGCAAGCCGCACCCCGTTCTTTAGACGCCCTTTCGAGCAGTGGAATCTGTCGCGACTTGGGTGCACACTCGTACAGCAGCATGTGGTGGACGTGACGAAGGGAATCCGCAGAAATAATCGGCTCATACTAAGGACCAAAAAATATTGGGGATGTTAATTTAGGCCTAAAAAAAGGTCATCAATTTGATGAAATTAAGACACTTCTTTGCTCCTCACCCCAAGCATATGGTGTTTCCTTGTAAGTCCAGGGACTTTAAAAATCCTGCACCAGTATACTGTGTCCATGTTGTCAGGCACGATGAACTAATGAAAGAAGTACAACAATTAAAATAAACAAAACAGCCCAAAAGTCAATTGTGTTCTAGAAATGTGGTCTTGTTTTTACCTCTTCTTGCCTGACATCCCAACTGTAGATCTCACTTCCCTGGGGCTGCAGGCTCACAGGAGGCCCCCTCAGATGCAAAGAGTGGCTTCCACGGTTGTGCGCTCCGTGCCACACCAGTCCCGACACACCAACTATGTCGTCAATCACTGGGTCACTCTCCCCCATTGCCCAGATAACGCGGATGGTGTCTTCCTGTAACAGGGTAGAGTGAAGTGTAAGAGAGACGTCCTAAGAATGATGCGAAAGATAAAGTGCGAGCCGGAGACGACAACCCACCCCGAGGACCATGTCGTTGTGGTCACACGTGTCCCAGGCCCTGCGGAAGCGCAGGGACGTGTGCGTGCCGTTCTGCTTGCCGTACAGCAGCTTGACGTCCTCCTGCTCGTCCAGGATCGGCGCCGCGTTCGACGTCGCGTGGCAGTCCTGCAACAGGGGAGACAGAACACGGCGCGGTCAGCCTCATCCTCGCTACGCGTCGCCGAGTGGCTTTGAACGGCGCGCGCCGGCGGTGCACTTCCTGTCGGCTGCAGCGCAGATACCCCACGCGTCAGCCGCCTGCTTCCGAAAGCACCTTTCGAACCTCTCGTCGCTCTGTCCCTGTCGCACTCACGGGTCGCCCCGCGGAGTGGCGGGAGAGACAGAGCGACGAATCGATCCTTTGGAATCAGGCGGCAGGGGGCGATGCACTTCCCAGAGGATGCAGGGCAGATACTCCGCGCGCCAGGGACCGGCGCAGAGTATCGGCAGTTATCGGCGGCCCCCAACCCCCTCAACCCAGCGCCCCAACCCAGCGCCCCAACCCCAGGCGCACTTTGGCGATACCCCTCCGCTGCGCTCACGAGGCAGGCGGACTCGATGTGACGTCACAAAAGGATGCAAGGACGCCAGAGGACGCCCGCCCACGCCTCGCAATCTCCGAGGAAGGACACGACACACTCGATGCGGGAAATTGGACCCGGCAGCTGCAGTCAAAAGGGGGGGGGGGGCTGAAAAACAAAAACAGTGCACGGCATGGCATGCCAGGGCGTCCTTCAGAGCCCTGGGGGGTGTGGTGTTGTCTGTCTATGCGCCCCACCGCTACGCACCGCGCACGTGCCCCGCGGCGGAAGGGAGCGATGTGGGGGGGGGGGGGGAGGCGAGGGTGCAGCTGCACAGCCCGCAGGCCCGCCGGGCAGATGTCGGGCCTTGAGCTTGAGGTGGCGGAGGTGGAGGCGGAGGAGGGGGCCAGGTTGCCGGCACGCGTGCGCTAGCGTGCGCCGGAAGCAGGCTCCCCACCTCCACCCCGACCCCCTCGACCACCTCGACCTGCCCACGCGTCCTGGCGTCCTGGCGGAGGCGAGGAGGAGCGGGCGGGGCGGGCGCGGGGCCCGGCTGCCCCGGCCAACCGTTTCGCTTCGTAAAATCGAATGACGTATGTGCCGGCAAACTTATTCGAGGAAAGGCAAGGGGGTGGAGGGGGGCGCAGTCTCGTCGGATTTGTTGGGGCTGGTCGTCTCTCGTCTCGTCAAGGGGCTCCTGTTGCACCTTGTCCGCCCGTCGGTCGTCGGTCGGGCCGTGGGGCCGCCGTGGGGCCACGCGCATCAAAGGGGCACCAAGGGGCGGAGCGCGGAGCGGACGGATTGAGCCTCCTGTTGCTCCTGGGACTGTCTGTCTGACTGCCGGGGTGGGCGCGGGACCGGGACGCGGCGGGACGCGGCGGGACGGGGCGCCCAGATGCAGATGGGGTGGGCCGCCGCGGCCCAGCCGCCCGGGCCTGGCGTGATTAGCACTCAATCAAAGCGGGGAGGCGCTGAAGCAGGCTGGAGGGTGCAGTCTGCAGTGCAGGCCCGCGTCGCGCCAACGCGGCCTACTCAAACACGGCGGGCCGCTCCCCATCCCTCCGTCGCAATGGCTCGGAAGCTGATAAGAATAACGGGCGACCGGTTCCCATTCATCGGCACTCTCTCATTTCTTACTTTTTCCTCGAGCCTTCCGCTCTGGAACGCAACAGATTCGCGGGCCGGGTACACTGTAACTGTAAAGCCGCCGCCGAGCCGCCATTCACCGGGCGGGCGCGGCTCGCGGGGGGCGGAGGGGGCGCGGAGGGGGCGCGGAGGGGGGCGCGGAGGGGGCGCGGAGGGGGGCGCGGAGGGGGGCGCGGAGGGGGGCGCGGAGGGGGGCGCGGAGGGGGGCGCGGAGGGGGGCGCGGAGGGGGGCGCGGAGGGGGGCGCGGAGGGGGGCGCGGAGGGGGGCCGCGGAGGGGGGCGCGGAGGGGGGCGCGGAGGGGGGCGCGGAGGGGGCCGCGGAGGGGGCGCGGAGGGGGGCGCGGAGGGGGGCGCGGAGGGGGGCGCGGAGGGGGGCGCGGCCGCCAAGCCGCCTCTGCGGTGCACTCGCGCTCGCGGCTCGCGGGCAGGGCAGCCCAGGCGGCCGGACAACGTCAAGCCGGACTAGACCGCTACGCCGTCATGCCGTTTGTCAAGCTTGGGCCGCGCAGCAAGGCGCAGCCGGCCCCGCACCAAAGAGCGAGTCAGCTGACCGGCGGCCGGCGCGCTGGCCACACGAAGCAAGGCACCAGTGCTCTACCCACCAGCAGGTGCGGCCTCCCGGACGCGTCGTCCACCCAGGCGACGATGATGTCGGCGCCGGCCATGGCGCCGTTGTTGGAGAAGCCCAGGCCGACGTAGCCCCTGGTGGGGGCGTCCAGCTGGAACAGGATGTCGCGCTCGCGGGGGCGCCAACTCAGCCGCACCCCGCCGGCCAGGCCGCCGGCCAGGGCGTTGCTGCCGCGGACGTTGCGGCCGGCGTCCAGCTGGGTGCTGTGTGTCCAGGCCTGCTCGCGGTGCACCACGCCGCCGTGGGGGCCTCCATGGACGGTGCCGAAGGGCAGCAACAGCAGCGCGAGCAGCAGCATGTCAACGCATAGTCGCACAACACGGGCAGACGCGAAGCGCGGGGCGAACCGCGAAGCACGACGACAAAGACAGCGGACACGTCGGGCAAGTCGGGCACGAGGAGCGTTGAGGTTCCTCAGCACGCGCAGCACGCAGGCTCAAACAGGACTGCCTGGCTGCCTGGCCTGGTGGCTGGCTGGCTGGCTGCCGCCAGTCCCGCCTGCCGGCTGCAGCCGCGCCAGCTGCCCCACCCCGCCCCGCCACCAATAACCGCCAGCCTCCAGCACGGCGGCACGGCGGCACGGCGGCGGCACGGCCAGGACTGTGACCTGGCGGCAAGCCGAGGCTGGCAGCCTGCGGAGCGAGCGGCACGAGGCTCTCCATGCAAGTCCTGGCCCTGTACCCCTCCGCCCCCCGCCTCGCCCCGCCCCCGCTACCGCTCCGGTCTACTGTCTGTCTGCCTGCAGCACCCCTTCCCCTCCCCGCCCCTCGTCCTGGCCGCGAGCCGCGAGCAACAGCCGGCTGCCGCACGCTGCCGCGAGGACGCGGCCGTCAGCGCCGCGTCGCGACCGCGTCGCGTCGCACCCCATGCTGGTCATGCTGGTCCCAAAACAGTCCTCCGGCCCGCACGCGCTAAAGCCCCAGCGCCCAGCGACCCCAGCACGCGCAACGGGCGGCATCAATGGAGGAGCCGGGGAGTATGGCGGCAGAGTTCCACCCAGGAAATTTCACTCATCGCTGTCCTCGTCTGTCTCGCTCGCATCGTGGAATCGGTCTTCTCCTGGCCTGGAGATCCCCCCGCGTCCTGGCGACGACGACCGCTGTACTCTGTTCGCGGAAATGCAGCAGGTCAGGTCATGCCAGCCGACCCCGACGTGTGGGCGGTGGACAGAAGTTATATTGCGAAACGGGAGACCCGTCAATTTGGCGCGAATTCCCGGACGCCAGAGTGGCTTGTGTGAGTGTGAGTCACGTAGGCTGGGTGTGGCCGCCTAGAGCCTAGAGCGACGACGAAACGAAACGACGGGGCGACGGTTACTGAATGGCACCGGCGGCGGTCCGGCCCGGCGGTCTCGCCTCGTTCTTGTTCTTTCCTGTACTTGTTCCGCTCCCCTCCTGTTCCGCGCGCACCTCACCCTCCTCACCTTCCTCGCCTCGCACACGGAGCATGGAGCGGCGCACAGTGGGCCAGAGGACCGGTGGAGGCGGCCAAAACTCTAGACACGTTTTCAGCTCCAGAGTCGCTAAACTGGACTCGAACCGAACGTGTGACCCCACCAATGGATTGCTCTCCGAACGAGGAACCCATTGGTGGGGTCACACGTTAGATTCGAGTCCCATTTAGCGACTCTGGAGCTCAAAACGCGTCTAGAGTTTTGGCCGCCTCCACCGGTCCTCTGGCCCACTGTGCGGCGTGGCGGCGAGCGTGCCCGCGGGAGGGGTGCGCGGCTCAGCGGCTCAGCGGATCAGTCGTGTGGCGGCGCGCCCGCGCCCCGACTGTCCCCGACTGTCCTGACCTGACCCTGACCGTCGCCAGTTTCGGCGGAAGCGGAGACGATCGGCAAAACGGAAAAAGGAATCAAAGGGAAAGGGCAGGTCAGGGCCAACGTCTTCTGCCTCTGGCGAGGAGCGGTTCCGAAGGCATCGTCGCTCCGTCTCTGTCCCACTCGTGAGGCGGGTTGGGTCTGCGAGAGAGAGACACTGCGAGGTAACACCCCTCCGGAATCGCCCGAACTCCGCACACCTTCCATCCATTCCAGTCATTCCGATCGGCGCCAGGACTCCACCATTCCGAAGCGGCCCTACACTGTAGCCTTTCACAGTGTGGGCACCACGGCACTGTGCGCTGCATGGCTGCGTGCGGGGCTGCCTACCCGCAAGGGGCTGCAGGACTGCAAGGGTCCTGTGCCTCACCATTGTGTCCCGGCGGCTGGCGTGTCTCCTGATTGCTAGTTACGGTGCAGGCTGAGGACGGGGAAGGCGCCCCGGGCTGCTGAATGTAATTACCAGCGCACTCGGGCAGGCGAGAGGGGCCTTGTCCCCTGTCCCCCTCACAGCCCTGGAGCGCGGCACCCCGCTACCCAGCCACTACCTGTCCCTCCACCCCCAGGAAACCCCTTGTTCGCGCGGCCCCTGGCCCGTACCCAGGTGCCCCGGGCTGCGAGCTCCAGCCCAGCGATTCCGAACAATACTCTCGTCACTCTGCCTCACTCGCGGCCCTACGGGACGCCCCGCGAGAGCGACAGAGACAGATGGCCGGGCTGACTCTTCGGAACGAGCCTGCACTCTCATTATGCCCGCGCCCGAGACAGTACTCGTACTCGGCGACCCGGGCCGGGCAGGCCGGGCAGGTCAGGCAGGTCAGCCAGGCAGGTACCCGTACCTCTTTCCAGTTGGCTGGAGCTGGAGCCGAAGCCGCACCCGAGGCTCCGAGTGGAGCCGAGCGCGTCCGGGCAGAGCCGAAGTTACGCCCGTATCGCGGCACGGTGGAGGGGGAGGGGGAAGGGCGACGGGGGGCGGGGCGGCGCGGTCGTCCCGTTCCGGGAGGGGCGTGGAGGGGCGCGGGGACGCGGGGGCCGCGCGGCCAGAGAGCGGCAGCGAGTGGCTCGCCATCGTCAGTGCCGCGCCGTGCTGCCGAACCGCGCGGAGGCCATCTTGGCCTGCTTCGAGGCGCGGAGGCGTCAGGGACTCTGCGAACATGGACCGCGCGGCGCTGCTGCAGTGCTGCGTGCTGGCCGTCGTGGCGTGCTGCGCGACCGGCCTCGCCGACAACAAGTTCTCCCTGCTGATGCCCAACGTCAGACCCACCGTGGTGAGTGTGCAGGCCGTGCGGGCCGCGCGGGCCCGGCGGAAGGCCTCCATACGGCGCGCACGCCCGTGGGCCGCGTCGCCGCGTCACGCCCCCGACGCCCCGCGGACCGCGCACCGAGCACCGCGCACCGCCACTCCGCCACCTGCCGGTGACACCTCCGCGTCAGAGCGAGTCAGAGCGAGGCAGGGCGTCGAGGACCCCGTCAGCGTCACGCCGCCACGCCGCCACTCTGCACGCGCAGGACGCAGGACGCTTATCGCCCCCGCACCGCCAATCAGCACTCTGCGTTTTCCCCTCCCCTCGCCAAAACAATAACATGGAGTCCATTCACGAAGCCGCACTCCGGTCGACGCCAACCCGACCTGGCTGCGGCCCTTGCGGTGGTCCCGGTTATCATTGACGCGTTTAGAACGGCGGTGATAATTTGTTTGGAGCGGCCTAGTACCTTGCGTAGCGGACCTGCCTGCAGACTGATTCTTCTTCTTCGTTCGCTCTGTCTCTCTCACACTCTTACGGGACGCCCCAAGGGTGCGATAGAGACAGAGCGGCGAAGCGACCCCGCTCGGAATGGCTCGTCGGGTTTTTCCCGGCGCTGCCGATTGCACGGCGGGGACGGTGTGGACTGCAGATTGTGCCGGCGCTCTGGCGGGAGGCTGCGGGTGTCTTGAGTCCAGCAGCCGTCCAGTCGAGCGATTCCGCTGACGCTGTCTCTCTCGCACTCCCGCAGTGTGCCGTAGGGGTGGGAGAGAGACAGAGCGAAGAGTGGACAATGCGGCGTCGCGTCGTCGCGAGCTGCGGCTATGACGTCGCGACTCTGTACTGCACCATGCCACTGAGGATTCATGAGTCTTGATCAACACAATTTTTTGGACGAGGTATTTTTCATCTCCCAAATTTAGGTGAGGATTATTTTATCGGCGATGAAAGATGCACCTGCTAAGGTAGTTTTATCACCCCGATCATCCGAAATTTTAGTCTTGCGACTCTTTTATTGCCAGTGCACTGTTCCTTGATTCTATTCTAAATTTGATGGAAAGTCGGAGAGCTCCGCGGGCGTCTTGTCCGGGTTTCCGGCGGCGCCTTCTTTCTTCGTGTTTTCTTTCCCTTTCCACGCTCCCGTTCCCTCGCGCCGCCGCCGCCGCGCTGTCACTTTACACAGCTGTAGTACTCCTCCCTCGACTCCTCCGCGGCGCCGTTCGCTGTCTTGCTGCGGGCTGATCCCGAGCAGTAGTTTCTTCGGTCTGTTTCCCCCGCACTATCGGAGGGGCGCACAGTGGGCCAGAAGGCCGGTGGAGGCGGCCAAAACTCTAGACGCGTTTTGAGCTACAGAGTCGCTAAACAGGACTCGAACCGAACGTGTGACCCCACCAATGGATTGCTCGTTCGGAGAGCTATCCATTGGTGGGGTCACACGCTCGGTTCGAGTCCTGTTTAGCGACTCTGTAGCTCAAAACGCGTCTAGAGTTTTGGCCGCCTCCAACGGTCTTCCGGCCCACTGTGGGGCGGTTAGGTCGGTGAGGGCGCGAGCGAGACACAGCGACGAACTGGGCGGGCTGCGAACGATTTCGGCAGTTTCGACAGTGCCGTATCGGTGCAACAGGACACGAAGGAACACGACACGCTGGCCGGCCTGTTTTGGGGCCGACACGGCAACACGGCCCGCGTCGTTTTCGTTGTTCTGTCTCTCTCGCACTCACGGGGCGTCTCCTGTAGGTGCGAGAGAGACGAAAACGACGCTGGGAATCAGTCTATACCGCCCGCGCGCCTGCACGCGTGTTATCGGTTTAGCACCTGCCAGCCTGCCAGCGTGCCGGCCTCGACGGCGTGGCGGGCGGACCGCACCTGTTCAGAGGCGTGGCCGTCAAAGCGACGCGCCATTCGCTGTCAAAGGCCCGGGATCGGATGGGATCGGATCAGAGCGGCCGCCGACATCCGCAGGATCGGCAGGGCGCGCGACGACGCCGCCTCCGCCGTCGCTTCCTCCGCTCCTTCCGCAGTGGCTTTGCGTTCGACCTGATGCGGGTGCGGAACTTCCCCCACCCCTCCGCCCCTTCCGACCGCCCCCGCACTCCGGGCAGCGCCGGGCAGGCTGGGCAGGAAAGGGCGGGATGGGAAAGACACCTGGCCTCGCGCGCCTCGCGCCATATGTCGCCATGTCGCCCCGCCCCCGTCGAACCGCGCCCCGGGGACGCGCCGAGGATCAGACAGACGGCCGCGGCACAGTGGGCCAGAAGACCGGTGGGGGCGGCCAAAACTCTAGACGCGTTTTGAGCTCCAGAGTCGCTAAGCAGGACTCGAACCGAACGTGTGACCCCATCAATGGATTCCTCGTTCGGAGAGCAATCCATTGGTGGGGTCACACGCTCGGTTCGAGTCCCATTTAGCGACTCTGGAGCTCAAAACGCGTCTGGAGTTTTGGCCGCCTCCACCGGTTCTCTGGCCCACTGTGCGCGGGTGTCTCCGCGAAGGAGGGCGCCTCGGCCCGCTGGAGGGGAGGACCGCGACGAGCGGCAGAGACACACGGGCGCCCCGTCGGTTCCAAAAATAGGACGAAATGATAGGTTGTCGCCGTGCAGCCGCAAGAGTTCGATCAGTGCTATCAAAATTCGATACTGCCTGGTGGTCTGGCGGCTGGCGGTGGTTCTACGACGACGTCCCCGACGTGCACGACGTGAGGGCGTCGACGGCGCCGCGGCGCACAGCGAGGCCGAGGCGAGGCACCGACCGCGCGACCTTTCGAAAGGGCCCCTGTTGGTCTGCTGTTGGGGCGCGGGGCGGCGGCCGTGGTGTCAAATTCGCTCTCCGCGAGACCAGCCCCACCCCGCCAACAACCGCAACCCTCGACAGACTCGCGAAAATGAGGATGGGGCCGCTCGCAAAGGGGCGAGTGTGTGTGCGGGCTTGTGCGCGAGTGTGGTGGTCGGCCGGGTCAGCGCAGCAGACTTATGCCCCAATGGGCCAAACCTCCGCCCGCCACCGTATCACCGTATGCATGCGGTTGGCGGAGTTTCCCGCCAAACAGGAGAAAAAGTAAGTCAGACTGGGTGCTGGCTTGCTGGCCGGCTGGCCAGGTCGTAGCCAGTCAGGCTGGTGACGTCATCCCGCCGCCGGCTGCCCTGGTCTGGCGGTACAGTATTGATTTTCCAGCACCAGACGGCCCAGGGCGCAGGGCTTAGGACCGCGGGCGGTGCTGCGAGGACTAAAGGACTGCCCTGCCGGCTCTGCCCTTCAAACAGGCTGTTGCTCCTACTCCGCGATCATGCAACTCTAGTGGAAATTGAAGTGGGCTGGAGCCGAAATGCACTCCTTGGCATTCCTTTCCCTCCCTGCCACCCAAGGGCCCTGGAGCTACCTCCACTCTGCTTCGCCCATTCGCTTCAGCTTGGCGCTGGGTTTTTCTGCCAGCAGATGGCATTCTCTGCCACCCAAGGGCCCTGGAGACCTCCCTTCGGCTTGTCCATTCGCTTCAGCTTGACGCTGGACTTTTCTGCCAGCAGGTGGCATTTTCTCCTCACCGGTTGTAACGGGACGCCGCGCTCACAGTGTGGAGTCATCGGCGAAAGAGTCTGCGGTCTTGGAACACGACGCAGGCGCCGCTGTTCTAGAATTTCCAACGGCGAGCGGCAACCCTTGCCTGCTTTTGCCTCGCGCGCTGCCTGTGACGTCACCATGACGTCGCACCACCCCCGCCCACGCCACCCCCACCCCCACCCCTACCCCCACCGCGAGGGGCGGGGCCGGTGGAGCCCGAGGACCAAGGGAGAGAGGAAGGCCCCTTTGCCCCTGCCCCCTGACCGAGGCCCCAGAGTAAACACGACGAACCTGCGAGCTTCACACTTGAGCCCAAACCCAACCCGAAAGTATACACGGCAAAAGTACCGCCTTGGAATACAAGGGAATGCCTCGTTTTGAGCGAATTTTCAGAATTTTCCAATTTGGCATTTCTTTACAGGAACGGATTTCCTCTCGACAGGACAAACGAAAAATGTTCTCTTATTTGTAGGTAAGGTTGGGAAATGAAAAAGTTATGGAACTTCTAAAGCACCTAGCCCTGTTGGACAGAAGTTCAATTTTTTTTCCTATTTCCCACCCAAAGTTGAGACATATGCTGACATTTTTCGTTCGCCTTGTCTAGGCAAATGCATTTCTGTCAAGCAAAGTCAATTTGAACAACTTTCAAAATTCACTGAAACCGCCCTGAGAATCATGGAGAATAGAGGGCTGTGATTGAGGCTGCGAATAGAGGGCTCCATGCTGTGAATCAAAAATCGAGGCATGCCCCCTTGCATTCGAAGGCACTTTCCTTTCCACGGGCAGGCAGAGGTTGCCGCTCGAAAGAGGAAAGGGGCCAATCCTTTCGATCCTCCCGAACTCGAACTGATTCGCGGATCGCTGTTTTATTTATCGCTGTTTGGGGGCGGGTCGCGCCACCGGTCGTGCCACCGGCAGAGGCGGCCAATCGTCAGCGCTGCTCCCGAGTGGTTCCGGATCCAATAAAGCGGAACTCTCGGAGCGAGCGGGGCGCTGGCCGGAGCCTCTTGAAACTTCCCCGGGTCCCCCGTCGTCCCGATTTGATTTCGTGTTTGTGTGTTCCAGCCGGAGTTGTACCTGTGCACGCCCGTCAAGGTGGACCCCCTGAGGCCGTACTATATCGGTGAGTCGCGTCGACACTTTCCGTTTCACTGCTTCGAATCAACCGGACCCCTTCTGAAACGGCGGTTGTCGTTGTTGATGTTTTGCAGTTGGCTTCGAGCCGAACGCCACCATGGCCACGGCGCATCACATTCTGCTGTACGGCTGCTCGGAGCCGGGCAGTGCCAAACCAGTCTGGTGAGTGTGGGTCCACGGACAGGCGCCGCTCTGTCTCTCTCTCTCGGTCCGCTGCGCGTGTGAGGAGGAAAGAGAGACAGAGCGACGAAACGCTGTGCGGAAGCACACTGCTGCGGACCCTCAGGGGCAGGGTAGGCCGGCCCGTCGCGCACCCGTGTGCGGCGCGCGCAGGGTGCCTACCCTGGACTTGGCAGGCGCTCTGCGCTCTGCGCTCTGCCGACAGTGGAGTGATTTGTGTCTTCTTGTCTCGGCAGGAACTGCGGGGAAATGGCTTCGGCGGACGACGGCTCGGGGATGGAGGCGTCCAGCCCCTGCAGAGCGGGCAGCGGGTCCGAGGTGCGCACAGTGGGCCAGAAGACCGGTGGAGGCGGCCAAAACTCTAGACGCGTGCAGAGCTCCAGAGTCGCTAAACAGGACTCAAACCAAACGTGTGACCCCACCAATGGATTCCTCGTTCGGAGAGCAATCCATTGGTGGGGTCACACGTTCGGTTCGAGTCCCATTCAGCGACACTGGAGCTCAAAACGCGCCTAGAGTTTTGGCCGCCTCCACCGGTCTTCTGGCCCACTGCGGTGCTTCGGCGCCAAGCGCGTCTCTGAAACCACCAACGCTGCGCAACCCATCGGGCCGGTGTTGACTAAAGTGGTGTGCGTTGCAGATTGTGTACGCGTGGGCCCGGGACGCCCCGATGCTGAAGCTCCCCCCGGAAGTCGGCTTCAAGGTGGGCGGCGACTCCGACATCAAGTACCTCGTGCTGCAGGTGCACTACGCCCACATAGACCGCTTTAAGGGTGAGTCCGCGCTCTCAGCGTGAGCCGCGGTTCGAATACTGCGCGTTCAATATTTTCGGCGGGTCTGACGCGCCTTTTCCTTGCAGACGGTTCGACGGACGACTCGGGCATCATCCTGCACTACACGCAGAGGCCGTGAGTACCCTCAGTGCTTCGACGGCCCAATCGGCAAGCAACGGGCTCCACGGTCTCACTTTGCTTGTGCTGCTGCAGGCTGCCGCGTCTGGCCGGAGTGGTGCTGCTGGGCACCGGCGGTCGCATCGCCCCGCACTCCGTGGAGCACATGGAGACGTCGTGCGAGGTGAAGGAGCACAAGGTGATCCACCCGTTCGCCTACCGCACCCACACGCACTCCCTGGGCAAGGTGGTGTCGGGCTACCGGGTGCGCCGCGACGAGCAGGGCCAGGACCACTGGACCGAGCTGGGCCGCCGGGACCCCCTCACCCCCCAGATGTTCTACCCTGTCACCAACAACGTGACCGTCCGGCACGGCGACCGCCTGGTGGGTGCAGCAGTGGCGTCAACTGGGCGCGTGCTCTAGAGCTGAGGTGGCGATGGCGTGTCTAACCGAGGTTGTTTGCTCTCCTTTCCCCAGGCGGCTCGATGCACCATGGACAACCCTCGCGACGACTACACCATGATCGGGTAAGTGGGGTCGCGACAGCCGCGATCAAATCCCCAATGGCCGACAACCTCAGCCTGCCTACTGAGCAACTTCTCAAGCCGCGACTGCCCACTCTGCTGACTGGGTTGCCTATCTCTCAGGTGTTCGAGGCGAGGCCTGATCGACTTCTCTTTCTCTCTCTTTCCAGGGCGACAAACAAGGACGAGATGTGCAACTTTTACCTCATGTACTGGGTGGAGGGCACGGTGCCGCTGGACGTCAAGTACTGCTTCACCAGCGGCCCTCCCAGCTACCACTGGGAGTCGGCGCACATGAACCACATCCCCGACGAGGAGGCCTCCTCGCTGTAGTCCCCCGTTCTCCCCGAACGCCAAAAGGCGGAAAATTAGGCCGAGGCTGGAATGTTTTTGTCCTTCCCTTCCCTTTTCTCAGTTCGTTTTGTTTTGTGGGGAAAAGGAACACGTCTGATGGGACGGTAAAGAATGTTGTATGTGAAGGTGGTTTTTGTTGTTTCTTTTGTTGTTTTTTTATTGAGTGTGATGGTTCTCTGAATTTTTTGTTATTCTTGTGGGCACCTCAGGTAGTGCTTCATTATTGTTTTTAAAACTAAATTTTATTAAATTATTTGGGATAGAAAATGGTACACTTGAAATAATATCAGTTTGCCCTGAGCAATGTGCTGCATCTTGCACAAACCAAAAGACGTTGTAAGATTGGAGCTAGCAGTTATTTTGAAAGATTCAAATGTCGACTAGAGAATTGCCTTAACTTTAATTTATCATTTCATGTGCCATTCAATATATATTTAATCCAAGACAAAATTTATTATGTTAGTAGGGGTATTATGAGGGCAGAGGAATGAAAAGTGGCTAAACAGTCACCAAGAACACGTACATGGTACATGTTTTCACTTCCTTCAGAAAAATATTACCAACAAACCCATAGTTTCCTCTCAAAATTCTGGACTGATTGCATTTGATCCTTCTTATGTTCTAATGAAATGAAATTTGTAAGATAAAAATAATATGCAAGCTCCAGCAAGTTCTTCACATTTTTCTGCCCAAGAGTGGCATTTAAGTTACCTCATTTTATTGCTTTTTCTACGCTGCATACAGATGCATATCAGCGGCTTTCCTTAATTTCTGTGATCTTTGTTATTGGTAAGACTGGGTAGTCATGATGTGATTTTAGGAGATACGTACTTTACTGATTGGACATCAGCTGGTCAAATTGTTATTTATTATGCAGTAAGTTTTCCTGCTCTCCAAAGCTCTGGAGAGATACTTTTTAAGTTGCATGAACTTATAGGAACATCTGTGCCTGAGCTATTTATTCCCTGTGAATCCTTTTAAAAGGCCCTTGGAATCCCTTCCAGTTCACCAGCAAACTCGTCCTATGAATGGTCAATTACACAAAAGTCTGTAGCTCATATTTCATGCTGATTCATGCTATCGATCTTTCAAATACATTCCCTATTTTTGTGATGTGAAAAAATGTATTTGTTCCTGTCTTTGCATAATAACTCTTCGTTTAAAAAAAAAATATTGCTTGGACAATACTTTATCAAACAAGAGTTAGCCAAAAGTGCAACTTCAAAGAGGAGATAAAATAATTTAAAAAACATATTATGATTCAATTTATTTAATAAAAAGAAGAAGAAAACACGCTTTACAAGTTATTTTACAAACTGTTCTCACGTTCTCAGTTGAGGTTGACATGGGCTTAGTTGCCACTTCCAACATTCCTCTCACAAGTTAGTCACATGGGTATCACAGTGAATCTGGGGAAACTACTTTTTCTGGGCTATGATTCTCCAAACAGACAAAAACTAAAGGGTTCATACTTTGAACAGTTTCAGATTCTTACTCTCAAATTCATGGAAAACATGAGTTATTAGCAGTCAGAGAAGCAAACATCCCCCAGATTCCTTTCCAGTCACTGCAAGACAACAGCATGACAGCCCACACAGACCAAAGAATTAAATAGATGAAAACTCATGTAGCAGAAGCCACCTTGTTGGGCTGGTTGTCCTTGGAGAGTGACTGCGTGACTGCCTCTACTGCAGCCACGCCTCCTCATGCTAGGCCATCTTGCTTACAACAGCTCGATGAAGGGCTCCTAACTGCTTGGTCCATTTGTCAAGCGCCTGGTAACGAGCTCCACAAGTTGATTCTTGATCCAGCTCCAGAACTTGGTTGACCTGGTCGATGCGGCCTTGTATAGTACTGCAGGTAAACAAGTGGACAAAATGATAAGTACAGGGCGAAGAGAAAATTTAATGGTGCTGTTGCAGTAGAGTGGCCAAACACGAACTCACCTGTCCAAGATGCAGGACACCAAAAGGCTTTCAACATCAATTACGTCAATATTTAACTCCTTACTTATGAAAGGAATATGGATTCGGGTATAAGGTTTAATGAGTTTCATTAGCACCTGAGTGCGGATGTTCCTAAGTAAATCTGGAAAGCAAAAATTGAATGACTTATCTCACAGCACCTGAAGAAATAAACATCAAAGTGCATATAGTTAGCAAAGCTACCTTCAATGTGCTCTCTGATAAAAGGATCATCCATTATATTTGTTCTATGTTCTTTCAAGATGGACTCAAACTCATTTATATCATTATTTTGATAAGATGAAACCAAGTTGGTCATGGCAAGAATTTCAGGATCATTCTTGTAAGGTTTGGCCTCCTGGGAATCAAATGGATTGATGCCTGACTTCATTAGCCTGTAAGAAGGGAAAACAAATGTAACATAACTTCAAACAACCACATAAACCTTTTAAACGAGGAGAAAAAACTTACATATTGGCAAGAACTAAATATTTGAGACATGTGGTTCTTCTAGGGCTGCCAGATTCATCATAATTCTTGAATGCCTCAAAGAAATCAGTATGAGCATTCTCAAACTCGCCTTCACGCAAATGCATTTTGCCACCACACTCTGTAAAACATGACACAAAGTGAGCATTTCGATGTGAATTCATAGGATTCGTAGGTTTATGGATTACAACAATTTCAAAGAATACCTCTTATGACACCCATAATAAGTGGGTGAGGGATTGCACTTTTGATATGAAGGGACTGCTCGTAAAGAGTTTTCAATTTTTTGTTGTTTTTCTGGGCAGTATACATTTGAATTTCTAGAGCATAAATTTCTAACAGCTGTGTACCCTTTTTCAGATCATCTTCCCCATCATCAGTCTGAAAAGAGCAAAAGAAAATACAACTTTGAGGTAAGGAAACAGGGCACAAAGAAAATAAGCGAGTATGCATATTACCTGACATGACTGATGAAGTTGTTTCAAAATTTTGGCCAAACGGTTGAAATCACCTCGGTCATAATACAGTTTTCCAAGCTTGGTGTTGGTTTTGAACCACAAACGGTCGTTCTTGGCATCTTTTAAGGCATCAAGAGTTGTCTCATAAAAATCTTGAAGCAATTCCATCTGTTTATAAAGCAAAACTGTAGCATTATTTGATAAACCATATGATTATGTTGATGAATTTTAAGAGTGCTTACATTCTTTGAAGTAGATATGTAGTCTAGAATAGAGTTAATAGACTTTTCACTATGATTCCGTGTGACAGCTGTTTTGATATACGTCAACAGTTGTTTGTACCGTACCATCATTTCCTGAAAATTGCTCTACGAAGAAAAAGACAAAAATGTTAATCAAATCATAATCATGAAATAATAAGTACACTTGATAATAAGAAAAGCATTGCAATCTTACAAGTTTAAAATTGATTTTAATCATTTGTTTCAAGGCTTTGAAGCCCCATTCCCCTTTCTCTCCCATTTCCAGCTCGAGAACTTTTTGAAATGATACGAGAGCTCCTTTAGGGTCTTCTTCTTTCAATGCCTTAGAATTATAGTATTGGTTTTCCAAGTCAACATCTGGTTCCGAATTGCTGTCCTCTGAGTATTCCTGCAATGATTCAAGACACAAGCCGTTAAACAAAATCAAACATCACACTCCAAAAAGAGGCACCTCTCGACATCAATCAAAACCTGCAGGGTTTACAACAGGTTAACATCGTAATGATTCATACAGTAATGAGTATATAAAAATTCATTTAAAGAGAAGGATGTTAAAAGAAAAATTCGCAAAAACCCTGAATAAATTAGAAGCAGAAATTTAATAGAGGTAACCCCCCATCGCAAGACAGAGTTGACAATAACAGCAATTTTCGTAAGATACGAAATCTAATTATGAGCAGCTTGATAGACTTCTTAAACCACGGAACTCACGCTCTGTTTCAGAAATAAACGAGACCTAAAACTACAAGATGCCAAACCTAACAAGTGACAGGTTAGATTGGTGGGGCTGTAGATCATCCGCTCGCTCTTACCAGACCATAGTCCTCCTCTTCATCACACATGAAATCATCGTCAACGTCCGACATTTTGGCACCAAAATTGGCAAGCTCTAGTCTCTCAAGGTTTTCTTCAACGGCTGCAAATGGACCGGTTGAAAAAGTTGAGATGAACACAACACATCGGCTACAACAACAACCTCGCCGCAACTGCAACCGCAACCCTTTGACGGACGAGGAGGGGGAGGGGAGAGGTGGGAGGGTGAGGGTACGGCATGGTTGCCGCCACCGAAAAACAAAATTGAACGAACCGCAGCGGATGGTCTTGGAAACGCGGCCTGATAAAGTTAACTCCTTCGTTGCATGAGGAAATTAATCCAAGTGCTGACACCTTATGCTATTCTTTTCCCCTGAGAAAATAAATGCAAAGCGGCTGCGAGTTGGTCGGCCTGTGAATAAGGCATCTCATCCTGCCATCCTGCGAATAAAAGTGCCTTCTGCTGGTTGTGGTTAGGTTTACTGTGGTTGGAAAGAAATGGTTGTTTATCTAACGCTGAAGTTGGCATTCCACTAATGACACTGACTTTGTGCAAGTAAAATACGAGGGAAAGAGCGAAAAGCACAAAATGGCATTGCTTGGGAGATATCTTAATCATTTAAACCATTTGAAAACCAACTCTCCTGCCCTCTTTCACCATTCATGTAGAAGTTATGCAGCCAAAAAGTCGTTCAGAGAAAAGTATCAAGCCCTGTTTTATCCACAGCGTCCTGAAGCGCCCTATGACTTTGTGTGTCAAATTGGGGATCCTGTATTGAGGCAAAAGTGTGATCTGGTCGATGAACAGTTAATTGGTCTACCCAAATTTCAATCCGTAAGTACTTTGCTAATGTATCTGTCGTTCTGAGGAATACTCATTGTAACAAGCCAATTTATTCTTCCACTATGTTGTAGTTCATCGAATTAATGTGGAAAGTTCACAAGCTGTATGGTTGTGTAGGACTTTCAGCACCACAACTGGGGCTGCCTTTACAAGTGGTTGTCATCGGATGCACAGAAGAAGAATGTAAAGCCGCTAAATCTGTATTTGTCCAGCCAATAGCCAAGAAGGTCCTCATCAACCCAGTAATGAAGGTCTTAAACTACAAAAGTAAAGTGACTGGGCCTGAAGCTTGTGCAAGCATGTGCTGCTATAGTGCCCTAGTATCAAGGTTCTCTGAAGTCAGAGTAGAAGGTAAGCATAGTATGTAATTTGTCTCACTTAATTTTGCTTTACATGCCACCTTTTGATAACTTTATCTTTCCAGCTTTAAATGAAAAAGGGACTAAAATTGCTTTTGATGCAAATGGATTTGAAGCCCGAATAATCCAGCATGAAATTGATCACCTAAGTGGGACAATGTATGTAGATAAAATGGAACCCAGGACTCTAGAATGCTCAGTTTGGCAAAATGTCAATGTGCGAAAAGGAAATTGTCAAATTAGATTCAAACCAATCAAAGATTCTCTGTTACATAAAATGAAACTGATTTGATCATTCTAGGGTTACATTACAATAAATTTTAAGCTTGGAACCATTATTTGTTTTTTCTTGTGAATGCTGACAAATTATTTTATTGATAGCTTTCAGGCAAGTTTAAATTGTATAATTATTTACCTACTCCTGGTATCAGATGTGATGGGAGCTACATGACAAACAGTGACAGTTTCAGATAAATAAATATAATAAACCAAATTTCTTATTAACAAAGCATTCACTTTAAGAATTGAATTTGTTATACTAGAGCATCAATTCAAAAGATCTTGAACAGTTCAGAATGGCGCCTGTGATGTATAAAACTCTTTTTAAAAAATACAGGGTTGTCTTCTTGGCGTCTTTTAGTGCAAAGGAGTAATACACACCCTCCACTGCCCTCCACCTGGCAACAAGTTGATTTCATGGCATAGTAAACTGAGGAATTAGGCCAATGTTATACACAAAGTACTTAACCTAAAGTACACTGAGAAGGCTATATAAATTACTAAACTGTTTGGTGGTTCCTTTAAACCTACTGTTAGGCATATGCCCAACCATGAGGTGTTGTTTTGGAAACAAGGAGTGGAATTGATTACTAGCAACAGGTGTAAATTGTACATGAGTCTTGTCTAGCACTTTCTTTCTTAGACCGTCTTTGGGCACGGGGTTTGCACCAGCAAATTTGAACTGAATGTCTTTTCTTCTAACAATAGGTGCCACACACAATTCTTCAAATACTTCAGAGGTTTGTTGCCTGTGTCTTTGCTTTTGAGTGCAATGGCTCATGTACCTAAAATCAAGGTAATGAGACCTCAGTTTAGATTCCATACGAGATCTTGGAACCCTGTCTGGATGACTCCTCAACTTAGATTGTCCTAAAATTGTAGTAGAGCGACGTCTTGCACAAACTGCATCTCCACAATATTGGTAAAGAAGTCCATCAAGTGCAATCATGGCTTGTAATTCTTGTATGGTTGATGCTTTAATTTTAAAACGGGGTGAATCCACTTCACAATACAGCAACTCAACAATATCCTGTAATGTAAGAAAAATTACTTAGATATCTCATTTTCATGCCCAATTCTTTTTAAATCAAGATCTTGCTTTTACTCACCAGCAGTGTACCACGAATTTCTTCTACTTGAACATTGTAGTTTCCGGAAAGCAATGAGTATCGCTTATCAAACAGAGGTAAGAAACTTTTGAGCAATGGAAAGAGCCATCCTATGGCAGCTTTCCCCAAGTTTTGGAATATCACAAGTGCTCCGTAGTGACTTTGAAGTTTTTCCTTAGAATCTCCAAGGATTAGAGCCACTCTGGACAAAAGCTCTGAAACATGCTGTTCTTCTATGCCCCACACCAGCAAAACCTGCAAAGACACATATTTTTTTAACATTGCAAGTCAGAGTTACATTGAATTTTAAAATATGTAAAATGTAAGAAATTATTATATGTACCCTTGCCAACAAGCTGGCTGCTTTTCTTCTTAACAGAAAATCATTTTGGCCTTGCAAAACATTCTGATCAGCTATGATAGCTAACAAAGCATTCACAAGCCGGTTTACCTAAAAGAGCAAAAGAAATACGATAAATTAATAATAAAATCTGACAATGAAAAATAAACAATTGCGATCATTAATGATAAACGCTTACAGCAATTGAATAAGAGGGGTTGACATTCACATTAGAGAGCAACACATCAACAGTTTCTAACAATCTTGAAAGAAGCCCAAAGTGACGTGGTATGTGACACACTGAGAGGGCCACAAAATTCAGCAGAGGAACAGATACTGTGTTCACTTTCTTGCTAGTCCTCAAATTTAGGAGAGCTTGCTGCAAAGGAAAAAAGGGGGAAACAAACATGCTTATTAAATGTGCAAAAGGTTAATGAACTTTATAACAATTCAGATAATAAAAGGGTCTACCTTGTAAAGGCAGTGATGTCCTTCAATGATGAACTTTGCTACTATATTGAAGAAGGAAATTTGAGCTTGAGATAGTTTGAGCTCTTCCTCAGAATCTCGTTTTAGCTTATCTCTGATGGCATGGGGTTGGGCAAACTTTACTCCACCATTAAACTTCGATCGGCTATCTACACCTGCTTTAACAAAAAGGCTATTTGAAACATTTGATACTTTCCTCCCTAAATTAGGAGACTCAATGTTTTGATCAGCTGATGATTTCATTGAGCTGTGTGAGGTTTGATTAGGAGAATTTTGTGTGGATGTCTCCACATTGGTCTTACTATTATTTGTTCCTAATTTTGGATGTTGAAATGCTAAAGCTTTTCCATCAGACTTTGAACTATGGCCATTCACAGGTTGTGTTGGAGCAATTTTTAAAAGAGGGTAAGAAGCTGGATAGAAAATTTAAATTCATTAGTAATAAAATAATATACCAGATAATTAGTCATTTTTTCAAAAAACAAAAAAACAAAATCCACTTACTTGCAATGTAGGAAGGCTTTTTCACCTTAGGGGCTGTTGGATTAGTAGCTACAGATATAAGATCCACTTCATTGTCCTCAGGGATAAAAATTTCACCTTCTGGCAGGCGTAAAAATTTAAATGGCTCATTATGAGAATGGCCAAAAATATGATTTACATCGCTTACACGAAAAGCAGTATTTACATCAGAGGTAAGCAATTTTCTGCGCTTTGATTGGCGCATAACTGTGCATGAAGCCTGGAAAGAAAAGTTGTATTCTTAAGACAACTGTATTTATTGCATATCGTATTCAGCAACAGAAAAACAGTTGCTGTAAAAATCCTCTAATGAGTCTGAATGACAACAAAGAATACAGATACGAGATTTTGAAAAGAAAGCTGAGAGACAAGGCATTGAAATGTCGAGCCAAAAGTGACTGCCAAGCAGTGCGCAGGGAGACCTACGTTGATGATTTCCTGGAGCTTGTAGGAGACATCCTCAGCGAGGCTGGTGGCGACGTCCTCCCCGATGTTGCAAATGCCGATGGACTCGGCGATGACAGAGATCGCCTCCGCCGACACACCGACATGATCCTTATCCTTGTCCTTGTTTTGGTTTTGGTTCTGAGGCCCGCTGCTCTCGTCAGCGTCTCTCTGAGACGCGGCCGTCGCCTTTTTGATAGTGGCATCGCTGCTGCTCCCCGCTGACGCCGCATCCTTCTTTATCTTCCTCTTGGCCGGCTGGGCAGTCGGACGCTCCATTTCACCGAATCACAACAAAGTCGCTATCTCTATCTCCGTGTTGACATTTTCAGGTTAGGGAACACAGTGATGCCATTCAAAATGTTTCCACCTCGCGGGGCTGTACACACATGGCCTTGCGGATGCATCAAGGCTCTGATGATACACTGTGAGTGTTACGTAACATGTTTATCGAACGCGGCAAGCGTGACAACTCGCTAATTACGAAGAAAATAAATATCAGGAGCCACTTGAAATTTGTCCTGCATGCACGCCCGCTCGCTCCGCTCGTAGTGCGAATAACGACTAGCGGATTAAATGCAGTCAAACAGTTCAGCTCTCAAGGCAGCATTTATAGAAGATTTAGGCAGTCTAGGGCCGTTCCCCAGAAAGATTCACAATAAATCCTGTGACATATTCCTCGTATTCTTCCCAACACCCTGAACAGAGATAAATTAGTGGCATAAACGTTTGAATGATTGCCATGGTTTGAAACTCGCGCGTCAGAGCTGCTCAGAGCTGGCATGTGTAACATCTGTCGCAGCACAACAAACGAACAGGTGCCCGAAATAAAAGTTCTTTTACGAAGAAATGAAGACTGATTTGGATTCATTCGCGAAAAATGTAGCTTAGAACCTTTTTTAGCTCTCTGGATAGCTAAAATTGTTGTTAGACCGACTTGCTGAATTGTCCGCAAGTTGGCCACTTGGAAAATCAGCCGTACAAATTTCTCATACCATATTTCCTCACCCTTCCTCTGCCCCTCCCATCCACACAGCAGAAGACGCGTCCGAAGGCGTTGTCGGTCTTTGTCTGTCTCCCAGTCTCTGCCCGCATGGCAAGAGAGAGGTCTGGGTAATTCTACCTTTCGAACGCGATTCCTGGGGTGCAGCAGCACTTGCTCACAAGAGCAGAGCAAGAGTCCACACATCTGGGACTGGGGGCTCCGGGGACTGTTTTCCTTCTGCGAATTTGCGACGTTTTATCGGGCCCAAGAACACCGCAGAAGAATGATCGAGTTTGGAAAATGCGGGCGACATACGAGGCGAGCCTGAGTGGCCGGTCTGTCATGCCACGGACCCCGAGGGCCTGATTGAAGAGAGAATGGGCGGGTGTCTGAGTGGCGGTCGGAGCTCGAATGCTGCGAGTGGCACTGCAGCCGGAAATGTCACAAGGCCAAATTCAGGTGAGCAAGCCCGCTTTGAGCCATCTTTTCCGAGTCCGGCTCTGTGTGCCCCGGTGCCCACGATAGTGCTTCCGATTCCAGTGTGTCTGTTGTTATCGCCTGATTCTCCTGCAGGTTGTTTTCATTTTAAGTAGGGCTCTGTGCCCAATCACCCTGTCTCTTCCCTCTACCTTACCGGACCATCTCGATGCCCTTCAAAGTCATGACTAAGTCGCAATTCCTGCACAAGAACGCGTTCTATCATATCCAGCAACTTGCCCACTGGATTTCTAATCTTTTTGTTCCAATGATTGCTTGCCGTCACTCAGACATTGCTTTGTTTAGGTATTGATTCAGATCCCTTAACCTCTAAATATTTCTGGTTTTTTTTGTCTCTTATTGTTTCCCTTGTTTTTTGTATCACTGCTTCTCCACTTTCGACCACGTGTCCCATATTTTGATCACTGCCCTGTACATGTGTTTGAATTTTTTTAATGAATGGTGTCTGCGTGACGTTTTCAGGAAGGAAAAACCATCCGCTCTGTCATGATACCATACGCTGGAAGTCGGATGTCCCACTCACTGAAGGACAGCTGCGAAGTAAGCGTGATGAATTCTGGGATACAGCCCCAGCATTTGACGGACGTAAAGAAATTTGGGATGCTTTACGGGCCGCCTCACTAGCCACTGAAGCTCAAGATTTTGTCTTGGCCCAAGCAATTCTTGACGGTGCCAATATATCTGTTCCGAATGGTTGGTTTCAGTTTGAAAAATCTCTTTTTCAAATCTTTTTACGATTTCATTGTAACGTATTGTGTGTGTGTGTTTAGGATTCCTGACTGAGTGCTATGATGAACTGGGCACCATGTACAAAGTCCCAGTTTATTGCCTCTCAAATCCAATCAACATGGTGAAAGAAGATGGACGGGAGTCGCCTGCTGAATTTTCAGGTTGGTCATCAGTCAAAATAACATTAATGTTTTGTATGTGGTTTACATCTTGAAGCGCCCTACTCATTGTTTTTTTTTAAATTTTAATCTTTGAAGAACCTGCCGACGGTGGAACTGAAGTAGTACTGAAAATTCGGTTGTCATCGAATGGAGAGGATGTCAAGCTGCCTGTTCTTTCTACTGACACGGTGGCCACTGCAAAGAAAAAGTTGCAGGTATGTTAATCTTTACAACGAATAAGTTGATTTTTTAATGTTTTAATTATCATGAATTTAATGCTGACCATATTTGTTCGCTCAGTGCCAAGAGGGGTTGGAACCCTCTAGACAAAGATGGTTCTTTGGTGGGAAGCTGCTCAGCGACAAACTGCGAATAGAAGAAGCCAAAATTTTACCGGGGTATGTGGTCCAGGTTATTGTAAATCCAGAACCTTTGTCTCGTGTGGAAAGCTGAAAGGTAGTTCCTTATATGTAAATATGGTTTTGTACATCGAAACATCACATTACTGGTTGTTGACATGTCTTTCTGTTGATCGATTCAGAATTATTGAAAACAATCCACACTTAGGTTTTTATTGTTAAATTAAATGGATTTTTAATTCTATTTGCATAAAAACTTCCCAAATATTTCCTGTTAACTGTTTATCAAAGTAAGGAAGTGTTTTGTATGATATGTTGTTACCATACGGAAACATGTGTTGTCCTACATAGTATGATTTGTTATTCCTTCATATTTTTTCTATCAGTCTGAATTGTATATGCTGTAAGTCTTATTGGCCAGTGCCATAGTATTAGCTCTTTCTTGTGGCCTTTGCTGTAGTGTCAGGCAGTCTATCACTACAGACATCGCAATGTGTTAAGAACCATCTTCCACTCTGGTTTTTGGTTCTGTAGATTGTTGTATTTCATCATCTGCCTACAAATTTTGGTAAAGTCCAGTCTGGTGTGGTATTTCAATCCTTGCATTCTTTTTATGTTTTTTAAATTTAATTTTTTTATTGTTTGTTTAATCAATTTTAGTCATCTAAATTATGAATATTCCCAGCCAAACTATCACTGTGTTCTGTGCTCTCCGATAAATATTTTTCTACCTTTGCACTTGTACTATCAGAGAAAGTTATTTAATGTTTCTTAATTGTTCTTTTTGTTGTTAACCACTTTGGAGATTACCAACTTAAATTCACCTTGTCAGGAAGCTCAACTCTTGAGTAATGTTAACTAGCAGGAGACTTTTTCTTGTTTGTTTGGTTTTACTTGTAACTAGGAGTGTACTGAGTTTCAAGTAAACTATTTAATTTTTTGAAGTATTTTTTTCTTTTCTTCTCTATTTTCAATGGTGCTCAGAGCAGATGTCTAAGTGGGATTCAGTATATCTTGAATCACAAATGATTTCTTACTTAACTAGCTTCTAATTTACGTCATGAAGAAATTTATTGGTGCTCAAAATAATCTTAAATAGGTTTACCATTGCTGAGTTACATCATCTTTGTGGGAACCATTGCCGCACATTCATTGCATCATCTTCCAAAGTATTTTTGTCCAGTCACAATTTGATGTACTTTACGAAGTATAGCTTAGGGAAGTAGCTTCTCATATCATTGTTAAAATAAGACCTTCTTTGTTTTTGTATAGAGTACAGAGCGAACTGAAGTTGTGTGTTTATTGCAATCAATTTTGGTTCAATGGGCTGCATGATGACCGCTCCCATTCAATTCAACTTAATTTGATCAAAGCTGTGTAATCTCTTCTTCTTTCTAGCTAGTGTCTTGTATTTTTTAAGCATAAAAGTGCATTTCCTCTTTAATACTAGTAGTAGTTTTCTGTATGCTTGGAGCTTATTATAAATGGTGTGGTTTTGTAAAGTATGACTGTTGATTCTTGTATTGGATGTTGTCATGTTATTCCAGAAGCATACATTATTTAATGTCCAAAGTTGCTTTACTTTATAATTTGTGTACTTAAGAAGTTTATTATTATACTTTTGCTTAAGTGGATTTTCAGAAAAGGAGAATGATATGTGATGAACTGCTGAAGTCCTTCAAATTTTACTTCTATCTCAGACGCTTAAGAATTGTATGTTGTTTCCTTGTATGATCGGCCTGAGAGTTTACTTAAGATACATTACATCACATCTCATGCTAAGCTGTTATAAAGTAACAGAATTAGAACTGATGCTACTATTTCTTCATCCAATTTTAAAAATAAACTAACAAAGAACGAGAATGTCAAGTAATGATTTACTTGAATTTGATCTCTGTTTAGCTGGACTGAAAAGTTATCTAATCAAGCCATGTGATCTTCTAATGGTTCTTGAGGGTTAAAGACCTATCTTCTTTTTTTTTAACAAAACAATTCCTTGTAGAACTAGAATAATTAGTCCTTATGGACCAATACTTCATTCTTTAATATGTCAAAATTTCTCAGACTCATGACACTGGTATCACTAATCAATTGTGACAGAGCGGTATTTTTTAACTGTGTGATTGTATTGTGCAGACTGATAAATGAATATCATGACACAAAATTGCTGCTTTAATGATTCCATAAAATCTTGACCTTTTGCACTACTTACAGATATTATTAGTCCTTAGGATTACATTTCTTGACAGTAGCACACAATAAATGCTATAATACCATTGAGATCAAACAACTGCTTCAAGAAAAATAACAAACATGTCACTTGGGCAAATACTTCAACAGCTTCAATTCGTGTGTAAGCCAAATGGCAAAGGACAGCAAAACTAATGACCCTGACTGATGAGTTGCTGCCACTGGAACAGGGACATAGGTCAGCAGTGTTGTAATGCCAAGTCCAACCTGTAATTAATAAACATGAGTGAGGTGAACCGCATTCAGATGACATTCAAAAGCACGGTGGATATCATAGTAAATTACCTGAATCCATGCCATTGTAGCCAGTGCAGTTACTGCTTTTAGTGCTCTAGGTGGTAGAGTCGCCCTTCTAGACAGTAGATAAAGAGTTGAGATGGTAGCAACTGTGGTTTCTCCCTGTTGGATTCACACCATGTTTTAATTTTAAAATACCATAACTCTTAAGAAAAATAAGCAGTACATTTTAATTCAGAACACACACCAGTCTCCTATGATCGAATTGAACTGTTGTGGGATTTTCAAAGAAGTTTCTGAGAGATGGAGAGAGGGCCAGCAGATCACAGGGAATCCAGCGATCTGCCATTTTGGGATAACTATTGTAAACCAATCCAGCATCCAGGCCGGCAACAAAAGCTCCTAGAGATAAGAAATTTGGGATTACTGCTTCAAAAACTTGCCCTGAAACATATTTATTTTTAAATTGCACAGAGACCAAACCTGATAATGCTGTGAAAAAGACTAGAGCCTTGGATGTTAGAGCCAAACGTCTTACTAGACGAGCTCGCTTAATGGCAGAGGCATCACCAATTGCAGCACTGGGGAAGGGTTTGGCAGGAAGGAGCTTGTCTAAGGCTGACCACAAAAGAAGAGTGTAGAGACCAAACGCCAGTCCCAAATGGGATGCAAGTCGATACTGTGACACTCTTGGTACATCATTAGGGTCGTCAAAATTATTTTGCAGACCAGATTTAACCATGTACCATCCCATCAGACCCTAAAGAAACACCATAAGATTAAAAGTAAGCTCTACCTCTGAAGGAAAGAATCAAGCGAAGAGGTGGTGGCCTACCTGGCAGCCAATTAAAGTACCAAATGCAAGAACTCTTTTTTTCATTGCCGGGTTGAGATATCCTTTGGCCCAAAATGCTATTGCTGGAAGAGCAAAGGCTGTGCCAATAAGTCTGCCCCACTGTCTATGGGCAAACTCCATCCACCAAATGCGTTTAAACTCAGAGACTGTCATCTCATGATTTTTACTGCAAAACAAGGTAACCCTTTCTTATTCTTAGATAAACTTAAGCATGGAGGAAATATCAATACCAGGACATACAATTTAAACTCAGGATATTGTTGGTACTTCTCAAATTCAGTAACCCACTCCTCATGAGTCCATGGCATTTTTTCTCCTAATAAGCGCCATGTGACCATCGACAAACCAGATTCTGTTAATCTTGTGACACCACCTGTGAAGAAAGACACAAAATCATGGCTTATGTGCACAGAGTGACATGTGCTTTCTAAGTTCTTTCACTTACCTAATATAACAGCAACAAAAACCATCCCACTGCATCCCAGCAGCCAGAGACCCACCGCTTTGTCAGCATTGGGCGGAAGAGGTTTACAGACTTGAGCTGTGGAACTCGCAGTGGAACTATTTAGGCGGATTACATTAGTAAACTGTAAGTGCAGACAGGGAATACAATGAATATGAACATTACAATGGTCCATGTTTAAAAGTCTCAAAGGCTTAAAGCAATACCTGCTTTACACGAGTCAATAAACGAGTATCCGAAAAGTCCTTTACATTGTGTCTGAGCAACGAAAATCCCGAAGCTGGGAACCTAATAGCGGTCTTCTGAAACATGAAATTTAAAAATACGCGATTTAAACATTGTTTGAACTTTTACGCTGTAGAAATCAAAACAAACAAGATTCCAGCAGAGATGGCAAACTCACACTCTGTAGAGATGGACTACGGGCCACTTGGCACGCTCGCCTAGCAAAAACGCTCAACATCTTAATAAATCTGTGAAATTTAACGGGTCAAATGTTATTTACATAGAGGGCGAAAATGTTACATCATACATCCTCTGTAATTAGTGAGAGGTTAGAATCGGTTCCTCTCTTCATAAGTTTTTCTGACCTTTTTGACGATGACCAACTGATCCTTGAGCGTTATACGTGCTCCCTTCGACTTGCGGTCGCCTTATTCCCTTCGAGGTACAATTCTTGAGTATCGTGTCGCTAAATTTGTGCGTCAAATTAGTGTGTTGCAGACAGACGACTTTCTTGCTTCTGCTTCTCTCAAAACACACCACCCGCACCAACGATTTCTCATCCTCAACGTTGCAGCGAACTTTCTCGTGAGCGCGGGAGGCAAGAGGGAAGTCCTTCCATCCATGACTTTCCTTCCGTGACATTGTGCGGTTGGAAACTCTCAGGTAGTGAATGAAACGTTTACTGCAAATAATGTCTTTATTTTATTTCTGCGTGTACGACAAAACCTGTCGGCCAGTTCTAATTTACGTAATTCTGCGGGCAAGGCGATGAGCAGTGAGGTTGCACCTTAAAGTGGTGCTACCCAGGGAAGTGGGGCTGTTGCTGCGGATTGCAGCCCCTGGACTCGGGCAGCGGGATGGGCAGGCCGAAGCAGTGCTCTCGGCTCCTCAGCCCTGCGTACAGCTCCTCCCACATGCCCATCCTGTCCCCGCCCAGGCCCTCTCCGAGCGTCCCCAGCTCCCTGGCGCTGATCTTGGCGTAGGCGGCGGTCGACGCGTCCCCCGCCGCGGCCGGCCAGCTCTGGAAGCCGGGGTCACCTTGCCTGCAATGCAAAGCAGAGTCGCCGTTAGCCAGAGCGGAGTGTGAGAGCGAAGTAGTCGGCGCTCCGCCCACGGCTCACTTGGCGAAGTTGGTCCAGAGGGTGGTGAGGGCGTCGAGCGTCTTGCTGGACGCCGAGCCGCCGAACAGGGTCTGCCGGAGGTCCGTCGGGGAGGTGATGCGGAACAGGTAGCCGAGCTCATCCGTGTGCGTCGCGCCCGCCTCGGCGATGTTGGCCGACTTCTTGAACAGGTTGTAGTCGCCGTCCTCCAGGAAGTGGTACAGGAAGAGGGGGGCCTCGGGGCCGTGGCTGCCCAGGGTGAGGTTGACGAGTCTGTGCACGGCCACGGCGCCGTTGATGTCGCCCAGGAGCTGCGAACAAACTCCCACGTTGTCGTCGCTCTCTCTCTCGCACTTCATCCCATGGGGTGCATTCGCTCGCCCGAGTCCACCTCACCGTTTGCAGGTTGCCGACGCCGGCGTCCAGCCCGTAGGCCTCCCGGAGGCGCGCGCCGAAGCGGGCGGCCGCGTCGGCGCTGAGCGTGGGCGGGAAGTCGTGGCCCAGGATGTGCGCCGTGTCCACCGAGGGGGACACGTTGTCCGGGAGCAGCTTCTCGGGCTTTTCCAGCAGCGCGGACACCAGCTCAGGCACCTTGTCGAGGCCTGCGCGCCGACGGTTACAGTGGATTCAAGTGGTGGTAGACCTTACCGCGGCAACAGGCCTTACCGAGGTAGTAGTACGAGTAGACTCCCTCGTTGCCGCTGAGCCCCGCGACGGTCGGCACTGGAGGCACCTGCGGCTGCCGGATCAGGCTCTCGGCGTCGCGGCCCAGGAAGCGGCTCTCGCGGCCCGCGTCGCGGCGCTCGGGGCTCGGCCGGAACAGCTGCCAACGCAAGTCGTTTCGTCGCTCTGTCTCTGTCGCACTCACGGGGCGTCCCGTATGGGTGCGAGAGAGACAGAGCAACAAAGCGACCCTTTGAGATGTATCTTGGCTGATCTTCGCGGAGCCCCCCGACTCACCCTGGAGATGCCGCCTCTGGCCATGCGCGCGCTGGCCGCCAGGATGTCCCCAGTGCTGGCCTGCTTGAAGGAGCGCACCATGCCCTCCTCGGAGGCCGAGTCGCCGCCCAGGGCGTCGCAGAGCCGCCGGGCCATGTCCAGGCGGTCCGGGAAGGTGTCGTGGTACGCCCACCACTGCAGCGCGTTGCCGCTCTGCATGATGGCGGCGCGGAACAGCCCTGCGTCCGCAAACAGTGTAAACAGTGTTAGCGTCGCTCCGTCTCTCTCGCGCCCCTGGCCAAGCCCCTGGCCCCGTGAGAGCAAGGAGGAGCGACGGACCTCGGCTGTCGTTGAGCAGGGTGTGGTAGTGCACGGACGCGGCCCCCGCCGAGTTGCCGAAGATGGTGACGTGGTTGGGGTTGCCGCCGAAGTTGGCCACGTTGTCACGCACCCAGCGCAGCGCGGCGCGCTGGTCCTTGAGGCCGGCGTTGCCGGGAGCGTCGTCGCTGTCCATGTTCAGGAAGCCTGCGCGGAGCAACGAACTTCAATCTCCCAAAACTGAAAAAACGGACTTTGAATTTACTCGGCGGGGAGCGGTCCGAACCGAAAGCGCCCAGTCTGTAGTTGATGGTGACCAGCACGACGTCGTGGCGCACCAGGAAGTCGGGGCCGACCTCCGAGATGTCGCCGGACCCCGTCTGGAAGGCGCCGCCGTGGAGGTAGACCATGACGGGCAGCACGGCGGCGCCCAGGAAGGGCGTGAACACGTTGAGGTACAGGCAGTCCTCGCGGCCCTCCGACTGGCCCGTGACGGCGTTCAGCTGGGGGCACTTGTCGCCGCCGGACAGCGCGGGGCGCACGCGGCCGTGCCAGGGCACCGCGGGCCGCGGGTTCTGCAAAGTCCAGCCGTCATGATTCGGAACAGCGGTTCCTCGCTCTGTCTCTCTCGCACCCCTCGAAAGAGCGCGCCAGAGAGAGATGGAGCGACCCGAAATCGGCCTGCTCTAAACGCCTCACTTTGAACCTGAGTGGGCCGACGGGCGGCTTGGCGTAGGGGATGCCCTGGAAGGAGTAGAAGCGGATGCCGTCCGCGCCGACCTGCTGCGTGCCGGCCAGGGTGCCGTCCTTCGTGCTCACGAACCACATCCCCGCGCTGGGGACAGGGAAGTACCCGGTCAGCTCTCTCGCATCATTTGAACGCCGCGCACGGCTAGAGCAACCCACACGCACCGGGCCTCGCTGTCGGCGTCACCCGCGTCTGGCGTCGGGGAGCCGAGGACGGCCGAGACGACGACGAGGGCGACCAGGGCGACGGCGACTTGCGGGGCCTGCATGGCGCTGGAGGACACGGCGCGTGGCTGGAGCCGACTGGAGTCGACTGGATAAAGCCTGCTCGCGAGCCTGCCCGGCGGACCGGCATGGAGTGCCCGGAGCGGCGTGGACCTGGACCTGGACCGGGACCCTGACGTGGTGGGGACCCTGGACCCCAACGCCGCAGTGCCGCGGTGCCGCGCTGCAAGTTCAAGTTCGGCACAAAAAGGCGGCGGGGCGAGAACGCTCTGCCTGTCGCCACGACCGGCCGGCCGACGGCGCTCGACAAGTCAAGCCTCTGCGGTGACGCACGCATTGGGAGACATAGGGGCGAGCCTGCAGCCTGCAGGCAGGCGTCAGGAATGAGTCGAATCTCGAGGGGCTGGTTGGTCGCTTTATTTATTAACTTAGTCAGGTATACATGGTGCAGCAGACATGCGGAGGTGGTGGTCTAGTGGTGGTGCTACTACGCCGAGGACGGCGTCGTGGAGCTCGGCGCTTCGCTGCTGCTGCTGCTGGGGGCGGCGGTGGTGGACAGGACAGCCGGCAGGGGCACCGCGCCGGAGGCTTCGGGGGCGGGGGCGGGGACGGGCGGCACGGGGACGCCGGGGCTGCACTCGCGCTGCGGGCAGCAGGCCGGGAACATGGCGTCCACGTCGCCCTCCTTCACGGAGCAGCCCTCCGGCGCCAGGACGCGGGGGCACCTGTGGAAGGGAAATACACACTTAAGAATAAAGCGCAAGGAAACCGAGAACAAGTGGACTTGGGCGTTGGGCGTGTTACGCACGGCTGCGAGCTGGCCACGCCGCTCTTCTGGCAGGTGTACTTGAGGCAGCCGTCGCGGCCGCTGGTGTGCCAGGAGTCGCCCACGGCGTGGAAGCCCCCCAGGGAGCACCCGGGGCGCTGCTGCTCCGGGGCGGGGGCGGCGGCGGCGGCAGGGGCGGCGGGGGCGGCGGCGTCCGGAGAGGGCGTAGCTCGACGCACTGGCTGAGGCGAGGCGACGCCGGCGGGACCCGGGCCGGCCTCGTCAGCGGTGATGGGGGACGGCCTCTGGGCTGCGGAAGAAAAGCGTCGGGCAACGTCAACGCCGCGGTCACCTACTTGCCCCCGCAGTGGGGCACAGTGGGCCAGAAGACCGGTGGAGGCGGCCAAAACGCTAGACGCGTTTTGAGCTCCGGAGTCGCTGAATAGAACCCGAACCGAACGTGTGACCCCACCAATGGATTCCTCCTTCGGAGAGCTATCCATTGGTGGGGGTCACACGGTCGGCTCGAGTACCATTTAGCGACTCTGGAGCTCAAAACGCGTCTAGAGTTTTGGCCGCCTCCACCGGTCTTCTGGCCCACTGTGTGGGGCCACGGCAACGCGGAAGCGAGGTCACGGCCAAGGAGGGCGTCATGCACTCCGAGTCCCACCTCATCCTCCACTCGGTTGCATCCACTGCGATGGTGCAGTTCACCTTTACCGCCGTCAGCACTTTTTGAGGGGAGTGTACCGCGTGGTGCCTGGCACACATCCGCGACGAAGACAAAGTCGCAGTGTGCGCACCACCTGGTACAGTCCCCGCACTGATTGACTCGCAGATCGGCACGCTGCCCACGCCCGCGCCTCGTCGCGACGCGTCGCCACACCTGGCTGCCCGGCCCAAACAAGCAGCGCAAGTGGGCATCATAAGCGGGGCACAAAAAAAAGTTTCATTTGCGGGACGCAATTGAACCGCGTCAATCCGGGATTCCGGGGCCCACTGGGTGTCTGCCTCATCATGATCGTTCACATGTCGAGTGACAACATTTTCGGACGCAGCTGCCTGTCGCTCCACTACGCTAATAAAGTCCCCCGCTTTATTTTACGACTTCTGGGCGGCAGTCCTCTCGGTGAGGGCAGACCTGTGTTGTTGGACGCACGCACCTGAGGCGGAGGCCAGCGCCAGGGCGCAGGCGAGCAGGACGGCGGCGTTGGCCATGTCGGCGATGCGGTGGGGCCCGGGGCGGCGGGGCGTGCGAGCTGGAGGTGTGCGTCTCGGAGACTGACTGGAGTCCGCCCGGAGGATCCAGCACGACGCCGCGGCCGTGGCTGCGCGTGGCCTGGTGGGCCTGGTGGGGCGTGGCGGGCGTGGCCGACGTGCCGTGTCGGGGTTGGCGGTGGCGGCCTGGCCTGGAGACCCTTCTCCTCGCCAAGGCTCGGCTCTCCATCACACTGTGTCGTTTGCCGTTTCGGGATGTTCGGGATGCCCTCCTGTCCGTTCACCCCTGTGCCTTCGGCTCCTCGGTGCCTCGGTCCCGGTCGTTGCCGCCATCGCGTCGCTTATTGGACTCGCCTGTTTTGGTCCCGGTGCTGGCGGTGCCGGAGTACGGTCAGGCAGGGTCCTCGCAGCGCCGGGTGTTGTCGGTGCTATCAACCCCAAGCCCGTCCCGGGCCCCTCCCCCCTCTCCGAGCCCCACAGTGGGCCAGAAGACCGGTGGAGGCGGCCAAAACTCCAGACGCGTTTTGAGCTCCAGAGTTGCTAAATGGGACTCGAACCGAGCGTGTGACCCCACCAATGGATTCCTCGTTCGGAGAGCAATCCGTTGGTGGGGTCAGACGTTCGGTTCGAGTTCTGTTTAGCGACTCTGGAGCTCAACGCGTTTAGAGTTTTGGCCGCCTCCACTGGTCTTCTGGCCCACTATGAGCCCCCCGAATCCAACCCAGTCAGCGACCTCGGCGATGAAGGGGTCCAAGCGGACCAGTTTGGCGCGGCTGGGGGGCCGAAAAGGGGGCAGGGAGAAAGAAGGGAGAGGGGAGAATGAAGAACCCTCGCGCGGCGTCGCCGACAAAACAACAAATGATAAAGACGAGCACCGCTTTGCAGTTATTTTCTAAACAAATTTATTCCGAGAACTGATGAGGGCGATGAAAAGATACAAATGATGATGGCGGGCGTGGATGCTCTCGGACGGGACAACAAATATTCTTAGCAGCTACGTATTCGGTCTGGTCAGGCCGTCGTCTTGACGCACCGGAGCTGCGGACAGCACTCCGGGTACGGGGCGCTGAGGTTCCCTCTAACAAAGCGGCAGTTCGGGCCGGCCATGAAATGACCACACCTGTAAACAAGTCAAAATTAAGGCAAGGAATATATAAAAAGTGCAAGCGGGGTAGTGGAATTCCGCTGGATTGTGGCACATCAGAGGGGTGTGCGGTTACACCGTGCTCGCGCGACGGCGAGCGGGAAAAGCGAACCTTGCAGCATCACGACGCACCTCTAGAAAGAGTCGGAGACAATGGGTTTCGAACCCTCGGGCCTCACGCGTGCAGCGTCCGTGCGCCACGATCCGAACGCGATAGTCCAGGACAGGGCCCTTCTCGGCGACTAACTCACCAGGTCGTGGTGACGGCGCCGTCCTCGCCGCACTCCTGCTCGACGCAGGCCCCCGGCGTGGTCCAGACCGCCCCCGCCGCGTACCGCCGCCCCTTGTGCACGCAGCCCGTGGCGGCCACACCTGCGGCAGGCAGACGACACGTCACGCGCGTGCAGGAGGCGCTTTTCGGCTTGGGAGCGCAGAGTGTACGGCCACGCCCGCGCGCCACGCACACGCACCGAGCGTGCACACACACTGTACGTACGCACACAGGCGCGTCCAAGGCCGCCGCCGGCGCGTGGTCACGGCCACCAACTGCAGCGGCCTGTCCATACAGGGTGCATCGCCACTTGCCGGCCACGCAACAAAGACAGTCGAAACAACAAAAGCAACTTGAATTTATTCAAGTGTCGCGCGGTGGTGTTTGGTTTGACAGCGCCGCCAGGGGACGCTCTGCTGCGCTCTGCTGCGCTCTGCTCTCGCGCTGTCGGAGTGTCAGCACCGAGTCGCCACGCCAAGTTCAAGGCCGTGGGGGCCTCTATCGCGCTGCCCGGACTGACTGCCCGGTCGTCGCGTAAGGAGTGCGCCTTGAGTCCCGGCCGTCCCGGCATGCCGGCCGGAAGCACTCCAAGAACTCGGCCAGAAAGGAGCGGAAGAAGACCGCCGCGGGGACAGCGATGGAAGGCGACTCGGAAGGCGAGCAAACGGCGTGGATCATCAAGTCAGCGCTCCGCGACGTTTCCTCGTGAAAACGTTGAAACTCAAGGCAGTGTCGTTCGACGCGGTCGCATCGGCCGCGCCTCCGAGTGGACGAACGACGGCGGCGTGCAGAGGCGAGTCATGCCTCCGCCTCTCCTCGCCTCGCGGCCCGGTCGGACTCACGCTCCAATGAAGAGTGGCGCGGCGCCTCCCTGCCGATACGTGCGTCTGCCAGTAAGGGGCACTATTTGCACACCACCACGACGTCGACGACGTGGACGACGTACCCGCGCTGCAGCAGTGCAGGCACACGGCCACGACGAGCGTGAGCAGCAGGAGCGCGGCCCGAGAAGCGCGTCCCGGTCGTCGTTGTCCCCTCGTCGCGGTGCCCATGTCGCCGTCTGCCCGCGGCCACCGCGGCCACCGCGACTGCTACCGCTGGCCGGGTCGCTGACTGCTGATTCTCGTTTTTCGAGGCTGCCTCGGCGTTCCGCGCAGGCCCACGGGCCAGGGCCGCAGCCCGGGCAGGAGGTGGCCGGACCGCGGCACCGCGGCACCGCGGCGTCCTCTCTCTTCACCCTCTCCCCCCCTCGCGGCCCTCGCGGCCCCTGTGCGCCTCCACGCCGCGCCGTGATTGGCCGAGCCGCGAGCAGGATGGGCTGCCTACCGCGGCGGCGCAGCCCTGGGCCCTGGCGCAGCCTGCCATCTGATTGAGGAGAGTCGTTTGGCGGTCCAGTGCGGTGACATTGTCGGGCACGCCGCACGTTGCCGGGACACGCGCGGCGCCGCCACCGTCTCCGCGGTCTCCGCCATGTGGGAGGACGACCACTACGCCCTGCTGCTGTGCCCGCAGTGCCCGGCGACGTGGGGGCTGCCCGCCGCCGCGCCGCACGACGCCAACGTGTTGCGCCTCGCGGACCTCCTGCTCGTCGCGGAGGACGCCTGGACCACGCTGGTCGTCCGGTCAGCCGAGTGATTCAGAACGCAACGCCACTGTCTCTGTCGCACTCACATAAGAGAGGACGCCCTCACCCTCTCCACCAGGTTGCTGCTGAGCTACGAGCTGGGGCTCCAGGGCGACGCGGCCGCCGCCCGCGAGCACTTGGAGCAGTGCCGCTACGTGCTCCGCGGTGTGGTGGCGGACGCCGGCGGGCTGGTGCGGCGCACGCGGCCAGCGCTGCGGCACGTCGTGCGCGCCGCCCTGCAGCAACTCGACCTCGCCGCGGCCACCGCGTCCACCGCGTCCTCGGACACCGCCTCGCCGACGGAAGACCTGCTGCAGCTCGACCGCAGGCAGATGGCCGCCATCTGGGGGCTGCGGGCGTGCGCCATGAGGCTGTACGGCTGCGACGGTCGGTGCACTGTGCTCTGTGCAAAGCGCCCGGCAGGTAGACCGCCACGCCGCGTAGCACGCAGCGCCGCGCGGCGGGCCGGCCTACCTGCCGGGCGCTGTCACTGACGGACGCCTGATGCGCTTGACGGATTGCTTCGCTGGCGGCAGGCTGGCAGGCGGCGCACGACTGCGCCGAGCGGGCGGTGGGGCTGGACATGGAGGAGCCGGCCTGGCTGCACCTGCTGGGCCTGCACCGCCGCGACCACGCCCTGCTCAAGGAGGGGGTGGCCTGCCGGCCCGGGGCCGCGCTGCACTGGGCCGCCGCCATCCTCTGGGACCAGGGCCGGCCCGGCGGCAAGCCTGGGGGCGGAGCGGCCAAGGCCGAGGCGCTGCACCGCGTCCTGGTGGCCGTCGGCGAGGTCGCTGACGGCAGGCCGGGGTGCGCGATGACGCAGACGCAGGCCGCGCTGCTGCTGCGCCTGGGGGCCGCCATGCTGCGCCGCGAGGCCCACGGCCAGAAGCACGCCGAGCACGCCGAGGTCACCAAGGCCGTGCAGCAGGCCGAGGCATGCGCGCGGAAGGCGCTGCTGCTGGCGCCGCAGTGCGTGCTGGTGCAGACGGCGGCGGCCGTCGTGCTGGGCGCGCCACCGCCGCGGCAGCACCGCGAAGCGCTCCATCGCCTGTACGGCGTGGAGTGGAGTAGAGCGATCGTCATGTGCGTAGTGTGTTTTTCCCTGATAGGGATAAACTCCAAATTGAATTCCCCATCCAGGTGTGAGGCGGCAATGTGTCAAGAGCTTTCTCTTTCAGGCTCAAAGAGTACAGTTTTGGCTTGGTGTACCTCATGGCTAGGTAAGTCTTCAAAATTAACCCTCATGATTTAATTTTACTGTGAATTTGAAAAATAAAAACTTAGTGTATTTTTTTCAGACCGGAGTAGTACGGGCAATGAAATAAAACAGCTCACTTTACTCACTGTGCTTTATTTGTGATCCATAAACCATCCCCGCTACAAATCATTCATCCGTTTCCGTCACACATAGCCACCACCCTCCGCGTAGATGCTGTTCCCCACGACGCCGTCCGAGTCTGCCCCGGCCGCCCCGAGGCCGCCGTTCTGCCTCACCGTCGAGTACCCTGCGTCCACCCTGCCACCCGATGCGTACCCTTGTCCGTTCGCCCCGCCGCCGAGACCCCCGCCTTGGCGCCTCGACGGGTACCCTCCGCTCGCGCCGCTGTCCGCCGCCAGGTCCGGACGACCGGAGCCACGTCCGGGACCAGACGCAGGCCCGCTGGGGTAGCCTTGGAAGGCGCTGTCCGGTTGTCCTTGTGGGTACCCCGCTGACGGGTAGCCGTCGCCCTGCTCGGAGGAAGGGTATCCCCCAAAGCCACCGTCGTCACCGAGTGCCGCGGGATAGCCGTCCTGCTCGCCACCGGGGTAGCCTTGATCGCCACCACCCAGGTCGGCGGACGCGTAGCCATCCGGGCTGCTGGGGCCTCCAGATGGGTACCCACCCTGCCCGTTGTCGCCGAATCCTGCCCCCGAAGGATACCCGGAACTATCTGGACCGCTCGGCGAAGGGTAACCCGAAGGGCTGTCCGATCCGCTTGGTGCTCCTGAGGGATAGCCGCTGTCCGGAGCAATGGAGGGCCCTGAAGGGTAACCGGCGGAGCTGTCCGAACCACTGGGACGTCTTGAGGGATAACCAGGAGAGCTGCCCTGACCACCGGGACGTCCTGAAGGATAACCGGAAGAGCTGTCTTGACCACTGGGACGTCCTGATGGATAACCCGAAGAGCTGTCTTGACCACTGGGACGTCCTGAAGGATAACCGGAGCTGTCTTGACCACTGGGACGCCCTGAAGGATAACCGGAAGAGCTGTCTTGACCACTGGGACGCCCTGATGGATAACCGGAAGAGCTGTCTTGACCACTGGGACGCCCTGATGGATAACCGGAAGAGCTGTCTTGACCACTGGGACGCCCTGATGGATAACCGGAAGAGCTGTCTTGACCACTGGGACGCCCTGATGGATAACCGGAAGAGCTGTCTTGACCACTGGGACGCCCTGATGGATAACCGGAAGAGCTGTCTTGACCACCAGGACGCCCTGATGGATAACCGGAAGAGCTGTCTTGACCACTGGGACGCCCCGAGGGATAACCGGAAGAGCTTCCGGCGCCACTGGGCAGTGCTGGGGGATAGCCTCCGGAGCCTCTGCTGCCCAGGTCCCCCAGAGTGAAGTCCGACACGCTGTTCTGCCGCCCTCCCCCGGAGGGGTACCCGGCGAAGTCATTGATGGAGCTGCCGGCTGGTCCCAAGGCCGGGCCAGAGGGGAACCCTCTGGACGACGGCATGGTTCGCCCGCCCGCGCCGCCGGAGGGGTAGCCGCGCTGGCCGCCGGATCCCTGGACGCCACTGTCCTGCCGCCCTGCTGGAGGGTAGCCACCGCGTTGCCGGCCGGGTCCTGCAGGCTGCATGGCGCGTCCCGCGGGGTATCCTTGTTGTCCTGCTGCGGGTCCTCGCTGCCCGGCCTGGCCTGGCTGGTCGCCCTGCTGGTAGCTGATCTTGGAGCGGAAGCCCGCCGTGTCCGCCTTGTAGCGCACGGTCTGCTGGCGGCCGTCGGGCAGCAGCACGGCGTACTGGCCCTGCGTCACGTCGCCGTCGCGGGACTCGCGCTGCGCGAAGGTCGGCCCGCCGGGAGACACGTCGTTCACGTCGTAGTTGAACTCGTACTTGGCCACCTGGGGGCAGAGGGGAAGGCTTCAGTGACGGTCGCGCCGGCACCTAGATGGCGTACAGCTCGCAGGGGCCGACCACCTGCGGCACACACACTAGGCCGTACGGCCAGATGCTTACTCCTTCGTCGGACGGCCAGGACAGCGCGTCGCCAGAGTCTGGGAAGCCGCCAGGACCAGACGGGGCTCCGTAGCTTGCAGACGGTGGACCCGCAGACGGTGCCCCGTAGCTGGACGAAGGAGGACCTCCAGACGGTGCCCCGTAGCTGGACGATGGAGGACCCGCAGATGGTGCTCCGTAGCTGGACGACGGAGGACCCGCAGATGGTGCCCCGTAGCTGGACGACGGAGGACCCGCAGATGGTGCCCCGTAGCTGGACGACGGAGGACCCGCAGACGGTGCTCCGTAGCTGGACGATGGAGGACCCGCAGATGGTGCCCCGTAGCTGGACGACGGAGGACCCGCAGACGGTGCTCCGTAGCTGGACGACGGAGGACCCGCAGACGGTGCTCCGTAGCTGGACGAAGGAGGTCCTCCAGATGAACTGCCGCTGGCGGGAGCGCCATAGCTGGATGACGGTCGCCTGGCAGGTTGGCTGCTGCCACCCGCAGATGGCGCGCCGTAGCTGGAGGACGGGGAACCTGAAGATGGTATACCGTAGCTAGACGAGGGAGAGCCTCCATTGGAGCTGCCTCCGGACGGGGAGCCGTAACTGGAAGATGGTTGACGCTGACCCTCGCCGGATGGAGCGCCATAGCTGGAAGCTGGCGGGCCCGACGACGGGGCACCGTAGCTTGAGGACGGCGCACTCGAAGAGGGAGCGCCATAGCTAGACGACGGAGCGTCGTAGCTAGACGCAGGCGGTGCTGCGGATGGGGTGCCGTAGCTTGACGATGGCTGACCTGCAGATGGAGCATCATAGCTAGAAGATGGCCTGCCGCTAGATGGCGTGCCATAGCTCGAAGACGGCGGGCCAGAAGCTGGAGCATCATAGTTTGATGAGGGGTTGCGTCCAGACTGTCCACCCGCAGAGGGTGCACCGTAGGTGGCAGATGGAGGTCCTGCAGGCGCTCTCTCGTTAGACGGCGGACCGTAGCTCGACGAAGGCGGACCAGCAGCAGGTGCACCGTAAGTCGACGAAGGGGCGCTCGGAGTGCCGTAGCTGGACGATGGCCGCCCTGCGGATGGCGACGAGGGTCCTCTCGGCTCGGCAGGTCTCGGAGCACGCTCGGGTGCGCCGTACGACGCCGACGGCTGGGCGGCCCCGGCGCCACCAGACGGAGCAGCGTACGAGGACGGCGGGGTCCTCGCCTCGGTGGGGGTGCCGTAGCTGGAAGAGGGGCGACTTGGAGGCATCGGCGCAGAGTAGCTGTTGGACGGACGCTCCTGGCTGTTCGGGGCACCGTAGCTGTTGGACGGGCGTTCCTGGCTGTTCGGGGCACCGTAGCTGTTGGACGGGCGTTCCTGGTTGTTCAGGGCACCGTAGCTGTTGGACGGGCGCTCCTGGCTGTTCGGGGCACCGTAGCTGTTGGACGGGCGTTCCTGGTTGTTCGGGGCACCGTAGCTGCTGGACGGGCGTTCCTGGCTGTTCGGGGCACCGTAGCTGCTGGACGGGCTGCTCATGGGGGCGCCGTACGTACCCGCCGGCGAGTCCACGCGTTGGCCGTCGTCGTCCCCGGGGACGCCGGCGGGGGGTATGTACTTCCGCGACGCGCCCCGCTGCTGCTCGCGGCCGCCGGATGGTCCACTGCCGGGTGGGCCGCCGTCGAGGCCCGCCCCCAAGCCCGGCGCCGCGTAGTCCGTGGAGGGCCCTCGCGCCCCGCCGCCCGGGGGAAGGTAGGACGACTCGAGCTCCGCGTTGGCCTCCAGGGCGAGGAGGGCGAAGAGCACCAGCAGCACGTGCACCTGCAGCAGCACCAAAATCATCAGCAGGACGGCATCCGCGCGTCAGTACAGGACAATGCGCTTCTTCAAGGGCGGCAGCCTCAGCCGCCATGCCGCCGCGCCGCCGCGCCGTGGTCCCCGTTGCGACAAGGCACGAACTATACATCACGCCACGCTTCGCCACGCCGCGCGCTGCAATGCTGCGGCGCTGCGGCGCCTGACCCTGGTACCTGGTGCCCTGGTCAGCAAACTGGACGGGACGGACGGCATGCATATTGAAAGCGGGCAACGGCGGCGCCATGCAGATGCACCACGCCGCCAGGCCAGGCCACGCCACGCCGATCGGAGATCGGAGATTAAGGCTCTGCAACTGCAGTGGGACTCCACTGCGAAAGAGTGACCATCACGTCAACGGTCGATCCGCGCGACCAAGTCGCACCTCTCCCTTCTCCTCGCGAGGGACATTTCGCTCGGAAAGGCCGAGATTTTTGGGTCGACCCTTCTAGGAGGCGGGGAAAAAATATCTGTCGCGCGAAGAAGACAAGTGACGAGACATGGGCACCCCTTCAGGCCACTAGGCAGGCAGCAGTTTTGGATCGGTCGTCCGCCTGGGAATTCGCTTTGGACTCACCTGCATGGTCTGCATGGTGGAGGGTGGCTGGCTGCAGCGTGCACTCGATGGAGGCGGACTGGAGGCCCCGTCCTGCGCGGGCAGCTACTTATAGACGAACCCTCCCGCCCTGCGTCTCCCTGCGTCTCCCTGCGTCGCCGTGCCCTCCGCCTTCGGCTCTTCTTCTCCCTTTCCCTTTCATGCCCTGCGATCCTCTGCCTGCGTGGCGCGCCGCGCCGCTGGACAACACACTGTCCAGCAAGGCTGCACGCTGGAGCCCAGCCGTCTGGACGCGGCCGGACTATGTCGCACCGAAACGCCTGTCCGGCACGCCAGAGCAGTCCTCCGATGTCCTGGCACTGCAGCAGACGAAATCGAAGCCAGCCAGGCGCTTATCGAGGGAGACTCTCCAACCGTCTCAAAATTTGAGAGTTTACTGTCAAAAATTTTTAAAATTGCCACCGCAGGCCGACGGCCTGCCCGCCGCACCCCGTGCCGGACGCCAACCCCTTCCTTCCTGTCCTCCCCGCCGACGTGCTTTGTGGCGGTGGAGTCCATGGCCGCCTCCAGCCTCCAGACGGAAGGAGCCGGGGCATGTGGAGCAGACAATGCCTTCTCCGTGCATCCTTTCGCCTCTCTGCCGCCTCTCTGCCGCCTCTCTGCCGCCTCTCTGCCGCCTCTCTGCCGCCTCTCTGCCGCCTCTCTGCCGCCTCTCTGCCGCCTCTCTGCCGCCTCTCTGCCGCCTCTCTGCCGCCTCTCTGCCGCCTCTCTGCCGCCGGCCCCGCGCGGCGCCTCATGTCGTGCGTAGCCTGGCGCAGCACGGCGTAGCCTTGTGCGCCGCGATCCGTTTTGCGTGTGCCTGTCTCTGTCTCGGAGGGGCACTTCTTCACCACCGCGCTGCCCCGTCCCCTTTGTTGCTGCAAGGGCCGCGGCGCAGCCGGGACAATGAATGGTTCCGTTGCGGCCCGCGGACGCTGGTGGCCGCTCCCAGATCACCTTACGTCCGCGACGACCTCGAAGATGACCACCGAATGCGAGTAGGAGGAGGCTGCACCTGCAGACCGATTCCGAGAGTCGTTTTCGTCGCTCTGTCTCTCTCGCACTTATGGGGCCGCCCCATGAGTGCGAGAGAGACAGAGCAACGAAAACGACTCTCGGAATCGGTCTGCTGGAGGAGACGCCAGTGCTCTCGTCGCGTCCCACGCCCCGTCTGCCGCGTCTCTGTCGCACTCGCGGGGCGTCCCGCACGGTCCCGCTGGACTGCGAGAGAGACAGCGCGACGGGCCGCCGCCGTGGTGGCCGTGGCGCCCGCGGAGAACAGGATAGACAGGCCCGGGGGACAGGCCCGTCTGGCGGGTTTGCCTACCCTCGAATCCGCGGGCGCTATCTCGTCCGGTGTGGTCGTACTTGTCGTACTCGTCGCCCGGCGAGTCTGTTTCGAAATTCGTTTACAGTGGCATGAAGCCCTCATATTCCAGCCTGGTCTCTCCGCAGAGCTCCTCGAAGGCAATGTACACTGCTGTAAACCTGGAAACCCGAGCAGGCTGCATGCCCCCTCATCTGATTGTGGAATTTTTCATGATCTGATCCGTTCCCGGTCTGGTGTTGTTGTTGTTGTTGTGCCAGAAAGGGAGGTTGTGTTGCCCGCTGCTCCTTTCTTGTCTTGTCCCGTGAGTCCTGTCGCACTTGACAGGTTTCATTGCAAGAGTCCCTTGCTGCGTGTCATGCCCGCTGGTCTTTCCGAGCGCATTGCAGTTTGACTGGTTGTACGTTTCCTTGAACACCGAGCGACATGAGGAGCCTAGACAAGAACTTCCGACCTCACCTCGAGCACCTATTTAATAGCTCTTTCAATGGTAACATTTTACTTGTTTTTTTCGGTTTTGCAAAAATTCCTTTGTCTGTATCCATCTGTGCTGTTGTTAATTTCCTTCGCTGGAGCTTTTTCCCCAATGGCAGTAAGGTTATGCCATAGAAGATGGGTTGGTGCCGTTTTTGTGGTTGTCATAGGGTAATAAAATTCATCACTGCTCTCTTCACAGGTAGCTTCCTGAAACCGTTGCAGTTGAGAGAAGAACAGACAAGTGCTCCAGCTATTTATCGAGACAAAAATGTTTGCGACCACTTCAAGTTGCACATTCCGTATGCTGGCTATGTGTTAGTATGGGAAGTTCGTTTTGATTCGAACTGTCCTGAATTTGCCCCTGACTTTTTATTTGATGATGAAGCATTCACATCATTTCTTACTATTGATATGTTATGTGAGAGGGTTCCAAGTCTTGAGAACTGGGACACAGAAAATCCTGAATGTCTGACGAATGTCATTCAAGAACTTCTCAACTTGTATACTTTATTTCAGTTGAAGCGTTTAGTAAGTAAATCAATTACTTAGTCTTTACTTTATTATGTCTTACGAACTGCTTTATTATTATTGCTTGTATATTTTTTCAAATTATAGGAGAAAGATGGATCACCCCTCAGTGATGAGTGTTCTAAGCTAGTGCAGGAGTTTGAACTTAAAGAAGACCAAATTCAAGTACTGTCAGGAGACTCTCCCATTATTCCACACCATTACACAGGGTTGGTGTCCCAGAAGTACTCTGGCATACTTTCTTCGGTTTTTTTCATTGGCACACTCAACCAGAATTACTCTCTTTCAGCTCTTCTAGGCCCCCTCACGACACAGTCAGTATTTTGTTCCTCCAAGTAGAAAAACTATTGAATTTTGAAGAAATACTGGGTGAAATGGCATTACAATTCAATTTACGTGAATTTTCACCAAATGCTGTACTGTTACACATGGGCCCAGTTTTAAGGAACTTACTTGGTGGTGATGTATCAGAATTGGAAGTCCCTAGTTTCTCGAGAAGTGAGGGGCTTTCATCCTACTTTGGCAATGCTCTCCGAATTTTGAGAGAAACTTTCAACCAGGTGAGGTCAATGTGCTGAAAGTACCTTCATAAATTGATTGAAATGAGATAACTGACAGTAGTGTCTTTTCCAGGAGAATCAAAGCTTTGAGAAACGAAAAGAGTTCCATCTTGGTCTGCGCTTTGACCTTCTTGGACTTGATCAATTATCTGTAATACCCATAGAAAATGATGTACCTGATTTCACGACAAGTTCTTACAGGATTGAAGTAGACAAATTTTGTGCTGTATTAATAGTGCGAACACCAAGGCACAGGTCAGTCTAAAAGTTTTGTTCATTGGAAGTAATTAACATATATTCCAGCAACACTTGTATATATATTTTTTTTAAAATTTTATGTTTTAGTACTGCCAATCCCAGGATTTCTCTCCGCACCCTTTCAGGAAGTTCTCATGATGTTCATGGTGGATGTTTGTGGGACTTGCAAGTGGCTATTGAAGCTATAATGAATTCTCTAATGGACCTCAAGGCTGACTGAAAATTTTAATTCGCTTGTGATTGTTTTCTTTATTTGTCCAGTAAGAGATTACAACTTTCTTTCTTTTCTTTTGTACACTTGTTGTAAGGTTGTTAATTCTAACTGCATATTCTCTGTAGAGTATTCTGTCAAATACACAATGTAACAAAAATATAATTTTTTATAATAACAGGTTTATAAAAATATATATGACAATTTCACTTTAGTTATCTTTTAAAACCACTTTGCCATACTGTATCCTTCAGATAAGCCACTTCTGGAGCTTGAAGAAGGGACTCAACCATGTCCTTTAAGCCCAGCTCACTAGCGATCTTATACCGCACATCCATGTCCTTTACATGGCCTAACAACCACTGCATGTTAGTGGTCATCTCACGGGTTATTCCTGTGGTTCTCTGCAATCTGAATGAAGATGTTTTCTTCAGTAATCAAAGATATGTTATTGTTTGGGGCAGCTTGTGAAAAATCAATTTACCTGTATGCGATATTCTGTATCAATAATGGAGTCAATTCCATGGAGGATGACCAGGCAGAGAAGTATTCCTCAGAAGATAGTCCGGGAGAAATACAATGATAAAATAAAGCTGCCGCCCAATCCGTTCGGTGGTTGTATGCCCTTGACACAATGAGCGCTTGGTGAAAGCTGTTGCAGCGAGAGAAATACATTAAGAGCAGCAAAGTAAAGACACACTTCAGAAAATGATAAGTGCATTATGAAGTACCCCAAAGTTGAGACGAGTTTTCCTACACTCTTTGAATCAAGCTGAATGACACGCAAAATAGAACCTTCTGAATGGTTGAACAGAAGATGCTGCTGCAGAGCTACAAGTTCAGCTTGGTAAGCACACACCATGGCATGATTTACCATATCACCCTGCGGGAGAGACAACTTTTTAATGAAACATTACTCTCAATAGAAACAGTTTTGAAGGGGCACAGGCATGAAAACTGTTGCAAACATACCTGTAAGTAACATTCTGACGCGTGACTGAAATCTTGCAAAGCCATTTCCAGGCTTTGCTTGGTCTTTTGGTTGTTAGACAATCCACACGCCACAAGGTCACTCAGACGATCGTTACCCTCCTTTTGCCATAACTCTGCCTCCTGCTGGTGCATTTGGAAGTGAGCTGCTGTCATTTTCAGGAGTGCTGTATCGTTGCTGCATTCTCTTCTTAGCCAATCCAATAAAGCTAGCTTAAAGCCCAAGGGCTGAAATAAAACAAATTAATTAATTGAAGACTTGCATGATAGCCTTGATGGTTAAATAATAAGATCAGTAATAGTGACACTAACTTTAAAGGAATCTTTCCGAAGGAGAAACTCAAAGTGATCATTTTCCTTCAGCACCTTAAAGATGTAGTTCATTTCTGTATATCTTTGGATTCCTGTCAAGAGACGAACCTAGAAAATATTGGACTGTTAAGCCAATGAATTGTCAAAAACGCAGTATGCACACTTTACTATGGCCGTTTGCTCACTCACCAGCAATGCCCATTCTGAGCGGGTCTTCAAAATTTGGGTGAAATTACTGACAGACCGCAAAACTTGAGAGATACCTTCCATGTGACATCCAGCAGCATAACAGTCATGAGCTCTCACCAAAAGCTCTACAGCCGTGGTTAAAACTGTAAAGCAACACCACTCATTTTAAAAATATGAGGTACATTTAACATGTCAGAGTTCAAAAATATTACTCAAAAATTTACCTGTTTTTGGAGTACTTTTATCTGTTATTGACAGTTTGCAAACCATATTCATCAATTCATTGCCTAGGAGAGAGGGGTCAGGAACCAACTCCAATAAATGTTGGAAATACTGCTCTATGTCATGCCCCCATAGAAGAAAGACCTTGACATTGCCTGCCGTGGTAAGACAGTTTGAAATTATTGTATTGTTTTATACTGAGAGTGACTTAAAGTCACTGACAACTAACCTGGTGCAGGCCCTTTACTGATAGCTGCTATAATTTCACGGCTAAGAAATTGAACTCTTTCAGCAGACGACATTCTTAATGCTATCATAATATCAGACGCCACAGAGTAATCACCAGAGTATGTATGTGACATTGCTGTGCGCAACAGCTTCAGAGGATCGGTAATGGCTATGACATCCTGGATTCCAACAAAAGACAGATGCAAAGTCAGTGTTTTTTAAATGAGTGATGAGCTGACTCAACTTAAGCAGTCCTACTTACTTTGTAAGCTAAACCTAGATTTATAGCAAGCCGATAGCATGCAACCAACTGCTTGCCAATTTCTTTCCCATGCTTCAGCTGCTTGCAAAGCTCTTGAATAACAGACAAAACTTTTGAATTGGCGGCTGAATGATTCTGAAAAGATTTTACACTTTCTGACGAGGAGGTCAACCCTTTGTCTTTCCCTAAAATAATAAAAATAATAGTAAATGGCATGTCTTTGGATCAAAAATATGAGGCAGTTCATATCAAGTTTAGCGACAGAATAATTGAACATGATTCATGATGCATACCGAGTGAGTTAGCTGAATAATCTTGCCAAGTCTCTCCAAATTTCAGGGCCGGAAATAAAACCCAATGGGTTGGTATTTCATGGACTTTTAACTGCCCCTCAACAAGGCTTACACATGAGTGGATTATTTCTAAATCCTGTAGAAGTAAAGAGCAAATAACAAAACAGAAGGTTATAAATTTGTAGTTAAAAAGGTTTCAAAGCACATATTTGTCAAGAAGTTCAAATATTACCTGATGATTGGACTGAAAAAAATTGCAGACCCGGCTGGCAGATACAATATCACCTACATCAAGTAAACAATTGACGAGTTTACTGGGACATGGTTGTTCTATACAGGTATTGTCACACTGATGGAAGGCCTCAGTAAAACTAAAATTATCAATTCCTAATTCTTTGGTGCATAATTTACTTAATGCAGAATTTTGTAGCTCCTCAACAAGGATATTCTAAAAATAAATAAACAATAATAAGATCTTACTACAACCAAAACTAGAAAAGCACCATGAAAAGTTACTTACATAAATTGCTGGATCACTCCCACACACACAACATTTCCACATGTCAACTTCTACCTTATCAGCTTGAGATGACAAATCATTTTGGGTTGAATTTGAAATGGAATGTTGGAACCATTTCAGAGCATTATGTAAAGCTCTCCATCTATGGCAAACAAGAATTGTTAGACATCAATAAATATGGTAACAGAAAACAGAATTCTGTTTGTTACCTGTCCACATTTTCTTTCAGATCTGGCACACAAGTATGGAAAAATTTAAATGCATCTGATGGATCTACCATAGCCTCCTCAAAACAGGCATTACAATCAGCACAAAATGCTTTGAAATCCTGGTAATTATTTTCAAGCCACTTTTTAAATTTATCAGATTGCTGGAATTAAAATAAGTAGATGTTCCATTCATTAGCCTGTGTGAGCACTAGCAGCTTTCAGAAAACACTTTGTTTGCTCCTGTTACATTACCTCTAGTACAACAAATGTTCGACCACTAATCAAAGAAGCCTCCTTATACAATTTCAGGGAGATAAGTGTTTCAGTACAGGCTAAAATTTCTTCAGTGCTGTCTTGCAAGTAATTGCTGACATTCAATTGGACACCTGTGGCTGATAACACGTCCAAAATTTCTAATAAAGTCTTTAACTTATCAATGGTCCCTGGCAAGAAAATAAGTCATGGTATTGTAAAAGTTAAAAAAAATAAAAAATCATTACAATCATTTTAATAAACGATCAATCAAATGAGAGGTAAGGTACCAGGTTCAGCAGAGAAAGATGCATATGTTTCACAAAGGATCTGAACAAATATTATTTTATCATTGGAGGATGGAAGGTACTCCAGAGCCTTAAATAATATTTTTAAACAAATTTCAATGACAAAAGGGCCGTTGTTCAAACACCAGGGGCTCTTTTCTCTCCTTTTCTCAATTCCCCATTCCTAAAACAAAAGAGGATGAAGCTGAATAAAGGATGACAAAACAAACTGCTACTTACATAAACTTTGTAATACTCACAGCAGTTAGTGTAAGGAATTCATGTAAGCTTTGCACATTTTGAAGTTTGTCCCTTTTAGAAAATTCATTTATCATAGCTAAAACTAACACTAAAGGGTGTTCCTGAGAAAAATCAATCAAGATCACAGGGTGATTGATCTAGACCATCTAGACACAATGACACACACTATTTTTCAAACATGTCTCTTACCGGTAAAAATAATTTGAAACCAGTGAGTAGATTAGAACAAGATACTTCCAATGATTTCAAAATAACAGATTCAATCACGTCTGGTGGCCATGGTATATTCTTCTGACAAGACTCATACTTGACACGTTCTTCTTTTGGAAGCCAACTGGCAAGCCAAGCGACCATTTTGGCTTCATCATTGGCCTAGAAACATAATAGGACGAAAGTAAGCATTTGAATAATTTGGATGAATAAAAAAGTTGATGTAAAAGTCATAAACTCTCAACCTGATAAAAATCTGCCAACACAGCTAGAACAGGGCATGGTATTTCCACACAAGCATGAAGCAGGGCTTCTGCAGGATCCACACTACCATGGCATGCCAAGAGAACACCAAACAAACTGTCTTTGACCAGAGGAGGCACTCCACCTTCATTGATTTGTGAGCTTGATGAGTTGGTGATGTGTTCTGAGTCTTTTGGACCAGCACCCTATGCAATTGAACCAAAAATAAATCACTTTTTTTTTCACCAGTATAAAGCACACACAGCCACTGTTCAGCATACCTCAGATGAGACGGTCTGGGCAGTACCCTTAAGTCTGGAAGACTCTACACGAGACCGGCCGGCAGATTTTATGGAAATTGGATATTTTTGAAGGAATGACTCAAAATGTTCCTTTAATGCTGTTGATCTAAATTGCTGAACTACATCTTTGATCTGAAAGCATTTACAGGTGAAAGGACTTGGCACCTTTGACCATGAAGCATAGAACATTATCGAGGTATTGTGAACTCACAATATCTGGTGGGTAACTGTAGATCTGGCAAAATAATACAAAGTTGACCCAATCATCATTTTGAGCACATTTTTCCAAAAAAATTCTGGGAAGTGGAAGTTTGTGCAAGTTTGCCATTTGCACTGCCAGCCCCTGCATATGAATGTTTAGAGGAAGACTGCACATGAGCAGGTCAAAAATTTCTTGTGGATTTATAGCTCTCCCATCAATCATAAGTTGAAATAGAGAGCCTAAAAAATAAAAATAAATAAATGTGGTATCCAAGTATTTGATAAATGGCGAAAGCAATGTAAGAAGATTTTGTTGACTTGAATGTCTCTCAATTTGAAATGTACTGACCATTAGCAATCTTGTTGCTTGGGTCGCAGGTCGATGCGTCATCCGACTCAAAGGAGGCGATTTGATTCAGTGTTGCAATGTGAGTACGCAGTGAAAGCGTTGATTCCCCTAACATTTCAATAAAGGCAATACATGAACCTGTTATAGTTGGGTCCATGGAGTTCAAAAGTGCCAATTCATGTGCGGGCAGTATATATCTCTTCAGCCTGCAGTTACAGTAAAAATTAATAACACTTGGAAATCCTGAACTAACAAGTCAAATTTGCATTGACTTACAACTTTCGAGATGGCTTTCCAAAGCTGCGAATCACTTCAGCAAGTACAAGCATTGATGCATGACAAGGCCTTCCCTGCTTCAAAAAATACTGAAAGTCTAAAGATTCCTGATGGCCATGTAACAGTATAGAAGGCTCATGGGAGAAGTCGACTTCATTGCCAGTGTTATCTTCCTTAAACATGCTGAAATGTCAGAAGCAAATAATAGAGTTGCAATGGATAAACAAATGAACTGAGTCAGTGACAGTGAGTCAGTGATAAATACCTGCAAAGTGATTGCTCCTTTAGTCTTTGATAAACAAACTTTTCTTTAAGCAGCTGATGCAGTGAAATGTCGACTGGCGTTTGGTCCTCATTCATGCTTTCCAACAGTGACATGAGCTTTGGATGATGACCAAACGCACTTTGTAGCTCGGCACGGTCCGCCATACTTTTAACGATGGAGTTGCTCTCCATTTCATGCGAAGTCGTTTTAGGTAGTAATAAAGGCACTAATGAAAGCCACTTACTATCAGACTTAGAACTTTTTAGATAATCTGCAGAATATTCTATAGCAGCAATCAGAGATGTTTTGAGATCCTGGTCATTTTTCAAATTCTGATATTGGGTATAAAGCCCCAACCAAGCTGGTGATTGACAGCTAGTTTTTATGTCACAGGACACCATAAGGTCTGGCATATTACACTGTACACAGAAGTCAACAAATAGATCTTTCATTTTACAATCCATTCCATTAAATATTTGACTAGTATGAATCTCTCTCAGCAAACGTCTGTGAAGGTCATTGGACTCTTCAGATGTGTATAAAGAAAACCTGCAATTTAATTTTTTTTAAAGAGGGGAAAGTAAATAAATGTGAAAGACAAAACTCAAATATTTGGCCTTTTACCTGCTAAGGTAGTCTAACAAACATTCTTTAGTTGCCACAGAGCATTTAGATGTTGGAATGCAATCTATCATATCTTGAGTTATTTCCCACAAAGACAGAAATGTAGTCAGCCTGTCAGGCATTTCAGACTCTGCATCAGTCTGCAAGTGGTTTATATCAATCCACTTTAACAAAATTTCAAGCTTGTCATAAGATATCAAATATTTCCAAAACTCATCTTTGTTCAACATTGATTCTAATGTTCCATCTGATGCAATACAAAATATTAACATGTCAATTATGTTGTAAAAGGAAAAACGAAGCAAATACCATTTGATCCACCATTCAAAATGTGCTTACTTAAGGTTTCTAAGTAGAGTTCTGAGAGCAATGATGATCTAGCATTACATGGCAAGGCCAGGAGGCTGGCGATTGAAAGCTCAAGTTTATTCCTGCCATCCAAAGGTGTCATAGTTTGCAGGCTATCATCTGCAACGGTAACCCCTCTTTAAAGAGAAGGGGAGGGTAAAAGATAGGTATTAGTTTTAATATGAAAATAAAAGCAGAATGGGCCAGAAACAACAAAGATCCAACTTACAACTCTGTATTTTTAATGATTCCCTCAATTAAAATTAAGAATTTCCAGGCTTCCATTTCAGAGGGTTCCAACATACTGATTGAGTTGAGCTCTAATGCCAAATAGTCTCGGACGTTAGTGTCAGTTGTATTCAAACATAGGCCTTTCAGGGTAGGCCAAATATCCCTATCCTAAGAAGAGGGAAAAAACAAACAGACAATTTCTGTGAAGCTTCATCCAATAAAAATTAACAAAAAATTGAAATTGGTGTTAAAGAGAATATAGAAAACTTACAGTGTTGCAGATAACATCTTTGGCCCTATCTATTTGCCTTTTTTGAAGCAATTCATTTATGTACGTATCAGCAACTTTTTCAAAAAACTCATTTACTTGGGCAGCACTACGCTCTCCCCTAGACAAAAGTATTCTTTTAGCACAGTCTACTGCATCAGCACTGAGTAAAGCATGCCGTACCACCTGAAAAATGGAAAAAGTCAATAATTCTTGCAAGGAATTTCTTAAAAATCAACACGTACAATCTGTAAAAGATGAAGAAAATCAAAGTGCTTTACATCTTCATCCGATTTTGAGGACAGAGTGTTCATCAGAACATTAGACGTTGAGCTGGAGTGTACATGAGCCAAGGTAACAACCCTGATTGGGGCTGCAGAATGCATTGGGCTCCCAGGTATATCTTTCATCAAAGCTTTGAGATGATTCAGATGAAAATTCAACTGCCAAACAGAGGTTCATTAGAACTGCAGAGCTATTTTTAAAATTGAGCATATCAGCAGCATTGTATAAGAAAGTTACCAATTCTAAAACTGCTTTCTTTTGCTGCACAGAATTATTGGAGCTGGTTGACAACTTGAAACCCTCCAACTCTTGTTGCAAAACTTTAATATGGTCCGCTGTAAGGTTAAGAAGACTTAGACCAAAAGAAGAGCTTCTGTCACATTTTTTTAAGTGGTTTAAAATAGTTTCAAAAAGAACAGCCATTCTCCCAATATGTTCTTCAGTGTTGATGGAAGCTCCAGAAGACAAGTGTTTCAAAAATTCTGATCTAAAGGCTGGCAAATGAAAAACAAAACAGAAATAGGAAAATATTATAACCAAACTGGCGCAAAAATTTTGAGATGATTGGGCCTGATTATTAAATAGCTGAAGAAGAGAAAGTCGCATACCTCTATGATGTAAAGTGAAAGCTTTCTGCACAACTTCTGAACGCCCTCTTCCTAAACCATCTAGAAGTTGCGGCAAGGGCATCATCTTGCTGGAGATAGCTCTGAACTGGAAAGTGAAATTAGACACCACTTTTACATTACAGATAACAACGGACAGGGTTTAAACATTATCAGAATAGTGATCGAACATACAAATAAGTGCTGACCTTTGATCTAGTGCACCATTACGACTGAAAAGTAATTTCTCACGCATTAATATTTAGCATTAACTTCATCAAGAAAAAATCATTAGCAATACTTACTTAAAAACACAATTTTAAAATAATCATTGCCTGACAATGACTCACAACGTTCAGATGACATGACGTTTTGACAGGCATAACAACAATAACACCAAAATAGACGACAGGGTTATGTTTCACGGAATAAATATTTCAGAAGAGACATGCGATGTGATAATGCATATTTACAATACGATAAAGTATTTGGAAGACTAAGGGACAGGAATCAATAAAAATCATCTCTTGACTTAGAAATAGTGACCAAAATAAGACACTCCAAAAAACAAAATAAACATTGGCGACAGTTCGGCTGCAAGACGCAACCCACGGCCTTGTCCGAAGATTGGTCGTTCCCAGCATGTCCAACCAGTGGAAGAAAAATGTGCAACAGTTAGGAAATGTCAGCGTCCGGACACGGACTTGTTTCTTCGCGAGCGAGCTAGAACTCAATTACTAGAACCGTAAATCTAGCCCTGGAAACGTTTTTCCTGCGTGCGACCGGTGTCACCCCAGCGGCCCGCCTTCCCTCCGGAGGGAATTCGGCCCGCCGGCTGGCAGCGAATTTCCCGCTCGCATCGACCGAAGGGACCGAAGCAGGGCCGAAGGGACCGAACCCGAACCCGAAACCCGAAGCGAGAGGAGGAAGAGTCCGGGACGGGGACAGGCAGAGATCGCACAAAGGCCTCGGCCTCGACTAGAAATCGTGAATCGCATCGCGCAGATGCCCCGCGCGAAGGCCAACCCCGAGCGAATATGTCCGAGTACTTCATCTGGATTTCCGTCTTGCTGCTCACGTTGCTGGACGCTGCCGTGAAATCGCAAGTCTCCGTGCGTGACAAGTCACAAGGTAAGGAGCAGGAAGCGACCTGAAGGGACAGTGTTCACCCCCTCCCCCCCTCGCCATTCTCCTGCTTGGACCGGGTGGGTGGAAGTGTTTTTGCTGCTTTGAGAGGCCTGTCCTGCGTTGGGCTTGGACCCGCTTTGCCAGCGCCAGCAAGGCGCCAGCCCCTCGAACTGCAGAGACTTGCCAAACGCGACCGGCCTCCTCCGGGAGGCGGCATTGCATTTTCCGTGTCGCCTCGGTGAGGCCCTGTCTGTTCCCATGGCAGGGGGCCCCCCAAAGAGAAGGGCCTGAGCTTTGGTTCTCTCTCAGTCTCTCAGTTTAGTTTGTTGCATCCTCAGCTTCCACCTGTTTGTCTCACTTTTCGTCGGGCTCAAAGTTTGGTGCACTGGAAGTGGGACAGTGGCACTTGTTTGTTTGCAAGTTTTGCATCTGTGAGAAGTTGCTGAGCCGTGTTTTTCTTTTCTTTTTTCGACTCATGCCAGCAGTTTCCACCGCATTGGGTGGGGAGCCATAAAGCAGCTGACAGCTGCTTCGCCTTGGACCATGGCATTTCATCGACTCACTGGAGTTCTGTTTGTCATTGGTAAATATCATTCTACGATACTGTGCATCTCTGTAATGTACGTTGGTTGGTTGCTTTTCATTTTCTTTTCGTTGAGGGTTTTTTTGTGCGGCTCTGTGAATGTTCCATGTCAGCATTTTCCGTTTTTTACTATGTGTGTTCCTTATTTTCTTTCATTTTCTGTTCATTAGATTAGAACTGGCAACTTTTAGCAAACACCTTGTCTGTTAAGTAAAGACAAACCATTGTCTTTTAGCTCGTGCTCGTACAACCTGTTTCTAGATATTTGTGTGTGAATGTGAATGTTACTTACTTGCTTGTGACCCTTACTATTTGAATCCCTTCCCGAGAACACATGCTTGATCCTTTCCTGTAACAATGTTATGAATTATTGTAGCCTTGAAAGCAGGACAGACGAATATAAAAGACTTGAAAGGCATAATATAATGTTTTCTGAGATGGGGTGTGCTTTATCCTTGGGTATCCGTCACTGAACTAATGGGCATTTTGATCAAGGTGGCACAAGTTTTCCTGTAGCGTCCTCAAATATAGGATTAGAATACTCTAGGACTCTAATTTTCCTGCTGCCGGTTTTCTGAGTTGCTATTTTCCTTTTTATATTTTCTATAATGTTTGAAGAGTTGTCCCCAGACATTATCTTGTTGTCACAATCAGTTTTCTGTTCTTTTAGGTGAAAAGTAATGGCCTCTATCTCTGAATTTAATTATTTCATGTGTCAGTGGTTTTGTAAATATTTCATAACATGCATGTATGTGTTAGTTGAGATTTTTACGTTGTGAGCCTGGTTTGTTCCGTAAATGTTTTGCACATCTCAGGAAACAGTCTGTCCTGTTTCGTTGTTTATTGTTTTTCTCAAGGTGAATGGAATACTAATGGGCTGAGTTTGACTCGACGTGCAAGTTATTTTGCCCCCTCCCCTTTCTTTAAGTGGAGGGCTGGAACGTGCGAATCTGGAGGGGTTGTGAGGGAATTTCGCTTTCTCTCGGTGGTGGCTCTTGGCTCCTGGGGGTCGTTGGCTGCCAGCCACCGCCGCTAATGGGTTTGGCGCGCCGTGCCATGCAAGGTGGCATGCGCCGTGCGGTGGGACAGGTCCAGGTCCAGGGCCCTGCGGAGCCTTTCGGCGTTCCGTAGGGGTGCGAGAGAGACAGAGCGACGACGCGATTCTTGGGAACGGCTCGGCAGGTCGTCCTCCAGTGGGCCCACTAGGCGGACCGTGGGACCGCAAGGGTTGCAGGCGCGTCCTCGCCCTCGTCCCTCCGGCAGCCTAGCTGCCCTGTTGATTCCGTCTCCGGGGTGCTCGCTGGGCGCTGCTCCGCGACGCCGTGTGGCCAAGGGCTTTGCCGGGCCTTGCCCCGCGTAGCGCCGCGTCGCTCTGTCTCTCTCGCTCCTACACGAGATGCCCCATGAGAGCGAGCGAGACAGAGCGACCACTTTCGGAATGAGTCTGCTGCAGGAGCACGGCAGCAGCAGCATGCGGCTTGCGAACTGCACCTCGCTCTCTCTCTCTCTCTCGCACCGCAACGGGACGCCCCATAAGTGCGAGAGGGAGAGAGGCCGGAGCACCGTTCAGAGTGAGCCCGCTGCAGCGCCGCGGTGATCGATTGCCGATGGACGGAACGGGACGGGACGGGACCGGCGGCGGGGCGCGTCGAGGCGGCGCGGCGTGGACGCGGAGCGCGCGGAGTGTAGGCGGTGCAGGCGGTGATGACGCGCGGGCTGCTGCGATTGATTGGCGACTTCGGACGCGTCCGCGCGCAAGCAGCGTAAGCAGGCCATGAGCCGGCCAGCCCGGCCAGCCTCCCCGCCGGACGCATCGAGGTGACGTCAGGGCGCCCTGGCCGCGCTGGCCACTGGCCGCCCCCGCGGTCCGCCAGGTCCGCCCTGTCATTCCCTCGTCCTGCCCATCCAGGCCCATTCAGGCCCTGGCTCTGCCCGGCCCGCCCTTTGTTCCCTCGGACTGTATCGCCGACGTCGAATGACGTCGCTGAAGCTCTAGAAAGGGTTTAGGCCCTTTATCATTTCTTTGCTCCCCGTTTCCGTAACCCGATTTCCCCCCGGCCCTTGTCCGCGTTGCCGGTCTGCGTCCTTGTTATCTAACCCGTATTTCGTCTCGTCTTCTGTTGCAGCCTTTTTCCACCCCAACCACAATGCCCGCTACGTGGTCGGGCCCATTCCGGTGGCATCGCACGCGAACACGGTAAGTCAAGTCAGCCTCTCTGGGGCGACCCAAGGGCGACCCTTAGGGGTGCGAGAGGGGCAGAGCGTCATGTTTGCGCCGTCGCGTTTTCTGTGTTTCCTGGCCGAAAATCGGCTTCAGCCCCTCGCTTTTCGGGGGGCAGGTCCGTGAGGTCGGCCCCACCGCCCTACCCCAAGCCGGTCCGCGGTCCGGGCCGCCTCGCCTGCCTGAGGACGCGCAGCCCGCACTCCTCGCTTCGACTCTGTACGGCACACTGCATGAATGCGAGAGAGACAGTGCCGGCAGCGGAATCGCCCGACGGTTTGAGCAGGAAGCATGCAGTGCGCTACCGCTGCATCCTTGTTGATGCATCGCCATGCCCACATCCCTGTGCCGGGTTGCTGAGTCGCGTCTTGCCACCGCCGTCTGCCGAGCTGCCCCCTCCACCCCTGCCACCCCGCGCCGCCCCCGCGCCGCCCCCCACGGAAAAAAAGAATTTGTTGTGACAACGAAAATGTATGTTGATTTTGGGATAGCTAAAAAAAGTTGTTGGGCGTACTACCAATTTGTTGTCAGAACGAACATTTCGTTCTGACAACGAACTATGTCGTCAGGAGTACTAAACACAATAAAAATGAATGTTTGTACTCCTGACGAATAATTTGTCGTGAGAGCAAAGTGTTCGTTCTCACAACAAATTTATAGTACGTCTAACAATTTTTTTTTTGCTATCCCAAAATCAACATACATTTTCGTTGTCACAACAAATTCTTTTTTTTACGTGCCGCGCTGACGCCAACATACCTCCCCGTCCAAGTGATAGACTCGCCCGCCGCCCCCGGCTCCCCCCGGTCAACCGTGGTTTCGCGATGGTTGCACCATGGTTCCGCCATGCTGCCGCCCCCCGCTGCTGGCGTGCGTTGGACCGCCAGTGCACTGCGCCCCCCGCCGCGACCCGCTCCGCCCCCACCCCCCGTTCGCACCCCCTGCCGCCCCCTGCCCCCGCGGCGGCCTGGAGCTGAAAGGAGCCCAGCTCGTCAATAGCCGCCCGGCGTGGCTGGCGTGGCGCACACTGCGTTAGGGCCCGGCGGGGGGTGGACGGCGGCACGACCGGGCGGCACGGCAGGCAGCCCGTCTTGGCGTCCCCGAGGGTCCCGGGGGAAGGGCCTGCCCGGCCTGCCCGGCCTGCCTGCCAATAGTGGCGCCGGCGCTGCGTTGAGGGCGTGCAGGGCGCGGGGGCGGCGCAGCCGGGCCGAGCCATGCCGGCCGTGGCGCGCTGCTAATGGCGGCGCTGGCGGCGCCACGGCGCTACCCCTACCGGGTCGGCGGTGAGGCCCGGCGGTGAGGCCCGGCGGTGAGGCCCGGCGGTGAGGCCCGGCGGTGAGGCCCGGCGGTGAGGCCCGGCGGTGAGGCCCGGCGGTGAGGCCCGGCGGTGAGGCCCGGCGGTAGGCCCGGCGGTGAGGCCCGGCGGTGAGGCCCGGCGGTAAGGCCCGGTGAGGCCCGGCGGTGAGGCCCGGCGGTGAGGCCCGGCGGTGAGGCCCGGCGGTGAGGCCCGGCGGTGAGGCCCGGCGGTGAGCCCGCGTGAGGCCCGGCGGTGAGGCCCGGCGGCTGAGGCCCGGCGGTGAGGCCCGGCGGTGAGGCCCGGCGGTGGGCCCGGCGGTGAGGCCCGGCGGTGAGGCCCGGCGGTGAGGCCCGGCGGTGAGGCCCGCGGTGAGGCCCGGCGGTGAGGCCGGCGGTGAGGCCCGGCGGTGGGCCCGTCCCTATGCCGGGTCCGTGCGGTTTCCAGCCGGCCTCACCGCCGGGCCTTACCCCACTTACCCTCCGCCACCCTCGCGGGCCGCGGGTCGACCTGCGAGCACGCCAGAGCACGCGTACTCGGCGTCCTCCCCGCCCTCCGCGCCCCTCCGCAGTCCGCCGAGTCCGCCGTCGCGGTGGCTCGATTGGTTGGGGGTGGCGGCACGGCGGCACCGCGACCAACGGGGGTGTGGTGGAGGAGGGTGGCGGCGACGCCGAGCCGAGTGAGCGCGCTGGCGGCGCTAGCGCGGTCCGGGCGGCAGGCTCCCCGGCGCCGAGCCGAAGCGAGCAAGCGAGCCACCCTTACCCTTCCCGGCAGTCGCCAAGTAGCTTCCGTGCCAGCCCCGCCCCGCCTCGCCCCGCCCCGCGCCGCGCCCTCGGTCCTCCGTGGACCCTGTCCTCCCCGCCCCCGCCACACCCCCGCGCCCGCGTCGCGCCTGCGCCCTGGCCTCCCTCCCGTGCACGGCGCTGCTGGCGCTGCTCTCGCTGTAGAGGCGCACGGCTCCAGCACAGCCTCCTCTCCTTTTTCGGTTCGAGGCGGTCCCCGGGGCGGCCGTGTTGGTGACTCGGTGCGCGTCGCTTGCTTCGCGTGTCACTGTGCGGACGCGAAATGTGTCTGGAACGGAGTCCTCCGGGTGTGCACGACGCGGTGCACCGCGGCCCCTTCCGCCCTCTTGGCCGCTGCGGCTGCGGCTGCGCGGAGCAGCGGGGTCGCCCTTCCGCCGACGGCCGCCGCCGCGGACACGTCATGGACGACAAAGGGCCGCTCTTCGCTCACAGGTGATTTTTGCTCTGTTTGTTTCAGGACGCGGACGCCGAGCCCGTCAGGTGAGTCGGGCTGCAGGGCTGCAGCAGCAGTAGTGTGGTGGCGGCGGAGGCCGGCCGGGGCCTGCAGTGGTGCGACATGACGGCCACCCTAGAAGCCGAGCCGCATCCCTCGGGAGGGCCGCTGCAGGGCGGCTGCAGGGCCGTGGCAGGGCTGTGTGTTGATGCCCTCTCTCTCGCTCTCGGTCTCGGTGGCGCGGCGCGCGGCCCTACCAGGCGGCCCTGCGCGCCCTGTGCCGCCACCCCACGCCACCCCCTCGCCGAGTCGCGAGCCCTCTGGGCTGGGTGTCAATAGTCGGGCTGGAGGGCGTTTTGCCTTGCTTTTGCCCCGGCTCGGCCGCCAAGCCGCGACCCAAGTTCGCCGTGGTCGAAATGTTGCTTCATTTGACCGGCATGGACTTGTTTTTCGGGGAGGGATGTTCGCCTTGTTTGTGGGCGTGCCTCGGGAGCCGGACAAAAACACTGCGAGCGGCGGAGCGGCGAGGCGAGGAGGGGAGCGGTGCGGAGTGCGGGGCAGTGTAGCAGCGGGGTAGCGCCCCTGCGAACCGCACCGAGGCAACCCGCTGCGCCGGTATGCGCTCTGCCGCTCGCACGGCCTACCCCGCAGGCGGACTAGACGGACCTGGAAGGCCTGCAAGTGGCTGCAACGGCCATCAAGAGCCTTCCTCGACTTTCCCCGCAGCAGGCCGGGTGTTCCTCTCAAAGTAGCCGGTGAACTAAATTAATGGGTGTTATTTTTCCCTACAGAATGGCGAAACTCGAGGCTAAAGGCGCCCACAGTACACACATTAGTATGGAGGGGGAGAAAATGCAGCTCCAGTTCACCCCACCCTCGTTAGACTTTAACAAATGGTTCGTGGTTGTTTTTGCATCGACTTTGCTGCATTACTTGAAAGATGCGGTTGGCTGATTATTGTTTTGTTTTGGGTTTGCAGCACTGTTGGCACGGCTCGTTCAGAGAAGGTGCTTGTACAGAATACTTATAGAGATAAATCAGTACAGTTACTCTCCATATCAGGAACTAGTGCCCATGTGCATAGTTCACTTTTTGAAGACAAGGTGAGAAAAGTTACAGGATTACTATATTTGAACTGACTGTAGAAATTGAAATAACAAATGTTTTCTTTACCTGCACTCCAGGTCCTGCCTCCATTACAAAACACATCTTTTCACATTGTGTTTGTGGTCAGAGAACTGGGTCCCTTCCTCAGCCCTTTGTTTATTCATACTTCTGAGGGCACACACAAATTTATGGTAAGCTTTAGATTTACTAACTAGTTTGAGTGTTGTGTGTTTAGACAAAATGTAGCTGTGCCTTTGCTTTGCACTTCTGAATGGTAATTGCTTGGAAAGGTATGAGTATTTTTCTAAATTCTGTTTGAACTTTTTTTGGGTTTGAGGATATTTGTTGTAATTCTGCTGTATATTTGGTTCTAGGTGGAAGGTATTGGTGTGGAGAGTCCCTATCGACTTCAACCTATAGTGGTAAAGCGGTTGCCATTAAATGGAGTACTGAAACAACAAATCACTATTCACAATCCGCACCCCGTTCCAATCACTGTGAGTTACTCACTATATCTGTTTCTCTGTTTCACACAAATTGAATAAGATTTTACAGTAATATTTGAACCTATCAATTGTTTCAGGTTTTGGAGTTGGTTAAAAACATAGAAGATTTAAGATTAGATCTACCGTCAGGGAGAGGGCAAGGATCTCAAGCTTTGTGGAAATTACCTCCATACTCCACAAAAACTATAATGAATGCTCATTTCAAGGCTTCTACTATTAATAATTTTACTGGTTACATTAGGTTGGTACATTAAATCTGTCTCTTCCTTTAACAAAAGATTTTTACTAGTTTTTATGGCTTGAAATACCTATGTATTCTATTTTCAGAATGAAGACAGACCAGAAAGATGGTATTTTATTCATTCCAGTTGATATAACAGTCTCTGTAAACCCAGGGTTGTACATTTCTGAAGACAAACTCGACTTTGGGTTTGGTAGCTCTTTGCAAGAGCCATCAACATATACTTTAGAAGTCTTAAACAGCGCTCGCCGGGCTATTAAAGTCACTGTAAGTCGTCTTGGACAGCTCTTCATTAGGACGGCTGCCAGTTTGTTGCAATAGAAAACCTTGTGTGTGCCTGCATTATTGTTCACATCCATTGTGTCTTATTTTGTAGAAAATCGAGGCTGAGCCATCTTCAGAAGCAATTAAAATTAATTTTGAACCTCTGAAGGTACCACCAAACAACACCCATCCAGTCTTCATTGCTTCTATAACTGTAGATTGTAAGTACCAGCTTGATTTTTCGTATGTTTTCATTTGTTTGTTCAATTTTTTTCCCTTCCTCATTTTATATTTTGGTCTTGCAGGGAAAAGAGCCTGTGAGGAAAAGCTCACATCAGGCAAGTTAATCTTGCGATCGAAGGGAGGTCAAGTTTTATTGACAGTGCCATATAGTCTTAATCCGCAAGAGGGTACTCTTGGGTACGATAAATATATTACAACATTCTGGGCTGGAAATGAGGCCAGAAATGCCATGCTTATCGATTTCTGGGTACAGAATGATTACAAGACTCCCCTTGCAATAAGTAGAGTAGAGCTTCAACCTCTAGCTCCAAAGCAGAAAAATAAGGTGTGTTTTCTTAAGCAAACTATGAAATCTCTTCATCAAACTCAATTTCAAATTTCAGCAAATGTGAACTGACAGATTAAAATTTGTTTTCAGGCTTTGAAGCTAGAACCGACAGTTCTGTCTCCAGGAGACAAACTAACATTAATGAAGTTAGGAAAGCCATCCTCCGTGAAGGGAATGGCTTTCCTTGTTGTTTTTACTAACATTACAGCAATAAATATAACGCTTAACAGTTATGATGGCAAGCTTCATCCTGTAAGTCCTACAATACATTGTCCATGTAACCTATTAGAAAATGGATTGCTCATTTGCTCCATTTCATCTTTCAGATAATGCTTTCTCTAAGGCCAGATGAAGATTTGGACTTGGGGCTTGTGGGACATGGGTGTGTAAAGGAAGGGTTTTTTGCTCTCCTGAATTTGAATCCTTTAGCTATTGAAATTACAGACTGGAAGATAACTTACAACAATGCCAACTTAGAACTACTTGGCATTGACAAAGAGAAATTTTCAACAACAAATCTCCTTGCTCGCACAAGTTTTACTGACTATGACAGGTCAAATATTGTGAGTATTATTTGTCTTGTCCATGACCTAACTATGCTGCTTTGTACCACTCTTGTGCTTAATAGGTATTTTCATCTCCTTTCAGCGTGTTGTTGAGGCTGGAAGCTATGCTGTTTTTCGGCTCCGAGTTCAGGCTCCAAGCCACAATGAGAATATTGTAGAAACCATCATGGTTTTTACTGAGTATGAAGATATTAAAATACCTTTCCGATTGAATGTTCTTGATGGATCTCTTGAAATGGTGAAGGATTCCCTTGTGCTTCCAGATTGTTTTCCTGTAAGTACCTTGTTAACCATTTGATTTCTTTGTCTTTTGAATTCAGTGTCAATATCTAATGTTTTGCAACTTTTTGTGTCACAGGGAAAGCATTGCTTTGCCACTGTTCAAGTTCAGTCAACTTTTCCTGCACTTATGTTGGTGGAGTCCGTGGTATCAGTACCACACTCCTCTGATTTGCGGTTTTATTTTCCTCAGTTGAAACAAAATATTGCCAAATCCATCATAAATCCCAGCACCACATCCAGTATTGGCCATTTGCTTTGGGGTGGCAAGGATGCTCCTGAAGAGTTAATTTATGTGGAAGGCTACTCTGATCCTGCCAGTAAGTTTGCTGAGCTAACTTGAGCAAACCTGTCGCTGGATGCTTTCCTACTTTTTTTACTTATTTTTTTTTTTTAATGCTTTTGCAGACACTCCTTGTATGCAGCTACTAGGTCTTCCACCTAGAACTAAAGATATTGACCTTGGTGTGATGCAACGAAATTGGGACCGTTTCAAGAAGCTTACTAATAATGGGAAGGATCAATGGAAAAATTATACTTTTCTCATGGACACATCGGGGGTAGGTCACATATTTAGAAAAGAGTCTAGCAATACCACAGTAGCGGTTTCTTTCATGGCTTTTGCACCTTTTCTTTCAGGTCCGAAACTTTCCTTTCGAGGTAAAAGTTCGTCTGATTTGGCCACGATTGACCAATATTACAGACCAGATTGTCAAATTTCCCCTAACGCAAGTGGGGAATACATCCTACTCTACAGTTGAAATTATTAATTCTGCATCCTCAGCGTTGCTTTTGCACATAGTGTTAGAGGATGATTACCCTGGGGCAAATGAGTTGCTCTCTTCTTTGCCAGCAAGGTTACTTCCCTCATGTTCAGACTGTCCAGAGGTTGGCAAAGGAAAGAAAAGTTTTGGATTAAAGTCTCAAGGTGTAACGTCCAGTGAGGAATCGTCTCTGCTACAAGAGGCTGGGGTCCATCCTAGAACGTTGCTACTCTTACTAGGCCCATTGCAGTCATCCAGGATATTTGTAACATTTACTCCAACTGAAACTGGTACCAGCAGTTCGACACTTATTATTAGGTAACAACGACACCCTTGCAGTATGACTTTTTGTGATGAGCTTGTTTCATAGCTGATTTTGTCATTTTCTTTTTTCTTTCCCCAATGTTTAGAAATAGTTTGACAGTATTAGAGGTACTGATGTTGAAAGGCAAAGCTGCTAAACCTCAATTTAGGTTTGGTAACCGCCATCCAGGTACTTCTATCCCTTTTACATTTGATATTCCAGAAAATCTTCTTCAAGAGTGTGGTCGTAAGTGTCAATTAATTTTACCTTCTGTTTTTTCTTTGAAGACCATTTGGTTCATGGTTGCTGGACACTCACTTTTCTCTCTTCTCACCAGGCATAAGGGCACCCATGTCACCTCAGATTGACAGAAACCTGAATGTAAGAAAATCTGATGCCGTCGATGATGAAGAGGTTGCCGACAGCCTGGAAGAAACTCTTGATGAGCTGCACAATATGTACCCTGTTCCTTTTATGACGGTAAAGCGACTTATCACTGCTCGCAACAGTGGCAACCTCCCGATTACAGTCTCGTCCATTTCAATTAATGGTTCGCCTTGTGAAGGGTACGTCACTTCTATTTTGCTGACTATTCTTGGCCATTGCTTATTTTAAAAAGATTGTTTCCTAATTTGACGACATGCCATTTACCTTGCTTTACTGTTGCTTCAGGAATGGTTTTCACATCATTGACTGCGAGCCGTTCCTGCTCCTGCCGAACGAAGGGAGGCGTATAGACATTGCACACACTCCAGGCTTCACCTTCTCCCGCCTCCGGGCACTTTTAGAATTCCACACTAGTATGGGATTCCCCGTCAACTTTACCCTTGAGTCCTTTGTACCACCAGAATACTTGCGGCCTTGCTATGCTGCCATGCCACGACCTCGATGGGAGGCTTTTCTTCTGCTTTCCTCTACCTGGTAAGAAAAGGAAACCAAATAAAAATGTTGTTTTCACTCTTTGTTGTCTCAGTTTAATAATTTGGTATCTTTCTCTAGCGTGATGACATTGCTGCTATTTGGTGTCCTTATTGCTGCATTCCTTGACACTGATAGAATTATGCACAGTTCATTTTTCACTGTAGCAAACCTTGCTCCTATACTTGACTTGAATCTCATTGATGACAGCATGTTTGGAAATAAAGGTGAGTTTTTCAAGTTTCGGTTCACTGTGTAAAGGATTTCGTCTCAGTAATTGTTTTTAATTTTCTTGTTTTAGAAGAAAGTGAAGAGGTAGAAAAATTAGCCAAGCGCCACACCACACCAGAGATTACATCAGGCGAAACAGATTATTTGCCTGCATCCCCCCCTGCAAAGGTCTCATCCGTTGTTATGACAGTGTCGCAAATCACAAGACCGACTCAAGCTGCTGTACTGGGATCTTCCCACGGGTCTCCTCCGGGCCCCTCTCAGGGATCCCCTCAAGCACTTTCTCGCGCATCGTCTCATGGCTCCTCTCCGGGCGCTTTTGGCTATCCCTATGGAAACAGCCACTACTTGCGTCAGTCTCACCCGACCCATGCGCCGTCACAGGTGCACTCATCGGCATCCCACTATCACCAGCAGCATCACCAGCAGCAACAGCATCACCAACAGCAGCAGCATCACCAACAGCACAATCAGCATCATCACCAACAACATAACCAGCAGCATAATCAGCATCACCATCAACAGCATAACCAGCAGCACCACCACCACGCGCCGTCACACTCGCACTCCCACACTGGGCCCGCCCACTTCCACGCGCCGTCCCACTTCCAGCCGCACAGAGGCAGAAGCAGCGGCAACCACCACTCGTGGTTGTTGTGGTTCAAGAGTTTCTTCTTCCCCATTTTCAAAGAAAAGTCGAAAGGAAGAAACTCGTTCATTGCTGCAGCGCAAGCAGCCGCGGCTCAGGCTGCCTTTACACAAGCTGCCGATGAAGAGGCAAAGGAAGTCGCTGCACTTGTCAACAATGCAGCAACAATTCAGCGGGGAGGCAAAAAGAAATGTCCCAAAAGAGACCCACCCCCAGAAGAGTACCACGGTCGTCGCGGACGGCAGGTAAGATTATTACCTGTTAATATATTGATGAACCATTGCTGGTGTGTTTTTGTAGATTTTGGCGTCATGGTTTCTTGTGCTTCGTTTTTTTAACAGGGAAAGCGGAGGGGTGGAAGTCAAGGGGGAGGAGGGGGCAGTGGAGGAGGCGGTGCCGGAAGTGGAAGTGGAACAGGGGGTGGAGGCGACGGCGGGGGAAATGAGAACAGAAATGCAGGTGCTGGAGACGGCCTGGGCCTGGGATGTCCTCAGCACTCTCGAGGTGCTGGGTCCAGGAGAGACAGACGTAATAGAAAGGGTGGTCGGTGTACCTGCAAGTCAGATGGAGTCACTCTGTTGGCAGGCGACATGTCACTTATGGATGAAATTGATGAGGTATTTATAACCCTGCCTTTTTTTTTTCGTGTTTATTCCCAGCATTAGATTGCAGATGACTGACGGTGTGTTGGTATTTGTTCTTAGGAAGGAGAGATGTCCAACTTTGAAGATCCAGTTCCAGCTGATGATCCCATCAATGAATTTGATCCTGATCCTGACATAAGTAAAAGAGGGAAGGATATTCTTGGCAGTAAGGATACAATCATTGAGACTGAAGGATCAAAACGATTTGAGAGAGAATGGGAAGGAGACAAAGGAAAGAAGACTGAATTAGAAACTAAACGAGATTCCTCAAGTCAAAGCCATAACCAGGCAAGCAATACAAAAGGTTCTCGCTCTGGAAAGAAAGGCAAAGGGAATCAGATTATTATTGACAATCACAACGCATCACACACTGAGCAGCAGAATCACAGTCACAAGACCCGAAATCAGTCTAAAAGTCATCAAAGTCAAGGCCATGAACTGCAAACCAATGACCAATTTGGGCGTCATGGTCATGAACAACAAGGACCTAAAAGTCAGAGTTATGAACAGCAAGGACGTCAAAGTAAAGGGAAGGATCCAGGTCAACAAAACAAATTACAGGATCAAGGCCAACATATTAAAGGGCAAGATATTTTGCTGCAAAATAAAAGCCATGATCAAGCCCAACATAATAAAGATCAGACGCTTCAAATTAAAGGACCTGATCAGTCCCCACAACTAGGAAAGCAAAGCAAGGGACAAGACCAAGGGCAGCAGAACAAAAGCCAAGATCAAGGACAACAAAGCAAAGGACAGGATCAAGGACAACAGAGTAAAAGTAATGATCAATCGCAACTAAATAAAGGTCAAGATCAAGGACAACAGAACAAGAGTAATGAGTCCTTACAACAAAACAAAGATAACAAAAATGATCAATCGCGCTCGAATCAGTCAGGTCGCCGTGGTCAGGGTGGCGACCAACAGTCTGGAAATCAACGTCAGCAGGGAAGCAAAAAGAGTCAAGGAGGAAGTCGAACCCATGATCAAAGCCATGTTCGCATTGACAGCATGACTGTGAGAAGTAGAAATGCTTACAGGCAAGGGAAGAACAGTGGTGGTAGTGGAACACCTGCTACTGAAAATAAGCGGAGTAGTATTTCGGTTAGTAATTATCTTGTTACAATGCAAAAAAATGAAATTGTTAGTTCATTATTGGTTGTGTTACATTTATAATTTTCTCTCTGTACCCAATTTATTTGTTTACTAACCTAGTAATCTTTTTTTTTTTTTTTCAGGATTCTGGTGAGTCATGTTCCCTTGAGCTTCCTTATAAAATCAAAGCATCTGATAGTTCAGGAAAAAGATCTCCGATCATCTCTACTGTAACTTACAGTAGTGGATTTGTAGACATTAGTCAGCCATCCACTATGTCTAATCGTAAGCATAACACTCAATTAGCGGTGGCTTATGCAAGGTGGCTGGTGGCTCATGGCTGTGCAGGGATTAAAGTAGTTCTCATGCCAATGCACTGGGGACGGTTGGCATCTCCTTCTGCTGCTCTGATTCCAACCTTCTTTTTTGTCTTGTCTTCTATTTCATTTTCTGGGCGGTACTGGTATTTGTGGCATGCGGATCCTTTTCATGTGGTCCCTCAGGTGACAGCTTTCTTCTCATTCTTGTCTTCTGGGAAAGGTCTTCCGCTTGCATGTAAAGCAACCCCCAAACTGTTACATAGCAAATAGCAGGGATTGCTTTGGCTCATACTTAAACAACATTGAATTATTTATTGAGTGTTGCAATGTTAGGCTTCTTATGACTTACTTTCTTCTGTGATTTCAGATTCTCAACAGGACCCTCCACCGGCACCGCCACCACCCATCAAGATGTGGGAGACATCATTCAGTGAGGTGGTGGCTAGAGGTGAACACACTTACTCCACAGTGGCTCGTATGGGCAGCAAAGCCAGCACAGCAAGTACTAGTACTAGTACCAGTACACTAACTATGACAGCAAGCACCACATCAGACAGTGTGCCTGAAGTTTGTGCCCCGGTCAACATCGAAAGAGTTAACATTGACCCTACTGTCCTGGCAAGTGCTCCTGATAACGGTTGTGCAGACTTTGTCCTGAATGGCTGTACCGATTCACAGAATCTGGCTCTGTTGACATTTGGTATGAAGGACAATATGTTCAAAGCTCCTTGCTCTCCTCATGATGGAGCTCATCAGTCACCAGAACAAAAGAAGGAACTTGGTGCGTATGATTGGGGTACTCATGTTTTAACCCGCAAAAACACTGTTGATCACTGTACTTAAATTTATTTTTTGTTGTTGCAATTTCAGGTCCGATTGGGCCAAGGAAGAAACCATCTGGACAAAACACTGCAATAATCGCGCCGTGGACTGAAAACGGAGCATCTAGTTTGGTCCCTCAGCCTCCCTCCTCACCTGTGGTGTCGTCAATTTTCCTGAGAGAAGGTCTTCGAGAAGGTCTTAGAGAGCCTTATGATACTTATCCTGTCATACCACCACCGGGAATGGATCCTCTTAAGGAAGGTCAATATGCGAGGTATGCAATGGAAAATCGTTCACCCTCAAACATGGCTAGTGAATATCCATCGGAACCAACGGCTTCATTTGACGATGTGTATGAGCAATTCCACGATCCTGATGGACATTTCAGTGGTGGAAGGACTCAACAACAACAACAACAGCAGCAGCAGCAGCAACAACAACAGCAGCAGCAGCAACAACTAATTGGGCCATTTGACTCTATACGCCCCCCTCTTTATGTTGGACCTTCATCATACAGCTTGAACCGTGTCACAGACCATCAATTGGAACATCCTATGGATCTAAATGGGGACCTATTACACGAATCTTGTGATCAGCGAGTTGAGCAAGGATTTGACCAGCCTTATGACCAATCTTTTGACCAGTCTTATGACCAACAATTTGACCAAGCTGCTTTGAAACAACAACCCTCTCAACAAGTGATAGGTGGTCAACAGCATCAAATTGATATGCTTGTCCAACAGTTTCAACAGCAATCAATGCAGTCACATCCTCAATACCCTTCAGTTCATCAAATCCAGCTTCAACAACGGCAACTGCCTCAAACGCACTTGCAACAGCAACAACCACAACAGCCGCAGCAACAGCAGCCCTCACAGCAACAGCCCCCGTCACAGCCGCAGCAACAGCAGCAACCGCCACAGCAAGCACAGCAGCAACAGTCTCAGCAGATGTCCATGCACATGTATCAGCAACAGCAAATCGGGCCTCAGGGTCAGGCGGTTGTCGTTATTGGAGGTCAAAGAAATGTAAGCTTTTTACTAGTTACTTATTTCAAATTTTCAGAGTTATTTCTTTCTAATTTAATTCCTTTGTTAACAATCCTTTTATCATGTTATAGATTATTGGAGAGGCTGGTATCATGCCTTACATGTGGCTGGATCAACAGTCTGCACAAGCTGCACAGGCGGTGCAAGCGCAACAACAAATGCCACAGCAGCAACAGCCTACTCTCCCACATCAAATAACTCAAATGTCACAGCAAATTGCTCACCACTTGCCTCAACAAATTTCCCAACAGTCTCCCAAACCCATCCAAATTCCTTCTCAGTATTCCCAGCACCAGTTCCCCCAACAGCCAGCTGTGTCCCCTCAAACTTTAGCACAGCAAATGCAGCAGTATCACTTGCAGCAACAACAGATGCAGCAGTCGCAACAGTCACAGCAGCAACAGCTGCCACCGGCACAACAAATGCATCAACCATCCCCAGCACAACAGGCAAGCCAGCAGCACATCAGCCAACATCACCAGCAGCAAGTGACGCAACAGCAGCAACTGCACTTAATCCAAGACGAGCGAAACAACATGGTGGATGATGAGCATCAGCCCCCAAGATTCAGAGGTATCCCCGATTGAATCTTTCAACTTTTGAAAGATCATCTTATTTTTCTTATCTTGTAAAGAGTTTTTTAAATTGATTGTAATGTATCATTTTTTCCTTTTTTTCTAGCTGAGAACTGGCAGAGGGTGGGCTCGCCATGGGACAAGTCCTCATCGAGTGGGTCTGGCAACACAGCTGTTGGCTCCAGGTCAGCTGCTGCCAATGCGTCTGGAAATAATCCTCCACATGGAAATGCAGTGGGGAGTTCACTGGGGAGCGCCCTAGGTACAATAGGAAGTTCCCTTGGAAGTTCAATCGGGAGTCCACCTGGCATTGTGCCTGCAAGCGCAGTAGGGCAACCTGTCGCGTTCAAAGGCCATGAGGGTCGAAGCTCGGGACGGGACTCGGGCATTGAGTCCTTGCCAAGTGGAGCCCGCAATGGGTCTTTGTGGGGAGCCGTTGGTGAAACGTGGATTGGCACTGCTGATGTTGGAGCAGCTGCTGCAGCTGCTGCGAGGTCAGCAGCCCCAGCCAGCACAGCTAGCTCAACGTCAACCATCGGGACATCCAGCAGCAATTGTCTGGCGACTACTTCATCCAGCATTTGGTCAAGCGAGTCTCTGTTGGGAATAAGCCGGCCTTACACCCGGGAGCGGCCGGCCAATGCTCAGGGGACCACCGCAGGGAACCAGCGGCAAGAGGTGATACCACATTTTAGACTTCTGTCTCATAAGTCACATTGATTCCTCCCCTTCTCATACGCTTTCTTGTTAGCAGGAAAATACTTTTGATCCATTCCGTTCTCGAACGATCAGCAACATCTGGAGTTCTAAGACAAGCGGAAAATAAATGGGATTATTGATCAACGGAAGATCCAACTGATTCTGAAGACTGGTATATTGGGACTGCTCTGATTGTGTTTTAGGAAACCTTTCAGAATCATATGAGAGAGTGCATTTTGGTTGTCTTTGTTTCTCTTGACTTTCCTTCTTTCGGTATTACTCAACTTTTATTTTTTGTGATCAGAAATGTAAATTGATGGGGAAGCTCTGGTTGGGTGACCACAGTGATAGAACTAAGAAATGTTTTATTTGAAACACAATTTATTAGAGAACTTATCAGCAGACTTCTCTGCCCCAGTTAGCCTTGTGATGCAACATGTGTGAATGATTGAATCTGTTTTTATTAGATTCACTGAACCTTTACTTCATCAAGAAGTTTTTATTTGTTACAAACGATGTATTATTTTCCATGTAAATGTCTATGTGATACAATTTTACATCTAAGGCTTATTGTAAGTTAGATATTAACATACAAATCTTATATTTATGTATTTGTCTTCCTCTCAATGTATATTCTTGATGTTTTTTTTTTGTTTGTTTTTTTAAATAATTCTTTTTCAGTAGGAGGTGTAGGAAGAAGTCTTCCTTCCAAGATTCATTATTTCAAGGTGAAATTTTGCAGCTTTGTTTATCCTCTTATAAATTGCAAGTTTTTGAAAGGTGTCCTGCAATTTAGAAAGTAGACAAACACTGTCTCTGTAAAACCTAGTCTAACTTAAGGTATTCCAGTAAATTTTGTGTTAAAGCAGCTCATGGTTTAGTTTCAGTTTTCCAAAGTTCGTTTTTTATAATTATTGATACTTTCTCCTGACATTTTGCCTTGCCAGTAGGTTGCAATTTTAATTTAAATTTGTGACTGCCAGTTTTAGGTTTCTTTTCCTTTGTGAAAAATAATTCTGTGATTTTTTTATTTAAGAACTTCTTGTAGATTTAGGTTTTGCTCTTAAAAAAGAAAACAAAAGAAAAATTGGTTGTGAATCCGTTCAGCAGTCAGTTTGTTACTTTGTGATTTTCCTTAGAAAAAGTAGCACATAAGGGCTCTTTAGTTTAGTCAACGAATGTTTAATTGTCCTTAATTTATTATTGATGAGAAATATTGTAACATCATATTTCTTCTATTTATGATGAATTCTCAGGCACTTCTGTTGCTACAGACTGATTTACAGAACTTGCTTGCTGTACTGTACATATATTATTTCAATACCTTAGTATGATGTACTAAGAGCTACTCTCTGTGATTATGTTCATTGGTACACTCAATGCATGCAATTCCAATCACACTGAACACGATGATCTTTGCAGCGCTTTTTGTAGTGAAGTGAGGAGGAGTTCAAAAGTGCTGTGAGACTTAATGTGAATAAAAAGGCAAGTGGTACTGTAAGTGTAGGGCAGAAGTATGTGAGCAGAGCATGAAAGGAAGGCATCCTTCTATCAAGGTGTCATTTCATTGTTGAATGTTATAGCCATCTTGTGATGTTCGTCATTTTGTAAAGATGCTTCTGATGTAATAATTTAATTATAGTGCGGATACTTCAAACGTCTGCATTATGTACAAAGAGTCTTTACTTGTAGTAAATAATGCCATGAACACTCCCCCTCCTCCCCAACCGTCTTTCTAAAATTGTATGTCCTCAAGCAGTGAGTAACACCTTTAGGGTGGTGTAAACACCTGCTTGTTTGTCCCTTCCATTCACCCCTCATATTAATTGCTTAGTGGTAATTAAGAACTGAATACGGCAGAAACATATCCATTTGTTACAGATTTTTTTTTGTTTTACTGAACGCTTTTTGCCATTTTCTGTTTGAGTAAAAACTATAGTGCATCAATGAGTTTTGAAGAACCCTTGTCAAAGGAACTTGATTCTGGACACTCATTTTTAAGGTGAACCAACCATGTAGTTCATTGATCCTTAAATCTAAGTAACTTATGCCATCTATTTGTGTGTGTTATTAATTTATGTAGATATTCCATTTCCAACCCATGGCTCCAACCTGTAATTTTGGTTGTGGTCTCTTTGTACCTGTTTGTTAGTTCATGAAAGCTGCTAAGTTTCATGAGGAAAATGCCAAGGTTTCTTGTGCTGTAGTCATTCAAAGGCACATTGCTTTGTTAATTTATGTTGGCATCTGAACAATTGTTAGTTTTTAATTAATGACATTGCCAAAGAAGAATTATTTGGTACCCCTTTGTGTTGTTGCTCAACATATATGTTGCAGTTCTTGTCTTGATTAATGGAAGTGTTTGTGTATCTTTCTGAAAAGAATGGAACAATAAAAATGAACAAATGTAGTGAATCATGTGGTTTTATTTTCACACCCTAGTATTTTACTGTATTAACTTCATTCCTTTTAAAACAGTCGTTACCTATAGTTGGAACTAATTCAATCCCCAATCTAAAATACATTGGCCCACAGTGAGTTATTTTTTAACATTATTACTAATATCACATGACAGTACACACAGTTGGTTTTTAGTTTGTTTGTTTTTTACAATTGAGCAAGCATACTTTAAACTATGAAAGCAACCATTCAAAAGAAATTGTGTAGTGGCCTTTCACTTCACTCCTTGATTAAATTTTAAATTGACATACCCAGGATTTCCTTGTAGCTCAGTTGCACAGAAAGGGCAAATAGCTTGGAAAGCACTTGTTCCATGAGGCACTGAGACTGTAGACCAGTATCTGAAATTTATCAAAAGTGTAAGAAATTAGATTTAATTAAAATACTCTGCTGCATTGGCTCCTAAAATATTAGTAAACAAACTTACTTCACTGTTTTCTCAGTTGCAATATGGCCACATGGGTTGAAAGCAAAAAGGTTAACAGGGTGAGGATCATCAACATCATCAATGTAAAATGCTCCCTCCATACCCATGCATATTTTTTGAGAGGGACCAATCTGTTGGAGAAAATGTGTGTAAATCAACTATTTCATTAACACATCAGTCGGTCTCAAAGTCTTGAAACAATGGCAACACCCACTTTGTGGCAAGAAGGACATTGCTTAGGTGGAGCACTCCCTCCATGAATATGGCCACAATTGAGAAATACACTAGGTTGGTCCGCAGAGTCTGAATCTACATCACTGGAGCTACTTTTCCTTGGAATCACCAAAGGATCCAGCTTGTCATCTTTGTCCTCATTCAACATTTCTACAAGCTTTTCGATGTAATCTTTAGTCTGAAAAGAAGAGCATGAGGGTTACTTTCATTTCAATAAAATGATTTACAATAAACGTAAAAACTAGAAGACACAACTAACAACACATTTTTCCAGGCCCTCTGCAGATCTCCATAACAACGTAGCTCCACATAAATCAATCAAAGATCCATCACGAAGAATGTTGGTCCCCCCTTCAATCTAGAATAAGTTAAAATCTTAGAGTTAACTTGTATTTTTTGAAATTCCTGAAATACAAGGCATTGAACATTTTCTAAACACCTCACCTTTCGGCCTTTCTCTTGAGATGACCTAAAACCCCGAATAGAAAATATACTACCAAATACAGACACTTCTCTCCATAAGCCAGCCTCCAATTCACCACCAGAATATGACCCATTAGGATTACACAGTAGTACACCATTTGTTGTCAAGGCATCTACATCTGTTCCATCACTTGTTTTCCATTTAACAGCTTTTTCCTGTTCGGCAAGTCACATAAACAGAAGCTCTTTTGCAAGTTCATGATTTATCAATAAAATTTACTTACACCAAGAAATATATTTTTATCGCCTCCAAAACCAGCAGCAAACAGTTTTACATCACTTTGATCAGACCTACTTGCAATAATTCGGCAAGCAAACCTGGAAATTGTACTTTGGTGCATTTTGCCCTCCCCAGTGCATTTGTCCAAAACTACATAATCTATGATTTTATTATATGATCTTCCAATCTGTAGAAAAATGTAAATGAATGACCAATACATTAAAATGATTGAAAAAAATTATTTCAAACTCTGGCACAAACCTGAAACATGTCTGTTTCTTTGTCATGGGCACATTCTACGATAATTGATTCATCTTTTGAAATGGTAAATGAAATAGTCCATGAGTTATGATCTTGAACTGCCTGAGGTACATGAACAAAACAATGATTAGAAAAATATAAGTTAAACTAAACATATGCAAGCAAATATTTTGACACTAATCTCACACCTTTGACGACTTAGGATTCGTAACAACCGAAACATTTGCTTTCTTCACCCCATTTGGTAAGTCTCGTTCTTCAAGAATAAATTTTGATCGCTTACGACCTCGCTCGCCGTTTGGAAGACTACCATTACATCTGAGGGTAAAATTGAAAATACATTGTAAATGTGTTTTATTCGGAACATAATCGGAACACTTACAACTAACAACTCATCTCACCCAAGCAAGAACAGCCCTCCATACTTCCTCTTTCCACACGGTTGGGTTGAGGCTAAACTTTCGTCAGACCTGTAAAATAAAGCAGTAGCGCATTAATTACATCTGAGAAATAAGGAGAAATAACCAGCCCATCTGGATCTGGATCACAGGTGGAGAAGTGCCTGTGTGTTGATAAATAACTTGGACACAGGCACGCGTGGTATGAAAATCCTACAGCGCTTGAAACTGTCGACCTAGAAATTCAAATTCGAAAACGAACCATACTGAATATAAGGGAGTAAAGGTGTTCTACGTACTTCGAACCTCCAACTTCATCGCTCATAATGGAATTTCAGGTTGGGTAAGACCGATACTTGGGCGGTTTAAGATATTGTTAACAAATCATAACATTGTCAAATTTAAAACAAAAAGATTTGCCGAATGAATTTTTGATTAAAATTCCTGATTGTTCATATTGAAGTCGGCATTTCTGCTGTTGTGGCTTGTTTGGGTTAAGCTTGTTTCAACTTGACTTCCTTCCCGCGTTTCCAAACAGATGAACGAGGCTGAGTATGAAAAATCTTCAACGCGAATCAAGACAAAAAAAATTTCGCGGATTTCCGCCCAGTGCGCGCCACAAATTTGAATCAGGGTAAAGATTTTACCTTCGACCACGTTACATTAGTGGATTGATACTTCGATCATGAAACGTGATCTTAAAATCAAAACCAGAGAAACGTAAGGCACCTCTGGAACTGGAGGGCGCGGGAAGCCCAGTGCACCGCGGCGACCGCGGCCCCGCCGTGGCGGCAGCGAACAGACGTACTCCACTGCTAGTTGGGTTGCCTACCCGCGAGGTTCTTTGCGACCTGTACTGTCTGCAGACTCCGGTTCCAAGGAGAAGGAAGAGTAACTTGAATGCCGTTTGTCCCTGGAGACATGCACAACAGGCACTCTGGGAACATGGAGATGCGTGGCATCTAAAATGCATGCTAGCTAACCCTCCATGCACTCATTCCCGCCAGCCCACCCTACAACCACCTGCACTTTTCGACAGGTGGGCACGCGGTCGCAGCGTGAGTTCTCACAGGTAGTAGCCGATCGCTGAGAGCCTCTGCTGTAAGTTCAGGGAAATGGGGGCTCTCTGGCTCACGGGTGTCCGAAGACGCGAGGAAGTGCCCCACTCCCGAGCCGCGAGCCGGGCCGTGCGGAGTCGATTAGGACGAGCATCGGAGAGGGATTGATTGGGGGGGGGGGAAGGCCGCCGGAATGCGGGACAGCCTTCTGCTCCTTCTGCCGGTGTCGCGAGGAGCCTGGAGGAGCCGCGGCACGGCATGGCTGGCATGGCGGCAGCGCGCCAGCCAGCGGCGTAGAGCCTGCACATCTCGTCCTGGCGGTCCTGGCAGTCCTGGCAGTCCTGGCAGTCCTGGCACAGGGCGCCTGCTGTTCCCGTTACCTCGCAGGGTGTGGCGGGGCGGGGCGGGGCGGGGCGGGGCGGGGCGGGGCGGGGCGTAGAGAGCCGCCCGGCGGGTCGGGGCAAGACACACACTCACTCACACACACGCACATATGAGCTTATACACTTGCCAAGGACGGGCCGAGAATGGCACCACAGTGTATGCGATTGACACTCCAGAGCCATCGCGGTGGTTAGTATGCGCGAGGTGAGAACAAACAGAGCCCCTCCCAGCGGCCTGGAAGCCTGGAACATCCCGCGACCGCGACGCCACGACGGGGGTTGCGCACCCTGGCCACCGTCAGCTAGACCAGCACGGGCGAAGGCAGCCCTCCAGTGCGCGGGGTTTTGGCGGTAGAGCCCCATGTGTTGTTAGTTTTTTGAGCAACAGACTCCGTCACTTCAGCGCCTCTTCCCCGCACGGCCACTCCAGTCATTCCAGTGCGCCCGCCACGTCGAGCATAGGCGACCCGCGCTCCAGGGAAGTCCGCGGTGCGTGTGGGGCCCTGTGGGGCCCGGTGGGGCCGAGAGCGAGGCAAATGAGCTGCACCGGCCTATAGGTCACAGTGTCGGAGGCGAATGGGCGAATCGAAAATGAAATTAAGATGTATCGCTCTGGGCGGGGACCGATGGAAGCGATGGTCCGACCGCGGCGGGCCGGGCCGCGCACGCCTCGCAGGATATTTGGCTGGCCGCAAGTTTGGCGCTTTGGCTGGCACGCCACGGCCACGCCACGGCCAGGCCACGGCTGCCATGCGCGCCGCGGAGCCGCGGCACTGCCTCGACTCTCCGCGGATGGCATGAGCCCGCTACTCTAACCCGTCCCAGTTCATCGGCCGCCCGGCGTCTCCCCGGCCGCGCCCCGCCGCGCCCCGCCGCGCCCCGCCGCGCCCCGCCGCGCCCCGCCGCGCCCCGCCGCCCCGCGCCCCGCCGCGCCCCGCCGCGCCCCGCCCCGCGCCCCCGCCGCGCCCCGCCGCGCCCCGCCGCGCCCCGCCGCGCCCCGCCCCGCCGCGCCCCGCCGCGCCCCGCCGCGCCCCGCCGCGCCCCGCCGCGCCCCGCCGCGCCCGCGCCCGCCGCGCCCCGCCGCGCCCCGCCGCGCCCCGCCGCGCCCCGCCGCGCCCCGCCGCGCCCCGCCGCGCCCCGCGCCCGTCCAAGGGCCTAAACCGGCGGGGAGGGGCGCGGCTGCGCGGCCGGCGCGCGGTTGAGCTGGTTGCCGCCAGAGGGCGCCAGCGTCGCTAGCGTCGCCGCGCCGGAGCCGTTCTTGAGGTGGCTGGTGGTGCTGGTGGCTCCGGCCGGGGCTTCTCCGGTGCCTCCCCGCCCTGCCCCCCTCGCCGCCCTCACCTGTGCGCACTCCGCGCCGCGCGCCACGGCTCTCTCGCCGGCCAGGCCGCCGCCAGGCCAAGCAGGCAGTCTTCGTGGAGCGCGTCGCGGGGCCACATCGCCGTGCCACCCCGAGCAACATCGTTACGCCTGTGCAGGGCCCCGTCGCCGCCAAGTCCGAGTGCAGTCCGCGTGTGTGTGCGTGTCAGTCTCGTGTGTGTGTGTCAAGTGTGTCAATGTGCTGGTGCGCCTGGATTTGATAACCGCTTCAGGTGAGTTCCGCCGCGCGTTCGGGCCCTTTGGTGCCTGTGGTCCGTCCGTAGGGCCGCGGGGCTGGCCTACGCCATGCCTACGCCATGCCTACGCCGCTCGGCCGCTCGGCCCCAGCGGAGGGCCTGCAGCGTGGCTCCAGGCCTCCAGGCCCTTCAGGCTCCAGGAGCGCGTTGCGCCCTGACAGAATTCCTGGACGGCCTGGACCGGCTGGCGCCTGGGCGACCCTCGGTTCTCCGCCTAGAGTCCTCCACGTCGTCCAGCTGGAGAAATGGAAGGGGGCAGGACCTCGGCTGTCACGTCGCCGTCGACCGCCACGCAGTCGCCGTCGGACCGAGTCCTGCGGCTTCCCTTGCCGCCCAGCCGAGAGGTGTCTTCGCCTCCTGGAGGGCCGCGCTCGGCCACGCACGCCAGCGAAGGGCAGGCGAAGGGTACATACGCCTGGCCGGGGTATGCGGGGCGGGGCGGGGCGGGGCTCGCGGCGCCAAGTCGCCAAGTCGGCGCCAAGGTGAAGCCGAGTGCCTGTCTTTCTCCTGCGTGCCGTGGCGTGCCGTGCCGAGGCGGGGAAGGGGCGTTTGTCTCAAATGCCACGCGCGTTCAAGTCTCCCGACCGACAGCCGCGCGCAGGCAGTGCAGGCAGTGCATGCAGTGCAGGCACAGGCGGTGCAGGCACCTTGCCTGCCTGTGACGGTCACGCCCCGTCACGGCTCGTCACAGAGGTGTCGCCGCCGAGCGGCCAGCTGGATCCCGAAATCGCACCTCGTCCGCCGAGTTTTTCTTTGCCGTGGGTTGTAAACCCGCTTGCACCTGACTTCAGTCTTCACTACTTCGCCCTGGTGTGAAGGGAGACCCGCCGGTGTGGTGGTGGAAAAGGAGGGGGGATCAGTTTCATTCTGTTCACGTCCCCGGGCCGGCCCGGCGGCCGGCCCCCGGCACAGGTATGCCGAGCGTTTCGATACTGCTGCTTGCACACTGGCTGCTGCTCGTCACATAGCGGCTCGCATTTCGGTCACTCCTTTTTTATTCCTTTTTACCCCGCGCGGAATTGGCGCGTTAGGGCTGCGCGTGGCCTTTGCGGCGCCCCGGCGGCTGCTTGGGGCTTAACTGCATCCCGCGAACCGCCGCGAACGGGACTCGCCCACGCCGCCGGCCGCCTCACTGGGCCAATGGCGCATGTGTGAGCGTGTGTGTGAGGGGACATGCCAGCGCCGCCTGCGCCCACGGCCCACGGGGTCCGCGTCGTGGAAATGGATCCTGGCAGCCTGGCAGCGGCTCGGTGGCGGTGGGCATCGCAGGCATCGCGGTGGTGGGCACCATGTAGGCGGTCAAAGTCGCAGTTAGCGCTGCCGCCGCTGCGCTCCTCGGGGGCTGCCAAGCCACTGCCAAGCCACTTCCGGCGTGTTGCGTGCGATCGAGGGGCCGACGGTATTAAGCCGTCTGCCCCCCCCCCCCAACATCAGGGGAGCCCCTCCCGGCAGGAGGGAAGATAAATAAAAATACGGTGGAGGAAAAAACGCGCCGCAGCGCGCGCGCCTGCCCGCATACACTTACAGTGTGGCGCGGTTCGACTTTCATCGTGATTTCGAGTAAATTTATCTGAGGCTATGCGGCGCTTGCAGCGCACCGCTCCACTCTTATTCAAACAGTGGACTGGCGTTTCCCTGCTGCTTTATTCCAGTGCCCCCCCTCTTTTCCCCCAACACGGTTTTTCTTTTTTTTCTCTCCTCGTCTACCTGTGTCGCTCGTTTTCGTTTTCCCCGCCTCGTTGAGGACCGCGGCTTTATCACATCGGGCTGCTCTGTGAGTCAACGCTTTGTGTGACACCCCACCTGCCTGAGGCCTGCCTCCCCTCCCCCACCTCTCCCCACTCCCCACCTGCCACTGCCGGTCCACGCCGCACGTAGTATTCACCGCTCGGCGTCTCGTCACCGCACTAATCCGGAGTCCGACTACGGCCCGGCCGCCTTTCCGTCTTTTCAATAAACAGTTGACACCACACTGCAACCACCACGGTGCACTACGGTGTAGGCGCACAGGTGGCCGCGCCCAGCCGCGCCGCGCCATGCCCGGGTCATTACTGCTCATTTACTGGCTTCGAGGAAGTGGGCCTGCTTCGCCTGTGCTTCGCCTGCTTAGCCGCTTTTCGCGACTCGGTGTCAAACGGCCATCGGTTGGGCCTGTCGGGCCGGGCGGTGCGCCCGAGGTTAGGTTAGGTTAGGAGCGATGAATGAGTGCCGAGTGGCCGACGGGCCGCTCGCTAAACAAAGTTCGGCGAACCGTTAGGCGGATTAGGTCGTGGTACGTACGCTAGCGCACAGGAGGATCGCTAGCGCAGACTTTTGTTCTTGCACTACCTAACCTAACCTAACCATACACTTGAAAAAGATGTATGTCACCGCGGCAGCGGGATTCGAACCTGCGGTGGTCGCTGCTGAATTCTGCCGCGTAAGACGGCTCGTCTCGTCCTCCTTCGGCGGCTCAGGGTCGCGTCCGCGACCACACGGCGCGTCGTGTGTGAGTGTGTGCCCTGGACCCGGAGGTGGAGGGCGTGGGAACACTGTATGAACACACTCACGCGCGCGCCGTGCGCCGTGCGCCGTGCGCCGTGCTCCTTGCCGGCGTGGCGCCATGGCTGGCCACGGCCAATGCCAGCGCTCCTGCACCGCAGTGCCGCCAACCCCGTGACATGAAACAAACGCCAGGAAACTCCCAGGCTGGCCGTCGCCGACGCGGTTGCCGCGCGCGCTGCGGTGGAAGGCGAGAGAAGGAGAGAAAAAAAACGTTAACGCTAACGCTAACGTGAAAGCAGATGATACTTATGAGAATGTTTATTGAAATGTATGAATGTGACATTTTGTCAATTTCTTTCAAAGAGTAAACACTCTGAACTCTTTTTTTGACAAATTTCTTACACATGGTAATTCATGAAAATGTCAATTTTAGTATAAATTTTGAATATCCTAACGTGCCATTGTTTTGTGTTAAACATGTTCGCAATGACGGTGGGACACTCATATGTCCGATACCACTTGTGTTGGGTATCATTTTCGTTGTCTCAACGCGAGGATGCAGAATTTGGTGGCTAATCACATAAATACTCAATACCCGTAAAAGTTGTGTTCGGTACTAGGGCAAGGCGCCTTGCGGCACGCGGCGTGTCAGCCACATCTCCAAGCGGGGCCGGCCGGCCGGCGCGCCACCCGAACCCGACCTCAAGATAGATAAGCAAGAGTGGCGCACCCTGCCGACTGCCGACGCGCCGCTTCTCGAGAGGGGCAGGGGTTCGGGGGGGCGCTGCACTATGCGTTCTACGCACTCAAGGCTCAAGTGCGTGTGTGTGTAGACTGCTGCGGGGTGTGGCGGGGCGCGGCGGGACGTGGCGTCTCGGCAAGGGAATGGGCGAGGGGGGCAGCTACGCGATGCGTGCTAGCAGCGTCTCGTAACGACGCGCAACGCGAGGGACGCACTTCATGAGTACTAGAGAGCTGGGTGTCGAGGTTATACACCGCGCGCGCAACCCGAGCCCCCGCAGGCGCCCCGATTCCATGAGCGGCGCGCGGTACGGCGCGGCGCGGTGCGGCACGCTGCGGGCCCTCCGCTCATAATCTTCTAGGCAGGCCAGCCAGCCGCTGCCTTGCCAGCGAGGCGCTCGGCCTCTTCTAGGCTTGCTAGTCAGGCAACGAGGCAACTGCTGCCTGGCTAGCTGGAAACTCGGTACTCTCTGCACGAGAGTACAAGCACGCTGATACGTAAACGTATCATCTGCTAAAAAAGGAAACGAGCAGAAATCTATTTTTGATTCGCCGCAGGTTCAAAACTTAAAGTTCGCGTATTTCTATTTTTTTCCATACACTTTTTTAGGCTTTCTCGCGTTTTGAATACCCTTCCGTCTTGTCACGCGTCGGCTGCTGCTACGGAGATTACCGGACTAGCTTCCTGACCATGCAGTGCACCAGCGCGGCGCAACCGAGATACACTATGCAGTCTTTCTTTCGCCATTCGCCACCCTTTCCCCTTGCTGGGACCACTCTCGCTTTTTCTTCTTTTTTTTTGCAATACGGGGTACGATGTGGACGTTTGAATGTTGTAGAACACTGGTGTTTTTTTTCTTCAGATTTTTTCAGCAGTCTTTTTCTTTTTTCTCACCAAATCCGCCATTGAGGTTGTTTGATCCATGGGTTGGATGCGTGCTGCCTGCGGCCCGCTCATTGGTCCGACGCGAAAGCCCGCCAGAGTCACGCGTGTAGGCAGTGTAGGCACGGAGGCAGGGCCGGGCGGGGCAGCAAAAGATAGTGTACTGAATCCAGGCAGAGTTAACGAGGCGATTGAGTGGTCGAACCATCAACAAGCAGCTGCTTTTGCCTCAACTCGTGTGCGCCCCGCCCCGCCCCACCCCGCCCCGCCCCGCCGCGTGCATGCCTTTCTCCAAACGAGGCTCGGCACCCCTTCCGCCCTGCGGCCCGCCCCGCCGCCCCGCCCGGCCCCCGCACGTACGCACCACCGGCACCGCCTCGACGGCCAAGGCGGCCGAGCCAGCCGGGGCTCGCCGGTGAGTCTCGCCAGTGAGTGAGCCAAAGCCGAATATCCCGTTAGTGGCGGCGAATCGCGACGTGCCTGGATTTTCCACGATATCCGTGTTGTGTGTGCGTGGGCGTGGCGGGGCGGGGCGGGGCGTGGCGGGGCGTGGCGGGGCGGGGCGTGGCGGGGCGTGGCGGGGCGTGAGCCGACCGATGTGCCACTGGTCTGCCAATAACGGCGCGCTTGGCGCTTGGCGCCGCGGGGCTGACAGCGCTGGCACCAGGAGTCGCCCTTTCTTTTCCTTTCCCCGGGTTTGTAAGCCGCGACTGTCTCACTGTCTAAATCGCGGCGCCCTGGCGGAGCCATTCCGAGCAGTCGCCCTGTCCCTCTCGCACCCGCGGGGCGCACGCGGGGCGTGGCGTGCAGGTGCGAGAGGGACAGGGCGACGCGTGGAATGCGGCGTGCGCGGCGGCCGCCGGCACCT